ANGTGTGTGTGCATGGGATTTGGCGTCTCGGTAGGTAGCATTGTGGGAAAAGACGGGGCGTTTCGGTTGGTTGGTAGTGAGGCAGGCATCTTTGATATTTTCGGGGGCCATAAGGGTGATAATGGCAGGGTTAGATGGATAGGTCTTGTCTGTCTGCGGAGGATAAACACGGGACGTAACTTAACTACTACAGTAAGTCTGGATATATGTAGCCAGCGTGTTATAATAATATTAGTCTGTTCAACTTTCTTCGCTGTTTGGTTCGAGTGAGATGCAGATACAGATTCATGGTACGGAAGTGTGAAGCGTGGAAAGTGTGCGAGAAAAAGACATGGTGCACAATGGCACCACGGACATTAAAATCCCATTCCAAGACCCATCTATATGCTACAAAAAACCCATCCCCCTAATCAGGGACTTCCTGCTGCTGCTGTGGTCCTACAACGAACGCCAAAAACAGGCCAAGGCACCAAGTTAAGTATACTAAGCAACACCCTAAAAAGACACGGTAGAAAAACAACAGTATCCCCTTTTTCTCAATTTTCCAAGACGCGGAAAACAACACACGGAATGATACGGTCTATACGGCGGAATATCCGCCCCTCGATCCGCTGTCCTGCACGGTGTTGAAGACGCGGCGGGACCAGTCCTTGGCGAGGTAGGGGATGTCGCGGATGGTGTCGCCGTGGGGGAGGAGGTCCCACCCCCTGGCGCCGTAGCGGTTGTAGTTGAGCCAGGAGCCGAAGATGAGGTAGGCTGCTGTGGATAGGAATGCGCTGTTAAGTGTTAGCTTGTTTGCCCCCCAGTGAACCGAATAGAGGTTGGGATGGTTGGGATATGGGGGGTGACGAACATAATAATAAACCAAGTGAAAAACCCCCAATTCCCCTTCTCCTTCCCGCCTCCCCCCCCGCCAGAAACATTCTCACAAGCATACTTCGTCCTCCACTCCAGCGTCAACACATCAACCTCCCCCTTCGCCCCCTCAGGTCCATACTTCTTAAACACCAACGACTTCGTCGCTCTCGTCGTGCTATTCCCCTTTCCCCCCTCCTCCTTCTCCCCCTTCTCCTCTCTCCTATACACATCCAACACACTCTCCTCCTCCTCCTCCGTCCCCTCCACCTCAGGATCACACAGAAACTCCACCACCGCGCGCTGTTTGCGCCCGTTATACGAACCCCCGTGTAGTTCCACACGGATGCCCTCGCGCGCTTGGTCGGCGGGGGATGGGGCGGTGCGGAGACGCGTGTAGGAGGCGTCGAGGAGGGTGCCGCCGGGGAAGTTTTGCAGGTCGCCTGCTATGGGGATGACGCGGGAGATGGTGGTGGATTTTTCGATGGGGTTGATGAGGCGCTCTATTGCGCAGACTGTGGGGGGGTTAGTTAGGATCCTTATTTCGTTTTTCCGGTTTTCGTTTGGGTGGTGGTGTGGTAGAGTGGATTGGATTGGGAAGGGGGGGACAAGGGGAATGAGGGCAGGGACTGGGGAAAGGGAAAAGGGAAAGACAAACCTCTCGTAGGCCCCGGACACCTCTCTTCCTTCTTCGCATCACTATCCGGCACCAGCGGCCGACAGATATTAATCGTATACGTAGTATTCAAAAACGACGGCGGCTGCTCCACGCCATGCATGACCGAGTGCGGTCCATCCAGCGCGCTGAGATCGAAGTTATGCTTGTCCGCTAGCATCTTGGAGCAATCTATCGTCCCCAGCGCCGCGGCGGAGAGGGGGAGGAGGAGGAGGGAGAGCAGCGTCGGCATTGCCATGTTGGCGGGGGGGATGTGCATCCTGCGTGGTTGTGGGTGGGAGCTAAGCTCCGGGGATTCGGGGATCGAGATGCAAGGAGGCGGGTGGGTGCAGGTGGTGAGAGGGACGTGGTATGAGGACTATGTATGTCCGTCCGTTTGCTTTCAGTGTGGTGGAGGTGAGGGGAGTGTGTTGCGTGCTCCTGTCGCTGTCGTCGCTGTCGTCGCTGTTGCTGCTACTTGGCCCGTCTTGGTCATGACGAGGTGGTCGCTCGCGTACGTGCTTCTCTGATCTGCCAAGGAACGTCACTGGGGGCCTGGACTTGGCATCACGTGCTAGACTTGAATATGAAATACAGTGAGGTTCTTGGATATATTGAGCTTGAATATAGGTAGGAGGTCGTTATTACTTGGCTTTTGTCTGGGTTTGATCTATTTGGTGGTGCTGAGAGGCGTCGAGGGGGAGATGACGAGGCACATGACGAAGGCCTGGGCGTTGTGTTGTATTCAGCATTTTTGAGAAGACACGCAGATGCGCACATGGGCAGCAACGGACATACGTACAACAGGAAGGTGGTGGTGCGGTGCCTACATCCTTCTCGGCATAAAGGGTATCTGTCTTTGCCAATATTAAAGGAACAACTCCCTGTCGCCGAGCTTAAAGGGTATATTATATATATTAAATATTACATACTAGTCGAGTATTATTGACCTGTCAAGCTCGCGTATATCGTGTGTGTGTGTGTGTGCTTGTCTGTTAAGCTTGAGTTGTGCAGTGCAGTACTGGCTGTACTGTACATACGAAGATGCACACTCTTCATACATCTCCAGCACCGCCATATATACTCACACTTCACCATAGGGCTGACGCTGACCCGACTCGTCTTACGATTCTTACTACTCTATTTGATCAACAACCCAGTATCTGCGGTCAACTATCCGTGGTGGCTGTTCACCTCGTGGTCGTGGCTGTTCATGGCCACTCATGGCTATTACCACGTCCATCACTTACCTGTCATGCCCCATCGTGGCTGAGAAACCATCGCATCCTTCCCCCCTCTCCCCCTCCCCCCCCCCCACCACGAACTATCTTCACCGGTCCTTTTACCAGCCGCGACGTTGCACTCCCACTCGTGGACCATCCCTCCCTCTGCAGCAAGCATGATCCTTCCGACCTCACCATTCGTCGGAACAGCCAGGCATCTCGCTCCGGGCTGTGCCATCCTGGTTCGATATGGAGCATGCATGGGCGATTACCCATCGTCTGGGTGGCCACACTGTCAGCCCTTCGTTCCCGCGGAGGGATTCATCGTCGTGGTCGTGGAGCCACTGCAGCCAGACGGAGCTGGTGGGCTTCAGGTACATAAGCTGAGTGAGAGTCCCGTCCCATAGGTAAATCTATTTCGGGATTTGCGCCATTCTTTCTCTTCTTTCGAGTCAACGCGTTGTCGGGTTTTTGCAGAGTATATGCTCTGGATAGATACTGTTTCTATACTTTTTATTCCATCGGTCTGAGATACGACTTGAAGCGCGAGGTGCTGTATATATCTTATTTGGAATTCGTGGCAAGGCTCCAGCAGAGGTAGCGCGGGGGAGCGCATCGCATTGCGACAGAGAACACGCAACCGCCGTAAGCCCAGCCCAACGACGACATTTATTGATCGCAAAACGGCGACGAGTTTCTCCAAAGCGACAGGGGGATTGAGCTATTGAACAAACTTTCGAAGAGGGCGCGAGTTTGCGACTCAGCAGTCGAAATCTATACATGCGCCAAGACCACCCACCTTCAATGCCGAGATGACGGATGTGAGCTTCTAGAACGACGTGTCCCGAAATTACCATCCAATACCTTCTGCATACGATACGAATAGTGCCGGCGCAAGCGATTCATTGCAATTAGCTCTCATTCCAATTAATCATGGTTGCGCCCACTGGAGTTCCAAAGCAGCCAGCTGCGATACTAGCGATGCGGGATATGACCTTTACAAAAGCGCCATTATACAAAAGGACTGACGAATGTCCACAAAACTATGCGCTGTGCCCGTCATCATTAAGTGGCGGATGCTGTCCCAGTGACCACTCTTGCGGAACCAGCAGTTGCTATGCGACAACACCTACCCCGCTATCTATTTGCACACAGCTTGGATATCAGGAGTGTAGGCTCGTTGACGGCGGTATGTATATTTCCTCCTTCTATGGGATAGAATCTCGGGCTAATCTCTCCCAGGTGGATGTTGTCTGCCAGGTTACGCATGTGCGAGCAATAGCTGCATTCCGACCACGAGCTCGACAATAAGCACGCCTTGCGATGCATCATCTACTCACTGCCCCGCCGCCTTCGGTGGCTGCTGCCATAGTACCTATGCCTGCGGCCAGGGATACTGTTACGCGACAGCACTTTCCACAGTCAAAGTAACGGTCGTGACAACGAAGACGGATTCAAAGGGCCATGTTGCAACAGTTAATACCGTCATCAGTACCGCATATATGCCTTCAACTCAACCCACATTGGGGCCTAGTCCAGTAGCAACAGCAGCAGTCCCCAGATTCACGCCAACTACAATTCCAATCGCCAAGGTAGCGTCGACACCAAGTTCATCATCCGGTCTCTCAAAAGGTGCTCTCGCCGGCATCGTAGTGGGGGTAGTTGTAATCCTCATCGCCATCATCGCAACAGGCTGGTGTGTGCTGCGGCGCATCAACGCCGTAGCCAAACAATCCGAAGGCCACCGCACCTCCGGCTCCGGCTCAAACCGCACGCCCATGTCCAAGAACCGTGGCCCTAACGGCGGCAACAGCGGCGCCCCGGGCTCGGGTCCAACAAATGTCGACTTCGATAATATGTCCATCGACCCCCTAATGATGACTTCCTCCGGCGCCGCAACCCCCCACCTCTCGCGCCCTACCCCAACACACAACTCAAGCTACGACACACAGATCACTCAAGCTCCCGCAATCTCCCCACCCATCCCCAGCCCCTACGCCTCGCCACCCCTAGGAAACACGCAGGGCGGCGGCTACCAAGCCGTCCCCCTAGGAGACGCGCAATACTTCGACACACGCCACCACTCCGGCCAAGGCAGTCCCAGCAATATCTCGCCCTACTCACCCGGGTACCCTACCTCAGCATCCTGGGGCGAGCCAGTCCCAGACCCAGCGATACGGGACCAAAACCTCCGCTTTGGAAGGATCAGCAATCCGTCGCCGGGAGGGAATAGGCATTGGTCGCAGATTAGCGATGTCAGTGCCCTCTCAGCGGGAAGCGGGCCGGGGATCGGGATCGCGGAGTTGGATCAGCGGAGTGGGTTGGTGGAGATGTCTGAGCAGGAGTCATCTGCTGCTGCAGGCGTGGTTGCTGGTAGCAGCGCAGCGAACCGCTCCAGCGTAGACAGCCACAAAAAGACCAAAAGTTTCGAATTCATCGCCCACCGCCGCAAACGCAGCAGCGCCGGCTCGGGGATGTCGCAACTCCTCACGCCCCCCCTTCCGGGGGGGCAGAGCCCGATTTTGGAGAATGAAGCTGCTGAGACCGAGGCGGAGGTGGGGGCCGGGGCGGAGTGGGAGAGGAGACATCGCGCTACGAGGAGTGAGGAGGCGGGGGAGAGTGGGCAGATCGTGTATGCGCATCAGGCGGAACGGAACAGTTTGCCTACGCCGGTGGTGGCCAGGGGGGGTGGGGTGGGGGATGGGGGGTTGCCGTCGCCGGTTGGGGGGGTGAGTAGGAAGCCGGTGGGCGGTGGGGGGGTGTAGTGAAGTTGGAGAAGGGGGGAGGGGGTTTGGTGTGTGATTTGGAGGCAGTGTTTTTGTTATATGAGAGCGGATTGGAGTATACATGGATGGTGCATTGTTTTTGTATTGATTCTTGGGATGGGGATGAGAGAAAGGGGCATCTGAGCGAATGAGCGAATATACCAAACGGCGTTGGATGGGTGTGTAAGTACATTTGGATATTTTATATAGAACGATATATGATTGGAAAGCACCAAATTTACCATATATATATACTCTCTATTTCAACTATAAGTATTTTGATTGTTTTGCCTGCCTTGGTCGTTGTCGGGCCACGGTTCAATTTTTCCCCGACAGTGGCTTGTACAATACAACACTTCTAAGAACGGCTGCGCCACCATCGTCAACTCGGTGAGTTCAAACCAGTTAGTAAACTTGCTTCACTCTAGACACACCATATTTCCTGAAATCCAAATGCAAATCCTATCTGTAACAAGGCTACCTACAGTGGAGCTGGCAGTCAGCCGCATCTCATCTTGAAACAAAAGATGGGCGAAACATCTGGTCTGCATAGAATCCGGTGTTCGCAGTGGTTACATGCGGATTAGAGCGTTTCATGTCCTCCTGCAGACGGTTATCACCTGAGACTAGGTCAGCCCTGCAGACCGATTCTTTGGGAATTTGCCAAGTGGGGGTTCTTGTTTATGGGAATGGGTGGAGATATAAAGATCTGAAGGTGTGGGCATTTTGAGGTATTTGTACGTTTGTCAGGGTTGTCGGGGTTGAACTGACAGATATATAGACCTGAAGTTGCCTCATCGTCCTGTTACGGCGCGAGCTTGTTATCACATATCTACCCTGCATTTTGCTTACTGGGTGTTAACTCATCTTCTAAAATCTGATATTCAAGAAATCCAAAGGCTACAGCAGTGCTGGTCCAAAACCAATATCAACGCCCTCAAACATGTCCCTCCCATCCTACAAAGACGCCATCACCCCCCTCGACCCCCTCGACTTCGTCGCCGCCTACCTCTCAACTCACGATCTTCTCACCTGCTCCCTCGTAAACAAAAACTTCAACACCGTCTTCGCAAAATATCTCTGGACAGATCCCCTCCGCATCATAGGCAACGGCGCCAAACGGATCCCCTTCCACCTAGGTCCGTCCTCCCCTTACCACTATCACACATCCAATCCCATCCTAACCAAAACTATAGAAAAATACCGCCTCTTCAGCAAATCCATCACCACCACAAGAGAATCCACCAAAAACCTAGTCCAAACACTAGACTACCGCCAGCAATGGATCCCAAAGATGTACGCCCTTCCCAAACACGTCAGCCAGCGCGCCCTCACCATGGACGCCGGGTACTGGAACTCCCAACGCATAGTTTACAAGCTCCTCAGCTCCCTCCCCGCTCACTTCCACCGGACCAAATTCCTTTTCCTGGATGACATCGAGTTCCCCCTCTCCCTCCCCCAACCGCCACGGGAAACATGTCATCCACTCCTCCTCAGCCTGCGGAACTGCCAGAATATCGCCACCATCCTCCTCCCCGAGGACGCAGCAGACTTTCTAAGTGAGATCATTTACCTGGATATCTCGCACACCGCCCTCCGCGACGCATACAACCACCCCACCTACCCCCCAGCACACCTCATGCTCCCCTCCCTGCGCATCCTAAAACTCCGTCACGTCTCCCTCCTCGACTCCGATCTCCGCGCTCTGCTGGCCGCAAGCCCGCACCAGCTGCAACTCGCTAGTCTCGATGTGCGGGATAACAAGCTCACCGACGGCGTCATTCCCGATCTGGAACAGCACATCGTGTGGCGCATTGATGCCACCTCCCTAACCACTCCTCGTCTTCCAAACTACGGCGCTACGACAGAGCAGGGGAATAAATACCTCGAGTCCCCCCCTGCCTACTCTGAGCGCCCTCGAACAGAGGAGGAGCACCAAGAGACCTTCATCCGCGACACCCCCCACCCTCCGCCCGATGATCCGGAGTCCTTCACTAAATGCGCGAGGGAGCATGGGGATATGAGTGATCTAATCCCCTTCGCGGGGCTAACAGCGTTGTACCTCTCCGGGAGCGGGTTTACGTCTGATGCATTTCTAAGACTGGTTAGGGCGAGTGATAGGATACAGGTTCTCGATCTCGATGCTCCCTTCAAGGAGACGAGGTATTCGGCGTCGATCCCTGCACCACCAGCTACAGATGAGGAACAGGAGGATGGACCAACGCACCCAGTAGAAATAGCGACGCACTACCTCTCTCTCGCTCTCTCTCCCCGTCTCTCTACCCTGCGCGCGCATCACGCACTGGTCACTCACTCCACAACCTCCTACCACCCAGACACAAACCCTCACCTATCATCCCTAACACTAACTTCCATCCCTCCCCTCTCCCCTCCCTCCCTTTTAAACTCACTCAAAACCTTTCTCCTAGCCGCTGCAACACAAGAACACGCCATAGCACTCGCTCGCTCAAGCGGAGTTGAAGGGGGGCGGCGCGGCGCTAAAGTACGACCTGGGTTGCGACATCTGAGGCTTGAGCTTGGGGCGCAGGTAGAGAGTGTATCGGGGGATAGGGATGCGGATGTGGCTGCTGCGGCGGGGGCCGGGGATTTTTCGTTTTTCGATAACCCCGCCACAACCGCGGAGGAGGGGGAGGAGGGGGATGGTGGGAAGGAGGGGAAGGTGGGAGGGAAGGAGGAGAGGGTGGATGTTAGGGCTGAGTTGAGGCGGTGGAGGGGAGCTGAGGGAGGGGGAGAGAGGAGGTGGGGTGGGAGGTTGGAGGTTGTTGTTAGGGGTGGGGAGGGGGAATAGGTCGACGTGTGGGGAGGCATTAATGATGGGTGCATGATTTAGATGATTGAATGAATAAACCCCCAGTTCGGAACACCATCCATAGTCGAGGAGCTGCAGTTGCATGTTCTTCACAGGGGAAACAAAATTATAATTCAAAAAACACACTCAAATCATAAAACGTATCAATTATTATAATATACCACCAAAAACACCAACAATGCATCACATCATCAACTCCCCACTCCGACACGTCCAGCGCGCCCCATCATATACTACACCCCCGCAACAGCCCCCGCATACCTAACCCCCCTCTTCCCCATCTCCTTCCTCCCCACCGCCTCCTCGGGCCACACCCACCCCCTCGCCCTCTTCGCCTCCCTCTTCTCCGCCAACTGCGGCGCAGGCATCCACTCATCCCTCGGTAGACACTTCCTCCTCGTCCCCTCCGCCGGGGCCCCAATCTCCGCCTTCCACCCCACCTGCCCCTGCAGCGGCGCATCGCGCGCAAGCATGTGCAGGTAGAACAGCGCGAGGAGGGCAGTCATCTTTACCTCCGCCCCCTCCTCCGCGTCGGAGGCGGAGGCAGTCTCAGCGAGGGGGATGCTGGCGACTTCTAGGTACCCGAAGTGCGGGGTTGCTTCCCCGCCGTTACGGACGACGACGAGTTCAATCTCCGTCATGATGAAGCCGTAGCGGCACCCGTGCTCGCGCATGCAGCGGTGCAGGTGCGCGAGCCCGCGGAGGTAGGCGACGCGCTTGTGGTTGCCCTCAACGCGCATAGCGGAGTTCCAGCGATCGAAGGACTTGACAAGCCCGACGACGCGGCCGAGGCCGCGGCCGAAGATGAGCGCAGAGGTGTCGTCGGTGTAGTTGCTGACGAAGCTGGCGTCTTGGGTGGAGGAGGGGGTGGGGGCGCGCATGAGGAGGTGGCGCGTGCCTTGGGCGACGGCGAGGGCGGCGTTGAGCTTGGCGGCGTAGAAGGAGGTGTAGATTGCTGCGAGCTCGGTTTCGGTTTCGGGGTGCGTGGTGCGCGGGGCGGAGGGGGCTGGGAGGGAAGAGGCGGGGAGGGCGACGGTGAGGAGGGCCGCGAGGCCGGGTATCGAGGTTATGGTTGTGCTGGTGAAGGAGGTCCAGGGGCGGATCTGGCGGATGTCCCACCAAAAGTGCTTACTGGCTGGGTCGCGGACGTGGATGTTGAGTTGGCGCACGAGCGATGGGGTTGGGTTTGGCGCAGTGAGGAAGGTCTGTAGCGTCGTGGTGGGCTCGTCTGCTGGTGGGGCCGGGGCGAGCTCGAGCTCCTCGCAGAAGTCGTCGAAGGAGATGGAGTTGCGCATTGGCGACGGCTCGCGGGGGGGCGCGGTGTAGTATGGCGCGGGGACAAAGGTCTCGGTGCCAGCGGTGGACGAGATGTATGTCGGCATCTGGCGGTAGGTGGGGAAGCCATACTTGCCGATGGTCTGGCCGTCGAGGCTGCAGCTCGAGGCGCGGCGGAACTGTGCGTCGACGCTGCTAGTCATGGAGATTGGGGAGCACAGGGTGGAGGAGGAACGGCTGTGCGAGGGTGTCGCGAGCGCAGCAGGCATGTATGTGATTGTCTCTGGGTTGGTGTAGCTGCGGCTGTGGCTGGGCTTCCAGGTGCCGGCGGTGCCGTTCTTCTTGACGCGCTTGGCGGGCGACTCGATGGCCTGGTCCTGAGAACGGATCTTGGGGAGGAGCAGCGGGCCATGCTGGCGGATGGGCGACTTGATGGGGGTGGCTAGCTGGATGTTGGTGGTGTCGGGCGAGGACTCCTTGGAGTACATGGACATCTGCGAGGAGAGGGAGTCGGCGCGGCGGTACGCCGGCTGATAGCTGGCCTCTTGGAAGGCGAGCTCATAGGAGTAGTCAGGTGGGGTGGCAGGGCCGAAAGAGAAGTTGTAGTCGAAGGACATATCGACGGCCATGTTGGAAGAGACGGGGGGTTGGAACTTGGAGGGGTTGTTGATGACAGCGACGTAATTAGACACTATCGATTAAGACAGGTAGGTAGGTGTATCTGATTCTGGAGCCAGCTCCTAGTAAATCAAGACAATCAAGTATGATAATTTTTGGTATAAAATAAAATAAAGGGACCAAGGAGATTCGTCGAGCGCAGCTCGTCCAAAGGAAAAAATAAAAAAGAGAGGGAAAGCGAAGAGTCGGAGGATATTCTCTGTGAGGAGAGAAGTGAGAAGGAGAGAACCAACGAAAGGGATGGCCGGCGACCAGCTGCTACTTATCCTCATGCCTCGACGGAGCGCTCAGCGCCAGTCGCTCGCGCCGGTAGGCAGGGATGACGAAGAGGAGCGCACGATGAAACGGCGGCGAGCAGCGTCGACGACCACGAACACGGCATCAGATGGGTTTCTTGGTCGTCAACAGCAGACCCGGCGGGCCTCAGTAACCGCCTCCTGCATCCATCCCGTCGTCGTCGACTCCACTCCGCAATGAAATGGATTCCCCACCACAGCGTCTCTGAGTCATATTTAGAATGCAGACTACCGGAAAGTATGCATACTAGAACCCCTACCCCCCGCGTTCATCTGCACGGCGCCAAACGCCCTTTCTTCGCGGCGCGATCACGGTCTCTCGCGGTGGGGAGGAGACCGCGGCGCGCCTCGCGAGACGTCGCGTCGCCCTATCGTATCTTATCGGTGTTATCGCAATCGCGGGCGCGAGTAAAAATAACCTTTGTACCCTTATAGAACCCTCATTGGTGTGAGACTGTGGAGTGGGGTGGAGTGTCAGGGTACTCAGCGCTTTAACAACTATAACACAGGCGCTTCGCGAAACCGAGACGCTGTCTTGTCGCTGTCGCTGTCGCAAGGTCTTCTACCGCGACCCGCTGTGTTTGCGAGATTGTTCAGGAGTGCTGGGCGCGTGGAAGGCGGCTGTGCACAACTAAGCATAGTAGTACCTGGCCCTGTGGTGCCCTGTGGTGCCCTGTGACGCTTCAGTACACGCTTGTGTCAGTGTCTGTGTGTCGTGTCATGTCTGTGCTCCACGTCTTCAACACACCCTGAACATCCTGAGGGCGGTTGACTGAGAGTCGGCGGTTGGAGTTGGGGCCGGCGCGTGTTTGGAACAGCGCGATGCCATGGCGACGTCGTGGTTGGCTGGCTAAATGCACGCCAATGCCAGGTAGTGGGAGGCGACGCGACGGTGACTCCCGACGTGGTGACGGCGCGTCAGTCTCGTGGGGAAGGGCGGGCATGGCACGATTGGATGAGAAGATCGAGATGTTTACTGTGGCGATCGAGTCGGGTGCGGGTATTTTGCGGGAGCCGTGTTTCATGTTTATGCTCGAATCGTGATTATCGTCGTCGCTGGTCTTTTCGGCTTCAAGTTTCTGGCTTCTGACTCAGAGGCTAGAGATGCAGTGCAGGATGTCTGCATAGAGCTGCATAGAACAGTCTTGGTATACGACAGCTGTTCACCGTATACAGTAAGCATCTGCATGTTTTGGTCCACGGCATCTCGACATTCCATCTCCGCTCCTACCAGAGACCTCGACGGTGAGGGATATCATCGTTTCTCCGACGGGCTTGCTGTGCCGCTTCTTACCAAGGAATGTAGCTCCATAGCTCATGCTGCTCCATAGCTCCTGAGTTGGAGAGCTACGGGACTCGGCATCAGGGTAGTAAGTTTGTATTTGTCATTGTATTTTTTGTAGCTTGTTATTGTTGATGTCGATATTGTTGTTGATGTTGATGTTGACCTCGACGTTGATACCATCCAGCTGCTTTCTCACACCCCACCCCCTCGGATTGAATCCCACATTCCACATTCCACACCTCTTTCTCCCTCTAAGCCACCCCCTTCTTCCCATGGCCTGGTGTATGGCCTCGTGGCGACCTTTTTTCTCACCCTTTGCTCCCCTCCGGTCTCTTTCTGGCCTCGGCTCCCATGGAACAGCCTCGTCGCTCTCCCCCACCCTCCTTTCAAGTAAGGGCCGTTCCTTTCCCAGACAGACCGCCTCATCGCTCCTTCCCTAGAGAACAGCTTTGTTGTTCTTTCCTTCCAAATGACAGCCTCATTGTTCCTTCCTTCCAAGGACCAGCCTCGTCGCTCGTTCCCTCACCGAACAGCCTCATCGCTCCTTCCTCTCAATAACGCACCCGTCGTGCCTTCCCTTCAATAAACACACTCGTTGCTCCTTCCTCCCAGTGAGCAGCCTCGTTCCTTCCTCCTAGAGACTTCCCTCGTCGCTCTTTCTCTCAAAAAGCAGTCTCATCGCTCGTTCCCCAACAGCCTCAATCGTTGCTCCTTCCACTCAATGACAGCTTCATCGTTCCCTCCTCTCAACAACCAGCCTCTGTTCCATCCCGGAGTAAACAGCCACCTTGTTCCTTTCCACAATAAACAGCTCCATCGCTCCTTCCCTCAATAGGCACTCACCCCTCCCTCGCCCATCCCCCTCCGACTTCCCGTGACCTCCCATGGCCTCTCCCATTCAAATATGGCGCCCTCTAAACGCCCCGGCCTTGAAACGCACTTAACCCTCCCCTCCATCTCCAAACTCGCATAACCCATCTCCAGACCCGCATACCACCTCACTATGCGCGTCATCTTCCATGCCCATCCCTCGCCGGTGCCCGAGGTGCGCGACCCGGCCTGTGATGTGGCCGCGCGTGCTTCGGGTGTAGATGCGGTCGCAGCTCGGATGTGCTGCGCCCCGGTGGTGACGAGGGGGGTGTGTTTCGGTTTTCTTGGTTTATTGGTAGGGCTGGAGGGGGTTGGGGGGGTGGTGAGGAGATTCGTGGGGGTATGTGGTATGTGGAAGGGGGAGGTTATGGTGTATAGTGAGAATGGGAATTGTCGTCCACCATCTTCTAGTTCATGACTTGGGGGTCGAGCGGGCTATATTATAGTATGCAGATTGGTTTACCTGGTGGTTAAAATAGTTCCTGGTAGTTGTATTATTTATGATATGACTTTTATAAATAAATAAATAATGTCATGGTGGTAATATTATTTTTAGTGGCTCAAAAATAAAACCCAGTATCCAATTCTCCCTCATCAATTCCTTCTGAGATAATATACAAGACAACGACACAGAGAGGCTAAACTGACCGATAATATAAACCCCAGTAGTGATTTTAATAATGACAACCCCCCCATGATAAATATCCAGCGAGTATGGCTATTAATACCATCATCTCCTCCTAAATCGAACACAATAGCCACCCACCCTCCACCACCATCTCACAACCAAGATAGCAGACACAAACCAGAAACTAAACAGATAAAAATCGATTTCTAATAATAATTATGGCAAGCCTCCTATGACTAATACCTAATGAGAGAGATGTTGGCATATTCTATCTATATTATTTTGCCGCGCCCAAAACCACAAACCAAAAGCAAAACCAGATATCCCCCATTCTTTCCCAAACCCCACCCAACCCCTTTCTAAGTATTGTTTCCCCCATCTTTCCCATTACCGCATATATATCATCCCATCCCATCCCATCATTATCCTCTGTCGTGCTTGGGTATCATAACTCTCATCCCCATCTAAGACCTTCATCCCCACCCACCCACTCACAACCCCCTCTCCCTCTCCCCCTTCCGTCTAGCCTGCTCACAAATCGCCTTAACATCCCCCCTCTCCGCCTCCCAATCGCCCTTCTTCCCCAGCCCCCCCAGCCTCTCCAACGCCTCCGCCGCCCCCGGCGCATACGCCGTCCGCTTCCGATCCGCATTCGGCTTACTATGCAACAACAAATGCGCCTTCAGATTATCCTTCCGGTTCTCCTGGAACCGCTTCGGGCAGAACGGACACCCGACGTCGCGCGGTTGCGTGTGTGTCAGCATGTGTCGCTTCAAGTGCTCCTGGCGCTTGAACTTCTGCCCTTTGCTCTTGCAGTCGGCTTGTGTGCATTCGAAGTGGCCGGCGGGGACTTTGGTGGCTTCGTAGCCGTGGTCGGACATGACGATGGTGGGGCTGTGGGAGGGGTGTTTGCGGGAGCGGCGGTGGTCGCGGCGGCGGCGCATGTTGATGGGGGGTGGGAGGGCGGGGGCGGAGGAGTAGTTGTTGTAGGATGAGGGGGCGGAGTGGGAAGGGTGCGAGGTGGCTTGGACGGGAGACATGTAGTAGCGGGGTTGGTCGTCGTAGTAGCCATCTAGGGGAGGGGGTGTCGGCCGCAAGGGATCGAAACATGTCTGGCCTGGGCTCACGTAGTGTTGTTCTGGGAGGAAAGCTGGAGAGCTGATAGGCAATGGAAGTGGTGCGCTACGGAGAAGTTAGCAGTGGGTCGTTGTGGATGGGTTTCATGGTCCTCGATTGGGGTGTAGTGACTTACTGGAGTTCATAAGTCATATGATCTTGGCTTGCAACGCTTCTATGGAAGGATTCCGGATACATCATCGACGGATCTCCCATGCTGAGACTGTGGTTAGAGGGGACGTTGAACTGATGGGCTAGCGAGCTGGTGAACATGTGAGACGGCGAAGGCGAGAAGCCGTCCCTGTCGTAGGTGCCAAAGACGTCGCTTTGCGACGGCGACGGAGTAGCCACGTCCCAGGACGTTGTCGACTCGCCAGAGCTATAAGAGTCGAAGGATGCGGTGTTGGAGAGGTTTGAATTGTTGTGGTGAGTATAGGGGCCTCCTTGATTCATGTGGTCATCCATCGGGCTGATTGCCATGATGAATGAGGCGGTAGGGAGTATAGGGGTGTTGATAACGGTTTAGGGAGTATGTCAGCAACATGTACGTCGCCATGGGCGCTGCATCTCGGTGATAAACATACGAATCGGAGAGATTGAGAGGAGACACAGCAGCGGGATCTTGAGGGGCTCGTCAGGGATATCTTTGAAAGAACAGTGGTTGGAAGGAGAGCGTCTGAGGAAAGATTTGGAATGAGAAGGAGCAGATGAGAGTCATTTATACATTGCAGCGAGAAGGACGGGAAGAGCCATGTAAATCATGTTGTGCTGGAACTAGCCAAATTAGATGCAGACTTACGGATTGGGTCAGGTCTGTCTGGTTGATGGCTATAATTGAACACTCTGCGTGTTGTACGCCAATTCTAAAACCTCTTGAGGTGGTCGGGGGACTGTGCGGAAGCCTCTCTTGCTCTCCTCTTTGGGATTAAAGAGCAAGGAATGCCAACTTAGTCGTCTAGTTGGGATAGTTAAGAATTCTTGGGGATGCTGCTGGTTTCCACAAGAACCTTGGAGCGTTGATCCTGTAGTGTACCTTGCATCGAGGCAACAACCCCTTGGAGGCGGGCGGATCACATAGAGAATGGAGAGAAGACCAGATTATTCATTCTACGCTTTATGTTTGTAAAAAAACAACATCCTGTCTAGGTACCCTTTTTCCTTTCGCTGTTTGACAGTGCAAAAAAAGCCCACTGTCCGTTATGCCCACTCATACCACCCATTTTGCCAGATCATAAAACGCAACGAACTGCACGCCACTTTTGCGCCTGTTGTTTTGATCGAAGTGCTAAATCAAATGTTACCTATGGTTCTCTCTAATTAATATTGTAGACTTACTATCTTCAGGTGCAAGGAAGGTACTTCGTTGGTATGTACTTCTTTTCACGAACCGCACCCGCACTGTTGGCGAATCCGGATGGCAATGTCAACGCTATAGATAGTAATTAGTTTTGCGTTTCATACATGTCTCAAAGGTACATACATTTCTCGTGCGATAATGATATCGCTATTCACAGGGTGTAGTACTCTTGAAAATGTAAACCAGACACAAAAGCCTAATGTCGTAGCAATGAACGGCCATGCGACGAAGTACAATCCATTGCGGATTAAGTTCGAGCCGGTCTTGATGAATCCCCACCATGTTTTATCAATTGGGACAACTTGGCGGATGGCTGGAGGGACGTGGATGGCTGGAGGGACAACTTGGGCGATGCTTGGATGGTCCATTTCGTCTTCCACTTGTAATGATGATTTGGTACTGAAATGATGTTTCTCGTCGAGAGAAACATTTTCAAAATGTCGCCTTTCGTCTTTAAGTATGGCCATGTCGTCTTAGGAAGGTGCAGTTGCGATGTTGCTGTTGTTTTGTTAAATCAGATGAGAAAAGAGCAAAGGCGTATGGACTCACCACGCCATGTCATTTCATCCCCAGACCCTGACAACTCTGGGTTGCATCGAGGGTGGGCATGAATGCCGTGCATGAGCAGGCTAAGAGGAGACATCCGTTCCAGCAATTCTACTATTTCCGGGTTTTTAGTATGGTACTTGTTTATAATTTTTAGCTGGGATGCTGGCCCCAAGGGTGTTTGGGGAGTTGGGATGATAATTGGATGTACCTTTTGAGACTATGATAGCCGCTGGTCTCAGGCTTAGCAGCGAACGTTAGAGCCTTGGAAGCAATCTGCTAGGTCTCCGAATGTTCGGTGTAGCCGCGTCTTGCCTATTTTGGAACAGTCTGTCATATTTCTGTGCGCCCAGTATCGTGATATTAGAGTGTCTCAAGGCTGGGCCTAACTTCAAGAAGAGCAAGCACGGTCTCCGCTGTGGATCTAGTTCTGTACCAGACTTGAGTTTTGCGATGCATCTGATGTGCAGACTAGCACCGTGGGTCCCGCATAGCATCTGACGGCCGCCGCCAGTCACAATGCACGTCTTGGGACGAGACTCCTCCAGTAATGGACGAGCATTCTGAGAGTAGCTGGGGGCCGAAGTAATGGAATGATGCAATTGGAAAGTCTGAACGAAGCCAGTCCTCAGAAAGGTACCCTAAACCAGCGACACTCAGTCCTCGAGCGGCCTAGATCTGGTCACTTTTTGTCTCCAGGACGGGATTGAGATCGCTTAGCGCGACTGGCATCATAGAGTAGGGGTCTAGAGCGATTCTAGTGGTGTCCCGGCGGGACGGTTCGTCTTGATCACCATCCTGCAGTGCGACAGAAAAGGTGGGGAGACGTGAGACGATCTGGACAGATGTGGTTACCTGTGTTGTACAGTACACTGCTGTGCTGTACATACAGAGGCAGAGGACTCGTACAGAGAGTCAAGCTAGCCCCCGAGACTGGTCATTTTCGCTCCGAATACACCTGCGAATACACCTGGGGATATTGTATGGATGTACTGTGTATACTCGGTCGAGATGCACCACCGACGTAATGTCTGTACTGGAAGAGATTGGACCTACACCACGAAGTAAACAGTCCTAGATCACACGCGCTAGACCTAATTAGGAGCTCGGTTACGAACTGGGCTCCCGATTACTATGGCAGCCTAGCCCATAAGGCACCTCTGCCTTCGAAAAAAAAATCGGCCCCCAGCTCTGCCCACCGAATAAATACCTTGTAGACAAATACCTCGTAGGGTCACGACATGAACCAGTTGGGAAAGCGCATTGGTGGGGGTGACGGGTTGATGCATCTGGTGGGGCCAGGACCCCGAAAACCAACATCCGCGCTGTCTTGACGTGTATGGCTGGCTGATCTTTCTGGTATGTACTCCGATATGCACTCCGATATGTAGTATCAGATAGTTGCAGCCGCGACTGGAATCATCCCGTCTTCTCTTCATTCTCTTATCTTTATCTGTGTAATCAGCGCGTTTAAAATGTGCGAATGAGTGGTAAGCTACTCACCATGCATACTTGGTTCACAGTCTGGATTTGCGACCAGTGTTGTTTGTTGATATGCGCTTCAATTGTGCTGCACTGTACGTACTGTGCAGTACAATACGATTCTCACCCGGACCACCTCGGTTCTAGCAAAACTAACATGTCACCTTGCTTCGCCACTCACCGCAACGATTAAGTCATTAAGGCTGGAGATCTAGCAGGCAAGTGGACGCGGAAGCCCAAGCGTTTAATGGGATCTGACAAGGCAACAGAAGGTCAATTCTGACCGGGCAAGATGAGAGTTGGTGTATGCTTCGGTTCGGATCGGCGCCATGGTTGACATTTACTACGGCTTCGGCGGCAAAGCCTTTTCTCCCTCCTGGCCTGGCCCTTGACCGCTGTTTATAATGCGGGTCTCTATCATAACTCGGTAATGATGGCGTCTGCTCTGTGTGCGGACATGCATCGGTGTGTTTGCTCTTCTGAACTGACCAACAACAAACATGATACTTCCAGCCTTGTAACACTTTCAAGCCATGCGGTGAAGGTATGCGCTCGGAGTCTCAGACTATCCATTCCACACAAGGGTCAAGCAGACAATTCCTTTGTCTGAGCTCCGACTTCGCCACTCCCTTGAAGCCTCGTAGTGGTTTTTAAACATCGAGCCAAGAAACACCCATCCGAATCATTTGACCTGGTCTATGCACCAGAGTTCACAGTGCGGACTGTCGGCTTCCCTAAAAGACGTGGAAACATGCCCAACCCAGAGACTCGGAAGCCGACAGCAACGTACTAATGCCGGCAAAAGCGTTCGACTTCTTGTCACTTCGTTATTGAGTGGATTTCCGACCTTCCGCGCGGTTGCTTCAGGCGCCTTTACCCCAGCAAATCCCCCTCCAGGTTACATCGCTTCCACGAACCGAGTCCACACTGGCCATATGCAGGGCTCCGTGATCAACCCATTGATCCCTGTAGAGGGCTCCACACACCCTGACGCAATGCTGATCAACCCTGTACTGTCCCCTAACTCGTACATACTGTATCCTGCGGTCTGCACAGTTATCACTTTGGAGAAACAAAAGACAGAGTTCTCATAGGATCCATGTATCGGTTTCCAGGCCCTTCCCTGTCAACCATTCTGGCGGGACAGTCTCACATCTGTTTCTTTGTCAACAATTCGCCCGTCTGGTCTGCTGACACGGCTTTCTTGTGTTACAATGCATTCTCATCAGGTGGAATGGGCGACGCATGGCGTTCCTCCACACCGGAGTACAGCCGTATTGACCTGCGGCTGCAGTACGGTTCTGGTGATCTCAACGGTTGATCCCGAAGACGCCACTACTGGTTCATTATTCTCGATGGCCGCGGCTAATGAAAATTCTGACCTGTTCCGCTGTGCAAAGTATTATGTAGTGTTTGCTTATCGACCGAGGCAGTAGCTTGCGCAGTGCTTCACTTCTCACATTCCTGTGTCCCCTCCATTGTTGGTTGTAATGGCTAGCCATCTGCCCTTGAAACATCTGCTCCATTTACCAAGGCTCTGTACAAAGCACGTATCCCCCACGCCCCCCACATAGAGCTAAGCAGGCAAGGAGAACGATCTGGAGATTAGGAGTCCCGCGGAAGAAAGCTGGTGAAGAGGCCATCAGCGAATCCTTCCATATGGGTGGAAAAGTTGGTCTCAATTAGTACATAGAGAACCCTGCATCCCCCGACCAAGCATTTTGAGACCTGGGGTCCGGATTGAGACTCGGGGTCTGGACACTTCAGCAGTACATTCACCGACACAGCATGAGACGAAACACAATCCCACGAGTTAGTCTGTTTAGCTTCTAGGGGAAATCCCACCGCGGCAATTCAATGTTCAGCGGTCTTCATGCGAGGGGGCATTTGCCGGCATAGTCTTTTTCCATTGTTGCTAAAATAATCCGGCTTTTTGGGCGGAATGGCCTGAAACCGTGACTCAAAGTCGCACGCTATTCTTGCATCAAGCCGTCATCGTCGATCTCATCGGCAAAAGCATCTGCCATTTCCTCCTCCGTGGCTTCGAGACCTTCCGAACTCCTGAACTTCTCGTTCTTTGCCTCGGCTGTGGAATGATTGTTAGTAAACGTGGCCACGTATACAAACTCCCTAGAACTAAGTTGCAGGGACAGGCAAGGGAGAACTTACTTTTAGCCTCGATCCTCATGTTATCCTCCACCTCGCAGTCTTGCAGAACTGAATCATTCCCCACGACTGAGCGACGTCCAAGAATAGATCCTGAGATCTTACACCCCTTTCCTACCACGGCACCCTCCATCAACACACAGCGGAACAGCTTCGCGCCCTCCCCGATCTGACAATTGGCGCCAATAACACACTCCTTGACAGCCGAGCGCTCCTCGACCGTCACGTTGTCGGCCAGAAGACAGTCCTGGCGAGTCACCGTGCAGCGACCTGCGATACCCTGCGGATATGCAACTTTGCTTGTGTGAGCGAGCGGTGAGGCGTCTTGACGGCCAACTTGGTCAGTCGCCTCCAACTTGGCAAGTTGCAGCGAGATCATGAGCAGGAGCGGCGCTGTGTCCACGCGTCGAATCACAGGGGCGCCGGGTGTGCCGTAGGGTTGGGATTTGTGGATGTATGCGAGGAATGGCGGTACGATCAGTGGATCGGTAGTAGCTTCGGTGGTGCTGTTGTCTTGGGCGTCGGTTTGTGGGCTTTGCTCGGCGGCGGAGATGGTGATGCTTGACTTGAGAGTCTCGACTCTAGATACCGATGTAGTACTGATAGCGGCAATGTCTATATCCTCCTTTGACTCCTCGTCCCTCTCGAGGGCTTCCTCGTCGTTACTCGGCTCTTCGCCGTGGAAGATTTCGCGCAGCCCGAGCCTCTCAGCGAAGCCACTCTGCCAGCTTGCCTTGGCCCACCAGCCGATGACGTCCTCACTGAGGTTGTCCATGTCGTCGTTCTTGTTGATCATATCAAGGACCCAAGCTGGGAAAATGTAGATGTGCGCATCGCGGTGCGTCGTGAGCATCCGGACATTTCCATGCTTGGCGACCAAACTTTGTCGTATGGGCAGCATGTTCTTCATCTCGACGGTATCGTTCAGCGTATCCGTCGGAAACGACAACACGACCTTCGACGTATCGCGCAACAGTGAGTTTTGGTGAGGCGGTACTGGACCTTGCTCGATTGGTGCCGTAGCCAGGAAATCGGTTTCTTCTCCCTTTACTCCCAGTTCTCCCTTTGGTACTTCAATCTTAGTTTCATACCAGACTCCCAGTCCACCTCTCCTTCCTCCCTTCTCACCACCTATTGCCATCTTCGGTCCGTTGAACTCCTCTCCTCCGCCGGTGGCGCCACCTAGACCTGCCTCCCTGATCATCCATGTCTCGAGAAGCGCCTCTCCGCCTAATTCACAGACGAGATCACAAGGCAAGACAATGAAGTCGCCCTTGATCTCTTTAAGGACCTCTGGCAATCGGAAGATCTGTGCCGTTCCGGTGGTCTGGTCCAAGTCTACCGGTGCAATGAGATCCGGCTTTGGTGAAGGTAATGCTGTGAGGTGTGGGTTGGTGTTTAACGCTGCTTGGATTGCTGGGGCGGATGCTGGAGGTGCAACTAGGTGGATCTCTATGTGACAAAAGTTAGCACAGCGTCACAGATTCCATATTATACCCTGATCTGTTCGTCAGATGCCAACCTGGCATCGACTACTAAGACTACTGTGAAAGAAAACGCCAACAGTAGCCATTTAAATCACGTGCAACGCACGGTAATAATAGGTCATTGCCCAATAAAGCGGCCATAGAAGCATAAATGAAGACAGAGAATATAATGACATATAAAAAGCGGTCCATACTTGTGATTCCCATGCGGTAGCAGAAGTCTAGGGGGTACCAGACCATGGGTCGATTCGCGATCGGCAGAAGTGCCTTTGGCGATTCCTCTGGCTTGGAGGTGAAGGTATCGAACGAAACTCCCGGCCCGCAAAGGATTATGGCCTGAAAGCCAGGCGCTGGCATCGAAAGGGCATGAGGCATTGTGGCGGGTACTATTATGGAGTTGACTTCTACCGTTGAGAAGGGCTAACAAGCACGGTCCCCTCTGGCCTGCTTTGGACTGTTTAAACGTCCGCCTGAACAGATAAATGTGGTAGACCCTTCGAATTTACCAATTTCACCGCCGAAAATCAAGTTCAGCTTATGTCGTGGTATGGTCGTAGAGTGTTATGGCCCGTGAGTCAATCTGATATCAAATCGCTGGGCTTCAAAAATTTGGATACTTGTATCACGTGCAAAATTTGACGTTTGGTGTCAGATGTCCATAGCAACGAGACATGAACCCACATCATAGCCGCAGACCGTTTTATTGTGCTAGCGGCTGTTATTCTAGCAAATTATATTATATCAATAATGAAGCATAACGATTAATTAACCATGTAACAAAATTTTCTAACTATATAACCGGGATTCTTGCTTCTCATGATCACATTGTTGTGTACATACAGTAAGCCGGGGCTAAAGGATTCACTAGTGCGGCTGTTGGACTGGCGACCGAGGCTTTGGAAACCAGCGAGGCTGGGGAGGATGTCAACAAAGTCACACTCTCTAATACCCCCCTCCTCTCATCCCCAGTTGTTGCGCCAAACACCAATCTTACATATAACCCATTATTTCTTGTAAAATCTTAGTTTGTGAAAGCAGATGAGCAAAGCGGTACACCCAAATGCCGCCTCACGATGGTTACGATCGCCCATCGCGGCGGAATAGAGGCCCGGTTGGACATTGGATGCCCCTGATTTTGACCGTAGCCGTCGCGACGATTGGATTCGCAACGTGGGTTTGGAGCGAAAGGGACGATGACGACGAAGATAAAGATGACCACCGAAGACGCAGAGATGGACGCAGAGATGATTATCGCGACCCCCAAGGACCTCCTCCGACATACACTGACCCACGATCCGGAGAGCAAGGCTATGGCGCACCTCCAAGACACGCTGATGAGCCATCGAGCTACGTAGCTCGTGCATTAAAGCGTACGCCCAGCCCGCAGCAATTCCTCGAGGGCGCCAGTCGAACTGTCTCAGCCGGCATAACCGCGGCTGGCGCGGCGGTTGGAAACGCTCTGTCGTCGATCAGAGAGGAGGACAAGAACGCTTATAAGGATCACAAAACATGGTCAGAGGAAGCTGAGGCGCGAGGAGCTGGAGCTGGCCCGGCTGTACAAACCAAATCGGTCGCGGCAGCCGGAAAGGGGGCATCCAACAACGGAAAGAAGATCAAGGTCGCTGTCGTGGTGTCTGCAGATGCGGATTTGGACGGTGTCGATGATGGTCTGGACTACAGTCAAACGCATGCAGTATGTATACACTTTCCAGGAGCTAAAATGCGTATATTCGAGTATCTAACATAATTGCAGTCTATCCTCTCCTACCTGCCACACAGCACCGACTTCTCACAAATCCAGCTCTTCGTTCTAATCTTCTCGCCTGATCTTAAGCACCATCCTCTAGATGCTGCCGCAGCAAAGCCTGCGGGGTCTCTCGGTTCCTCGTACTCCAACATTGATCCCGACCAGGCTCTGACACCCGCCGAGGAGGGCGAAAAGGCCACGTAAGATATATCCCCGTCTATTCTAGACACCTTGCTAATACCAGCCCAGTGAGCTCGATCCAGACACTCCTGCATTCAACGCGCTGTGGACAGAGGCCGAAGATGTTGTCGAGAAGAAGACGATGATTTTCCCGTTCACAACGCAAGGCGGACATGTTCATATCCTCCGTCACCTTGCCCCCGATGTCATCTACTTACAGGAGGCATTGAGCGGAAAGGAGGGAGATGTGATCACACACCTCCAAACATGGCTACGTGGTGATGTTGTGGTCGTTGTTGGAGGAGACCATGGTGTTGGCGGCCTCGCCGATAGTGAGTCGGAAGCGGAGCAAGCTACCCCAGAACAGAAGGTAGAGAAATGGTGGGAGAAGGAGGAGCGTGTTGGAAGGGGCCGTCACGTCTTTGTCGTAGAGAACCTCCGGGTTGGAGATGACTGGTCAAGACGGATTGAAGGCAAAGACTGAACTTGAACTGGAACTGTTATGTTTGTATGATATTTAGCCACAGCAAGGCAGTATTTCTCTGATAACGGAATTTGGGCGCATGGGAAGCTATTAAACTACAGTATAGCTTACAGTAGTTTTGGGCTAGAGTAGTTAAATTACTCTAGTTAAAATAACCAAAGTAGGCTAGTTATAGTAGATATAGTAGTTATGGCAGTTATGGGCAGTTATGGTAGTCACAGTCGTAGTCATAAAATATCACGTGGCATTCGGACTTAGTTGCGGCTCGTCTTCGTTTCAGACTTGGCTGTGGATACAACAAGGTACATGAGTTCATCAACCTCATCCCGAAGTTCTGCCTCGTCCCCATGACCTCAATCAGTGTAGACGCGACGGAAGAACACATTGAATAGACGACGACAACGACGACAGCAGCAGCGACAGCGGTCGCCGCAGACCTGCTAATGCAAGATGAGTAAAATCAAGCGCCCCGAAAAGATGCATCCATCTTCAGGCGCAAACGGTGTTGCGACCTCGGTGTCCACCTCGCCATCAATTCCTACAAAGAAGCCGCCTCCAATTCTTCCACCGACGTCAGCCATGGGCAATTCCACGGCAAATGGTGTATCTAGAACTCCTGCGCGACCTCGTCGCGATGCCCCACCGCAAATGCTGGGCCGCGGCCAGAGGACGGCGAGCGCTGGTCTGAGGTCGGCCAGCTTGATTCCAGACATTCAAACCGTACAAACCGCCCAACCTCCGCCTTACAGTATGGACTCCTATCACGCGCATGTGAATATTTTATTAACATTGTCTAGTTCGATCGGACAGCTATATCTTAAAGAAATACCGCGGATGCCCTGCGTCTCTCATTGTTCATCTACACCCAACACATTTCCGATTCGATCAACAGGATGGCACGTTCTCCTACAAATCCCCAATGAAGATTTTCATTGAGCATCTGAGATCTGGGACGGTTCCGCAAGATTTGCTAGAATATTTCAACATGTGGAACACCACTTTCTACGAAGGTATGTAGCGGAGGTGACAATTATTTGGTGCATGGCTAACTTTCCTAGGATGTTTGATAGTCGAGGTCCATGACCATAAATCCATTGCAACCGCACGGGAATCCTCTCAGAATCTATCTAGCAGTGATAAGACGGAGCCAATGTCGATACATAACTCCAATGCGTATCTTACCCCGTCTCCATGGGTCCCTTATCCAAAGGAGAATCTAGCGTTGACAAAGCCCATCGCTATTCCAGGGGCACCCGCTGAATCAGAAAAAGGCAAAACTGCTGAGGATAAAGATAAAGAAAACATGCCCGCGCCAGGCCAACCGTCTGATAACCAGAGGAGTAGGTCCAATGCGAAAAAGGCAAAGATATCTACCATGGTTCTCCATCCGACGCCTATGTCAACCTATGTTGACCTTGCGATCAAAGCGACCACCCCTCTTGCAAATCAATCCCAAGGCCGCCGCGAATCGCACCAAGATGTCAACGGAATGGCTCCACCACAGACTCCAAATATGGCAGGGTCTTCCAGCGGTAGCGTAGGCATGGATCCACCTCCTGCTAAAAGACAAAAGCGCGAAAAGATGGAGATAGATTCAAAGAATATATACCCAGTTGAGTCGAGCATAACTCTGGCAACTACAGCGCCGCTGTTCTTGGAGCCCGTCGAGAGTGCAGCAGCCTCGGCAGCGTTGCTAGAAGCCCTTGCTCATCCAGATCACTCATTCCCGGTTCCTTCTCCCAAGTCTCGCAAGAAGACGGTTGCGGAGATGGCAGCAGAAGAATCTGCTGCCGCTGATGAAGAGCAATACATGCTTATTTTGGACGAGCGGTTTAGCAATGGTGCAGCTGGAGGGGTAACAGCAGCTGACGGGGACAGTAAAGTGGGTGGGGCTTCCTTTGAGCCTCGATTCGAAAGATTTAAGGCAATTGAAAGCATTAAGCTGCAAGTGGTGGAAAACAAGAAGCGAGAGAAGCTTTTGCAAGCGGAAGCTGCCAAGAAGCAACAGCAAGAGTCAGAAGCGAGAGAAAAGGCGAAGCAAGAACAAACCAAGCGCGATAATGAAGAAAGTCTCCGCGGTCAGGCACAGTTGCGTATACAGCAACAACAACAGCAGCAGCAGCAAAATCTTCGTCAACAAGAAAACCACCGCCGCCAATTGGCAGCCCAACAGGCACAAAACCAGCAGGCCATGAAAGGAATGCAGGGCGCTGGGCCTCATGGGCATCCAGCTCCTGCCATGGGTTTGCCGAATGCTGCCAATGGCATGACAACACAGCAGCAAAGGTTCCTGCAGCAACAGCAGTTGTCCCAGGCACCAACATCCTCCCCAATTGTTCAGAATGCCACTCCTCACAACGCCTCATCCCCTATGACGGCCGGAAATATCGATGTCCAGATGCGGCATTCCACGTCAAGTCTGGGCGGCAGCCCCCCACGCCCAGGATCTGTCGTTCCACAGAACCCACAGATGACTCCGATTGTGGCTCATGCTATGAGGGCTCAAGGAAGCCAGCAGAGTCATGGTGGAACTCCTCGGATTTCTCAAGGAACTCCAAATATGTCCCAAGAGGCATTAAGGCAGACTCCTCGGATGAGCCAGACAAGCCCAATGCCAGGACACATGGTTCAAGTTCCACAAATGGGTGGTGGTGCTCACATGATGCCCAATCAAAATATGATGAACACGCAGATGCAGCAAGCCCAGATCATTGCGCAACAGCAGCAGCAGCAGCAGCGTCTGCGCCAGCAAGCAGCCCAGCAAGCTATGAATTCCTCCCCTATGAATGGCCAGCAAATGTCTCCTCAGCAGATGGCCTTACAGCAGCAGATAGCACACCAGATGCAACAGGGTAATCCTGCAATGATGGGCGGCAACCAAATGGCCATCAACTACAACGCTCAGATGAGGGCTATGGCCGCAGTTCAAGCACAAAACTCTATGCAACCAAATGGACAAAGTTTTATGGGCCGCGGAGGTGCCATGACTCCACAAATGATCCAACAGGCACAACACCAAGCTGCACTGCAAGCACAGCAGCAGCAGCAACAACAACAGCAGCAGGGACAGATGCAGCAAGGTCCACCAAATATAGTCCAGCAGCGAGTTCAAGCGATGGCACGCCAGATTTATCAATCCCAGATAACGAACTTTATGGCACAGTACGCTGGGGGACAGGCACCCCCCGAACAGCTGAACCTCTTCAAGCAGCAATGCCAGCTATCCGCCAGACAAAAAATCGGGCAGCAGGTTATGATACAGCAGCAACAGCAGCAGGCTATGAGGCAGCAGCAGCAGCAGCAGCAACAGGGACACATGATGTCCGGCCAACAGCACCCTGGTATGGTCCAGGGGATGAATATGGGCATGAATATGGGGATGCAGGGAAATATGAACATGAACGGGAGTATGAATGGGAACATGAACGGGTCGGGGATGCAAAGGCCGTCAGGGATGTAATTTTGGCAGCAGCATTCATTGGCAGGAGTTTTCTGGTGCTTTTTCAAAGGCAGATACCATGGGTATGGGTTGGGTGGGGCGTTTATTTTTTTCATCATGGGTTGTAAGTCACAAGCATTTCAAACGAGTTTACAGGCGGGGGGGATATTGGCTGCCATGGTGGTGGCCTAAACATGGGGTGTAAGTTATTGCCACCTTGGCTGTGGCTGGGTTTAGGAGCGATGCATAATGAGGACAAGCGAAATGACTCCGATTCAGAGGCCATCGATTGTATATATATGAGAATTCGAGACATGGGTCATTCTGAGTGCCCCTTGCGAAATGAATCTTTAAGTAATGTGAATATCATGGTATTTCTTTTATATTCTAACAATCGTTTCGTTGGTTGTCGACACTGAACGGCAACCACACATAACTCATCACTACTTTCCAAACGCCCCTTACATACCAATATTTCCTCTCTTACCACCCCTCTTAGCTCTGTTAAGATGTCCCTGTAACACCCTCTTCGTCTGCACCAAACTCCTCTTCTGCTTATACTTCGCCTTTCCCAGCGTCATCATAAAGTTCTTCTTCCGCGACTTCTCTTTATTCGTCGTACTCTTCCCCTCCGCCTCATTCTTCGCACGACGCAGCGCCTTCGTCGACTTATGCTCGCCCCTCTCGCCCTTACCCTCACGCGCCATCGCAATCTTCTCATCACGCGTGTTCTTCCTCAGCTTCGAGAATCCCTCAATCTGATCCGCAGTCAGAGGATCATCAGCATGGCGAGCGAGCGCATCCTTTTGCCGCTGAGTTAGACCCTTCTTCCCGGTGATTTTGTTGACCTCGGCCTCCAGACGCAGCTCTTGGAGCTTGGCCAGATCAGCGGGTGTGAGAATCTTGGTCGTGGCCAGTATCGAGATCTTGGACTCGAGCTCTTTGTCTGCTTTCTTGGCGGCATCGGTGAGTTCGTTGTCCCCACCCTCGGCGGGTGTGTCGGCGAATTTCACTTTCTTTGCGGGGGGCTTCTTGCCGCCCTCGTCTTCGCTGTCGCTGATTTCGATCTCGACGTCGCTTTCGACGTTGACCCAGCCGCCAGAGTCCGTACTAGCGTTGGACTGGGCGTCCCATGCGTTCCAGTCGTCTTCGTCTTCTTCTTCCTCATCGGTGCCTAGTTCCTCTGGTAGGCCAGCCTCAACACGCTTTCTCTTGCGCTCATTGGCCTTCCACTCCTCAAGCAGCTCAAGACCTTCAATACCGCCAACCTCCTCCTCTCCGTATCTCCTCTCCTTGCGCTCGCCGCTTCGGATACCCATTGTAGCCTCCTTTCCTCTGTCTCTCTTTTGGAGCAGATCAGCACCAACCTCTCTGTAGAGCGACAGCAGTCCCTTCGCTGCCATCATAGTTCCCTTGTCTTTACTCTTCCTGTACATGACCAAATCCTGCAATAGCGTGTCGCTAATAGCCAGTGGTTGGCGAACACAGATCTCGCGAATGGCATTGAGACCAGCAGCTGCTACCTCAGAAGCGGCAGCCTCAGAGACGAACTCGTTGGCGATCTTCTGGACGAGCGGCTCTAGGGCATCGGGGGGGACGAGACTGTGGGTTGCTTGAGCGAGAGATGCGAGGAACGACGTTACTGATGGCTGTCGTGGCGTGAGGTATTTGGTGAAGTAGGAGTATAATGAAATGACCGTGAGCTTGTGCAGACCAACGAGGCGGGAAACAAGCTGGAGGACCAGAAGCTTTTGCTCCAAGTTAAGCTTGGACTTGCCATTTTGGAGATGTTTCGAAAATAGTGTCTCTGCGAACCCTTGAGGGTCGTGGAGTAAATGGAGGGCAGAGAAATTAAGCGGATGGGGCGCATTCTTCTTGCGCTCTTGACGTTTGACTTTATCCACGGCTTTGTCTAATCCCTTGGACTTCTTTTTCGACTTCTTATTAATTCCAACTTGATGCTTCAACTTTCCAATGCTGATATTTTCGTGGTCGCTCTCCTCATCCTCCATCTCCTCTCGCTCCTTGTCACCTCCCAAGAAGAATCTGACACCACCACCAACAACCTTCTCGTTGTCCGCTAAACTGGCCTCCTTCATAATTTCAACGGCTTTAGAGTCGGTCCATATTTGGCGTTTCCATAATTCTCTTGTGATTTTGACAGCCCAGATACCTTTAGAAGAGGTGCGGTCTGAGGTGAGAAGATTGTACAGAACGGTCTGTATCGTCCGGTTCAGCTTATGGTTTGTCGTCTTCGCATTCGAGGTTCGTAACTCAGACAGAATCTTGGTGAACAGTAGAGCTCTGAGAGTTTTACTGGGTGTGGTGACTAAGATAGGAAAGAGGATGTTGAGGAGTCCAGTCGAGTCGATGATATCCTTGCGGCGGAGAAGGACGAGGGCGCCAACCACCTTTTCGCGCAACTCGGTTTCAAGCACGGCATGATGTGTCGTCAGGATATTGTTGAGATCATCTGGGAAGCTGGCCGTATCTTCGGCGTAGCAATCGGCGACGTGTGACACGAAATCGATCAGGTCACGGAAGGAAACGATTCCTGCTGATGTGGCTGTCGTTGGTGATGCCATGTAAATGTCTCGCTGAGTTTGATATTGACCATATTGATTGAGGAAATCTTCTTGATATGATCTTGAGCATGTTAGTTTACTGGTATTGCGCGCTGACGGCGAGGCTGGTTCATGGGCACGTACTTGGGGTCTCTGCGGATCTTGTATTGTAAACTCGGGCTATAAATGGTCAGTTATGCTAGTTAAAAAATAATAACATATCTGTGAGGACATACAGATCAGCGTCGACCTTTTCCAAGGCGCCAACTCTCTTTTTAACCATAATGAGGGTTGTGGGAACGGAAATCCGTTCGATTGATTCTGGGTATTTGCTATCAGTTGGACTTTAACATTTCTCCAGAATATTTCTGCTATCGATTATGCTTGTCACTAGCGCAGTCTTATCTGGGCTAGCGCGTAACCTATTTTCCAGCCTTGTCAGCCTCGCCGATTTCCCCGCCGTCAAATTTCAGCCTCGTCAATATAACAAATCGATTGCGACGAGGAGATACCAAGCAACTTGCGACGTAAATAATAGGAGCTGTCACTGTGAAGACTAATCTGCGAGGATTTGTGTAGTGTACCTTCTGTCGGTTTAATTCTATAGGAATCTGTCTATAATAAGCCGAGTTTAAGTTTACCTCCCACCGAAGCCTTGGGTATCACACAACGCCATCAACTTGAATCCTAGTGTACACGAGACGTCCGCTGGATCCTCTTGACCTCTATAATGCATGGATCACCGTAGTTCCATTTCCTCCATCCAATCGGGTTCTGTTAGAGCGGCAGTACTATCAAGTAAGGGTTTTGCCGCGGCTCCCTTCTTCTCCCTTGCTCCCCATTCCTCCAAGCCAGCCAAGCTTCTACCTGTCTTTTCGTCACGAGCGTATATCCTTAATCCCCTAACGTGTGTATCTTTGCCATTCTGGTGATTTTCCACAACTTTGACTTGGACGAGGAACGCTCTCAGCGTGTTCCCATCAGGACCACCACCAACGCCATCCAGAGGCACGTTGATCCAGCCTTTAGGTTGTGTAAACTCCAGTGATGAGAACGGTATCAGGTCATGGTATCCAGTGCCAGCGAGTAATGTAATTCGCGTTGGGGTGTAAGACTCGTCGGCTTCGAAGTCGAGGAAGATGCGTATAGACAATATCGACACCAGGCGGGAAAAGTGAATGTTGAGATGATGGGGTTGTGGACCGTCAGATCTACCCAAGTCAATTAGCAGTTGTTTATTAGACAGAATAGATGCGTACATACTGCCAGTATAGAGATGTGTCGTCGTCTCGCAAGGCTTCCACGCCCGACCCTGGTTTGCACGTCGACACCGTCCACGAGGCCAAGTTGCCAATCTCTTTCAGGCCCGTTGGGTCAAACACGGAATCTACTTCCACCGGCACTGTGAAGAAGCAAGTCGTCAGTATTCGAGTTTTGAGTTAACGGTGTACGAGCATACGAACTGCCATTATGCATAGCGACAGGAGGAACATCAACCGCCATTTCTCCGTCATCATCCTCCGCCCGGCTATCCACGCTTTCCACGCCATCTTCCTCCTCCTCCTCTTCTACAGATTCCTCGTCTCCCTCCTCACTCCCATTATCCTGGTCTTCAACGCCTTCGCTATCTTCATTCGCTTGCTCGTCTTCTTCGTTCGCGGCTGGATTCACGCTGGGCGAGTCCTGATGTCGCGTCCGAGGATCCTGCCCCGGCGTCCTCGTCCCTGTCGACGGCGTGACATTGGATAGCCGTGTTCCGCGCGTAGCTGGGTGCCTGGTATTATACGCCTGGAGTGAAGACGGCGGTGTTGCAGGCATCGTGGGAGAGGTCGGCGCTGTGTCTAGCGCGTCCCGCCGTCTTAGAGGGGAGAAAGGTTGAAGAAGGCGCGAGGTTTCAGGATCTGGCCGTGTCAGTGGATACACACACAGGCACGCTCGGAGTATTAGCTAGAGTAGCGGCCGGAATCTTGAGCCCGGCGTTGTGGGTGGGCGGTGCACCAAGCCTCGTGGTTAGTGATTATACCAGTGTTGTACCTGTATAAATGTTTGGTAGGTACGGCCTCCACCTATCCCATGACGTCGGGGAGTCGGAGAGACAGTGTGGGGTAAATTCCGCTACCATCAGCCTCTTCGATTATTCTGTCTAAGCCTCACTGACCACGCGCTTGGGGCGCATGGTTACTGGTTATTTGCATTTCATCCTGGTCTAGATTCACTATAGGTAGTGACAAATACTATCTGACTTTCCATTCTCCATAGTCGAATTAATTTATATAACTTCACTCTACTGACCACTGACCACGGCATAATCATATTCCCATCGTTAGGACTCAGTCACCAGCGCATCAATATCACAAGATGGCAGCCGTTGTTCTCATGGCAATCGTTGTATTGCCAGTGATGGGCTACCAAAAATATCGGAAGTATGGCCCACGTTGAGTTTGGCATCTCAGCGATGCAACAGGTACTAACCATCTCTACCAGGCACAAAGCTCGCAAGGCCCTGAAGAAGGAGTTGGACGCGCAGCCCGAACCGCTCCAAGGGGGACATCAAGCAGCATGGGAACAGTCTGGAGATCACCCGCCTTCATATGATGATACAGTCGGCTCTCATCCATCTCCGCCATATTCATCGAATAAACCCCCGGGGTATGTCCAGCGGACTTCCGGCAATCGCGGCCTGCCGGTTGGGCATCTCCCTGGTTCATATTTATCCCCGACTGCTGTAGCTTTATAGCGGGATAATCTCTCGCATGAGAAGGACGAAATGGTCTTGGTTGGGGGAGTTAATGAATGAATTATGATGCTGGCTAGTAAATTAAGCTGGCACCCTGTTGTACGATCATCCAGCTGGGCAAAACCAAAACCACTTAAATTTCCTTTGGACCTGCCTAGTCAATGGCTTTTATGAAATTAGTATTATCTGGACATATATCCAATAAAAATAACGCTTATATCTCTTCTATTTATCACATCAATAAAGTTGTGCGAGAAAGTGAGGGAATCATTTACATTTCCCCATCACCGCCCAACTCAGCTCATGTTTGCTCTGTTTGCTCCAAACCACCCCCAAGAAAGTCACCTCGAGCAACCCCCCCAGCTCTACCCCTCTAAGCTACCAGCCCACCACAACCCTCAAAATGATGCAGAGACGCATGGTACATACCTTCCCCTCTACCGCCCCGTCAATAACATACTTACTAACACACACCCAGCTCTCCAAGGAAGACGAGGCGGCAACGGGGGCCGACGAGATCGAAGTCCGCCGCGAGGACCAGGACAAGATCAACAAGTTCAGCAGGCTGCATCAGCGGGAATTGAATCTGGAGGATGAGTTGAAGGCGAAACATGTATGTGCGATTCTGTGGATAGCTGGGTGGGAGTGGAGGAGGTGCTAATATGGGTTGTGCTACAGAAGGAGAAGGAGGATTTGGAGGATATCTCGAATGAGCTTGAGCTTGCGGACGAGGAGGACATGATACCGTACGTTATTGCCTCTTTCCTTCGCCCGAATTCGGACCCTACTTGCCGCCCTACATATCCCCATATGATATCGAACCGGACTAACGTGCCCAATAGCTACCAAATCGGCGATTCCTTCATTTCCCTGCCCCTGCCCGAGGTGCAGGAGCTCCTCACCACCAACTCAGCGAGAATCGAAGAGGAGGTTTCGGTATTAGAAGAGAAGCTGGGGACGATCAAGGAGGGGATGCAGGAGCTGAAGGTGGAGCTGTATGCGAGGTTTGGGAGGAGCATCAACCTTGAGACATAGAGGAGGGTGGAAGAAGATAAAATATATATCCATGTTGAACATACGCGGTTCTTGTGGGGAGTGATGCAGTCACTATTATGCTACCTGCAGTATTCCTTGAGTGATAGCGCCTTACAACGGCGTTGGAATGATGATTCATAAAGTGTGTCCCTGATATTATAGAAAACACAACACCCCAATACCCTCGAGGCTAATTAACATAACTTTCATAACTACAATAAGCCATTACCCCCTATCATAACCCTCACGCCCAATCCGGACGATATTCTTTAACGGGTGGTAGCTCTTTGTCGAGGTAGACCTTACTAAAACGCTCCGATTTTTGTACCTTATGACCTCTGTCAAATTGTCGAGTAGCCTTCGCCTCATCCTTAGGAGACTTAGGAGACTGGATTGTGCCAGGTTCCATCCCACGCAATGCAATAGCCTCCGTGGAAGCCCCGTTCCTGGAGGTGTCGGCTAGGTTTGACTGATTGCTAGGACTCCTTCCATGGAACGGGTTGGTAACCGGTATTTTAGAAGCGCTGTGTGATTTTGAGTGTCCAACGAGTCGCTTGAATAATACTCTCATAGGTGGTATGGCACTGCAGATAACAAGAAGGTTGGTCTCAACGTATGTCCAGGCCCAGAGGTCATGACTCAGCCCTGGCTCGAAGTCAGCATCTGTATTAAAAAAAGGAGGGCTGAAAAAGAGATTTCTCGTAGGGAATAGATGCTTACAGGTCACATCGAACGACTGATAAAAGATATGGTACACGAGAACCGATCTTATAATACCACAAATGCAAACACTAGTAGGTCAGCCGCGTTCCAACAGAAGGAGATAACAAGGTGGGTAGCAACTAACATGAATCCAACGCCGAAGATTGCCCCAAGACCGTATTTGTCTCTTTTAGGCATCTGTAGTTGTAGGAACAGAAACATTGGCAGCATAGCTGCAAAAAAGTCCGTCACCACGCTTATACATGCGTTACTGAATGGCACTGAACCCTCATATAGACAGGAGAATTTCTCTGTGTATGGATCCGGATATGAGAATTGCAGCCAGTATGAGCTTATCGGTCGACACTGGAGAATCATCAGAAGGACGAAGGTGACCCCATACAGGGTTTGGGCGGCGATGGCGGCATTAATGATATATAGGAAGGCCGGCCTTGAGACTCCCGCGATCACTCGTTTGTATAAAAGCACGGCTGAAAGCTTGCTGAAAGTGGTGGAAATAACAAAGCTAGGCAAGAATCAGATTCATATACTATTTCAAGCGTGGGTAGGTAACATTGAAAGTAAATATTAGCCACATACAGAACCTGAACAATCCAACTATGCTACATCAACAACCTCGTCAATATAGCGCGAAAAGGAGTGTACTGTGCTTCACTAACATATTGTCTCCCACTTATCTCGTCGAGTGGCACATCCCAGATGTGTCTAAACCAACGGAATTTGGTCTCAGCTATATTCCCATTAGTAACCAAATCTCGGAGCAATTGTTTCTTTGGGGGCCTTGCTGAGTATTAAAAGCGCAGCAATTCCAACTGTAGGAATCTAGCAAAACGTAAATTAGTATCCAGAGACTCTCTATGCTCCAGATCAGCGATCCAAAGAGTGATAGGAAATGCGCCTACTATGCATAGGACCAGCATAATATCGTCGGCCCCGAATTGTCTTTGATACCCTACCCGCACCCATACTCGAGCAAGAACGGAGGCTATCGCCAAAATGGTGGATATTATAGTAACAACAAGTAATTGATTGCCTTTGGTTTCAGGATCGATATAATTCGGCTTCGGCCATGACAGAAAGACCTCCTTCGTCGGATGGAAGCCGCCAGGCATATTGAAAGGGAATCGCAGTGGGAAAAAAAGGTAAACAATACACGCACATGATACCGACCGAGAGGCATATCAGACAAGGGCCAGACTTGCAGTAATATACAACCTGACAGCGGACCCATCTCCGTGCATTGCGGAAAGGGAGGCAAACCTTTCCCTTCTTGTCGATACCTGCATGCGGGGTGCATTATTCTGGGGTGCATTGACCCCCGTTTCATGACCTCCAAGAGGATCACTCACTCTTACGGATTACGGACGTAAGAAAATCAACCAATGTAGCGTCCGAGAAGGTGGTCTAGCTCGTTGTGGCGTGTGTGGTACCAGCAGCCGATGGCAGGACGGGACGGCAAGGAAGGATATGTGCAACAATACGCGCAACAATAGACAGGGCCGTGCAGGAACGCGGTTTCTCCACGTGGAACAAGGGGGTTAGAGCATGGCAAGAAGTTCTTCATGCGATTTGACATGGAACAAGGGATTTGGAATAGTCCGATGGTTTCTGGGGAAATATCTTGCCGTGTTTGTCTACTGCGTCAAGGTAGCTTGGTGAGAAGGGCCTTTTGGGGTTTTAAGAGCAGTATGCCGCGGAGAAAGTAAGGGGGTACGTTGACGACATAGGGGATAATGGGACGGGTTGAAAGACATGGATGTGGAATTGTGGTACAGAATCAGGCACCGGCACACCCACCCGTACTCGAGTAGTTTTAGTCACAGAGATATGAGAAAGGAAAGGCGGCAGAAGAATGCCGAGGCCCACCCTTAGAATTACAACAACAACAACAACAAATACCGTACCTTATAGACTATCGAAATGGCGCCGACACGGGCGATCTTCTGCCCTACCTTACCATTCGCTTCGCTGTGGCTTTATCTCCGGCGGTCTCGATGTGCGCCATGGACAAAGGAAGGCCACGCCACTAGGAGATGCGGGAGCGGGGTAAGTAGTAGTCTGACATCTGTTCTGGGAAGCTGCGGAGAACGTGCTGCTTCCCCGAGGCCGGCATAAAATGCACTAGATTGTCATGGATGCTCTTATCTTTGTGCACACAAGCGTGAAACGAACCAAATTGACGGCAGTAGTAGCTTCCGAGCTCTGTACAAAATATCCATCTAAACGTCCTTATAAATCCCAAGCCTCACAACTATGGCTTTCTTGCTCCCTGCTACACGCCGCCCTGCCAAACTCCCTGTGATATCTACCCAAACAACACAGCTAAACTCGCAATACCAGCTGGCACAGTCTGAATAAAGAAGATCTTCGGCTTCGCAGTCAAGCCCCCATAAATCCCAGCAACTCCGACCAGTCCCAAGAAGAAGAGTTCAATCTGCTCCGCGAATTCCGGTACGGGATGCACTAATCCCCAGATAAGTCCGGCGGCCAGGAAGCCGTTGTAAAGACCCTGGTTGGCGGCGAGGGTTTTCGTTTTTTCGGCGAAGTCGGGCTTGAGGCCGAAGGCTTTGAGACCGCGGGGTGTGGTCCAGAGGAACATCTCGAGGACGAGGATGTAGACGTGGAGTAGGGCCACAAAGGCTACTGGGATGGAGGATAGTAATGACATTGTGTGCCTGTGGTGGTGGTAGTGAAGATGTTTGAGGACAAGTAGTTTTGGGGGGTTTAATTCGCAAATCGTTGGAATTGCGGGATATTTAAGTCTAGAATCCTTCTATCACACTCTAGATTAAATTCGGAACGACCGAGGCTTATGTCACGTGTTAGTGTTCGTGTTTATGCTATAAAACGAATGTAGTAAGTAATCGTGTGTCATGGTATACATTTACTACTTCTAACATGCCCAGGCAGCTGTGTCGTGGCATGGGGATTATTTACTACTTCTATAACTCATCCTTATATGTTCCCTTCTTCTCCTTCGCCTCCTTCTCCTCCTTAATCCTGACAGCCTCCAAAATCTCCTCCTCAGTCGGCATATCAAACTCCTTAGCCTCACCAGTTCCCTCCGCTGCCTCAGTAGACGTAGACTTTGTCTTCTTCGACTTCTTCGTCTTCGAAGTCTTGGGCTTCTTGGTTTTCGAGGTCTTGCTGGACGAAACCTTGGGTAGCTCAGGACCCTTCATGCCCTTCATGACCATCTCCATTCCTGCTTGGCTGATCTCGTTCGCCTTCTTGGCCATCTCCTTCACGAGTAGAACTGGGTCGTCAGTAACCTTAAGGGCCTCCTGTTCAGCAAGCTTCTTTGTGAACCAATCCGATGTCGCCTTGTGAAGAGACTCCAACACATCGAGATCCTCCTGGGTGAACGATGTAGGTGGCAAGGTTGGCAATGGGGCCTCGGAAGATTCGGTTGTAGTCTCAGCTTCGGCCGTAGTGTTATCTTCCTCAGTTCCATCAGTCTCAGTCGATGGCTCAGCTGTAGTCGATGATTCGGTTGAGGTCTCGGAAGGAGTAGGTCTTAATGCTACCGACGACAAGAAGTCGGCCTGCTCGACAATCTTCTCCTTCACCAACTTGATCACTGACTCAGCGCTATCCAAAGACTCCTTAAGATTCTTGATCTGTTCTGGGCGTTTCGCCGCTTCGTCCTTCCGACGCTCAATTGGGTTGACGATTGCCTTCATTTCGCCGAGTTTGGCCTTCAGAACCTCACGGGTAGCTCCTGTGCCTTCTTCATACAGCCAGTCGCCGATAGCCTCAGCGAGGTCGGCCAGAGGCTTGCGCTCAGCTTCAGTCGATGCTCCAATGAAAGCATCGTCGGTCAATAGGTCACGAACGCGATAAGTGTAGCCCTCCAGTTGGTTGAGCGCCTCTTCCTGCTGCTTCCGAACGTGGTCCGAATCATCGAAAGCAACAAGTCTCTCCTTCTTGTTGAACAGGACCTCCGCAGGTAGTGCAGGGTATCCCTTCTTCACGAGCTCGAAGTCCAAAGGAATTGCAACTAGGCGCTTCTTAGGCTTGGCATCAGCGGCGGCCGAAGAAGCGGCTGCACCTGAAGATGTCGATGATTTCTTAGCAGTAGAGGTCGTGGTGGAGCTCTCGGTGGACGTCTCGGCATCTGACACGATTTCAGCGTCTTCGAAGATATCCTGATCGCTCTTCTTGGCACCAAAGCCGAATAGGCCCTTAACACCATCAACAACGCCTCCTGCATTCGGGTCTTCATCAACCTCACACTGTGCGGTGGCTCCGGTAATTTCAACTTCGCCGTTAAGGACATTCAGGCGAACGCCAAACTTGGTAACGATGTCGGTAGCTTCACACCCGCGGTTGTCCTTCAGCTCTGCAACAGTTGCCGTGAGGTTCTTGGTAGCTAGCTTAACGAGCTCTCTCTCTCCCGAGAATGTACCTTCTCCGGCATTATCGATATGCTGATAGAAATGAACATCGAAATCTTCCAAGTTCTGGAAAGAGACTACTTTCTCAGCGCCAAGGTGCGACTGGGGAGTGTACAGGCGCTGCTTTTGGAGCTTGAGGTTGATGTTCGTCCACTGCATGCTGACAGCGTATCCTGCAGCTTCGTATGTTCTGATGTCCTTGACACGGAAACTGGGGCTAAGTCCAGCGCCCCTGAATGCGGCACCGAGAACGGCAGATTCATCTGAATTGACATTGCTTCTCAGCTTGTCGGACTTGCCAACCAAAAGCTCCAATTCCTTCTGGACAAAGGGAGTGCGAGTAGCACCGCCGTGCAGAATGATAGAATCAATATCGGACAACTCGAGCTTGGCCCTTTCCAGAGCCATCTTAATCGTAGGTGCTACTCTATCAGCATGGCTGGAGGCAAGCTTCTCAAAATCGGTACGTGTCAGTTTGTATTTGAAGTCAATATCGTCATAAAGTCCCTCGAAGCCTGTTTGGCTCTCTGCGTTTGCGCTTAGAACTTGTCTCAACTTCTCAGCTTGCTTCCATAACATCGCAGTGGCGCGGCCTTGGCGGTGTACAGACTCGGCCGAGATCGATGCGGCCTTTGCCTTCTTCGACTCAACAAATTGGGCCACAATGTCATCCACGATTATGGCGTTAAGGGCGTCACCACCAAGGGTCCTATCCCATCCAGCCCCAACAACTTGAACCTCCTGAATGGTTTTGTTGGATTTCCTCCCGTCCTTGATTGTTCGGCCCTGGAACTTGATAATTGTAGCTTTGGTCGACCCGGCTCCCATGTCAAATATCAGATGGTGTTCCGGTTGCGCGCCGTCTGTGATGCTTGGGAATGTGCGAGATGTTGCGTAGTTGAGTCCAACAGCAAGGCCATCGCTGATGAGTGATAATATCCGCAGGCCTGCCAGATCTGCGGCAAGCTCAATGGCCCTCTTCTCTTCCGTATCGAAATACGTTGGGACCGTAATAACTACATCCCTGATCGAGCTACCCTTGCCTGCCATCTCCTCGGCGTTCCTCTTTATGCTTTGAAATTCCATTGCCAATAGCTCTTCGACCATCCAAGGATCCTGCTTGGTTGTAAAGGCCTCGCTGCGGAATTCGCAGGTCCCTCTGGTCTTCTCTTCTTCGATAACCAGGGCTGGGTAGCGTGCAGAGTACTCGGCGACTCTGGGGTCGCTGACCGGCAGACCGAGAATGGCTTTGAGGTTTGGGTAGACGTCACCAGGAAATCTAGCCGACAATGCGTTCGCATCTGATCCGTACAGTCGCTCGGGGTAGGAGCCTTCCGGCGCATTTTTGATAGGCTTGAAGGTGACCGCGGAGAGCTCCTTGCGTCGTGCGTCTTTCGTTAACACGATGTCGAGAGGAATGCCGGGCTTAACCAGCGCAGCCTTGATGTACTCAGTGCCGAAGTCGATGCCAACGACCGCATTTGCGGCCAATGCGGTAGAGGCAAAAATCCAAAACAGACATAATATCGCAGAGAGATTTGAAAAGGCCATGCCGGAAGACCGCCGCGAGGCTAACGCCATGATTGTTGGAGGGGTGTTGGCAAACTGGTGGGTGAGTGAAGCTGCCGTGGCAATGACGGGGCGGTGTATATGTAGGTTTTTGCCAGCTATGACATGTGGTCTTTCGACAACTGGCTTCTAGCAGTTTTATTTGGTGTTTAATAGTAGACTAGCTCAAGGGATATGTATCCTCGTTGAGGAAATAAAGTTTATAAAGAGGACACTTTGTCACTTTGTCACCTTTGGGGTTGGCATTTGGTAAATTTATGTAAGCGACGCAGCGGTAGCCTTGCATTGATCGGCCGCATGTGGGAATTATGTATCACGCCTTTTGTGTTTGTTTGAGACATCAAATTGAACAAATATCAAAATGTAGTTCTCAATATACTCATATGTTATAAAAGCTCCATCAGTTACTAACCGCAACAGTCAGTATCTGGACAGCTTTGGTTGAACATACGGTTTATAAGTACACGTATTCATACACAACCAGCCCCGCCACCCTCAGCGCGTAGCTAGTAAGGCGGTTATTTCTCGGCGAGTCTCATATAAAACGCTCTACGGGGTATGCACTTTCTACATGCCCAGCCTGAGCTAGCCGCCGCCTTCATGATTAATAAAGAACACGTGTGGCGTATTCATGTTTGCTTGTCCTCAGTTTCATCGATGTTTTGATAAATGGGAAGGCTGAAAGGTATGATGGCCAGGTACACCGCTACACAGTTAAGCGCTTCTCACCGCCATCTCCGTTTGGTGTCCCAGGAAGCCCATGTGGTGGCAGAAAATATATATAACTCAACTAGTGAGTGGGGCAAACAAGGCTGATCGTATTTCCCGTGAATGCGCCCTGTTACTGTACTAACTTTATCATGTTCATTCTCACCTTCTTCTTTCCTTATCGTCCTTGAAGTAGTCGGATTCTCTTTCTTGTTATTTATTGTATATACTGTTACCGTCCCCGACTGTCATTTACTTGGACCTTCACCTAGAACTATTAATTTTGGGTGATTGGACTTTCAGCCATCGGCATAGAGTCTCTCTGCCCCTCGATAGATAGAGACCCTAGGACACACCCATTCCCATATACCCTCATATATTGGCAGATAGCTCTCAGAATGTCGTCGTCAGATATCCAAATCACGCTCCAGCGGCCATTAAACCTGGACAAGTACGACCGAAGCGTGCCAGCAGCTGACCAAGCACACAACATTCCCAAGTCCTTCCTCGACTGCATGGCAGTGAGAGAAGAGGTATTCGTCAAGGGCCAAAATATCCCTCTTCTTCTGGAAGGCGATTCTGACGATTGTCGATCCTATCACTGGGTTGCGTATGCATTAGGTGAGGACGGCACTCGCTTTCCAGTCGGCAATCTTCGCCTGGTTCCGTTCCCACACGAGGCCCATCCGCTACCTGGATCATCCTTCGACCTGCCAGAAAATGTTACCGGAAACGAGCTGATAGCGGAGCCGAGACCTTGGATTGTGGACAGAGCAACGACTTTCCATGATGGAAGGGAAGCTTACGTCAAGCTTGGACGGATGGCTGTGATGGAGGAGTATAGAGGAAAGGGCATCGCTGGTCAGCTTGTTAGGTCTGCCATTGCCTGGACCAAGGAGAACCCAACAGCCTTTGATGTATCTGGGGCGATAGATGAATCAGGCGCTGAATTGCCAGGAGCGATGACGGCATGGAATGGCTTGATCTGTATTCACGCACAGGAGTATGTTGCGAAAACATGGGCGAGGTGGGGGTTCAAGGAGGACGAGAAGATGGGAAGGTGGACGGAAGCTGGGATTCCCCATGTTGGCATGTTCATGCGTGTCGATATACCATCGGCGCCATAAGAATTATCACACATGGGAAGCGTGCGACGTCCCGCCATAAAAATAGATATAGAAGGTGACATCAGGATGAGAAGGTGACATCAGGATGACTAAAGACATTTAATGAAATGGCATTGCTTCTTTTTGTCCATAAACAAATCGTGTACATTTTAATGCTTTCAAAAGTTGAGCAGCGGAAGGTTTCTGGTGCTCGGTTGCCTGGCTGGTTGCCTGGATGCGATACAATCTGAGCCTGGGCGTGCAAATATAAACCCCCCCCAACTTCTATCACGGCATGTATCCAGGATAGAAAACACACACTCTTTCTCTCGGAATAAAGTCTGTGGTCATGAAACTCATGGTTTACGTGCCGGTCCAGAGATGAGTTCGTCCTTTTCTGAATTTTGTCTGAGATCGTTGGCTTGGGCCAGCCGAGAAATCTTTCAAAACTTACTGTCTGTATTGATCTGTATTGATAGAGTAGCGCTAAATTTATGACAATGGTAGAACAAGTCCCAGATAATGCAATTAGCGCTCAGCCATATACCATTCACAGGCTATTGTTGGCACAAGCCGAACGTTCCTCTGCCGTCAGACACTTTATCACATCAAAAATAAGAAACATTCTTTGATATTACTCCAAAACAGACTCACCCCGTTTCAACGGCTCACTCAGATTCTCATTACATGCAGGACAAATCTTTGTTTCGAACTGCCTGACCCCGTTTATTCACTTCCAAGAAACAGTTCTCACCACGATACAATCAAAATTCCAAGCTCCGCCAAATTCTCATTACCTGCAGGACAAATCTTTGTTTCGAACTCCCTGACCCCGTTTATTCACTCCCAAGAAACAGTGTCACCACAATCAAAGATTCCATCCGTCCAACTCGCAGCTATGTCTCGGGTTGACCTCCTCACATACACCCTCCACGCCGCTATGGCCTTCAACATGCTCTCTCTTGCAGCCACCATCCTTGGGGACGCCTACGGCTGGCACGTAACTTTCTTCATCGTCGTCTTGTTTGGCAGCATCTGCATCACCTCGGTTTCATCCATCCACGCGCTAGGTCAGGTTGCCGCATGTGTTGCAACTCTTTTCATATGGTACCAAGTTTTATATCGTCTGCGCGCCTACCTCACTCCGCCTCCTTCTCGCCAGCAACGCCGCATCTACCTCCTCCGACCCTCTCCGCCTCCACCCCAAAAGATGTCGACGCCATACTACCAGCTGCAACAACCTCTTCTTTGCCATCACCGCACATGTTGGGCCGCCGCCTCTGCCTTTTCGACCCGCGAGAAAAAAGGCCCCGATGGCCTCACTCCATTTATGCGCGAACAGTGGGCGCTCGCAGCCCCCGGAACACCGAGGCCGGATATGGAGGAAATCCTGTCCACACTCACTGTTACGCCCGCCCACCATCTCGAGCGTTTTATCAGCTGGATCAAGGAGAGCTGGGAGAGTCTGCCTCGAAACGCGGTGCTAGTTGTCTCTGCGGTGGCTCTTGTCCTGGTCGTCAGGCCTGCGATCTCCGTCTGCAAATTCCTAAGTCATGTCGACTGGACGAGGCTGTATGTGGTCATCGGGATGCTGGTCTTGGTGTGGCTTTGCGGCGGTGGGACGGCGGAGAGGGCTCCGGCGCCGAGGTACGAAACTGTAGTATCTTACTACCTCGTTCCGGAGGTGAGAGGATGGTGTAAGTTTTCATTCCTATAGAGATTATTGTGGACGGATATTAACGGTGTGTAGCCCGTCAATAGCAGGCTGGCCTGCTACGTTCGCCGGAAATGAAGCTCGGCCGTGTCTCTGTGGTCGCTCTGCTCTGTGGTCTCTCTGCCCTATGGTTATGAATGAAATGGAATGTCGAGGAGAGAAAGGCGGACTTTTTCTTTTCTTTTTTCGTTCTGCATATGTTCGCGTGCATCTAATCGAAGAGGGGGTCACAGGGCTTTGAAGTTATATAGATGCCCTAGGTGGCCAGTTAGTTTAAATCATCAAATTTGCAGGGTTGAACATAAGATCGATGCATGGAAGTTGTTAGCCTGAGATATCACACAAATACAAGGAGGTTTGCACGCATCAAGATAATATGAGATGGAAAAATTAATCGTATGTGTACACGTATACCGAAGTAAACTCTAGGAATCAGTACATGGCAACCCCCGAATGTCTAAACCGCTCAGATGCCCAAAGAAAACTCAACACCGACATCGATGTCGCGTGCTGCTTCATGTTAGCTGTATTTTTGGAAAGGGGGTGGGAGGAGTTGACATACCCATCTTTACAACCTTCGAGAACTGGACAGACTTCTCAGCGGCGCTCTGGAGATCATCGATAGAGAAGATCTTCAGTCCGGACTCGTTGATCAAAGTGTGCGCAGCCTCCATGTTTGTGCCCTGTAACCTGGCAATAATTGGGATGCGGAGGTCCATGCTCTCAACAGTGCTGATGAGGCCCTTGGCAATGGCATCACATCTGACGATACCACCGAAGATGTTGACGAAGATAGCAGAGACCTTGGGGTCGCTGGTGATGAGGGTGAAAGCCTCCTTGATGGCGGCAGGGGTAGCACCACCACCAACGTCGAGGAAGTTGGCTGGCTCACCACCGTTAAGCTTGATGATGTCCATGGTAGCCATGGCAAGACCGGCACCGTTGACAAGGCATCCGATGTCACCGCCAAGCTTGATGAAGTTCAATCCCGACTCAGCAGCACGGACCTCGTCAGCGTCCTCCTGAGTGGTATCGCGCCAGTCGAAGATTTCCTTCTGGCGGAACTCGGCGTTGTCATCAAATCCGAGCTTGGCGTCCATGGCAAGAACCTGGTGGTCGCTGGTCTCAGAAAGGGGGTTGATCTCGATCTGGGTGGCATCATTATCCATGAAGACCTTGTAGAGCTTCTGGATGGTATCCCTCGCCTCCTCGACACACTGCTCGCTGAACCCAAGGTCCACGGCGATCTTGCGTGCGATCTCATCAGTAACACCGGTGTGGATGTCAATGTGTGTGGTGGTGATGGCGTCTGGGGTCTCCTTGGCAACAGTCTCGATATCCATGCCGCCCTGCGACGAGGAAACGATGACTGGGCCTTGCGAGGCTCTGTCCATAAGGATAGCCAGGTAGAACTCACGGCGAGCGAACTTGCGCTCGCAGATGTATACCGAGTTACACATACGGCCCTGTGCACCGGTCTGCTTTGTTACCAGCTTGTGTCCGATCATCTGATCCGCGAACATCCTGGCCTCGGTGGGAGAGTAGATGACGCGGACACCACCCTTCAGGCCGTTGTCAAAGGTGCCCTTTCCACGGCCACCAGCGAGGACTTGTGCCTTGATGACCATGTCGTCGCCGCCAATCTGCTTCGCGATAGCTTCGGCCTCTGCGGCATTTTTGGCGACAGATCCTTGAGGGACACCGATGCCGTACTACGGCCATTAGCATCCATTGATTCAAAGACGCGGTTCAGGGCAATACATACTTTCCTGAGGAGGTCTGCGGAGAGGTATTCATGAATGCTCAGGGCTCTCGTTTGTTGCGAGGCTCCAATTGCTCTGTAAGGAGTCGGGAACTGAAATTTGGGTTAATTCCGTGTAAACACGACAGAATAGGGGCGAGAGTTTCGTACTTTGGCAGCCTTGATGGCCGAGGCCAATGGCCCTCTGCGAGCGATTCTGAACATATTGACAACCGGTATATTCAACGTTGCCAAATTAAGAAATGGAAGGCTTGAAGCATCAATATATTCTTCGTATGTACAGTTTGGGGTACAGCTTCCTGTAACGCTAGCGTTCCCGAATAGCCAGCTACCAATCACCACCCGGGGCAGAACGGGTGCGTTGTCACGTGATGATAGGGAACAATTGACGCCAATCCAATCCCAAAATCGGAAATCTGGGGCTCAAAATATTTACAATTCTCACATTAGCAAAGATGGCGCCCAACGCTCGTGAAAAGCTCCCAGTAGCTGAAAACCTGGAGGCTATCCAGGCGCGCATCGATCTAGCTATTGCGAAGCAAGATGCAATTGTCAAGAGCTGGGTCGACAAGTTCGACACCAGCAAATGTGCCCCATCGAAGACGAAGGAAGAGATCGAGGCCTGGGATGCGGAGCTTTTCAACCCTATGCCCTCCAACTTGGGACTCGGCGCCCCGATCCCTAAGGAATACCTTAATGGCGATATCAACCGAAAAGATATCAACGGCAACAGCAAACTACGAAGCCTCATGATGGGGAAAAAAGCTGGTCTGCAAGCCGCCAAACCCCGCGATGCGGAAGAAAAGGCTAGCAGTATGAAGCGTGGGCTGAAGGAAGATACAAGCGATGAGGAAGAAGGCCGGTCCAATCTTGGGAAGTCAAAGAAGGCCAAACGCGAGGTTGCGAAGGCGGCTGCGCTCAAAATTATAGCGTCCAAAGTTGTAAAGCAGACGAAGCCGCTCCCACTCCAACAGAAGGCTTCAACCTCAAAGGCTGTTGACCAGAGTGACGACGAGGACAGCCGCGCTACATCCCACACACCTAAAGCCGACTCTAAGCCCAAGATCACAAAGCTCACAGAAACGATTTCTTCCACCACATCCATCTCCGAAACTCCAATCATACCAGCTGTAGTCGAGAAGAAGCTTCCGGTGAAAGCAGATACTCCAGCTGCAGCCGCCGTAAACCCTCCGCTGTCCGCCGAGGCCGAGGCGAGAAGAGAGAAGAACCGCATGAAAAAGGCGAAGCAAAAGGAGAGGAAGCGGAAAGAGAGGGAACAAGCACTGACAGGAGCAGGTTCTGCCAAGGATGCTGCTAAAGAAGAATAACTTACTGGCTTGGAGATAGGCTGGGCGGGCTGGGCCAAGCTTTGCCAGACTGGTTGAAGAGATACTAGGCAAGCTGAGTCAAGCTTTGCGAAACTCTTCGGAGATATTCTGGGCGAGCTGAACCAAGCTTTGCCCAACTGCTGGGTGGGAAAGAGCATATGGCTCAGTTCGAGGATTGGACTGTTCCAACGTATCATTACAATTGGAACTTGGATAGGCCTGGCAATCGAGGGGAATGTAAAGAATAGCACATAGCACTTATAGACAAACATCGTTAAAACGTTATCCAGCCAGCAGAATTCTGATTTAAGCTTGCTCACTCAGGAATAAAACAGACAAATCTGCCAATTATATCCCACCCATTGATTGTATACTAACTTCCCAGGCTACACTATCATTCACAATAAATAAAAAAGCCTTATCTCGTGAGTATTTTTTTTCCTCTCATCCAGCTAAATGTGGTTATCAAAATGATTTCGTGTGTATCAACAAAAAAAATGATGCAATCCAGATAATCCAATATCCAAGCCACACACACAAAAAAACGATTTCCAATATGTACCTCCCGGGTAAATGATGCTAGGGCAGGCGGCGATATTGGAGACACCACGCCTACCCAATGTAAACAAAAAAAAATGTATTGACTTTGCGGGGCTGCTCGCGGTTACGCGCAGCGCGGACGGGCAGAAGAAATATTACTGCAGCCTTTTTCTCTTGCGGTCCTCTTCCTCTCGCAGCTCTTCGTCGTGCTCCTCATCACGCTCAGCTGTTTCCGCGGGGTTCAGGATATGCGCCATGCTTCCCCTCCGCGTAGGGGGGCCGGAGTTATCTTTGAAGAGGCCCGACGTCCCGAATCCGGGGCCGCCAAACTTATCTCCCCTCGATGCACCCCACGACCACGCGCCTAGGCTTTCAGGGGCACCACCGCTGTTTCCGAAGGGTGGCGTTGAGGGCCGTGACGCATTGGCGTGGTTTTGGGTGGCTCCTTGTATCGAGTATGAGGAGAAGCTCTCGCGGATGCGCTGATCCTCACTTGGGTCGGCTAGCGGTCGCTTGGGTGAGGATGGCCAGTGGGAGGCTGGCTGCTCGGGGTTGTATTGAGGTTGGTTAGGCCACGTGTGGACTCGAATGTCCGCCGAGGTGTGGCGGCGAGGGAGATCTGTGGGTGGTGTTGTAACCGCAATTAGAGGGTGCGGTGCTTGTGGTGGTGGCGGTGGAGCAACTTGGTAGCGCAACGAGCTTGGCGACGATGCAGTAGTTCCAGCCCCGATAGACCCGAACCTTCGAGGGGCGATAGATAGGTGCGAGGGAACGGGCCTAAACGCACCAGGCCTTGAAGACTGTGCCATTGGCGGTTGGCGCCGTTGGTCGTCCTGCGCTAGTTGACGTGGAGAAATAGGGGCGTTATCAAGGGATAGGTTTGAGAAATACTGTCTGGAACCCGAATATGGCTGTTCCAATGGCTCATCAATGTTCCTCAAGACGTCTGTCTGGCGCTGGATCTCGGATTGCATGTCCATGACTGTGTAGCTGATTAGCAGATGTTATCTCATATGGCAATATTGACTTACTGCTCCTGTGTGCGTTCGCGTCGTTCGGCACGGTGCTTTGTACTATACGAGATATCTCATGGTTTACCTGCAAACGTGACGTTAGCATGTACAACCCCAGCGGTGGGATCGGTCATACCTGAAGTGATCGGGTCAAGGCCTCAACCAAGACTTGATTCCTGGCATACAGTGACTGGGCACTTTCATCGCTTCGGAGTAGTCTCGCATGCATGTCATACATGCCATTCTCTAAATGGGCAAGCCTTGACTCTGTGGTATCCATTGGCGGCTGTATTGGCTCGGCTGGAGTTCCTGGGTGTGAATAAGGCGGTGGCTTGACTGCCGAAGGGTATGAGTCTCGGTGCACCAGAGCATGCCGTGATGCCCGTCTTTTGATTTCTCGAAGGCCAACGAGATCGCCACGCTTGAAATTGCCATTGCCATGTTTAAATTCCCACAATGGTGATTCTGGCGAGCCGGTATGGAAGACATCGCTCACTAATTATCATTAGCTACGAACAACAGTTTTCGTAAGGCATTACCGACCCTTGTGGAATCCGTACATGTTCAATTGCCGGACAAAAGAAGAAATATTGGTATGTTTGAAATATTGCCTGCGGGAGTCAGCATATAAATCGTTTGCCACCGTGGGTAGTTGAAGACGTACGAAAGAACTTTAGAAAAGTCGTTAGATGGGGACATGACGAAGCTCTCGTCGGAATTGGACCACGATATGAGATGTGATATGCTTGGATCCTCCAGCATACTATGTAATCGTTAGTCCCGTTATAAATGCAGCATATGGGTCGTAGAAACGCACTTGTATAGCTTATGGATAAAGGCTGTCTGTTGAACCTTTGGCTGTGGCGCACTTCCCTGGGTTGCTGTCCCTGCGCCAGGGCTTTGCACGCTTCCATTCTGCATCTGCTCTCCCATGGCGCTTGTTGTCTGCTCATGTGCACCGTTTGCGCCACGGTCAGGGCTTGTGCGAGCTGGTGGAGGTCCCATCGTCGGTGCGGTTGGAGATGTTACCACCATAGGGTCGCCAGGTAATTGCGGGGAGCTCTGGGCGGGAGTTTGTATAATCGGCACTGTTCTTTCGGCGGACGAGACCTCTGTGTTGTTCATCGCCGAGCTCTGTTGGGCGCTCTCATCTTGCGAGCTCATTGTTCATACACCTTTCAGAAGTGTGTCAGTATGTCTCGAGTTGGGGATTGGGGGTTTTGCGCCACCACCAGCAAAAGCTGAGGGTGCGTTCTGTTTCAATTTTCGGGGTGTTGGAAGACATACCTCATTGCTCCCGAGCCAGAAGAACGTAAGGCCGTTGGTTGAGAGAAGCAGAAAGCTCCTCTGTGTCGGATTGAAGCTTGAGATGCTGGTTCCCGAACCGTCGACCGGGGGGATCTCAACCTATCTTGCGCCGCTTGAAGCTCAGCCTCGCATATGGTTGGCGCAAAGAGTTGCACTATAGGAAAGCCCCTCCAGCCGTTAAGTGGAGAATGGGATCGGGGGGCGAGGGTAACGGCTTGAAGCGTTCGGCAACGAAGAATTTAATCTTGAGGTTGCGGAAGAAGAGAGAGATTATCACAGACGGGGTTTCTAGTATAGTAGTAGTGATGGTTTGGGGGATAGGATCTGTATAGTACAAAAATACAGAATGCACGGTTGTAGTACAGCAGTACTCGAGTAAGAGGAGTACAATTGAGGAGAAGTCGTTGGTGGGATGGGGATGGGGATGGGAAGTGTGTCCACTGCGGTGGTGGTGCGCACCTTCTCCTCAATTTACTTTTACGCTCCGGTACCGTGGTACATATCACTCTGTGCAACAATGGTGTCTTGGAGCAGTAGTGCGGAAGTATAGGGTACTTTTAAACTTTGGGGCCAAGCGAAGAGAAGGGGGGGGTAAGGGGGAGAAGGGGAGAAGGGGGGAAAACCCCGGGGGATCAATAATATGTTGCAGTTCAGTCTAGTGCTGAAGAAGAAGGAACCGTGCCAGGTCTGACAAGGTCTTATTATTGTCGTACTCTACTACTCTTCTACTTCTCTAACTCTACTTACTCCTTATACTCTATACAATACTGTATAGTAAGTATACTTAACTTGTCGTCTGTATTCTTTTTGCCTCCTTTTTTATCATATCATGTCATGCTATGGTATGCCATTGAATGCTATGCCAATGCAGGTACATGTAGAGAAAAGGAGGCCAATATGTCTCAGAGAAGGAGGGGGGCATATGATATATTTCGACTGATCGTGGCTTGCTGGCCGAGATAATACTCGAAAAGTACAGCTGGAGAATAGGCGGCAGCAGCTTGTCCTCTTGTCTCTCCAGTGCTACTGGCTCTACCGGTCTCTTTCTTCTGGGTTCGTCGTAGGTTGCGCAAGCCTCCGGACTGCAGTGCAGCGCAGGATGGAGATGAAATGTTGGGAAGGCACCGTTCGCACGTTCACAAGTCCACACTACTGTAGCTTACGAGTCATGGAAGCCGAGACCCTTTCCTCCGCAGCTCCCCCCCTCAAGCTCCGGTGTGACACAAGTCTGGAAGAAGCTTCCCTACGTCAATTAGAGTAGGTGTCCCCCTTTTTTTGATCAGCTCCTGCCATGCTATGGTGTTATCGTGTGTGTGCCACAATACCGTGCTGTAGGTATTACTCGAGTTGTAGTGGGTGTCAGTGGTCGAAGTGGTCGCAGTGGTCGTAGCATGGGAGGGGGCCGAACATCATCTGTTGTACGAGTACCACTTCATGTCAGTACAGTACGACCCAGCTATACCCTCAAGTCAGTATGAGTGCCTCCCATCGAATCTATCATATCTTACACACAGACAACATACAGACACAACTTCCAGTACCTTTTAATCCGTAAGTACGAGTAGTACTCTCGGTTTCCCAAGTGCAATTAGACGGCTGATCCAGCAATCGTGTCTTGTTGGCTCACAGAGGCAGTCTGCATTATTGGGTTAAATGACTGATGATGATCTCGGGAGTAGATGATCTATGGGGTCTGGTTTACTTACCTGCATCCCTACGAGATCCCTACCCCTCTGCCTAAAGTGCACAGTGCTCCCGGTTGCATACAGAGCTTTGGGTGCTTTGAATGCAATAACCCCTGATGGCTCCCTGGTGGCTCCCCCGGTGGCTCCCTAGGACTCCCTTGCATCCCCCGCCAGCACCCCCGCCGGCATCATACTTTTGCATGCCCATACCCTATCAGATAGTTAGCACAGTCCTCGTCGTCCTTTTTAGGAGAAACTCTCACAAAAACAAAGGCCACATACGAGTGCAACGATGTCATCATAAGATTATCCCATAATATGTAAGCAGCTCGGAGTTTGGGGCGTTGTACTGCCTCATTGCAAAGTACAGTACACTTAATTCATGCATGAGCTTAGGAGGAGGCTGGTCTGAGTACAAACACCTTTGGAAACATTGGAAACATAGGGTCCACCAACCCAAGGCATCTCAAGTCATGTGACATGACAGCGGCTGGGAGCTGTATTTCATCCAGTTCATATGTAAGTAGGTAGGTATAAGACACACATATAAGACCGCATAGTATGGTAAATTGTTGCCCACAGTAGTTCAGTTAACAGACCTATTTTTCATCCCAAGTTTGTGTAGTCTCATAGTCTCATAATACATAAATTTTCACAGCATAGTTTATGGTAGTTTTCGGATCGCACAGCTACTACAGGTGCCGTTAACGACCAATGTGGTCGGATGCCTGGCTGTGCTGGCTTAGTCGTTCCTGGTGCCTCCATCATCGAACATCGCACCACCTTGGTGGTTACTGTGTATTGAAGCATCTGGCCAATACACGTCTCTCTTCGGTCTCTCTTCACGTAAGACTTCTAGTTATAAGTGTAGGAATTTTGTATATTGCATAAGAAGTCTTCATCAAAAGCTGTATCTGAGCCCAAAAGGAAGGCCTGTCTGCCTGCCAGCCTTCCTGCCTATAGCCGTGCCTTATCGAAGGGCCCATCATCACCAGACATGTGCAGTGAGCTGTACACGTAAGATAGCGTGCTGCTGCCTTGCCTTCTTTACCTTCCTTCATGGCTTCAACCCCAAAGGCCTGACGCGCGAGCTTTACGTCCTAGCATATGAATAAACTCAGAGAGACATCGCCGACACAAATCCCGACCTTTTTGTGACCAAGTCCGTGAGGCCAGGCCTGTAACCAACCTCCAACCCACATGCAGCACTTCTCTTTCATGCCAGGGAAGCTCAGTATCCTTCAGCAACAATGGCAAACCTGGCACAGGTTTTTAATCAGATAACGCGTGAAGATGGGTCTCTAGATGTGCTGAGAAGAAGATCAGAGTAAGTCGATCTCAACAGGGGCTACACTGCTACCCCGCGCCTGTTGTAGTCGTGGGCCTCGACCCTCCAGTTTCCACATAGATATGCAAGATGGCACTGTGTTATTCCTGTCCCTGCATGGAGACAATTTACTGACGGCTACTTAGGTTAGAAGGCTTGCTTCGTGCCTTGCTGCCGGACGAAGTACGCCTCGCAAAGAGTATCCTGTCGGCCACGACCTTCGTTTCTGATATAATCCCGCGTTTCCCCATTGAGATTCTACTTCTTATTTTGAACCAGATTGAGGATCTTGTCGACTTTAAAAACATGCGAATGGTGTCGAAGACATGGCTAAAATTATGGACACTCGAGCCTATCTGTGACAAAATGATGAAGAGACATTTCCGCATGTTTTTCAATGGACCCTATCAACAGCTTTCACACGATGAGAAGTGCTCGGCCTCAGTCACTCTCACGGAGCAGCTTCGGGCCAGGAAAATTGGCCAATACCATGCAATGAAGATCTACAAATACTCAGATCTCGCCAGCTCCGACGAGGAAGCCACAACAAGCATTAGGAACCGTCAATATAGGAATGGCAGAGTTGCTTGGGCCGATGGCCCGGCTGTTAACGTATACTCCTTGCGAACTGGAACCATAAAGGCGTATATCACTCCCGCGCGGGCAGATATCCACAGGTGGATCATGTCTGATGATATCTTGATCATCATGGAAAACGGCAGGTGAGATACTATCCTAGATTCCACATGTATCGGTTCTGCGGAAAGAATACTGTCCTAGATTCTACATGTGTCGGTTCTGCGGAAAGAATACTGTCCTTGCTTCCACATCCGTCCATTCTGCTAAAAGACTAATATCTCACAGCCCCCCAAAGCTACATGCCTATTTTCTCTCCAGAACACACGATGATAGCCCCCGTTGTGTGACATTACCTAGCCCAATCTGGCAAATAGCAGCTCAGTGCCACCCTGACCGTGTTGGCATTGTTACAGATAGCGACGAGATCTTTCTTTGGGATATTTCCAGCAACCGCGTGAAGCAAGTAGACTATACAGTCACTCCAATACCGAAATACAGAGGTCGGCCTGTAGTAAAGATCCTCATACCGCCAGGTGCCCAGGACACGCTCTACGTCTGCACAATGGCCAAGATTAAAAAGGGGCAGGGTGAAGACAATCATTCTGTTATTAAAATGGTGATGCAGAAATATTCCGACGGTAAACTAGTTAAGACCGTACCCATATCGTATCCCCAACAAGGGTTGGAGCGTGCTCCTTACGCCTTGCACGTCTCCATCCGAGAAATCGACGACGACGGCACTTACAATATTTGCCAGCTTCCGCTCGATTTTCCGTCAACCTGGACGGATCTTGGGTGTGACCATCGGTGGCACAAAGAGAAGCGGCCAGGGGACAACCAGAGACAGCTTATCATGCAGATTGCATATAACATCTGTGATGACAAGTTTTCTACGAAGTTTTATCACCTACCTAGCGGGCAGAAGCACTTCGATGACGTTAACTTTACTACCCCAAATAGCACCATCGGCAACGACCGCGTAGCTACTCGCTATCACTTTTGGGCGTCTAATCTCTATTTACCACTTATCGGAATAAAGAATTCTACCGCGTTATCTCAAGATTCTCCGTCAAGAATCCCTATCCAACACGCTCTTCTCGTGGCCATCAAATCTTGCGACCAGATACGAGGAACTCCACCAGACATCAACTTCTTTGGAGGTTATGGACCTAAGAGTTCTCGAAAGAAGCTTTGGACGTCGAAAGGGAGGTATTCGAACTTCGACCTTGGGGTTTCACATTGCCTCGTCGGTCCTATTGAACTCGCTCAGAAGCCAATGATACCGGACAGACTAAGAGTCATGCCTGATGACCGATCTAAGGAGGTGACTGGAGATGGATCATTTCTTATACTCTTCGGTGACTACGATTTCGTCGTGTGGACCTTCAACAAAAGTATTACTCCTCCAGATTTCGATTAACATGCCAGGAACCTGATCGTACTCGTGCAGCCCAAGAATCCGGATATAAACTATTGCCCACTATAAAAGCAGCTATACAGAGTAATAGTGAGTGCCCAGATCCACGGCGGCGACCATGCCCCCAAGCAAGGCTTCCTGGTATGTTTAGTCTGTGGTTATCATCCTAACGGTCTTTACAGGAGCGCAATACACACAAAGTAAAACAGGAGATGGGGATGAAAAACTACTCGCAGATTGCTAGAGTTTGCCCCTAACCTTTTTCTCACACTGCTGGACCGCACGATTGTGCTGGCGGTATGCGATGACGTCTCGGATGAAACTGGTGTTTCTATGAATGCAGGCCGGATTTTCTTGCAGGTAACGTGTCGAAGACTTGAAGGTTTATCCTATCAGGGTCATACTATCGTGCTAGGTGGAGCTTTGTGTGGTATATGGTGCAATACCATGGAAAGGGGGTTAGTATTCAAGCGCCGATATGAGGTTATGAATTTATGGGATTACTTGTGGGCTTAAAACAAGGAAACAATATGAATTTTATGTTTAGGATGCAACCGTTTGAGCCAAGTGAAGGACATACGGAGAAATAAGATCTTGTATGAATAGTCTCCTACTCGTCTACCAGATTCCCATTAGTCATTCAACAATGTATGCTTCTATTAGTGGTGAAAGTGTCGTTCGAGGAGTCAAAATGTATGGCGGACCTCGGCCGTGAGCTATCCCGCCATCCCGCCCCGCATCCACCGGAGCACATCTTATCTCCACTGTCGGTGCGTCGGGTTAATGTATCTTCCACGGCATTTGTCAGGTTGGGGGTCATGGTAAATATATTCCATGGCGTTTGTAACCCCGCACCTCGCGGAATTAAGTCGTCATTAAGGCCATTCTTCCAAAGTTTGCCCTTTATTTACTCTTCAGTTTTGTTGACAAGTTTCTACTCATATTTCCAATCTATTCTATAATATATCAATCATCATGACACGCGTACTTCTCACAGGTGAGCTGATAACACATCTATCATAAGTGGCATCGGCACCGGCTAACCCCACCAAGGCGGCAGCGGCTTTATCGCTGCCCACGTTCTGGAGTCTCTCCTTACCCGGGGGCACTCTGTGGTGACAACTGTTCGCTCCCAAGAGAAGGCCGACAAGATTAAGCAGGCATACCCAGATCTCGGCAAGGATAAGCTCGACTTTGCCATCGTCGAGGACATTGCCCAGGAAGGTGCATTCGACAAGGCTGTGATCTCCGACCCGCCGTTTGAGAGTGTCATCCACACTGCGTCTCCAGTAAGTTGCACGCCCAGTGCCATTTTCTCCACGTGCTCAATATTCCATAGTTCCACTTCAACATCACAGACACCAAGAAGGACCTCCTTGACCCCGCCATCAATGGAACAACAGGTGCGTTCAGAATCCCCTCTCATTACCATGCGTAGAAGCACTAAACCCCGCCCATAGGCATCCTGAAGGCCATCAAGAAGAGTGCCCCGTCAGTCAAGCATGTGGTTATCACGTCATCCTTCGCTGCCATTCTCAACGGAGCCAAGCTTCCTAACTGGCCCGAACACACCTATACCGAGGAGGACTGGAACCCGATCACAGAAGAGCAAGCCCTTATCAACCCAGCAGAGGGTTACCGAGGTATTACATTCTACCAGTTTTCTAGAAGTCAACAAAACTAATAGTTTCACAGCCAGCAAGACCTTCGCAGAGAGGGCAGCATGGGACTTCGTCCGTGACGAGAAGCCCAACTTCACAATCAGCACCGTCAACCCCCCCATGGTCTTCGGGCCAGTCGTCCACTACCTCAACACCCTGGACTCGCTGAACACATCCAACCAGCGCATCCGTGACTTCGCCCAGGGCAAGGCCAAGAACGGTCTGCCAAACTCCGGCGTCTACCTGTGGATCGACGTCCGCGACCTGGCTCTCGTCCACGTGAGGCAGATTGAGGTCCCAGAGGCACAGGGCAAGCGTTTCTTCGCTACCGCTGGGTACTTCTCGAACAAGGAGATTGCAGATGCTATTAGGAACAACTTCCCTGAGTACAAGGACAACTTGCCCGCAGCGGATGCGCCAGGTGATGGAGATTATCCTAACGGTTCTACCGAGTCCCTGCACAAGTATGATAACAGCCGTACGGTTAAGCTCCTTGATATCAAGTTCAGGACCATCGAGGAGAGCGTTGTGGACTTGGTTAAGTCGCTGAAGGCCGCTGGTTTGTAAGTAGACTGTCTATATAGAGCTATTTGGACTGTGGCACATATTCTATAATAATAGCTAAATTGATTCTTTCGGCAATATATTTAGACAGCCTGCAGCAAATAAAACAACCATCAGAAGCCAACTTTGATATCGACTTATTTATATAGAGCACACATATATATACTAGAATAGTCAAACCAATACTATTATACTACAATATCAATACAATTCCACCTCATAAAGCCATTCCCTGGGAAGAATGTACCCGGTACGACAAGCTACCATGTCGAGCCTAGTGTGCTACCCTGTCCCTTGAGCTCCGCCGCCGCGTGACGTAGATCCCGCCACAACCTTGGGGCCATCCAGGCTCTACTTTAACAAAGCTCCTGACCCAAATAATCCAATCTCCCCAGCTCAACCAGTATATTTATCGACAAACAAACAACAACCCCCAAAGCTGGTTGCCCAACGCTCCTATTTTCAAAACCGAACGCCCCTATCTACAAACCCATCATCCCGCCGTCTCACCCAGCACCAAGAGCTCCCCAAGCTCTCCCAGGCTCAAAGCCAACCCCCGAGCTCGAACCTCACACCCCTCTCACCCCCTTCACCACCACCTCACCACCTCACCACCTCACCACCCCAATGTCATCCTGGGACTACATCGCCAAGCTCGTCTGCATCGGCGACTCCGGCACCGGCAAATCCTCCCTCGTCATCCGCCTCTGCGAAGGCCGCTTCTCCCCCCACCACGACGTAACAATCGGCGTCGAATTCGGCTCGCGCATCGTCCCCGTCGGCCCACCCAACTACATCGCCCCTCCCAAACCGACCCTCTCAAGTCAGCCCTCCAGCAACCCCCCAGCCGACGCAGATACAGATGCCCCAGATGGAACGGAACCTAGTCCCGAACCGCCGGGGCTGCCGACGCCGCCGGTCACGAACGCAAAGTCGAAACCGGTGGTGCAGAAACATATGAAGCTGAGTTTATGGGATACCGCGGGGCAGGAAACCTATAAATCCGTCACCCGCTCCTATTTCCGGGGCGCCTCGGGCGCGCTGCTAGTCTTCGACATCTCGCGCCGTCCGACATTCGCGCACGTCCAGGACTGGCTAGCTGACCTCCGCGCGATCGCCGAGACGGACATCGTAGTCGTGTTAGTGGGGAACAAATCCGACCTCGCTGCGGGCGAGGAGAATAAGCGCGAAGTGACGGTAGCGGAGGCGGAGGAGTGGGCGGCGAAGAATGGGGTGCTGGAGTATGTGGAGACGAGTGCGAAGAGTGGGGAGGGCGTGGAGAGGGCGTTTGCGAGGGTGGCGGAGAGGATTTATGAGAATATTGAGGCGGGGAAGTATGATTTGTATGATAGGCGGTCGGGGGTTAAGGGGCCGGGAACGGGGCAGCAGGGGAGGGTGAAGTTTGGGGGGGAGTCGGGGAAGGCGGCGGCGGGGGGGTGTTGTTGATGGGATGTAATGGGATAGGGAGGGGATTTAATGGGATTAGTTGAGGAAGTGATGTTGGGCTGTATAACGGCGTTTCATGTTCTGGTTGGAAGCATAAAGATACTCCTGGAAGCATTTGGTTATTCGATTCAATAATTAGGATTTGATAAAAGCTGCAGAGAAAAAACGCTACGCTTTTTGTAATTGTATGTACTATTAATTGCATTATCGCCTGAAATGATTTCATGAGGCTATTCTGCCATACAGGCCCTACAACATCGTACACCCACCTATCCCTATCCCACACCCCGCCGAGACAAAACAAAGGAAAAATGCAGTTGATGAGTGAGATTTTTATCGCATGTGCCAGCCAACCCTTACGCTCCGACCTAGAAGGCCTTTCTTAATCATTCGTTTAATCATCAGATTATCCTCGAAGAGGAGGAATCATCTAATCGGAAACTCTCCTCGAAGTGGAGGAATCATCTAATCAGAAACTCTCCACTTCTGGAACCACTTCAGGTAACTGTACTGGCGGTTAGGCCCGACCATTCCCCAGGAGATGGGCATGAAGAGGATGTAGAGACCGATAACCGCGGTGTAAAGGATTCCGTAAACGGCGAACTGGACCTCCTTGGCCCTTCTCCTGAGCATCCAATCGGCGCAGAAACCGAAGGTGAGAATGGCGAAGTACAGCGCGGGGTAGTAGTGGTGGACGTAGGTGACTCTGGCCATTGCGACGAATGGGAAGTAGTGGAGGAACCATCCGATCACTGGGTAAATACCGGCGTAGTGGATTTGGTCGATCTCCGACTGCTTGAGATCGTTGTAGCCGCGCTGCCAGCGGATGAGATACCATACGACAATAAGTCCAAGTAGGCCGAGAGATGCGGTGGATCCCCAGTAGACAATTGGGTTGCCGAGGAGGAAGTACTTGACGATTGAATCGTCCCAGCCGCACATACGTAGACCGACGTTTAGGATAGGCCATTGCCAGAAGTGCGAGGCAAGGTCATCCTGCTTATCAGGATCAGGCACAAGAGCGTTGTTGGAAGTTGCCATTGCGACGTTGAGATGGATGAAGTCTTGGAAGAAGGGCGATTTGTACGCATTGGCATCAGCAGCAGGTACTATTAGTTGTTATTAGTCAGGTTTACCAAATAAACGCAGAGAGGATAACTTACGCTTGCTATTCCAGTGAGCCTCCACGTTCCAGTGGGTGAAGGTATCCTTGGGGTTGTTGGCCTTGGTGCATGTGACTTCGATTTGCTTGAAACCCCACTGAGGCAGGTTAACATTGCCGGCACGCAGGTAGCATCCAAGAGAAGTATGCTTAAGTCTGAATGCAGTGGTAAGGGTTCGGATCTTTGTCTTGTCGGTGTTGGAGGAGACATCCTTGACAACCTCAATGGTGAAGTGATCCTTCTCATCGCCGATGGTAGTGTTGCCGTAACACGAGACCTCCTTATCGACCTTGGTGATTGGGGCAGAGACATCGTGCGAGTGGAGGTTGCGGCCAGTTTGGGCGTGGATCAGACGGAGAACATCGCCGTGGGCAACGAACTTTGGTGGTCCCTCTCCGTCGTACTCGGGCTCGGCGCGGTTGGGGTAGAAGAACCACTCGTTGTTGGAATCCTTGTGGTGGTAACAGGTGATCTGTTGTTGTCCGGAGCCCTCTGGATATGTCTGGACGTGGGAGTGGAGAAGTCCACCACCGTATCCCATGTTCTTAATGGTTGCGCGGGATCCGTAGGCAATCTCGAGAGGGCTGTCCTTTCCAACCTCGGTACCGCGAAGGTTGGCCTGGAAGAGGGAGCTCATCTGAGCATCTCCCGGGCCGCTGTTCTCGAGGATGGTGAAGTGGGCAGCGAATGACAGCATGTAGATGATGAACGGAAGAACAATCAACCCAGCGACTCTGGAGCCAACGTGGGCAGCTAGCTCAATCTTTGGCATCTTGTAGTTTCCGAACTTGTTCCAGAGGTCTTCAATGGTGTAGAGTCCAACGAGGGCGGTGCCAAAGAGTCCAACCCACTTGACACTGCACACGCAGCCGATGCTCAGTCCAGTCAATCCAAGCCATGTGAACCACTCGAGGCTGAAGCTCTGGTCCTGAAGTCTGTGGAACCTGGCCCAGCACAGAACAGTCGTGAATGTGAAGCACAGCAGCATAGAGTCAAGAAGAATGAATCTGCTGATGGTTGTGTAGGAGTTTTCGCAGAGAACCATAAGAGTGACGAACCACACGGCTGGTCGTTTGAAGTTGAGCTCTCTGGCAGTGAAGTAGGCTAGAGGGATACAGACAGCACCGAAGAAGGCATTGAACGCACGCATGAACGTGTAGTTCAACTCCTCCGGGTATCTCTCTCCAGATTTGAATTCGAATGAGCCATTGTATCCAGCCAAGTATCCCGAAAGTCCCACGAGCATCTTTCCCAGAGGGGGGTGGACATCGAAGTAGAATTCGCGTTTGAGGTAATGCGAGCCGAACTTTCCGAAACTGGAAAAACTGTTAGGAACTGGTCCTCCAATCATGAAGATATATCTTACTGAGCTTCATCCCAAGTAACGATTGGCGAGAGGCCAATCTTGTATAAACGTGTGAAGAATGCCAAAGCCGTGAAGATGAGCGGTGCGATGATGAATTCCCACTCGTCGAGGGTTTGGAGTAAGGTTGGTGAGCTCTAACAGAATCCAGACATATTAGCCATCAATCCTGAAGCAATAGAGAAGTGAAGATGCGTTGGGAGTAGCTCACCTTTACGGGTTGGCGTTTCTTGTCATCGACCTCATCTAGGCCCTGGGATGACCCGGAGACCGCTGATCCCCCAGGAGCAGCCCGGCGACGGGCCGCCTGGCCATCCTGCTCAATGCCCGAGGCAACGACGGCATTTTTGGAAGCCATGCTTCGGTGTGTGTGTTGATTAAAAACAGAAGCAGACCTTTCTGCTTCAACCCCCTTTCCTTGGAAGTGTCGCGTCGGAACAAGGCTTGCGCGTCTAGGCTCAGCCGTCGGCTACAAGAGAGACGCGAGTGGACACGGTTCAAATGGTATAATAAACGAAAGTAGTGAAAAGTAAAAAACACTGCCTCTAAAGACAAAATATCCTTAGATTGCAGAAGCAAGCATCCTTCGTGGGCCGGGGAAGGGAAGGGAGACACAGATTGACTCCTTGGATCTTCAAATACGGTGTTGGGCCGGATCCAGCTTGAGGGTACACTTTTTGCGGCTGACTATTCCAGCCTAGTGCATCTGCCAGGTGTCTTCAATTTCCACGCACGCACAGTCAAAATGCAACAATAATAGCCAGCTATACGAGAATATCAATATTGAATAAAAGCAAAGCTTATCAGGGCTGGTTTGTGACTTTTTTGATACAGTGTATAATGTGCGGCTCTAACTACTGAATATCAATGTTTCTGTTTTACATTTGTGCAGCATAACTAATTGTACACGATGTCTCCTATCCGGGATTACTCCTGCCGCGTCTTACCTGCGATGACCCAGATAAGAGGCGATTGTAGTCGAAGTGAGGATGTTCTTATATGTTGAACTCAATTGAAATTATCATGGCCTCCTATACAGTACTTTCTACCCCCGTTTCTATATGTGATATATCCCATCTACTTACTCTTCGTCCTGCTCTAAAGGTTTGTATTTACTGTTGGCGTCTCCGCGAGACCTTGAACCGCCAACCATCCGGGAGATCCACCCTCCCACTCCCTCGCCACGGCCTCTGTCTGCGGTGTATCGTGGAACGCCGTCTCTAATATCGACATTCGGTGGATCAATGTCCAGGCCCGGAATAGCCAAGGATGAGCCTAGCCCATTCTCTACCGCCGTTGTCCCCACCCCACGTCGTAGATCCATTGATGGGACAGGAGAACCGCGTCCCATCAAAGAGCCCGTCTCTGCTCTTGCCGATGGAGTCGGCATGGCGGATGTAGCATCGCCGAAAAGCAAGTTCATGTCTTCTAGACGAACCCCACGAGTTTCGGGGTAAATGAAGTAAACTGTTTGAACGGTGTTAGTACTGGAGCAGCGAGTCGTGTGATAATTGGAGACAACTAACCAACAACGAAACTGGTGACACAGAAAAATGCATGCATAAGATACAGCCTCCACCCAATGGTCTCTTGAAGTACTGGGGTGATTTCCCCAACGATGAAGTTGAAAAACCAGTTAGTTGCGGTCGACAAGCTGGCGCCCTTCGAGCGAATGCTGAGAGGCAAGATCTCGGGAGGATACAGCCATGGAATCGGACCCCAAGAAAAGCCAAAAGCCGCGTTATAGATCATGACGAATACGACCACTAAAGTTGGCGTTGCTTTTATATCCAAGTGTAGGAAATATGCAATGGCAGATAGCGACAGCGCCATCATGATAGCGCCGCTCAATAAGATCGGCCGCCTTCCAAGTCGATCAACCAGGTACCATGGCGGGATCGTGGAGAGGAAATAGGTAATGCCGTTGATGCCAGTCATCAAGATGGCTTGTCGCCCTATCCAGCCGGCGGATATGAAGACCAGAGGCGCATAGTATGAGATGACATTGATCCCGTTTAGCTGAGCCAATGCCTGCGCAGACATAGCGATGAACACACGAGCCCGATATCTCTTGAACATCTCTGAGTATGATCTTTCACCTTCTTGGCGCTGAATGAGGACATTCATTTTGATTTCACGGAATTCTTCCCTCGCCTTAACGTTGTGGATGTCTCCCTCTCCGTAAAGGTTGGCTATGACAACCATGCCTTCCTCATCATGATCATTATCAAGTAGCCATCTGTGATGGTGGTTAGCCCCTGACTTTCAAATATAGGCCCTGAGTACATACCGAGGTGATTCAACAATAAGTAAGCTTCCGATAGCGAGCAGGCCACCCATTACACACTGCATGGATAGTGGTATCCGCCAAGAGTAGTCGTTGTCAATATAGCTGCAGAAATAATCAACCCAAACCGATGTGGTATATCCAATGATGTTCCCCGAGAACTCGATACAGGCTAGCTTGCCTCTGTTATGTGGAGGCGAAATCTCAGACTGATAGACTGGGACGATAGTCGACAGCATGCCAACTCCTACTCCTGCTATGATTCTACCCAACATCATTAACATCATAGTTGTTGCAAACGTCTGTAGGGCCCCTCCAACGAACTATTATAACCATTAGTTTCTGGTAAATGGACCCGATATTTATGTAGTGGGTTTCAATGACTCCTTGGCATATTGCGAATTGCCGCTTCAGATATTTTGACACTGACGCTATCGGGGATTTGGCAGGGAGAAGGAACTCACAAATATCAAACTTCCATATAAAATAGTTCTTCTTCGACCGATGATATCACCAAGACGGCCAACAACCAATGACGATATGAAAGCTCCCACTTCTAAAATAGCAACCATAGTGCCAATCTCGGCAGCATTAGGCTTATGGAAATAATCCAGGAAAATAGGACCTCTGTGCAATTCATCAGTACTGAGTATGGTTGGTATATGATAAGAACTTACGTGATAATACCGGACATGACTCCCTGATCGTACCCAAAAAGAAACACGCCCAATGATACAAATACGCTTGTGAAATACCTGGCGTAACATCAGTATGATAGTACAGCTTCAATGCGCGGTTGTCTTACACCAGTGGCTTGCCGGTCAAGCCGTGCATCTGACGCTCTCCCCCCGACATCATGGCTGCCAACGCTTGTTCGGCGCGAGATATTCGCCTCGGCGGTGGTGTTGGGATCTTGATATCTTCCTTAACGAGGCCACGGCGAGGTTGCTTATCTTCGTGTTCAGAGTCGAGTCGATACCGCACTCTCCTATCTCCTCGATTCCGTCTGCCAGTATCCCGGCCTGCGTCGAAGTCTCCGAGTTGCCGTCGTAAAGGGTCGTCTTCGCCGGTGCCCAGTTCACCAATGTCACCCGTGTCACTCCAGTCTGAGAATTCAGAGCCTGCCGATTCGGATCGTGGAGAGGCAGAGAACCCGCTCTGCTTCTCGTCGTCTGAGAGGAAGGAGGCAGACTGGTCCTGCTCCTCTGATCGGCTTCTTGCCGAAGGCAGGTTTCGAAGTGGTATATTGGCCGGGCGGCGGGTGCTGCTTGAAGAGGGAATCGTGAAGGTTGTGGAGCTGATGGCGGCAGCCCCTCCCGGTGGATATGGGCTTAGGAGGAAGACAACGTGGAGTCGGTGCACGATACTCGTGACAGCCTTGTTTGGATGGCGGTGCGATGGAAGGGTGGACTACTGTACAACTGCGCAGTATGAAGGGGTCTGTTGGAAGATTATCGTCGGTGAGTAAGTCAGCTGGTTTGCTTTAGAGTGCTGTGTTGGGCGAAAGGTGGAAGTTGTTACCTTAGTTGCACCCCCAGAACTGACAGTATGGGGAAGAGTGGAGCTTGGCGTGGAGAGGATCTACACATGTAGCGCCGTAACGAGTAGGGAAGGAGAGGCGTGGTGGCAATCGTGGGGTGATCGTAGACAGAAAGCAGCGAATTACAAGGCAGATACTAATCCATACAGTAATATACTGAAGATGGAGGAAGGTTCATGAAAAGAGCGGGAGTAGAAGGGGTGAGAAAGCCCAGCTGTGCCAAATGCACCCCAAGACAAGCCCAAGGCTGTGAACAGCGTTCACGTGGTTTGATTGGGCTGAGGATTTCACAAGAATAGAAAAAGACTTTTAATAGCTGTAGGATGAAGAATGGCACACGACGCCTTTTGGTGGCTGTGGATATTACTCCAAGGTGTTCCGTAGACGATCCTCTTTCCTGCGCCTCTGACGTCTTCAAAGTGTGGTCCTTCAACACTACCAGCCGGCTAGCACAGGGGTTAGGGAAAGATGACGAAGTCACGATGTTCGGATGTCTTATCTTGAGTTGTTATCAGCACGTGCACGGAACGGCAAAAAAGGACGGAGTTGGAGGGTAGATTCTCCGAGATAAGCGGAAGAAACAAGTAACAAGGAACAAGGGCCTCTCGAACTCGAACCCCCTAAGAAACAAATGTCCTTGGCAACTTGCCGAGCCAAGGCATGTGAATGTTGATGGAAATCCGATCTTGCATCTCCATTACTACTGTGAGTATAGTCGTGCTGCAATGGTTCTGTGCTATACTGTTTGTATGGTTAGTGGGATGTGGCATCGACGATGATGGCTGATAATGGCTGATAATGGCCGATAGATGGCATGTGGAGTAAGTTGCAGTACCATATACCGTCTCCATACGGCAACTGTACGATTATACGATAGGGCGCAACACGATGCGATGCGATGCGATTGTGATTGCCGTGTGTGCCACACTGTAATTGTGTGTAATTGTGCTATTCGCGCCTGGTGCTAGGCCGGTGCTAGGCTGGTGGTAAACTGGCCCTGGGTTGGCTTCCACTGGCTCTCACAGCCTTTCACGGGTCTTCACTCTGCCCAGACATTCAAGACCCCTGTGGGTGAAATCCGTCAATTCCCACTATTAGCGAATCAAGTCGCGTATCCGTCTACTCGCAGTGTCCTCGTAGCGCGTGAAACGAAGCGAAAGTGAAGCTCATTTTACTTTCTCCATGCATATGCGTATCTCCCGCATAACCGCATAGCTCTATGTGCACGCCCACAGCACCAGTACTGGCCAAGTGGAGTTTTGCTATGCACGATTTTGTCAATATGTCGTGCCTCAAACAGAATCTGTGGAAAAAGGGAAAGAGAACGATGGCATCCACCAAATCCCGTAGAGCCGATAAACGAAGGAAGGGTAAACCAAGGTTGAGGTTAGTAAATTTAGCAATTTTTCAACGGCACCGCCCCAGTTTCCCTGCCTTGATTCCTATTCCTTCCCACTGGCCACCTGGCCACCTACGTAACTCCAAGTAAGATTGTCCACTGTACAGTACTGTACGCTGCCGTGATTCAGCCCTCTATACCTCCCTCACTTGCATCCCATTCAATCCTCTTTCTCTTTCTTCCACTGCTTCACTTTGCAATTAACTCGAGTAACAAAGAAAACCACAATTGCAAGCGGCTATCAAAATAGCAATTAATTATTCCTCATCCTTTGTTGCCCGTGACCTCTATTCAGGAACCCGAGTCAGAAACCTAGCCTGTCAGAAACCGCGACCACGCTTGTCTCGTTTAAAGGCTGGTAACCTCAGAAACCGAACGGGCACCAGGAACTACATTTTCAGGGGACATTACTTCACTCTTCCCGCACTTCAACCCTGAATTGATCAACCTCGAAAACACTCGCTGCTTCTTCGTGGCGACTGAGATCAATCTGATTTCCTCCGCTGCGAAATCAACGTCGTCAAATCCTCACCGCTTCGCCAATCGCGGTACATTGGGGCGAAGGAAGGAACAAAGGATACCTCTTGGCGGCCTATCGCGACGACAACGCATCGCGCGAAAGGGCAGAAGCGACACCGCCTGCTCTGCATTTAGACTCGAGTCCCCGAGAAAAGGACGCGACTCGCGCAAACCGCAGCTATGGGCTCAACGCAGTTTGGAAACTTCCATGTACGATCAATCCAGATGGTCTACGGTCTCTCGACGACCATGGCTATGCGACACCGAGGGAATAACAAGCTAACCATCCGTGAATAGAATTTCTGTCGGGATTCGACCCTTCCTGTTTGCAATGTACGTATACCTCTCGGTGCTCCGACTCTCAATCACAGCATGAATGCGACGAAGTAACTAACGCTTGTAACAGCTCCTCTCTCCGACACATGATCAAAATGGATTCGGAGGATGCGAATTGACCGGAATCAACCTCCCAGACGGGAAACACCTCGGCAATATTGGTTAGTCGCGCCGATACCGATTATATGGTCATTATACTGACCAGCTGCAGGCTCGATAATACTTTGCGGCCTGGCTATTCTAGTGAGCGGTTACCTGCTATGGAGGTCTGAGAGGAAGCAAGCTGCCGTCGGCCGAAGGTATGAAGAATTGCATCATAGAGTACCATCTTCATGTACTAACTTAACTACAGGGAGATGCAGCTGTTTCTGTTGGGTTATATTATCATTGAGATCTGCGAAATCTTCACTGTCGGAGTGTTCCCTCTCAACTACAAAGTCCGATTGGTGCGTTCCTAATGCCCTCTTTGAATGTCTCACTCACCATACTAATTCTTGTACAGGCCTTCAGTGGGATACACCTGGGAATGATCGTTGCAACGACGTGGATCCTCATGCTCAACGCAGCCGTCGGATATCAAATCATTGACGACGGCACTCCCATGTCCATTGGCCTAGTCATCGGCTCAGCGGTTGCTCTCCTTGTCGGCACGGGCTATATCGCCCTGGATACTGGCTTCAGATGGACCGGCCACTTCGACAGCAGCTTAACCGGCAATAACCGCAACATCGGGCTTTACGTGCTCTACCAACTCGCGCCCATCATCTTCCTGGCAGTTTTCTTCATCTTGGAAACCATCCTTGTCCTGAGGGTTCTTGGCGAGAGGAAGCCAATGATCTACCTCGGAGCCGCCGCACTCTTCTTCATTCTTGGACAAATCTTCAACTACGTCGTGAGCACCCACATCTGCCACGGAACCAGCGGCAAGATCGACGGAGCCATCTTCGAGACCCTATTCACCCTGCTCTCTGTCGTCACCATCTGGTACTTCTGGTCGAGCATCACCGAGGACGACTGGCCAATGCCAGCGGTTAACTACCCTTAAAGAAAGAACAAGAATTATACCTTAATCTGGCATCATCTGGCATTCGAGGAGTTTTTGGGCGGTGGGGGTGGGGTTCTGTACAAAGAGTTTAACGGTTTCGACGAAAATCCATGGAGGCGGATTTAATTCAATTCGCCAATTTGATCGAGTTTGGTGGGGAGGAGGAGCAATGCGCGAACGCAACATAGGTAACTAATATGCCTTATATATCACTATGTTGATGTGTCGGGCTGGGGATAGAGGATCCCGTCGTGCCCGGGGGACATTGGGACGATACTCTTGGACGTTGTTTTAAGGGGAGAGGGTGGTCAAGTAGTGGCCAGGATTATATACCCTTCGTAGCATATATGGGAAGAATGAAGCAATGATTTTATATTAGAGATGTCGTCCTGAAGCTATTATCGGGTCTAGTGTCGAGTGGTGTGAGTTTGGCACTTATTGTATTGGTAGTGACCTTGGCCTCATTATTGATCATATGGGCTCCAGAATAGCCAATTGGAAATAACCACAAAGATAAATCTTCAATAAAAAGATATAAAAGATATTACATTTACATGTGGCCATTGTTACCTCTAAATGAACCCTGTCCTGCCAAAGCCGATATTCGCGGCTAGCTAGTCCCCATATTTTAACATTTATCGTCCGCCTCGCCCACAAGGCTACCACCTACCTACAACACCTCAAATCCATCACAACCCACCCTCAACTCCAACAACCTACCACCACCCCAACATCACCCTATACACCTGCCTAAACACCACACCGAGCTGCAAGCCCGCCTCCAGCCACCGCATGCCCCCACCCCCACCACCACACCATGGCAGACTCGGACGGCGAGTACGTCGAAGACCTCTCCGACGATGATCTCCCCACCGCCGCCCCCACCGGCACCGGCACAGGACGACATGCAACGCGCTCGAGCGGCCCTGTGAAGGGACCCGAGGCGGTGAGGAATGGAGAGAAGGAGAAGCAGAAGCAGGGGAGGAGGAGGGCGGCGTGGGAGGATATACAGAGGAGTTGGGATACGGTTGTTGAGGGGGCGGATGGAAGTTTGAGTTCTACTGTTGAGGGGCTTTTGGAGGCTGGGAAGAGGCAGAGGTTTGTTGTCCCGCCGATCGTCCCCCCCTTCTCTCACACAGTATCATCAATCACCGCATGAACGAAAGCATGGACAAGAGAAAGAGACGCAGCTAACTAACCCACCCCCGCAGACTCCTCCGCGACACAACCCCCCTCCAACGCGGCATAATCCGCCACCTAATCCTCATCCTCGACCTCTCCTTCGCCATGACCGAGAAAGACCTCCGCCCAACCCGCTACCTCCTCACCCTCCGCTACGCCACCTCCTTCATCACTGAGTTCTTCGAGCAGAACCCCATCTCCCAGCTCGGAATCCTAGGCATGCGCGACGGACTCGCCAAACCCATCTCCCCCCTCTCCGGGACGCCGACTGTACATCTTAGTGCGTTGGGGAAACTGAGGACGCAGGATCCGCAGGGTAGTCCGTCTCTACAAAACGCCTTAGAGATGGCGAGGGCGAGCTTGTTCCACGCACCGAGCCATGGGACGAGGGAAGTCCTCATCATCTCCGGCGCCCTCCTCTCCTCCGACCCAGGCGACATCCACACCACCATCTCCTCTCTCACAAGCGACCGCATCCGCGTCTCCGCCATCGGGTTAGCGGCCCAAGTCGCCATCCTCTCGGAGATCTGCACCAAGACCAAGGGCGACTACAGCGTCGCGCTGCACGAAGAGCATTTCCGCGCTCTCTTCATGGGTGTCACGACCCCGCCGCCGACGAGGGCGAAGGAGCAGAATCAGTCTAGTTTGCTGATGATGGGGTTCCCCTCGCGGACAGTGGCGAAGGCGGTGACGTTGTGTGCGTGCCATAGTAAGCTTACGAGAGGGGGGTATTTGTGTTCGCGGTGCGGGAGTAAGGTTTGCTCGCTACCCGCGGAGTGTCCGGCGTGTGGGCTGACGCTGATATTGAGTACGCATCTCGCGCGGTCGTATCATCATCTCTTCCCGTTGAGGAACTGGCGGGAGGTGTCATGGGGCGAGGCGGCGGGGAGTGGGGTGGGGAGTTGTTTCTCGTGTGGGGTGGGGTTTAATCGACCGCCTCCGGGCTTGTTGGGGGGGGGGGCGGGTGGGGGGGGGAAGAAGGGGGGGGGGAGGGGGGAGAGGGAGATGAGAAAGAGAGAAAGAAAGAAAGAGGGAGATGGAAGGATGGATTAGGCGTCGTGCCGTGGGAAGAGTGAAGTCTGTATGTATGTACGTACATACAAACGCCAAACCCTCATCATCACCCCCTTGGGCTCACCACCCAGATCATCAGATGGTATGGCGAGGTACACACATACAGTAGCGCCCCCCCCTCCACGATCGCTGGGAAAGGTACACAGCACTCCCTCCCACATTCTTGGTAACATCTTACACACACGACACACGCGTCTCCGTTCCTGCCTTCCCAGCCGCCTCGTAGGTCGCCCGCCGCGCTGATCTCTTGTAGCGTCGCGAGACCGACTGACTGCAGTATGCGTTTGCGTATGGTACTGGATGTATGAGAACGAGGGAGTGAGGGAGGGAAGTGGTTGGCTTGATGTGTGCCTTCTAGGTGGTGAAGTGGGTCGCGATTCGGTGTATGAACGGGGGATAGCGCGCGGGAAGGGGGGGTGGATGCGGTGTTGGTTTAGTGTTGTTGGTTTTGAGTCTGGTGGTGGTGAGTGGCAGTGGGTGAGTGGCGGCTAGTCGGTCTCCGCTGTTTATGGGCTGTGTGCTGGTAGGGTTGGCAAGGATGCGTGGAGGGGGATTGGATGGGAGATGGTGGGGCGGCGGCGGGGAGATCGGTGGATGGAGGAGGGACGGGGATGGGGGACGGGGGTGGACGGGGACCTGGCAGGTGGTGGGTACGAACTTTACTACTGTATGTTATGGTGGGTGGACTGCGGATGGGATGGGATGAGGTTGATGGTGTGGTGGTGGTTTGATGGCGGGAGGCGGGAGGGGAGGGGATGGGTTGATTTGATGGTTGGGATTTGGAATGGAGGGGGGTGAGGTGGTGAGATGTGAGTGAGATGGGCGAGATGGGCGAGATGGGCGATGTGACGGCGGGAGTAGTATGACAGATATGAGCGGGAAGGGTTGTTGGGAGTGGTGGTGATGGTGGTGGTGGTTCCCTGTCGAGCTGTAGCAGGGGAGGAGTAGGGGAGGGAGGGCATGGGAGGAGGGCATGTGACTGTTAGCTGAGATGGGAGGAGGGTGATGGGGGAGTGATGGGAGAGAAAGGAAAGAGTGAGGAAAGAGAACAATGGGCACCACAGTACTACTACACTTCCTTCCCATACATACAAAGAGCGTGGGATGAGTGGGAAGTGGGAAACGAATGAACGGATACTTTCCCACACTACCACTTTTAGGTAGACGGGAAAGTCTCTTGTTGTCTTAGTCTTCGTTTGCCTTAGTTCCCATTGTGCTGTCTCTCTCGTTGCCATTGTACTCACTTATTCCCTTCTCTCGCGTCTCTCTCTCCTGCTGATCACACACTTAGTCCCATTCTAAGGGTTTCTCGTTTCCATTAGTTAGTCCCCTTTGTCCTACTCCGTCCCTCATCGCCCTTAGCCTCTCCCGCTGATCACACTTAGTCCCATTCTCTAAGGGTCTCTCGTTTCCATTAGCCTCTCTCGCTATCCCTACTACCATCATGATCCCCGATCACTGTGCTTAGTGGCAGTAGCAGTAGCAGATCATCCCATCTCCAGCTCTAAACCCGCGTCTCCGTCAGTCAGTCAGCCAATCCCTGTCTGTCGGTACTAGAGTATCATCGCGTCGGGCGGGTGATGTGATGTGATACCGTATAGAGGCATGGTCGAGTGGATGTGGAAGTGCAGGCGGAAGTGAGGGATTAAGGTACACGGCACTGCAGAGAAGACGACAACGGGCGCAGATAGTCGTCAGTTGGTAGTAGAGCAGTAGAGCAGTCAACCGGTGGAGCCAGTCGAGCCAGTCCTGTTGTTTGCGTGCACTGTGCATGCTCATCCCCTTTCCCTTCTCAACTCACCTCACCATCCCCGCCGTCTCAACCAATCTGTCCGAGTCCGACTCTGCCGTCCGGTCGGTCAGGGTCTAGCCTAACCGGTGTGCATCCCCCCCAGTCTCCCTCCCCTCTCCCACAGTCTCACACTCCTCTCACCAACATCTCCTCTTACCTAACCCCCTCCCCCTCCCCCTCCTCCCCCCACCCCCGGCGCCTCAGCTTCTTCTCAGCCTCGAACCGGTGTGCAGGGGTATCGGTCTAGGTTCGACACCACGTCCCCATCGAGCCATGCACGCCTGTCGACCCTAGTAACTGTCCGTGCCCTCACTGACTTTGATGGATGAGGGTTAGTGCGTGTGTCTGCCTCATGGGTGCCTCACGACTTTGCCTTGGGGGATGAGTGAGAGTACGAGGATCGATGGTGATGGTGGTGGTGGTGGTGGATTTTACGTGACGACGGGGGTGGAACTAAGGATGCACGACTTCTGGGAGGAGAAGGGGACTTGGAGGCGTAACCCTTATGATGTACCGTACTGTGTTGATGTTCACATTGTTCGCACTGTTCACGCCCCTACAGTACGGAAGTTGAGGATCCATGTATGTATCTGAATGAACTACGGGAATAGTGGGATACTTGACTTGACTTGTCTTGGGTTTGGATTGATGATGATTCCCCCATCAACAGACTGGACACACTAGACACACTGGGCACACTACACACAATGGACACAATGGGCACAATGGACACTGATACCCTTGCTGTCCGCCTTGTTGCCTCGCTCGAGATAGTGGGAGTGGAATGAGAGTTGGAGTTGGAGTTGGAGTGGTACTTGTTATTTGTACGTGAGTGCCTGCACCATTTAAGTACCTTTCCCCCCTCGTTCGCTCCTTCCTCCCACCTCCTCCACTTCCCTCCACCTCCCTCCATACATCCTATCCTATCCTATCCTATCTATCCGTTCTTTCTCCGTCATCTCCGTCGTCTACCCTCTACCCTCTACATCCGATGCCAACATCATCCCAATCACCACCACCACACCACACCACACAAATACATAGTACTGTTATGTACAGACCAGCAGTGCATGCAGTAGTACTTCCATTTCCACTCACTCCCATCCCATCCACCAACCCACCATCCCCAATCCACTCACCATCCCCTTCCACAACCCCCCCCCCCCTTCCCCCTCTCCACTTCAAATCCTTCGCGCATTCCCATCCCTACCATGCCCAATCACACCCTACCAGCTCCACAACCGTGAGGCTCTGCTCTAATCTACGCATCTTTCCACCCATCCACCAATTCAGACACCGGGGGGTCCACCGCCCAACTGCCCACCCCACCCACCGACCCTCGCGCCGCCCCGCCGTCCCTGTCCTGCCCAGGATATGTGAGAAAACAAGCAAGAGGAATTAGAGACCATCCTGACCGGCCGGCCCATGAAGAAACACAACAACGACCGCTGTAAACGCCATGCCCACCCACGCGGGACACGGCACAGCTTCCCAGCATACTCTATCCTCCATTGACATGCAGGGATACTTGGGGGGTACATACACTCATGTGCATGCATGCGTTCTTTGGTGGGTGCCTTTCTTTCCCTTATGTCCTCTCTCTCTCTCTCTCACTTGCCCTCCATGGCTCTACACCTCTCTCTCTTCCTTTAAATCTCCCCCCTCCTCCTCCTTCCTCCTCTTCCCTTCTTTTTTTTTTTGCTCTTCTTCCTTCTTCTCACTATTATCATTCAACCTTAACCAACACCAACACCAACACGCAACAACACGCATGTAAAGTGGCTAGCTAAGCCTCTTTCACCCATCACGCCTACACTCCGCCTTGGCCGCCCACAGTCAGTCCGTGACGTCTGATTCCCCCCATCCACCGTCTGCCCGGCGAGGCGAAGCAACATCCCTCCCGCCCTCGTTCCCAATCCAGCTCCCACACTGGCCGACGCCCTGTCAACCACCCAACACGACGTCACAAAGCTCACCAACAGCCGTCCGTCTATATCATCACTCTCATCCCGAGCCTTCCCTCTCTTCCCAACAGGCGCCCCTTCCAGGCTCCTACCCACCTACCTACCTGCCATGGATTACCAGCCCCAAACCCCATGGGAACGTTCCCAGATATTTGCCTATAACAACAGTATGATGGCCTCCCAGGTCGATCAGCAAGAGGCTTCCTATCCCGTGGACCCCATCAACTGGATTACCAACCTGGAGCCCGTTCCCGTCCCGCGCGGCCGCTCCCACCCGGATTCCCAGCAACAGGAGTGGGCTCAGCAGACCCTCGAGCAGTCAAAGGCCTCCTCCTTCGGCAATATGCAGAACCGCCAGAACCAGAACCAACAGTACTCTTACCAAGAGGCCCACCAGAACACTTACCCGGCGCCCCAGCAGCTACACACTTCCAACCTCCCCTATGGATCTTCGTCGGCGTCGTTCAACCACTGGGCCCCATCTCCCGGCGCCGATTCTCGCGATAGCAGCGCGCTGAGCCCACAGAGCGAGCGCGATTATCGCCAGGACATCTCTCTCGTCTCGTCTCCCTACGCCGCACATGCTCTCACGCGCTCACACTCCGGTATCAGCTCTCTCAGTCATGAAGCTGAGTACTATGGTGGTGGCGGACAGCAGTTTCAACAGCAGACGATTCCCAATATGTCCCTGATCCACCCCGAATTGGACGAGGACCCAACATTCAGAGGGCGAGAGGAGATGTTCATGGACCACGACTCCGGCGAACAAGACACCTCCACTTCCATGACCACCACCCTCGCCCCCCGCCCACCACCACACTCACACAACCAATTCCTCCACCCGCACCTCTCCCCCGCGCCCTCCATCCACAGCCACCACTCCCCGGCCCTCTCATACACAACCCCCAACCCGCCCGCCCCCCGCCTCACCCCCCACCAATCCCCAATGGAAGTCGACGACGCAGACCTAGACGCAGCATTCGATCTCGACTCCCCCGTCCCCGCCAACGATGACACAGACACAGACGGTACATGGACCCCGCACGCGGCGCGTCGTCTCACCCGCGTCTCTCGCGCCCCGCGACGACGCGGAAGTCGACGCACTGCTGCTTCTGCTGCTGCTCCGACGACGGCGAGGGTGCTGCAGCCGACTTCCGGGTCTGGCGTGACGAAGCGGGGGCGGTCTAATCCCCACCACCCGTCTTCCTCCTCTGCAGGGCGCACGACTGCGAATGCAAACCCGACGTTCCCGTGTACTTTTGAGTGGGCGGGGTGTACATCCGCGTTCGCGTCGAAGAATGAGTGGAAGAGGCATGTGGCTAGTAAACATACATGTTTCTTCTACTGGGAGTGCCGCGTCGGTTCATGTTCTGCCCCGGGGCAGTCGGGGAAGTTTAATCGCAAGGACCTGTTCGCGCAGCATCTGAGACGTATGCACGCACCTCCCTCTTCCACCGCCAAATCCGGCCCGGGGAAAGACGCCTGGGAGAGACGACTAGCTGAGTTACTCGAGGAGGGGAAGAAAAAGGGGAGAGCGCAGATCATGAAGACGCACTGTCCCGTTTCCGGGTGCACAGCCGGGTGGGAGGGACCGAGGGCGTGGGATGAACGGATGGAACATGTTGCGAGGCATTGGGAGAATGTTAAGGGAAGGGGGGGGGAGGGGTGGTGTGAGAGTGGGGGTGGGGTGTTGGAGTGGGCGGAACGGGAGGGGGTGGTGACGAGGGCGGAGGGGAGTGCGGGGGGGTGGGTGTTGGGGGAGGGGGTAGGGGAGGTGGATGCTGTTGGGGAGGAGGAGTAGGGGGGTGTATACAGGTGGATGGATGGGTATCTGGTCACTCATCTGCCAACAGACGATCTCAGGCACTATCACGCACGATCACGCACTACCACGCACCAACGGCCTTCTGCATCGCATCGCATCGCTTCGCATCACTTTACGACCCGATCATACTTTTCATGCGCCTCAGCTTTGAGACGGATGGTTCGCTTGTTATGTTATATACGACCTCGCCTTTCTTACTTTGTATTTTTCCTTTCGTCATTCGTCACATTTGTCATTTGTTTTTTATTTTCTTTTGTCGTTGTTTTTGGGATTTGGATTTTGGGTTCTGGGTTTCGGGAGATGGATGATGGGACGATACGTTTTTTACAGACCCCCCCCCCCACCAGCTCTTACGTTGGCGTGAGGGCATCTGTACATCCCCCCCCCCGAGGGAAGGGGCCGGATGATGGTGATGATGATTATGGATATGGATATGGGTATGGATATGGGTATGGGTATGCATGACGGATATCATGATGCGACAGCGATTTTTTATAGAACGGATGGGTATTGGATGGGACATTGGTATTGGTATGGGACATTGGTATGGGGGACACATGGATTGGGAATTATTATAGACAGGTTGGGAACGGACGGTGCCACTAGGAAAACTCCTGGGGCAAAACAAACAAAGGATAGACTTGTTTTTTTACTGATTTTTGTAATTTTGATTAGGAGATACCCCATCATTTGAAATATAATTTTTTTTATATAATTAATTGTTTGTCTTATCATCTGTTGGAATCAGTGTGCAGCGAATCGTGACTCGGCATGATTCGCCCCGAATCAGACTCGAATCATGATCTGATTCGCGCTATTTCTTAATGATTCGAATCATGATTCGGCCAGTATTTGAATGATTCGAATACTTGCCAAGACATATAATATGTCCAAGCGTCTAGCTGTGAAGGCTTGTCGCCGTCCTTAATATATAGCTTTTTAGATTAACATTTAATACAATTAATACAATCATTGTTATTATGAGTGATTCCGAGCTGTATGATGTTCCTAAGGATCTTGATGATTATGTCGCCGATGAAGATAACAGTAATGCGAGTGTATTGTTAACGATGAGGATGTCGAAGATATAAGTCAAGATATAGGTTAGGCATAGTCAAATATTTTTCGTAGTTTTCAATATTCCATACACTCTATTTCAGCCTCAAAGATTCGAATCATGACTCGAATCAGATTCGAGTCATGATTCGGCGAATACCTCAAAAATATGAATGATTCGGCGGATCGCCGAATAGTATTCGGGGGGTGATTTGCCGCACACTGGTTGGAATGTTTTGTGAGAAAAATGTCTTTCGTCGTCACACACATTGGGGGCTTTTTTATCATTTCACTTCACTTGATATCTTTTCTTTTCACTTGCAAATGGCTTATGGTATAATAACATGATATAAAATAGTGAAACAAATAACTCCTATCTATCTAACAGCTCAAAGAAGAGACGAGGCGTTTACATACCCTGCTGTCCTGAGTTTCCCTACTGCCCTACGTTTCCCTGCTGCCCTGTGTTTCCCTATTGCCCTGAGTTTCCCTGCTGCCCCGCACCCCAATGCCCATGCTGCTGTTGCTGCTTCTCCTGCCCGTTTTATAGCTGTTGCTGTAGCTGTTGTAGCTATTGTTGCTGGTATTGCTGGTATTGCTGGTATTGCTGGTATTGCTGGTATTGCTGGTATTGGTGTTGTTGCTGTTGCTGTTGTTGATATTCCTGCTGCTGCTATAGCTGTAGTAGTTGTTGTTGATATTGGTGTTGTTGTTGTTGCTGTTGCAGTCGCTCCTCCAGTATCTGTTGCTGTAACTGTTGCTCCTCCTGTATCTGTTGCTCTTCCCGTGTAAGTAGTCGGAAGGGTGAGTTTCGTTGAGGTTGCTGTCCTCCCTGAGCTAGACGTCTCATCTGAGCTTGAAATCCTCCCTGAACATGAGACCCCCCCTGAACCGGAAATCCTCCCTGAGCCTGAAACCCCCCCTGAGGTTGCTGTCCTCCCTGAGCTTGGAGTCTTCCCCGAGCTAGGAATCTCATCTGGGCTTGAAATCCGCCTGGGAGTTGAGACGCAGCATGAGCGGGGAATCCACCCGGAGCCTGGAACCCTCCCTGGGGCTGCTGTCCTCCCTGCGCCTGAAATCCGCCATGGGGTTGCTGTCTTCCCTGGGCCACAAATCCCATATGAGCCTGAGATCCTCCCTGAACCTGAGACCCAATCTGAGCGGGAAATCCTCCCCGCGACTGAAATCCCCCCTCAGGTTGAAATCCTCCTTGAGTTTGAGGACCTCCCTGGGGCTGGGGTCCTCCCTGAGGCTGAGAACCACCCAGAGTCCCACCTTGATTCCCTCCCTGCTGGCCCCCACCCTGCGCTGGCCCCTGAGGATCCTGACCACTACCACCACCACCACCACCACCACCACCACTCTGTGCATTCCCACCCTGTGCATTCTCGCCCTCAGTTGGGGGATCAGGCTTCTCCGGCGCGGGCGCAAACTCAATCTGTCTCGCATCATTAATCCTACCACAACACATGTCAGCCAAAAATGCATTCTCACTTCCCTCCCTCTCACCCCCCCTCCCGAAAAACGAAACGACCACATACCGGCAATACTTATTCGGCAAATCAAAACACGACAAGAACAATCTCGGCCGATGAACCTTCAACTCCTCAGTCTGCTGGTAATTATTATATATCTCCCTCAGCTCCCTCGGCCAAATCTTCCGCTTCGCTTGCTGGTCCTCGTGGTACCGGTGCATGAAGAGGTAGATGGCCGTCTGCTGCTCGTCGGTCATGCGCCTGTCGAGGCGTTCGCGGGTGTAGGTGTGTTTGTAGCTGAATATGATTTGGCGGACGTTGTTTACCATCGCGACACTACACACAGACACATAAACTCGTTAGCCTAAAACACACACAGCACGCAAAGTCGCAGCAGTTGACCAAAGGAAACGACACGGAAGAGAGAAGAGGATGGGGACAATCTATCATCTATCAACTCACGAGAAATAGTCCGGCAACAGCTGCAGCAGCGCCAGCTCCCACCATGTCTGATTATCAGCCAAGCGACCGCGCGTGTGCACCACGAACGCGTAGTCGTCCTGGTATACCCCGTTCCCCTCAAAAGCGATGTTGATCGTGTCCCGCACAATGTCGTTGGGTAGGATGGTCCCGATGTCGGTGGTTTCGGCGGCGGCTACGCTGTATTTCAGGACGGCGTCGAGCATCTTGATGAAGTAGGTGGGGGCGGACCATTGGAGGCAGCCGATGGGGCCGGTTCTGGTAGGGGGTTGTGTGTTAGTTTTTTCTGGCTCTCCGTCTACCCTCGCTCCTGACTGATGGGAATTACTCACGTCCAACAGGCATTGAAATACGTAAGACAAATCGACCTGAAATTCGCGACGCTGAGGTCGAGGCCATCCTCGTCCACCATGGTGTGGAATTGGTGAACGAGCCTCATCTCATCATGCCAGGTCACGGACTTGGGATTCATGTGGTCTGGACAGCGGAAGATATACCTCCTCACCAGATCTATCATGCGGAGGAGATCTGGTTGTGACAGGGTCGGTTCGGGATACGACGGGCGCGCAACCGGTGGCTCACTGGGTGGGATGGCCTCCCAACCCGAGGTGAGGGAATGGACCACCTTGGACTCTGCATTCCAGCTGTGGACATGAAATTAGCTTTCAGACGCCTATGCTACTTTGGATTTTGTTTGGGGATGGAGAGATGTACCTCAGCATCGCATCGGCCGAATTGCACATGCGCAGAAAGATCTTCCAATCCTCGAAAGTGATAATCACCCCCGAAGATTCTTTAACTAAATGGTATAGGTGGAACCACAGACCGTCTTCTGTACAAGTTGCTACGATGTGGAGGCCGAGGGAGTTGCGGAAGTATTTGAGGTATGAGGCGATCTTGTTGGCTGAAACTACGTCGCTTGCTCTGATTTCCATGCGAGGTTCGTCGGGTAGCTCGTAGTCTGAAGTTGGGGTGGGGGGGTCGCGGGGTTCTCGAGCTGGAGCTGGGGCTGGAGCTTGGGGCGGGACTTCCTGCCCCTCTGGTCCTGCCGTTGGTGGCTGCCCTTCGACTTGGGGCCCGCCTTGGGCCTGTTCTGTTCCCTGCGCTTGCGGGACACCTGGTTCTTGAGGTCCGCTCGGTTCCTGGTGAGTTTGCTGGCCCATTCCGGGCTGTATTGGAAGGAAACCGCCATTGGGACCCGGACCATATCCTTCGTTCATTACCTGGCCGAGCCTTTCTCGAGCAAGTCTGTGTAAAGTTCTGCGTATATTTAGAGTCGTCGCCACCATTTGTTCCCCAGGGGACATGTCAAGCCTGATTTTAACGTCGGGGCGTATCGCTACATCTTTTATACAAGTTACAGGTGGAATATTTCCCGTATTTCCACCTCGTTCCCAAAACACATGTTGTTCAGCTAGGGGATCATCTGGAATCAATGCGTCTCCTCCGTACCGGCGAACATGATAGTCCCAGAAATCGCCGTGTAGAAACAATCGCATCCATTCGAGGGATACTAACTTCCGAACATTTGTGTGCGGCTCCAACGCTTTTCCGGGAGGCAAGTACCTGGTGTCCTCGTAGTCTCTGTGAGTCCCAGGATAAGGAAAGCTCTCGTCATACACCAGCAGCGGCAGGCCATTGTTGGACATAATTAGGCGATGGTGGGACTTGAGGACCTAGTTGGACAATATGAGTTAGAAGTGTGATTGGATATTTTTTGCAGACAACGGGATAGGGATGGGGTTTTGGCGGATTATTACGTTGTTTTCCAGAGAATGGCCCCTATATAACGTCAGAAAAGGGGCACAACAGAGGTGCGGTCGACATACACTTCATTCCACCCCTCGTCTGCAAAGTAGGGTTCTGAAAGGGCTCTGTTCATCATTCGTCGCCTCGGATCGATACGTTTTTCATAATGCATAACTGCCGCGTGCTGTTTGCAGGCAAAGTCAGCGAAAACAATCCCCGCTTATCCCTCGTACGAAGAGGAGTCAAATCCATAACGATCGCAGCATACTTACGGAAATTTCATGGGCAAGGGTTCTCGCAGCAAAATTAATCATCACGATCCTTTCTGGTTCCTTTTCTTCGGGTTAGCAGGATTCATTCCACGAACGAAAAGGAAATTATACCGTCAAATCGGGTTTAAGAAGTGGACTGATCAACTCCTTAGCAAGAGTTACGGAACTTTTTCCAGGCCCTCCACATGTAACCGTTATACCCCACCAGTGGTGATCTTGTGGACCGCCATCCGAGCAGTCGCGATACATAGATCTAAAACAAAAGAACCACTTGCCAGCCATCTCCCTTAAAAGATCTTTTACTGGAACTTTTTTCTTATGGATTTGTTCCGGTGTTCGCATCTTGAAGAATAAATTCTCCGCCCCAGGAATATGTGGACTTGGCTCTGTTCTCTTGTTATCAGAACCCGCATCGCTCAGCAACGCGTCCCACCTTCGAAATGTTTATCAGCTCATCTGTGACTTCAAATCCCGCGCATACAACACTGTACGTACCACGGCCAAAGATCTGAGTTATCCAAGTAAAGAGTGGTTAGTTGTAAAATAGGCTTAAGTGCCTTCCAAACGATTGGGTTGTCGGCCTGTATCACACTTAGTATTGGAAATAACGGTTTTCAGCTAACAGCGACACACTCACTATCATGAAGCTATCGTGTCCATCGCCTGTCAACGGCGGTGGATAGCTCTTGAAACACCCATTTAGCGTCTCCCACTGAGGTCCGTCAATGAGTGGATGTATTTTATTGTCAAGTTCATACTTCAGCCAATGGTCAGCAAAATCAGCATCGGCAGTTGGTATATATGCTCTCAAGGCCCTCGTCCATTCCATTGGGAACCCCCCATTAATCATTTTCTGATAATCTGCTATTGCGTGTTTCCAATTTCTCCGCCTCCCTGAGTCATCTGACCTGTGGGGGCTGACGGGAGTACGGCCGCTCTTGTAGCCTTGGAGTGCGTTGACAATATCAGGCCTGGACATATCCTTAAAAACTCCGTACTTCTGGGCAAATCTTGTAGGTGGCCGTCTGGGCCTAGTCGGATCCTTGGTCGCCATTGTGAAAATCGGTATTGAGTATCACAAAATGGGTGCAAATAGGTAAAGAGGAAAATTTTCGCGGCCAACGTGCGGACTCTCTTATCAATATATCGCTGCTAAGTGACCCTCATGAAGGTTAAAGCAAAGCCACTTCGTTGTCGATATCACATTGAAAGAAACAAATCGGCCGGCCGCGCAAATGCGTTTGGAATGGTCTTGTTCCCTTTCTCTTGTTTCGTCAAAGAACACTATTCCCTCGAGCAACATTGTTAACCACTGCAAACGGAAAAACTTTCTTTGAAAGAACAGGACAAGGGATTTCTAAATTTGCTGTTGATACACGCGCGTATAGATGGGAATATATCATAAGTGGTCTCTGCTAACTCAACCCAAACAGAAGGAGAATTTCTCGCCAACGCCGCATTCGCTCTTTAAATTACATTTTGTTCATAGCTGCATCCAAGCTTTATCACGCACTTACCGGAAGACTAGGGTGCGGCCAATGGCGTGTTGAAAGGCGTTGTTGTATCCCACCGTCGATGAACAGTTGCTCTCCTGGTATTTATCTTCCGCTTGCGGTAATAGTTGTATAATTTGCTGGATTCGATTCGCATTCTGGAGAGGGTTAGGTGAAAGCTCAACTTGATCAAAGATGGAAGGAAACATACCGACGGATGTGTAGAAAGCCATTCGGGAGGCGTTTCTTTGTCTAGCCTCTCCATTCTCTCCCACAACCCTACCGCCTCCTTGGGATCATAACAAGCTGCCGCCATAAGCATGAGGCCGATATGATCTGCCTCACTCTCCTGCTCTCTGGAGGAAACTCTCATAATTCCAAGGTCGAGCATCATGCTCCCTAAAAATCGCCCTAATCCCATTGTAACTCCAGTATAATCGAGATACATGAGCCCCCAAACTATCGGCTGGAGCAATGCCATCTGGCTCATCTTTTCTGCCGCGTGCTGCGCCATGTTGTGTGCAATTTCGTGGCCCATAACCGCCGCCAGCCCGTCGTTGTTCTTGCAAACGGGAAATATTCCACTGTAGACGAAGACTTTGCCTCCCGGGAGAACAAAAGCGTTTGCTTGATCTGACACCAGCATCGTCAGCCATTGCATACCAAACCTGACATATATATGTACTTACGCGGATCCTCAATGACGTGCACCGTCCATCCGTCGCCCTTCTTGCTATCACTTTGTCCCGTGCCCAAGTCTCCCGCCTCTATCAACCGCGCAAGCACCGTCTTCACCCTCTTAACTCTGGAATCGGATTCCGGTAGTACCTTGCCCTTTCTCGCCTCCTCAGAGAGGATCTGGTTATACGCCAACCTTCCCTGCTCCTCAGCACTGCCTTCGCTGTAGCAGTTAAACCTCCGCCGCCCTGACACCGGAACCGTCTCGATGTTCATGAAGTAGAATATAGTAACCCCACCCGCGGCGAGGATCGCAAAGCCCCTGAACTGCCCCGAGGCGAACAATCTCCGCACTTGCTCGGGGGTGATGAGGGGGCGCGCATTGTGCGGCTCGATGCGTCGGAAAATTTGGCGGCGGCGTGTGTTGAAGGATTCGTGGAAGGCTCGCTGCTGTTGCCGGCTACCTGTCGAGCTAGGTCCGCCTCTTACATTTCGCCATGTTTCGAAACTGGGTCTTGTGAAGCTTCGAGTGTTGACGCGTGGGAGGAGGCTGCCACGAGGCTGAAGGACTTCCGCGAGCTCCGCGCAGATAGCAAACTTTTTTGTAGCTGCTATAGGGCGCAGAAGCTTAGAGAAGAGCATCATGATCCGAGGTGGTCAGGGTATGCTACTCTGGCTAGGCAGCGGCTCGTGTTCATAAGCTGCCCATCGTTGTTGTGTGTATCTTGTCAGAATTGTCAAAATTGTCGCGGGGTTTTCGGCGTCATCATCGTGACCTAGCGGATAAGCTCGGGTCCCACATCTGACACATTCATGGGCTACAGCCAAGCTTCAACACCACCACCATTGCATTGTACGCACTGTCAACACAGCAAAAAGAGTACGAAATTATTTTGAGATATTTCTGTTATCTATACAAGATAGTGGAGAGCTACGAGGCGAATATCGCACCGGCAATCTAATGGCCTCTCACGGTGGCTACCAAGCTTCACCCTTAAACGCCCTGAGCATGACGCCCCCGTTTTTTGTGGCCCCTGAATGCCTCCTGGCCAAAACCACAACCAGTCAGTGCCTACCAGTTCAGACTCATACATCACTTCTCCTCATCAACATGAATCTCAAACGTTCCCTTCTTTCCAGAATATTTCGCCAACGGCTGGGTGCTCGGGTACTCGCTGGGCGTGCTACTCGTATCACTCACTGCGTCTTCATCGTCATCTGAGAACGCCCTAGCCTCGATATTATTGTCGTCCTCCTCTTCCATCTTAACTTGATCGGCCGTTAATTCGTTGACGCCTTCCCAGTCTTCCTCCTCATGCTGGTAAGCCTGGTCCGTATCCGACATATAATCTTCATTATTGTTGTCATCGGTCTCAAATTCATCCGTAGGGCTGTCTTCGTTGCCGATGTCGATGCCCCAGTCATTCGGGACGTTGCTCATAGACCGTCTATCGTTATAAATATAAGGTGCATTGCTGTGAGGTGTAGCATACGCGAATGGCGTCATCCCTCTCTTATGCTCTCGCTCCTCCTCAAAGACGTAAGGGCTAGGGGGCTCGGCGCTCCAGCGAGGGGTGTCACGCGGACGGTTGGGTGATTGAGTACGCTGGCGCTTCGCCGAGAAGCTATAGGAGTGTCTCGGGGCGAAAGGGGAGGGCGAGTGGGTCACTCGCTCATGTTGAAGCTCGAAAGACGTAATACGGCGTTTGCCTTGGCTCCCCGGTGAGGGTCGGAAGTTGATCGGGACAGTGATTGGCATGGATGTTGTACGGCCATGGATCGGGCGGGCTAAATTGCGTTCGGTGAGTGGCGATATAGGCTGTCCAAAGGCCTCGGAGGCAGGTGTGCGCGACCGAAGTGGAGGCGAGTACTCAGAAGACGATGTACTAGAAGTTGGGGAAGCTTGACCCTCATCGGATTCTGGTGCTGTAATGATGGCGAGAGACAGCTGCTGTGTGGTAACGGTTTGATGAACAACCGGTCCATCTAGCCTTTCGTCCCAGTGCCAGTGTGGCTCATGGATTTGGATTTGGCTGGGCTTGAAGCTACTGCTTGCTTGAAAGCCATCGTCGCTGCTTGCTGCGGAATTGCTTCCCTCGTTGAATAGAGGCAGATGCCTAATCTTCTGCCATGTCCAACCCGCGGATCCGTTTTGAACATAGCCGTCTTTATTTGTTATGTAAAGGCGCCTTATATTAGACTGTTGCATAGATACTTCCGCGAGGAAGGATGCAGTCCACAGTGTTGGCGTCAGCATCTCGGAGGTTTCTAAGAATCGCAGTTGCGAGTCCTTGTGTAATTTCCGCAATGGGATCCATGATGTACCAAGAGCTTCGCGGTACCGCCGAAGAGGTTTCGGGATTTTCGAGGGTGAGCTGATACCAGAAGACATAGTTTGAAGTATATCTTCAAATGCTTCAAACATGGCAAACTGAACGTGCTGGGCATCCGGGCCTTTAACATGGATTGTCCTCACAAGGCCTCTGCTGCGCAGTCGCTTGTCGACCACACTCTCTATGCCGCAAGCCCTTGCCGAGAAAACAGTTGATGTTGGCTGGGATTTTTCTAGTATGTGCTCCCAGGAGTTTTCTGTGGCCGCCTTGCTGAAAAACCGTTGAGACAGTGCTCCCATTAACATATGGGGAGATGATGTGTCTTGCGTACTCCAGGCATTTCTTTGCGTGGGGTTGCCCGTTCGAGACCATACTCGATTCATGTCAAGTCCGTATGGTAGAAATATGACCTCAAACTCCCATGGATTGGTCGCCGACGGAGGCATGGCGTTATCAAGATCACCTAGGCGAAACTCCAAGGCCTCGATACGTGAGTCAATCCGGGAATACATTTCCGCGTGGCCCGTAGAGGTCATCACGGTCGAATTATCCGACGTCACTGACCCATTGCCACGGCCAGCAAGACCAAGTTCCTGGAATCGCTTGGTAGAGAGAGCCTTCTCGATACGGTCCATCCGGCACTCTATTTTCTCATGCTTATGGCTAAGCAAGTCGCAGTCACAGTCACAATTCCCAGCGTCGGTTGGAGCTGCACAGCTATGGGTAGCATTCTCCAAGTGATCAAGACGGTCTTCATGGTTCTGCAAAGTGTCTTTCAATGTTGGCTTAACCGCATAATGTTTGTGAATATCCGAAACGTATGGTAAAATTTGATGGAAATTGGGAGTAGAATTGACAACATCCATCTCGGACTGGGCTACGACAGACGTGAGGCGTTCGTCGTTTTCGTTTGTGGAGACCAATAGGTCCATTCCCTGAGACGATGGTTTCTGACCCAGGTTTGTCTGCGATGCGCCGCTCTTCTCGGTCTCCACTGTCATAAGCTTGTCATGAAATTCGGCATTCTCTAGGTATCCAGATAAAGGCGATGCAGCATCGGTTAGGCTTTCGTTATATGAGCCGGCCTGGATGGGGTGAGGAATCCAGTCATGTATCAATCCAGTGCTCGCTCTGAGCTCCTCGCGAGATGCTGCCGATCTAAACGAAAGCGGTGCTCCCACAAGAGCACTCAAGTTCATATTTGAGGACAGCAAACACTGCGATGGAATAGGAGGGAGCCCAGTATCCTGGGGAATGAAGTTCGGTCCGGGGGTTCCTGTATCACTTCTTGGAGGGCCGGTCTCGGTGTCCACGCCAGGAGTTGGCAGTTGCTTCCCGGCTTGTGTCCCATTATTGAAGCTCACTGGGGCTGCTCGTTGCAAAGAGATACTTGGGGCTTTAGGAGGGTCCCTGTACGTGCTCGGGAGCGACGAGTCGCCTCCGTGTGAGGTTTGTCGAGATCGGATAGGCATCAGAGCGACTTCATCCGCCGGCTTTCCAACTTCATGGAAACATGCATGGTGCTCGCACATGCACCAACCCACCTTCTCAACCTCGAGTTCTCCATCCGCATTTATCGACCCGGCCGAGTATTCCGACCGGTCGCAAAAGCGCTGACAACCGCATTTTGCGTTATTGCCAATGCTCAGGTTTGTATAATTGCAAGCGCCCGTGGGCAGCTTTTGTGACGGCTGCCTGGCGGCAGGTCTATCGCCATAACGGCTATTCAAGAGTGGAGTATTGGCAATGTGGGCAGAGTGAGCCATCGGCAAGTCAAGTTTCGAAAGTGCTATGCATCGAAGACGATAAAGCCGCCGGTGGGTTGAGCGACGACGGCGGTGCTTGAGCTTCGATATATATAATTAATCTTCGGCGCCTTGGTAAAACTAAATCATGAATAATGCGCTCTTAACGAGAGATCGAAACTCGGCCGCGCAAGGCTATCGTGGGAGATGTTGTCGCGCTCGGAATTCATCGAGGGTTGGGAGGATTTCAGTACACTGAAGGGGGGTTGCCCTCACGGTAAGGATGGGGCCGCCTAATTGACAACTTTTCAACTTGGGATACTAACAGGTATATAGAAATATGAACATGGACACACTTGACTGAATGAAATATACTTTGAGTTGAAGGGACGACAAACGCAAGAGGAAAAAGGACCAAGGCACGAGCAAGCAGGCGCACGTACGTACACAGCCTGATCGTGGGGTCAGCCGAAAGGTGTGGAGAAAATATATTTAAGGAAGGAGAACGGCGAAATGAAACAGAAGCCACACAAGTACTTGGTGGCTTCGGTTGAGCACAGCAGTAGTTAGCATGGTATGCACTGGACGTATTGGACGTATGCACAGCCATGGGCTGTATGACTCCTCGAATCAACCTTGTCAGCTGTAGTAGTCCGGTCAGGTTACCTACCAAACCCGATAGAGCAACATAAAATCCCCTCCATGGGGACGAAGTTCGCAATGGTTTGCATCATATCTCCAGCCAAACAGCTGCTCACTTACTGTGGACTGGGAGGATTGGACAATGTGGCACATCCAAATTCTCCTGGCGCAGGTGCCTGGAGCCAGTGACGCCGGGGCAACTCGAGGCGTCCATAGCCGCCTCAGCGTTGTCGAATCATAAACGCCTTGCGGTGTCGCAAACACGACAGCGCGGTACGGGTCGCACTTACCGTCGCCTCGTTGACGAATTAGACGGCGTCAAGTGTGCAGATTTCCCGAACTGGTTAGGCGAATATGCATGCACTTTGGTGTTGTTTCCCCATCACATCAGCAGGGGGAAATGTGGGTGAGATCCCCGCATTGCATTGTGTCCCGTGTACAAACTCCCATGAATATGGAGCCGTTGACATGGTAAATTCCAACCGTTGGCGAATATACATCCAGCTAAACAAATTACCATGGGGCGTCTTGACATAGTATTATATCTCGCCAAATAGGCAGCCGCAGTAGAATTGTGGTAAAAAATATATAGTATTTATGTTATATACTTTGTCTTCCCGCCCTGAATAATGATACGATGAGATGAGAAATGCCTATCCAAGTCGTCGCCCAACGCTGTCGTTCCCTCCGTCAAACACCAAAATATGCTTACCTGTTCCCATAGCCCCCAACCTACACCTCGCCCCAGGCTCCCATTCCACCGGTGGATGCAGCCAATGAACCAGACCCAATACTCCCATTAATATCCCAATAGTGTCGGCTAGAGCCACTGATCCTCCTTGCCGACTTCTTCGTACTCTGGCTTGCGCAACTCGTGCTCTTTCGCCGCTGCTGGATCGGGCCACTAGGTACAATAACCTTGTATGATGCTCGACGCTCGGAGGGCTTCGGCCTCGACACGAGTGGGTGCAGCTGATGGACACGTGCTGCCCTTGCAGCTGCGTCTTGCGGACTAGTCTTGGTTCGAGAACCGGTAAGGTGCGAGGATACAGTAGGTTCCTTTCCGTTAGTGAAGCGCGACCTAAGATAGCTGAATACTAGTCCGATATCAAGCTGCTTCTCCCACTCCTCCTTGCTGAAACCAATGTGGGCCTCGTCCGACTCTTGATATCCCTGGGAGCGAAATTTAGACGGGCCTGCGCTGCCCTGCTCGTCTTGGGCGGATCGAGTTGGAGGGGCTGCAAAGTCCATGGCGTTTGCGGTATTTGGAATAGTTGGTTGAAAGAGTGGCACCGAAGCCGAGCCAGCTTGGGTTTGAGGCCCATCCTCCGTATTGGCACCTGTCTCCGGTATGATAGGCAAGCCAGCATATGGCAACGGCTGCTGCTGAACCTTAAGGTAGGTAGAGAATGCTCCAGGGTGATCCGATAACTGGTTGACGAGCAATCCAAGTTCACGTGCTATTCTCCCTAGAAGTCGATATTCCCATGAATCATCGCTTTGCTCCCTGTCTATCCCAGCATACCAGTCCCTGCGGCTAGCTTCTCGCTCTACCTCTTCCGACAGGCCCTCACCAAACAGTATTGACAGAAGTCGGTCGTCGATACCCATAAGATCATGGATGACCCTCCTCGTAATACGCGTCCAGAAACTTTCCCCTTCCTCCGTATCCATACCCTCTTCAGGCTTGGAAGTCTCAACTTCGGATAGGTCTCCTAGTGTTGCTACTTCTTCGTCGTGATAGTCCCTCTCTGATTTGGCCCTTGTACTTGACGCAGGTTGCCTCCTCCGACGCGTCTCCTTCTGTATCTCATCAAGCAGTGCCCGGCTTTGCTCTAGTCTCCATTCCTCAATCCTCCTCACTTGCTCGTTATCAGCGGACGTCTCATTCTCGAGTTCTCGCTGGCCAAGCTCAAGGCTTTCCCTTCGTCGCCTTATTCGTCGTGGGTTAAATCTCTCGAACGCGTATAACTGCTCTTGGACACCCTCCCCCATAGTCCCATCGAGTCGGAAAGACCCCAGCCCGTCGTGAGTAGGCAATACAGGATTCCCGTCTCCGTAGGCACTCTCCGCTCTGAACTCGAGCAGATGGCTATCTAGACTATCAAGTTCTCCATCCTCTTCATCATCTTCTGCAACCGCTTCCGAGTGTTCGGAGACATCTTCGTCATACTCGTACGACCTGCCAGCGGTGTCGATACTGCCATAGTCGCTCAGCCTTGATCGACCAACAGTGTGTCGCGTGCTAGCTGTTGTTGCTGTGTGTGTACGATCTGTAGTTGATGCCGGCGCCGGCGAGAATAATATCCATTCCTGGGAGTCCTCTAGTTGTTGATCTGGCTGGGTGGAAGGCCCATCGAGCCTGGGTTCCTCCGGTGTCGTGTATGTCCTTTGTGGGGCGTAGTGGGTTGACTGGCGGAAAGCCATGGTTCGGTTTGATAGTATATTCGACAACAGCCGTGGCTGCCTATAGTATTCAAACTTTCAACTTGATATATCTTCCCTAGCGACGTGCTTTCGGATGGGAGGCCAGTCTTGTTGAGGAGGCCAAATGACGTGCGTGAGGAGACACGGCTGGTCAACAACTAATGCAAAGGAGATAGCTATATAATAGTAATGGGTGGTCAAGCGTAAGGTCTGGGTATCAACTAAACAATATATGCAGAGAGTTTATTCGTAAAGGCTGGTTTGTATGGTAATAGAATGGTTAATGTCGCGGTGAGGAGGTGTGTATTGTCGATGGATGGTGTTCTCGTGGACCAATATGAGGCGGGGGTCCCTTCCCTGCACTTTGGGTCCGCGTGAAGTAGCAACCCTGCTGTCTTGGTGCCAATCTGTGCTTGCTCTTATAGAAACAATCTCAACAGAGCGCGCGACCATACATAAAATCGATTCCCGGGGACTCTTAAGAGTGATTTGAATTATATAGAGTCGTATTTACTGTAAATTCTCAGCTTACCTCGTTTGATTACTCACTCGACTTCAGAGTGCGAGCGACGGTACTGGCCGGCAGTGACACCATCGACCGATACGAGCAAGCGATAAGAAACAGGGGACGGGATGTAAGCTCAAATGCACCAATGAATACATCTTTATCACCCAACTGATATAAGATGTGGACGAACCTCAAGTCACCGCTGATTTCTTACGAATTATTTGGCTTATGGGGAGGAATTCATAATAACAGGGGTATGGTAGTAGACACATCTCAGTGGCGTGGCGGTCTCAATACTTCCCGTGAGCCGGAAAGCCGGGCCGCCATCTACTGGGAACACAGGTATCAATCACTCAAATCACTAAAGGGGAGCAGCAGAAGGATATCATGGCTATTTTTCATAGTTACAATGAAACGAGCACCTTTGACTCAAAAACCCTTCCATTGCAGCCATCGAAAGCAATTATGCGCCGTTCTTATCCACCCGTCATGACCCAACAACAACAATCTAAGCAGTCTCGGCGAAAGCAGCCGGGAAACGCCTAACGTTGTCTGCGATCTTGCCGTGGGTGCTCAAGAACTGGACGTAAGCACCATCGACGAAAACCTTTCCGGTGTTCTTCTTGTCCATGTACTCCTCACGGCGAAGAGGGGTGAAACCCCAGTTCTTGGAGACGATGATCTTTTGGCGACCGGGGAACTTGTACTGGGAGCGGCGGAGAGCCTCGATAGCGACGGCGCGGTCTAGGTGGGTTGGTTAGCTGCTGACGTAGTAGACCATTCCAAGGGCAAACTTACTAGAATCACGAGTGCGGACACTCAGGATGATCTGACCAATGTTGACGCGAGCAACACTTCCGTTGGGCTTTCCCCAAGCACCACGCATACCAGTCTGCAGTCTATCGGCACCGGCACATGACAACATCTTGTTGATGCGGACGACGTGGAAAGGGTGAGGGCGGACGCGGAGATGGAAAGACTCCTTTCCGGAGGTCTTGACCATGTACCTTTATTTATTGTCAGTATATGCCTTGTAATTCAAACGCGCATTCCGAAAGCCCATTGCCATGCAACTCGCGTAGCGTCTGACAGTGCTCTGTTGACGACTCTGGCGAGGCTCTGGTTTCGGGCTTGATGGGTATCGCTGTATTGGATAAACTCACTTGTTGGCGCAAATACGGGCAGCCTCAAGGGCCTCAGAGCTCAGCTGCTCATACTCGTTGGAAACCAAGTGAATGCACAGAGGGAACTCGTCAACGTTTGCCTTCTTGCGGCCAAGATCGAAGATGCGAATCTTTGGGTCCGGGACACCACGGTTGAAACGGGACTTTGGGTAAGGCTGTGAAGAGACTCAAGTTAGCTACCAATCTTCCAAATATCTCGCAGCTCTCGATCGAACGCAAATTCCATCCAAATCTTTCCACGGGCGCCGCTCTCGCAGACGTCGCTGGTGTCGTCGAGATTCCATTCATCGCACAACCCGTCCTTTCCCTCCCGTCCCTCGATCCCTCGTCACTCGTTCCCACACATCGCAACAGTTTCAACGTACCTTGTTCTTACAGTAGCGGTAACATCTTGCAGGACGGCGAGCCATTTTGAATGATTTCGTCGATGTTGCTGTCGTGAATTAGTTGAGAGATGGGCGGAGGCGAGGGAATCCGCTTGCCTTTACGATATGCACTGCTCAAGATTTGAAATCAAAAAGCCCCACTAGCGACTTCGAACCCTAAGCCCACAAAAGCTTGCAAAGCTTGCAAAGCAATCGCTTACGAGAGATCACGGGGTTATGTGTCACGTGCCAAGGTGACGGATAAGGCTTGATAATAATGTACACGTGATTTGAAACAGGGGGGCTGGGAATATCACACCTGTCTGAATACCTGTTTCTGGTCTATCAATAGAAATTACAAATGACCAGTCGACATCGACCGTGTTCCACGAAGTGTAAATAAATTCTACCGTTCTCGAAGGAATGATTAATAGAAATGGACTCCATCAATTTTCCTAGCCTGCTTAAATTTGGTATCCACGGCTTTCCACGACACGAATTGACTTTACTGGATATTGCACGTCTCTGTGAGTCCAGGAACCATTTCACTACGCGTTTGCCACAAGCCATCTCCATCTTGATGGGAGAGATTGAGGCGGCAGCCTATATGGGAAATTCTCAAAATGACCCCTGTATGTAAATGTTCTGGAAAACGTCCGGCTATGTTGAGGAAATTAGTGGCACGGTTATCCTAACGCATAACTCTGAGCACTTCACTTTAATAAACCATGTTCAATATTTTATCTTAACTGCCTAGAGCATGTGAACCATAAGACATTTCACAAAGGTGGCCATGTTTCAATAGAATGAAACGCGGGGATATTACGTCCGTTTATTGACTCTTAAGATCACCAATTTATGAGACGGGTTAATCAATTTCGCATGGACCACCACTGAATCAGACAAGTCCATGAACCACAAAAGTCAACCAGGTGGCCCATACAAACATAACACACCTGTCTTCTGAATCGTATCAACCAAGTCGCGACATAATTGTTAAATATCCGTGTCTGCAGGTCATAAAGTTGATGTTCAACGTTGTCCAGCCCCATAACACCAAGGTACAACATTACTCTAGCGCGTAACCACGTGGAACGTCAACCCATTTCAAGATACGACATTATCGGGGTCCCACGCGACAACACCATTTGCCAACACAATGTCAGGGACTGACAAGAAGCTACCGCCAACAGGCGCACATGGGCGTCGGCCTACGAATCCGACCACGTCTCCTACTCCATCGAATCGCGCGCCTGTTCGCTCTCCGACACCATCCTCACCTTCGTCGCAACCAAATGGCGGTCTCCCTAGGACGAGGTCGCTGCGCGGCAGCGCCTTGTCGGCTGGGAACCCAGCTAGACGATCTGTTGTTGGCGCATCGGGCTTGAGTAACAGCAGCAGCGCTACAGATGCCGAGGAAGCTCGAGCCGAGACTATTGCTGCGATGGACGAGCTAAAGGAGAGGTTGCGGTTGTCCGAGATCCGAGCCGAACAGTTCCAGAAAGAGACAGAGGTATTACAATCCAGGCTAGAAGATGCGCTACAAGAGCAAGTGAAGCTTGAGGACAGATTACATGAGGAGGAGGAACGGGTCGAGTCGCTGGAGAATGAGAAACGTGATTCCGCCAGGCAGATGAGGGAGATGGGGGCAATATACGAGGCAGAGCGAACATCAATGACGAAGGAGAAGGAGGAGATGGGTAATCGAGAAGAGGAGATGCAGGTGATAATTCAGAGGTTAAAGGAGAGTTTAAGCCAAAAGGCCAATGGGGACGATGATGCTCGTAGTGAGGGGCGAGGCTTCAGGCACTGTATGTTACCCCTTACTTCCCTTGACATGCCATTTACTAACCCCCAACGTAGCCAATAATTCATCGCCGAGCATCGAAAGCAACAATCATTTTGCTCCTCCGTCGTCCTTGAATCGCAGCGATTCTCGAAATAACTCTAAACTTCTCCTCCAAAAAGATCGTGTGATCGAGTCCCTTCGGCTAGAAATAGCGGAAGCCCAAATAAAGATAGTCGAATCGGAGAACATGGGTGGCGGCCGCATACAAGAGATTGAACGACAACTTCTAGAGACTCGGATGACCAACGCCCGGTTGATGGAAGACAACGAAAGCTTCCAACTCCTCCTCTCCGAGAAAACTCTCAACGGCGACTTCACAAAGTCGGACTTTGGGTATATGTCCTCTCCGGCCCGCGCCGATGCCCTTGATGCACTCGAAGGCCGCACCGGTGGCTCCAGTCTGGCGGACGAACTTTCTGATGTGGCAGACGGCGATATTGAGGCTTATCGACGCCTGGAAGCTGAGCTCAAGGCCAGCAAGGAACAGAACAAGGCACTCACACTCTACATTAACAAGATTATCGAGCGACTCCTCGAGCATCAAGACTTCGAGGCTATCCTCGATCAGTCCTCTGACTTCAAGCCGGGAGCTGCCGGAACCGTCCAAGCAAACACCAATAAAGACCTTCCGCCGCCACCGCCTCCCAAGGAAGCCGCTGGTGGCCCATCAATCCTGCAACGCGCAAAGTCCGTTGTTGGCGGGACTCGTCCAAAGCCTCGACCAATGTCCCAGATGCCCGCCGCTCACTCGGCCCTGACCGACCCCGACACCGCACCCTCAATCCCGTTCAACCTGAACCGCGGCGCGTCGGTTCGTAAGGCTAGGCCAGCAAGCGAGCAGATATCCTCGGGAGCATTCAGCGTCGTAAACGCAATGTACAAAGGCCCCACCGCAACTTCACCACCGCTTCACGGACCTCAGACGCCACGCAACTCGACGAGTTTCTTTGCGCCGCCGGCCGCAGCCGGAAACCCCAATGCAGCAGCACGCGCACCAAGCGGTGGCTTCGCACTACCATCTTCTGGCAATTTCCCTGGCAGCCGCGTTAGTGGTACCAGTGACGGTGGAAGTACGACCAGCACGGAGACTAGCCACACCAGCCACACTGGCGAGGTGAGCACACCGCCACCTGGAAACTCACCCCCACGGGCGATGGACAGGCAGGCTACGTTCGCTGGGAATAAGCCACGGCCTCTGCGACTAGTACAGGACCAGGCCGAAACAACAGCCAAGGCGGATAAGCGGGCGAGCTGGATGGGATGGGCGATGAACGCGGTGGGTAAGAAGGAGGACGGTACCGGCGAGGCGGGAAAAGACTAGACGGCGTTACGGATATGGCGCTAGGTCTACAATTGGATTGGGATCGGACGGATTGGGTGGATATTGTGTTACTGACTCTCCTCATTTTGTGCTTTGTATGGTTGTATCTTGTCGAGGCGGAACGATTTGATTGAACAATACCCTTGATGTGGCATGATGGTTTGATAATTTGTTTGACGCAGCGCATAGAGCATGAATATATAATGGCATCTAAGATATACTAATGTGTTATTGATATAATCCTGTGAAGTGAGACAGATTGAATTATGCCATACTATTACCTGAAAATCCTGCCTTATCGACGCCGGTGCTAAAGGGTGCTATGGATATAAGATGGCACTCTCCCTCCTATTCACATCCGCTGGCAGTAGTTGTCACGTATCAGTGTTCACGTAGAGCGGGTCAATGAGCTAGTATGTTCAGAAACAGTATGGTCTATTGTATATATGCTGTCGCAATGGTTCGAAATCATATATGCATTGCAAATCACTCCCTTGCCTCCCATTCTCTTCATACACGTCGCCTTTTGAACCTATGTTGTCCTCCTCGGTTTCGCCTTGGTCCGCAGCATCACCTGAATGACAACACACATCCAGGCACTAATGCGCCTCCGTGCCTCCGTCATGTACGCCCCTCACTCGACGGTGTAAATACAACGCCCTCTAAGCTTGCAGCGCTTATAACTTGGCGGCGTCCTTAACGGTCCCGATCTGGAGCTTGGCTCCGTACTTCTTGAGCACGCCGGCGTTGTGGTATTTCCAGAACTGCTTGGAGGCGTCCTTGCCGGCGACGCGCTTGAGGATCTTGGCTCCACCGGGGTGCTCATCGGCAAAGTCTGTATATGATGTCAGTCAAGCTCACAAATTATAGGAGTACGACCAGCGGCGTAAGAGTTGCGCTGTTCGAGAATGCCGCGGCTCTTTTTTCCAGGCGCATATGTGGAAAGGCTTACCGGTGACGTTGTAGACGTTCGAGTCTACGATGATGTAGAGGCCCTTCTCGGGGTTGTTGTGCTGGGCAACATCTGCGGGAGTAAATTGTTGAGACATGTTGAGCTGTGTATTGCGTATATAGGGCGTGAATGCAAGAAATGTGGTCGAGAAGGGGAAGTTATCACACTACTTAACTCTCCACACTTCACCTTTTCCCCAGAGTCCCGGATATGACATCGGTTCAGGATCCAAGCACTTCGTACCTTTTACCTCGGCACGTTCAGTAAGCACACTTTGGTCGCGTTTGATTGGTTAACCATTGAGACCCTGGTTCCATAATTCCTGGCCTATCAGGGGCGGCCCAGCTGCAAGGGTAGACGCGTGGTGGCAGTCGTCGTCAGGCACTGGTGACGACAAAGAGCGCGCGGGAAGTTCGGAACGTCGCTACAAAAGTCATGGTCCCTTTTTAAAACCCATCCATATATACTGGAAGTCTGGTGCCGCACACAGGCGCTTGTTTAATTCCAATAATACTTTATCAACCGCCAATAAAATTACGTTTTGCGTCATTCGACTGGTTATGGTTCCTGGTTCCAACTAGCCTCTATTAGGTGTCAGAGACTCGCCACACTTGAAGTATAAACTTCAGCTATCAAAGCCACGAGCGGCTGGGATCAGAGCCAAGCTCGAACTTATATAACATAGAAATCATGGCGTCTTTGGGTTGGTCTTATAGAGATACGCCGTACAATCCATACTGGGGCCCAACAAGCTCCAAGGCAAAGTGAGAAATCCAAACGCCCGTTATTGGCAACAAGGCTGACAAGCATTACAGTTTCTGCGAGGAGGTGCGTTGCCAAGATAGCCATGGCATGGCTCCTCTGATCCGGTATTGACATCTCTATAGGACTATATCGTGACACGATATATCGCAGAGCTCATCAACACCCTCACAAACCTCACGTATAGTACGTCGCCATACCCCAAACCGGCACCCTCGGACATAAAATCACGGTAAATACACATACTAACACTCAGCCTAGTTTTATACGCCATTCATGGGATCTATAAGAACTGGGGCCGTAAGGATGCCTTCCTCAGGAACATCCCATATCTCGGCATCATGGGCGTCGGTTTCGGCAGCGCGGTCTTCCACGCCACCAACATATATTACACGCAATGGGGTTTGTCCCCTTCCCATATACAGAAGCACGCGAGACTAACAAGTCACAGCGGATGACCTATCAATGCTGCTCGCTACGGCGACGGTCATGCATCGCGTCTACACGTATGATGACACGCCACTGCACGCAGTTCTCAAAGGCCTCGGCCTCGCTGCCTTCCTAACCGTCTTTTCCGTGTGGCACTGCCTGTCCGACGAAATAGTTGGGCACTCCATCCTGTTTGGCGTGATGGTTGTCCTTGTGGGGACAAAGACGCGCTCGATCATCAGCCACCGCGTCGAAGACCCAGCTGTGAAGAAGGAGGTGCGCAAGCTCGTTCGATGGGGCTCAGGTATGTCTTCTTTGTTCTCGTGGTGGCTCGGGTTTAAGAGTTGGGGGGATGCTTATGGTGCAAATAGTGATTTTTATCTCCGGATATGTCATTTGGAATATCGATAATATCACCTGCTCCTGGCTCACGCAGGCGAAACGAACAATCGGCATGCCACTTTCGTTCCTTCTTGAATTGCATGGCTGGTGGCATATTTTTACCGGCATTGGAGCGTATATCTGTATGTTTTATCCCTTCCTTTCAATCTAGCCAATAATCGTACTTGAAGTCGATCTAACATATCTAGTCATCGCCCTCGTCGAGTACCTAACATCAGAAGAAGCAGGCGAACCTCTTGCGGGTCGTTTCGCCTGGCCTATCGATTTGTTCCTGAGGAGACCTCGGTCTACGCCGAATATTATCAGGACTGGTTATGGAACATTGAGTAAGCCAAACGGGAAACAACTAGCTAAAATACAGAAGCTTACGTGACTAAACAGGCGCGGCTCCCGAGAGCATTGACTAATGACGCCTATGGGCCTCCAAATGCGGGTCAGATAGACCGGGGATGATATCGCAAAAAGCGAAATAATAAAGAAACGGGAATAGATTGAAGTGGGATAAAATTGTAATGACGAGGTATAGAAGAGTGGGGGTAGATGGTATGATACCCGCAGCGCATACGACTGGATGAAGAATGGGTTTTTAGAATGGAGTTGAAAAAATGCAAGAAAGAAATATATTTTTTATGGTGCGTCTCGGGCGGTTAATAAATTAATGGCTTTATATAAGAAAACCTCTTTATGTTTGCTGCTGCCTCACATTATTGTTTTGCCACACATCCCTTACAAACATTGCCTTCAAAATCATATTTGTCGCCACCATTTTATTGCCCCCTATAAAGAGTGCTCGAGCACCCCCCTCCACATAAACATCCACCCACTGTCACATTCCTACATCATAGGTAGCATCTTCAAGTTCCAACCAGAGCAGCGCCAAAACCGCAAGCATGAGAACCTCAATCATTTCCCTATTTGGTCTCGTTGGCCTTGCCCTCGCCGCCGAGCTTGCCTGTCGGGAAACCGAAGATAATAGGGATTATATTACGCCGTAGTGTTGCCCTGATAATGGCCAATGCACTTACAGTAAGCATTCACATCCTAAACCAGCCCTTAAATACTATTTATTTGAAAGAGGTTATACTTATATAAACATTAGATTCACTACCATATTTACAATTTGACGATGCTCGTCTCAAGAGCTATTGCAGCGGCTTGAAGCAGGTGGCAACATGCTGTCTTGATGAAAAGGAGGTAAGAACGGACGCATGTTTGGATATCGTGTATTAATTCTAACAATCATCAATAGCGGAACATAGCCTTGGACTGTAAACCAATCGCATAATAGGTGTAGCCTATACTACGCACCTTATCATGGGTTGCAGCAGTAGACGGCGGGCGAGGCTTAATCCTTTCAATTATGGAAAATAAATACATACCATAAAATTAAGGACCCTAAAATTAAATATTTTTGCCGTCTTAACTCTCTTCAGTTCAGCAGACAAAGACCCTAAAATGGGTGAGAATGCTGCAGGTACACAATATTGCTAAGATTATTAGTATGAATGTCTCGGATATTTCTCTCTTCTCTCTATTCAGCTGCCTCATTGTTCGCTTCATAGGTCTGAATGGCTAGTTTCCTCTGAGTAACCCGTAAGACTTTGCCAGTTAGCCTTGGTCTCAAGAGTTAGCTACTGGCCCTAGTTATGTTTCAGCTGAGATTTACCAGATGCTGTGTTTGTATAAAGGGCGCGGGGAACCTCCCTCCTCCCACTTAATAGATCATCGCTACTGGCATTCTCCTGTTTAAACTTAAGCAACGCCAATCCTGCAACCATGAGAACTCAATTCGGCGCCCTCTTCGCCATCGCCATACTTGCTGCCCCAGCATTTAGCGACGACAAAAAAGCTTGCGACCAACCTAGATATCATGCGCCAACTTGCTGCCCTATTGAAGGCCCTTGCTTCGAACCCTGTAGGTTATTTCTAAAATGCCTCTTTAAACAGAATCAAACTCACATGAACACTAGCCAGACTGCTAGCGATCATCATTACTGAGTCCTATATGAAAGAGTACTGCAGGGTACTGAAGCAAGTGGCGTCGTGCTGTGATATTTCCGTACAGAATGTAAGAACGTGTGATTTGGTCTCTTACATGCGCTACTAACAATTGTCAATAGCCATCGCCAAGCTCACCCTACTCTTGCAAACCAATGGAAAAATAGGCGTGGTTTGTACCCTGCTTCTTGTCACCAGCCACCGCATCAAGAACTTTAGGAGGGAAGCTAGGGCCTGAGTATTCCATGAAGGCCAGATGGTGAGGAGGTGAGGATGGGATTTCAGACAATGGGATACGTGTGTGAAAGAGATCCAGTGAAATATAACCCTTATTTCAGAGAGAAAAGCACTCTGGGCGTTTAATTTTAACCCATGCTTGTGAGATAACTTGACAAATGCTGTTTGGGAAATAAACAGTGTCGTAGAATGGTTATGAATAGAAAATTTAACTTCACGACAGTAAATCACAAGATACTCCCACACAATGAACCTAAACCCCATAAAAAGCTGACGCAGGGGGGGAGACGCATCTCCCAAATTCGTCAAGTCGTAGCTATGTATATATATAAACCTAAAGAGCAAATATCCCACCGCCTATCATCTCTATCCACGCGAGCGCCAGCAACTAAACCGAGGCGGCGATATCCACACCCCAAAAAACCCTATTAGGCTGGGTTGCGTAAAATCTTTCAAAATGCCAGCTCCAAAACATATTTTTGTCTGGGCCAATGCCGCTTCTCCAAAAGGCCACTCATATACGCATCAGCGCGGACCAATGGCTCAATGAGCGAAGCATAATAGCATGCTCCAAAGGAAATAAACCAAAAGATGGACCCTTCGACCAAGTCCAACCGCCATCTAAAATAGCATTCACGACTTCTGAGACATTAACGTGGCAATCTCCACCACGCCCGTCACCTTCCCCTCCACGGCCGTCGCAATCACCGCATCATCATCATACGTCGCCTCTCCCCTCGCAGACTCCATCTTCGCAGCCTCCAAAAACGCAATCGCCTCCCTCACCGAGATATCCTCCCTCACCACGATCCACTCCGGCGTAGTCACCACCAGCCCCCGCACCTTCGTAGCCAGCTTATCCATATCCTCCGGCTGGAGGCGCCTGATCCGCCGCGGCGGTGCAACACTGTTCTCGCAGTACCGCACCCACCCCGACGGGGACTGGTATCCCGCGATGATGACGTGGGTTGCGAGGGCGGTGCCCCAGCCGCCGCCAACGAATGGGATATCAGCGAGCGGCACGGCGATTTCGGCGAGTTTGGTTTTAGCGGCAGGAGGAGGGGAGGAGGCACCGATGGCTCCTCCAGGGTGGTTGGTGGCGAAGACGGAGGTTGCGGAGGTGCCGTGGAGTTCGCGCGAGATGGCCAGGGTGAGGGCGTCGCCGAGGGCGAGAGCAATGGTTGTGGAGGTTGTGGGGGCGGAGATGCCGAAGGAGGTGGTTTCGGATTCGGAGATGGGGGCGGGAAGGAGGATGGCCGAGGGGCGGCGGTCGATTATCGGGCAGGTTGAGGGGTGGGTGTGTGCGGTGAGGACGATTAGGTCGTTTTCGGGGTTGAGGTGGGGTACGAGGGAGAGGAGCTCGGGGGTTCGTCCGGAGAAGGTGATGAAGAGGATGATGTCGTTGGTGTCTATTTGGCCGAGGTCGCCGTGAAGCGCTTCGGTGGGGTGGAGGAATGTGGCGCGTATGGAGAGACTGTTCATCGTTGCCACGAGCTTGTTCGCGATATGTCCGCTCTTGCCCACTCCAACGATTACCAGCTTCCCTCTCATCTCCATGGCCCTCCGTATCAGCTCCACCGTCTCATTGAAACCCTGCCTTGCGATTGAGTCTGTTTGGTATAGGCGCGCGAGATATGACAAGGCCTTTGCCTCAGTCTTTAGAACATGCACCGCGGTGGCGAGGCGTGCTTCGAGAACCGGATAAGCGCCAGTTACCTCTGAAGGGGCGATGGTCATGAGCTTATCTGGTACTGGGGAGATTGCCCTTGTCTCGCAGGGCGTGGGAGGTGAGGGAGGCGCCGGCCGTGTCCGGCCATTGAGGACATAGACCTCACTATTCTGGATTGGAGGGCGTTCCACACCCATTCCGACAGATGTATGTGTGTAGTTCGACGGAGTTGTGAATGTCAACTCCGAGATCGAGGGTGGCTTCCTGCCTATCTTCGTTATGACTACGTCGTGGAATATCGAGGTATCGCGGAAACCCTCGGGGAATTCGCAAGGTGTATGTCAAGAGGAATCCGCCACGTAATTTCGGGGTTAAATAGATGTCAATGGGCGAGGCTATCTAGGCATATTGGTCAGCTTCCAGTATCATTTATTTCGGGGCTTCCGCTCGCTATTTAACAAATGCTGTAGACTCACACTCTTGAAGTCAACGGCGGAGACCGTGTGAAACCGGGGATAAGGATTCCGCCGAGGGTCTCAGCTCAAAGAAAATTCGTGCGCAACGGGCCAACTGAAGGTCATCCTGAGCGGCTCTCCAATGCAGCAGGGTAGATCTGAATGTATATGGGAGTATGCGTAGATATCCAAGATCGAGTTTAGAGATTGACAGTGGCTGGCGAGGCTATCAGAGGGCAATAGGAAGCGAGTGGAGTTTTGAGGGTGTCAAGAGCCACGCCACGTTAATTAAGTATGAGGGGCGGAAAGACAGAGCAAGGGTCTTAGGAGTCCAGTACTGCCGTACATCAAAATCGACAGCAGCTAGTCATATTCTAGTTTGGCGGGGACAGTTAGAGGAGAGCTAACGGGGTTTGCGACCCAAAGTAAGAAGTTGGAAAAAGGTGGAAAGGGCGTTCCAGACGATTTGCAGTTACTCTAATCGGCTATCTGCGCTCCCGTGGAGTACACACACGTACAATACAATACACCCACACCAGCCGGGGGCTCGGCGTCTATGCTCTCCGTGCAATATATAATTAGATAAATAGAATAACAATTCAGGTTAGCAATTGGCAAAAGAAACAAGCAGGTTGACTAGTAAATCTTACTGTTCTAAGTAAAATTCCAGGGATTCCATGTGATAAGTTAAAGTTCTGATGATGTGATTGATACTAGCGCTGAAGCGATGGATGGAGGGGCAAATACGTACCACGATAAACACCGAGTTCCGCGATAGGATAGAGTACTCTACAGTGCGTGCCTGTGCGGTACTCTTCATATGCCGTAGTAATATGTTGTATGTATCACCGTGGGACGACAGTTTTCTGACTATTTACTAATTGCCCGCAGTCTCTAGTATATAGTATGGCTGGATTTCTAAGCGTATGTATGTCATCAATGCGCCCCCTCGAAATTCTCACTCAGGGCTCGGTTGCGGCGGAGATGACTCAGCTATTACACCGCCGACTCACCAAACCCCGCGATATCCCGCTCCCTCCCCTTCGCCTCCTCGTCTCTGATCCTAGAGAGCCTCTAACGCCCTTCGACATGGCTTATGTTGTGCCGCGTCGCCTACATACGGAGTAGGGATGTGGTCATTAGGGCCGAAGATTCCATCATCGCCTCCCCTTCTAAACTAACCGCCAATGACGCCGATACAGCGAAGTCAGGTGACTAGGACGGCCACTTTAGACTCCGCGATTTATGCAAGGTCTAATGCAACCTGTTTGAATCTACTCTAACCTCTTTGAGTTATGTGAGCAATGTAGCACAATTAAATGTGTGTTTGTCACGTGGTCGTAAGCTTACCTCCCACCAAGCTATTTGCCAAAGATCTCGCCAACTCACCCCGCTTATGCACACCACGAAGCTATTCGACAGAGAGCTGTCAAGCCATTGTTGTAGGTGTGAGTTCCGATGGCTTAGACTTCAAAGTCAGCCTGTACCGGAGAACGGAGGAGGGTAATACGGTACGTGGCGTAATAATCATCAGCTCGTTGGTGAGTTCGTGAGAGATGCGCACAAGCCTTTCCCCATCCGTGGCGCAGTCATCCGGTGAAGGTGCTGCCTTGGAGGCTGCCTTTTGAACGCAACAACGGGTCGTATGTTCTTACTCATTCTGAAGTATCGTATTAACTTTCTTTGACTATATATGTTTTCTTTCATCTTGTCTTAATTTTAAGTGAAACTTGAGATCTTTGTATTAAAATCTAAATATTAATACGAACTGTCTGCCTACTTTTTGATATATCCGTTTCCAACTTCTCACATTTCAACACTCGCAACCATGGTAAATAATTAATCTATAATACAGAGACAAATGACTAACTCATCCCACAGAGAGGCCTTTTCCGCAAAGCCGACCCTGACGCCGACGAGAAGACACTGTGCGATGATGGCGAACAAACCACACTTCCATTCAGGGAGCGCGAAAAGCCGGACCCCCTTGAAGATGAAGCGGACGATAGCGTTTCTCTGACTCTACATCCCCTTCCAGAGATGGAGGGAGTGATCGTTTCTGTTCATCCTCCGAAGGGGAAGAGCCGGACGCCATGTGACGTTGTGCTGGTCATTGACGTTTCGGGCTCCATGGCCACGAAGGCACCATCGCCAGAAACAGCCGCGGGAGAGATCGAGGTGAATGGTCTTACAGTTCTGGACCTGACCAAGCACGCCGCGAGGGCTATTGTCGAGACCTTGGATGACAACGACCGCCTTGGGATAGTCACGTTCTCTGACGAAATCAAGATTGTCCAGCGCCTGAAGCCCATGACAAAATCGAACAAGACTGCAGCCTGGAACAACATAAAAAATATCCATGCCGATGGTTTGACGAATATCTGGCAGGGTATTCTTCAGGGAAGAAGTCTGTTTGACGACGAACCGCGGCCAGGGAGTGTGCCTGCGCTTATGCTGCTGACGGATGGTGCACCGAACGTCGGGTAAGGCTCCAGATCAACATATACATGAACCCAGCTAATTCAATCAGCTGTCCGCCGCAGGGATATGTGACACAGCTCCGTATGTATGATCTCCCAGCGCCAATCCATACATTTGGCTTCGGCAGCCAGATTGGCTCCTCCCTTCTCCAATCGATTGCAGAAGTTGGGAGCGGCAACTTTGCATACATTTCCGATCCAAGCATGCTTGTAAGTCTCCCAACCTCCTTTTATGACGTCTCTGACAGGCTATAGGCCACTGTGTTTATTCATGCGATTGCCAATCTCCAATCGACATTTGCAATGTCGGCAACCTTGACAATTGAGGCTTCTCAAGGGCTTCAACTGGCCGAGACCATGGGTGACTACATCAGAAAGGAAATCCCGAAGGACCAAGCCCAGTCACCCAAGGACAAGTTACTCATACCACTTGGGGGCTTACAATATGGACAATCCCGCGACATCTTTCTCAAGTATGAACCATTCGAGCAGAAAGACGAGAAGCCCCTTATCAAGGCCGAGCTTCAATGCAGACCCCTAAATAAGACTTCTGGCAACTGCCTCGTATCCTGTAGTGTTTCGGACAGCCCAAATATGCAACCCGAGGTAATCGACTTCCACCGTAACCGCGCCACGGTATGCGAATTCGTCAGCTCTCTCGCACCAATTTCCAAGACCCACGAGCGCACCAAAGCCAACTTGCGCGACGTTGAACAGAAGCGCTGCGAGCTACAGAATCTAATCGTCGCCATCCGCGCCATGGTCCTCGATGACGATGCCAACATCGGGCTCCTGGAGGACCTCGAGGGACAGATGATGCTCGCTCTCGCAACGAGCTATTTCGGCGGCTGGGGCTTCCACTACTTGCTGTCGATGTATAATGCGCATTTCAAGCAGGTGCGCAACTCCTTCAAGGATCCCGGCCCACAGAGCTACGGCAAGGACTCTCCGCTGTTCCTGGAGGCGACCAAGGAGCTCAGTCTTCTGTTCGACACGCTGCCATCGCCCACACCGGTCGTAACGGTGAGGGATTCGACGGGACGCTCGATGAATAGGACGATGAATATGAGATCCTACAACATGAGAAGCAACCCCTGTTTCGCGGCCGAGTGCAAAGTTGCCCTCGCGGACGGCACGAAGGTCGAAGTCAAGGCTCTGAAGAATGATATGACACTCTGGACACCGAAGGGCACGCGCAAGCTCGTGGGCATCTTGGGGACGGCTGTCGAGGATGAGGCGATGTGTAAAATTGGCGACCTAGTCATTACGGCCTGGCACCCGGTTTTTCTGGACAAGAAATGGGTGTTCCCAGGCCATAATTCGGATTCGACAACACAGTACACCGGAACTATCTACTCGCTTCTCCTGGAGCAGGATGGGGACGCCGAGGCACACGCAGTCGAAGTCGGTGGGATGCTTGCTGTGACGCTTGGACATGGTATCACTGGCGCTGCTGAAGATGGCAATGACGACATACGGGCTCATGAATTCTTTGGGGACTATGCCAAGGTTTTGGAGGGGCTCCAGGCGTTGCCTGTGTTGGACGGAGTCTACAGCTCTGTCGGTGTGGAGAGGGACGAGGCGACGGGCCTTGTCAGTGGGTTTGCTGCCAGGAATTAGGTTTAGCGTAGTATGTTAATCATGAACTACTCTGTGTACCCTCTTGAGTTTAACTATGCTTGTTATTTTGTGTTACTCGTGACCCCTAAAAGTCTGAAATAGACTGCATGACCTGAGTGATGATGCGAGTGATTTAAGCAGATAGGATCCACCTTTCTGGTGGCGCTGTTTTTGGGTCTGTGGCTATTTAGTTGAGGCCCTGAGTAGTTGAGCGTCTATATTTTTCTCATAGTTTCTATAAAGGAGCTGCTTTGGATAAGGAACAATAATGTGATCTAAATTGACAGGGGTTATCACTCTATCTCTGAGTCTCTGGCATATTGGTTGCGGCGTGAATCCTCTGTGAGGCCAAAAACTGACGTTACACATATGATGAAGAGACGCGAAAGATATAACAGATCCCTATTAACTAGTACACGCACTTTAAAGTACTGTTGCCTCTAAAGCTTCTCATCCGTTCTCTCATCAACCGCTTCCTTGAAATCCTTCAAAAACACCCATCTGCTCTTCTCAACCCAACCCTTCTTCAAGAAATCATTTGCATACTTCGGAAATAAGTCAACTACACCTTTCAGATGGCAATCATGTGCAATGACGACAAAAGTGTTCTTGCTGCCGTCGGCTTCGATGATCTTGTCTACTGTCTCTTCGGCGGCGTCTGCGTCACCAAACAGCATCCCAGGCCGTACTATGCCGTAGAAGGGCTCTCTGTCGTTTTTTCGTCGCGTAGGATCGGCTTGAACAACGCCCCGGGACACGGCACCGCACTCTCAGAATGGAACGGATGCGGTGATATCGCATCAGGCAATGGGTTATACTTGGAGGGCCGCATTTCGGCGCTGTGGTGGCAAGTGTCTGCACCCATGAGGATGAAACTATCAGGGTTGGATGTCACTCTTGCCAGAGCATTGAGATGACCGACTGTGTGGCCTGGCGCATCCATAATGTAATTGCAGGGAAGCGTCCGACTTTGACGGTGGAATCCGCAAAGCTCAGTTCGCGGAGTTCGCGGCCAGCGAAGTCGGAGTCTAGGACGGGGGATTCCGGATTTGTTGGGTAGCCAGGCGTGAACAGCTGCTTGAAGCCCGGTCCTACCAGAAGCGCCGTGCTCGTAGAAACCTGTTGGGGTCGCCGGTGTGATCCCAATGCCAGTGGCTCCAAATAATGCCCTCGATCTCACCCGCCTCGATCCCACCTTCCTCAAGGATGGTTCTAACATCTTTTTCGACGCTGCATATAGTTCCGCTTTCAGTGAGCCAGTTTGTAATGGGCGGGGCGAGGTTGTGAAAGTCCTTTCGTACACCTAGGTCGAAGAGTACTTTACGGCCAGAAGATGGGTGTTCAATGAGGAACGAGTAAGCTGGGCACTCAAATCGAGAGTGGCCCTTTATAGCATGGGATACCATGCCCTCCATATGGACATCAATGGAGGACGTGGAGTCAATGATGCGGACATTGACAACTGAGGTAGAATCTGGGACAGAAAAGTTTGACAACGGCATGGTTGCTGCTTTGAATGCTTGCGTAGGAATTAATTCTCTACAGTCTAGAGATTGGGTTGAGACTTTGGCGATTTCTTGAATCCTAATGTAATAAAGAAGAAAGTGTTACAAACGAGTGATTATCCGACAAATGAGTTGCTACATATAATTTATATGCCAATATCTCAAATGGGATTTGGCAGTCGGCTTTCCTAAGCCGAGATTGAGTATCAGGCGTCACTAGAACTCGGGCCTGATACTTGCTGCTTAGGATATAAAGCGAACCTCGCACTTCGAATTGGGCATAAGAAATTGTTATAATATAAGCATATTATAATGTCCATTCGCACAGCCCTAGTCACAGGATCAGCCAACGGCATTGGCCGTGCCATCGCGTTGCGCCTCGCAGAAGATGGTTTTCAGGCGGCTATCAATGATTTGGCCAGCCAAGATGCTAGGCTCAAAGAGCTGCAACATGAGATTGAGCTGAAAGGTATAACCCTCGTCGTCGAAACAGATCTGGGCTAAAGTAAATCGTAGGCAAAAGATGTATTATCCTCCCTGCTGATGTCAGCAGCGAAGACGAGGTTGCAAAAATGATGCAAAATACAGTCCAGATGCTCGGTGGGCTTGATGTGAGTGACCATTGAACAGCCAATTCTAGACGTATAACTGACTAGGAGCTATGTTGAAGGTGATGATTGCCAATGCCGGGATCATTCTCGTCAAACCACTCCTTGAGACCAGTGCAAGTGAATGGGATAGAATTCAAGCAGCAAGCCCTCCTGCTATAATTTTCTCTTAGGTGATGGTCTTAATAGAAAACAAGATCAATGTTCGAGGGGTATTCTTGTGTTACAAGCATGCAGGACTAGAAATGATTAAGCAGGGACGCGGTGGAAAGATAATTGGCGCATGCTCCATTTCAGGCTATCGACCGGTAAAACGATCTTACTTGGAGGATTTCTAGAAATAAGCTGACAATCATTCAGTCTCCACAGACCCCCGCATATTCAGTTAGCAAGTGGGCTATTCGTGGGCTCACGCAGGTTTCTGCAATGGACCTAGCGCAGCACGGAATTACCGTTAATGCATACTGCCCAGGAATGGTCCGTACCGACATGTGGGAAACAATCGACAGCAACCTCTCTACTAAAATGGGGATCCCTAAGGGAATGGCATTTGAGAAGGCTGTAGAAAGCCGTATTGCATCCAAGCGGGCTCAGGTGTGTCAACGGACCTAGCTATGTGGACAACATTAACTGACGATGGGGCAGACTCCTGAAGACATTTCTGGCTTAGTTAGTTTCCTAGCAGGTAAGGACTCGGACCAGATCACAGGTCAGAGCTTAATCGTGGATGGGGGAATGGTGTTTTCTTAGAGTTGGGAGTGATCTGAGATTGGGTACTATGTGAATTATCAGTTCTCGTGGTTGTCAAATCCAGAGTGGAAAGAGTTCTACTCGAGTGCTACCGAAATCCAAGATTACCTTCACCAATGCTGTGGGAAGGAGAAGCTGTACGATGCAATCAAGACTAGTCATCGGGTTGACCACGCGGAATGGAACGATAGTGAGGGTGTGTGGTCACTTCGGATTGTTGATGAAAAGTCTGGGAAGCAGTTCCATGATTACTGCCACTTTCTACTTGACGGAATGGGGATTCTAAAGTAAGTTATGTTATAAATAAATGCACACGGAGAGTTCGTATTTACATCGATTACAATAGCAACTGGACATGGCCAGACATTCCCGGCTTGCACGACTTCAGCGGCCCACTCATCCATAGCGCCAACTGGCCGAAGGACTTCAACTATGATGGCCTCACAGTGGCAGTGATCGGCAATGGCGCTACTGGGGTGCAAATTGTGCCAGCTATACTACCAGGTGAGACTTGACTTCAGACCTATTACTAGTGCCTCTAGCCTCATACATTGTAGATGTCAAACACATGGTGCATGTTGTGCGATCACCGTCATGGATTGCGCCTCCGGGGCTTGTAAACTTGTCTCATTCAAATGCTGCCTCAATTTTGAGCAAGATTGACATAGACGAAAATGGCAACTTCACTGCGACCCAAATCAAAAAGTTCAAGGAATCACCAGAGGATTATTCAAAGTTTGTAAAGGCTATCGAGCTTGAAACTAACCAGAATTTCTCTAAATTTGTAGGCCTTGTCAAGATTCAATCTTGATTAATTGCTGACCCGTGCACAGATGATAAAGGACAGCAATTCTCAGGCTGTGACTAGAGGGAGAATCGAGGAGTACATGCGAAACATGCTCAACAATGATGAGGTCCTCTGCAAAGCCTTTATCCCAGACTTTCCCCTCGGCTGCCGTCGTCTTACTCCAGGCGTGGGCTACCTCGAAGCCCTTCAAGACCCTAAATTTGACATTGTTACCGACACCATCAAGAGGGTCGTCCCGAACGGCATCGTGACCTCGACTGGTAAACTACTCAAAGTTGATGCCATCATCTGCGCCACCGGATTTGACGTCTCATTTCGACCCCGCTTTCCCATCATCGGCCGTAATGGTAACTTGCAAGATACCTGGTTTCGTGAGGTTCCCAAAGCATACATGTCATGTGCTGTGACTAGCATGCCAAACTACTTCATCTTTCTCGGCCCTAACGCTCCCATTGGCCATGGCAGCTACTTCACTATCACCGAGCATATTGCCAAGTATATCGCAGGCATTATTATCAAATGTCAGACGCAGGGTATCAAATCCATAGCTCCGTCAGAGTCGGCGGCTAACGATTACTTCGAACATATCCAGGAGTTTATGCCGCGGATAACCTGGTCGGGTAATTGCCGAAGCTGGTTCAAGCAGGGTAAAAAGGATGCCCCGGTGGTAGCCCTGCATCCTGGAAGCCGGATTCACTTTTTCGACATGCTGAGGGACTTTAGGGGCGAGGACTGGGTCTTCACATACCAGGCTTCAAACCGGGGAAATCGGTTTCGCTATCTAGGGAATGGAATATCGGCTAGGGAGTTGGACGGCAGTGATTGTACCTGGTATCTTGACGAGCCGGACAATCTATCTTAAAGTATATACATTCTGCCTATGTATTCTAGTGGGTAGTTTACCTTTAGGGCTGAGAACAGCAAATTGATCGTTGCTGGTAGAAAGCTACAGGGTTCCATTCTTTAGTTTTCTCAAGTTTTAAATACTAAAAGGGCTAGGTTTACCTACTACGACCTAGAAGTAGAGTTTTCTAAACAGAAGAAGACGTCTTCCAAACTATTTTCCGTATGAAAATGCCACGTCCTGTTTGAAATCTGCCATACAACTATCGTAGCTGAGCTTTTATAAATTGACTAAAGAACGCCTCCTTCCTCATCCTACCCAACTTAATCACTCAACGTCGCCCTTGCAGCTAATGTGATGGTGTGCCATTTGATACCCAGCCAACTAGATGCTTACCTCACATAGGGGGTTTAATGACGCCTAGGCTCATATGAGATTATACGGTCGAAGCCTTCCTACTAAGGCCCTAAATGAGAGTTATAAGTGTTTTTCTAAGATCCTACTATCCTTAACTAATATAGTCTCTTTAGTATAGCTAATGTTAGTAACTCCGTTTAAAACTTAATCTTATAGTATATAAGTATTAATACCTTCCTTAAATACTACCTTAATTAGAATATTAATGTAGATGTCTAAAATATATATTATAGACTTACTATAAAAGGCTTTAATGAGGTTTATATGTTTAATAAGCTAGTTAATTAACCCCTAGTGCCCCTAGAAGCTAACTTCTACATAATTAGCATTAGTTAATAACCTTCTATATATTATAAAATTATCTAAGATTATAGCCTACCTATTAAGGTCTCTAGAAGGTAGCTAGAGGGAAGAGTACTATTAGAAGGTTAAAAAACGCCTTATAAGTAAGAGAGTAAGATAGTAGTAGTTACTACTACTTAACATTATTAATTAATATAAGAAAGAGTAGCCTGTTATTAATAGTAAGTAGTAGCTATCTAGTAAGGTAGTTAATAAGGACGTCTAGGGTGTACTAGAGCAATTAGATTATATAACACCTAAATAACTATTTCTAATTAACATAGTTTTTATATTACCTAAGACGTTACTAGAAAAAGAATGTTAATGTAGGATTATAGCTATTAATGCTATAATAGCATACTATAGTGTTAAGGAAGGGGTAACTATCTATTATAGTTATACTAGTTAGCTAGTTCTACTAGTCTCTATAGTTAAAGATGAAAAATTACTATAGTCTAAAGTAGATATTATGCTTAGATATGTAATATTGTTAGTTATAATAGATAGGAGGCTAACTATATGCTTTATATATCTTAGAAACCTAAACCTAACGATTTAGAAGAGGGTTACCTTATTTATAAGTCCTAGCTACCTAATGAGGCACTTTATAAGAAAGCATGTTAGAAGATTTAGAGTTAACGAGCCTATAAAGTGATAAATCTATAACATCTAGCTTAAGCATTAGATGCATTTTTAAAGCCACGTAGAGAAATTTCATAGAACTATCTATTAGTACTATAAATAACTATAGATAGAATCATTTAGGAGTGTTATGGCTGCTTCTCTTAATTAGGTAGATAGAAGGATTAGTTAGATAGAGAGGAGGCAGGAGTATCTAGCGTCATTGTTCATAGTTTTAATCTAACTTCCCCCTATGAAGATCTATATTAGTTCACGTCCTTATTAAAGTGACCTAACGCTACAGAGCTGGTTATTCGTGCCCGTCAACCTAACAATGCCCATTTTCTTTCATATTTATATAAAGGATAATTTATCTACTTATATGTTTATTAACAAACGCCCTTAGCACTCCTCTTCTTACGAAATAGTTCCTAACTCTACCCTAGAGAGTATAACCTGCTCTATGATGCCTCAAAAACTCTGCAGTTGACTTGTCAAGTTGCTCTCTAGGTGTAGAAATCAAAGAGGTAGAGGAACTAACCACTCGATTCTGCGTGAGCGTCTGTAAAGGCATCAATAGGATGGCACTGCTGTGCCCTGCTCGCTGGCGGTATCAGCAATTGAACTCTTCTCTGAATGCTCTCGTCTTCTGTGATATCCGCGACCTCCTGTGAAATCTCCCGTCTCCTGTGAAATCCGTAAAATCTCCCCTCCCATTATCTGTAAAGTTACATCACTCATTTATAGCATGCAGATTTCACAGCAATTACGACGACAAGGAGCAGGCTGAGCGACGGTGATAACCATGCACGGGCGCGCATGAAAAGCGCCCCATGGCGTCACTGCGCCTACCAAAGATCACCGCAACAACTCTTTTTCCGGCGCTGACACCACCACTAACCTATTGTAGTCAAATGTGCCGCTCCCCAGATATTCACTCCATCTCCAAATCCCAAATCAACAGCTCTGGGATTTGGGGCGGTGCCAATGCTGCGCCACTGGTATTGTATATAACTACTGTAAAACCTCCATCATCACTAACCAACATACAACCACATCTTCCTCCAACATGGGTATCTTTTCATCATTATCAAAATCGTCCAAGTCCGACGGTGACATGCACCCTCCGCCAGACTACTCCAACAACTTCACTCCAACAAACCACCTCCAAATCCAGGCCATCGGATATGACGTGAACCAGGCGCTTACCAGCCGGACGCTAGAGAACATCTTTGTCTTCCGGCCTAAATCCAGCGAGGCCGAGTACGCCTCTATGCGTCTCCAGAAGAACTCCAACTCGTGCGCCCTCGTCCGGGCCTCTGATCCCCACGCCACTCTCATCTCCACCATCTACCGCTTCGGCCTGGGGAGACACCCCCGGATGCGCATCCTCCCCCCCAACTCCGTCGTCTCTGTCGAGGAGGCCATCGAAAACGACAATGTGCGCGGGGAGCTGGTCGAAGTGAAGAGTCGCTCGATGGCCTCGCGCGGGCAGGTCTTTGACACATCGCTCGGGAAGTTCGAGTGGCGCTACGGAACCAGAGAGGAGCAAGCAGCTTGCAACGCCGATTCGCTCCTTGTAATGGAGCGGATCGAGGGGAAGAGCAAGAGCGGCTCACGCATCGCGCAGCTCATTCGCAACAACGAGTTCCGCACCCCCGGCACGAGGCAGTACTCGGGCGGCAATGGGGGCCGCTTGATGATGGATCTGCGCATGTGGAACGACGACAGCCCCGAGCGTGTAGAGGCGTTTGTTGTTGCGAGTTGTATCTTGATGCTAAAGAGAGAGGCGGATCGTTTCATCGATAACCACATCGCTGCAGTGGTGTAAAGAGACGATGTGACAGCGTTGGCGCACAGTGATCTTGAGAAGCACCGCGAGTATGCGCGGTTGATGCCTTGGCTTATGTTAGCATGAGAATCATGATTTGTCTTTTTTGCCTTGTAAGAATAGCTACGATTGTTAGAATAGCAGGGGTGAGCGACGGAGTAGAACATTAGGGTTATATCATTCGTAATTACAACCATCACTGCTCAACGGAACATATATACTGCACCTTGGTATCATTTCCCCGCCGATCCCCCGCATCGCGATGTGGATAAACTGTCAATTCGGCATTCGGGGTAGATCCACCAGACTCAATATATAACATGCCTCAAAACCATCCCTCAACGGCTAACTAACTATGCGGCTCTCTATCCTCCTCTTTGGTCTCGCGCAAGCTAAGTACATTGTGCCTGGCGGGCGGTGGCACGACACCGACGGCAATCTGATAAACACCCACGCCAGCGGCGTCACAGTCGATAAGGAAGGCAAATTCTGGTGGTTTGGCGAATACAAGCCCGAAGACCAGCTCTTATCACTCCTAATACTTACAAAAAGGTCTTATTTAAGCTTCAGGGCCTCACTACGGTACATTAGGATGAGCATCATTACCACTAACATCGTTATGTTCAGCTGGAGTGGAGATCTCGAGGCTCGCAGAACGCTGAAAATCATTGGTCGCATGCTCGCTGTCTAGTGAGTCTCCGTTTTCGATAGATGAGTAGTATAGGGGTTGGCTTCCGTTCTCGAGATCCTGTTAGGCGGCCGGAGAGGTCTGATCGGAAGGGATCTTCTATAGTTCGGTCGCGTCGTTAAAGTCACCCCTTTCCGCCTGTGCAATGTGCAGAGGTAGCAGAAGGGTAGAAGTCTGGTCGCCAGGATCAGACTCGACGTGTGCGATATACGGTGGCAGGAGATAGGTCAGAGCCTAGTTAATAGGTGTATATGGATTATAATGTGTCGAGGTGGGAGTGGCAAGCGCCGTCGAGTGCGTTACTTCTCGGACCGCTGTCGCGATTGCGTCACGAGCGACTAGGTGTTGTTCGAAGTACAGGGTAGTGTTCTCGTTCCATAGCTAGCGGACCACAGACTTAACCGCCTGAGAGGCTGTTAGCAATGCTACGTCCGAAGGAAATAGAAGTGTATGTTACTTAACCTTGTTAATGTCTGAGAAGTCTAGAATACTCGACTCTGGATCGACGTCTAGATCTAGACGAACCATTAATTTCATATGTCATTTGGATCTGCTGTTTTGAAGTTTATATAGTAGGGAAAGAGATAGTCAACGAAGAAATGACATGTACGCAGTAGACGGAGGGTTAAGCGACAGAAAAGCAGGATGGGGGGGACAGTGCGAAACTGGGGTCAAGAATCGTAATGCGGAAGAGCGATTACGAGTTTCGATCACTGTAGTAGTTCTGAGGTAAGAGCGCCACACATTTATTTATAGCTAGGGTCGGGTAGGTGCAGTCGTTTGGCAGCTTGGCACTTCTATTACTATTATTTTGCAAAAGCGGCTCAACCTCCAAGCACATTTGCCAAAGCAATTTTTCAGCGACATCGTTCAAGGCAAAACGGCAAAACGATCAAACTTTGGAGCGTTTGGGGCGTGGGGCCGGCGGGCTTGAGACTAGCGGGCGTGAGACCGCAACTGCGGCTTACCTATGCAATAGATACAAAATCAGACCTCGGGGCGTTTACGAGAAACACTTGCCGGAATTAATGGCTACAGTCCTGAGCCAAGGCCAAGGTGTTTGGGATAGAAAGGCAGACAACCGATTATAGTGTTCATTCACCGATGTCGCCGGTCTCTACCCATCAGGAGAGTCTCGCTACATGTGTTGAAATGTATAATGCGGAGTTGTTCCCATTGCTCGTATGCATATTTTGTTAGTTCTTCCAAAGTATATAGTGTTCCGAGTCTTTCACCCGTCTTAATGTCTAAGTTAGGGCCTATTCTCAAGTGAAATCCAACTGTGCTAATTCGAAGCCTATCAAGTATGTTAATAGCATAGTTGCCTCTGAAGCTACTCGCTCGATGGCATGAGTTGCCGTCAGGTGATACTTGAAGGATTTCTTATAGCCAGCAAGGATTTGCGCGAGATTTGTGCCCATGCCAGAGCTGTTGTCGATCACAAGCTTTTTAGGATTAAAACGGTCGATCAGTGTTGGAGTTTGCAGAAGTTCCCACTTCCCGAAATACCTGTCCATTCACGATTCCTTAGCCAAGACTAAGAGTGCCGGGATCACCGAGCTTTGACAATGAGCACCAAAAGCCAGAGACTGGTGTGTGGACGGGCGGTTCTAACTCACATGTGGCCTCATATTAAGGTCTATCTCTTTCCGAAAGATGTACATGTCAGATATTTACCAGAGATCAACCCACTTGCGTTACAGATATAAACTATGTCTCGGGTTGCAATGTGATGGAGGCGATTTTGATTTGCCTATTTTACGATACTGGTGCGAGATTGTCTACTTTCACACAGAGCGTCGTTAGCATCCCCAGAAGCCGGATATGCAAGTCGGAGCAGCAAGTTCAGTGCAGTGTTGGCTTGGCCTACGTAGGTGCCGCCGATGCCGCCCCAACGGCGTGGCCCTTAGCAACAGGGGTATCAACAGGGGTATTTCTATAACTAAACTTTGATAAATACGACAAATACGAGTACATCGTTACATCCGCTAGATTTTTCCTCGGCTTTGGTCTTATCTGTTGAATCTCTCGTCCTCACCGTTCTACGGAAAAAATATCGCCATGCGTTCTTTTAAACTTGTAGAAGCAGCTATTCTGCTGTTCTCCAGCGCCTCTTATGCCCAGCTGTAAGACTCCAGCCTCTTCCCAGGCTCCCCATCCACACATATCCGCACGGCCAACTTTCTCACTTAAGTAGTGTCAAAGACAGCAGCCCCGTCTGGAGTGTGGTGATTACCACACCCGAACAGACGGCAGGTTTCGCGCCTTGCAAGCCAAGTAACAATGGCTATTTCGTGAATGGCGGCATAGACATAACAGTCTTTGAGGGGTTTTCCTCTAACATCACCTGTTGTAAGTAGCTTACGGGGAATTAAAGCCCACCATGTGAGGCCTATATAGCTCACACTCTTGCAGACAACGTCGCCGACCTATTCACCGCCTCAGGCAAGACCCCGTTAAACGAATGCTACCCTAGCAACTCGACGTGTGACGTCCACCTCCAAGGCCATAGCAACTACAATGCGACAGCCAGCTACTCGCGCGTCGGTTTCCAAACGGGCATTGTGTCGGGCAAAGAAGGTTCAAAGCCTGACACCAACGTAATGACGTTCCGGACGTTTGAGGGCGCAGACTGTGCGTCGGACCCCAGCCACGCCTGGCACCAGTGGAGCTGCGACACCTACATAGGCGATTGCTCGGTGCTGCCGTATAGCGTGCGCAGTTTTAGCATTTCTACGACGCCAGAGGTGAATAAGACGGGGTGTTATGTTGCGTCGGAGCGGGGAGAGAACAAGGTGCCGTATGAAGAGAGTATGGGAGCGAAAGCGGTGCCAGGTAGCGCTGTAGTTGCGCTGGCTGCTGCGCTCGGCGTTGCTTTGTTAGTGCAGAAGTAGAAGCATCTCATATGGCGTCTTAACAGACCAGGAATACCCTTGTCATAGAGCTAGTTATATTTTATAGATGTGAAAATCCTTGCATCGGTGGCTTAAGCGTGGTTTATATCATGGATATTTAACTAACTAGTATATTTATAAACGAATGGCATCTCCGTCATCCATCCTTCATTACCTACCCTTGATCATGTATCCTCTGTTACCCATTCTCCATCGCCCATCCTCTGTTGCCCTTTATTAGTCACCATCTTCGATCACCGATCCTCGATTACTCACCCTCGATCACCCATTCTCTGTCGCCCATTCTCTGTCACGCACACTCTGTTAAACCCTCGTCAACCACTCAGCCAGAACTATGGAATAACACGTTCACGAAGACTAAGTTTGCCCAGATATTTTAGAGAATCGCTGTTTCTGTGGCCTAGCTACGATACTAAGTTATGGTAGGTTGCAAAAAGGCTCAAGCCCAAAGGTGTGTTTTATATGTGCCATAATATCGTCCAAAATATATACTATCGCCAATAGAAACCCTTCTGTCTCTCACAAACCGATTATTCCATCGCCACTGAACCCCCTATGGCAAGATAAACTCTCCCGCCGCAATTGCCGCCGCGATGTCAGCATCAGGCACAGTCCCCTCTGTGATGTCCGCCTTATCCAATCCGTTAAGCAGCACACTCACCAAGTTCCCAAACACCACGCCGCCAGCCGTGTTCAAGTGAGTGTAGTCGCTCGCGCTGAGGTTGTAGAGCGCCGCGTTGGCCTTGCCAATGGCGTTGACGTACGCCGTGCTCGCCTTGTTGAGGTCGATATACACGGCGCCGATGTTGCCCGCGGCCGTGATGGCGGCGGCAGAGTGCTCAGCTAGGTTCTCAATCACACCGTTGGAGTCGAAGGTGCGTCGGGTTAGGGAGGTCGTGATGACCTGGTAAATGCGTTAGTTTATGAGGATCGGGAAGGAGAGGAGGTGTGGAGACGCACGGGAATGCCGCCTGCGGCCTGGACGGCTTTGCCCAAGTTCTCCATGTTGGTGATGAACTGGGCCACTGAGATGCCGGAGGTGGACTTCTGGTCATTATGGCCGAACTATACGATCATAAGTGCTGTGTTTCGAGGGAATGCGAGGACGCGGGTTGCTTACCTGGATTGTGACATAAGGCGTGTACTTCGCCTTGTTTGCGTTCACTGCGGCGATGACTTTTGCCCAGTATCCTTCTGCAACAAAAGATGCGGTTGTCGCGCCACTGTCGCCGAAGTTGGTGCCAATGGCGCCGTTCTGGAGCGTCGTCAGGAAGCCATCACCCCATCCTATGATATGTTAGAGCTGTAGAGCATCAATAGTTGATGTTTATGCATGCCTCCATTAACAGCTGTGGTAGAATCGCCAGCTAAGAAGAATGCTGCCGGCTTGTCAGCGCGGCAAGGATGTTGTGGTGCTGCAGACACGAGAGAGCTGGCGAAAACCGCCAAGGACGAGAGTGCGAAAGAGGCCTTCATTTTGGAATAGAAAAATTATATGAAAGAAGTGAAATATCTTACTGTTCAAATCTAATAAATCACATCGCCAGCCTACCTTTATATAAATTTCTGCATAAACTGGATATTAGATAGTGACGAATTGACATGGCATTGTAGCGATGGACGTTCTCAAAAGATTTCCCGTGCAATCTAGTTGACATGACGATGGTCCTCGGGTGAACGGGATGGCGGAATAGAGTTTCATATTGAGGGGAAACTACCGCTATCGCAATTTCATATACCGAGCACACAGGAGCAACTACGGCCCGTTCACTGTCCCTGCAGGGGTGCCCCTTCCCCGCCCTTTACCCCACAAACCATATATGTGCAGATCTCGGTCAGAGCTGCTCCGATACTCTATTGCAGTGTCACTAGTGGCGCAGCTCGCACTTCGTCCGGGGAAGGAAACTTCTTCTAGCGCTTAATATGTTTATTGGCCTATCCTCTGATTGCTGGAAGTTATATACGCATGTCTTGGTATGTGCACCGGCTGAGCGGCTATGTCGTCGCAAGAACAGTTGGGGTGGTGGGTGAAGATCGAATTCACTCTGTGACAAAACTTGTTATGTTCGCGTGCCTAAAAGGTTCAGAGAAATTATGATTAAAATAAAGACCCTCAGATTACCTAGAGTTTTAATAAAGGAGTTAGTTTTCGTGCCACCAAGAGCCTAGAAGAGCGACTGTGCGTGATAGCCAGTATTCATGACAATTATCATAAATTTATTACACCCTGATTATTGTAAACCCCCTCAAAAAATCGAGAATCATAATCTAATGCCACCCCATGAAGTTCTTAACATTTCACCATAGTGGCCGCCAACCGTCGGTCTCACAGGGGTCTGCATTTCTTCGTACTATTTCACCGTATTCGCTGTGCGAAGAAAATGGGGAAGAATACGTTCATCTACCCAGACCCGATGGTGCTGTATTGGCTGCGCACCATTTTTCCGCGGTGGTCCGATTTCGAGATTAGAGGCCGTGATAACAGATTGGGCGCTAGTTTGATGAAGGTCATAAAAATCGCGGTGGCAGGCGGTATTGCCCGGTGGGCGACTGAGTATTGGTCAAAGGGTTTGGGTTATCAAAAGCTAGATATGTCATCTTTAAAGGGGCTTTTGAGTCAAGGATTAGCGATGGTAAAGAGCTAAGTCTGGTACGTTAGATTAGTTGTTTTGTTAGTATATAATGTCATGTAAAGGATGTAGATTTTTATACATTTTAAACCAACTTACTCTATCAAGCTAAAATGGCCCGAATCCTAGAGTTCGCATCCCAGCCTTTAAGTCTGTGATTCCAGCTCTAGAGCTTCTATATTCGTACGACTGGCAAGTTGACAAATGTAAGCGCGACCAGATGGATTACGCCGACGAGCAGAATGTCGAACTCATGCGCCTAGACTCATGGCTTTCGTATGTTGGCCGGACTGAAGAGATATCAGGGGGGCCACATCACCTGCTTAAGAGTACGCCGGCGCTCATCCAGCTACTCATAGATGAATTCGAGGTGGATTTCCAAAATATCGACCTGTCAGCAGAGGAGGGGGGTCTTCAGGACACCCAGGGGCTGGCGGCGAACGTCATGGACTTCCTCACGGACGAGGGACTTAATGAGGCCTAGCAGTTGTATGTGTTGGTAGCTTTGTTGAGAGCTGTGAAGGTCGCACAGTGTTTGCGGGCTGGTCCGGACACGAGGGAGGCATCTGAGATTCTAGATAGAGATGCGCAGGCTCATTTAGTGTAGCCAAGTCCTTATATAACCGGGCATGTCAATTAATTTTATTCTCTTCGACATACCCGTAGCCCCCCATTTCTCTAGTGTTGCTATTTAATCTAGATAGATTAGACATGTTTTCTACATATCTATACGTCACAGTTATAGCTTATGGCTCATCTTCTATATACCGTGAACTCCAACACGATAAACACAACATACAACACCAATAGTAAACCACCAACCCAGCGCTCTGATCCTGTGAATACAAGCAAGCAAAATAGCGCCGATGAAGCCCAAGTAACAAGCAACTCGAATGGCACCACCGAATCCGCAAGCTCCACCTGATCGCCCGCCACCAGCGTTACCCCAAGACATAGGGTAAGGAGGAAGATATTACTTCCCGCCGTACTTGCAGCAACGATACCGCCATGCCCTCGTGCGCCACCGATAACAGCCACGAACTTTTCAGGCAATGTGGTGGCGAATGACAAAACAGTGACGCCAACGACTGTGTTGGATAATCCGAACTCGTCAGCGATCGAGGCGGCGGTGTGGGAAAGAACATAGCCCGATAGTGACAGTGCCAGAAAGCCGAGGACGAGCTGGGCACTGTGATAGAGAAGACTGTGCTTGTGCGTGGAACGATTCCCCTGAGCTCCGTTGGCGAGAAGAGGCGATGTTTCAGCAGGTAGACGCTGTGCCTCTGAGTCGCTGCCATTGGCGCCTTCGTCATCGTCGCTGTCGCTTTCGCTGTCGCTATCCAGGCGCTCTGGGGCATCTAGCACGCCCCTATAAATACCGTAGCCGATTGACACCAAATACACTGCAAACGCTGCGATGAAAAGGCCTCCCACGACCTTGCCGAGGCCTGTCGTCAGAGCTACAACGGTAAACACCGTGGTGATTAGAAATAGTATAGCTGCATACAACTTGGCGCTTCGATCAAAAACCATTCGGCCCGGGTAGAATAGGAGGCCTAAGGAGAATGCGCCCAGGATATTTGAGATTGAGGATCCGACGACATTGCCTATTGCGAGCGAAGAGCGATTTTGGAGGACAGAAGCCACGACGACGACAAGCTATATCAGTTAACCAAGGCCAGCCCCGGGGATGCGGTAAGAGCTCAAACCTCTTCCCATTCTGCCCCTGCTGTGAGCAATGCTATCAACGTCTGTGAGACGCCGAGCCGGGTAGCGACTATCGCCGTGTGGTCGATGAAGCGGTCCGCACCAAATTCGAGAAGGAAAAGGCCCGCTATAAAAGCGCTTCCATTGAAGCAGATGGTATCCCAATTCATGATTTCGTATATGACGACGTACTATGCCTTTGTCGTAGGACAATGGCGAGTCATGGTTTTTTTGCTCATTTTTGTGCCGTCCCAACGTCGTCTGTGATGGGCGCTAGTCCTAGAATAGGCCGATGACTCCCACTGCGGGAAGTTACTTTAACATGCTCAGGCTCAAGGTAGGTATTTACAGTTTTACCATAACTTAGGAGGTGGGAGTTGTCGATCATTCTAGGTGCTACACTACTCTAACTTACCCTCAAATCTTATATCTGACAGCTTGTATAGCCTCTATCTAATCGGACACTAGAGATTAAACGCCAAGTCACTATAGAGCTCTTAGAGCCCTTACGTAAGCGACAATCCGAGTTACATTGGCTGTAAATGCATTTCGTCACTCCTGTTCCTAAAGTGGGGCAAACTCGACTTTAGTGCAATCAAACATCCAATCATGAAAAACAAAAGCTTTAGAGCGGGTCTAGAACTGAGCCGTTCGACCAATCACACCCCACGTTAGCCAGACAGCTGTCAGTGTCCACCCACTGCCCGTCCGCGGGAGTTGCCCCAAGCCCCACTTAAAACCCACGTACCCATGTACACCGCATTCCATCCACCCATCATGGACGGCCGAGCGCCCGTGATTATGCGGTTTGTAGCTTAGCTCTCTCTTCTCCTCTCCCCATTCCAAGGAAAAGACCTCCCAGTCGTCGATTCACCACCCAGACAGCCCGCATCTCCATCACCAAAAACAAACCTCATAATCAACTCTCCCCCAACTCACAACTCATCAACAGTTCATAGCTGCTGTTGACAATACCGCCGCACATATCGTCCTGTGAGTATCCCCATCATCTCTCTGTCTGCTTCTCCACCGGCATCAGTCAATTGCGTCGCCAAGCCCGATGAACCCAAGCTTGTCCACGCCAAACATCGCATCACGAACTGCCGACTTATCCCTACGACCATCTCCCCCACAATCCGGCGACGCTTGTGCTTTACAAGATCCCCGGACAGCCAGCGAGCCCAGAGCCAGCACTCTGTGCATCGACGACACGATCTTGTTTACTCCCCGTCATCCCGTCATCCCGTCGCGTCGCCCATTCCCCATCGTCACCATTACATACGATTCAATCCGGAGCTTCCTCACGCCTTCTCCGCTCAGAACTAACATCCCACCGCAGAAAGCCACGTCCGCATCGCGCTTATTGTCGTCAATTCCGCAAAGATGCCTACCATCCACACCCTCGACGCGCGCGACGTCGCCATGCAGCTCTCCAAGCGTGAGAACTGGGCCAGGCAGGAGGCTGGTGTCATAGTCGTGTTCTGTATTGTTGGCGTCGTCGCGCTTGGCGTCGCCTGGTTGTGCATCCACAAGTGGATGCTCCGCCGTCGTGCGAACAGGCCCGAGAAATAGATAAATTCAAAGGATCGGGGGGGGAGGGTGTATAGTGTAGTGATGGGTTGATGGAGGGGGTGCGTCGGGATATTGGACCCGTGACGCGGATGGGGGAGGGAATGGGGTTATTGATCTAATAGAGGGGTGGCGGCTGGAAGGGGGCGGATATCATGTGGTATAGTGGCGGATGTTTTCTTCACCTGGCGCAGTTCGTACATGGTCTATTTTATGGCTGTTCATAATTACAATGGATCGTTGTGAATGAAATGGGCCAATGCCACTGCTGATATTATTCATGAAAACACCGGATTTATATTTGGGTGGATTGTGTCTTCTAACGCTTCTCATCTATCACTCAAGCAGCTTGGTATACAGCTCATCATCTATCATCCGAGGCGCTTGAGCTGGAGCCCACCCATCATCTATCGTCGAGGCTTGTAACAACTGTATGTGCGGATGGCCGTTTCAAAGGAAGCCTGCCCATCAACATTGTCGCGGCTCCAGCCCTTGTTGGTGCGACAATGGAGCCTGTTCTATAATTTGTATCCGCGTGTCGCACAGATATCTGCAACGCTTCCGTTGGCTCGCCAAACCGCTACTCGTAGTAATACCACTTTATATATGGCCTCCGCATAGGCACGAGAACCTGGTCATAGTAGAATCCTGCACGACTATCTGGCAAATATTTTAAGTGCCATATCCACGCTTCCAGTGGCAATGACACAGCGAATCTGCACATCTGGTGCGCCTCCTCCCGCCTCGCCGTTGGCTGGAGGTTTATCCTTATCCTTCACAATTGACGGAGCCCATGCCAGACAAGAGATAAAGTGATCATGCACACTTGATAACTCCTTAACGCACTTTCCATCCTGGCTGAGATCCCAGCACCGTAGTGCCTTGTCGTCCGCAACAGAGATGAGGTATTTCCCACCGGGGTGGAAAACAAGAGACCGCACCCAGTTGTCATGGCCGATCAGTGTCTTGAAACAACTTCCCCTTGTATCCCACAGCTTGATGGTCTTATCTCGCGATCCCGTGGCCATAAACTCTGATGTGCTAGTTAGGGGCGGCGGTTTTTGCAACCCGGCTAGAGTCGCTAGGTATTGATATGAGGATGGTGGCGCAAATACGCAGCACTCGATAAAGTTCTCGTGACCAAACAATGTCAATTTATTCTCTGCTACTGACCCGGAAACATTCCATAGACGGAGGGTTCGGTCATCGCCGGTCGACAGAATAGAAGACCCGTCAGGCGAGGGGCACACATCGCGAACCCATTCCAAGTGTCCGCGTATCGTCTTCACGCAGTATCCAGTAGTGACGTCCCACATCCTCAAAGTTGTGTCCCTACTAGCGCTGACAAGAAGGTTGCCCGACGGCATGAAGCGGACAGCGCTGACAGTATGGTCGTGGCCTGACAATGTTCGAATATTCTTGTATGCATCTGCTGGATCCCAGAGCTTGATCGTAAGATCTGAGCTGCAAGATGCCAGAAGTATATGGCCCTTAGGACCGCCAAAATCGATACCAGTGATCGCCTTGGTATGTCCCTTGATTGTTCTCTCCAATTCGCCCAGCTCCCAGTCCCATATCTTAATAGCAGAGCCTTGGTCACCGGACGCAATCGTAGAATATAGAGGATGGAAGGCAATGCAGGAGATTTCGAACTGGTGCGATTCCAGAGTATATCGTGAGGGCTTGCTAGGTAGCCAGGAGGTTGGATCCTGGCTACGTTTTGACAAAGACGAAGGGGTGGCGCTGTCGAGCTCGGATTGCAATGTTGCGACTCGTGATTCAAGATCCATTATCTATACGCAGCTCAACACCGGTTAGATGACATTATGCGAATAGAGCAGAAGGCATGAAGCAGGCGAAGGCAAGTAGGAGGTGGGCAAAGGAAGGACTTGCCTTCTTCTGTAGGCGGATGACGCTCGTCCATTTCTTCTCTAACAACGTCTCATATTTTTTGACTGTGACTGCATCAAAGGTTTCCTCCTCCAGTCCCAGCTCCGTCCTCAGCGCAGCAACCGCATTTGGCAGGTTGTTCGCTGACAGGTATGCGACAATCGACTTGTGACTAAAAATGCCGCCGCGTTAGCCCTGTCTGCCCCCGCCCCGGTATCTCCATCTCTGACCACAGGTATGTACGCACAGCTCGTCGGCTTGCCGACTCGACAATATTCGACTCATCCCGTCTGGCGGGTTGTGGTGTCCGGGCGACGACTTTGCGATTGTAGAGGGGCTTCAGATTCGATCGTCGTGGGGACCTCCCTCGGTGTGTACCCCTTCCTTCCTCCGCCTATCACGGCCTTACTTTAGTCGGAGTAGCGCAGGCCAGAGTGCGCTCGGGGTTACGGTCAAAAATTGGTGGTTTGTTGATTTGGTGCTGAATTTTGGCCTTTTCCGCAGTCAACAATGCAGTACCTGCACTGCATTGCTCACTGGCGGGACGATGGTGCTCGGCCAGGAACCTTGATTGATTGATTGGGTTGATTGTGTCGCCCTGAGAGCGGCCTTAGGCGCGGCGGGCGACGTGCTTATGTAATGTTATATCTGGAACCGCTTTGATAAATTGTCCAGACACTACAAATCTTACACAACCTCACAAGCTTGTCAGAGCTGCAATGGCTATAAAAATTATTAATTTCTCTATCATATACAGTAACCTTCTTACAGAGAATCGGTGTCGGTACCATTACAAGGAGTAAATATTAATCTTCGAGCTGCCACCACAAACCGCACCACCACCCCCTGGACAAGCCATCGTACACCCAGTCGTAGGCGCCCCAGAACCATAGAGCTCATCATCGCAGAAACACTGCTGTCCAAACTCCACCCCAGAATAATTGAAGCTCTTTGAAAAATAGGTGTTTCTACATAGCTCAGCCGTCATCAACGTCGCCTCGTTCGCAATGGCGAGTCGGTACCTGAGCGTCCTGTTATTCACGTCATCCGAATAGCACCCAAGAGATCTGGATTGTGGACGCATCATCACATTGATCCGATCAGAGCCTCCACATAGCTGGGCCGTATTTCCTGGGCACGGTGATGAGCACCCGCTCCCTGCCACGCTACCCCAGACACAGTAGCCACACCAGCACTGATGCGCGTACTCGACGCCTGAGTAGATGTATCCGGCCCTTTCGCAGGCTTCCTGGCAGATCTCGCGTGTTAGAATGGCATTCTGGTTCGCAATGATGATCTGTTTCTCTAGCGTGCGCGATGTGCTTATGTCGTTGTAACAGCCCATGTCCTTATACTTGTCGAGACGGTAGAGGTTTATTCTGTCGGATTCGCCGCACATAATTGATGGTGCGCCAGGACAGGGCATCGTGCAGCCTGACGACGTCAAGGCGTGGCCGTTACGAATGGCATTGTCATAATAGCATTCGGATCCATACTGGAGACCGGAAAGGCGATATCCTGCCGCAGAGCAGGCATCAGTGCAAACCTTGGGTGTCATAATAGATGTCTCACCAGGGAGTGTTATTCTATTTGCCAACGCGCGAGCGCTTTGGCTGTCAGTGGAGCATCCAACTAAAGTCCAGTATTCCTCTGCCAATGGGCTAGAAACTCAGACGGCATAGGTGGCCCAAATATTGGTGCAGCCCACGTTGATGTAGTGTTCCAAAGGTTGACTTGCGTTTTTGTGACGTCGAACTTAGCTGCTATTGCGAGGCAGGTGTCGCCACCCTCGATGACATACCATTTCTTGAACGTAGGAGTCGATCCGAGGATAGTGGGGGCGGGAGGAATGGGGTATGCCGTCCCATCGACGACTGTAGTGGTCGGAGGTGGACCAGTTGTGGGCGTGGATGTCGTGGGTGTGGATGTAGGGCCTGCAGTGGTTTTGGTGGGTGGAACAGTTGTGGGCGGAGCGGTTGTGGTCACCACAGGCTCACCATCAGCCCTTACGCAGTACGAATGACCAGATTCAATGAAATTCCCACATGCCGCCGTAATGGAGGGATTCTAGAACATAGTTATGTGAGCTAAGTATAAGACCAGTAGAGCGGGTTTGGAAGAGAGGTATACCCATCTAACGAAATCTGCGGTATTGAGGCTATAAATATCGACAAGTTCCTGACAGGAGAAAAGCCCCAGAGTATCCCACCAATCTGTGCAATACCTGGTGGTGTTTGGGTCATATGGGAACGAAGGGCTCGCGTCGCGTGCTGTATTGCCTGGGGCTTTGACAGCAATAGAGGCAACAAGCTCTACACCAACACATGCCAAGGCAATGGTGCTTCTGATGGTAACAGAAAGCCGCATAATGACTGAGGTTGAGATACAGGGGCGAGACTAATCGTTAGTTCTGGCACAAGAATGTGGGATATCTTGCACCAGCTGTCCTCCTGAAATAAAAACCATCATTATCAAAATGAGCAGGAGCGGATGACAGGCATCTTCATTCACCATTGTAACCCAACATTTCATTTTAAATATTTCCCAATTTTAATTTCAATAATGATCAGGGAGGCTTTCCTCCCTGTAACGCTCGTGCAAGATTGACGAAATATCAATGGCCATGCATAGCTAGACACCTGTCAAGCTGTTGTAGCACTTCGGGTGCTCCCGCCAACATGCGGCTAAAATGTAGTGCGGGGAAGGAGTGGGTCTTCCAGATCTACTCCATCTGCTGTCTCATTAAGCTAGCCACCTGTAATATACTATTCCAATATAAATTCCAACGTCAACCTCCGTCCAGCCTTTCCATAGGATGGCCAGGCGGAGGCTGATGCCTAAGATAGGTTGAGCATAGGTGCCAAGGTGTTGGGAGTGCTTATAAATATACCATTGGCCTCTGCAGACTGGTAATTTTCACGACGCAGGGGGTGATTGTTGGAACCTGTAGCTAGACCCCTCCCTACCTACCACCCCGAAACCATAATTACTGTCATTGAGGTAGGGGTATTAAGAGAATAACTGTAGCATTGTGCCATAGCGCGTCGAATGGCAGCGATGGGTGACATTCTGCTGCGGATTTGATTTCGACTAACCCGATGTTAGATTATACTAAGAGCAAATGTCCGAAGTACCATGCACTGTTGGAGTCTATTCTAACAACACGGAGTTAATAGCCAGAAAAGGCGATTCCAACAATGCAGGCTTAGCGTGAGGAAATATACTATTGATTTTATTTAGAGCGTGCAGGCGGCATCTAAAGGATGCGGCCAGGCTAAAGGGTTGTAGCCACGTCAGCGGCAAAATAGGACGCAGGGCAAAATTGGCACTCAGGTTACGCACGCATTCGACAAGAAACAGATATGAGATTGTATCTCCCAGCTGCAATTAGCAAGGGCATTGATATGGAATGGAGAAGCAATATTTTTCTATAGAGTTAAATCTAAAGCTCTATTCATACAGATTTCAGGTCTCTTCACCAACGTGATGTTGATTATTACTGTTTACTCATATTCTAAAAGAACTGTGATTGCGGTTATAAACACTTAGCTGCGGGCGAGGTAGCTCCGAAATGCAGGAGATGCCATACGTCAAGTCATCTTTTGCGCATTACTTTCTTTTTGGATAGATCTCGTCGTGAAATCACTACATGGATATCCCTCGCCAGTATCTTTTCCCCGTTCGAGATATTGTAACTGGCTACCTCCATATTCCACCCGCTCAAACCAGTTTATAGTGACCGCTTCTAGAGGTATTTTAGTGTATGTACTAGCGTAAGATCAGTGGTTACCATCTTATTACCCTCCTCTACATCAGTGTCTGCATATCCGATTCGACATGTCTTGTTCTTCTTAGTATCCTTGTCAAGAACTCAAAAAGCTTCGCAGGTGAAGTTGTGATGCTGGTGCTCATTGAACCAAGTGCGAACTTCATTATCCGTCATCCCAAGAAAGGGGGACTCGAAGGGCTACATCAGTTTGCGTGACCCGTGCTTGATCAAGTTTAAATCCTTGGTAGGAAGGATACAGAGGCAGCCGCCTGGTAAAAGTTCATTATTAGTTATACCATAGGCACCTTCCCAAGACTCGTCGATAAGCTCATCGAGGATCTAAGAGAGTAGTTTTAGCTAAATAATATGAAGAAGGCAGCTATGAACATGCATACCCCTGGCAGGTCGGGCCCAGTTACAAAGGCTGGAAACATGATAGTACATTGATCGACTTTATCCTCGCGTTTTTAACTGCTGCGCCTGACTTCACGTCCGAGGGGCCATTTTCTAACACAAGTAACGAATTGCACTAGTCGTTAAATATAAACTCCGAGAAGCTCCTCCCTTTAAACCTACTCGTAGCCATGATAAGTGTATCTTCGCTATGACTACGTCTGTAATAATCTACGTATGACGGGGTCGGTTCCTAATCCGACACCACGCCACCACATGCACACCCCTGAATTACGCCTTGCCTTCCGCCTCGGCCGAATTAGCTACGTGTTGGCGCAGCGAGTAAAATAAGCAAACCCGAGATTTGGGAAAAGGCACAATTAAAAGTATACCTTCAAAGGGCTGACAGAGTACCGTCTTCACACGTTGAGGCTGCATCAGTATGAACAGGTCTATATTCTACAGCCATTTATACACCAAATCTATCAAACTATCGTCAAACTCCCCCTCATAGCCGGCGACTCACTATCTCATGGTTAACCACCCTCCCCGACCCCTCCCCAATCGACGCCCCCGCCTTCACCGCCGCGGCCGTAACCGACTCCCTCCTCGACCTCCCCACCTTCGCCCCCTTCACCCCTCCAAGTACCGGCACCGCCTCAGCCGCCGACGGCCTCTCCCCCTTCTTCATAAACTTGAGCTTGATCTCCTCAGGGGTAAACTTCCTCGTCTTACTCCTCAGCATCTCCACCCTCTCCTCATGCGTCATCCCGATCTGCGCGCCCATCGGCACCAGACGGCGCGCGAGGTGGTCAAAGTCCTTGGTGATGCACCGGTACGTGATCATCAGGTAGTCAATGTCGGTGAAGGTCAGCGCGCCCTCGGCTTGGTAGGTGGGCTTGGCCTTGAGGAAGGCGGCGGGGTGAGCTTTCCAGTGGCGCCGCGGGTTGAGGTGGTGAGAGGTGTGGTAGCCGTCGTTGAAGCAGTGGCGGTTGCTCTAGAGGGTGTTAGTAACTGATGTGCCAGATAGTAGGGGGTTGGGGGGTCTTACGGGGACATCAATGAGTGTGATGCTGGAGCGGAAGTCGGACATGGGGTCCACGTTGTCGACCAAGCAATGCTGTCCGAAATTCCCAATCATCATGCCGAGGCGCATTATGAAGAATGGTAGTATAAGTACAAAAACTGTTGGGCGCGTGTTCAACTGGGATGCCAGGTACATAAAGCCCATCGAGGAGCACTCCGATATCAATGCCTTTGCGGCTAAATCGTATTTCTTATTGCGGTAGAAGTAGATTGGCAGTTCCAGCCAGGTGCACACCAGGAACCGAACGAAGTATCTGATGAATTCCAGGGGTTCGTCACGCTGGAAGTAGATGGTGGACGAGAGGTCTCCGGGGCCGTTCCCCTCGACGTGGTGCATCTTGACATGGTGGTAATAGTATGAATCCCAGGTGTGGCCCATCAGGGGTCCCGTGATATATGGAAAGAGGCGATCGAAGAAGGCATATTGTTTTCCGAGCAGGCCGTTATTATGTATGTGGTTGTGAAGAAGCAGCGTGAATGGGCCAGCGTTCCACACGGCATAAACGGTGTGGAGGACGGCATGAAGCCACGAGAAGCTGTAGTATAGGTATAAGGCGCTTGGCAAAAGAGTCGTGAAGTGTACTATTATGTGTGTGATGAATACAGTGTCTGGGTCCTGTCGTACAAGTTTCGAAGCCCATGCGAGATAAGGTTGTACCACCAGACGATCCAGCGTCGGATTTATTTCGTTATTGTCCCATGTAGTGAAGGCCGAGGATTCTACACTCAATTGCTCCAGGATGGGCCTCACTGAGTCGTCATCGTCGTCGGATTTGGGCCGATTGGGCTGTGCTTTGGCGGCTGCGGTGCTCGAGTCTCGGATGTCGTTCTGAATGTCGTATCGGAGGTTTTTTAAGACAATTGTGTCGGCCTCAGTTAGGGTCGACATATCCAAGAACAGGGCAAGATGCCAAGAACAGAAAGAAAGAAATCCAGCTCAATTAGATCTCTTATATGTAGAGAGGCTCATATATGCTGCGGGGGAGCCATATTTATCTGAATTGTGAAGTCGGGCCTGATTTCGACCTACCTTGCTATATCTCCATGCGGCATGCGAAATCCACGCTACCGGTGTTTTGGTGGGCGGCACACGGCGTTGCGCACCTACCATAAGGCCGCGAATCCCATGTAGTGTCTCCAACACGGGCTTACTATGAGGTACGTGACTTTGGGGATCCCGCCCATGACGACGTATTATGTATACGCGTATAGTTAGTTGTACGGGGTACGAGGAGTTAAAGGGAAGAAGTCTAGAAGTCTAGAAGATGCCAATTGTCGAGATTGATGGCTTGTGCGGCTATATTCAGCCCCTTCAATACTATCCAGGAAGGTGCAATCTAGATTCTATAATTGGACCCCAAGGGTCAATATGCATGACCGTCCGTGTACCTACTTCAGAACTTAAAAAGCATGCCACCGTTTAATACTGAAAAAAAAAAATTGTGGAATATCGGCACTACTACATCTACCCTAATACCCGTTCCGATCCCCAACCCACTCCGAACTGGTGTATCGGTAACATATCCGCCTCTCACCATTCGAAAGAATTATGAATCCGCGGTTGCGCGGGGTTCGACTCCCCGGTTCGGAATATTCCAGAACCATCTACTCTCAAGTAGATCAGTCCATTTTTTTGGGCAATTTTTTGCATCATACGTGTGATATTTATTTTATTTTTATGAACAGGCACAGATCAGGCAGTGGCCGAGAAGTAATACTGGCCCTGTTGATGGTGTTTAAAGTGCGAAATGTCAGCACTACAAATTTATTCTCGCTTGAGGGTCTAAGTGCCGATAAAGGTTCGTCTCGGCAGCTGTCAAAAAAGGTGCATTATAAACACTAAACCTCAACTCTACAGAATCATATATTTAAGACAGGCTCAGCTCAGCGTCAGAGGTTTTCGCACTACCGAATGTAGGTTAACGAGGAAGGAACGATGGTATAGTATATCGATCGTACTTGCCGTAGAATGGGAGTGGTTGAGTGTAGTCTCATATACCGACCTCTGGCGTGCAGCCATGACGTCACACATGAGCAACCGGAATTTCGGAAGCTTTCTTGTTTATAACAACAGTTCGGTCAGTGTATTGAGGGTATCAACGGCTACCTGCATGAATCTTTGTAAATGGATTTGCACACGTACCCCATGCCCAAGCCAACCAAGAGGATGGCACATGATGCTGCTGATCCGGTTCTGAGCGTTTGCTTGAGCCTTATAGCGAATCGATCCCTACCACTGTGTCAACGCCAGCATTCCTGGGCCAACCATAGCTCGGTTGGATTTACCAAACACATACAGATTCTACGTTTTGACTAATGCTGGTATGACAGCTGGCTGTCTCGCCCATCCTAGTTGTCAAAGATTCCTGTCTCGGCCAATCATGCAAGGCGGTTCTAGATGCAATAACAAGCCACATTTGAAGCCACAAGACCACCTCAGTTCTGTGCCACCGATCGCCATCAGGTATTCCCAGGTTTATAGTCGGTCAAGGCAAAGCAAGGATGTAGGGGGCGATATAGAGTACGATATAGTTGTATTATCATCAATGACTTCATTGAAGATCCCTAGTTATACAGTGATGGATTAAAGTACAAACCATTCGCCAGTGACTCAAGATGTTATAGCCCAACTTCAACCATGCCAAACCTGTTTCACTCAGGTCGCGGGGAAAGATGCGCGACGTCCCTCAGTTGCCGTCTTTCGCTCAGTTACACCTGGCACTGTAGATCGGCCTGATTGCTCCCAGATATGCCAAGCAGGTGGACCCCTCCTCGTTGACGCAGCCTCTGACGATTCAGAGGCAATATGAGTAGGCACGAATATCTTGACAAAACCCAGCCAACATCTTTGTCACCTGTAGCCCTCCACACTTCCGTTTCCGGTTTTTCCGCGTCTGTTATATAAAAGCAACAAGTCCCCCCAGAATAATATTCAACTTCTACCTGGCATTCATCTCACGCAGATATCCCAAATATTTCAGTCATAAACATATAACATCGAAGAAACATATCAAAATGGCCATTGATAGGATCGTTGGCACGCTGCTTCGCGTGGGCGAGGTGAGTTTAATTCCTCCACCAGCTCATGGATTCTTAATCTGATCAAATAAAGCTTGCCTTCGCAGCCGTTGTTGCTGGTCTTACCGGCGAATACCTCCACGAAACTAGAGGCCAGAGTAACTGGTCCAGAAAGCGGTTCATCTACACCATAGTCGTCGCATCGCTGTCCATATTCCTCTCACTGCTGTGGCTCCTCCCATTCTCAGGCGCCTTTATTCACTGGCCGGTCGACATCGTTTTCTTCGGTCTCTGGATTGCCGCCTTCGGTTTGCTCGTCAACGTAAGTGCATAAAACCCGATATAATTTCCGCATTGCTAACTTGAGGAATAGTTCATCGGTCCTCTGAACTGCGGCAGCATCTTCAACTGGGGCGACATCACGCAGAATGGCACTTGTCAGAAGTGGAAGGCCGACGTCGCCTTCTCCTTCCTGTCGGCTATCTTTTGGCTCGTCAGCGCACTTGTGGGAATATGGTTCATGCGCAAGCACACTCCACGACATGGCGCTGTTGCTGGTGACGAAATTCCTGCTCGCAGACGCTGGTACAGACGTTATTAGGCTGCCCTTCCATCTTACTTTGCAAGATCGTAGATGGCTGGAGACATAATCTGTCTGGCTTTGAAACATTGCTGCTTCTGCGAATACCCTCAATCCAATTTGCTGAAGGCGTTAATTCTGTTTGTTTGCAAGTGTTTTTGTGCCGTAGTTTTCGATGCACGGGGTTGCGCTTCAATTTAATATTTTCATGAGATATTGGGCACAGACAAGACATAATGAAATAAATATATCACTTAGTCAAGGCAATTCTGCACATGAGCATTGGTGGTAGCATATGAAAAAAATCGAACCTTCCTATAAAGAAAACATAACATAGAAAGTAATACTTATAGATTCCGTGATGACCGAAGGGATTGTTGTTCTGATAAATATTATATTTGACAGGTTTGGCTGTGGTTACAAAATTCGGCTGACATAATCAGCCAATCCAACCCAACCAATCAATCGTGGCAAATACTGATTACACCTCAAAGCGTGAACCTCAAATATCTCGCACGGCATCTCCATCACACCAGCCATTGCGACCCCCGACAGCTCCAATGGCCTCCAAGATCACTCCCTACGTCTTCGGCTCGGCCGCAAGGCGGGTATGCATCGCATCTCGCCCAGCCATTCGCTCCCAACGCCGGGCATTCGTCGCCTCTCCCCGGGTAGCCAGCGATTCCCTCTTCGTGGTATGCGGCCCTTCGGCCTCCCCCTCCCCATCACCCCCCCAAACATCCGCTGACACCCCCCCCTAGCACCGCGACTCCGCCGACAACAATGCGAGCATCCCGTTCAAGTTCAGCGAGCAGAACAACGCCGTGATCAAGGAGATCCTGGCCCGCTACCCGCCCCAATACAAGAAGGCCGCCGTGATGCCAATCCTCGACCTCGGTCAGCGCCAGCACGGATTCACCAGCCTTAGCGTCATGAATGAGGTTGCGCGTCTTCTTGAGATGCCGCCTATGCGCGTCTACGAGGTCGCTACCTTCTACACTATGTACAACCGCAACCCGGTCGGGAAATACCACGTGCAAGTCTGCACCACCGTAAGTTCCCCGTCCCCCATCAAACGCCCCAGAGACGCCGCGATGACAGAAGATCCGAGCTAACACACCCAGACCCCCTGCCAGCTCGGCGGCTGCGGCTCCGACGCCATCGTTAAGGCCATCGAGGGCCACCTCGGCGTCCACAACGGAGAGACGACCAAGGACAACCTGTTCACATACTTGGAGGTCGAGTGCCTGGGCGCCTGTGTTAACGCGCCCATGGTCCAGATCAACGACGACTACTACGAGGATTTGACTCCCGAGTCGATCGTGTCACTGCTCAAGGCATTGGAGGCGAGCGCGAAGGATGTGGCAGGGACGCCCTCGAAGGTGCCGGCGCCGGGACCAGCGAGTGGAAGGGAGAGCTGCGAGCCGACTGGGGGGTTGACGAGCTTGAAGGGCGAGCCGTGGGGGAAGGAGCTGTTTAAGAAGGAATTCCAATAGGGGGTATAGAAAATTTGGGGAGGGGCTAGGGGATAGAGCATATTGGCGGTGTATATATTGTATGAGAGATTACTCATTTATGATTGTGTCTTTTGCTGGTTGACTTTGAGAATGGGTGAGTGAACGGTGAATACGAGGAGAACGAACGCAACAATAAACGGAAAGACAGGTCGCGAATGATCAAATGCAGAGGGATGAGGGAGACATCAATACTTTTGCCCCCGAAAGTCTGAAGAAGGGCTAAGTAGAGGTAAGAGTTGATATTGGTAATCTAGGCTCACACAACCTTTCCCTTTAAGACTATCTCACAGTAACTATCTCTATAAGTCTATCTTATAGTAACTATCTCTTTAAGTCTATTATACAGTAACCATATATCTAAATATATATCATAGTACCTGTCTCTTTAGGTCTATCTTTTAGTAAATGCCTCTTTAAGTCTATTCTATAGTAACTGTCTCTTTAAAGTCCGCTTAAAGTGACTAAGGGTATTTGTTGTAGCTCACGGTATGAGGCCAACACCAAACTAGCACTGTTTACAGTAACCGGGAATGAAATACAGGCTCTTAATTACCATAGCTATAATTATCTAAGGTACTTGCTTAAAAATATACCTAAGGCCCCAAATCCCCACCTAGGGAGTCTTCTCCACAGTGTCTTTTCCACGCGTTTCACTCCGCCACCTCTCCTCTCTGGTCCGTACCGTCATACGCACCAGATGCCTCCCCCGCCTCCTGCGTATGCACGCCCTGCCAATTAACCTCTGCATTCCTCGCCGCCGCCGTCCCATCCAAATTATACCTCTTCCAATCCCTCCTCGGCCTCCTCCTGACCCCCCTCGGCTTCAACCGCATCGTCGTCCCCTTCTCCTCAGTCACCGTCAGCATCTCCTTCCTCTTTTTCTTGCGCCTCACCGGCCGCGCAGCAGGCTCATCATCATCGTCTTCGTCCACCGGCGCATCCGTCGGAATCCTCAGCTCCTGCTCATCCAGCTCCGCCAGCCGCCTCCTCGCCACTTCCGCCTCCTCGGGCGTCGCGCCACTCAATCCCTCTCGTATCGTAGCGCGCTCGTCCTCAATCCGCTTGCGGATTATCTCGATCCAGCCGTGAAACTTGGTGCGCTTGTATGCCACGACTGTGACCTCGTCGTCTTCCGCTTTGCGCTCTTTGATCCCCATCAGTCGCTCCAGGAAGCGGGCTTGGTTGCGTCGTTCGGTGGAGGCAGCGACGGAGACGGATTCCACGAGGGGTCCTTCCTCGTAGGGAGCGAGCGAGAGGGGCGTTGCGTGTGTGACCGGGACGACGGTTGCGGTGGCGGAGGTTAGGCGGGCGGAGCAGGAGGCGAGGAGGGCGACGCCGCCGGGTAGATGGCGCAGGGCTGGGAGAGGGTCATCTGTGTCATCGTCGGGAGTGAAGAGAAGCTCGCTGCCAATATTTTTGGTCCAGCGGCATGTGAAGGTATGATCGCGGTATGAGATGAGCGGGTTGTCAGACTCGAGGTGTAGGATCTGGATTTTTTGCTCTGCAGGCCCGTTGCTCTCGGGCTCGTTTTCATCGTTCCGGGGAGTGTCGTTGGTGGGACTTTGGGGCTCTTCGTCGGCGGACTCGACGGGGACGGTGTCTTCGCCCTCTTTGTCTTTGTCTTTGTCCCCGAGGGATATTGTGGGTGCGTGCCCGAGTTGGCGCTTATGACGGCCGAGGCCGGGGTTTATCCATTTGGTCTTGGTGCTTGCACGGCCACTGGGGAGAGGGTTGGCTCGAGGGCGAGAAGTCGGTATGGATGGAGTTGTGAGGTCGAGCGTGAGATAGAATGTCTGCGGGGTGGTTAGCACGTGTAGGATGGAGGGAGCTGTGAGGGGCACTGACTTCGGTTTCAGTGGTCGAATACTCGTATTCCCATTCGTCGGAATCTTCTCCCACTGAGCCGTTCAATGGCATTGGGAGAGGCTCAACGAAAGAGTGGCTTGAAGCTTCATTTTGCGGGGTGGGGGCGTCCATCCAGGGCTGGAAGCTCTCCATGGTTCCGGTTTAGAATAATAACTGGGCTCTATTGGTGTAGCGGAGGAGGAACGCATGGAATGATCTAGGCATTGAAGATCCGCGGATCCTAGAGGCGCCTAACAAGCGCAAGGTGATAGGCAGAACGTGGCTATCTGAGACGCTGGCGGCATGAAGTAAGGAGTCTGAAGCGCTACAGGAAGCGCTGGAGGCACACAGGGCTTTGCCTCTTATTTTAGTTCAGCCTTGCGGTCTCGATCATAGGTACAAATGGTACAAAGTATATCCGATAGTCACGTGATCGTTCTCTAGTTTCAAGCGACCCGCCCTATATGGATTGATTGGCAGCGGAAGATGACCGACGAATGCAGCAGCTGTGACACTTTCACGCGCGCTAAAAATTTATCCAAGCACACCCACAAACATACGTCACCCCCTCCACTCCCCTCCACTCGGCCAAGAAGGCTACACCGCACTACTCCACCACTCAACTACTTTTCCCCCTTCTCCCCCTGCACATGCATGTCTTAATTCTCTCAACATTCAGCCTCTGCATTAGTCGCTGCCGACAGGTCAATAATGAATAAAATATCCTTGGAAGGGTCAAGTGGCCAATACATAAGTATGCACGGTGAGTCCGATCGGTCTTGCTACTTATTCGCCTTTGTGTCTCTATCTCTATCTCTGTCTCTGTCTCTGTCTCACTTACCTCTTGTCCTTTTATACTCCAGTACATATCTCACCCATAAATACTTCTCCTTTGCTCTACCTCAACGCTCACCTCTGATTTAACTTACCTCAACCAAAAACCGAGACCTTTATATCTACTGTGCTATAGGCAGCACGAATAACGCCACATACTTACTGTACGGATATACACCTACCCTCACAATGGCCTCCGCCATCCAAGAAGTGCCAGACCAGGAGTTCAACGGCATCAGATATACTGGCTTCCCTGAGCCACTGTGTCTTCGTAAGTTCTCCCCTGCTACGTCTCTTCCACCAACCTAACTAACCCTTCCCCAGACCGCAACACAACCCTCCCCCACCCCGAAGCGAACCTCTCACCCGACGCCTGCATCGAGTCCTTTGATATCCCCCTCGCTCGCTCCCACTCCCGCCTCCGCTTCCACTCCTCGCGGCGCGTCTCATCAAAAGGCTTCATCGACCCGACACAAGTGTACGAGAACATCCAGTACGTCGATAGCACCGTTACCGTTGTCCCCAAACCCGGATCCTCCTCCTCCTCGAAAGAGAGCACCAGCCCCACCTTAGACGGCGATGGGGGGTTCAAATCGAGAGAGGAGGAGGCGGGGAGGTCGTCGGGGGAGACCGATTCAAGCGAGCGAAATCACCGGAAAAAGAAGGGCTTGCGCGGCTTGTTCCACAAGGGCTGAGATGCAGTAGCACTTTCTGGGCGGCGTTTTTTTAAAATGGGAAAAAACAAAATCTACACGGGTTTTTTCTTGGGATATTGTCTTGGATATTGCGGTTTAGCGTGGCCTGTTTGATTTCGGGACGGCGAAAGCACTCCTCTGGGAGGGTGCGCGGATTGTACCGCTGGTGCGGGGTGTTAAATTAGTTAATATACATGCTCCGAATACCAATCATCAACCTTCTAATCTGGGTATATCTGGGTATACCTGCCTCTTCTTGCGTTTTTCTGAGTGCCAGTCGGTGCGTTGGCTATCTGCAGGTCTGGGAAGTGCAGAAAGTGACTCGCCAAGCCGGTTGAGTCGGGCTTGGATGTCGTGGCGGGACCACTGCTGTGGAGGAGGTGACGAGGCCGATGGGGTCGTTCGTTTGTGGGGTAAGAGGTAATAGGAAAGAAAATAGAAAGTTATACAGAAAAAAAATGGTAGGGGAAATGAGAAATAGGATGTGGGTAGCTAGGCAAACGAGGGCAGACTAGCCAAGTCTGTCGCTGTCTGATATGCCATTTCCAATGTTACTCGAACCGCCAAGGGGTTTGGAGGGGGGCTATCTTAGATGAGGACTCATAAATACACCGAGGGAGATAAATTCCATGAAACTAATAGAATTTATCTCTACTCTATTCACAAGTAAGTAGCTTAATGATTACAGCCCCGAGTGACTGAGCGATATTATTATAACCATGGCCGATGTGTAACCATCAGCTTTTGTGCACAGTCTTTGTACGGGCTTTTGGACGACATGAGTACTGTATGACGAGAAGAAGCATTGTAGTTGTTTTTGATATCCGTAGTGGTAGGACAGGTGCGTTGCCACCGGGAACCCCGACGGTGGAGTTGAACCACCCTGCTGCCACTCTCCTCCGTACGACAAGGCTTGCACAAGATCCATAAATGCAGTCTAGACTAGACCTCAAATCTGAAAGAATGCATATATATTAAACCCGCGGCCACATCCCAGGTAACCGTCATCTATATTATAATGAAGTGGGTATGTATGACAGAAACGCCGGCCCATCAGTACTCCAGCAGTTCGTAGGCTCCAGTCCTCGAAACAAAACCACCCTTAATCCCACAGTGACCACTCCCATATATTACTACCCAATCGTTAATCATATGAACTCCCACCCCCTCTACCCAGACGCTGCCCTCGCCCTCCTCCTCCTCACAGCAACCCTATCCCACGTCCCCGCAAAGATCTCATCACACTCATCCTCATCCTCAGAATCAAACATCACATCCTCCCCCTCCCCATCCCCCTCCACAGCATCACCTCCCCCCATCTCCCCCCTACCCCTCTCAACAACCACATCCTCCCACCCCTTCACCACCACCACCCTCCTCATCTCCAATATAAACTTCCCCACCTTATACTTTTGCCCCTCCTCCCTAGCATCAACATACTTCCACCCCACCACCTTCTCACAAATTGCACAGCTGATATCCGCCACCACATGCGCCCCCGTCGCCAGCTGCCTACTCATCGGCCTGCCGATCGTGATATTGATGAGGCTAGGCTGTGTATTTTTATCAGCCCCCTGGGGGGAGGCGGGCGGGGAGACGAGGTACGCGCGGCCGTGGCGGCCGGTGAAGGCTTTGCTGATTATTTGGGAGGCGAAGGCGAGGTCGGTGGCGCAGGTGGAGCATTTGAGGTGGTCGGGACGGGCGCAGTGGAGGTTATAGGTTTGTGTTGGGTCTGTGTCTGGGTCGGGGTTGTAGTAGCTCCCGGGAGAGCGGCTGAAGGAGGAGGGCGAGGTAGGTGAGGTTGGGGAGGTGCTGGGGGAGGTGTTGAGGGATCCGAAGCTGGTGGCTAGGGAGAAGATTGTTGGTGCTGTGGTGGTGGAGCTGGTGGAGCTGGTGCTGGGGGTTGAGGAGTGGCGCTTGCGGAAGGGGCGGGGGAGGGTGGTGAGGGAGGAGACGAGGTAGGTTGCGAAGGATGGGGGTTCGGGAGGAAGCATGGCGGCTAGGTGGTTTGAGAGGGTAGAGCTGTGGTCGTGGTTGAGACTTGTGTGTTGAGGTGGGAGCTGGGTAGCTCACAGGCGATGCCGGAGATGCAGGGCGGCACCTTAGTATGGCGCGGAATTTCTAAGTCTCGGCGAGGAGTATGATGGCTGTAGATGCTCTGAGAAGGCGCGGAGAGTATATCACGTCTAGCTGTATCTTGAAAGTGGACGGGCTAGGCCATAGTCAAGATCACGATAGCGGTTTGCGGTTGCGCTGGCTTGTGTAGAGAGATAACGAAATGTCGGGCGAAGTTGGAGAGTCGGAGAGTGGGCTAATGATCAAGAACGCAGCTAATAATCGCAGGGTTCGGCCAGGTGATCGATCACCCGATAAGTAGGTGGCTTGGACAAGAAGATCCGAGCTACTAAAATACATAGATGGGCATATGGTAAGTATTGTGGTAGTTTGCCTGTCAATAATATCTTTGAGACAGTGTGACGACTATTTGGCCATTCAAGCAAGTGCGGGAGTGAAGAGTTGGGATGATCCCGTTTCGTAGCGGCAGGGTTTAATCCCCTGAAGTCGTGATTGTTAGTGATATAATGAACAGAATCATTCTCCCTTTTCCTAAGCTGCGTTTCTTGAACTATATCTTTCAGATTTAGACTAACTTTATTCAATATTTCGATGCAAGAAATGTACTATAAACCTGTATAAACAGCATTAACTGTATGCGTAGCCTGGTTGGACACGTGCTGCTTATCGATTACAGTCACAGGCCCCACTTCCGAGTCTGACATGTTCTGCCAGTCAAAGTCCGAAGTGGGACCACTTGAAGCTGGGAATTAATACTTGCATGCAAGCTAATGGAACTTATTATTTTAGCTATGGCTTTAAAAATTACCTTATATGGTTACTACTCTGAGAGGTTGAGAGCAGTTATTTTACTTATACTTGCTGTAAACGGTGACATTACGGACAGTCCCTCTTCTGACTTTTGGGTGGCAAAAGGCACTGATTTCTAGTAGAACAAAGGCATAGCACATCGGTTTCATAGTTTCCAGAAGTAGTCATTACATCGTAATAAATTTCATTTTGTGCAAATATTCATTCTGTGATCCCTCTGTTCAACAGAGAACCTACGAGCCAAAGGCAGCAGACGCAGCAGATGCTCCAATAACCCCAATAGCGTAAAAACCTCGCCCAAACTATGCTCCTCCACGCGCCACCTAATTGAGAACCTGATCTAGAACCTGATCGAAAACTTGCTGTGTCTCGTTGCCAAGAATATATTATACCGCATTGCAGTGTGAGTCGGAGAACCGTCTTCTCTACAACTCCATTCCAAGGAAAAGCCACTCGTTGCTCGGGCTGCTGCGTGATTCTGCCCATAAGTCGAGTGTGACCAGCTCGAAGCCGACCCATCGGAGGCTCTTCAGTAGTGACTTGCTATCCTCGGCCGAAATCGACCTGTCGAGGCAAACCACAACCTGAGAACATCCCAAGGGACTGCTTGCCAGATCGATTATTGCCATCAATCTACATTTTTGTTAGCATTTGAATTCTTCCTTCGGAAAACTTGTGGTGCACCTACGCTTGCTTCAAATCGCGATTGATAACTGAGTGATCAAAAAACGTGAACAGACACCTTTCGTCGTCTGCCCCGGCCACGAAGCCCTTGAAACTACACCCGCCGGCATAGTCCCAGAGCTCCAGCCACGACCCAACGCCATTGTGGCGCTGGACCGCGTTCTTGAAATAGCTCTGCCCATCCATCCCCTCTTGTGGGGGTGAATGCGCGTTCGCAGTCCATTCGTAGGAGCCATGCGCTATCGAGTCCCTCTCACCAAGGAATACAGTAGTCATGGTCTCGCAGAAGAGTCTCTCACACTCTTCCCGAATGGAATGCGCTGCCCCGCCGGCACGCCCCCCCCTCACCGCGGTGCCATCGTCGCCGTGTCTCCGGGATTTGCCCGCGGAGACGTAGGCGAGTTCGTTGGCTGAGGTGAAGGCCGCGAGGGGGGGGCTGGAGGGCGGGGAGGGAACGCCTGAGGAAGGGACCTCAGGAATACCACTGTGCCCCTGTGTGTATGTTAGTTTCTGCTGTAGCTGTCAGAAGGGGGAGGGAGAGGACTAACCGTCCGCCCCGGTAGTGGAGTAGTGGAATCCAGTCAATATCGAAGTACGATCGACGACATAAGCCGAGGCGAGGACGACAGCACGACGTGCAACCACCTCGCCACTGCAATTATTACTTTGACTGTTACTTTTGGTTTGTAAAAGCGCCATTTTTGAGGGCGGCCACGGTTGTTGATAAGTGGTGGTAATGGGTTTGGTGCTTTGACTCAGCGGTCGAACTGTGACGTTGTTTGACGAGTTGTAAAGTCGACGAAGATTGAAGTATTTGATTGAAGTCGTAAGACGATTGTATTTCAAAAGTTGGTAGTTGACAGGTGCTGGAGTTTTGGCTGTAAGGAGGCTGAAGTAGCGTTGATTTCTTTGATGATGAAGTCGGTGTGAGGCGAAAGTGTCGGAGAGAGTTCGATTGCTCTTTATCGAAAGTCGCCATTGGCCAAGACCCCGCACACAATTTGATGTTTGGTTATCCAATCAGAAAAAAGCTTGGGCCGGATTTTGTATGAGGCACGTGTTCGTATCGATAGGATGGGCATGTGGCACGTGACACATATGTTACCTAACCAATCACTCATGTTGGAACTCTTGGCTGTGGTCGAAACGACGACACAAATAGAATACAGTGGACTTATACAGTGGCAGCTTTGATCTCCGATTCGATCCAATTAACAAAAAACTTATTCATACACCTTGATAGCTAGCTTCAAAACAATTTATTTACAAAACCAGCCATGACTCAAATGAACACGAAACCTGGGCCACCTAACCCAACACCCACCACCGGTAGCTCCCGCTTCGAAGACCTCCAAATGCAGCTGATGCTCCTAGAGGAACAGAACAGAAGGAGGCTGCAGGAGGCCATACAAGAACAGGACGCTGGCGCAGGCGCACCTTACACAGCGCCTATGGCTCCTAGCTCTGCCGTCGAAGATTTTCAAATAAAGTTGTTGCGCCTGGACCAAGAGAACAAGAGAAGGCTGGATGCGGTCCGGGAAGGAACGAGTACGCCCCACACAGCACCCGCGCCCGGTTCTAGAGATCCTGCGTCCCCGGAAAATCAGATGCAGATTAAGTCGTTGCGGGAGCAGTATTAAAGGAGGATGCGTTTGGACGGACAAGATGCTGAGACGTCTACGGCTGGTAGGCCGGGCCCGGGACAGGAGTTCAATGGGGATAGACCAGATGTGGAGTAATTGGGTGTGCATCCGCAGACACAACGTTCAAGTCGGAATTTAGGTCGTGGTTGCTGCGCTGGTTGAGGTTAACGCGAGAGTACTACGTGCTGTGGAGGACGAAGCTGGTGTGGTAGAATCAACACCGAACTATGATTAAGTTAGATGGCTGTTTATACGAGATCACCGCCACTACTCTGGGGCGATGAGATGTCAGAGACAGGATAGGAGCAACGCTATTCGTAGGTAGAAGCCTAAAGCGCTAATGTGAAATGCAACATAACATATCATAGACATATAAAACCTCTCTTGTAATCATTTTGTAGTATTCTTAAACAAGCTTTCGGAGCATACATAATCTTACGGTGCTGACGGCAACTGTGTTGGCGACAGCGGAGAAGTAGACATAGGAAATGGAGTACATAGGCGCTAGCGTTAAAGCATGGAGTATACAGATCAAACAGCTTCCCCTCAACCGAACCGGTCGCCTGGGGTCTAGGCGCTCCCTCCCTTCTCTCAGGGTCCCCCATTCTTTTCCTCACAAAATTCAGCCCCTTTCTTTCTAGCCCTTCTCCACTTCCACCATCACCTACAGCCTCGCACGATCACCTACGCATTCTTAGTAATAGCCCCCTACCTCAGGTAGTTTGGCAACCCACCGCGGCTATCAATCCCCTTCTTCGCAATTGCCGCGATCAAAACAAAAAGAACCCACCTCGTGAAGCCCTCCTTCACACCGCTGCCGCCCAGAAGGAACGCGGCGCGGAGATAGTCCGTGATGCCGTACTTGGTGCGCAGCTGGCGATCAAAGTTGGGCTTGACGGCAGATGTGGCAATCATCTTTTGGAGCTGGGAGGGAGTTAGCTTGGTTATGTTCATTTCATTATGATCCCCACCTACACAGCCAGTCGAGGCTAGACTGGAGGTGAGGATAAGAGGGGGAAAGGGGTCAAAAACGTACCTTGCCACTGTATGGGGGGTAACGAATATCGAGGAGCTTCTCCATCCATCCAGGTGTACGGGTGATGGGGCGACGATGCGAGAAGCAGTCGAAACTGGCCTTTCCGCGGTAACTGCCCTGTCCGGAGTCACCGACACCACCGAACGCCAAAGTAGGGATACTGGCGTGGAACAGCGCGTCTCCGATGGTGGCACCGCCACTAGTAGTAGCTGCAAGGATGCGGTTGACCTCCTCCTTGTTACCGAAGGCGTATAGGCCGAGCGGGGTGGAGTGCACCTCGTTAGCAATGCGGATAGCTTCGTCGAGGTTCGCGACGGCGAGGACAGGGAGGAGCGGGCCGAAGGACTCTTCCGTGATGAGCGAGTCGTTCTGGTCCTTAACCAGTACTACTGTGGGCTCGATGAACCGGTCCGCGGCATCGGTGGCGCCACCGATAACGATCTTGCCCTGTGTCGAATCAAGCATCTTCTTGATGCGGGCGAAATGGTGATCGGAAACAATGCGACCGAAATCCGGGCTAGCCTTTGCGCCGTTGGGATAGTACTCCTTGTTGGCGACACGTAGCTGCTGGATGAACTCATCGCAGACATCGGCATCCACCATCGTGTAGTTCTGACTAATGCAGACCTGGCCAGCGTTGATGTGCTTACCCCAGAGCAGGCGGCGAGCCGCGAGACGGAGGTCTGTGTTTCTCGTCACGAAGGCAGGGTTGCGTCCACCCAGCTCGAGCGCGATGGGCGTAAGGGTCTCAGCCGCCTTCTTCGCGATGATCGTTCCGACGACGGAGTTACCCGTGTAGAAGATCTTGTCCCACTTCTCGTTCAGAAGCACTGTGGTCTCATCCTTGCCTCCGTTGGCGACGGCGAAGCAGTCTGAGTCGAGTTTCTCGATGAGCTTCTTCAGCACCATCGCGGACGCAGGGCTGATCTCGCTGGGCTTGAGCACGGCGGTGCAGCCAGCAGCGATGGCTCCGATGAACGGGCCAATGCTGAGTTGGATGGGGAAGTTCCAGCAGCCGATGACGAGGACGGCGCCGAGTGGTTGCTTGCGGATAACGGGGCTCATGAACTTGTTTGGCAGAGTGATGTCTGGTGGCGACTCGTCCTGTGCCCACTTCTCGAGGTTCTTGGTGACGAAAACAATGTCGTTCTTGCACCACTCGAGCTCTGTGACCTGAGACTCGTAGACCGACTTGCCGACATCGAGCTTCAATGCCTCGAGGAAGTCAGGGGTGAGATCAACGAGCCCCCAGTAGAGCTTGCGCAGCTGCTGGATACGCCATGCGATAGGGCGCGTCTTTTGCGAGACATAGGCGAGGCGCACGCCGGCGGCGATAGAGGGGAGGTTCTCGATGGGCGTGTTCTCGAACGCGTCCAATTTAACTGGTGCTTGAGCTTGGGGCGCCATGGCGGCGGTTTGCTATCGGCTAGCGCTTGTGTATAAAAGTCGTCAAGGGTGGCAGTTCTGCCAACTTAGGGATCTCTGATGTTGAATTAAAAGGTTTTATATGATGATTTATTCGATAGGGAAGAGCAACGGTGATATTGTAACGGGGGAATGTAGAGAAGAAAGAAGGGGCGATTGATATGAAATCAGCTTCCCCGGATGACGACGGTCCCTCCGCAAATTGTCATGCATCTGGCTGACTTCCCCACACTTGCATCGAAGACTAGGTACCGAGACCGAGGCATGTGAATTACGATCTAACCAGAACCGGTATGGGCACATGCAAGTCACGTGCTATTTAACCGCTAATACGTCAAAAAATCCGAGCCGGACGTTGCTATTCGCCCGAGTGCCGTCCATTCTGTGCACGTGACATAACCAGAGTGAGAAGCAAGAAGCTTAATTGTGACCTCAAAGACGTCTAGAGTCGGCACTTTAATCAGTATCTCCGTGGTGAAAATTATACCAAAGAAGAAACTTCTCTGATCTGCTCCTATAGCCTCCAAATATGTGTAAATATGATAATATAAAACAAATACATCGTCTATTCTATTCCACGTCCATATACAACAGTATCTTACAATGCAGCCTAATCCCACATTCGTACACTCTCTACCGCCTCACAGACACCTTCTTCGGTGCCTTACCCCTGCCCGCAATCACAGCTGGCTCCGCGAGCTTCGCAGCCCCAGCCAACTTCGCTGCCTGCGCATGCGCCTCCCTGACAAAAGCTCCTCCATCAACGAGCAACCCGCTCTCCACCCTCGCCTGATCAAGCTTCAGTGCCTCCGCCCGGCCCGCGTCAAGCTGTGCTTGCCTCGCTGGGGTAATGCGCCACTCGCGCGGGAACTTAGGCTTCGTCTTGAACGTGTGATGGCGCGTATCGAGAGGGACATCCTCAAACGTGTCCTTGGGATCCTGTAATATGTTAGTTAACCAACCCAATGAAAATGCTCATAGCTGTTAAAGAGAACACATACCTTGGCCTCACGCACGAGACTATCCACGAGGTCGCCTAGGTAGCGCTTGTTCTGTGCCTGCGACTCGAACATCTCGCTGCTCATCTTGACGATCTGCGTCTCCGGGTTGAAACGCACGCCAACTAGCTTCTTGAGCTTGTCCTTCTGTACTGGCTCAAGTCCCGGGATATCGTCGGGGCAGAACTCAACCACCACCTTCTTCTCTGCGGGGTGGTCCTCACCCATGTATGTCGTGTACCTGAAGCGTAGCACTTGGTTCTGGTTCGGAGGTACAAACGGTTTCGCCATCTCTGTTTCGTGTGTTAGCATATCGTATCCCCTTTCACCCAAGGCACAAAATAAACATACTCGTCAGTAGCGGCATCTCCCACGCCATTAGCCGCGCATACTTGCGGAACTCGCGGTGCTGCTCGAGATCCCCATGCGCCAAGGATGAGACATCGTCCTCCTCGAATTCCGGGTCCTCAACGCTGTCCTTCTCGCCCATATTCAGGAGACCCATCTTCTGCTTCTTCTGCGGCACCGATGCCGGCCGCCGCCGCCTCTGTGCGTCGGTCATATTCTTGTTCAGGATGCGGGCTGACGCACTCGCTAGCTCGCCGTGTCGGATCGACTCGATCGTGCTCTCGAAGCGGGCCCATTGCGCTTCCTCGGGGTTTAGGGAGGCGGCAGGGGCGGGCTCCTTGGGGCCTTTGGGTGTGGATTCCTCGAAACGAGGGGAGGAGGTGGTGAAGCTTCGGAGGAGAGGAGATTGCTTGCTCGCGAGGCCGCTTTGGTACCTCCTGGCTGCGAGACGCAGACTAGATGCTGCTGTCGACATGGCGACGTGTAGTTCCTGCAATTGAGTAGAATTGATTGTGCGGGTGCTAAAGCACTCGATTGACGGGAGCGCGCTGCAAAGGGGGATGTCGTGGCGCAGCTGCCGCTTTTGGTCGTTGAGCTCTAGGAGGTGCGGAACTTTTTGACGATGGAGATATATCTGTATGCCTGAATTATTAGGCACAAAAGCATCATTCCATTTGGGAGAGCGGATGGGCAGAACCTTGGGAGGGAACGACCTACCAAAATTAATTCGAATTTTAATGTTATTTAATTTGCAAAATGACCATTTAAAATTTATATCTAATAGCTATCTTCCCTTCCCTCTCATTATCACATAATCGAGCAATATCAATCCAACTCCAAGCATATACCCAAACAATTCTCACCGCTTCTCCAAAACCGGCAGAATCGCCAACCCCAGACCGACCGCCCCATCCTCGACCAAGCATCACTCACTACCTTCCCTACCTCTCTGGCAGCTCCCAGCACACAACTTACGGCTCCTCAACACCCACAGACGCCTCGCAGCTCCAAGTGCTCGAACAACCACCACATCACCAACCTGGCATCTGCAAACCACCACCAACACTATTCCCTTCACAACCATCCCCCATGCCCCCCCGCACCTGCCTCATAACCCTGGGCGCTACGGCTCCCTTCCCCACCCTCCTCTCCGCCTCCCTCTCCCCCGCGTTCCTCTCTACCCTCTCATCACAGGGCTACACGAATCTCACCCTCCAATGCGGCGCGGACCTAATCCCCGCACAGGAATGGATTACGAAGCTCGCTCCAACGCTGGAAAACCTAGGGCTGAGTGTTAGAGCGTTTGGGTTCCAAGGGGGAGGATTGGGGGAGGAGATGAGGGAGTGTAAAGCTAACGAAAATGATGGGAGGAGGAGGGGGTGTATTGTTTCTCATGCTGGTTAGTTTACATTGCATTCCTTTGTTGTTTGCTTGCGGGCCGTGTGAATAAACAGCGTGGAGATGGAGAATCATGCTAACACAACCCCAGGCGCAGGAACAGCCCTCGATGCCCTTCGCCTCTCCCTTCCGCTTATCCTCGTTCCCAATCCAGCACTACTCGACAACCACCAGCTGGAGCTCGCGAAGGAGCTGGATAAGATAGGATATGCCGTCCACGGCCGCCTAGATGACCTAAGCGCCGCGCTAAAGGAGAGCGAGGAGCGCACGTTGAAGGAGTGGAGTGAGACGAGCGGTGGAGGTGGTAGGGGGAACGTGATGGATGTAGTGGGGGTTGAGCTGGGGTATGAGCCCGAGAAGAGAAGAGAAGAGGACGTTAGAGGGGTATTGGATTGAGGAACTGCGGGCGAGGAAAGAATACTGTGGTAGGTTCAGATACTGGGCCACGATATTTAGGTGATGGCGTCTGTCCATGGCGCCGCGAAGATGGGGATCTATCAAAGCGAAACGCCGAGACAGCGTCCTACCAGCACGCTGCTTGCGTGAGGCACCAAGAAGCGATTCGAGAATATTATCGCAGATGGAGGAGGAAACGTTCAATAGCAGCTCGCTAGACGAGCAGTAAGACGCTTGAAACGAAAATCAGAGTAAGAGTATTATTATTGAATATAGCCTATCCTCTATCATCCCACCTTTTTGGTCCACCGATCCACCACCGCCATCCCCCCGTTTACCACCAAAAGAGAACGCCGCGGGATTAACAGCAAAAGCAAATGCGCGCTGACCGGCCCTATATGCAACCCTACCATCCTCTAGCGAAATCATCAGTCATGAAACAACACAGTCGCCCCCTTCCACGAGGCTCATCGACACCACCTCATGACGCCGGCGCCTTCCCCGGCACCACTTCTCCGACCTCTGGCTTGCGTCCCCATACCACATACATGCGATGATATGCATGAACATCCCTATCCATCAAGCTTTTCCTCACATCTACGAGATACAGCTCAATCTCGTCCGTGCTCCACCCCAGCACGCGACTAAAATACGCCAAACTAAACGCCGCCAGGCCTACCGACATATTCTCCGCCCACCAGTGCCCGAGGTCCTTCATCGCCGGATCTTTCGGCCAGCGGCCCAGCGGCGCCTTGAACACCCGCTGCTGTACATCCACGAAGCCCGCAGCCTCGAACCATCCCCGCAGCTTCGGCGCAACATCGAGTTCGCGCCCGACCTCCAGCGAGGCCTCCTGCAGCTTATCGACGTACTTCGCGAAGGGCCAGTCGTCGGGCATGGTGCCATCATCGCAATGGGGAAAGGGGTTGAGCTCCTGGCACTCGAGGAAGCCGCCGGGCTTGATGTGTTTGAAGGCGGTAGCGATGACGGCGCCCATGTCGGAGAAGCAGCCCTCGAGGATGCGCGTGTGCACGAAATCGTAGTGGTTCTCGGGGATGGCCCAGTCGGACTGCTCGGCGTCGTCGATGATGAATTGCACGTTTGCGGGGACGGCGGAGGGCTGGATGGGAGACAGATCTGTGGCTTCGATCATGCCTTCTGGGTAGAGGTCGCCCATTTCGATGGCCCAGTTTCCGGTGCCGGTGCCGATGTCGAGGACGGCTAGGGGGTAAGGGGGAGGAGGGATAGGGGCGTAGAAGAGTTTATTTTGCAGGCAGTGGTTAACAAGGATGTGTTGGTATTCAAGGCGGTCGACTTCGTTGGCGTCGTTGGGGAAGTGGTAGGCTGGTTGTGTTAGTGGGAGGTTTGGATTAAGGGGGTGAGGACATGATGAGAGAGTATTTCGGACGAGAGAGCGGTGAACGCAATGGGAGTATTGAGACATATAAATCTATTCAAACAAGCCCGTTGAAGAATAGGAGATGTGTCCAAAACAAGCTTGCTGAAGCTGGCCGACAAGATGAACGAAGCTGTAAACCACAAACAGAAATCAAAACTGCAAGCCAGCACAGTGAAGAAAAGACGGCACACCAAAGAAAGTTAAACACTCACATCCAGCACGATACCCGTGATACGTCCTCCCATTTTCCCTATGGAAGTTAAACACACTTGTCGTCACTGAGCGCGTCGACATGTCGCTGCGAACGGGGTCATCGTTAGCTTCATCTTCTCCTTCATCTTCGTCTCTAGAGCGTGGGGGGCTTGCACGCGGGGGGGCGACGTACAAGTTCTCCCCAGTGCTGCTGTGGTTGGATGCCGACTGTGGCGCGAGTTAGGATTGGTGCTGCTGTGAGGGGTAGAGGGGGCTCACGTCGGCCTCGACAATTTGAGAGCGCGCCTCGTCGGGTTGGGAAGGGGGCGCGAGGCGGCTGGGTGAGCCGGGGGGCGAGGGGGTGGGAGAGGGCATGGTGAGAGGGGGTGAAGGCGTGTGGCTCCCAGATGTGGCGTTGCGAGGCGAGGAAGACGTCGGTGAGGCGGAATCTCTTAGGGCTCAGTCGAGTCCGAGTTTAGAACTTTGCACCCAGTGGGATAGTGAAGCAAGCCAAGCACGCACTAAGCGCAAAGCCGTTCGGTCCGTCGAGGCGCCTCCGTTTTCGTCAGAGTAGGAGTTAAAGAATAAGCAAGAAGGGGAGAAAGCAAGGTCGGAAGCCAACTGTTGAATATCGCCTCCAAATCAGTTTGGTATATATCAAATCTCTTAATCAACCCGGAGAAATAGAACCCTAATAATGGGAGCGAAAATGGAACAAGGAAAAGAGAGGCGCACACTCACAATACATATATATACATCGAGCGACGCAGCCCACCCACCCCGAGCACAACCCACCCATCATCCACCCGTTCCCCACCGGGCACGTCCAGCCCCACGAACCCAGGAGCCGTGTCGGTGGGAAGCTACGGAATCCCCACTGGCGGGTGCTAAATTCTCTTGGAATTTAGGAAGTACAGAAGTATAGAAGTACGGCAATACGTACTGTAGCGCTAAGTAATATTTTATTTTGCTTTAGGAGGGGGAAAGGAAGCGAAGGGGGATTGTTGGGGGGGGAGGAATCGGAGGAGGCGTTGTTGGATAGGGTGTTAGTGGAAGGGGATGGTGGTATTGCATGCAACATTACAATATACATAGAGAGCGTATAGTATACCTAGGGAGTGTATATAGTTTAGTATTAGTAAATTACTATTAGTAGAGCACGGATTACCTTTAGGGGTCCTCTACTGACCAAGTACAAGTACTTGCTGGGTGCTGTTGACGGTTCTCGCTTCCGCGTTCCTCAGTGTCGGGATTGCTGTCCGTGCGGGCGGGTTGGAATGTTAGGGGGGTGTTAGGGGGGTGGAGGTGATGGGTGACCGGATGCGTGGGTTGAGGTATTTGTTGGTCGTACGGGAGGACAGTTTGAGTATAATAGTAGTACAAGCTGTGTAGTTGGTTCCAGTCGCGAATAGTGGAGTAATAGAAGACTGTAACATTGGCAACGTTGGTAATGTCGACGGCATGTAAGTAGAGTACTGTAAGGGTCCAGAGTAGAGTGAGGGTTCGTAAGAGGGTTTAGAAAGAGGGTTTAGCGGGAGGGTCGTACATAGGACGGCACTTGAGCTGTCCTGTAGCACTGTGATTAATGTCTTGGGGGCGTGTGAGCAGTGCTGTACAAGATAGAGCTAGGTGGAGTACAACTGCGCATGAGACACTGTGTCTGAGACAAACCACTTTTTGGTGATTGCGGATGTCTCCGGATGATGCAGGAATATAACCTTAGGTAGTTACCGTAGAGCTCTCTTTGCACGGGTAGAAGGAAGAAGGAACGGACACTCCTTCTAAACCAAGTGCCGTGCTTAGAATACTGCAGTAGTTAGCTCATCTCGGCGCATCGTTGCTGCATATTAGCTTCAGGGTCTGCAATATGTGCTGTACCTACTCTATAGTAAAGGGTCTGCATCGAAAAGGGGGGACCCTATCTCACACATTCCCCCGAAGTACTCCCCATATAGTGTTCTCAGACATCCACCTCCATTCCAATCCTAAACATCCCGTCATACCTTCCCTACTCCACCGTACTTAGCTCCCTTACTTCCGCACTCCCTACAGTGGCATAAGCAAATCCCAGCACCCGGTACTCGTCACTCATTAGCACACAAAGCACACGCCCCGTCCTCTTCTCTACCCGTCCCTCGGATCCCCGACCCAGGAGACAGGCGACCGGAAATCAGCATGAGACCAAAACCACTCCTATGGTACGCTTCCAACGTAAGACAGACCCAGCTTGTGCGACGAGTGCAGAGGCTGAGCTGTGCGTGATCATGTACAAGGCAGCATACAGAGCACAGTACAGGACAATGCTCTGCTCTGTATGGATACTCTAACTAATATCATGCGCTAAGAGCATATGTAAGTGCCGAGTACCTACCATTTTAGTGGTCCGTTGTCTTTGCTCCCTTGCTTCCCGTCGCCTTCCTCTGTTGGTGTTGTGCATGAAGGATGCGTAGCGTACTTTAGCCTACTTAACGCTGCAATTTTAGGCGGAAAGACGCTGTACAGACCACCGGATTGGGACCGGCGGAGATGGGAAAGGGAAGGATTCAGGGATGGATCCAGGTGGTTGGGTGGCCGTGCTGTGGTCTGGGTCGGTTTTTTTGACCACATCATCTCTCATCCGCATCTTCGGGTAATTTCGATGTTACTACGTATTATTGATATGTACTGTTCTCGAGTATTGATTGGTACAGTACATGCATGGGCCATATCTAGAATACTATGACCACGACCAAGCAAACATCCCACCCCGGCTCTTCTCAATCCCCAAAACAGACACTTCCCGTCCTAACCCACACACCTGGGACCCTCCGTGCAACCCCTCAATGCCACCATTTTCTCACAGAGTAGCACCGAACACCGAGCATCGTCCCGGCGCACACCCGCTCGAGGCGCTGGCCGACCGACCCATGTGGTCGGTCAGCGTTCTCAGCAGCGCAGATGGCGTGTTCGAGACGCTGCGGACGAGATTGCGAGAGGCAAGGCGCAGCTGCTGGTCTACGCCAGCCAGTTTCACACTTGCCAGCAGAACTTATCAGATCCGTCCCGCCTGTCTCGCACACCACCTCACCAAGCAGCCAATCACCCAACTCACGCGCCAACCAACATCACCCTCCCATCTCCCCGTGAAACAAGACAATCCCCTCAATCCCGACTTCCCGGGTCTGTCCAACGCACGGCACGACGCTGCGTTGGATGCATGTCTGTGCTGTCTCACCGCTTCCTTGGGATTGGGGCGGAGAGTACCGCCGCGGGCCCGGGCCCGGGGGGGTGGTTGGCCAAGGACTGGCGAACTGTTGGAGGTTGCGGGGCTTGCATGGTGCTACGGGCGGAGAGGTGCGTGCGTTGTTGAGGTAGTGAGGTTTGATATGGAAGGTGGGAGTGCTTGCGGGAGGAGGAGGGAGACCGAGGTTCGCTCACTGACGAAAGCCGTTAGGGAGGCCCCATACCCAGCAAACAATATTAGATCATCCTAGGCTGTCCTAGACGGCCGGGGCCACCAGGACCACCAAGGCCACCGATCTAACCTAGCAAACAATTACCAACCCATTGCAAAGGAATTTCGTACCACCAACCGTCCTCAACAGCCCTAGCTCGGCAGAGGCGATGATCGACCGGCCCGACGAGAGCGCCAATCCTACAGAAAGCTGTCGAGCTGAGCTGTTGGTGCCGGGTAGGTATGCGTGTCTTTCCCGTTTTACAGTCCGTCATGATTGGGTGGTTAGGTAAGTAAAAGTGTTTCAGACGCTGCGGGTGGGAGGGGAAGTGTGTGGCTTGGCCAGGAGGTGTGGGTGAGAGTCTGGATAGCTTGAGCTGAGCGTCGCTGTCTCTCAACGATGGCGACGGCAACAGGCTTCAAGTGGGAGACGGATGGTTAAAGACACGGGACGAGCGGAACGACAGGAGGGAGCTGAGGTGAGAGACACGGTGAGATGGGTGCTGGCATGGGAGGCGGCGAAACGAACAATGGTCTTAGAAGGAAATAGGGAGGGGGAGGGAAGCTGCGGCCCGGATGCCGCGGATGCCTGAAGTTATTTTGCTCTACGGTATGCATGCATACTGCAGGGGCCCGCGCTGGATAGTTCAGTGTGACGACAGGGTGCTTTCCTGGGTGCTGGAGGGTTGGAGGAAGAGAACGGGTGGCTGAGCGAGTGGGCGAGTGGGTAGACGTACGAATGGAAGTTTTTTCCCGATCGTCCCAGCTAGCCATGAAAGGCTACGGGGAGGAGTTCCCTCTCATCCGAAGTGTCTCTCAGGAATCATGGGATATCCTGACGCTGTTGGGTGTCTCGTCTGGAATTATTGAGGTGCCAGCGACCGGGACTGGAATCGAGGTCAGACATCCCAAAGAGGGAGCTAGGGAGGGACCACTCGCAGCGGTCTAGCTAGAGCTGAGAGGGTTTGGTCGATACCGACGCACTTGTCATATCCATGACAGTGGTTTCAGTTCCGTCACCCCTAGGAAGGAAGCTGGAACCGCGCATACCGAGCGCAACGGGTCTAGAGCCTGCTCCACGGGCGGATAGGGGGCCAGATGCCGTGATGTGCACGAGACTGCTGTCTTCAGCCGAGATCAAGGGGTGGGGGCGGCACTGGGGGCCATAATTCGGGCAGTCTAAGCTTACAAACGCTAAGAGACTAGAGGTGAGATGTATGGATGCGCCGGTTTCGGCGTGTCTATACGTTTGCCTCGTCGATGCATATCGGTTAGTCGCGGTGAGGACGAGGGAAGGTGACAGTCTTAGACTGTGTTGGTTGTGAGGCTTACGAAGGAGGGTATTCTCGCCTTGCCCGGTCTAATGTCGGGCTCTGACTCGGCTTGCTTGATAAAATCTGCAGTTGGTTTATTTCACATAGAGGGGCGTTCGCGTGGGTGGGAGGCTCTGGGCTTTTTTCGTAGGTATGTGTGTTTTCTACCGTCTATTTGCTCATTCGAGATAGAATCTCTATTGCCTTTCCTGTTCCTAAGAAGTATAGTCCTATATTTTTCTCTCTATTTCCTATTGTTCTATCTACTTACTCCATACAATTCCGCAGGCGAGCAGCGCGTGGTCTGACGTGGTCGCTACCTACCTACTAGGTAGATTTTTATCTCGTCTATGGTAGCTGTATTATTCGGTATCATTTTAAGTCGCTGTAATAATTTCCAGTCCTTCACCCCCTTGAACATCAGTTCATTCCTTATCTCCTGCTTGTGATCCCTACTTTACATCATACACCTATGGGTTCATAACTCACGCCAGACCCCTGGTATTGAGGACACGCTGTAAGTGGCGTGGTAGCTAACATCGCTGCGCACAACACCACAGTTTGGCATGTTAACAATTAAAAAATCTCAGTCTCTGAAGTTGATCCATCTATGTCCAGACAAAACTAGAGGCTGTCGTCGAAAATGGCAACATGTACATCGCTTACGTCGCTCGTCGACTCTCAATTCTCACTCCAACGCGTTAACCAAGATCGCGGGCCATTTAAAACGCTCCCCATCGAACTCGTGATATATATAGCTGATTTCCTCCCACCATTGGCCGCTGCCTCATTCGCTCTAAGCTGCCGGGGAATCCGTCTTATCCTTGGAAACGAACATCTCGATCCGCTGCGTCGTAAGGCGTTCAATAAGACTCCTCTTCTAGACATGCTATTGGATCCCGAATGCGAATGCTGCTTGCTGCATCATCGCTGTTTAGAGGTACGACATCGGAACATGATACGCGTTCGAGACGCAAGGATACCGTCAATGGTCACCGACGAAGAGAATGCCGTGTCCCTGTATCTTGGCAAACAGTTCCACGACATCACATTCCGCTCGGTCATGGTGCTTCATCGCCGGGGTATCCATTGCAGCAAGTTGCTGTGTTTGCTCTCTGGACTGGACACGACATATCTACCTGGAGTAAACTACCAAAAGGTATCTATTTGTCGGATTGCGAACGGCCATCTCTTGTTCCGCCATCAAAATTGGATTCTGTACCGAGATAGGAAGATCAGAGATCTTCCTCCTCCTGATTCCATACAATTAATCGCCTACCCCCATGTAACAATGTTCCATGACTTTGTTGCGAATAAGGTAGCCCGTCGAACAAGGCACCTGCAAGATATTCTGAATAACACGGACAATAAGTTGGTTTGTATAGTGTGTGAGGGGTTATCCCAGTGCCACGTCTGCCCTGTCGAGTTCCAGATCGACACCAAGGACTTTAGCACGAAGGGTATAGCGGTGGTCATTACGCGCTGGTTAGACCTGGGCGATGGGGATACGCCGTTCGATCTGAAGTGGATGAGCCGTGTGCTCAAAGGCCATTATCCCACGCGGACGACTGTTCCGTTCCCACTGGGCTCTATTAAGCAAGCTTTCCAACATCGTCTGAACAGATACGAATTGCTGATTCCATAATTCCGGGTCCCGTTGCTTAGAGATGCTCCATTGCATGAGGAGAGAAGAGAAAGTCTAACGACGTTTTTTGAAAGGAACTTCGGGTAATAAACCGTGTCCACTGATGTCCGTGAAGTTCGTTCAGAGGTATACAAGACATGCCTATTGGTTAAGTTGGGGCTTAGAATACGATTACTGCTATCGCTTGTTTTTTTCTGTCTACGCGTGGAAGCTATTTGACGGCGTCAAAAAATCTAAAGAAAAGAGGGTGTTATACAATATATTCAATTCTAATTTTAATTCCAAAAATTATAAGATTCTTATTAAATTGTTATGTATAAGAGTATAATTCAAACAATATTAGTTACAAGTAATATTGAGAGACAACTTCTTAACTCCTTTACCGTAAGGTTCGATCCAACCTTTTTCCATCTGCTACAGGTTTTGTTGAAAGGCATCCGCTTCATCCCATCCTACTTGCGGCAGAAACAGAAAGCCATTTCGAGCCGAAAAACAAAGATGATTCCACCACCTTAACTGAATAGAAGGTAGATACAGCAAATATGATTTATTCCCCATTAAGACTCTCAACTCGCGCATTCTCCCATTCCCACGCTGAGAAGTGCATATAACCCCCTCCTCTACGCCTCCCCTCCCTCTCTCTTCTCCATTTACAAAACACATCTCCACACGCACATCTCAAATTGCAACACAACCTCAAACCAAACCCAGACGCAAAACTCAAACTAAAAACACACCACCAACCAACCAACCAACTAAAACCACCAACAACCCACAAAAATGTCCTGTCCCAGCTGTCCCGGCGGCGGAGGCGACTGCGGCGGATACCCCGGCGGCGGCTATCCCGGATACGGCTACCCCGGCAGCAGCAGCAACGGAGGCGGCGGCTACCCCCCTCAAGCGCCATACACGGGTGCGTCTCCCAATATGGGCGGGAACACGGGAGTGCCTTATACGGGGATGAATGGCGGAGGGTGGGGGTATGGTGGGCAGGGGCCGACTTTTGGACCTGGGGGTATGGGAGGGTGGGGTGGGAGATAGGGCTGGCGAAGTGGAATGTAATATAACTCCTTTTAGGACTGAATGCACGCGATGATTTAAAAATGGAACAGCTGAAATGGAGTGGTAGTGGTGATTGTATTACAAGCTATCCGCCCTAGTGTCTTCTTCTTCATGAAGCTATCCTCTCTGATCCTCTCTGCTGGCATTGTGCCTTTCCCCCTGGCTATCCTCGACTCCTTGATGTTCCCTTGGCCTTAAAATAAAAATAAAATCCTGCTTTTTTCCTCGTCTTTCCCATTATTCCCCCATATGCGCCGTTGTGTGTGTGAAAACATCGCAAGACTCCGTGAATGAGCCGGTGTGGGGTATATTGACAGTATGAAATGCTCCTTTCTCTTCTCTCCCGTCTTCTTCGATTCTGCTTCGTGTGTGGATTCCGGGCGAACGTCTACATAACGTATTCGTGCCGGGCGTGGTATGATGTGGTGCGTCGAGCAGTGCACAATCCAGTTTATGCTCTGCTCAGAACCCCTCCGATCCTCCCCAGAAGTCCTCTCTTCTCACCCTCCCTGTCTCCCTTACTCGCATAGTTTCCGGCTCCTCCGCGTCCAACAACCCATGTCTTCTCCCTCGCCTCTCTGCGAGTCTGCTCCCGCACTTCCTCTGCGAAGCTGAATGGCTCCTCCTCTGCCCGTGGGCGAACATTTCCTGCACCGCCGCGGCCTGCGAAGACGCGCTGCGAGGAGGTGCTGGATCTGGTGGAGGACTTGCCGAGGCTCGAGGTGCTGGAGCTCGAGGAGGACTTGGAGAGCGTGGAGCCGCTGGAGGAGGCGGTGGTGCTTCGTGTCAGAGGTGGCGAGAAGGAGGGTTTGTACATGTTCCCTGCGCCGCCGCGGCCAGCGGGCGTGTAGTGGTTCGGGAGAGGGGTGGGTGCGGGTTCGGCGATGGAGAAAGCCATTTTTGCGGTTGCGGTTGTTTTGGAGGTTGGTATATGTTTGTTTGTGGGGATTGTGAGGTTATTCGTAGTTACTAGCGCTGTAGCTATAGGTGTTCGTTTGTGGGAAATGTGAGGTTATTCTCCAGTATCGTGAGTATCAGATTCATGAGTGATATAAATGACTGGTATCGTATGTGTGTTCGTACAGTCAATTCCCGTCGTGCTATAACCCCATAATTGCTCTTGCTTTTCCTTCCCCATATTCTTGGGGCACGCAGTCATATATCCCTCTCCATTCTTTGCCCCATTTCCACTCATCCGCCCCATCATCACGTCAACTGGCGTCACGCACCTCAAAAATCTCTTCCCCGCCCCACGCCCCCTGTCCTTCCTTGCACAGTGACCCCTCCCCCTCCTTGGCGCCCCTCCTTCCCGCCACTAACGCCATCACGCGCAGTCTCCCCTGCACCATATTTCGTAATAAGCGAGTCTTGGCGAAGGGCCTAGTCCCACCCGAGCAGGCCAAGCCTATCGATCTGGGAGCGTGATGGGTCTGGATTTCCAGATGGCCCGTGCAGCCAAGGAGAAGCGGGGTTTCTGTTACGTGACAGCGAGGTCGCTGATTGGATGGAAAGTTGGGATGGTCACTGTGGGGAGTGAAAAAGGAACAACAGGGCAGCACAAAGACCTATTTTGAGGTCGCACGTGCTTTAGGCTAGGTTCACGTGTTCCTTGTTATGCGTTGTAAATCTCTGTAAAATCGCGCGGCTGCATAACACGTGACTAGCGATCGTCGTGTTTACCGCTTACGTGTTTTAAACCCTCCGGTCTAGATTTACGACCTCTCATGAAAACAATTTGGAGAAGATGCTTGTTTATAAAAAGGGAGAGCTGCAAATGCGGCTAGAGAGTGACGGCAAGTAGTTCGTAAAGAAGAGAATTGATGTATCCCTTTCTTTTCTCAAGACAATAGACGTCTTCTACAGAGATCTAGCAAGCCTTTTTTGTTAGTATACTCTTGTTGGCAATCGAATTATCTTCTCACCGAGTCGAGTATTGGCTAGCTATGTGTGGCTTGGTCGAGAGGTCTTTTGTGTTCTAAGCATCATATCACCAAAAGTGATGGGTTTGTGAATCTACTGAATTGGAAGCTATGCTCCAAGGAAGCTGCGACGGGTGCATTGCTTGGCAATGGTTCTTTCCATCTATGAGATTTCAAAGCGCTAAGGAAGCTGCGATCGCTTGCTTTGTAATCGTTCTTTCCATATATAGGGCTGAAAATCCCCAAGGAAGCTACGATTGAGCCTTTGCTTGGTAGTCGTTCTTTCCGTACATATGGTTTGAAAGTTCTGAGGAAGGTGCGACAGCTTGCTTGGTAATCGTTCTTTCCATATATAAAACCCGAAAGCTACAGGGAAGCTGCGACTGTCTGCTCAGCAACCGTCCCTTCCATATATGAGGCTGAAAGCTCTAGGGAAGCTGCGACTGGTTACTTTGTAATCGTTCTTTCCATATATAGGGATTCAAAGTTCCAGGGAAGCTACGACTGTGGTTGCTTGGTAATCGTTCCTTCCATATATAAGGATTCAAACATCCAGGGAAGCTACGACTGAGGTTGCTTGGTAATCGTTCTTTCTATATCTACAACTTAGAAGTTGGAATGAGAACTGTTGGTTGTGATGAAGACAGTGGGCATTCATGTCGCCGTGGCCGATTTTGGTCCTAAATTATTAACTATAAAACTTCAATAAGGTGTCCTCACGATTTTCTCATGTCGGTACCCATTAGTTTCTACGGCGTTAAAACACAGGGAGGGCCAAATAATATCACTGTAACCGGAATGAAATTCTCGATAACCTCTCAGGGAGCTTGGATGGAGGGGAGCTTTTATATACGCTTAAGCGCGAATTCGTATGGGTAGTTTAGCTAGCTAGCAAGCCGGCGGATCTGATTGGGAGAATATGGAGATATGGAGGATCATTGTTTGACAAAGGTAGTGGCATTGTGAACTCTTGGAGATTGACTCCCTAAGCTTGCTCTTATGATGCACCTCCAGTCTAATAGTTTGATATCAAGAGCTCCGCGGAACGTCTCCTCCTGCCATTGGCCCTCTTGAATACGACGCAGAAACTCCCCTCAACCCTTAGTACTCGGCCCATTGATATGTTATAGTGCGCAGAGCTTCTATCACTGCATGGCAATCCCGTCTCGAACTCGCCGCTCGGTCTTATCACCGGTCCTTCTATGCACCTAAAAAAGCCCCACGAATCATGGCATCCAGCTACCAGCCTGCCTCATAGTCCGACTGACGACTCCAACTCCTTATGCTCTCTGGATAGTCCCTGGGGGTTCACATCGAACCACCCCCCCCGCATTTCACTACCCCTCACAGGCAAGCTCTATATCTAGCTTCTTCCATTTATCCTCGTCACCCCCCAGCGCCTCCCACCCACACTCCGTCAAAGGCCCGATAATGGCCTGTGTTTCCTCTATCTCATCCCGTAATGCGGGGAGAAGATCTGCCGCTTACGTAGCTTGGATTCTCCTGATCTTGGTGGAGGTGATGGTGTATAAAAGGATGCCTCTACCGCCGAAGGCACTGGTATGAGAGAGAGAAAGAGAGATAACACTGAGAATCACTATACAGACTTACACACAGATATCGACACCATGAAGCTCTTCTACGTCCTCGCACTCGTAACAGCTACTGCCCTCGCGGCACCCACTGAGGTGGAGAGCTCGCAGGTTCTTGTTCGTGGTCCCGTCCCCTAATCTCTAATCATTCTAACTGACACTCTACAGGGCAAACGCGAATGCGTCCGTAAGACTTACCTCCTTCTCCCCAGGTAGTCCCCACTACCACAAACACCACCAATCTAACCCCTCTCCCAGCCTGCCCCCATTACTGCGCTGGCGGCAGCGCCTTCCTCAACTGCGCTGCATCAAAGGTTCGTCCCCCACCCCCTCCCACAATGATCCAACGAAGCATAGCTAACCCCGCCAGTGTCTCTGTGACGCATACAACCACTGTTACTGTGACTGCCACTGCCACTACGGCTAACTCCACATCCCTCCTGTGGGCGGCCTCTCGCTGCCAAATCGGAGAAAGGGAGCTGTGTGTCGGAGGAGAGGAGGAAGTAAGGAGCGAGCGCGGGGTTCGTTGGCGGCTGTGGCTTTTGGGGGCGAGACGTAGCTAACGAATGAAGCAATCCCAAGCTGCTATCAATGTGTCTCTGCTAAAGTAGCGCGTGAACCTCTTCCCGTCCCCTGTCCCGCATGCCAGGTTCGTAGCTTGGATGGGGGGGAGTGCATGGCTGGATCCAGCTCTGATCTATATGTGTCGTCGATCTCACGCTTTAGACGCTCCTTGTTGGAGCATAGTCGGATCCTTAGTCGTCCCGAGAGGGAGTAAGCAGATCTGCCAGTAGTCTGTTGTGGGACACCCATTGGATAAGTTCTCATATCGACCACCAATCTACCACCCCCCTCGGCCTTTCTCTTGCCTCGTGTGTCTATATCCTTGCATTTGGAGGGAGAGGAGTGTGGGGCGTGCATGTTTATCCAAGAATGCGGGGACCGCTAGTGGAGACAAGCTTAAACATGACGGGGCTTCGGGGACGGGTTAGGCCGATGGTAGCGTGGTTTGGTTTGCGCTTCGTGAGGGGTGGGTTGTGTGTATTTTTCGTTTGTTGCTGGGGTCTGTGATTAGGTAACTTCGTACGGAATGAGTTGTGCGAAGTGCGAGCTGAAAGACACTGAAGTTTGGGCTGTAGAGTAAAAAGACATGCGTCGGCAGCTGTGTGAGAAGGTCTTTGGGACAGGTTCTATATTATTGGGACGCCTGTACTTGTGTCACCCTGAAGTCTGAAGCTCACGGCTTGCGAGAAACAGAGATCGTTCGAGTAAGTTTCTCTTGGTTAACTGGGTATCATGTACATTCCTCACTACTACATCTTGCCTTTCTCTCCATTTCTCTCCGCCAAAGGTGGCGACAGGCCCGCTCTAACTTACGCCCTTACATGCCGTTTAATATACTACACATAAACCCAATCCCTACCCCTCTTCCTTCGTCCCGGTAGTCGAGTAGCTGCCGCACAAGTAGCCACGCATGCTAGTAGGTTGGTTAACACGTCGGGACATCGCAAAAGACAAATTATACGCGTTTAGCCGCTTGCGCGCCACTCTTCTTTTTCCCATACACCTAGATACTGGCTGGACGATCGGCTGCCCATCCATTCATCTACGCAAACTTGGTGTGGATAATGTCCGGATTCTCATGCCAGTCGTTAATGCTCACCCACATCTATCACATGTTAGCCACCTTTCGCTCAATTCCCAACCTAGAACAAGAACAACATACCTTCCTAAACGTGCTCAGCCCCGCCAAAATACTGCCCCCAATCCACGTAGAGTACTTCCGCTCCGGCGGCGCGAAGATCTTGATCCGCATATCCTTGACGGCGAGGCGCTGCACCTCGAAAAGTAGGCGGTCACCGAAGCCCTTGGTCATCGTAGTGCCACCCGAAAGCACAATGTTTCCGAACAGCGACTTGCGCAGGTCGAGATCGGTGCGGTTTATGGAGTCGACGACGATCTGGTGCACACCAGGGTACTCGAGCCCAATGATCTCGGGGTTGAAGAGGATTTCGGGGGCGCGGAAACGCTCGGCTCCGACCTGTGTTTGTTTGTGTTAGCAGGGCATGCCAACGAATAGTTAGGACAATGGGTCACTGAGGCGCACCTTTAACTTATTCCCATCCGGCAGTACGTAGTCGACCATCATATTATCCGTAGTCTTCCTCACACCCCATCCCCTCTCCTCATCCTTGGGGTCCAGCGACACATAGCTCAACTTCTCCTTGATCAACCGCACAACCTCCTTCTCGGCACTGGTGTGGAACACATGCCCCCCCTTCCTTAGCAACATCTGCATATGTTCCGTGACATCGCGCCCCGCGACATCGATACGTCGAATCGCGCTTGGCATGGCGAACCCCTCGTATACAGGTACGGCGTGGGAGACCCCATCGCCGGAGTCGAGCACGATGCCCGTCGTGCGCCCAGACGCGTACAACGAGAGCACCGCCTGGATCGAAGTGTGTAGCGCGGGGACATTGAAGGTCTCGAAAAGGATCTGGGCGGCTGTGTCGCGGTTACTCCTAGGGTTGAGCGGTGGCTCTGTCAGGAGCACTGGATGCTAGAATTATTCGTCAGCGCCATGCACTCATTTCCCCAACACAAGTCACCCACATCTTCACTTAGTGTTTTTAGCCCGTCCCCATAAACCCATTCCCAGATCTTCACCATGTCATCCCAGTCCGTCACGATGCCATGCTCCAGCGGATACCGGATCTTCAGCAGCCCACGCAGCTCCTGTGCCCGCGTCCCTATGAACACGTCCCCCTCCAGTGCGCCCGCCAGCACGCGCAGGTGCTTCGGCCTCCCGACAAAAGACGGGAAGAAACATTTGGGGAGATCCTCGCCAGCGAAACCCGCGCGGATGGTGCCTGAACCGTTGTCAAGCACGATCGGCGCGTTGTGAAGGGTGGTGTCCCCCATCTTGTGTGGATGGCAACCTGGCCCGAGATGAGAGGTGGGAGGTGGGAGGCGCAGCGAGTGTGTTCAAAGTCAGCTAGGACTGCATGTACGTGTGAGGCGCCGAGGGTAGTCGTGAGGAATGAGAGTTGGGTGTTTGTTTGAATTTTTTGAGTTGTTCGGGGTCCGTTGGCCTTCTTCCCCAGGGTCTGGAAACGCGAAGTTGGGGACGCGGTGCCAAGAGCGGGACAGGGGTAGCTAGCTTCCCCTTTTCAACGTTTGATGACTTGACAGGTGCAATTGTTGTAAGTGCGGCATATGCGAATCCTGATATTATCTATATAATTAACTTACAGTATGAAGCTCAGGAAATGGCTGCAATGTAAGGACGTAGAATAGCTAAGAAGGTGGGAGCAAATCACGTGGAATACCCCTGTCAAAGCTTAATTGGTGTTTGCTCCGTTTGCACTGATAGCGCTGAAGATACGGTGACAGCAAGCTCAAGAGCCTCACAGCACAAATCAAACAAGATGTTCGCTTCACCATTAAAAGTAGCAGCTCGAAGCTGTGTATCGAAGCCATTCAGGCGAATGATTGGAACATTGCCCAATAACTCCCACATAGTATGTTTTCCCGCCCGTGGATAAAACACCCAAACTAAACTATACCAGTATACCTTCCCCAAGAACTCCGCATCCCACTACCTCACGCTTCTCCCGTCGGATCCCCCGACTCCTGGGTTAGCGATTGGTACAACTGCTGCTATCCCTCCAACGCCCGACTCGTTCACCGAAAACCCACGCTTCCAGACCATTCTGCAAGAGGTACTGAAAGAGCATGCGCACGAAGATGAAGGCGTGCTCTCTCAGGCCCAAGCCTTCGCCGTAAATGCCACCTCTCAATTCAACAGCGGAGGCACTATATTCCGCGGCCAATCTAGACACAGAAGAGGTGATGCAACACATGGAGCTAGAGGGGATGGAGCGGGGGGCGCAAGCGGACAAGGCGGCGCTGGTGGTGGGGGAAGGGGAGGATGGGTGCACCTAAGTGACTCAAGGAATCCGCCTGATTACGGACGCATTGCGTGGCCTGAGGACATCTTTGGCAGTCTGGAGGTCGATGGGCAGGGGCATATGCTGGATGGGGGGAATTACCAACCGAGCGGGACATATCGCATTGTGACGAGGGAGGGAATGTGAGTTTGATCCTTTTTGTCCTGGGGGGGCTTGCTAACATTTGTAGATTGGGACTGAGCGACTTTCTCAGAGAGAAGGTTGTACAGAGACTGAGGAAGGAGGAAGAGAAGCTTCGGGGATGACGCTGAGTAACAGTCGGCGAGGAGCAATTTCTTGTACAATACTGTATAATCCGGATACTATACGGAGTAATGTGATATGCAATCCGCATGTCTGAAGCGCGTGGTGCGTAGTGACAGGGGACGCGCCGGTCTCGGAGTCCATTCGGTGGAACAATGCCGAGCTGCCTAAAAAAATTAAGATGTCAACTCAACGATAGAATAGCCCGAAGAAACTCTTATTGTGCAATTATCAATATTGATATAGACCCCCATTATAAAATCCCGAGTAAGCCGTAACATTTCGCGTTGGATGACGTCTGTGTTTACCATACCCTTGTACAACCTCGCTTCGCTCGGAGGCGCTAGTGAATCGTTGGTGGGGTGCTATCACCACTGTAGTAACTGTCAACCTCACCTTTGAGCCCTCACCGAGGCCCCAACACGAACATACCACGAATTCCGTTCTTGTAGATCACAGCGTGTGACAAACTGCAGCGATGCAGCCCTCCCAAGGCTACGATGACGAGGAGCTCTCCATCTCGCTCGCTCCTTCGAACAACCGCCGTACACAGAACAAGCCGCCTGATGCCAGCTCCGGACGCTCTAACCGGCCGCGGGAGGAGGTTCGACGCCCTACTGTCCCTGCACGCAAAGCTGAGCAGCGCATAGGTGCATATGATATCAAGGGGACGCTGGGCGAGGGCTCGTTCGGCAAGGTCAAGCTTGCCGTGCACCGTGTTACTCAGCAGCAGGTGGCGCTTAAGATCATTGCCAGGAAGAAACTAATTAGTCGCGATATGGCGGGGCGAGTGGAACGCGAGATTGAGTATCTACAGCTGCTGAGGCACCCCCACATCATCAAACTGTAAGGTTCACTATCGCTGGTTGTTTTGCGGTTACTGACAGACCCCGCTAGGTATACCGTCATCAAGACACAAACCGAGATTATCATGGTCCTCGAGTTCGCCGGCGGCGAACTATTCAATTACATTGTTCAACATGGAAAGATGACGGAGACCAAGGCCAGGCGTTTCTTCCAGCAGATTATCTGCGCCGTCGAATATTGCCACAGACACAAGATTGTCCATCGGGACCTCAAGCCCGAGAACTTGCTGCTGGACAACGATCTCAATGTCAAGATTGCAGATTTCGGTCTCAGCAACATCATGACGGATGGTAATTTCTTGAAAACTAGCTGTGGAAGTCCTAACTACGCAGCCCCAGAAGTAATTAACGGCAAGCTCTATGCTGGACCTGAAGTGGATGTGTGGAGTTGTGGTGTTATTCTTTATGTTCTCCTTGTTGGACGATTGCCTTTTGACGATGATAACATTCCTGCTTTATTCGCAAAAATTGCGAAGGGTCACTATGTTGTCCCAAATTATATGACCCCAGGCGCAGCCTCACTCATCAAAAAGATGCTGGCAGTGAATCCAGTACACCGAGTGACAATCGATGAGATCCGCCAAGACCCCTGGTTCTTGTTAGACCTGCCAGCATACCTGATGCCTCCAGTAGAGGAATTCATGGATACTGGCGTGGATTCCGGGAAGGCCATAAACCCTCAGGGTATCGCCCCAGGAGCTAGCCGCGCTGTGCAAGAGAAACTCCACGACGCGGTGACAGAGAAACTCGGAAAGAAGATGGGTTACGGAAAGCAGGATGTTCAGGAGGCACTTGAAGCTGATGAACCGTCGGCGATCAAGGATGCGTATTTGATTGTGCGAGAAAACACAATTGCACAAGCAAATCGTGAGCCTCTCCCATCTGAACCTCATGCCCCTAATTCCATTCTTCCCGCTAACTATTACGTTTTATCAGCAAATATAAACGCCCTCCTAGGCTCCTCTCCACCGGCATGGGATGAACCTCTATCTTCATTGCGTGACAAGTCCATTGCGACTGTGTCGCAGAACGCTGTTGGCTCGGGAGACGCGGATGAGATGTCCCTGCGTGCAAGCCTGGGTGGCCTCACAATCCAGCCCTCAGCCGAGCAGGCATCTTCGAGGTCTGGCTCCATAAATACGGTTTTGAGTGGCGATAGACCTGTTAGGCCTTTCATTAGCAAGATCGGAATCCTGCCAAGTAGCTTGCCAGCATACCATCGTGCGTATATGGAGGCACGTAAGACCGGTAAGGATGTACCTTCGTCATCGCCAATGGTGGATGTCGACCACGTCGAGACAAATCGCGCCAAATCGAGTGAAGAGCAGGCCGAGACAGCTAGACGCCTCAACCCGCATTCTCGTAATCAGCTGAAGCTAGACGAAGGAAACAACAAGCCTGCTGCAATGACCCCAGTTCCTCAGAAGAAATCCAAGCCGACAAAGTGGCAATTCGGTATTAGATCTCGTAACCAGCCCCTGGAGGCCATTGGCTGTATTTACAGGGCGCTGAAGAAGCTTGGTGCAGAATGGGTCGTAGATGAGAATTATCGCCAAGTTGCCCAGAAGAAGAATGACAACGAGAGGTACGTAGTCCTACATGATGCTGGAGCAAGGACTGACCACTACAGACAACGAAAACGCAGCTTCGGCTCCAACGATAGCGACTCTGATGATGGCGGCTCTCTACACCGCTTCAATTCCCAAGACAACCTGGCGAAGGACTTCCCTTACCCGCCAGGCGCACAGTACAAACTCCCCGCGGATCCATGGGTGCTTCGAGTCCGCTGGCGCAAAGGAGGCATGTATGCTCCCGGCACAGTCCCGCCTGGGTCGACTCATTCCTCCCAAATTGATCTACGCCGCCAGTCTCTCGCATCTATGAGTAGTGTTTCGGGCTCAGGACCGTTGAACGATCCGGAGGAAGGTGTTATCATGCACCTCGATATCCAACTGTACGAGATGGAGCAAGGTGTCTATCTGGTTGATTTCAAGTGTGCTGGTTATGAGACCGCGGCGGGGGTTATGCTCGAGGAGAAGGACGTCACGTCGCCGTTTCCGTTCCTAGACCTATCGTCTACGCTGATTATTGCTCTTGCAGAGGCGGATTAAGGACCTGGCGTCTACACTAATCATTACTCTTGCGAAGGCGTATTGAAAGGGTGCATGCATATGTATGGTACAGGAGCTGGGTTTGGCGTTCGGCGATGGTGCGGTTCTATGGTGGCGAATATGCGTGATTATCATGGTTGGCGTCGGATTGCAGGTTACAATACCCTGGCGATCGTAGAAGACGATCACCACATTCAACTATTGTTTGATTGCTTTATGATTGCATGATTACCTATAGTCAAAACTAAAGATTTGATTTATTATGAATACATGAGTAGTGTACAAGGGTATATATTAGTCGTCTTGTCACCTCCGCGTTGCCTGCCCAGGGCTCCAAGCCTGTGGCTGCCAATCCTCGCTCGGGCCGCCACGTGCATTCTTCCATGGATCTCCTTTTGGTGGTGAGGGGGTTGCTGGCTCCCTTCTCGCCGCTTTCTCCGGGTCCGACACTCGCGGGTTTGTATACACCTTCGGAGGCGGCCCTCCACTAACCTTCATCCGCTCAGATTCTCGGTCAAGAATCTCTTGTCCACTTGCAACTGGACTCGTAGTCGTCTTTCCTTGTTTCCCTTCCGCAGCAGCGTCGCCCCCCATCGTAGGCCCTCCCGCATCCACACCCACCCCAGCCGTCCCCGTCCTCGTCTCGGCCTGACCCGCAGCAGTCGCATTGCCCATTCTTGGGCCCGGTCCCATCTGCCTCATGTTTGGCCCACCCACCAGCCTACCCTTAGCCTCCCATCTCTCATCTGCCTGCGCAGCCAGAACTTTAACCCTCTTCCGCCTAAGAACGTCTAGCTCCTGCTCCGCGATCGTTGGAGCTGCTTGGCGCGTATGCCGCAACCACTGGTGCCACGCGGGCGTGATATGTGACGAGACATCCGAGTACTGTACGTGGGGTGGGTAGTCGACGATTCGGCGCATGCGACCTGGGGAGAGCGTGTCGCGGAACTCCCAGTATGTGTTTCCCTGGAGGTCAAGGCCTGGGCGGATAGTTAGCTTTGGGTTGGAGCTGGAGAAGAGGGTGTAGGGGGACTAACCGACGAGAAAACGCTTGCGCCAGGGGAGGCGCATCGATTTCCATTTTAACCAGGCTTTACGGAAGGAGCTTGTTGGGGCGGACATGGTTGGTTTGTTGATCGGGACTTCGTTGCTGGGGATTTTATTTTGGAGGGCGAGATATCAGGGTGTTCAGCCACAGCGGGCGGGCTGTGTGGCGCAGGCCGACAGACGTCACATTCCACGCACGCTGTTTGTTGCCGGCCTTGTTCTCGTTGACGGCTAATATAAATAAGAGATGCGCCAGGAGCTGTACTTTCTTTGTCAATATTGTTCACCTGCGATACTTCACAGGCACGACTGTCATTTCGGAAACTAGTAGCGGCCCTCGATCTGCTACTCGAGAACCATCGTAAGCGCATAGAAGCGCAAGTCAGACACAACACGGCGGATTCGGATTGATTTGAAAGCGAACAACACAACACATATCAAAGCACATATTGTCAACCTTCTAAGAAGCCATGGCGTCGGTGTCGTCGCTAGATAAGGACTTGCGCAAAATGCGCTTGGACAAATATACTCCACAGGCAGCGAATGAAGTGCGGGGCTGGATAGAAGGCATCCTTGGTGAGCGACTCGCCGGAGGTGACTTGCTCGATGCACTCAAAGATGGCGTCGCGCTATGCAAGTATGCATCTCTAACTCTTCTTAATACTTCTCCATAATCGTTAACCAATGGTAACAGGCTCGTCAACCTCGCTGTTCCGTCTCCCGGCGTGAAATTCAAGGCCTCGGCCATGCCATTCGTCCAGATGGAGAACATCTCGCTCTTCCTCCGAGCCTGCCAATTGCCGCCTTTAAATCTGCAACCACATGACGTCTTCCTTACTGTCGATTTATACGAGCAGAAAGATCCCACGCAGGTGCTACAATGCATTGGCGCATTCAGCAGGGTTGCGAACCAGGTGCAGCCATCGAGGTTCCCCACTGCTATTGGGCCGAAGTCGAGAGCGGGAGTCATGAGCCCTCAAGGCACCGGAACCCCAACAGTTGGAGGAGGGAGCTTTGGGAATAGGGCGCGAGGCGCTAGTACCACAAGCAATACGTCTTCAGCTTACAACCAAACCGGGCGTAGTGGCGCTATGACACCAACACGAACAGGCGAGGCAAACACCGGGCGGTGGAGTCCAACAAAGACTGATAAGTTACCCACTTCACCAGGTGGCGGTACTAGCAGCTGGAGCAAGAAGACAGATGAAGGTGTTACGGCGCCGGCTTGGAATATTGCACAATATGGATATATGGGCGGCGCGAGCCAGGGAAATATGGGCATTGCATTTGGAGGTCGGAGGCAAATTACAAGTGCTGGGCCACACGTACCGAATATGGCAGAGAAAGAGAGGAAAAGGAAAGAGCAGGAGGCCGAAGAGGAGCGGCTGAGGGTGCAGGCGGAGGAGGCGGAGCACCATAGGCGAATTGAGCGCGAAGCTGAGGAGGAGCGTGCCAGGATTGAAGAAGAAGAGCGATGGGCGGCGGAAGAGAGGAAGCTGAAGGAAAAGGCAGCTGAAGAGAAGAAGAGATGGGAGGAGGACGAGAGGCGCTGGAAGCAGGAGGAGGAGAGACGTCAGCAAGAAGAACGAGAGGCTGAAGAGCGCCTAGAGAAAGAAACGCGACGATCACGGGCGACTTCCGACGCCCGCTTGCAAGGACAGTTTCTAAGTCAATATCAAGCAGAACGTGGCCTCGCTCGTAGAGATCGGAGCAAAAGCCCAGGGCCGTCTGGTAGAGTTCAAGAACTTGAGCGTGAGCTTGAACTTGCACGAGATCGTGAGCGACAGTATGAACGTGAGCGCCAGGAGAGAGTTAAATCGCGCGATCGCGACGCTACCGAAGCCCACGACCTTTCGTCTCGCCTGAATCAGAGAGAGCCGTCAAGGACGCGTAACCGATCTCAAACCCGACCACGAGCCCTGTCTCATAAGAATAGTGAAGATTCATGGGTCGCTGATGAGCGTGATTATCTCCGCAAAGAATGGTCAAAGCAAAACCACGCCGATACTCCTCCGCCGAAACCCACGCGCAGCAACCAATTTGCTGGCGAGGCACCACCGCCGCAGCCTCCACGGGGGTTCCAACATACCGAGGAGGCTGCCCCTTCAAAGCCACCACGTCCGCTACCTGAGCCAGTAGCACCCATTCGAGTTTTGAAAAACAACACTGGCCCATCTTCCCGCCCGCTGCCTGACCCTTCAGTCTATCAATCCCCACCTTCAACAGCAGCGGCACCTCAGAGCCGCACAGACCGATACCTTTCTTCCAACCCCGCCCCACAAACCGCGCAGCCACAAACAACCTACGCATCCGAGCTAGGTGCCTTTGATTCCACTGCAGAGCGAGATGCCGAAGACCGCCGGCGAGCAGCATCCCAGACGAAGACCAAAGCAGGTGGCTGGGCCTCCAAGTCGCTCCTAGAGAGGGAGATGGAGATGGAGAGAGAGCGACAGAAGGAATGGGAGGAGGGCCAGAAGGCAACTGCGCAGGCGGCGAAGATGGGAGGACAGACGGATGGAGTAGATGGAATTGGCGGAGGGATTGGAGGCCGATGGGATGTGAATCAGTGGACTGGGTATACAGGTGGAGATGGACAGAATAGGGGGAATCAGGGGATTGGGGCCGGGAGGAGGCAAATTGTGGGGCCCAGGCCACCGCCGCCAGGACGTTGAATAGGGAAAAGTAAAGTGTAGAGCTTGACAGCTGTAAATAGAGTTTCTCTAATTGTTCACACATTTGGGACAATACTGGCTAATGTGAGAATATCATCACTTGTTAACTTCCCCGATTAACTATCGATCACGAACAAGTACGCCGTGTGAGTGACAAGACACCTCCTTCCCCACGACATAAAGGCGAAACAAACCCCCAAATTCCCCATGAGAAACAATCTCTGATTTGGTGCAGGTATTGACTGAGCTTATTGCGACCTTAAAAAGGCGGCATTGTATAATCGCAAGTCGTAAATATGGCATATTAAAGTGTATACGCTATCCGTGCAACTGAAAGAGCTTCGGGAAGAACAACTGTTAACTTCTACTCACATATATATCGCCATACTTAGTTATGGATCCGGTTTCTGCGATTGGAATCGTTCCAGGCGTTGCTGGTCTCGCGGGTCAAGTATTCTCAGGATGCATCATAAGTAGGCAGCTGTCAATTTCTTATCAATATCCATAACTAAGAATGTATGGCAATACAATTTATTATTACTGCTAGAGATATCCCTAAATATCAGCAATATTTGGTTCTAAGACTACGGCTCTCAGGAGAGATTGTTGGCTTGGAGTGAGGCGTCCGGGCTGTTGGATTATGAGCTACAGAATAGTTCAAAGTTGTTGGGCTCCAACGTCTTTGGACTTCACAGATCAACTGTGCTGGATCTGTTGGTTCGGATAAAGGTGCTCTTTGAAGAATTCGAAGGCAAATACGCCACAAGAGGTTACGCGCGAAGTATTCTAAAAGAACGGGGACAAAAGCCAGGCTCAACTCTAGAACTGCTTCTTCAATATCCTTCTTGTATAGCTTGAGAGGAGAAAGACGGTTTTTAATAGACGCATACTTGAGTCCCAAAAATTGCTCAACACCGTCAACCAATTTAGGCCCTACCTTCCCAAACATGGGATGAGTGAACGTTGCAGCCATAGTGACTGGAAGGCGGCGAAAAATTAGTTACGTGGTAAAAGTCGTAACTCCAAAAGCTACACTCAAGAAGGCCCTGAAAAAATCTTTTCGTTTCTTTCTATTATAGAGTATCAAGAAGAGAAGGATTGTGTTGCCTGTTATTCTGGGCCTAGAGTAATTTAGTAGCAGGGGCAATAGCGGGGAAGGGAGGAGTTTGCCTTTCCCTTGCAAGAGAGAGATTTAATAGAACGTTTCGAGAAGCTAATGATTTACCATGGCGGTGAGGTAATGACCATATGGTTGTAATGCATAATCATTCTCTTCTGCAAGCAATAGATTTTCAGGACAATGATTCGAACGAAGTCACATAGGTATAATTAGAAATATGATTATATATGTTCCGGCCCAACCGTGAACTATTCTGGTTCATGAACTGGCCGGCCCAACCATGATTTTTCCGGTTTACGGTTGGGCCGGCCCAACCATGAACTCAGCCCAACCATAAAGTGGCGGTGTAGAATAGTATTATAGAAATCCTACTTCCTACTTCCTACTTCCTGTCTGTAATCACGATAATTATGGCTACTATTGCTTCGATTAACCCGTTTCCAAACGATGTGCGCACTGCTTTTGAAGCCTATATAAGCACCTCTACTTACTACAATCGTGAGCAATTATCACACGCAAAATGGAGCCAAATACGTACTATTCTTGAGAATCCTACAGCCTATATCCCATATAATAGGGAGACTACAAACCTCAAAAACCGTGCGCAGTCTGCCTTTGAGCTTATTAATAATAAGCTCTATAAGCAGAGCGATATACGACATCTACAGCCTCGATATATTGTTCAAAAAGCAGAGGTGTTTGATATCATTGCGCAAGAACACCTTAAGCTCCTACATGCAGGCCGGAATAAGGTGTGGCCTACTATAGAGCAACAGTTCTATGGAATAAAGCGAGAGGATGTTGAGTTTATACTCAAACGGTGTAAGAATTGCACCTTAAACAGACCAAATACTACAAAAGCTCCATTAGTTCCTATTATAAGTGGACGAGCGTGGGAGAGGGTTCAAATTGACCTAATTGATATGCGCCACGAACCGTCAGGGCAGTATAAATGGATTCTTCATATAAAGGATCATTTCTCAAAATATACACAGCTTTACCCATTGAAAAGCAAGCACGCAGAGCCAATTTCAGACTGCTTTGCTCAATTCATTGCAGCTTTCTTACCTCCTAAGATTATGCAAGCTGATAATGGGAAGGAATTTAAGGGAGCTCTACTCATTCTACTACGGAAGTATGGAATTCAAGTAGTAAATGGAGCACCACGGTCACCTCAAACGCAAGGCCTTATTGAGCAAGCAAATGGGGTAGTTGAGAATAAGCTACGGGCATGGAAAATGGACCATGGGTCTACAGAATGGAAGGATGGGCTACTTGAAGTAGTGCTCGCTATGAACACCCAAATCCACTCTACAATTGGGTGTGCGCCAGCTGAGCTTCTATTCCGAGAGCGGAGCTCACACATCAACTGGCTCAACAGTCAGGCCCGGAAGGATCTATCAATTGGAATTGAGCAGGAAGACCCAACCATGGGCCCGATATTTGAGAGTGATCTTGAGCCCGAAGCTCTAATTGACCCACAGCTCCGCCAGGCGCCAGAGCTCTCAATTGAGCTCAGAATTGGGAGCTCCCACTCTGAGCCAGAACTCGGAATTGAGCTCGCAATTGAGAGCTCACACTCTGAGCCAGAAATTGGAATTGAGCTTCGGCGTGGGACCCGGGCTCGAGTTCCAGCTCAGCTTAGAACTGAGCTTCAGCTTACACCAGATCCTGTAATTGAGAGAGCTATAGTAGCTACTCAACGAGCAAGGATTTCTATGGTCCGGAAGTATTCAAAGAAGCATGATATTCAACACTTTGATATAGGAGCAATAGTCTCTATAAAGGTTCCTCGAGAGGATAGAACCTCAACTGATAATAAGAGGCTATTTGCACGCATTCTAGAAGAGCCTTACCCTCATAGGTATCGCATTCTTACACCTTCAGGTGTTATACAACGCCTTATACCTACAAAATCACTTGGAGTTGTAGACCAAGCTCTATGGTCTGATATCATTATCCCTACTTCTACAAAGCAAGTAACACTAGGGCTTGCAGCTAGAGAGGCTTCTACAAGCGCACGGGTTGGAATATCATGTCAATGTAAAGGGCAGTGTAGTACAAAGCGGTGCCGGTGCTATAAGGAAGCAAAGGAGTGTAGTGTACACTGCCATAACGATGACCATGACTGTGGCTATTTATCAGGTCTAGCTACTCGTACAGAAATAGCTTTAGTTGAGAGGCCTCGTCGGAAACGAGCACGCGCAGACACAGTAGGTAATACTACGTAGCTATAGATCAATTGATTACTTCTACTATTTGTGGTTCATGGTTGGGCCGGCCCAACCGTAAACCGGAAAAATCATGGTTGGGCCGGCCAGTTCATGAACGGGCCGGCCAGTTCATGAACCAGAATAGTTCACGGTTGGGCCGGAACATATACCTTTAAAAAATGATGGATCTGCTAAATTAGAACTGATCTCATTCGCACTCTTTTTGATTAATCTCAAATAAAATAAAGACAAAACTAGATGATGTTAACTAAACCACTAGAACCTGCCCTATGACATAACTTTGGTTGGCCGGGCCATCTAAATACTACATATGGATATTGCCTGTTGTTACCGTTTTGATGTTTTGATATTCCGCAAACCCGTATTTGCTTTTTGCTGGCTTCTCTGCCTATGCCGCTCTCTTTTATTCCACCGAATGGGAGCTCTGGAGCACTTATAAGTCCCTTGTTTACTCCTATCGCGAGCATGTGGAAAACCCCAATATTATTTGGCTGAATATCGCCTTATAGGAGGAGCTGATACTTGTTTACTCAAATGATATCTCTTTCAATTCTCCGTGTACCTAAAACCACATCGACTATTCGGAAATATACCTATAAACCGACCTGCAGTCCTTTCCTTTGCACCTCTCATCCTGACTAGCATCTTCAAATGTCTTCATGACCAAATCAGACAGGACGTTCTTTGCGCCCACATCTTTCCCCAGCTGGACTGCCATTTCCACCACACCTTTGCATAGCTCCATACTGAAACCGCCTTCAAAATCTTTACTCGCCGCTGCTGTTGACGTAACACCTTTGACTGGATTTTGGTCGAGTGAATTATAGCATTTCCCGCTGGAGACATTAATAACGCCTGATAGGATCTTCGGATCCAACCCGTATCTAACTCCCATATTCATTGCCTCACAAACGCCGATAATGCTCACAGCCGAGAGGTAGTTATTAATCTGCTTTGTTGCAAGTCCTGCACCTGCTGGCCCACAATGGAAAAGAGAATCTCTTTTCCCCATCGTTGCCAGAACTGGGGAAACCAATTCAAAGATCTCTGTCGAACCACCCACCATGAAAGTCAACGTTGCTGAGTAGGCGCCATTTGGACCCCCAGAGACGGGAGAGTCGGCGAATCGGCCTAGCCCAGAACTCTCTACTGCTTTTCCGACCTTTAGAGATGTGGCAGTCTCAATGGTTGAGCAATCCAAAAAGAATTTGGGCGATGCGGATGGAGCGGCAGCAAGGAGGCCGTTCGTTGGATTGGTGAATACGCCAAGGACGTGAGGCCCCTTTGGAAGCATAGTTATGATGAAGTCCGAATTATCGGAGACCTCTTTGGGAGAGGAAACGACTTTGATGGGGCCATGTTGCGAGGTTTCCAAGATGAACTTATCGATCTGTTTTTGTGAAAGTTCGCATATCACAAGTGTTGACGTTGGAGGTAGTGCTTTACGCAGATTTTGGGCCATGGGGTATCCCATTATCCCCAACCCTAGGAGTTGATCAGAGGAGGTTTGCGAAGTCGTCCAAGAATTCTGACTTACCAATGAATCCATAGTCCCCCAGAGGAAGGTTTTGTGAGTGCCCGGTCGTCTCCATTATGATCTAAGCTGAGTCGTAGTTGAATCAAGCAATTCAGGGTTGTTATTAAAGGTAGTCAATATGAGCGAATGCAAAATTGCGTTTCACTGCCCTAGTTGCTCATAAATAAACACTGTACTGCTGGATTCAAAGGTAAACATTTGGGGCGTGTCTGGCCCAACCCCACTTGAAGCTACCACTTCAATAATTTCTCCACATCGAAACAACCCCTCATAGTTCCAACACCAGAACGGGTGATCTCCCCGCACAACAATGATACGGAATTGGGATCTCCGACTGTTAGATAAATGATTTGGCCTTAAAAGCAACAGTAAATGTTCCGCCGTAAAACACTCCTGTATCTTCCAGCACTTCAAGTCCAACGCCAAACACCCCACAATTCGTCCTCTCTTACTACTGCAAAATTCAGCCATGGCCTCAGCACCTACAACCCCCGATAAATCTGCCGAGTTTGAAAAAGGAATCAAAATCCGCCGCGAAGTCCTCGGTGACGCCTACGTTGACAAGGCATTGGCGGCTGGGTCCGATCGTTTCGGCAAGCCAATCCAAGAATACGTAACCGAAGTATGCTGGGCCTCTTGGGGCCGTGAAGGCCTCACAAAGAAGCAGCGCTCCCTCCTCAACATCGGGATTCTTATGTGCTTGAATCGAGCACCAGAGTTGGCGGTGCATACGAGGGGGGCCATCCGGAACGGACTGACGGAGGACGAGATCAGCGAGGCCATCAGGCACACGATGATTTATGCTGGAGTGCCGGCTGGTGTTGATGCTTTCCATACTGCACGGAGGGTCATCAAGGAGATGAAAGAAAATGGAGAGATTGAATTTTCTACTTCTTCTTCTTAAAGAGATGCAAATGATGAATCGGGTAGTGGGAATTGTGAGGGTGGGGAACGGATTCGGTGGTTTTGGAATGAGTTTGGTCCTTGTTGCCACGTCTCTCTGTACCTACATGTGAACAATTCACTGCCTTTAATTCCTACAAACCTTATCTTATCTGTGCCAATTTCTTGAGACTTATAGGAATGGCCTCATTCTTAAGCTAAGCGTCTTCTAGGGATTTTTTTTTACGCATTCGAGTATTGATTTGTCATACCTTCGTGAATAATGATGTTTTATCGAAGTATGGAAAATATGGTAGGGATGATAACACTATGTCATTAGGGCACATGTATGTTAAACAGAACCACATAACGTTTCTATAGATGCCCAGGCCAGAACCGTCCCTCCTTTAAACTCTTTGCTGCCCAATCCACATCATGTGCAAATACAATCTCCACCTCTCCGCCATCAAGCCCATCTCTCTGAACCTTCCTCATGGTCTCGATAGTTTTTTCTGCCTCCTGGACACTGGCATGGATACAACAGGTGACATGTGGAAGTCTTTCATCACTCCATGTAGCAATGTCTCTCTCTCCAGTCAAAATACGGATATCATGACATGCGTCTCCTGCGAGTAAAACATATTTCAAAGGATGTGAGGATATGCGACAGAGCATGTTAATATGTCCAGGTAGATGGCCTGGCGCTGAAACTACATAACAAGATCCGTCGGAAAATATGTCCATCGTATCAGGGAAAGCATGAAACGGCTTCCAGGCTTCACAGAACATCTCTGGTCTTGGGTAACTTGGCGTGCTTTCCGAATCGTTTTGAAGGGGGTCTGGCAGTTCGAAAGTTCTGGATGGTGGTAATATTCCTGCCTCGAAATAAGAATGGCTCCCGTTGGTTAATTTGGTGCGTCCCGATAGTAAATCCAATGCCCCGGCCCCTACTCCAAATTTCGACGCCTTGAAATCTGACGGCATGCCCAAATGGTCCCAGTGCACATGACTGATGAGGACATAGTCAATATCGGATTCTTTTAGGCCTCCTTTAGCGAGCGATGAGATAACATCTGGGGCGGTGGTGAGTGGTTGACGAGTTTGTGCATGTGCTTGGATTTCGGGAGAGTAGGCTGATATTTGTCGCCGGATGCCTAGGTCAAAAACTATCCTCGTTATCTTACTTGTCGATGGATTCATGTGCTGGATAAGAAATGATAACGAGGGAACAGTTTTGCGAGCTTCCGGGTCTGCTGGATGAACGAAGAACCGTTCGGGGAGAGTCAAGGAGCCCGCAGAAATCGCATGGACCGAGACCGTCGCTGGAACACCATGGTTTTGTACACCCGGGTCCATTGTTGTGTTTTCTTGATATGTCTATGAGAGTTGAATATCTCGAAAAAGAGAAGTCCCGCCCGGAAAGATCAACCTTCAAAAATTAATCAGAAGATCGCAAGTAATTCACGGAAGAATGAGTCCAATAAAACTTAAAACCTAAGATGGAGACGGAACATATGAAGAGAAGATAGGAGTCAAATCTGATAATTGCCAGAGTAAGGCCCATATGCATGTTATCCCCCCATACAGTACTAGTGGATTTAAAGCTATGGAGTGTTGGGGTAACGAAATAGGACGAACCCCACACATAACAGACCTGAAATTTAGCCACGGGCCTCCCCGCTTCTGTGCGGGGCAACCTCAAATTTGACTAGTACGATAATTGCTTTGGTTGGCGTGAGACCGCATAGACAAGCCAATGAGTTCTAGACCGGCGAACTGATGGAGACAAGTGGGGATGATGATCCAGAAGCAAACTATTAAAAATCACACTTTACTCTCTTAACAATTGTGACGCTCTCGGGACGGGACCTTTCAAATCCTCAATTCCCGTGCGCATGCACCTGCATTAATAAAAATTCCCGCAATCTGGTTGATGGGTAAAGACCTTGTCTGGAGATGGGGATGGGCGTGCCGTGGGTTGTGGGCTATACTAACCCGATCTAGCAATTATGGCCCCCGCATCCATTCTACTTCTGGGAATAGCCTCTAAAACCCCAAACAGAGCAGCCCGCACCGTAGGCGGGGGTTCACGCAACCAAAAGCAGCCTAGAATCGATTTCCATCACACTAATCCTTTAACGCCGGCGACGTCCAGGCCACCCTAGAAACAAGGACCACCTGTACATTGTATTGGACCTTGGGCTTGGCATTTTATAGAGAAACCAGTCTGCCTCATTTTGAGTCGTGATTCTATAAAGATATATCCAACTCCCCCAGATTCCCCGCAAACCCCAGATTCCCCGCAAAACCCCAGCTTTTTCTCCAACTCTCTTTCTCTGGCGAAGCTTCTCACTATACGCTACGCTTCTTTCTTCTTCCCTTAGAACTATAACACAACAGACTCTCTTCAACATGCCTCTGGGAATACTCGAGCCGGGGCATGGCAGAGATGTTCGAGGAACTGTTGTCCTAGATGACCTCGCTGCAAACACCGGCGTTGATATCGGGCTCGATGTCTCAGTCCTCAAGCATGGTAGTGGAAAAGTATGAATGAGTTTTGTACAAGTCCTAACAGGCCGTTCAAGCTAACTTGCAACAGTACTCTCATATTATTCTGAATCCTCAACCATCCGATGATCCAAACGATCCCTTGGTATGATAGATCTGTGCCTGCTAGGTGCTTCTAGCCATTGCTAACACTGAGTAGAACTGGGCCCAGACCAAGAAGTACACCACCATTACTACAATCCTTCTAGCTGGTATACTCAGTGCTGCCGTTGCAGGGCCTCTTTTGTCCGCAGGAACAGTCGTAATCGCTGCAGATCTCCACGTTCCAATATCTGCTATCTCATTACTCACGGGGGAATCGCTGTTAGTTAGCGGATGCTGGAGGTCAGTACATCTCTTACCTCATATCTGAATGGGGGGCCATTGTACTTTTCTGCAAGGCTAACACGTCTTAGTATTGCCGTTTCCATCTTGTCTCGTATCTATGGCAAACGATCTCAATACCTGTTTGCAACATTAATGAGCGTCGTTGCAACTATCATTTGCATTGCTAGCTTCTCCTCCGGTAGTTACTCAACACTACGAGCAGGGAGGTTGGTCACTGGACTTGCAGCCTCTGCTTTTGAGTCGATTGCGTTTGTCACAATTGTAGATCTGTAAGTATTTGGAGCCTTAATAGCTGTGTCTGTGAATTTTTATCATGGCTAACAGCACTATAGATTCTTCACTCATGAGCGTGGAACATGGATCTCAGGCGTAATCATAGTCCTTACGGGCATTTCGAACCTGTCACCTCTTATTGCGGGACAAATCACCAACAATCTTGGCTGGCATTGGAATCTTTACATTTATCTTATCTTTGCCGTCATAGTTTTCTTGATGGTGGTCTTCTTTGCTCCAGAGACAACCTTCAATTCTCCTCGCAACGCGCAAATCACTGCGCAGCTCAATACTGAACATAACATGGACGAAAAGATCAACGCAGCTCATGAAGAAGTACCCTCTATAACCCCATCGACAGCTCCCGTTTACAAGCCAAAGACCTATCTTCAATCTCTAGCTCCATTCAGCGGGACGTATACAGAGCCAAAACGCGCTTTGGTTATGCTTGCTCGCCTCATGCTTGTACTGCTGAATCCCGCGACTTGGTTCGTTGTGGCAACCCAATCTATGATTACCGTAAGTGTACAATAACAGCCTTTTTTTGAACCGATTCTAACCAGCAACAGGCTTTCTGGGTCGCCATCTCGTTCACTCTCGCTCAGATCTATTTCCCACCACCATACTTGCTAAACCCGTCTGGGGTCGGCTATCTATTTGCAGGCCGTATGTAACAATTGTTCCGAATCATCGTTCTGGGTCGCAGGTACTAACGTGGTATAGCTTTCGTCGGAGCCATCCTTGGATGTGGTATCATGTTCTGGCTCGACGACAAAATCGCCATGCGGCTCGCACGACGCAATGGCGGTATCTACGAGCCTGAATTTCGCCTTCCTGCTTTCATGCTTGCTTTGGCCACGGCTCCTCTCGGCTACTTCCTTTTTGGATGGTCCATCGGGACTGAGAAAGGCTATGTCGTAGGTGCAGCTCTTTATGGCGTAGCTGCTATTGGCGTCTGCGTGAGCAACGCAGCTGGAAGTTCATACCTCTCGTAAGTCGAACCTCCAACGTGCTGCTTCCACCCATAGATGATTAACATGAGCAAAAGTGACGCGTTCCCTGACATTGCTACGGAGGTGTTTGTATGGTCATCCTTCTCCAAGAACCTGTTGTTCTATGGCTTCTCGAACTTTATCAACGACTGGGTCACCACTAGTGGAGCCCAGACTGTGTTTTACACTCTCGGTGGTATTTCCGCAGCCATGATCCTGACCAGTGTCCCAATGTGTAAGTCTCAATCTGCATAATTGGTCACTCTACATCTGTATTCTAACACCCTTTTTAAGATATCTTTGGAAAGAAGAACCGGGATATGTGGAGTCGTTGGGACTTGATGGCTAAATACACCCCAAAGTAAACATCGGGAGCCTTAAAACGGATGTTCCTGCTGTCATTCGAGACCTCTCACCGGGTTTATACTGTTCGGGTCTGCAGTCCTTGAAACACCCGAGCATGGAATCTGGTTAATCTTCATCCGAGAGAAATTACTACCTCGCGGTTGTAATCTTTAGAGTGTGTATCATCGTTAGGAATGGAATATTTATTTCATCTCGCAATTATTTGCCAATTTCATTCTTCCTAGCTGTCACAATTGTACAGGAGCCTGACATAGAGATTATACGGATCTTGTAATGTGTGAATGAATGTGACCCATGAGCCTTCAATCAAAGCTGCATCCATATAGTCAGCGCCTCTTCAAATGCAAACCAATGTACACGCGCTTTCAAACGATTGATGCGCGGGTTTTCTGACGCTGGTGAACCTCAGCCATGCAGCCAAGGATTCCTATTTCCTGCCCGCTTTCTAATAAATAGCCCCATTTGGTTGTCATCTCAGGCCATAAATTCGTTTCTCCATGTAGCGGAGTTGTATGCAACTTGCGCATCCTGCAAGCACTCAATCTCAAACCATGCCACAGCTAGGCCCCAACCGCATTGCACATTAAGTAGGTATCATCAGTATACAGTATTTACAAAGATCTGCACACATGATCTAAACACCTTCGCATATTCCGGAGTAACTACCTCCATGTCAGCGCTATTGCAGGGTATTCGCTTTGCATTTTCTTACCCTTCCAAACGTAGCAAGAGCTGTTTAGCATAGTCTCCCAAACCTCAGCGACTACTGAAGGGAGGTTATGAATCTTTGGCCGATACCCGGCATCACGTAACATGTCTATCAATCGCCGCAAAATGGTCTCTTCCATTTCGTCAGCCGGTGCGGCATCGGCCTCGTTGAAACGACTCGTCCAAAGACAGAGCAATACACACAAGATAGATCCGAGAGGAACATGCTCAACGCTCCAGTATAACGGACCTGTGCGCGCGACGAAATGCGTCCCTTTACTCAGAGGTATCCGAAGGGTCTCCAGACAATAATTCATAGCTTCTGTCATATCAAGAGATCGATGTACTTGACTTCGAAGATGCCACAGGGCGCCAGCAGTGGCTTCTGGCGCAATGTCATAATCACGAAGCTGTAAGCCAAAGACACGCAATGGGAGTGCAAGCTCAACCTGAACGTGTCGATACAATGCCAAAGCATCAAATGTGAGCGGGGGTTCAGATGTTAGCGCCCCATGCCCACTCGTACCAGTGGCCCTACGTCTCTCTGATCCTTCTTGAAAGCAGTCCTTCCACGCCCGAAGCATTTGCCTTATCTTGTCTTTCCAAGGGCTTTTGCTGTCATTGTCGCCTACCCGAGAAAGACAAGCTGCTTGCCAGAATTCCAAATAAACAGCAGCAATTAAAATGCGCAATTGAAAAGAACCAAAATCATGGATCTTCCCTGTTGAAAGGATAGACAGAGCTTCATCGAATACTATAGGCGTTATCGACGCAGTGAATAGAGCGTCGGGAGGGCCTGGCCGTTGCTGGGTCCACTCATCTTCCTCGCATGGAAGTCGTATAGTTGAGCAATCATGGTTGAATAGTAATGGATTAGAACCAAAAGCAGAACTGAAAGCAACGGACACGATGTAAACGACATAGAAGAGTCTGGAGATGTTAGCGATATATGTGACGGATGGGTGTTCTGAAACCTACCTTTTAACTTCTTCGTATCCGTGCAAGGCATCTGGCAAGGTCCCTAATTTGATATTGCTTGCAACCTCTGTCTCAGCGTCCTTTAACAAATGGGTTACTTTCTGTAAAACCCACCAATTAGCCAATGTCCAAGGTTTTCACAAAAAGCCTAGCAACGATGCCATAAATATGATATATAGAACTTACTGCGACAACTGAACTCTGCAGATTGCTAGCATATTTAACGCCCCTTGCATCTCCGCTCCATGCCGCGAACATCATATTCAGAAATTCGGCCTGTACATATTCCAAAGGAGTCTTCGATTTTGAAAATGCGGTCTCTTCCTCAAACTGTTTCAAAATACGCTTCGATAGGCAGTGCAGGCTAAACGCAGTCTCATGCTCGGCCGCATATATCGCTCCAATAGATGCCACCGAGAGTGTCAGGGCGGGAAGCTGTGTCCAGAGATCAAAAGATAATTGATGTAAAAATGGAAGCTGTGGCATGCAATATTTGAAGTAGAAGTCTATGTACCGGAGAAATGCGTTTGTTGTTGGGAGTGAATCGGGATGGGAACAAATCGATGGGTATATAGTATGCAATTTCTCAGCATACGGCATCTTTTGCTCTGAGCTATCGCTTCTTTCATTTTCCCCGTTCATGTACCGTAGTCTTTGTTCAGCACTAGATGTAGATGTGTTTTGGCTGTTGCTGGTCTCCCCTAGGGCAGGAAAACTTTGCACAGAGGCTGGGGGATGAGACTGATCTGCCCTTGCAGGTGCCTTAGACAACAACTCGGCATCAGACAATAGCTGGCCATTATTACTACTTGCAGACTGAAATCTGAATGATTGTAGAACGCTCGAGGGACTGAAAAGAGGGCTATAAGAATCTCCGAATGCATTATTGTCAAGGATCACACGGCTGCCAACACCATCATCGAATGAGAAGTGGCCATTATCAATTAGCCGCTGTTCTTCTGTCCAGAAAATATCCACATTGTCGGAACTAGTAGGTTGAAAAGTATTCGTAGTAGCAGAGGTTTTCAGAGGCGAACGATGCTGTATATCTGTTGCTGCTGAGTTCCGAGGCATCGTGTGCCCATTAGGAGGTCGACTGAGCAGGTCGAAATTATTTTCGTCAAGGATACTAGGGCTACCAACACCATTATCATACGGAAAATCCCCATTATCAATCAGCCGGTGGCTCTCTGTCCAGAAAAGACCCACGTCTTCGGAATTGGTTGTTTGATGAGTATTCGTATTAGTAGAGGGGTTCAGAGGCGAACGATTCTGTACAGTTCCGGGGCTATGAGTCGGTGTGCACTTGTCGGAAGGCGAGCTCACCGAACCAACCCGGTTTTGAGGCTGCGATAATTGTATCGCAGAGTTCTGGTAGGCTGGATCGGTGGTCATGTTTGTTGGTCGGGTTGATTCTAATGTAGCAGATATTGGGCTCTCTCCTGCGACTGAAATTTAGCCTAGTACGTATGCCACGGTTTTTGTTGTATATATTTAGCCCGACGATATCGGAGGAAGAGAAGAAGAGGTAGAGATACATACCATATATTTCTGACGAAACGCTACTTTGAGATGGTCGTCGTTGTGCAATGGAGTCGGTGTTGTCCCGGTAAGTAGGGAAGTCTACCAGGATTGAAGACGGGTGTGCAGCAGACCTTGGTGCTTCGGCTTGGATTTCACCATCTTCTCCAGGCCCTCCTAAATCTGGGTGGAAGGACTTCAGATGCCGGGACAAAATATCTTTTCGAACGAAAGCTCTTCTGCAAAATACACACGCAAAGGGTCTCTCTTTGGTGTCTACGGAGAAATAACGATTAGAGAAGGAATACGCGCAAGGGCCGTGGATTATACTCACGGGCGCGTTCATGCCGTTTCAAATGTTCTGACCGCGTAAATGATTTGGAGCAATGGGAACATTCGAAGCGTCCGGAATGATCTCGCACTGATTTGCGCCGTGAGGCAGGCTGATGCTGCCGGTGAATTGAGAATACGGTATTCATCGCCGCGTCATGGCCGTCTTCCCGACGCAAGGTATGATGGCCAACGGAAAGCTGATGCGGGGGTTTGAGTGCAGTCTCTCGATCTTTCCTCTCTTCTTTCTTTCTCTCTTCCTCCCTTTCTCTGTTTCTCTTTCTCTCTCTCTTTCCTTTTTAATTCCTCAATCTATCTCTCATACAGGTTGTAGATAGCTAAGACAAGCGGTAGAAGCAGAGATAGAGAGTTGACGACATGAATGGGGATAGAAAGAAAATGGGGGATCAGGTGAAGAGCTGGGGGCCGAGTATGGGGATGAAAGCGGGGATGTTGGGGAATGGAGGGGCTAAATTGCCACTAGACAGACCCTAGCGATTTCCTTAGACAAGCCAAGTGGCACACGAGTTCCATCCCAGCATCTCTCAGCATTGGGTCATCTGCCCTGTGGGTCTCGCTACAGTCAACTTACCAGTCGACGAGCCTGCCTGTGCCGTTCCAGACCCGATCCCAGTTGCGGGTCGGAGCTCTCGGAGCTACATTCTGGAAATCGGACAGTTGCGGTTTGAGGTAGTCGGGGACAAGTCAAAGTGTCGGAAGGAGAGGAGTTGGTATGTGAACATAAAAAAAAACAAAAAAAAAACGTTCATGCAAAAACGTTCATGCAAAAACGTTGATGCAAGGCGGCAATTGATAGTAGTGGGAGAGAGTTGTGGGGGCAGGAGAGAAAGGTTGGGAGATGTAACCTTGGTCGTTGGAGTAACTGGAGCGGGAGCCCTGGTGGGTATATATAGGCATGCAGGATCAATTCCAATATATTTCGATTCCTCACCTGCTCCAAGCAGAAGTGCGATGGTACGAGTACTCGTCCGACGTTTAGCATGTGTTTTGAAGGTCATCTCATAATTCCGTTTACGAGAAGGGTAGATAGTTGAGCTGCTTGGCTTGACGATGCAAGTACTGCACTGTATCTGACCAACCAATACAGAATGCAAAAGGGCTGATTTGGACGAGGAGGATCCATGGAAAGGAGTTAGAAAACGAGCGAAAGATAAGGAGTCTGAGAAAAAGCTATAAATTGCGTGGAATTGAGATCCATGAATGATTGGCATATTAATGAGGCCACGGAGGCAGCAGCAGATACCTTGCTCGTCAAAGGGTGAGAGTTTCTGTTATTTGATTACTTCAACGGCGCTGTTACTTTAAATGCGATAGTACCCAATGGCTGTGTCTGATCCCCATCTCCCACATCCCCCCTTCCAGGAGCTCACATCGTATCGTCCATCCTCCCGACGCCCAAGACCATGCACTCCACATATTCCACATGCGCGCGTCCCGTGCTTCAGGCTGGTACCCCACCTACCACCGTAAATAGAGGCACTCCCTGTTTGGAAATGTCCCCCCGCATTGCCAATGACGGCCATCGTTATTTGACGTGGGTTACTAAGATGGAGGGAGACTTCGAATTGATATTATATATTAGGTGTAAACCGGAACTCAAGCTTCGACATTCTAACAGGCTATTCACTCACAATCTTATTATTTCATGCACTTCTATTACTTCATCTCTAGCAACATCTAAGAAAAATGAGCGGCTCGACGCAGGACTATCAAAACATCTTTCATTGGGCAGAAACCCAGAAGGATGCCACCATTCCATCTTTTGCCGTGAGGAAGAATGATCCTTACAAGGTATGATCCAACAGAAATCTTTCCGGGGATACGAGGCTGACATTACCTTCATTAGTACCAACCAGGTTTCGACAATAGGTAAGGATTATTATATGAGACTAAACGGTAAGAAGACTTACTTTTGATATCAGCTTCGAATCTGAGGCTATTCCGGGAACCATCCCACAGGGCCAGAACAACCCGAGATGTGTTCGCTTTGGCCTCTACGCGGAGCAGGTGACTGCTTCGGCTTTCGTTGCCCCGCGCCATACCAACAAGAAGGCCTGGCTCTACAGAGTTCGTCCTGCCGTTGCACACCAGGGCTTTGTAAGTTTGCACCTGAGGTTATTGCAGACATATTACAGAGGTAAATACTCATGCAAAATATTTATAGGTTGATATGCCGGACAACAATGACACCGAAGCGAACTTCCTACCTATCAACCCTCGAGTCCACCTTTCGCCCCAACAAGTTGCATGGCTGCCATTCGAAATTCCGACAGGTGGAAAGACGGACTTCATCTCGGGCTTGAAGACGGTAGCTGGGTCCGGCGATCCGACTCTGCGCGAGGGTATTGCCACTCATATGTATATGGCCGATCAGTCCATGGAGCAACGAGCATTTGTCAACTCCGACGGTGACTACTGCATAGTTCCACAACAAGGCAGTCTTGACATCCAGACCGAATTCGGGCCACTTTATGTCCAACCTGGAGAGATCTGCGTCATCCAACGTGGGCTGCGATTTCGAGTCAGTCTTCCCGATGGACCTTCTCGAGGATATATTCTCGAGATCTGGGGTTCTAATTTTGAGCTTCCCGAACTTGGACCTCTTGGAGCCAATGGCCTTGCTAATGCCCGGGACTTCCTTCACCCAGTTGCTCAATATGAAGTGAAGAAAGAGCCGTGGGAGATCGTCTACAAGTTAGGAGGAAAGTTCTTTAGCAGTAAACAAGAGCACTCGCCCTTTGATGTTGTTGCATGGCACGGGAACTATGTGAGTAAAAACCAGTGCATTGTGTGTTGTGATGTAGAAAGAAATATACTAACACCTAATATAGGTACCATATAAGTACGACCTCACGAAGTTCGTAAATGTTGGATCTATATCCGTCGATCATATCGACCCCTCGATCTTCTGCGTCTTAACTGCGAAGTCTCGCGATCCTACAGCGCCATTAGCGGATATTTTGATTTTCTCTCCACGCTGGGATGTGGCATCACACACTTACCGACCCCCGTACTACCACAGAAACGTCGCCTCGGAGCTTATGGGGCTCATATACGGTGAGTACGGCGGACGGTCTGACGAGTTCCAGCCAGGCGGTGTATCCTTCGAGTGCGGCGTAGTTCCCCATGGCGTGGCCTACGAGGAATTCAAGGCCGCATCAGAGCAGACACCGCCTGAGATGCAGATATCTAAGGGTGCTATTGCATTCATGTTCGAGTCCTCCCGACCATTTACTATTACGGACTGGGCCTGGAACAGCGACAAGAAGCATGAACATGATCCAAAGATGTGGGATAACCTGATTGACAATTTCTCAACTCATTCCAAGGAGGTTGAAGAGATCATGGCAAAGACTAGGAAAATGGAGCTCAAGTAGTTACAGCGTGCTTTATTGATAGCAATGATGAAATATTTTGCATATGAAGCATCTAAATGCAGATATAATAAACTGTCTGAATGCATTCACTCATCGGCTGTGATCGATTCGGGCCAGATATATAATTCAGATATGAGGTAGACATAATTTATCATTCAGACTATCTTAACGGACTACAAGAAAGGCAATTAAGCAACCACCAGAAATTGACCAACAACTATATCAACTCTGGCTCTCTGCACCATATGTACGTGCAACAAGTCCTCTTAAAACAGAGCCTTTGGTATGGTGTCGCGCTCAAAATTGCTCACCGACCTCCATTTCCAATATTTTTGGCCTGGGTTGAGGAGCTCGTTGTCATTCGTCTTGAAGTGCAAGCTTCCGTCGCCCATGGCTCTGAAAACCCGCCCTGCAATCTCGTTTGCAAACTCTATGTCGAATTCGGGACCAAGTGCTGCTCGCGCGACATCATCCATCACCACGAGCTTCATCGTGGACTGGAACTTAGCACGCATTTCTTCGGTGGTGAGCGCGTCTACCTTCCAGTCCTTGGACCGGTCGTCGCCGCTTGTTTTGTTTTCCGTCTCGCCATGGGCGTGAATGACTTTGATGACCTCGTACGGCGTGATGCTATGGCTAGCAATCCTGATGTAATCTTTTCCAGCCAACGGTTGAGTTGGAGGTTTATCCTTAGTGTCTTCCGTGCTAAGGACGAGATGGCATATACGTGCGACGGCGGAGCCGATGTCAAGCTTGCTAGAGGTGGTGATGGGCTCGTGACCTGTTCCTGCGACGACGAATGTTCGCGTTTCCGGATCGAATCCATGCCATGGACCAAATGCGCCAAACGGCGCTTCCTGGAATAATCCTGGGCTGCACATTGATCAGTCAGTCTTGGCCTGTATACTTTGCAAGTTTTTGGCGCCTCTCACTCCGAGTCCAGTATTGCCATTAAAGACTCAGTCTTTCAATGATAATAATTAAGAGTATAAAAATATCACCACTTACAAAATGGCAATGGTGCGCAACCCCTGCTTTTTAGAATACTCAATATGATCCCTCTTCTCATGCCAACAAGGATGGTCAAAGTGCTTGCCGGGAAAATTATAGTCAACCCCAAAGTCGCTGTGAAATTGTCTTAGCAGCCATACTGGATTTGTTTTCTAACAGGACTAGCTTGCCTGGTAATATATCCAAAGACACCAACCGCCGCAGCAGCATGGACGAGGTTGACCTTCGCTGCGTGATAGGCCCCTTCAGTACCCATACAATTAACCAGGAAATTACATCCCTTCAGAGCCTCTTCGAGCTGCTTGACATTGTTAAAATCAACTTGACAGTGATTCTGCTTGTCACCACCCTTTGGCGGCGTGAGTTTCCGCGACAAGGTACGGATTTCAAAGTCATATGGTGAATGCTTGAGCTGATAGAAAATATACGCTCCTAAGGTACCAGAGGCACCAACAATGGCAATCACAGACCGAGCGGTAGATTCGGACATTTTGAGATTTGCAGAAATTGACCTGAAGTAAAAAAGAAGGGGAAAGTGTATAAAGTTTCTAGCTTGTGGTATTGTGTTACTCAAGTTATGGTGCTGAAGTGGACAATGGATTGGAGTGAACAGTGCGGGGCAGAATAAGTTATAATGAATTGCGGGAATTGACGACGAGAAATTAATGCTGACCAACTAATGGCATTTCCCATGGAGAACGTGGCGTAGATAGAATTCTCCTTGATTTTGCGGAGAATCCATCCCTTGTGGATGCTGGCGGACGCTTCAAATGCGGGGGCGGGGGCGATTCTTACCCCGCAAACCTCCCTCCGCAAACCGCCTACCCCCTCTTACCCAATGTTGTGGACAGGTACGGGTACTGAAAGCGAATGAAGCATGCAGGGTCGCAAGATCTGCGCTATAGTGTTTGGTTAACTGTTGCCTGAAGATCATGCGATGGCAATTTTTTTATTTTGAGTGTGACATGATGGTCCATTTGCAGACACTGTATATGCCACGATCACGTGTTACACATGACTTGAGTGCCTCCTTTTAATTGTAAGATGAGTAATTCGGCGTTGGTCCCCGCTATTGTGCCTTTTTACCAGTTGAGCAACTTGCTTAAATTTATTTATGTCAAGATCCTCACACCATAGAAATGCTAGGTCTACCGATCTCAGGAGGATCTATGTCACTAATATATTGTAACCAGTGGATGAAAAACTTAATGATGATAACATAAAATTGTATTGTGCGAAAAGAGCATCTAATTTCCTTAAGCCTGTTGATTGCTCTCTGCTACTTGGAACTCGTTAACGATTAAGTCCGAGTGTTTGGTTGATCGGACCTGGATATCGCACTCGAAGGGATTAGGAACACTGAGCAAGCCCCTGACCATCCTTTCATCGGGCTCAATAAATTTGCCATCAGTGCCTCGCTTTTTAGAAATATTAAACCCCCAGAGAAACCTCGCCACGTTAATGTATAGCGAGCGCTCAGCCACGTGCACACCAGGACAGACACGACGTCCCGCGCCATATGAGAAATGATCACGATCTAGTGGGTCTTTGAGGTTGATAGCATCAGCAGCCGATAGTTTGTAATTCAGGTAGCGCTCTGGCTTAAATTTCTCCGGCTCTGGATATCTCTTTGGGTCGTAATGGATAGCCCTGTAGGTAATTATCAGTCCGCCGTCTGACTAAAACGAAAATGAGATGACCACTTACCACCAGCTAAGAATGACAACGCTGTCTTTGGGAATAAAATTTCCTTTGTACCAGTCATCCTCGGTGTTTGCATGGAACATCCCAAACTTGTTCACGGGTCTCCATCTAAGGAGTTCCTTGATAATGGCTCGAATGTATGGAAGATTCGATTCATCGTCCCAGGTAGGCATTCTGGTGTTCCCCACCACTCGGTCTAGCTCCTCTTGTGCCTTCTTGACAACATCGGGGTTTTGGCACATGGCGAGAATTAAGTTGTTCAGAGATGACGCAGTTGTCTCTGAGCCAGCTTCTACCTACTATGTATTAGTTGAATTCGATATCGCAAAAGAACTTCTGGGGACATACAAGACCACCACAGGTATATGCCGCAGCCAGGTCGTCGATACCATTCTTGGCAGGATCACTCAGGTAGAAATCACGACAAAAACATGGCTTGGAAGTTCCCTCATCCACCCTTTTCTTCAAATCATTCCACATGGTCAAGTAGACGTCCGAGTCGTGCTCAAAATACCGGCGCCCTTTGTCACGCCAATTTCCAAGGAGAAACTGGGGGAGATAACGAAGCGAGGGCATGGAGTCTACCGCTTGAGCTCCAGGTGCTGACATCTCCGTCAAATTATCGAGGACCTTGTAAATGCGGGCCGCGATGGGGCTGTCAAATGTTGGAACCCGGATACCATACGCGACAGTCATAATGACGCTGGCAGAATATCGTTGATTGTGTTTATAGAACTCAGCCGGAACCTTCAGCATATCATACATCATCTGAAGAGATTCATAGTCTTGGATGGGTTGGTATGCCTTGGAAGCATTCAGGTTGAGTAGCTGGTGGCTGTATTTCCGAATATTTCGCCATTCGTTATTGTATGGCATAAGAAGCTGACGTTTTCCACCACTGGCAACATCCATGGCAAAAGGCATTTTTGGACGGGATGAATAAATGGCCGACTTCTTGTCCATGAGATCTTTGACCGCGGTTGGAGACGAGAGCCAGATGTAGTCGACTTCAGCGATCTTGGTGTAAACAACATCGCCGTACTTTTGAGCCCATTCGACCACCTTGCTTCGAACTTTCTCTGAATCTGCCATGTCCGAAAAGTTACCCAAAAGAGGGATTCCTGGCGGACCCGGTGGAAGCTTCCTCCTCCTTGCATCGGTGAAATACCAAATGGTCAGCGTAAAGACAAGCAACATGCCAATAGCTGTCTGTGGCATATGCGTGGTCACAGAAACTTTGCCGAATTCCATAACTGTTGATAACAATGAAGCCATGTTGGTTGATAACAATGAAGGCATGTTGGGCACGTATCGGAGACTTCCAGATCCTAGGTATTTCTGGGGGGAAAGAGTAGAATTAGAATGGACCACAGAATGGACCACGATGGTGGTATAATAGTTGAATTTCTGGACAGAAATAACGCTAATTTATGTGCCATCGCTTTCGTCCCACTATAGGGGATATGGGGGTGTCTTTTTTGTATCATATACCACCTACCACCCAGCCGCAAATATTACCCCGCATACGTTCCTAGTACGCTTCTAGCAGATCAGAGCAGAGAGCACCCAGTCTAAATGTACAAGACGTAATCACATGCTCCACATGTGCATTTTCCCTCCTACTTCTGTTTTACCTACGAAAACACTCCTCCTAACTCAGACATAGTTGTAAGAATTAGCTGTGCGTGCCATCCCCACAGCGACCATTCAGGCGGCAATACCAACACATAGCTCAGGACCCATCCATTTTGAATTCGAAAATCAGTTACCCTGAGCTCTCCTTCCCCAGAAGCCGTCCGACGAGACCAAGTAACTATATCATGCACTGGATCATGTAGAAAATCCATAAAATCTTCAGCCAGAATCAAACTAACAGGCTTAATAAATAGACAGTCTGGAACATCACAATCATAGCAATGTTTTTAGAGATATGCGTCATGTTATAGTTTCAAGCTCATTTGTAAAATCTACATACTAGTGAAGAGTGCTCAAGGCGCCATTTTTGCCATAAGGGGCTGAGAGACGATCCCAACCCTTCTGGAAATTATCTGACATCTCTTGCCCAAGCCAGTCCGGTCTAGTGCGGATATAACCTTCTTCCACTTCATACAAGCGATTCCCGCCAACCCAGATACCACAGCCGTGTAATTTAGGGTTGATGGCTGCAAAAACAATCGCTTTGGCGCATCCCTCCGGAGAGTTCATGGGCAGTTCTCCCCACATCTTCATCGCCGTATCACCAGCAAAAGGCGTGTTGGTCATCCATGGCGCAATCAGATTGATGCGAGTGTTGTAGACAGGAGCCACTGTTTTGAAGCTACGGAGAAGCCCTACCACGGCGTGCTTTGTTCCAGTGTATGCGCATACTGGTGTCGAGTCCATGTATCCGGACACTGATGCGGTAAGCACGATGGAACCTGCTTTCCCAGAGCGCTTAAAGGAGAGAAGAGCGAGCTTAATGGCTATTTATTCGTTAGCTATATCCCCAAGAGGCTATCATGATTGCTGACACAAGGCCAACGGGTGACTCACTGTTGAGAACGCCAACGTAGTTTACCTGCATGGAAGGCCATGCGCAATCCTTCTCGAGATATTCTTCCGACAGCCAGTCTTCCTTCTCGTGAATACCTGCATTAGCACATACAATGTCTGCTGGGCCGTGTGCCTCAGCACCCGCTGCAAACAAGTCCTTCAGTGCTTGGAAGCTGGTAACGTCTGTTTGTTTACATTGCACGTGGCTACAGGAAAGTCAGTGTTAAAATCAGGTTGTGTGAACTAGACTCAAGATCAAAATCAAAATCAAACCAAGTCCTACCTTCCCAGCTCAGCAGCAAGCTTATCGCCCTCGACTTTATTAACATCGCCAAAGGTCACATTCGCCCCAGCTTTGGCGAAGATAATGACGGCTTCCCGCCCAATGCCGCTTGCACCGCCAGTGAAGATAACGTTCTTTCCCCGCAGGTCAGCGAAGATAGATGTGTCGAGGATGATTTCGTTAGACATTTTGTGGTGTTGTGGTGTTGTGGTGTTGTGTTGCTGTGGTGTTGAGGCTCGAATTCCGCAGTGTAGAGATTGCTGATAAACAATAGAACATGAGCATAAATAAAACATTCGCATTGCACTTTATGCGTATCAGATGCAGCCATGCACACAGCCATTCCCTTGTTGGGATTTTCGGTTTACTCGGGCGGGTGTGCCCCTAGCCTGCCGTGCCCAGATGTGGTAAGCCTCTCCTGCCCCGCATCCCCCGCATCATTCGAACCCCACCCCGACCGCCTCCCCCACGGGTCCAGCTGATGATGGGCCACCATTCAACCCCTCCTCACATCCAGTGATACGAATCGGTAGTAGTCGTGCGGCTGCTTCACACTGGTCATTCAAAATGGATGGTGCACATACGGTGACCCCTATTCAGGAAATATATATACACAATCCATGCCAGATCATGCCTGGTTCCCCTCATAACCTTATATGTCGTCGTCCTCCTCACCGCCCCCCTCGACATAATCCTCTGCATCTATTCTCGTCCGTCTCCTTAAGCACACACAATGCCGTCAGCAATCAACAACAGTAGTTCAACACACGAGCCGCAGAATGATGATCCAGACTCAACCACATACCGCCAGGACCTGCACCCAATTGCCGACGATCCATTTGAGCAACACGATGTCGTTGTTGTCGGCGCGGGACCGAGTGGCTTGTTCTGTGCCTTGAAAATGGCCCAGAAGGGCATCGATGTACTGGTCATTGAGAGTGGTTCTGCAATCTCGGAGTCTCCACGAGCTATTGCGTGAGTCATAAACCCCTCGTAGAAAATATTCGAGATGGTGCTTCCTATACTAATACTCCCTTCAGGTACATGCCTATCGTCCTCAATGAGTTTGAAAAAGTGGGCATCTTCGATGATCTGGTCGAGCTCGGCCATCAGAACAACGACGGCATTCAGTTTCGCACACCCCACAACAAGGGTGACGAACTTCTCACAACCGTCAAACTCAACCTTGTTCCAAAAAGTTTCAAGCGATATCCATTCATAGGCATTAACACGGGCCAAGATCGTCTCGCACATTTGATTCTGAAGCACGCGCAACGCCTTCCTAATTTCCATGTCAAATTCAGCCATACTTTTGCTGGCGTTCAGCAGGATGACAACGGCGTGCGTATCACAGCAGTTACATCGCGTGGTGAGAAGTACTTTGCGGCCAAATATCTGATTGGTGCAGATGGCGCTGGTTCATCGGTCCGCCGCTCCCAGTGTATTCCTTTCCGCGGCTTCACGTGGAACGATTTCCGGTTTATGGCAGTCAACATCGAGTACGATTTTGCGAGCCATGGCTACTCTACTGGCGTCATGGTGGTCGATGAAGAAGATTGGGCCGTGATTGCACGTATCGATAAGGAGGGCCTATGGCGTGTGGCATTTGGTGTCCGCTGCAGCATCCCCGAGAAAGAACTCTTGGCTCAGCTACCAGAAAAGCTGGAGCGACTCATGCCTGGCCCAAGACCTTTGAACTACAAGATCGTTGCAGCAAATCCATACTGGGCTCATCAAAGGGTCGCAGAGAAGTTGACGTCCGGTAGAGTAGTATTAACAGGAGATGCAGCACACGTAAGTTACCCAAGCACAGACTGCAGATTTGTTGTATTGATACTAAATGGATGCTTGCAGTCAAACAATCCCATCGGTGGCCTAGGACTCACAACTGGCCTCCTTGATGCAACTGCTCTCGGCAACTGCATGATTCGAATATTGACAAAGAATGAGCCCGATCCAGCAGCTCTCTTAGAGAGATACTCTACAGTGAGAAAGAAGGCCTTTGTTGAGTACACGAATACTGCCTCAATCGAGAATAAGCTCCGGTTGCACTGTCAGGACGATGAGTTCAAGACCAAGCGGGCGGCTTTTATTAAGAATATAACTGATGATCCAGAGGCAACCATAAATATGGCCAAAGCTATGAACGAGGTGATGGATGATGACTTCGAGGAGTGAGAGAGATTCCAGCTTCTTTTTATAGTACAGAGACATATTTGGGTAGCAGATCTGAATATCTTCAATGTTCAACTGTTTTACACGAACAAGTGCCTCTAGATGACAAATAAACATTTATCCTTTATTGTGCCATCTTTTCTATTCTCTACATGCTTTGAATACATGCTGCATTGACTCCACGTACTATCTTTTCATTACATAGAGACGAATTTGGCAAACCAGGGTAGAGGCTTATGAAATTTTCTTTAAACTCTCCATATACATTTAAAACGGCACAGAAGAGAGGTTGGGCGAATGCCCATATTTAGATATGTAGCCCCTATTTACTAAAACTTCGCAAGAAAAAGCTTTCAAGGCGAATGCAATTGAAAATAAACATTTAAACTATGTACTTCTTAAGAATATATTTGTTTGAGTCAGTGTTCCCCAAATAGTATTCGAATAGTATTCGGGGTTTGCCCGAATACTCGTAATCTGAGAGTATTCGGCGAATACTCGTACGAATACTCGCCGAATAGTATTTGAGTATTCGCCGAATACTATAGTATATAGTAATGAAATATGATAATTGTCTACTCTACTTTACTCCTTATCCTCGTCGCCCATAACCCCCCAATCCCGTAGGCAGAGTAGATATCGAAGAGTTAAAGGTAATAACCTGTTTCTTTTCTTTGTAACTATATCACTGCTAATACTAAATATACGCTCTAACGCTACCAATGAGGCTAGAATTGCTAAATAGTCCCGTGTAATCCGTGATATAACTAGATACTAATACTACTTTGCCTACTAATACTTAAGGATATTAGTATTATAGTTGACCCTATTCTCTTTAAACCATCGTCGCCACTTAACTTCCTTAATAGAAGGCCTACAATGCTAATACATCTCGTCGTTAGAATCAAGTTCTCTTAGGATCGCTAGCTGCTCTATTTTAGTAGTAATAGTAGCTTTAATAGCAGTAACCTATATATCGTTCTTACAGTCTTTATACTAGTTATAGCAAGCTGTAAACTATGCTCTTGCTCTATCTCGTTTTATAGCGTTTATACTATCTAGTATATAAAATTCATATATACTTAGGTTGAATCTTAGGTTGTAGATAGTAGCAATTAACAAGTAGCTTAAGCCTTAATTTGTTATAAGGTTATAATAAGTATTAAGCTTATTATATGCTACTTTATAAGCTACACTAATTATAGCTATTGTTAATAGAGCTTTTTACATTACCTTAAGCTTATTTAAAAGCTATAGATAGTATATAATATAGACGTTTAACGTTAGATAACTATTAGCTTAAACTTACTCTACTAGTTTAACAAATATCTTAAAGAACGCCCTTAGTCTATATAACACTTACTATTCTATTAACGTAATAATAATATTACGTATACTTAAATCTATCGTTTATAAAGTACATAAAGCATTAATTAGCTACTTAAGCTTTAAAGCGTTCTTAAGCATATAATATGTTAAGTTCTATTATATAGGCATGTTAAGGGACATTAAAACTACCTAAATACCTATAGAAGATACTTGTACTTTTAATACATCTTTCTACGCTTAACAGTTCTAAAAGACATAGATATGCTAGCGTAGTTTTATAAGAACTGTTACTACTTCTTCTTAATTAGAAATAAAGCCTTAAGTATAAGCTAAGCCTTACTTAAGCCTATATAATTCTGTTTGTTCTAATAGTATAGCTTTTAACATAGTTAAAGCTACTTAAACTATAAGGTTTATAATATGTGCTATACATTAGACGTTGCCTTTCTTTACTATAAAGCTCTATAGTTGCTACATAGAAACAACACTTATGCATGCCCCTATTTTAAACTCTATAAGCATTACTGTATTGTTTAATGCGTTATCTCTAGTAATAGTAAAGACTCTATGTATAATACTAAAGTCATTAGTAACAGCTTAAAGCTGCTCTATAAGATATTTACTAGAATGAATAGGCTCCTTTAGATGTACGATATTAAGAACATAGTGCTAGTAAACCTATTCGTTATTTATCTAATAGATAGTTATTATAGCGTGCTCTACGCCATTCATTACAGACTATGTATTAGTTGTAAGTAATAACTATCTACCCTTTGCTATATAAGCCTAGAGTTCAATTTATAGCTTTATATAGTAATTATAGAATGTCTTATATAAATTGCGCATTAAGGAGCTTGTTAATATAGCTAACGTTAATAGACTAAGCTAGTAAATAAGCTAACGAAACGAAGGCCGATTAACTAGACTTACTAGTAAGTTATTAGATACAATAAATGTAAGTAATAACTCTCTATATCGAGAGATAGGAACTAAGCTAGATCCTCCTACTTAAGGAGTAAAGAATGCTTAGGTGTTTTAGGCAGTTCTTATATTTAGAGCGCCCTACGAATCCTGTGAACTCTAACTCTATGAACTCTAAGCACGCTATAGCAATGAAGATCCTAGTTTTATAGCTTCGTATAATAAAGGATGCATGCTCTCAACATACCTCTATAAATTACTTGTAATATTCTATGTTAAAAGCTTTAGCTTTAGCCTATAATTACAGCCATCTTACATACAGACAATCTTTATTGTTATAGGGCTAGTGCTTAACAATGTTCTACTAAATACATTCTTTAAGAACAACGGTAACTAAGTATTTAGGAGTTATAGTTGTATTTGTAGTAATGGTAGAGCTATTAACGGTGAAGACTCTAGAAAAAGGGGTAGTAGGCGCTATATATCCTCATCTTCGTCACTTAGAATCGCTAATAACTTAGAGTCGCTCATTCTAGTGGAAATATCAAGTAATATAGTATCTACAGATCTATTTCTACGGATCTATCTATAAGGGCGGGGTAAAATCTTCGTAGCTTGGCATCTTAGCGCTAAGGACTCGAGGGCCCAAATACTATTCGAGATCTAGGCAAATACTCGCCGAATACTCTAAATATGGCCTGAATACTGCTCATCGCCGAATACTATTCGAAAACCACAAATACTCTTACTATTTTGGGGAACACTGGTTTGAGTCATATTTTTTTATTTTATGGTTATTGAAAGATTTCAATGGTTATTTACGAAGAAGTTTTCTGAACCCGTCCTTGCGTTTCACGAAACAGCTTCGCCGGCAACACGACATTCTCGCTCGATCAGATCAGCATGAGCCTGGCTCCTGGGTTTGATATTGAGCTTGAAGGGAGCAGCTTTATGCGCAAAGGCATCAATCCTTGTCTCGTCGATGGGCTCCGATGGATCTTCCGCGAAATCGAAACAGTAAAGAAGGCGAGAGAAGGAAATGAACATGTTTCGAGATCCGACATGCCAGCCTACGCAAACGCGTCGTCCTACATCAAAAGTTAGAATCCCAATCTATGGTTTGGTTTAGATAAATAGTTAGGCAATGCTCACCCATGCCAAATCCCCAATGTCCTTTCAACATATCGTTCAAATCCTCATTAAGGAATCGGTCTGGGTCGAATACTTGATTATTCTTGTATTCTTGTTCGTCGTGGGAAATTCCATAATGATTCCACGTAAACACGGTGCCTTTCTCGAATCTGTAGGGCCCAACGACATCATCCTCGACAAGTACGCGTGGCACACCGCTCGCGATCATGTTCGGGCGCCACCTTAGAGTCTCTTTCATAACTGCCCGTATGTATGGTAAAGATTCCCAATCCTTTCAAAGGTGGTCAGCTTATGAGGGCAAGTACAGATTTGCTGGCACTCACATCAAAGTCGGGAAGTCTTTTGGCGTCTCCTAGGACACTGTCAAGTTCTTGTCGGGCTTTCTTTACCCATTCCGGGTATTTAGCTGCGGCTGCAAGCATGAGGTTAATCTGATTTCTGGTCGTATCAGATCCTGCTTCAATGATGGTACCAGCTGATAGGAAAGTTAGTCGATTGACAGCTGGGCACTTCATTTCGTTTTAATCTGGAAAACATACCACAGAAATATTGCTGCTCGTCACTGAAGTTGTACTGCTTTGACAAGTCGACTAGAGACCGCGCAAAACACTCCGGGTTCTCGCCCTGATCGATTCGCTTCTGCAGATCGTCGAAGAAGTTCTCGTACACTCTGTTTTTTCAGGGTTCTTAGTTGAGATAAAGAAGATGACACAGATCAAGGTCGAGAACTTACTTCAAGGTTTCGTGGAATACCTTCTCAGCTTTCGGTCGATACCACTGCAGTCTCACGGGTAACCATCGAGCGATGAAAGGGAATCCGTCGATAAAGCTGGCTGAAGGCGATCCCTGCAGTTTCATGAATTCGTCAATGCAGCTGAATAACTCCTTGACATTTGCTTCGCTCATGCTACTTCTTCGACCAAAAACACTGAGCGCAGAGAATTAGCTCTATACTCCTAGATATCTAACTTCAAGTAACTTACACCGACATGATAACTAAAAAACGAAGTTAGCGGTTTGTGTGTTCATTGGTGGGGATGTTGCTGACCAGAATTGGCAAATCGCGCACCATGGAGGTAGAACAATTCAGGTGCCTTTAAATAATCCCATATCAGCTTCCTCGACTCAATTTCTTGGTATGGCTTGTAGCTATCGGCCTATTTGCTCATCAGCGTCAAGTCCCCCAATCCAAAAGATGGCTACAATCATTTACCGCTTTGGCAGTCAATAGCTGATGCATGATCTTCCTCAGATTTCTCCACCGCTCGCTATGTGGCATCAAGACAATTCGCATGCCACCAGATAAGATTTCCTGTGTCACCGGGAAGTATGGACGACTGAGGTAGATTTTACCCTTCCGATCCAGCAGTTCGCGCACCATCTTCGAGGAATTGACAACGACCCATCTGGTAGAACCGAGAAATATAGAGAACCTATCGCAGAGAAAGAATCAGCTCCACGCAAACTAGTCACACTTTTGCCCCGGGTATAGAATCGCACTTACATGTCGTCGTACTCTTGTCCCCATGATGCGAATTTAGCACCAGGGAACCGAGGGTCTAATTGAAAGGTGTTTCCCACTACCAAATTGCCCTTTGGGCCCGGGGGGTAGCTGTACTTCGTCTTCTTGCCCCTCACGAAGAAGCTGATTGTAAATATCAAGACTGCAGCAAGTGTGATAATTTTGATTGGCGAAGGGGCGGTTGGAAATCCATGTGGGTAGAGAAAACTCGCTGCATGAGCAGCAGCACTTTCGTTAAGCGTCATGATGAAATAACAATGAGGTCTAGAAAATTTGGTAGAGGTATCAAATCTCAAAGAAATTGAAACAACTTTCGAATGGAAGAAGCTTGCTGATGTGGCGCCCAGCGTGACTTGTATCGCGGGGTGGGCCTAGTATTATCTTGCCTTGTGCGGGGGATACAGTCCACTTGTCAAAGACAGGGACCGACATGCTGTTTCCATAACACAACTTTGTGTGGAGTTCCCTTATTTACTGAGATTTTGCAACGGCGGCAGTGGATATCAAGCTTGCATCCCACGCATGGGACGGCGAGACACCCCCGCAGCACGAGGGTTATACATCCAACTATTGTGTCTGGATCCTCGCTTCACATGGGGACTATAATTACTGTTTGGAGACGCACTAGCATTATGGACGTTGCTATTATGGCAGCAATAATGGGATCTGATGAGTGGCGGTGGAGGTGGGGGTGGGGGAGGGGGTGGGGGTGGCTGCAAACCCCCGCCTCCGCTCTAAGTTAGACCTACCCCATAGAGCCAGCCGTCCATGTCGGCGGTTCGGCTCTTGGAATGCAATATCCGAGTCTGGACTTGAAGCATATGAGACCATATTCGACGAATATGGTCTCGGTACACAGAAGAAATCCATCGTTTCCGCAAACCTTTAAATCCTTAGTATTTTGTTTTATGTAATTTGCTGTCACATCATAAAATTTTGACTTCTCCTGTAAAGCTTGCACCCTAATCAAACTCAACATGTCAGCCGAGATTCGAAAGCCCTCGATTAATACGAAGCCCTACGATGCCATCAGCGTGGAAACACTGAAAGGCTCTCTAGCAGGGCGAGTTGTGGTATTGACCGGCGCTGGAGGTGGCCTTGGACGTGGCGAATGTGTGGCATTCGCTAAAGCTGGTGCAAAGCTTGCTCTGCTCGATATTGAGCGCGCTGCCTCAGCCTTACAGACTACAGTGGATGATTGTGTGGCATTGGGTGCTGAAGTCAAAAGCTACTTCTGCAATGTTATGGATGCGGTAGAGTCAAGAAAGACGTTGAAGCAGATCGTGGCAGACCTTGGTGAGGTGGACGTTCTCGTGAATAACGCTGGAGGGTAAGGAGATCCATATTAAGAAGTACTTCTTGCTGACATTGTTGCAGGACTATTGATAGACCATTTCATATGGAGACCTTTGATCAGTTCTGGGCTATGATTGATTTGAACTTCAAGGCAGTAAGTAAAAAGCAAAGTATCACATTCTAGGAGAAAAGGAAAACCATCTGACCCTTAGCCGTAGCCCATGCTTTGGACGCACATGCTGATACCTGAATTTCGGCGCCGCGGACACGGCAGGATTATCAATATCGCCTCTCGATCTGCAACGGTGAACAGTCCTTTCAGCGCCAACTACGCCGCTGCAAAAGCTGCACTCGTACGCGCCAACGGTTGCTTGCAGTTTGAGCAGGACATGGACGGATTCCACGACATCGAAATCTACTCGCTACACCCGGGCGCGACCAAGACTGGCATACAGAAAGCTCTCGACCAGGATGTTGCAGAAGCATACCCAGAAGGCGCTGCCGCCTATGCCAAGTTCACCAAGGCATTCAAGTGCGAGCCTGCATTGTGTGGACAAACATGCGTGTTCCTAGCTGCGGGACGAGGTACGGCACTGAAGGGGAGGTACTTTGATTGTGAACAGGACATTGGTTATGTTGCGAGTATGGGGAGTGTAATACGTGAGCAAGGACTGTATGAGTTGAAGGTTGAGTTTCTGGGCGGGCTACCAAATGATGGAGGCACTATGCCAGATTCTATGTTGAATGAACTGTAAATTTAAGATACAGCAGTAGGATTGGCAGTAAATTAAATAAATTTTTGGTTTATGTCTATAATATTATGCCTCTCCAGCTATAAATGTGGCGTTCGGATTTCATTGTGATGAGGGGTGGCTCCGACAACCCACATTCCCCGTGCTGTTCGATCAATCTGGTCATAGATCAATTTGATACCCCGCATAAGAATATGGATATAAATATGTTGTGTACTGTACTGTGATGTGCGTGTCTATTTGACAACATTGGAAATCCCATTCTTCGAACACAATAAAAATGACGACGGTTGACATCGATGGCACAGACTGGACCAAGATTTCAGGAAAGGTTATTGTTATCACTGGAGGGGCATCAGGAATTGGCAAGGCTGCAGTCGAGTTTGCAGATGGTATGAACTGTTTTTGAAGATCATACTCTGTTGTTCCCAAGCTGATTAATTGATATTAGAATGTGGTGCAAAGGTCGTTTTTGGGGATGTAAATCGCGTCTCCGGGGAAGCTATTGAGACAGTTTCAAAAACCAGGTACTCTACTTTTGCTTCTGGATATTCCAAACAGCTCTTCGTATTAATAAATCTGGCCTAGCAATCTAACCTACGTCTTTTGCGATGTGACATCCTGGGCAGATCAACGCGCTATGTTTGAGAAAGCATTCAAATTGCATGGCAAGATTGACGTCGTGCTGGCAAATGCAGGCATAACCGAGTTGAAAGACATCTTTTCTGATGAACTCGAACAAGATGGCACATCATTAGCGGAACCTAAACTTCACGTTCTTGATGTTTGCTTGAAGGGACTTGTCTACAGTAAGTGTTTTATTCTTTTAGTTTTCATTGCAACCTCATTTGTTCTATAATTATTTAACAGTGTACAATAGCTGTCAAGCTTGCACTCCATTACTTCCGCAACCACCCCTCAGGACAAGGATTTGGTTCCTTAGTCATGACTGGATCAGCCGCAGGTTATCTACCATCCGCACCGTTGTGGACCTAGTCTGCTGCTAAGGCTGGAGCTATCGGGCTGATGAGAGCCCTGAAAAGTCAAGCTATTATTGAGGACAGCTGGACTCTGAATACAGTTGCACCCTGGATGACACGTGAGTGCTTGCATATTTTGTTATCGCTATATTAACCGCAACTGACTAAAAGTCCCTGCATGGGGCTGCGCTATTCTCTAGTGACCAATATGGCTAAGAATATCGAAGAGTTTTGGAAACCTCTTCCAACTAATACGCCACTTAGTGTGGCGAAAGCACTTCTGTTACCTGCTACAGATAAATCCATAAATGGTAAACTATTGCTTGTGATCACAGAGAAACAGCCAGAAACTAAATATATTCTAGGGAAAGGGTTTTTCGTTGGAGGCAATGAGATTGTTGAGGTTGAGGACGCTTTGGACAAAGCTCAGCCTTTGTGGCTAGGTGAGGCAATGTCGAAATCAGTAGACGAGGGACAAGTAAGGCTGGGTTGCAAAGACGTCAAACCAGGAGCAAAGGGCCAAGCATTGTTTTCTAAGGACTTCGGTAATTAATTCGATATTGCTCCAAGATTGCCAGTAGGGTATCTATGAAGACTATATAAATTAAATTGGTTTACCACTGACTACACCTCGCAATGAAAGCCTCTGAATGAAGACAGCTCCGGTGAGTTAAGAAAATTGATACAATTTCACTATTTTCGAATGTCCGTAACCCACCCAAGAATAGCATCACACGTCTTCTCAGGCTCATCGATATACAACATATGACCGACGCTATCGATAATGACCAGGCGAGACTTTTCAATTCTTCTCGCCATCTCCTCATTGAGACTCACAGGGCTAGCCATGCTGTGTCGGGGAGCCATAATCAGAGTGGGTACCTTGATGTTCTCAAGACAGTAGGACACATCAACGTCAGCAATAAACGCACAGTATAATGCGACACCCTCCACGTCATGTCGATCCAGCATTTCTTCGTACCATTTTAGATACTTCTCGCCTGAGAATCGGCCCATCTCGTTCGTATTTGGAGCATTCGGATTCGAGCTCAGTTTAGATACTGGGCGGGACTTCTGCCATTCAACGAGGCCCATTTTTCGCATTGCCTCAGCCTGACTCGCATATGGCTGAGAAACCATCTTCTTAAATGTGTCACTGTCAAGTTATCAATGGAAACTCGACTTGAAGTTTAAAACAGTAACAGAAACTTACTTCAATGTGAGAGGTGACGACATAATGATCAGAGATTTCAGCTTGTCGGGGTATTTTTCTGCAAAGGCGATGCTTACCATCCCAGCCGTACTCTCTCCGATCCAGTGAACAGGACGACCCGCGACCTTATCGACAAAATCGGCCATCTCATCCACCAGCGTTGTCAGAGTGTATTGATAGCCTTCGGCGTCGCCTTTAGAGCTTTTCCCATGGCCCCGGAGATCACGACGGATAAATCGTACATCTCTGCACATCAAAGGGACCAGGTGATATGTAAAGTCTGTATGTCGCAATATCCCTGGCTGAAATATCACAATATCTGCTTCATCGCGGTTCCAAGGATCCGTGTAATCGTCAACTTCGAAGTAATCGGTCTGGCCGTTGAAAAGTGTGACGAATGGCATCGTGAAACTTTCGGTAAGAGTAAATCTATGAGAGAATAGAAATAATTACGACTACTATTTTTCAATGCTCGAATAAAAGTATGAAGAGGATATCATCAACTTCCCCATGATTACTGCGGGGGTCTGTGGTTGCAGGCGTTGGCCGAAAGAGTGTATGCGGGGTTTGAGATGGTTTATGTGGGGTACATTCTCCCCCCTTTTCTTGTGCACATTCGGACATTCTTCTGAGCGCCATAACGAGGGTCATCCGTAGACCGTCGACCCTAGTCTCGACTACAGCACCACACCATTAGCTGTCTTCCTGCGCTAGTTAAATCATTGTGCGATTGATAGATAACTTTGATATACGGTGCATATTCCCATACCTATGTGTGGACCGCAGAATGACTATATATGGAGAAGCAAATTTCTTGAGAGATAGAAGGCTTTCAAATGTAAGAGAAGGAAGGAGTGAATCGCTAAATCTGTATTCTCAACTTGGGTTCAAGAACAGGAGAGATAGGAAGAGCATCAAATGAGCGTGCACCACTTGGAGTAGATCCATCCACGTCTCCAATTTCGCTTCTGCAACTCCTACAAGATACTGAACTCTCAAAACCAAGCATCACCGACCGTGTTGATCTTGCAAAGGCACTGGCAAACTGCATTATGTATCTTCGTTCTGCTAATTGGCCCCACAAGAGACTCACTCCGAGGCGATAACATTATCTTCTTCCCACTTACCCGGTGCGGTGTTCAGCAGAACCGTAGAGCAGACCTGGACTACAATGAGCCCCTGTCTCTTTAATTTGACTTAGCGCAACCAGCACATTCTAGTGAATTCACTGAGGAACTGGCTGATGATGTAGAGTTTAGAATTTGCCGCCATCCGTGAACACTCAACATAGGCCCAGAGCGACCTACATATCAGAAGAGCTTCGACATTTGCTCCTTCGGAGTTATCTTGGTTAAGCTTGCATACTGGTCCAGTATCGACAAGGTAACGGCTCGGCCTGGTACCGATAGTCTGCAGCATTCTCGCTCGCAGCAGCATCGTGGGGGGCGAGGCTTTTGATCTGGAGCGTGCATGTGGAGACCCGAAGCTAGTTGAAACTATCCGGGCAAAGCTTCTGGATGACAGCAGTGTGATCGGGTTACGCGCGAGAATTGGGGGGGGGGGGGAGTTGCGACATTGAGCATAACATTCCATGAAGAGGTTGTTAAGAAGTTGGAGGAAATAGAATACAAGTGTAATCATTCAAGAGAAAAGTATGTATGGATTTGAATGTTTTTGAATCTATTAATACTCATGTATGTCTCTTTGGGGCTCTTAATATACCTTTCGGCTCAATGTTTGGGATAAGGTTCGCGCTTACGTGCAGGAGGTCAAATAGAGGCGTTCCATTCTGCCTGCAAACTCTTTAATTTGAAGAGTCACATTAACTGTCTCAGGCCGAGGAGAAAATTTACGACTGAACAGCGTCGAAGTAATCCAGGCTGGGTTTAAAAACGAGTGTGTTGTATTGCTATCCTGCCCTCGTGCTTAGTGTAATGACCAATATCTGTAATATCCATCAACTCGCATCAGTAGGCTGCTCGTGAGCAAGACCGTCCTTTCTCTTACTGCGAGGTAACCAGCAACTAATATCCATAGGTTCCATGTTTGCCATCCCTTTCTTGCCTTCACCTGCATTCCTCAAACCTCAGATGGTTGGACACGCTGTGATGTGGTCATACAAACAAATATCCTACATAGATGCTCGCCTTCGCAAGCATTAGCATCTCTTATCTCTCATATCTAGAACCACTCATGACCATCATATCGGCACCTATCGGCGGCGCTTTTGACGGCGAGTTTCCTCCCCGTGTTTCCCTCTGAGATTCCATCCTCTTGTTCTATCCACTGGCTTCTCCCCAGGTGTCCCCAACTCAAGCTCTTGCTTCTCGCCGGTATCCTTCCCCACTCTTGCTCCCAACGTCTCTGGATCTGTCTGCGCAAATATGAATTTTTTAATCTCACTCTCTACAAAAATCCCAGGTAGTTCTTCAAACTTAACCTCAGTGATATCAAACCCTGGCCGCACAATGACTTTCGCAGTAAACCCGTTCTCACCCGACACAGATACAATCTGGCGTCTGGCATCTTCTGCCTTGAATTTACCAAGAAAATTGACTACTTTATCACAAACAATTTGGGTTGAGCATCGGACAGTGATAACCTCCGACCCAAAAGATCCTAGCTTGCTGCGATATGGTCCAAACTCCTTTGATAGCCTGCTGCGGTGGGTCGCAGGATCCTTGTGGGGCGAGAAGCGGGTGGGGAGTGGTGGAAAGTCCAAGTCGAATGCCTTGAAAGCTTGCTCATCCTGATTTGTATGAAGTAAAGGACTAGACATACCAGCCACGCCAGTGTCGTGGGAGAAAAGCCTTCGGCTAGGTGGCTGGGGCTTGGTATCATGTAGCTCTGACAATCCAGGGTCGAGGGCGCGGACACGTGAGACAGACGTTGGAGTTTCGCCATCGACGGTTAGTTTCGAGCCTGGAGACATTCCTATTCTGGTTGGCGGTCGCCTTGGTCTCACGGTCGAGGCAAACCTGGAGAGTTTTCCAATATTGTGCGACTTCGTCTCTGGTGTCGGGCTGGCATCCATATCAGAATCATCACCATTTCTAACTCCACCTGTTCCGGAATAATCACCCAGAGTTGAATTCTTCATGATATTGGATGAGTAGTAGGACATTGGGTTAGTAGGAGTATGATAGTTGGATTGTGGTCCATAAATAAGCTCCATCTGTTCTGCAATGGAGCCTTTCCTCACTGCGCAGTCCATTCCAGAAGCATCGCCCTTTGTTGATTGCCTTTCTGCTCGTACAGAATTTTGCCCATATTTGCCAACTGAAGTAGCGAATATGCTAGAAGTCATTTCAGCAACGCTCTCGGAATCTGAGCTTTCAAAATCCGAGGCATACATCGGCTCCTTGAAGCTTAGTGCAAGCGGGGTCCCAGGTTGCTTATTATTTTTTCTGCCGTATGAACCCTGGGCACGCAACGCCGCACATTCGGCCTTGATATGCTTGGCCAACTCCCTCTTTGAAGTGAATTCGGATCTGCACGCCTCACAAAATGGCTTTCCAGAGGAAGTTCTCGCATTATCGCGTGGAAACGGCACCAAGCTTCCACGAGCCTTCACTTCTCCAATATCCTGCTTTGGAAACTCTGTGGTTTGAAACTTATTGTTTTTTGAGTTACATGAAACAATATGAGGCCAGAGGTTCCCTAGCTTCTTGTATATTTTCCCACAAGTGGGGCAAGAATGTGGTAAGGGAGACACTTCAGAAATACCTGGAAATTGACAGCTCTTATATTCTTCAGGGATACCTGGAACTTGACAGTTCTGCATATGCCTTGTAAGGGCCCCCTTGTACTTGTACGGCTTCTCGCATTTGGGGCATGATTTACTATCAGCGACCATTGGCTCACCAGCCAGGGACGTAGGGGCAAATGGCGATCCTGAGAACAAAATAGAATCAGTAGACAATGCTGCTTGTGGTGATGTCTCTGAAGGAAATCCAGTACCAGACATGCTGTTCGGCTGCATATCTGCAATTGTTAAGTTGGAGAATGTCGTTTCTCCGGCAAAGATTGATATCGGCTCCTTGATGGCCCGGTTTGTCCTTGTGGGGTACTGGTTGTACTCTGTACTCTTTGGCAAGCTTGAACTGTAAGTCGAGTACAAATTTGGATTTTGGGTGTAAACCGGTCCAGAAGCGAGCTGATGGCGCAACATAACCTCATCGCGATATATCTCAGGGTGGGGTTCTGCCTCTCCTTTTGGTGCAGAAGATCTAACGAGAGAGATTTCTTCTTCGTAGTCTACAAAGACATCAGATTCAGACGATGTGGACATTTGCGAAGGACTCCTTGGACGGAATATTGGACCACCATTGAGAAGAGGGCCATCGATTTCCAGCTCAAAATTGGAATATTGTGGCCGCGGTTCTTCTTCCGGAAAGGCTCGACGACGCTTCAATCCGTGTCCAGATTGGCCCTTCTTGCTGCAGTGGTCTTTCGCAATGGACTTTTGGGATGACTTGGTAGGCTCATTTTTCACTGCACGTAGCTCGGAGTACCCATTTTCTTCGAACTCGTGCTGGATTGGCTGGAGTTCAGGAAAAAGGGTCCGGATATCATACTCCTCTAATTTTTTGCGTTGCCCAGGTATATCTTTAACTATTTCATCCATGAGCATGCGGTGGGCCACGCTCTTGTCAGCCTCAGTAAGTTCCAATTCCAAAGACGACATTTCCTCGCGAGATATTGCTGGATATGGCAGGTCATGCCAGTTAGGATGTCCTTCGGCAAGTCTCGACTGCTGCAATGCCTGGGAATATCGGTCAATCGGACTCTTATGCTTCTGATCTTCAGCGGCTTTTTGGGCTGTCTTTTGTCTCTCAAGTTCTATATTCGTCAGTTACGTATAGCGCAACAACGAATTTCATGACTTACCCAGTTGACGCGTTCTTTTGGCATTGATTGCCGCTTGATAAAACTGCACGCCTTCGACGTGGTCCCCGAAATTAAACGGGGTTGTTATATACTGTCCTCCTGGTCCACCTAGCATAGGGGATTCGCGAAAAGGAGACGTGGTACGCTTCTTCAAGTAATTTTCACAAGTGATATACATGCATGGCGCATAATGGCAAGGCGGTAGAGCCGCTATTGCTGCTATAGCTGCTTCGGGGGCTCTTACGTACAACGTACGGTCAAACCTCCAATGCATGGCTGCCTCTTCAGGACAAAGATCCAACAGCTCGGGATTTCTCGTGAAGACAATTCGAGGCCATTTGCCAAGAGCGGCATCCGGTTGTCCCTGAGAAATATTTATGGGATTGATCGCCGTGACATTCGAAGACCTGTCAAGAAATGGATTTGGCAGCCCTCGAAAAAGATCTCGAGGCAAACCAAGGTTTTCAAGATTAATAGGATTGCAGCGGCTGCCTTGGAGTGAGATCACCACTCGCTTCTGAGATGTATCAAGGTGAAGTTTTGGCGCATTTTGCTCATTGGAATCCACCATCGTCATATCGACTTCGCCTTCTCTTGGACATGGGGTTAGAGCAGCACTATTTGTTGCGTCAACGAGAACTTTCTGCACCAAAGTCTCTGCATCCGCACTTAAATCCTCCTGCTCTGAAAAATATGCAGTCAACTTGTCAAGGTACGGCTTTACCAAGCCACGGCGCTGCAGTTGGTAAACTGTCTGTTCTATAATGCCCAGATCATTTTTCGGCTTTTGGCTATTGCCCGATGCGGCAGAGGTATTGTGTGTTTCCATTCCCCGTATAAACCTCTTCAACACCGAATTTCTCTGCACAAATGTTGGCAATCCATTTTCTGGGAGATTTCTCAGAAAACTGAGGGCATGTTGTATTCCTTCAATATTCTTCACCGATACCATTGTTGGCGAGTCCTTTGACATCGCAGCTTGCAGCATAATCGAATTTTTTGTCCTTCCGTTTCCCAAAACAGTTGGAGGTTTCCATTTGACCTTTGCGACTTTGACCATCATCTCCAGCAAGATGGCAGGTGAGATTCCCATATAGTTTGGATGAGGTAGACTGCAGTTTCGTGCATTGTGGCGGCGTACACGGGTCTTTCTAGAAGAAAACAAAGAGCTTTTCGAAGCTTTCTGCTTGTTTTGCGGAGTCCTATTTCCAACAGGAACATATCTAGGTGCACCCGCGTGGTTAGTGAGATACCCTTTGGGTAGAAGGCGGGCATTTTTTTGAGAAGCCTCGCGGTGATGGCCTGCCAAGAATTAGTATAGACTTCATCAAGTAGTGAGTGAGGCCACTCACCGAGATGTGGTGTGGACCATCTGAGATTCTTCATGAATCCATCAGGTAATCTCTCGCCGCCTTTTAGTACAGATCTGAATGCTCCTATTTATGTTAGTAGGATAAAATAAATGTTCTGCAGAGGTCATACTGAAACGAGTAGCACGGTGAAAGCGTGTACTGCGATGACGAGCATCCAAGCTCTTCTGAGCTCTCTTTCTATTCACCCTGCCCATTGTGAGTTGTGGACAATGGAGTTTCGGATACAAGAATTGTAAGATTGGATGGTGATAGGCAATGTGCGTAATAGAAGTTGATGTGTACAGCTTTTCAATGCAGAAATTGTAATATTGGAATAAACAATTTAATGGGTGTGGTAGACGTGAATGTATCGAGGCTTTTGGAAGCAAAAACTGCAGGCTTGAAGGTGGCTATCAACGAGGCCTGTGGAAGTTATTTCGTTCGGCATTCGGATGCACGAACTGAACGGTTCAAAGGCGGCAGGAAATGAAAGTAATGGAAGTGAAAAGTTAGTTTGAGAAGTAAGGAATAAATAAAGCGAACGATTAGACGTGTCAGGTAATTTCGAAAGGAGTTGTAAACAAATAGATGCTTAGAAGAGGTATGAACAGCCTAGCTCCAAATCATCTCTGCTTGAAAATAAAACCAGGCCGTCTTTGCTTCCCTCTTTTGCTACTTCAATATAGGTATTCCAGGCAGATATAATGAAGCAGTTGCAATCTTGATATTTTATAAATTTATTTCCCACAGCAGTTCCAATATCACAATTTAATGGTAATGCTTGCGATACTCAACTCTGAGTTTATACAAAGGTCTCCTGCCAGTATATATATGGAGTATATATATGGTACTGATCAACTAATCGTTCCTAATACAAAACCATCAATCGGGCTGAAATAAATGATGCTGGAAGATATCTAGTCTGGACTGGAAGCCACTATGGATAGAATGTCCCATTATATAGGTATTGCATTTACGATATCACCGTATGTTTTATTAGGCAGCATCGCAGTGCTTCATTTTTGAAGCTAATCAGCTCAAGTATTTTTAGAGTAGAACATTGTGTTAACATACCGCGTTCCCCTCTCGGTAGCACAACATCCACAGAAGAGCGATGCCGGCCAACATACCACCTTAAAAGAGTCAGATAGAGACAATGAAAGCTTGAGAAGTGACAATCATACAGCTAGTATAACAACCACTGGGATTGCAAGGCATGGTCCAACAATTTTGATGTGACAAGGATTGTCATTTGTAAAGGCGATGGGGACAAAAGGAATCGACATGCCGGCCACGTCAGCTACTTGCTGGCAAAATAGCACCAGATTGGTGAGATAAAAGTATTTTGAAATATAGTAACTGGTGTATTTGGACCCATTGAAAGCACAATGACCGTTGATATCAAGAGTTGATATCAAGATTTAGGGATAATGTGACGTCAGCGAAAGCCGCCGCTGGATTTAGGACGACAATGAAGTACTAGCTCGGAATGGAAGGGAAGTGAGACCACATAGAAGAAATTGAGTCTAAACTTGCGCTTGGTAGACGCGACCGTTGGTCAGGCTAGTAACGCTCCAGATCAGAACATGAGCAATTACAATCCGTGCTTCTCAAAGGAAGTCAGTCATAGGCCAGAACGCGTGAGCCCATTTTTAAGTTCCCCGAGGCAAGCCATCCGGAGGATAACTCTAAACTTTAAAAATAAACTCCGGGATATACTATAAACTAACATTGCTGGTTTCCATAAAGCAATTTCATTCCCGTGGAAATGTAGAGATAGGAATCCCTAGTCTTTTTGTTGCTTCCATCATTGTTCGTATGTCGTTCATGGGTCAAACGTGGAGGGGGTGTCAAACTTTACATTTGACCCCTCCTCCATAATATCACGTGACAGTGGCGCTAACATGGATGCGCAGAAAGTACGATTGTCGCAATCAGAACCCGCCGTTTGCCTTCTCGCGACTGAGCGTACCCTGACACCTATCGGACGGATTCACTGCCGGTGAAAGAGCTGTCACTACCATCGAGCGACAGCGATGACTTCACCGCATGCTGCCTCAGATGAGGCCGTTGCCACTATGGTCACAACTGCTTTTGATGGTAGCCCAACCAACATCGAACTCACCGCTGCAGATAACGCCGTTCCGGGGGCGAATGACATCCCAGCAACCACGGCGCGAGAAGATGCGAACCCGGAATACGCAGAACAAGTCACTTCAATTGAGCAGCTCCAGATCAGTGCAGACAATGATAATGTTGAGCCAAATGTGGAAAGCGCCGCGGCCCAAACCCAACCAATCCAAATAAAAAGCGACCTTATCATGGAGCCGGCAATCCCTCGGACACCAGAGAACAACGACGATGACACGGAATATCCCCGCGTTCCCCTGGGCGACTACGAACAACTACGTGCTTTGTCACATATGCTTCAATATCAGGCCCCGCCCGGACTGGCTGAAGCTCTGAACGCGTCTGCAATGGCGACTCTCGCTGGGAACGACATCTCGATGGATAACACAAACGACCTCAACGGACCTTACGCCGAGATGTCGCAGCCTACCCGTGATAATGATGAGACTCGAATCTCGGCATATGCTCTTCTCGAGTTTGAGGACGGGCAATTCTACATGAACACTTACTCGGTAATACTGGGGCGAGATCGCCAAGCAGCCCGAAATGCCATGAGGCGAGATGCGGAGGAGGCAAAAGCGAATATGGACGAGCACAGCATTGTGGGGGAGCCAAAAACCCCGGTTCGTATCAAAAGGGAGGAGAGCAAATATACAAAGTCCGTTATTAGTGAAAGTGGTGGTATTCTCAGAGATGGCGATGATTCCGACAGCGACGAACGTTCGAGACGTCGCATGCACCGCAAAGCCAGCAAGAAGTCCAAATCTACCGGATCTTCGTCAATCCGAGTGTCTAGGAGGCAGTCGTCGGTTCAACCAAGCGGCAAAATTGAGTATCAGGCCCAGCCCCAAGCTCGTCGGCACGCCCCCGAAACCGCCGGAGCAGTACCTGTCGACCCGGCATCCTTGCGCCCTTCTCCACACGATTGCCCTTTAGTGGGAATCCATCCACCCGCCACCACTCCTGCAAGCGGCTACAAGGCCATCTCCCGGCGGCATGTAAAGATTGCCTACAACTCAAAGAAATCTCTCTTTGAAGCCGAAATCATCGGGCGGAATGGCGCGTTTGTGGACGAAGTTTTCTACTATCATGAGGATGTTATTCCTTTGAAGAGTGGCAGCTATCTTCAGATTGGCGGGGTCGTTGTGCGCTTTGTGCTGCCTGACGTTGCACTTGGGGAAACAGGCGCTGAAATCCCAGCTGAGCACGGGGAATCTGGTGTACAAGATCGGTATGTCGAAGGAGGAAAGGAAATGAGCTTCGATTTCGACGATGCCACTCGTGAAGGCGCTTTACTTGGAGATAGCAGTGACGAAGTATCGGACGATGCAGATCGGCCCGAATTGGGGATTGAAGGTGAGGACGACGAAGAAGGAGACGGAGATGAACTTGGAGAGCAACAAGAAGGGAGCGATATCGATGAAGACAACAGCGAACTGTCAGAGGTACCGGATGAGGCGGAGGATGGAAATGATGACCAAGATGAGCAATCCAGAGAAGCTCCAGAGTCGATGCCCATGCCACAAAAGAAGAGAGGCCCCGGGCGTCCACCGAAAAATGGCATCATGTCGAAACGAGAGCAGCAGCTAGCCAAGAAGGAGGCACAGCAGAGGGCTGCGCAAAAGACAGTTTCACAGCCGGATACGTCTGGAAAGAACAAGGTTGGTAGACCTAGGAAGAATCCAGTAGATGAATCTCCGGTCAAGACCGAAAAAAGGAAGTACACCAAGCGGAAGCCTAAGGACCCGGATGCTCTCGTAGCCAAGCAGGAAGGCTCCGGGGAAGAAGATAGGCCGTCCAAAGAAAAGAAGGAAAAGAAGTCCACAAAACCACCTCGCTCCCCGTCACCTACTTTCAACGAAGCAGATCTTACTCCAGAGCAGCTGGCGAAGCCTCAAGCAAACTACGTCACCCTTATTCATGAAGCTCTCAGCAACTCGCCAACAGGTCAAATGTCATTGCCACAGATATATCGCGCAATACAGCGTAGATATCCTTTCTTCGTGCTTAAGTGTAACACAAATGGCTGGCAAAGTAGTGTCAGGCACAATCTTTCTCAACATCACGCTTTTAGGAAGGTCGAGAGAGACGGGAAGGGTTGGATGTGGGCTATCGTAGACGGAGTTTCCATCGAGAAGGAGAAAAAGAGACGGCCGACTCCTCCTCATCAGTTGCCCCCACATTTACATCAACCGATATACCGTGCTGGACCACATCCTCACATGATGCATGGGCCTCCTGGTATGATGCCGCCTCCTGGCTATGCCATGAACCACATGCCACCTCATTTACGGCCAGGACAACCTCCACAATACGCTGGGCAGCCCATGAATGGATACCCGCTTCCACCAGGACAGCACTCCATGAATGGCGGCGCACCACCTCCAGGATTCCCTTCCGCATTACCGACTGCTCAGCCCATGGGTGCTACGAGCAATACTTACAGTTCGCCATACGCTCCGAAGCCACCGGCTAATCCAACTCAACAAGCGCCACAAAATACATCTCACAATCCTAGCCAAGCGCCTCAAAGTGTGCCTTACCAAACTCCACAACAGCCCCGACCAATTGAGCAAGGGCCCCCACAACCGGATAATGCAATGTGGCGAGCCATTGATAGCTTTCGGACAAATCTGGTCGCTACTATGAAGCCAAAGAATAACAAGGCCGAAGCTTTAGTTGCGTCATCCATCAACCGTGTCATGGGGGTTACTTCTCAGAGCACAGCTACGGTAGTAGAATCTGATTTGAAGTTAGAGGATCAAATTATGGCTGCCCTGAAATCGATGCTTAAAAGGTTCCCCGAGTTTAACAATGGCACTTTTCAGCAACCTCCTGCCCAATTAGGGACACACACAATGCAACAAAGCACGCAACAGACCGATGCTGCGCCAAGACAGGCTTTGGCCCAACTCACCCCTGCGCCTACAGGAAACGCAGCTCACGCAGCCTCCGACGTCTCTGTCGCCAAGAAAGCCCCAACGCCAGGTCCCGCTGTTCAAAGACCTACATTTATTGGCCAATCCCACAATCGACCAAACGGCCCTTCTGTTCCTCGTCCGCCTATGATGACTCCGGGGATGACTCGAGCCAATTCCAGTAGCTCCGCTAACCCCTCCTTCCGGGCCACCACCAGCGCATCACCGGCTCCTCCTCCAGCTGCAAGCACCACTTCAGCTTCAGGTGACTTGCCACCACATCAAGTTCAGAATGTGCCTGGCACAGAATCTAACGAAAGCCACCAAAAACTGCTGCACCAATCGGCGGTCAATACCGAATCTCTCGGGGCTACTGCTCAGCCGCAACCGATTGCGGTTGCGCATCAGTCGTCGGAGATCACCACACAGCAACCAGGGAGCAGTAACCCAACAACAAACACAAATGAAAACGGTAAACGGCCACTAGACGAGGAGGATCTGGCTGGAGGGAATGAATTCAAGAGGCTAAACGCTTCGGGGCCGCCTGCATTAAAAACATGATGACGGCAATGATGGATGTGAATACGTAATGAAGGGACGGGATATGGACGCATAGTTCAATGTTGGAGTTTAACAGGAGTTACGGATATATGAAAAGGGCTCAGAGGTGATGGTCGGATGTGGCTTACGGTCTTTCCTGTATGGGAGAGGATGGAGTTTTACCGGCTGCATTGTGGTGGTATCCATATGGGTAAACGAAGCGCGGGGTCATTTTGGGGTGTCGATACCTGGATACCACAGAAATTGTTTTTGTTGGAATTTAATATTCGAGGCTGTAGATTTAACAATTCGAATAAATTGGTCCTACGCCACGAAGACTTGCTATTAAGTGAACTCGTACAGTAGTTGTAGAGTCTAGCCATGATCTACGAACCAACACAGCCAGCGTAGTCGAGCGAGATCTACCCACCAACTCACTACAAGATGGCATGCTATTTATCCACATCAATGCTATCCTAGAACCTAAATTAGACGTTCCAATGAATTGATATTATATCTAGTTAGTATCTAACGGTGTTGCTGATATCAGCCCAGACGCAGGTGCACTCGCGCCATCTGTAGGGTGACTAGATAGTATATACTTCATACTTTGACAGAACCGTATACTTCTTCTGACGTCCGAAGAGATATCTCATGTAGGTCTCATGGTGGTGTTAACTAGTCTATGTACTGAGAGCAAGACATTATCCCATTACCAAAGTGAGTTGACGGTTGGGTTCAGAGCTTACTATATTGTGATGGGGAAATTGTGTATATCATTACAACTGATTCCAGTCTGGTGCTGCCTCTTTATTGGTGGATGATAACATCACCATACGTTCGATGACAGCGATGACAACATGGCTTGGGTGGTAACCATCACGCCACAAATCCGTTTGACGAATATTAATTTAGTAATTGGATTCCCGAGTTTTCACTGACACACTATCAAGGGTTACCCGCCGCTAGACGTGTCAGATGCCGCTGTTTAAGACATCTGGCTAAAAATGGCATGTTTTGCCATTTTGGGATTACAACTGGGTCGAAGTCACTGGAAGGCACAAACCCCAAAATGCCAGGATAGACACTGAGATACCCATGGAGAATAACAGGCAGTGTGTGGAACGTCAGTGCATGGTTTTTCAGAGGACGTGTGGGGTTCATGGTTCAAACATAAGACAGTCCCGTTAGGCCAGGACAGGCACTAAATTCACATATCTTGAGATGTATCAGGCGCCAGTTTGATTTCGATTCCATGGGACTGATAGTAAGCTTCCAAAGCTATAACGGCGTGATTCTGCTGTGTTCTTATATATGGTCCGAGTCTTTCTTTCCCCCGCTCATATTTCCCTGTATTTACACAAATATCACTTCTTATACCCAACTGCTTCTCTTTACCAATAAAGGTCACAAACTATAATTACCAGCAAGAAATAACCAAGAGGGAGGCTAGCAATAGCAGCCCTTGGCTTGGATAGGCCCTTGTTACATTTTTGGGGGTGAATCACGCCAGTTCTGCAACAGTAAAGATGGGCTGCGAGGCGGTCAACGAAAACTGCTTCCAAGAATCGCCTGAGTTCAGGCCTCCCGAAGTAGGAGACCAATACAACAACTCGGATGAATGTTCAATACACAGCCTGAAGAAAGATGTTGATAGTGACAACGGCAAGCCTCCTGTGAAGACCCATGGCTGTGATATTGAGACAACAGGTGTTATCAATCCAAGCGCAGACGGAAATATGCACGACGACCCTATCTTAGTGGTTACTCCAGAATGGCAGAGGCGCGGTTGGCTGCTGGAGGTTTCACAATCCGCTGAGGATAACCCCGAAAGCGTCAATAGCTTCAACAGCGATAATGAATCTGATGGGGGAAGCTGGACTTTTGAGGATGGGCCTGATGCCAACTTGAAGATACATGAGCTCCAAATACAGAATATGACGAGTATCTGTGAGGCTATGGAGGCAAGGGCAAGGACGGCTGAAAAGGAAATATCAGACAACGACAAGGCTTTCAAAGAACAACTCAACGACTCATATTTCAAGCACGCTGAATCCATGCAAGCTCAACAGGACCAGTTCGATACTGAGCGCGCAGAGGCTCTGAATATTAGGAAAGAACTTCTTCGCGAGAATGACCATCTGAAAGTGCAATATCGCAGAGCCTGCGCGCAAATCAAGGATCAGAATGATGAAATCAATGAACTTAACGCCAGAGTATCAGGGTATATTGAGGTACTTAAGCAAGTCAAGGCTCCAGATGGGTCAGTCTATACCCATAAGCAGAGGCAGGGCACAATCGACGACCTAAAACGGGACGCCAATGCACAAAAAGAGTTCTACAAGAATCAAATCAAAACTTTGGAAAATCAAGTGGCAAGGAAAACGGCCCGCCTCAACAAAGGCACCGAAGAATCTCGCAACCTTCAGCAAAAGCTCCAAAGTTTGAGCACTGAGCTTTCGGACGAACAACAAAAATTCCGAGACATCGAGGCCAAGCTAGAATTGGAGAGGAAGAGTCGTTTGGACATGGAGGAAACCAACAAGAAGAACTTTGAAACATGGGGTCGAGATGCTCAAACTGCTCTAGTGAACCGGGACGAGCGAATTCGTCAAATGGAAAATATGATTGGGAATCTTCAAGCCCATTTGGTTACAGCGCAACAATCTTACGCAGTGGTGGTGGATACCGCTACAAACTATCATCGAGCACATGAGAAATTACTCCAAGAGAATCGTGAACTTGGTGTACAACACCATCACGCTATGGAGCTTTTCGTCAACGACCACAAGTCGGTTTGCGACAGCCATTCCCAAAACGAGGCTGTATTAAGGGAAGAGATAGCGACGCTCCAAAAAAGGCTCGACTTAATGGGAGACAACGGCTCACTGGAGAAGAGCCAGTGTAAAGCTACAGTTGATGCGATGAAGCAAGAAATTTCGGATCTTCGTGAGGAACTTCTTGCGGCTAAACATATGTTGGTAAAGGGAGACAAGAAGCACATTGCTCTACTACCAGGTGATCCTCTAAAAAATCAAGTCGGTGGTAGATGGGCACCAGAGGGGCTTGCCGCACTTACAGAAGCACAGGCAAACGCAATGAGGATGCGTCTTGACAAAAGGAAGGGGATCGCAGACGATATTATTGAAAAGCGTTCCTGTGAAGCAGCCAAGGATCCTGCGGAGCTTCCAGGTTCAGAATTTTTGAAACTGCAGGCCACGTTCAGGAAGGGGATGGCCGAAGCGGAGATGGACCAAGACCCAAAGATGAAGCCAACTTCAAAGTCTGAGCAGTCGGACCAGCCAACTCAACCCTCAAAGCCAACGCCAACTCCAAAAGCCGTACACCTCAACCAGTCTACTCAAACCCCAAAGCCAAAGCCAACCCCAGTGGTTGTACACTCCTACAAGGCTACCCAGCCCTCGCAGCAGCCAAAGCCAGCTTCAGTTCCTACGCCCTCACATGGGCAACCTCTAAAGGTCCCAGCAGCCTCAAAGATCCCAACCCCAGCCAAAACGCAACCTAGAAATCTGGTAAAAGAGACCCTTCCTGTTGAGGCGCCACCGGCATACTCACGCAGCTTCACAATACCCCATGACGCGCCCTACTGGATGAAAGCTCACCACGCACCCGCCATAGCAAGCGGCGTAGTCGCGGTGGCAAGTGAGGAAGTCGAGAGTGGTGGTCCAATCCCGTTATCCATCTTTGAAGAGCAAAAGCTTGCGGCGCAAGGCAACAACCAAGCATGATCTGTGATCCACTTGGTTATGGCCAGCTAGAAGGCAGATCGTGTGTTTGATATCTGCCTTTTTGGGGCTTTCCCTGAAGGAGGAGTGGTCGAATTCCACGGCAGGCTAGGAATGTTTTGGAAAGTACGGACTGAGGATGCCTATTTTACGTTATCACCACTTATTTTGATTTGGTGTTTTTGATTATATAGATGGGTATTAATTAGTAGAGGTAACCAGTGTTGCCCGAGTACTACTCTGAATACTCGAGTACTGCCAAGCCCTTGGCAAAGAGGGGTAATATAGATTGTAGAATAGATAATTGAAGCTTCTACTTGAGCGTTCTATATTACTTCCTATAATGAGTGACTCTTCGCTGTCGCTAGTGCCGGCTGAGTATCAGTCTGATGCTTTAGAGCTGCTGCCCCTTATTCTAATGCCCCTTATTTCGATGCTACATATGCCTCTAAGAGTTCAATTACCTAATTCTACATCAATACTCTTTTCTAAAAGACTATTCTACTGTACTTTATTAGATATAGTACCTGCTAGAATCTAATACTAATGCCTTTAAACTAATTGTAGATATACGCCGAGCTAGCCCCTAAAGAACCTAACAACGAGCAATCTATAGAAGCATCTTTAGAAGCAGCACCCATTAGTGCATGTAGAATATAATACAATATCTTCAATTCAAAGCTCATCAACACCCTCTACTTCTACTTCTGCTTTCTTCTAGCCCCGCTAAGCACTTAGTAATGCACTAAGTTCGATGAAATATAAAGAGCTTGTTCTCTCTTTTATAGTATCAAATAACCTACTATTACGCCTTATTAAAAGCTAATCCTTCTAGTAATTAGTTTACTATCTAAATCCTATAGTCTTAATAGTTAGTAGAACTATAATTAGACAGGATCTATATCGACTATTCTGCTATTATAAAGCATAGCTTTAAGTAGAATTACAACAGCATATTATAAGCAGTAGACAACTAGTAATAACGATAGATACTTAGTCTACTTAGAACTATTCTAAGTATATAGTAGTTATAGTACACTAGATTAATGATAATTAGCAAATGAGAAATACTATACTTAACATTATACACCTATAAGAGCTAATCTACTCTAGCGAATACCTTGCTAAATAGTTGATAAATGTAACGGACGATTATAGTATTACGCCTACAATCTTTACTATTATAAGAGATAACGCCTCTACGAATACAACTATGCTATTAGAATATAAGAAGCTAGCTTTAGTACAACCTGTTACTCTAAAACAACTATAGGCTTTTATAGCAAAAGTAGGAGACGTACGCTATATTAGGCATATTATTAATATTACTATTTAAGCTACTTTAGCCTCTTTAAAAGCAACACTAGATAAAGGCCTAGAGGTATATTAGCTTAAGATTAGGGTAGTATAAATACTACTTACTTCTAAAAATGATATCGTTACTATTCTTGCTAAGCTCTAGCGTTATATATATATATTTTAGAACTGCTATAGATAGAAAGATGCCTTAAAGAATTAGTGTAAAGCTATAAGTATTAAAGTCTGTTAGTTAACTCTTAATATGCTAGTCTAATAGAGCTTAACTTATTATATAATTAATATAGCTTTAAAGCTTTAGGTTCTAATTACAGCTTTATACGCATTATAGCAACTTAATATTAGTATAAGAGATATTGCTTTAATAGTAGTAGACTAGGCTACACTACATAACTTATTAAAGCTATTCTATATCTTTGTCTGCCTAACTAAGAAGTTATAGGGCTCTTCTTATCTATCTCTTAACTACGCTGTTCTATAGTAAATAAGGATAATTAAGAAGCTTAAAGATATAAGAAGTAAGCTACTAGAACGAAGCCTAATTGCTACTACTACGTTAATTGCATTAAAGAAGCTTAATGATTACTATACTCTAGCTATAAATCAGCAACAGAGCCACTTTACAATTGCTACGATCTATAATCCTTAGTATAACTTTAACGTCTTTAATATTATATAGAAAGATAGCATGCACTTAACTAGGAAGAATAGGGTAAAAGCATAGTGGTAGGACTACTTCTATTGATATTTAGGCTGCAAGTCTAATATTCAAGCAGCAGACGTTATAAATAGTATTAAAGCTAAGGATCTAGATATAGAGCAAGCTATAAATATCAATATCAACTTAGAAGATGAGCTATACGTATTACAAAGCTGCTACAATATTAAGCTAGAATAGAAGCAATAGATAAAGGAGCTGACAGTTAGTAGGGATACAGATATTCTTAAGTATTAGTAGAGTAAGCAATACTAATATCTATTAATTGCTTCTATTACAAGGGATTACCTAGCTATTCCAGCTACCTTAGCAGACTTAGAACGAGTATTTAGTGTCGGTAGTGATATTATCACAAAGAAACGGAACTGATTATCGCCTTCTACACTTAGATATCTACTTTGCTTACGGAATTAGGGTGTTTTATCACAAGGCGACGACGAAGACAGCGGCGACGATGCAGATAATGAGAGTTAGAATAGTAATATACAGTTTTATATCAATATCTATTTTAAGCTCGAGTACTACTCGAGGTATTCGAGTACCGGTACTCGAATACCGGTACTCGAGCTTCAATTTTCAGTACTCTACTCGAGGATGCTCGAGTAGTACTCGGAGCGGTATTCGGGCAACACTGGAGGTAACCTAATAAATAGATAATATATCAGATTTTGCTTTCACAGTTGATTACTGTTATCTCCATTATACATATTATATATACTGTATGTGCTATAGATGTCTATAAATAAAGGGGGTATATGTTCAGCCCGCCTGTATGCCCGGGTCAACCAGCCATTCTCAAGACCTTCGCCAAAGTACAAACCCATCCCTCCATAGCACTAAACTTCTCCGATATTCACTCTCTCCACCGTACCCCTCAGGTTCTGTGAAGTTTCCGCATCACCATCACTATGCCCCCTTGGCCGCTCAATAACCGGGCCCACGCCGCCCAACCCTTCCGCTTTACGCTGCTCCTCCTCCCTCGCCAAGAACTCAGTCACCCTCCTTGCTCTCGTTGCTCTGTCACGCCTGACATCCCTATCTCTTCTCGCCGCCGTCCTCGTAAACATGCGCTCCTCCTCCATTTGCCTCCTCTGCTGCTCGAAAATCGTCTCCAGACACTCTCCATCTCCGCGGTGCAGCGCCTCGAGTGCCTTCTCCGCCATAAATATGTTGTCAAACCGCACCTCCATGCGCCACGTCTTGCGCTCCCGCACTGCCTTGATATGGCCAAACAACCCGCCCCGCCGTTCCTCCGCCATCTCGTGCCACAGCTCCTCCATCACCGCCCACCCGTGCGCCACCCTCTTCGATTCCACAGCCCGCTTCTCGTCGCTCAATGCAACGAGATCTCGCTGCCCCTGGATGATCCTCGCGCGGCGGAGAAACTGCGTTGGCTGCTGGCCTTTGTGGAGTTCCTTCTGCGCACCCTTGGCCGTGTACGCGAATGGCCCAATGACCGCTGAGAGGGTCTTGAGGACGAAGCCCATGAGGCCCATCCCGGTGCCTTTTATGAAGCCCACGGGCCCATCGCGGACGGCTCCGTCGTACGGTTGGAGTACCAGGCCGGTCCAGCCGTCATAGATGCCGAAGATGAATTCCTTGCCTCCGGCTTTGAGACCAGACTGTATGCCTGTGATTCGCGTAGGGCGGCGAACAGTCTCATCACCATAAAGGCGGGGGGCGTTGTGGAACCCCTGGGCTACCGCCGTCGATAGATCGATGGGTGCTGAAAATTTATAGTTAGAGCTGATTTCATATAGAGCGTTTGGGGAACTCACTCTTTATTATTGCCCTGCCACTCTTTCTCAATCCGCCCGTAATATCCCCAGCAATCTCATCAGCACATCCATGAGGGTTTTCTGCAGTTAGGACAGAGTCATTGTCTGTGACAGATTGATCTCTTCCAGCCTGAGACCCCTCAGGGCGTCCTCCTTGAATCTGCTCTGCTGCCCTGTCACTCTGGGTGGATGCTACCACATTCGGGACCTGGTTAAAAGGAAGGAGATCTCGCCTTGCAACAGCAGCTTCAAGGGGTTCGCCTTGTTGACTTTGTGGCTGCCCAGCTCTATTGTTTAAATGTCCAGGAGCAAAAGCTGAGTCAGTCTGAACAGACGCACTACGCATTTGCCTTCGCTTTTCCTTAGCTATAGCCCTACGCTCTTTTCTTTCGCGCTTCTCCTCATGGTGCTTGCGTTTATTTGCGCTTTGAGCAAGTTTAAATGGGATAGATGCTACTCCTGTAGCGGCAGAAGTAAAATTCTTAGCAATAGTAGAGGCGATTCCCGTTACAGGCTCCCCAGGCCCTTCAAAATCGTTCCATTCGACATGCCTCAAAAGTCTGAGTTGCTTCCACTTGATTTTTTTCGAAGCCACAAGAAAGTCTGCTGCCAAAGCACTCAATCTAAGGTTCGTCTTTTTGAGCGTCCAAACAGCTAATCGCTCGTCGAGGATGGAGCATCGCATGGACTGCTCGTTCCGAATAGCCAGCCCACGCTGGAACGTCTTGATCGCGTTTTCGGCGCCATCACCTTCATTTTCGATACTCTTAGCGATTTCTTCGGCTTTCTCCTGTGTCTTGCCCTCCAGTAGTGTTTTGATCCCTTCAGCTAGTTTCTCAGCTGTGAGTTCCTTGTATGGAATCGGCTCGGCTCCTGCGCCTGCCTTCCCAATCATGTTCCCCCAGAAAAACTGGTCGCCAAAGAAAGGGACAACGAGGGTCGGTTTACCGCATTTAAGGCCTATGGCTGTCGTTCCAGCTCCGCCGTGATGAACAATCGCTTTAAGCTTAGGAAATAACCAGTCGTGAGGCGTGTTATCCAGCAAGAAGACATTCTCTGGGGAATCGTCGCCACCGAATCCGCCCCATCCTTTGGATACCAAAGCTCGAACACCAGCAATTTCTACCGCTTCGTAGATCATTTGGGTAAACCTGTTGGGGTCATCCACCACGATTGAACCGAAGCCGATATATATTGGTGGTTCCCCATCGTCCAAGAATTTCGTTAGCTCTTCTGGCGGTTCGAAGGAGGACGCGAGATCGAGAAATACGAAACCAGCAATATCAATTTCCGGGCCCCAATCTTTTGGCTTGGGGACCAGGCTTGGCGACCACAGGTAGGTGTATGGAACCCTTAGTCGATAGAGCTGGCCTGGTGCCCAAAGTGTTGAAACAGGCTCGAGGCCAAGAGTCTTAACCCTAAAGTCATTCACTAAGTCACCCAGACCTTGCCAAGTCATCATCTCCACCAGTGGATAACTCATAAAGTTTGTATACCCTGGGTCAACGTTTGTTTTCTTGATATTCGCAAGCGGATGAGGAAAATCAAGGGTTGGCGTATATGGGAAGGTAAACATGAGATGTAGAGGGATACCAAGACGCTCTGCACAATGAATATGCGCAAATGATGGGGGGTTTGCAATGATGGCATCGGCAATAAATGGCCCTTTTGTGCCCATCATTTTCAGGTTGCGAACATCATGCTCGTCGTCGGTAGCATTGATACAAGCGCGCCAGAAACCTTCGAACATCTCTGCCATTGCACTTCGTCTTCTTCCCACCTCTCCCTTCTTGAGAGTGTCCATAGTGGGGATCATGCCAGGATTTTTGACCATGAAGGCCATAAGCTCTGCTGGGTCGCCGCCGACTGAGAAAAACTCCAGGTCGGTGTCTTGCTCCACGAAATCTCGGAATGCTGGATGTGTTGCGATTCGGACGCGATGTCCGTGATTCTCTTTGAGCACCTTTCCGAGCTTGAGGAACGGCTGGATGTCTCCCCTGCTACCAATCACCATAATCACAACATTCAGTGAGAGCTTCTTCTGCTGCTTAAGATAGCTCCAATCCGAACATGTCGCTAATGGTTTGTGTCTTGAACTTAATTCCGTACCACTGGAGCTGGGCCGGCCTGGCTCAGGTTCAAGTCCTACGCGTCTTCGAAACGTTGCCCCCAGTGCCTTCGCCAGATACCCTGTATTGCTAGTGTCGCTCACACTAATTTTCAGTCGCCCGTCATTTTTCGATACCTTTCCTGACGATTTGTATTTATCGTTCCCAAGGTTGAATTTCCTGTAGCGGCTTCGAGCTTTAGCGCTTGTAGATGACCTCCTTGGCGACTTGGGATCGCTATCTGCTTCATTGCGTCCTCGCCCAACCCAACTCTGCGCTTTCATAAGCACTCCCTGAGGTTCTTCGTCTTCTGACGAGGATTCTTCGGATGATGATGGTGAGCTCGATGTATCACTCGTATCAGCTGAATCAGCCGCGTTAACCCCATTAGCTGCAGGCGTCAAAACCAGGCCAGTGGGCCCAGAACCCTCGGTTGCCCGACGGCCATGCGACGCCCTATATGTCCTCGGCGGTTCCGGTTGCTCTGTCCGCCATCCTGTCACCGGGGAAGGGCGGTGATTTAGATAAGTCGAAGGTGGCGGTACAGCCCCCGGTGCATTCCCTAGGGCTTCAGAGCCAGTTTCGCCAACCCCGCCCGCCTCCTGGTTCAACGGTCTATGTGGTAATGATGTGTCGTGCGCCGAGGCATCACAGAGCCGTTGATCCGGAAAAGGCTCGTTCACCCCACGTCCCTCTCCAGCGGGCGCCTTTCCCTTGGCCGGCCGCTGTATGTGTGTGCCCCGTGGTGTGGTGCGGGGGAATTCGACATGAGGCGGGATAAGGGAGGGGTATTCGATTGTACCATCTGGTCCGATAAATACTGCTGGCAGTTCATCTGCTAGCTCGTAGTTCGGTGGAAGGTTCGACATTTGCCACGGGACGAGCTCCTCGTCGCGCGTCAAGGCTGGACTTCCTCGTCGACTTGTCTTGATAGATGTAGAGCTACTGGTCCAGGAAGTTGATAAAACGATTATTTAGGTAGTGGTATAATTCCGCATCGGAGATTCTATGTATTGCAGAAACAATTAGATTTGGCTTGTGGTTGAAGCATTTGTGGTCGCTCTATGGTCGTGGATTTCCAGGTACACACGAACATTTCTCGCAAGGATGGTCCCCGACCGATGACGTCATAGAGTGTAGGAACAGCGAATATTTGGAAGCTTGGCAAACAACCAGCCCAACAATCTGAGACATAAGCGTAACAAGTTAGGATAGGCAGAGTTATGTAGAACTTCTAGAGAGAGATAGCACAAGCGTTAATAATTTAACAAATATCTAGTACTGACGCGGATGGTACGGGCCAATTTTCATATAAGCTTCAGCTGTTTGGCTTATGATATAATACAAGATAAGACAGAACATAAGACTAAAAAGAGTGGTCCTCACGCCTCAATGCAATACCACGCGACATATGACATATAAGAGATATAAAATGCACTCTTAATAAACCAAACAAATAATAAATAAACAAATGACGAAGACGAGGTTATTAAGAAAGTCGGATCTCCAAAACGGCCTGGCACTCGAGCATACCCGGAGTTTTTAGTCGGGCCGTAGAGGTGATGAAAGACTTACCCCGCGCTAAACCCCCCGCTGTACAACAGTCCGCCCCACCCAGCCACCGCCACACCCGGCTGGCTCTACTAAGACTTCTCACAGTGACGTACCGGACCACTGCAGTCCATGGGGAACTGTAGGAATTATGAGAACATTTTCTATAGCATTTAATAAATTATAAATATGTCCTGGCTCTGTGATTTCCCCTTGATAATAGATTCTAACTTCATTCCAAACCGCAGCTATGCATTCGACTCTCAGATCCCCAAATAGGCTCTCTCAGCCCCTGCGTTCTCATATTACCCGGGCTGGAAGGCGTGGCATGCAGTCTGCATCTACAGAATCTAGGAAGGAAGGTGATATCTCATCTGTCTTCTCTTCACTCAGCGGTGAAGTCCAAAAGCCGCTTCCTCAGCGTTTTGCAGAGCAGAAACAGCGCTTGATTAACGGCAATGAAGATGCAGTGAGGCATGCATGGAACACTCTCCTCCCCCAACTTCGTCGAGAGATTGAGGAGATTAAGAGTACAGGCCCGGCCATTGTCCCAGAGCTGGACTTCAAAGACATCAACCACCCAAATACCCAGCAAGACTTTGCTAAACGCCTGAAGAAGACAGGTGTTGCCGTCATCAGAGATGTTGTAAGCCAAGAGGAAGCACTAGGCTGGAAGGCCGAGATCAGAGAATACATCAAACAAAACCCCCAAACCAAAGGTACTTCCCCACTCCCCTCTTACTCCCATCCACAGACCAAGCTAACCCCCTCTTCCCAGCCTTCCCCCCCGACGATCCCCAAGTCTTCGAACTCTACTGGTCTCGCCCCCAGCTCCGCGCGCGCGCCCACCCCAACCTCCTCGCCACACAATCCTTCCTAATGAGCCACTGGCGGTCCTCCTCCCCCACCGCTCCCCTCTCCCCCACCCACCCCGTCTCCTACGCCGACCGCCTCCGCATCCGCAACCCAGGAGACAACCGGTTCGCGCTCGGTCCACACTGCGACGGCGGCAGCGTCGAGCGATGGGAGGACCACGGATACGGGCTGGGAGGTGTCTATGACGCTGTCTTCCGCGGCGATCTTGCGGCCTTCGATCCGTGGGAGTCGTCTAGTCGGTTGGAGGCTGTAAGCGATAATTATGGTGGCTCGGGGGCGTGCAGTATGTTCCGCATGTTTCAGGGGTGGATGAGCATGTCGACTACGGCGCCGGGGGAGGGGACGTTGAGGGTTAATCCGTTGTTTGATAGGGCGACGGCGTATTACCTGCTTCGGCCGTTTTTTGAGGCAGTAAGGGGCCCGGAGGGTATGGCAAGGGATGACTTCCTGGCGGTGAATAACTGGAGGTTGAAGAGAGAGCAGGACTCGACGCTGGAGGGCGCGTATCCGAGTCTGTGTCTTGAGTTGAATGATACCCTGCATCCTCATCTTGAGCTGGAGAAGTCGATGATTAACATCCCCGCCGTTCGTCCTGGCGACTATGTTGCATGGCACTGCGACAGTAAGTCCCCCCCAGATTCACCCTTTCTACCAACAGTTAGCTAACATATTATAGTAATCCACTCTGTCGATACTTCTCACACCGGAACCACCGACTCCAGCGTCCTCTACATTCCCGCCACGCCTCTCACCCCCGCCAACGCTGCCTACCTCGCGCGCCAGCGTGCCAACTTCCTCAAAGGCATCCCGCCGCCAGATTTCCCAGGCGGGGTGGGAGAGCAACACCATGTCGGACGTGGATCTGAGGCCGATCTAGCAAAGGAGAGTAAGGAGGCGAGGAGGTCCGTCGGAGTTGAGAAGTGGAATGTTGAGGGAAGTGAGGGCGTAAGGAAGGCTTTGGAGGAGGGAAACAAGGCGCTTGGATTTTAATGGAGGACTGTTCGAAGTTATATAGTGAAGTTTAGCTGTATTTAGTTTCACCCGGATACCATATATCATAAAGAGTTATTTTATTTATTGCAATTGGATGTAGAGTCCCTGTTTGCGAGTTTAAAGTAAAGCTACCTTCAAAGCAAATGCAATTAGCAATATAGCAAACGCGTATTATTCATCTCTTCTCACTCAAGCAAGAGTAAACACCCCACTCGTGCCCTCAATCGCCGAAATCTTCCCCCCAATTGGCGCCTTTGCATCCCCGAAATACTTAATCCGATACGTCCCCGCCTCGCTATTCGCCTCACTCTCCCATACAATCGTCACATCGCTGGTCCCCAGCAGTCCATCCAGTCGCTTCCAGTTATACATCAAGCTCCAGTCGCGGTCGTCACGCACCGTAGCCCATGCACCTGCTGCGTCGCGCTTCTGCACAGCTGCGTACGTGCCCTCAAGTCTAAGGTTGTTACGCGGGTTCGCGCCGATGAAGGTCACGGAGACGGTTTGGCCACGGGTATACGTCGTAGAAACATCGGCCTTAACGGCACCGTATTTCTTGCCGATTGGCGGGTTGTCGTACACGACGCCCGTGATGAAGCTGACGCTGCTGTTGACGTGGTTGGGTGGGAGCGGGCCAGGGGCGGGGTGGTCGGTGGCGCCGGGGGCGAGGTACGGCAAGTTGGTCAGTGTCAGGTTGATATACGCGTTCAGTGTATGTTGACCGTAGAGCGTGCTTGCACCTTCGTAGCGCTGGATGCCGTACTCCTCGATCGTAGCGATGTAGTGGCTGTAGGTGTTTGCGGGGCCACCGATGACGACGATGGGTTCAACGGAGGAGGCGGATCCGGTGAGCGACATGGAAATGGCAGCATCGTGGACGGCAGACTTCCAGCGGCGGCCAGCCATGGTGGTTGCTTCTCCGGGGCTAACGATGATGAAGAAATTGCCCGCGCGGAAGGACTGCACGTCGACTACATTCGGTGTCCAGAGATATGGAACGGTGATTTCACCCACATCCAGTAGTATCGGCTTTGGGTACTGGCACGCCTTCTGCGCTGCGCTGGGCGCCTTGAGGAGTCCGGAAACAAGCTTCCAGACCGGGTTCGCGTCGGGCTCTCCAGGGTCGTTCTGCGTGAAGTCGAACAGGCCTGGCCAGTCCGTTGTTCCGGCCGCGAAACTGTATCCCAGAGCCGCAGGACAAGTCTCTACGACCGTGCCGTTGGCGAGAGGGAACTTGAAGTGCGACATGTCGTTGAAGGTGTGATACGACTTCACCGAGCTGCCGACAATGTAAGAGTTCCCATTCTTGATTTTGGAATAGAGGTCCGCGGCAGCTTGGTACTGCAGCCGGCCAATTTCGTAGCACGACTTTGCGCCGTTATCCTTTTCGCGGAAGAATGGTCCACGCCCATGGCACTGTTCGCTCTTCCCGTCGCTGCAGACGCTCTTCTCGAAGGAACATTGTTGGCCTGACCCGTCTTCACACCAGGCTCCAAGGACGTTTGGGCTTGTGTCACCAACGTTCGATTGTGAGAATCCTGCTACAAAGTCTCCGCCGATAGACTTCTCGAGGAGGTATGCGGCGACACCCTTGTTGTCACCTGTTACCAGAGTATTGTTTCCCAACATACTCGTTCCGTGGACGGGGAACCAGGTAAGAACGCCAAGGTCCTTGCCTGCGGTGCTCTGGAAAGCCAACATTGTCAGGTCCTTTTCGACCGATCCATCATCCTCTGAGCTGGCATTATACCTTGCTCGCTCCTCAGCCGGGTTTGCCAAGTAGGCGAACAGACTGCGGTTGATGTTGGCACCAAATACCTTTGTCTGACCGGTGCGCAGGTATCCAGGGCCAAGACTCTCATGGGCCCTCTTGACGGCGAGAACCCCACCGTCGACAATGGCTTGGTAGCTCTGATGGTCGAATCCCTTGCTCGTGATCTGCGGTAGGAGGTAGTTGAGCCAAGCGCCCGGGCCAGAGTGAGAATGCGTCCCCGTGACAGCAACGTTCTGCTGCGAGTACACGGCATACTCGGGTCCCAACGCGGCAAGGCCTTGGAGAATTCCGTATCGAATCGCAGTGTCACCCATCGCAATGTCGGTGATGAGGTAGACGAACCTATCTGCTGGCTTATTGACATCACCGACGATGAAGGCGCGGCAGTACAGGCGCTGGCGCAAGCCCGTGCCAATCTGCGCCGTGTTGGCATAGCCCATAAAGTTGAGCTCTACGACTGGACTAGAAGCTGTTAGTATTTAGGTCTTGCACGTTGAGCGAGGTTTGAAGGATGGTTTTACATACCCAGTGATATCACCTTTGCCAACACCGATTAGGTACTCCTGCTTGCCCACCTCTCGAATCTCCTTGTGGCCATTTCCTCCAAACCTCTGCGCCCAGCTACTGCCGGATTCGTCTTGAATACCAACCGACAGCGCCCAGGCCGCATATATCACAGCGATTATCACTAACGGCAGCGCGACCCATGCCGCCAGTCTCCCCCTTCGCGTGCGCTCTTTCGCTGGCTCGCCCTCGCGGCCAGCGTCATCAAGCAGATTATACTTCTCGTGCTCATCCATAGCGAATAGCTCTTTCACAACAAGCTCTCGTGTCTGCACCCACCACAGTGGCGCCTGCTCATCTTTAATACCCACCCAGCCCTGCCTTCGGCTACCCCACCTCGGCAGCATGCCATCAAGCTTTGCATCCATCGTATATCTTCAGTATATCCCTGTTATACTTCGTACTTTAGTTTGGCAGCCACCGTCTGATCCCTCCCCAAAGTGTCCAAGCACCGGCGATGCAGCACCCTATTCTCTCCTCTCACCAACCAGGCACCGTAGCGAGGCGAGACGAACGTGCAGGGCTACAGGACAGTACCCGCATCGCTTCGCTCCCCGAACCGAATCACTTCAGCTTCCCCTCTGATCTGAAGAGGGTCCCGCGTGCGCCAACCGCCGTCATCTGTGTCCCTGAGTGGCTGGTATATAATAAGTTGTGTTATGTACTTGCATTATCCAGCCATCCTCCCGTGACTGGTTTGGCGTGGCGCGCATCGTCATCAGCCCTTTCCCCGCTTTCTGCGTGTGTGCCCCATACTTTAAACATGCCGATGTGGCTTCCTATTCGGGAGTTGTGCGCTGGGGGGGGTATAAATGGAATGCTACGGGATTAAGACAATCACAATCACATGCGTCTTATGGCTTGTGCCTTGTGCCTTGTGCCTTACTTACTTACTTTGCTCCGGGTAAGAAGTTATTCACCTCATAGACAATATTTACCTTCTCGAGTGTGTAACTTGTGGGGGATTGGGAGATCACGATCACAATTGAACCCGTGGTACCTGGTCAGCACCCAAATCTGCACAAATCCACCCATAAAAGCTTGTGAGACAACCCCAAGTCCGAGCTCTAATTACGGCGCTCGAAAGAAACCTATCGCGAATTTCGCGAATTTCCCATGATCTTGAACTTCAAACCCAACCAGAAGCATAGCCATCTGGTTATGGAAGGTGGACAATTGACCATTTAATTCTACATGCCACCCTTCGTTGTTTTGCCGGCAGCAAGGGTCATCCGCCATGGGAGGCTGCAACACCATTTGTTGACGCCTTGCCGGTTGGTTGCACAGTGCTGTTTCCGAACTAGCTATACGCCGCCCGTAACAAGACAAAGCTCCTCGTCCTCTTCGACTCGGTGGAAGAGCAGGCAAGGCCGAGATTCATTTGCGAGGGAAGCTAAAGTTCGAGGTCTTCAAAGCCGGGCAGCCTTCAAGTTATTAGAGGTGGGATCCAGATTCCCCCTTAATAAATGTAACTGCAACTAATAGATTGAAAGATCGATACGAAATATAAGCTGTTCAAAAAGGGACAGACTGTTATAGATCTGGTAAGGAGCAGCTGATCTACTGTGGTGTTCCAATTGTTGACAGTATAGGGTTATGCACCAGGAAGCTGGTCACAGGTAAGTCATTTTTGGAGATGCCAGTGGGGACTCGCTTGACGCTCAATTCAGGTTGCTGTGGAACGCACCAAGCCCAATGGCCGAATTATTGGAATAGACATCATTCCGGCCCAGCCGCCGAAGGGCGTATCTACTATTCAAGGAAACTTCTTGTCAAAAGATGTGCAGGCAGAGATCAAGAAATTTCTTAATGATCCACATAGGGGTCGACCTCAACAGCAGATGCACGCCCCTATAGCTCAGGAGCCCGGCGTGGACGATCCCCAAGAAGATGTGCCAACGGCGGACAAGGGAAAGAAGCTCAAGGATGAATCGGGGAAGACGATTGATATTGTTCTAAGTGATATGTCCGCACCCTGGGAACAAACGAGTGGTTTTTGGAAGAGGAGTCTAAGTAATCCGTATATTAGGATGATGAATACGAGCGGTATACCGTTCAGAGACCACACAGGGAGCATGGTATGAGCCAAATTCCATTTCATTTTCTGTTCCGGCTAACACGTCCGAGGATCTATGCAACGCCGCGCTAGAGTTCTCGTACGACACTCTCAAAACTGGCGGCCATTTTGTTTGCAAGTTCTACCAAGGCGCCGAAGATAAACAGTTGGAGAATCGCCTGAAGAAGCTGTTTGGCGCCGTTCATAGAGAGAAGCCGGAATCTTCAAGAAGTGTATGTACTCCCAAAATTGCACTCGGACTTCATGCTTATGAGATTAGGAATCGAAAGAGGCATACTTTGTGGCGTTACGCCGAAAAGAGGCGGCCAAATATGCGGACATTTTCGGGGGAGATGGGGTATAACAGCTTCTGGGAAGCACTGTAACATAGTTGGTTGGTGAAGAAACATAATAATACAAATCTCACATTGAAGCGAGCAGTCAGGGATGAGCAATTGGTCAAATACATAAAGGCATACATTGCCCGTTCTATACATTCTAAGTCTCATTTTTTGGAAACCCAGTAATTCTTACAACGCCACAGTCTTCGACTTCTTCAGCCACCCCACACCACGAAGCCATTGTTTTCTCTCATCTTGTCATCACGACGTATCTAGAATATTGTACGTCTATGAGAAAGGTGGAAGCCAGAATGGGTATCCACCATTCTTGATGCGGAAAACGCTCAGTAAAAAGCTGTACATGACGAAGATAATACCGCACCACACAATCACAGCAACTTGCTGAGTCCTCGGGTCCGATATGCGGGGAACCTTGAGGGCCAGCGAGATGGTAGCAAAGGATAGAAGGCCATCTGTTTCCATTAGACATGGTTCATAGTGTGGAGATTCATCATCAGAGACAATGAGAGCAAATAACTTACACATGGCTGCAACTATTTGAGTCTCGAGACCATACTGGTTGGAGAAGCCTCCTGCGAAATAACTGACGCCACCATGTCCATCACCGACGACATAAGGCACCTTTCTAATGTGATTAAACATATGTCCGCTCGTGAAGAGGAGAATGGCAATCAAGCTGATAGCCGCCCACAAGTTGCGGTTCTGAATGATAGGCAACAGGTACGGCCACGCAACGCCCAGGAATGTGATCGTTGCGAGAACAGTCGTTGACACTGCGATAATGCGTACCCAGTTGATAGGGCGGCTTATCGCAGGGTGAGGGCCATCCGGTATTTGTCGGCTGACCCAGGCGTGGATTTGCTCGGCGGTTTGGTGTCTATCAATGTTAGCAGATTATCATATGCGTAAGAAGAGTAGGTGGAACTTACCCGCCAGTGAAGTCATATTTGATAGGTGCGTTGCCTGCAACAGCAAGAGGGCCAGTGGTGGGTCGGAAGAATAACAATACTGGGGCAGTTTGAAGCCCAAGCTATTCTTGTTAGCACATATATATTTCCAGGTCACTATAGTCTTACAGATTGGAAAGTGTCTTTGCCATCGGCAAAGTCCAGTGTGCCATATATCAGACGAGACTCGCCCTTCTTGTCGCCCTTGGTCCAGCTCTTGCCCAGAAGTTCCCATTCCGGCTGGAATTCGTTGCACATCACGCATCCAAATCTTGGCTCCAGAGCCGTCAAGAGGACTGCGACGGAGTAATCCCGCGGTGCCTTAGTCAATCGGCCATAGCTCGCATCAGTGAGCTTCAATGGTGACGACGCCAGCGACTTGGCGTGGAAGTCGGGGAATCGGTCCGTGGCGGCCTTTTTGGCGGCGAGGCATGGCGCCAAGAGGAGGGCGAATATCAGATCGCCGAAGAGACGCATCGTGAAGAAATCGTGTCGTTCAATTGAAGAGCTACGATTGCGTACGACACTTGTAGTTGAGCTGGCATCACAGCTACTCGTTGTCCTCAAACCAAGCTTATGTAAGCTTCGAGTAAGCTAACAGGGGTATCGATAGCGTTGTTTACAGTTGACGCGATTGCAGGTATCTATCCATGATCAAGTAAATAGATACCAACTTTACCGGAGTATCGCATCTTTATGTCTAGTTAATACTTACAGCTATTCGAGCTATACTTATGCATACCATGGATTCATCTTTGATGTTCGAAGATTCGACTACTATCGAGGTGCGTTCTAATGCACAGGGTGGGGTTTATTCGGGTTTACTAACGAATTTATAGCACATGTCAACATCGCAGTGCATGGAATTGGAATATTCTAATAGCCTGCTAAAACAGGAGAGCATCGCCAAGGACGAAAACTCGAGGCGCCTTCAACTTCAAATCCTCCTGCTTCAAGATGATAACGACGAACTCCAGCGACAAGTAGCCATGGAGAGCGAGCGAAACACTCAACTTGCCAAAGAGAACGAGCGAAACGCCCAACTTGCCAAAGAAAACGAGCGAAACGCCCAACTTGCCAAAGAAAACGAGCGAAACACACAACTTCCTGTCGACAACGACCAAAACACAGAACTTCTCCTCGAGAAAGAGCGAAATACTCAACTTTCCATAGAGAACGAGCGAAACTCTCAACTTCTCCTCGAGAAAGAGCGAAGCATTGAAAAACTTACCGCCGAGACCGAGCGAATCACCCGGCAACTTGCACTCGAGAAGGAACGGAGCGCAAAGAAACTTGCCCTCGAGAAGGAACGGAACACTCGACAGCTAGCCATCGAGAGCGAGCGCAGCATCCACAAACAATCACTAGGAGGTCCAGCGCCAATAATCCCTGACGAAACAAAGCGCAACGTCCGCAAGAAGTCATCTGGGGCTCCCGCGCCAATAATCCCGGATGAACTAGAGCACAACGTCCGCAAGAAGTCATCAGGAGCTCCAGCGCCCATAATCCCTGACGAAGCAGAACCCAAGAAGAAGAAGCGCAAGGTCTTCGGGGCGGCAAAGACGATATTTGACGAAGACTATAACGAGGCAGACAAGCGACCAGCAAGGATATCCCTTGCCCCGGCTCTGGCTAAACCTGGAGGAAACCTTGCTTTCCTTCGCAAAAGCGGTGCGGGTATTGCTAATGCTGCGTTTTCACCATTAAAAAAAGACAAGAGGGGTGGAAAGGCCGGGTTTCTTGGGGTTTAACCTGGAGAGCGCTATAAATATTTCGGACTAATTAAATTCCGCTCCGTCCGCCGCCCAAACCTCCAGCCAGCTTCCCTATTCACAGTCAATCGACAGGTATGGACGCGACAGGGACGGCTAGCTCTACGAAGCAACAGTCTCTTCTCGAAAAATCTGCTCATGGCGCGACATTCCTCATCGCATTACAGATAGGTTCACGGGCATTGACGTTTGCCGCCAACCAGATTCTCCTCCGATTCATATCTCCAGACTTGCTAGGGATATCGACTCAGTTCGAGGTGTACCTGATATCGGTACTGTTTTTCGCCCGAGAGTCCCTACGAGTAGCAATACAACGTCAATCCGAGGTTTCTGAAGGTCCTGGGGAGGCAGACAAATCTATACAGGATGGAGAAAAGTCAGAACGAAAGAGGAAGCTGGCCATAGAAAAGACACAGGCGCTTGTGAATCTGGCCTACGTTTCAATATGCTTGGGGATCTTCTTTGCGTGGGGACTGGCCTGGGCATACGTGCGTTCTCTGCGCTCCAACCCCAAGGTTCTTGGCACCCTCTACTTCAAAGAAACCCTCCAGCTCTATGCGATCGCAGCAGTCTTTGAGCTGCTGGCCGAACCGTGCTTTGTTGTTGTCCAGCAGAAGTCCGAATACAAGACGCGGGCATTTGCTGAGTCTATTGGAGCGTTACTTCGCTGCGTCGTGACATGCGCTTCCATCATCTTCGCTTCCAAGACTGGCTTGGATCTGGGTGTGTTTCCCTTCGCACTTGGTCAATGGACGTATGGCTTGTCAATACTTTTATGTTATCTCTGGCGAGTCTCAGCTATATCAGCTGCAGACAAATTTTCATTACTTGCGAGACCGATAGCGCCGAGGTAAGTTGGCTGTGGTTATTGCACTGGGCTTTTACTTACAATAACTAGTAGTAATGAAACTTACATCATGTCATATTTCTCAAAACCACTGGTGACGCTCGGGGCGAGCCTTTTTGTTCAAGGGGTTGTCAAACATATTCTGACAGAAGGAGATGTGCTCTTGATATCGTATCTAGCATCTCTTTCTGCTCAGGGAATATATGCTCTGGCATCAAATTATGGAGGTCTTGTTGCTCGCATGGTCTTCCAACCCATCGAAGAGAGCAGCAGGAACTATTTTGGCAAACTTCTCTACTCCACCAACGGCCAGCGTTCGAGTGGGACAATATCATCTGCTAGAGACGATCTGCACAAGTTACTGCGGATATACACACTCATGTCAATATCGGCAATGACCGTTGGACCAACCATGGCACCCCTGCTTCTGAAGTTCGTTGTTGGCAGTAGATGGGCGTCAAGTGGTGCAGGAGATGTTCTTTCCAAGTACTGTTACTACATACCCCTTCTGGCATACAATGGCGTCTTGGAAGCTTTCGTGTCAGTTGTCGCGACCGAATCTCAACTGAACAGGCAATCCCTTTGGATGTTGGCATTTTCTGTGGGATTCGCAAGTACTGGCTATGTTTTCCTCCGTCTACTCGACCTCGGCGCGACAGGTCTTGTTTATGCAAATATGGCAAACATGGTGTTTCGGATACTATGGAGTTATAATTTTATCAACAGCTTTTTCCGCAGGCATAACAGTCAATTGAACTTGGGTCTGATACTCCCAACAGCAACAACGGTTGCTGCTGCTATGGGGACTATTGCGATATATTATCACCAGAGCTCACAAGAGGGCAGCGACATCAAAAACTTCATCACCACTACTGTAATTGGAGGTAGCTTCTTCATTCTTCTGTAAGTAAACCCACTAATCTACTGAACATATACCCGCTAACATAATAAGCGTCCTGTCCGAGCATAAGTTCCTTTTGCAATGCTACCGCTCAGTCCGAACGCCGCCAACATGATCCCAATATCGTAACGGTCCTTAATCGAATTTGATCTTGGTCGCTGCCTTTGAGGTGTCAACATCCTTGAAGAATGCACCGTAGGCCTCGTGACCCTTCTTCTTCACAGTCGTGCCGAATTTAAGTAATTCGTCTGGGACTGGCTGGTTTGCAGCCTTGAGGACATTTATTAGACTGCGACACATTAGATACTTGTCAAATTATGGGGTATCAATTAGAGAAACTTACGCTCCTGACTGTGCCTTATCATGCTCCGTGAACAGAGTGATTGCCAATCCTTCCTTGCCAGCTCTTCCAGTTCGACCGATACGGTGGACGTAGTCCTCCACGGTAAGGGGGAACGTGCAGTTCAAGACAAGCTTCACCGCTGGGATATCCAAACCTCTCGCAGCAACGTCGGTGGCGACAAGTACCGGTGTGGTTCCCTTCTTGAAAGCGTCAAGACTCTTCGTCCTCTGCTCTTGTGACAGATCGCCGTGGATACCGGCAACTCTAATGCCCTTTGAGCGGAGGAAACCTTCGACTCTGGTTGCTTCCTTCTTGTAGAGGCAGAACACGATAATCCTATCGTCCTTCTGGCTGCCGCTCTGGTGCTCCTTCAGGATTTGCAGGAGGCGGTACTCCTTGCCGCGAGGGTCGACAACCTCGACCTTCTGGACAATGCGGGTATTCGCGCGGAGATCTCCCGTGGGGTTGTCTCCGATAGCAATCTTAATTGGCGACGTCATGAACGTCGATGCCAGCGAGCGAACAGATTCTGGCCAGGTCGCGGTGAACATGAGTGTCTGTCTCTTGCCCAATGGGCGGCCGGAATTGATGATCTTTCTAATCTCCTCTTCGAAACCTTTATCCAACATCCTGTCTGCCTCGTCCAGAACGACATAGCTGACCTTGCTAAGATCCGCCGACCCCTCCTGGATGAGATCGTTCAGGCGACCGGGTGTTGCGACCACAATGTCGGCAGTCTTGAGCGCTCTTCGCTGCTCGTCCTTTGCCACACCTCCGTATACACAGACGGCTTGCATGCCAGACAAGGCAGCCAGCTTGTTGATTTGCTCGTAACTCTGCATCGCAAGCTCACGGGTTGGCGAAACAACCACAGCCTTGGCTCCCTTGAACTTTGGCTGCTCGCTGATGTGCCTGATACATGGCACGGCGAATGCCATTGTCTTCCCTGAGCCGGTCTCCGCAACACCAATGACATCTCGGCCAGCCAACAAGAAGGGCCATGCTGCCGATTGAATTGGTGTGGGGCTTTTGAAGTCCTTGAAGGGCGCGCGTTGTTTCGGGTCGGTAATTGGAAGGTGGGCAAAGTCGATAATGGGTCTCAGTAAGGGCTGCGACGTCGGGTCGGTGATGTTAATGAAGTTATCAGTCAAGAATTGGTCGACCTTGGACTGTGGAAGGGCTGCGAGATCAGCGGCCGGGGTATAACTGCCAGTGCTGGTAGTCTCTGCTGGTGTAGTCGCTGGTGTAGTCGCTGGTGTAGTCGACTCGGTGGACGGGGGCGTAACTGAGGCAGGTTCAGCCTTTTCCAGCTTCTTTGCCTTCTTCAATGCCTTTTTCTCGGCCTTCTCTTTTTTCAGAGCAGCCAGATCTTCCGGAGACTCATCGCCATCCTGCTCAACAGCAAGTTTCTCCTTCTTCTCGCGACGTTTCCTCTCCTTGCGTTCTTCCTTGGTCTCTTTTACAGTATCATCGGCTCCATTGTCTGATGCGCCACCTGATTTCGCTTCCTTACGGCTCTTCTTTTTTGCCGGTGCAGTTGCCTGTATTCCGGCGGACGCAGCAGCGACCTCGGTATCTTCGAGAGCTCTCTTGACCATGATTGCGCGATTGTGCAAATATGCCAAATCTATCAAGTTTCTCAAAAGTTCCGGCTAGGAACGAGACTAAATCAAAAAATATTCTGGGCTTTCACCGATCGGATCAAATTTTCGCCGTGTACAGTCAGCGAGTCATGTGATTAATCAATTATAATAGGTTCTGAATTTATTTTTCATAGAACGGCCCTGCGTTCAAACTAAGTAATCCCAATTTGGAACAGTGAGCAATATCGAACCCCTAAATATACATAATCCAAGGAGGAGAGTTAAGTCGCATGGCACTTTTCAACTGGTCCAATACTATTTCCGGGTACCAATTTTCATAGAACCCAGCCCGCCATTAAGCAGAAGTCGCTCTGCTTACCAATTGTTTTTCGTTTACATACGAATTCCCCGTGAATTCCCCGTGGATTCCCCGACTTTGAAAACTCTCGTCATGCCATCCATCCATGGCCGCACACGTACTCTCCATGACAAGTATTCTCACACCTAAGCGGTCGCCGATGATCCCTGGGCCACAGTCTCCATATCAATCTTCGACATGCTTGAGCCGGTTCCACCGAGATTAGTAGCCTTGGACGCCGGGTTCTTAGTGTAGTAGTTTGAAATTGCCGACTTGATTGCATCCTCCGCCAACATGGAGCAATGAACTATAGTATAATTAGCAAAGGGTTCTGTATAGTATGGTAGAGGTAGTACTTACGTTTCACTGGAGGTAAACATAATTCTTTGGCGATCTCCGTATTCCGCACCCTTCCGGCCTCCTCCAGGGTCATTCCCCGAACCAACTCCGTCAAGTATGATGATGAGGCGATTGCTGAACCGCATCCGAAGGTCTTGAACTTCACATCGGAAATGGTGTTGTTGGTGGGATCCACGCGGATCTGGAGCTTCATCACATCACCACAAGCTGGAGCGCCAACAAGTCCGGTTCCGACATCGGTATCAGCCTTGGACATGCTTCCAACATTGCGCGGCCTAGAATAGTGATCTAACACCTTCTCATGGTATTGTCTGCGGCCATTTGCGATGCGGTTGGCGATGACGGGTGTTGCAATCCGTGCCGAAGAAGGTCCAAATGCCCGGGTCGGGGTTGATAATGCCCTCGCGGCCGCCCGCGGAGCAGTGGCGATAGCCCGTTGAAACATCTTAGATCCCGCGGTAGTGTAATAGATCAATTTAGTCGAAATAGTATAGGTTTTAACGTTTATCGAGGTTGATGATGAGGTAGGTGGTCGTAGAATTTCGAGGTCTGTGGGTATTGAGTAAGAGGATGGAGGATCAGATAAACGGTATCCGCGGGAGATCCAGAAATATGAAATCACCGGCCATGGGTGGCAAATTCCGATGCACGTGACGAGTCCAGTAAGCAACCCCTCCCACCCATTGATAAACCTACCCCCATAGTAAAGATAACAAAGTTACAAATCCGGAGTACCTACAGTACCTCCAGGCTACAACCCCGCCCCTCTTCGTCATCCCGCTATTTTGTCATGTTTGCTCAAGTTTAGACATCTTTGTCTGGACAACACCAACAGCTCCCCTCGATAGCACCAAGCTCATCATCCACTACAAACCCCGAAACACTTTATTATGGACGTCTAATTGTCTCAAGTTCTTGTGAATCCCGAAAGCCACAATACTGTAATCTTCCACAACCTCGTTCTTTCTCCATACACTCGCTCCAGGCACAAGACAACATGGCGTGTAAACATCTCGAATCTTTGGGTAAGCTGATGACAAGTCGCAATCCAGCCCACTTTCTATGCCCATTTTGGTATCTCATGGGCTTAATCTGTTGCCTGCGAGTGTCACTATTGCCAGCCTGCTAACTGGATCGAACAGAGCTGCGCCCGCCAGGCCCAAATCAAGCTGTCTACCGTGAAGACTGCACGCAGTGCTTTGATTCTATTGTAAGCATATGCCAACCTTCGAATAACACAAAGATTTGTTGTTAATATCCTCATCTAGGATGACTCGACGGGGCTAGATGTTTGCCTCTATTGCTTCAATGGGGGGTGCACCGGCGACAGGAACCATAGCAAGCTCCATTATGCCAGGTCACAGCACCCCCTCGTTCTCAACATCCGCCGGACCAAGCGAGTAATTGTTCGAGATGAACCCAGGCAAAAGATGTCGAAGCTCGCCATAACCGCAGAAACAGAAGCCGATCGTTTTGATACCCATTTGGTTGTTCGCTGCTACGAATGCGGGATTGCTGATGTGGATACAACTTCAGCCCTGATCGCATCGGTTGTCGGTGGAGTCATGAAGGCAAACACATTTTCTAGACAAGAAGAAGTCAAAGCATGGGAACAGGAAATCACGTCTTGCGAGCATGTCCTTACGCTCGCCCAGGAACCGGCACGAGCGATCGAGTCTCAAAACCTTGGCCACTGCTCAATGTGCAACTTGCAGGAAAACCTTTGGTTATGTCTCCAGTGTGGGAACTTGGGTTGTGGCCGATCCCAGTTTGGCGGGGTTGGCGGGCAGTCTCACGGCTTGGCACACGCCGATGCATCGCACCACGCTGTTGCCGTCAAGCTGGGATCAATCACCCCTGAAGGCACGGCCGACGTGTACTGTTACCAGTGCGACGAGGAGAGAGTCGATGAGCATCTCGGGAAGCATCTAGCCCACTGGGGCATCATTCTTGCTGAGCGCCAGAAGACAGAAAAGAGTCTCACGGAAATGCAGATTGAGCAGAATCTTAGGTGGGAATTTTCAATGACCACCGAGGACGGCAAGGAGCTCAAGCCATTATTTGGACCTGGTCTAACGGGTCTCATGAACCTTGGCAACAGCTGCTATTTGGCCAGTACAGCCCAATGCCTCTTCTCGCTGCCTCAGTTTCAAAAACGATACTTCCACCCCAATGAAGCACCCTCACAAGTTCAGGAGCCGGCACAAGACCTTGAGACCCAATTGCGAAAGATCGCCGATGGCCTTCTCTCTGGCAGATACTCAAAGCCCGATTCAGACGTCATTGCATCGGAGTACTCGGCAGAGATTCCTTGTCAAAAAGGCCTCGCCCCAGCAATGCTGAAACATCTAGTTGGTCGTGGGCACGTCGAGTTTTCAACAATGCGCCAGCAGGATGCCTTTGAGTTCCTGCTGCATCTCTTCAAGCTCATCAATCGATCTCAGCATCCGCCCGCATTAGGCGACCCAACAGATGCATTCCGATTCGTCATGGAGCAGCGACTGCAATGCCTGTCATGTAAAAAAGTTAGGTACAGCACGGAAGAGCAGGATAACATTTCGGTCCCACTTCCTGTCCGAAAGATTGAGCGGAAAGCCGGTGAAGAACCATCTGCATCTGCAGGGGAATACGAGCCTGTCACGTTCAAGGAATGCCTGGACAGCTTTACTGCAGAGGAGGTTGTCGAATTAACCTGTGTCTCCTGTGGAAGCAAGGACGGCTTTACCAAAAGATCCCTTTTCAAAACGTTCCCCGCCGTCCTAGCCGTCAACGCTCGGCGAATCATGGCCGTAAACTGGGTGCCGACGAAGGTGGACGTCCCAGTTATCGTCGGCGATGATCCTATCACCCTAGATAGCTACAAGTCGCTCGGGAAACAAGACACGGAGGAGCTCATGCCGGAAGATGCAGCAAGCGCCCAACCATCCTTCACCGCAAACCCAGAAGCTCTCGCAAACCTGGAGCAGATGGGATTCCCCGCCGCTCGCTGCGAGAAGGCGTTGCATGCGACTGGCAACACTGACGCGAACGCAGCTATGGAATGGCTATTTGCTCATATGGAGGACCCCGATATCGACGAGCCGCTGGTTCTTGCGAGCTCTGCTGGACCAGCAGCCCCTGTGGATGCGGAGAAACTCGAAAACCTTGGCAATATGGGGTTCAGCCCAAATCACGCCCGTAAAGCTCTGAAGGAAACTGGGGGCGACATGGAGCGAGCTGTTGACTGGCTCTTTAGTCACCCGGATGACCAGGGCGATGCTGATGAGGGTGGACAGGCTGCGGATACGGGTCGCTCGAATGAGACGCCTGGTTCTGACGCTTTGCCTGCTAGGTTTGAGCTCCAGTCGATTATCTGCCATAAGGGGGGCAGCATCCACGCTGGGTAAGCTGAGGTAGTCCATTCTTATAATATAGTACGTGCTAACATCCGGTAGTCATTATGTGGCCTTCATTAGGCGGCAGCTTGAACAGGAGAAGGCCAAGTCATGGGTCCTCTTCAACGATGAGAAGGTTGTCGAGGCGGACAATATGGAGGAGGTGAAGAAATTCGCCTATGTATATTTCTTGGAGCGCTTGTAGCTATCTCCTGGGAGGTTTAGTTACCAAACGTCAGCGTAAACTGCGCTTCTGCTGGGGATGCTACTTGACTAGAATATGATAAGCTATTGGCCCATGAGTGTATTATTCTGACGGGGCGGTTGATTCTGTCATCAAGAGGAAGTGATGTTTGGTCTTGCTACGTGATAAGATACTAAAACTATTGCTAATACCACAATTAAACGAAGATACTCGATTGCGACAGCCTGTAGCACAGGGGCTATGGTTGTAACATCCAGTCCAATTTTACCATTTAAATAATATTGTCTTCACAAGTTCAAATAAGTCTAATCAAATTTACTGTTATATATCTAACATTGCAAGGTTGCTATCGCAAGGACTTGGCTCATTTGTAGTTAACAGCGACACCATGAGCGTGAACGTAAAGTAGACGTGGAGGCTAGTTATCATTAGTCAGAGGTGAAAACGTGAGGCAGACTTAGCTGCAACGCGCTTAGTCTTATGCCACCATGGATGGGATGGCCCCTGCCCCCGCTCCCGCCCGCTACTGGCTCCACAAAAGCTACAATTACATGAACCCTCGTCTTACCCCCCAACTTCCCCAAAGGGGAAGCCACTCCCTTCCCACAGCCCCGTGGCGGCCCTAATTGACTTCGCCCATGCTCTGTTAAGTATGAGTGGTCGTCTTACGGCGAGGGGCATTCGTCCGCTGCATGAGACAGTAGTGCTTCATCGAATTGTAGGGATTCACGTTGCAACGAGTCGATATATCCTGTACCACTATCTAGTAGAGCTATTTTTTAAAATGTAGGGTATGTTACTACAGCCTAAAGCCAGTGCATATCCACCTCATGCATCTATATTAAGCTAACCGGCTTGTCTAATAAGACAACTTTCTTCTTCTTATAGGACCGCCTCCGATATATTTAACGCAAAATGAGCTCCACTTACTTCCTAGCTTAAGATAGAGTTATACTCTATTCCATCTCTAGTAGACCAGGGGCAAGATGAAGGCTCAACTAGAAACGAACGCACCAACGGGGGGGAGCCCGCCCAACGGGATTAAGGAAATGTCGGAAATGTCGGAAATGTGGATCGCGGCAGAAAAGGCGTTTGAGACCATATGCCACCAGTCGCTGCAGAGAGGCGACGTGAAGGGGTTTGATGATGTGCAGAGGATGATTGAGGAAGCTACTACACCATCATACAGCATCGATGCAGAGCAAAAGGATAAGTGGGAGAAGGCGAAGAGCGTGGGACTCGAGTCACTCAAGTACCTGAAGATGCTTGTCGGGGCTGCTTCCCTTGCTGCTTCGACTGTATGTTAGATTCCACGCGTATAGCTAGATGCCTGCTAACAATTCTAGATCCCTATCCCTGAATCGGTAGCTAACATCACTAGCCACGCGCTCTACTTCGTGTTTAACATTCCCGAGGCCATCAAAGGGTACAACGACGCCATCGGGCAGGTCTTTGGTGAAGTGTCTTCAGCACTCTCCCAGTTCCATATCTACACGTCAATAGAAAATGTCGACCCTAGGCCTGTCAAGAAGATCCATCTCGTTATGATCAGCTTCGTTAAGCTCTGCGCCCACGTTGTCAAGTACCGCCAGGGTAGTAGGCGGAACCGCCTCCTGCAGCAAGTTAAGTCTATCTTTGATGACGACTCAGGCCTACGCGACGAGATGGCTGTGTTTAAGCAGGCGCAAAAGCAGCAGCGCATTGTTGAGGGGACCGTTACTCTCGCTGTGGTGGTTGAGTCGCATCGCAATATTTCGAGGGTCCTCGAGGATCTCATTGTCTTCAGGAAGGTGAATGAGGAGATGCACCAGGTGGCGCAGGAGACGCAGAAAGGCGTACAATCCCTCAATGCCGATGCCATTCGCATCAAGACGCTCATTAAGATTCGCGACACACTCGGCGTGCCGGAAAAGGTGCGCCTCGACTCTAACACCACGCAGACGTGCACCAACATCTCCAACAAGTGGGTTAAGGACACAGGGTCCTGGATCTGGGAGCACCCTGCCTACACTGCTTGGACAACACCTAACAAGGACAAGGATATCTCTTCGCACATTCTCCTTCTGTCGGGGGCCCAGTCCTCAGGCAAGACCACAGCTAGCGCTCTCATCACGAAGCGCCTCGAGGAGCAAAAGGGACGCATATACGTAGCGCACTACTTCTTTCCTGCTAGCATTAAGAAGTCAGATGATGATAATAGTCCTGTGCAGTCGGCTCTGAAGTATATGGCGTTCCAGATATCACGCGTCGACGTCACTGTTCAAAAAGAGCTTGGGAAAGCGTGCGAAGCTGGGCCTGGCGCGTTCCGCCGCTCGGCAAGTCTTGAGAGTCTAGACACGCTGTGGGAGGAGCTGAAGATTGGGTCGCTCGGGTCAGGCGCCGTGTACTATCTCGTGTTCGACGGGCTTGAGAACCTGCGCGACGAGCAAGCTAAGGAGCTGCTAACGTTTGTCTTTGGCCCTAAGATAGCTGGGGATTCGTCTAGGCGGGTACGCGTGCTTCTGAGCGGGACAAATGAACTGTTCGACACTAAGACGAACGTTGTCGAGAGCAGAAGTCCACTGCGAATTAATATGGAGGAGCATAACGGGTCGGATATGCGCATCATGATCGAAAATGCGCTTGCCAAAGAGGGCGTGCTTCAGCACACGAAGCCCGACTCGGACCAGCAAAGGGCGCGGGACAAGATCATCGAGAAGCTGCCGCAGAACGTCAGCGGAAGCTATTCTCTGCTACAGTTTGGGCTGAACGACGTGATCCGCCTGCTAAGCACACGGACTGCGGTCGAAGACCTAGACCACATGCTAGACCACTCGATGAGTAGCCATGAAGCGGCCATCAAGAAACTTCAGCGGTCTCTAACGCTGGACGAGATCCGCGAGCTGAACGAGCTACTAAAGTGGGTGCTTTTTAGCAACGAGACCTTGACGTTGGACAATCTCGAGGCTGCTATGGTGAGCTTTCCTGAATCCCCAAAGTAGCTTCCTATGCACAGCTAACTAATAGCATTAAAGTTCTTATCCTCTGACACAGAGTCCCTAGCGTCCCTGCAATATATTATTACGAACAAGTACTCAGCTATTCTAAAGCTCGAGGATGACTTCGTATATGGCCAAGACGGCGTCCAGGCCTATCTTCATAAGGAAAAGGATACCTCTAGCAAGTTCAAGGACAGCGCTACCATTAGCATGACCATTACCATTAACAACGTGGACCAGGAACTCTGCGGGCATTTTCTATGGGACCTTGCGCACAAGGCGATTAGGGAGAAGTTCAATTTTAATTTCGATGCCGCCTCGGCTCTGCATAGTAGCAGCCAAGCGGTCATCGCGGTAGACGAGTTCGAGGCAAACCACACCATTGTCAAGCTCGCGTTCAAGTACCTAGAAAAGGGGTATAGGAAACAGACTAAGGATATCGGAAGGTACCTCGTTTGCTGGCTGCCGTACCACCTAAATCAGCTGCGCTGTCTCGAGGACAAGGACATGGGGACGCTAACACCGAATGAGAAGTTAGATATAGGTCGGGACCTGTATAAGCTGTTCAAGGACGATCAGGTTATTCGGCGCCACAGGGCCAATTTCGAACCAGTGTGGTGGGAGGTGGAGGAGATGGAGGACGTGCAGAAGTGGTTGACAGACTCAGCTGTTGTCAGAAGGCTAGACAAGACGTGGCTAGATGAGGTGCATACTGCTACTAGGCCGACAAGGGGCTTTTTGAAGGAGCTCGTGAAAGTTGTCGTCGAGGGGTTCTTGAGGGAGAGAGAATGGGAGGTTGCGAGCGCTTATTATTGGATCGAAAGGTTCATAGATCTAGTGAGTCTTCGAGTTACATACCCCTTTCAAATCTCCCACTCTAGCCCACTGCATTATAAAAGCATGTTAACCATTCCTCGGAAACAGGACCATAAGAGGAACCAGGAAACACCAACACCCCCTATATCGGACGCCGCTAGCTCGCCTGGCTCCGCCACTAACTATATCAACTGGGACAGCATAAGCATCTGGTGTCAGAGCTTCCTAGGGCTTCAGGACACTGAGCTTAACTCACTCTGGTACGAGCGTCTCGCCGAGGCCGCAGCAACACAGCAGAGCAAGGCCGACACCGTTCTGTTACTCTACCAGCGCGCTATCGAAAAGGAAAACCCCAGCTGGCTGTGCCACCGCGGCTTGGGAATGACGCACTTCGGTCAGAACCAGACACAGAAGGCCATCAAGCACATGGAGTTAGCGCTAAAAGAGGCAGAGGAAGAGAGTGCTACACCTAAGCCGGCAGCGAAGGATGTCGACGAGTTGCATTTGCTCTTAGGGCAGTATAACTACGAGGCGGGCAATGCGGAGATTGCGACAACGCACTATTCGGTTGTGGGCGAGAGTGAGGACCTAGCGCAGGCGAAGAAGGGACAGCTAGGCTATCTAAAGGCCGTATTAAAGTTCCAGGATGCGGAAGGAATGCGGGAGTTGCTAAAGACTACACTAGCCACGGAAGATGGAAAAGGGAGGATGGTTAGCATTCTGAAAATGATTGCTCGAGACGCCGACCATGATTTTCTCATCTCAAAAATGTTCACTGTAGCGAAGGGGCATCTAGACCTCCTTAAAGGAATTGTCTGTACCATGGAGACAGCGACGGCGATTCCAGCGTCGAAGGGGGACCGCATCGGCGAGATGGCCCAGTACGACCGCTTCGATGAGGACGAGGCCCGCGGGGTGCTCCTCTGCGACCAAGGCTTCGCGGCGTACACGTACGGGGAATCACTCAGCGGCATTAAGGCCGTCGGCGACGCGCTGCAGTTGTGGAGATTGAGCCGCAACCTGCTCTCTCAACTAGGTGGGCGCAACGCTTTTATCGCGGAGAAACACGCTACCAGAGCGCTGGCGCAACACTATTTTCAGAGCATGGTAGAGGGGAAGCATCTGGGTCACATCGACGCGCTGACCGAGCTGGCTGAGGCCAAATCTGGCAACTTCAGTAACGCGGTCGGGTTCCTAGGGGCGCTGTATGCGCTGCGTGACGAGAAGGCGCAGGCTAGAGAGGTGTTCATGCAGCGGATCAGAGTAGCATTACAGATCCTCTCGGACGATATACCCGAGAACGATGGAGACGGGTTCTGGGTTATATTCAATACGCTGAATCAGTACCAGGATTTTAAGAATGCGGCTGTTGCCCTGTCTATACTCGGCCAGCCAGATCTCGTGACTGAAGCACTGTACTTCGAAGCCGAAGACATTGTTAGAGACGACGGCATGAATAGGGAACGGGTGTTAGAATTAGTTACTAATATGGCTAAGGAAACAATCCAAGCTGCCAAGATCCAGTTCCCAGACGTTTCGCAACAGCTTCAACGCATTAACGCCGCTAGAGAGTACGTCGACAATCTCGCAGCTGTCGCAGAGACTGGATCCACACCCGATGCTGACGGCGGCCACGGCGAGGAGCTCCAAAACGAACAAGGCGAACAGACAGGCCAAGACGGCGAGACCACATTAGCGCACAGCCTCCTTTATAACAAGCTATTCAATCTGCAGCAGGAGTACACACTAAAGGTCGACCCTAACTCGTTCCCCGTGACTTTGACTTGTGACGGCCGCACCCCAGATGGCAAGCACTGCGATATAGTGGTTGACTTTAAACATGAGTATTACCACTGCATGTACTGCACGAACCTAGGCTTTTGCCGGGAATGTCTCAAACGCGTGCGATCTCCTGACTCCGGCGCGGACATTATGGTGTGCAGCGCAAAGCACCAGTGGTTGATCATCCCGCCGCAGGGAACGGACATGTATGTTGGGCTAAGGGCGAAGAGTGTGCGGGTGCCGAAGGAGGTGCGGGCCGTGGAGGATGACGAGAGAGTATGGGAGATTTGTTATGGCGAGGATGGCGATGGCGAGGATATCACTGTAGAGGCGTGGAAGGAGGCATTAGCTGCAGACTGGGGTATATCGCTTCAGGAGATTAGGGAGGAGACGTCTAGGCAGGCTACGCCTGACGAAGGCGAGGAGGAAAGCAAGCAGGAAGACAAACAGGAAGACAAACAGGAAGACAAACAGGAAGATGAATAGGAAGATGCATAGGAAGATGAGTAGGAAGATGAGTAGGAAGGAGGTGAGATTCTTAAGCAGGTTACACCCTTCAGAGGCGAGCTGGTCTGAAGAGAAGGAGCACGAGAAATAAATATTAAGAAGAGAGCAACATTTCCCCAAAAATCTTTATATAGCTTATCAACGACGATGACGAGATTCATAAGTAATCCAAGTTAGGATAGAGGCCTAAATTCGCAAGTGCTTTAGTTGATCACGGCATAGTTGTTCGATTCTAGATCTATTATGGTGTTTCCTAAGAATTTCGTTACTTCCTTTACCTAACGAAGTTTTAATTGTCACGAAGATTTTTGTGACATATGTTCTAGCCCAGTCACTAACTAGCCTAACTCCTAACTAATAATATAATTATTTATGCCTTAATAAGTAACTATAATAACGCATATAATATAAGTTAATTATTATACCTAGTTTAAGTTTATTAATTAGTTTTATAGATTTTAATGGTTTAGGGCTTAATATCTCTTTATATATATAGAAAGTAAAATGATATAACCATTCTAATAACCAAATCAAAGTAAACTACTTTCATCTATAGGATAGTGACGTTAAAGATGAACCTAGGTCTTGGGTGTTCAGGGCTGCATAAAGAAGCAACCAACGCCACAGCCAAAAACAGCAGCTCCGGCACCACAACCTTGTGTATATTTATAAAATATGACCATGGCGAACCTAAACGAACCCGAAATATCTGATGTGCTACAATACATGTATATACGTGTTGATAGATCCGAATAACCCCCGAAAACACCTATCATCAAATAATATACGCGTTGTCCAACCCAAAAATATCTCTGAAATACCCCCACCACTACTCCGTATCACCCTCCTCCGCACCCTCCACATCACGACGCACCTCCCCCACCCCCCTCGGCACCACAACATCCTTCCCAGCATCCCTATCCCTCTCCACAGGATGCTTCACGAGACTCTCATACCACTGGAAAACACTCCCAATCAAGAACGCCCAACTCCCCCAAAACGTCGCCAGCCCCGCCTCATACTCCCCTTTACTCCCATGCCAATACCCAAACGCCCCAGACATCGTGAACCCCACCGCCCCGACCAGATTCCACGCCCCGACCCACCACCCCAGCGTCCGCGGCGCGGGCTTCCACCACCGCTCCTGCGTCTCGAGCATGAAGAGGAGAGAGGAGATGATGAAGCCCGAGCCGCCGATGACCTGGGGCGCCCAGTAGGCGCCGTCGACTGCGCGCGGGGAGAGCGAGGATTGGATGGAGGGGAGGGCGGTGAAGCCTGCGATCCAGAAGATCGTCGCGGCGATGTATTGGGCGAGGCAGGCGAGGAAGCCAATTTCGCGGAGGTAGTGGTGACGCAGCTCGGTGCGGGAGGGGAACCACACCCAGGTCTCGAGGAGTTTGGCTTCGGCGAATTTTTTTGGGGCGAAGGGTTTTTCTTGGGGGGGTTGTCCTGGGGGGATTTTGCGGTTGCCGACGAGGTTCTTTTTGTTGAGGTGGTGGTGGGTGCAATTCGTGCTGCTTGGACGGAGGCGCAGGAGCCCGTTCTCCTCGAGGGCTTCTTCGAAGGCCCAGCCGAAGCATTGTGTGCGGTTTTCGTTGACGGCTTCGATCATGAGGAAGATACTGCCAATCTCAAAGATGGTCGCGCCGATGAAGGCGGTGATGCCCCCGCCGTTTGTGATTTCCCCTGGGAAGGCAGAAGACGGGCGCACGGAGGGAAGCCAGACGAAGAAGGAGTTTATGACCCAGACTACCGAGCCCCAGGTGAACCATTGCGCGACCATGTAGGACACGTCCCAGACGGGGTAGTATGTGAGCATGCGCCAGAGGTTGTGGAGGATTGGTCGCAGGGTATTCGAGGGTGGCGGGGCGAGGAATTGGCCCTCTGCGGCGGGCGAGACGGCTATGGCGTGCCTGCCTGTTGAAGTTTGTTAGCAAGCTGGATCTGCGAACAGAGCGCGCGCTGGCGAGGGTATACCTTTTCGATTGTCTCTCGACCGCCATAGATGATGGACATCTTGGACTCTTTGGCTGCCATCAGCCTCGGTCTTGGCTCTTGGAGGTTGTGTTGATGGGCGGCCGTCGTCGAGACCAGGAGCATTGGGACGCGTCGAGGGCTGGGCAATTGGACGCCTCTGGGCTGTCGGATTGAGGAACGACACGGGGATTCGCGACCACTCCTTCATTGTTAGGAGGACGCCTTTGCGACGGACGACATGGATTATGGATATGATATGATATGATACTGATAAAAGTCGACGAGGCTTCGGTCACGATGACGAGGCTGAGGAAGTTATATCTTGGCAGAAGGGGATATTTATCTTGGCAGCAGCAGCACGGCAAGTCCCCGATGCCGAATGAGGCGATGGACCCGCTAAGCCAGTTCGAGAGGGAGAAATATGGAGTAGCGTGGTAGTTTGGTGGGTGTGCGTACCGGTACTTTAGTCCGTGGTACTGGTGTGGAGCGCAGTTTAGAGGGCAGGTTAATGCAGAGTCAGTAGAGTAGAGCACAGCAAGCACAGCTAGGGAAAGTCAACTACGCTGTAAACAGCACGGGACGAGGCCGTTTCAGGGACTAGGGTACCTGCTGAGTGGGAAAGAGTGGGAAAGAGTGGGAAGGGGAAGGGCCGGACTGGCGAACCCTTGCTGGAGATAATGGAGATGGGTAGATGAGGGTATGGATGAGGGTAGATGAGCGCAGATTGATGGGGCGTGGAGAGTGAGTGGTGGGTCTGGCCCCCTACAGTAATTCGTTGCTACGGAGTACTCCTTACTTCTCCTTACTATTCATGGTTTATTCACGGTTTATTCCTGCTCTACTCCTGCTCTATTCCTGCTCTATTCCTGCTCTATTCCTGCTGGATCTATTCCTGTTGTATCCCGTAGAAGTGGTTGGATGCGTGGCTGTGGGTTGTTGTGGATGATACGACTGGTGCGGCTGGTACGGCTGGTTCCCGTGGGTGATCAGCAATGTCTGTTGGGTCAGATGAGGTGAGTGGTATTGTATGCAGTGGTAGTAGTTGGGGCACACACGGCACACAGTTATGTAAGGTGGCAGTTGGTAAGTTTGGGTAGTTTAGTTACAGTAGTGTACCGTTTCCGAGTGTGGTTCTTGTGGCTCTGGTGGTCCCTTACTGTGGCTCGTATAACGAACGGGTAGTTCCTAACGGGTATAACTTGGCTCTGGCTCGGGACGAGGAAGGAGCGAATGGGAAAAAAAAAGGAGCTCGGCAGGGACAGCGGACAGCGGGATGACGGGATTGGGGAGAGCTGTCAGGAGCCCGAGGGAGGAGGAGGAGGCGTACCTTAATGCCATTGTACTGTACAGCGGCACATTTGTGTGTTACCACATGTCATGTCATGCTATCTATTCTATTATACCTATGACAGCCTATACACGTATATACACGCATAATATATCACAATCATCTATACCCAACCTACAAAGTAAGGGGTAAGTAAGGTACGAGTAATACAGAAGACGAAAAGCGAGTCATTCTCGCATCTCGTATCTTGTATTTGCATCCTACATATCTCTGTACCTTCTATCCTCCTTCTTCCATTCCTCAACCCGTTATACTAGATTAACATTACTCCTGTTGTGTTCCTCCGTACGCCGTTCCCCTAGTTCTCCTAGGGCCGCACATTATCGTCCGTGTCAATCACAGTCGCAATCACATTAAGGTCGCATGCACCTCAAACACGCTAACACATCCACCCTTAATTTGGGAAAAAGAAATCTCCACAAACACTCCAACAGGAAGGGGGAACACCAACGCCAACTGGAGCAGGAACAGGAAACAGGAACAAGGGGGACAACAAACCACAAGGGACAGCACAAGGGACAGGCAGGGCAAGGACACGCCAGGAACACCACAGAACCAACAGATTCAACAAGAACCACTGAACTCCTGCGTACGGAGCACTCTCGACACCCGACTCTGCTCATCGCGCCTCGTACTATTCGGATCGTTGCATCGTTCTTCTTCTCCTCCGAGTCCACCTTTGATGCTATTCCAATACTGGCCTTGCACAGCTCAACCTACGGTGCATTACACTGCCTATGACCACTCCTTTGCCTCCATCTACCCCCATTCCCAATACACTTACCCCCATTCTATTCTCTAAACCCCCCCCCGTGGCCCCAATGGGATACACTGCCGACTTGCGAATCTACCAATTAGTGCGCCCTGCGACAGGCCTACGACGAGGTACTTCCTAAATCGGTCCCTGTACCTTACCTCACATCCCACCCCCCTCCCCCATCCTATCCTAATCCCGTCTGGCCAGCTTGGGCCACCCCCCTTCACAAGCAACAACGCCTACGCATACGCTCCACCATTAACAACTCGACAATTCCACCAACGCTGCTGAGTCGACTCGACTCTACTCAGCTTCCTTTTACTTTCATCCGAAACCATTCTTCACCTCGAGTTGACTCGAGCTTTTATTCCTAACACTCGCCTTTCTATCTGCGATTTGCTGGAGCCCATCATTTTTGAAATATCTCCTTATTCTCAGCCGCCAATTGCTGTACTGCCCGTTTTCCCCTTGTCGGCAATCTTAACCTCAAAATATTCGGAGTAGACTCGTCAGTTTCCCCCAGAATGCCAAACTCTCATGCTGTTCACACGCGCTAACGGTTGCACGCAGTTCGTTCGTCTTGCAAATCATACCCCGCCAGTTCTCTCCAGCGTTATATAGTTATCAGACTCGGGCCTCGAATTTCTACTCAGCATAACCAATACGGATCGGCGAACCGACGCCGTAACGAAACGAACCAAATGACATTAGCAACCCTCCGACGGGCAAGATGAACGCGTGGGAGACGGACGACGAGTATGCTTCGGCAGCTCAGCGGCCGTTGCCTACACCCGTAGACACACCCAGTAGGAACTCGTCGCGTCACTCGAGACGCTCAAGGCGGAAGAAGTCCGTATCGCCAGTGCACGCCTCGTCGCCGGGCCCCATACCCCACGCAGATATGCACAACCGAAGGGAGTCGAGAGACGTGTCGCAGGACGAAAACATATCCATACTCGACCCGAGACGTTTCACCCCTACGCTCCATGCGAACCTGGTGGCGGAAATTCTCAACTTGAGACGGGATCAGGAGGAGAAGATACGTGCCATTGAGGGGTTGGAAGAGACTCTCCATGCGTCGAAAGGCGAGGTGGAGGAGCTCTCATCCTCTCTGTCTACCAATGCGAAGGAGAACCGATCTTTGAAGCGCCAACTAGCGCTCCTGGAAGGCGGAACTTCCAATGCGCTCGGGGAGCTGGCAAGAGAGCGCGACGAGGCTGTGGAAAGCATTTCTGATATCAAGAAACGTTTAGATGCTTCCCAGAAGAAGGTTCGCGCGCAGGAGGTGGATTCCGATAGGGTTCACAGCCTATGGGCGCAAGACAAAGATTCCTGGGACGATGAGCGTAGGAAACTCGAACGCAAGGTCCACGTAGCTGAAGGACGCCTAAAGACCGTCCTTGATGAGGTTGCAGCGTATCAGGCCAGCCATCCTATACAGGAGTCCGAGGCTGAGGAGCTCGGAGGTCATGGTAGTGACACGGCCAGCGTACGCTCTATGAGCATGACAAACAGTGTCCGCTTCTCTATGCTCCCTAACGGGTCGAAGCTGAATGGTATGAGTCTTGCTGACGAGCTCGACTTCGGAGACGACGACGAGTTGTCGCAGATGTACCAGGATGGGCGCGAGAGCGTTCTCTCCAACACTCATGGGCGCGAGAGCGTGCTTTCCATGCAAGGGCGTGAAAGCGTTCTCTCCACAACGCATAGGCGCAATCTCAGCCGCGATAGTATGATATCAAGGAACCACAAACATTCCCAGAGCATTGAGAGCGTCAGGAGACCTGGTAGCGTTGCCCGCGGCCGCCTTCTTGCCAACCAGTCCGTATTGGAGAAGCTTGAAGGGCGCATTGCGGAAGGCGATGAAACCTTGGTGCTCAGTAAGCCTGACTATGTTGATTCCAGCACACAGTATTCTCCACCAATCTCTGCCTCGAGCCCAGCTGTACTACCAGATCCCGCGGCCGAACCGCAACCGAGACAAGTTGACAATGTCCAAGGAGGAGAGACGGAGGCCAACCAACGCCGCAAACGCGTCCGAGCGAGTACCCCTGTTCCCCAGGTCGCTCCTCCCAACGCAGCGGATACAATGGTCTCTAGTGCGTGCCAGACCGTTGATGAGCCACTTAGCCCACCGAGAACTCCCACGACACCGATCGCTGTCTCGGAGGTGGAGAAGGAATGTATGATCTCGATCTCAACACAGACTGAAGGTGAATGGGCCCTTGTGGTCAAGGCACCCCCTGTCCCACCAACAATCCCACAAATTTCAATACACCCACCGACCTCCAGACCAGCAACCCCCAAGGAATCGCTGCTACCGCAGTACTTCAAGGACGTTGCGTGCCAAGTCTCCATGCAGGTAGCCGCTCCATACAGCTCCGCTTCCGTGCAAACGGAGGAAATCAGAGTTGATAAGCGATTAAATCTCCTTCCCCTGCACCTACAGCCATCATCAATATCATCATGCCCTCCATCTCCTGAGCCATCAGCCCAGCCCACTGGCTTTTTCACACCTGGCGTGGTGCCGCCGCCTCGAAACCCGCGACGAAAGAAGAGCAACCAGAGCATTGGAGAGCCGCCTTCGTCGCCGCCCGTTCCTATGCGGTCACCTCCTCCCCCGCCAATGTCAGCCGAGACACACGATTCATATCCGGGCAACAATGATGATGGACCTATTTCGATGGACAAGGGGATCAGACGCCCTCCTCGCATTAGCAGCTTGTTCGCTGGCTTTGAGAATGTCAGCTCCGATGACGCGGATGACTTTGCCGATGGTGATCTGAGCGATAGCGACTTCAGGACAGCTCTCTCTGCTCCAAGGCCCAGAAAATCTCTTAACAGAGGCAAACGGAACTCGACTGCACCAACGTCTGTTCCAGAGGATGAGGAGCCTGTTGAGGAAGCTGTCTCAAACCACGTGAAGAAGCAAGCCCGCCAAGCACAAGGGGGCTACGATGCCAACGGCGAGGTGATCTTGCGAGACAATTCGAATACGTCCGGCGTAAAGTCGGCCGTCACGCGAACTATCCGACAATTTGATAAGCCGCTGAGCTTGGTAATGCCACCTGCTCGACCCCAACAGACGACAATGCGCCGTGCTGCTCTTATATCCAATGGCATTGCTGCGCACCAAGGCCGCTCTCGCAGCCCCAGCCTGCCAGATGCTGTCAAGGAGCCACCATTCCCCATTCCGACGCGTGCAAGTTCTCGCAAGCCTCCCTTTAGCGCGAGCGCTCCCAGCGATGGCAGCAGGAGCCCAACTCGGGAACCGTGGTCTCGCCGTTCATCCGTTAGAGGACATCACCGGATCAATAGCATTCGCAAGGTTCGTTCTGCTGCCGCGCTGCCTGATGTTGGTGGCAGATCTCGACGTCGTGGGAGCAGATCCCCGCCGCCGTTTTCGCCGTCGACAGAAGCTCCAGAGAGCCCACAGCTGCCGCCAATGCCGAACAACGAAATCACATCGCCGTACATGGCGCACCGCGATAACCGAAGCTCGTACGGATACAGCACACACAGGAAGCAGCCGTCGAATACCACGGCGAATACATTTAATACCCAACAATCTGCTGGCAGCTCTGTTCAAGCCACTAGCGTGGTTGATGCGATTGCCCAGACTATGGTCGGCGAGTGGATGTTCAAGTACGTCAGGAGGAGGAAGTCGTTCGGAGTCCCCGAGTCGGGAGCCTTGGACAGTGATGCGTCGAATGGCGTTCGTCACAAGCGCTGGGTTTGGCTGGCACCGTACGAGAGAGCAGTCATGTGGAGTAGCAAACAGCCAACTTCTGGATCTGCTCTGATGGGGAAGAGTGGTCGCAAGCGTAAGCAATATCAACTCCTTTCTATATTCATAACTAACAAGGCTACAGTAACTATCCAATCTGTCTTGGACGTCAAGGACGATAATGCGGCGCCAAAGGGCGTTAACAACCTCTTCAACCGCTCCATTCTCATCCTGACCCCAGCACGCGCTCTGAAATTCACAGCAACATCACGAGAACGCCACTACATCTGGCTAACCGCCCTCTCCTTCCTCGCGCACTCCTCCCAAGCCATCCCCGAGGTAATGGCACCGCACCCACCCCCAATCGAAAGCGGCAACTTCGACATCCTGCGCCAAAACGGCGCGCGCCTCCAGAAACAGCCCATCCGCGACTCCATCCGCGTAGCCAAGGGCCGCACAATCCTCTCCACCCAATCCGGCCCAACAACAGCCCAGTCAAGCATCCACCGCGGCGAATACAGCATCCGCACCGACACCAGCACCCGCGGCGGCGCCAGCACCACTGACCACAGCGTCAAGGACATCGGCGGCTCACACGGCGGTGACGGCTTCGTCCCCGACGCCGCGGACCCGCCCATCGTCCCGCGCTTCACCGACCGCGCGCTAATCAGCGGCATCGGGCACGGCCGCAAGCGCAGTAACACCGGGTCGCGCATCCCGCCGCCTCTCTCCTTCCGTGGCTTCTCAGAGCGTGGTGCCATGTCGACGGGGGGGAGCAGTAATGGCGGCGGTGGTGGAGGGGGGTTCAGCAATTACGGACACGCGCCTGCAGGGAGCACGGCGGGGATGAGCGTTGGGACGAATGGGTCGAGCGATATCTATACCGCTTCGCAGCGCTCGAGCTCCGTCATGGGGGGGAATAGTATTTCCTTCTCCAACGGTCTGTCCAACAACTCCAACCGCACCTCTATCCGCACCTCTGACGCGTCGTCGCGGCCCGGGGCGGTGGTGAATAACTTCTTCGAAGCGGTGGGGACGGTGCGGATGGAGGCTTTCATCAGCCCCCTCGCGTTCCCGAGGTCGGATAACGATTACCCAGTCCAGATTGATGATCTGGGGATGGGTGGTGGCGGGTCGACGAGGTCGGGCGCTAATAGGAGGAGGAGTAAGGAGAGGAGAAGGAGGAGTCGGAATAGGGATAGTTATTATGGGCGTGGGAGGGGGGCGTATGCGGCGACGACGGATGTGGAGGATTGGTACGGGAGTAGGACGGCGGGGGAGGAGGAGATGAGGGGGGGTGGGAGGGATGATCCGTTTAGAGGGTTTTGAGGGGGGGAGCTTAATCACTTGACTCTGTTCGTCTGTTATGAGAACGTGTTGAGGGGGTTCGAAGAGGGAGGATTCGGAGGTTGGGACCAACAGTCCACCACCGACAGAAGAGATTCGGTAGCTGGGAGCACCAGTCCACCGACAGAAAGCAGATACAACAACAACAATAACAACAACTGGCGCATCATTTTTACACACCAAAATTTTTGGAGGAAAGGGAAAGGGGGAAAGGGGGCTGGGACCTTGTTTATCTTGTTCTTTTGTTTTTTTTTCGGGAGTATTATACCATTCTTGTCATTCATTTTCGGGGGAGAGAGAAGAGCGAGCTGCCTTCCTTGCTGTTTGCGTGGGCACTCTCTCCCGATTTTTCGATCATATTTTTGATTTGTGTACACAAACCCATTTGTTTGGCATGTAGTTTTATATACGGAGCGGAGGGGAAGGGGAGGGGGATGGGGAGAAATATAAAACTTTTGGATGGGTAGAAAATATCGCTTTCTTTTGGTTTTCCTTGATTTTCCTTGATTTGGCTTCCTTCCTGTGCTTTGATGTGTCTGTTCGCCATATTACCAGCGTCAAATAAGGTGGGAAGTCACGTGAACCAACATATCTAACCACTATCGACGCCGTAGTTCACCCATCACCAATCGGCCCTCATCCGGAGCCTTTTGCTTACACCCTGCCCAGCGCAGCGCCGAGCAATCACGCCCCTGCGTTAGCGCACAGTGGCGCCTGTGTGTGTGTGTGTGCTGGGCATCAGCAATCCTATCAGCACTTATCCATCTCATCTCGCCATCAGCTCTCGTGCAGGAAGATCAGACGGGACGGAGACGGGATGATGGGGAATTCCCTCTGCTTCCCCATCCTATTGTTGTGGCGGGCGAAAGCCACTCTACTTACTTACCTACCTACCAACAAGCTCCATTTCCAATTATCGGGGGAGTGTAGAGCGAGGCTGGCGGGTATTATGTAGCGACCTCCGACTCTCCAACTGGCTGGCTGGCTGTGATTTGGGACGGACGGGCCAAGGCGCCCGCGACCCGGTGTAACCGGTGCAGCCACAACTGACCGGGAAGATTTGTTGTTCTATCATTCGCGCGCATCTAAAAAAAGGGTATCTATCTGACCGACCGAAATGGATGATGTGGCCGCGCCGGGCATATCCGTGTAGTACTCTGGTAGATAGCTGTCTGTACGTACAGTACCCAGCCAGTTATTTGTTCCTGTTTTTGTTTTTGTTTTTCTAAACCCCCACCACCCACCACCCACCAACGCCCAGTAATCGACTCGGTACCATATTTTCCCTCCAAATCCTGTTTTCCCCTTTCCTTTTTAGGAAAAAGGCGAAAAGCGGCTCGACCGGCACCGCGGCAAAATACCCTTTCCCCTTCCCTTACCACACTTTCACATATTACTTGGCAGATAGAATAGATATTCACCAGGGATGAGAGAAAAACCTTCCAGACATCCAGGCAGACAGGCAGACAGACAGACAGACAAGGGCGTAAGGGTACCAACCCACTATTATCTCATCCATAGAATACATACCCGTCCGCTGTTCCCATTGTGGAGATTTTTCTTATGTATCGGACAAACCCCACGCGATACGAGGTTCGATAGTGTGTGTGCTATTCCCTGCCACCCACTCACTACTAAGGATGGGGCGGTGGTAGGGCGGATGGATGGGGTGTGTGTGTGTGAAGGGGTGTGAAGGGTTTTCCGTAACGGTTTGATGAGCCGGCGGGTTTGGTTGGAAGGAAGGTTCTGGACCATTGGTGTGGAAAGGCTTGGGGGGTGGGTGAGTGGGAAGTGGAGATTTGTAGGGCGAGTTTGGCGGTGCTTGGACTGGATGGATGGAGTAGGTAGGTAGGTAGTAGGTAGGTAGGTAGGTGGTGGCGGGTCGAAAACCTGGATTTTTTTCCCTTTTGGTTGGCTGTATTTGGGGGGTTTTGTTATTGTTTTGTTTAGGAGGTGTGTTTGTTTATGGAGGTGCTGTGGTGAGGAATATGGGGAGAGCTGAGGAGTGATGCACACAACGGGAGGAAAATGTGAGGCTTTTTGGAAGTGACGTCGAAGCAAAATGTCAAGGGACCAGACGAGGGAATATGTCAAACGTTTCATATATTTGTACAAGCTCTTCATCTATCCAGAGGTCCAAGAAAGAAAGGTCGAGCTCGTCCAGAGAAGTAAAAGTCTCTCTCTCACCAAATAACTTCCAATCCATCCCCATCAAAAGCGGTTTCACAAGAAGAAAATAAAAAGGTAAGGTTTATGGCCATGAATTAGAGAACACATTAGAGACTCCATAGAGCAATGCAAAACACCGACACATCTTTAAATTAATAAAATCCCTCTCATCTAATCCTCCCGACCGCTTCCACAAAACACCACAGATCCCTTTTATTATATTAACAATTCCATCTCATGAACTCCCCGAAATCGCAAATGTGCCGATATCATCGTGTCCACGTCAAGGGTGTGTGTTGTATATTCTTTGTCCATCTTTTGCAGAAGTCCGGTTCCTGGAAAACCGTTCATCGCGCTAGGTCAAACTCGGAGAGTTTCACCGCTTACAAGATGTAAGCAGCGAGGCCGAGGAGACCAGCAAGGCCGGCGGCGGAGCCGACGACGGCGCGGTTGGCGGCACCCTTGAAAGGAGTCTGGGTTGGCTGAGGAGCCTCGGTGCCAACTGGGACGACTGGGACAACGGGGGTGACCACAGGGGTGGTGGAGTTGACGTAGGTTGGGGCAGCAGGCTGGACGCTGTAGAGGGAGGGGTTGTTAGCATTCTGTGTTTTTGATCTCGCAGATCTCTCGATCTGGAGTGGACTGAAGATCGTGCTTACCAGGTGTTGCAGACGACAACTGGGGTCACGGTGACTGGCTTGGAGATGGTGCAAGGGCAGTCGGTGATGGTGAGGGTGGTGGCCTCAGTGATGGTGTAGGTCTTGTCGTTGTAGGTCAGGGTGGTGGCCTCCGGGCAGTAGGTGGTGTAAGCAGTGACGACCTCAGTGACGTAGGTGACGTTGCTGTGGGCAGCGACGGTGGCCACGAGGGCAGCGGCGACGGCGGCGGCGGAGAATTGCATCTTGAAGATTGGGATTGATTTACTTTAAAAGTAAAAAAGGTGGTTGATTAGATGGTATTGGTGAGGTGGAGAGGGCGTGTGTTAACGAAAGTAAGTGACTAAAAGTCTGGAGTTGTGTGAGTGAGCGAATGTGTTGGGTGAGGAAGGAAGGAAAAGAAGTTGAGAGGGTTGGGAGAGGAAACGATCTTATACGGAATGGTAACCGGTGGTGATGGGTGGGAGGGGGGGGTGGGACCGGGGGGGGAGGGGAGATGGGATGGGATGTGTGATGGGTGTGTGGGTGTGGGTTGTGAGTGCGTTGCGGGTCTTGTCAGGTACGAGGTTTGGTACGAAGTGTACGAGTACGGTACTTTTGGGATGGTGAGAGATCAAGGCCTGGCTGGCTGGATGTGATGGGGAAGGGGAATTTGGCAATTTCGATTCTTTGATGCTACTGCATGTACCTGTTGTGTGCTATTGTGTGTGGATTTGTATATACTGGGTGTGTGATGGTACTTTGGGTTGTCGTATAGGGTGGGTGGAGAGTGGGTGTGAGTGGACGTGAGTGGGTGGAGGGAGGGGACTATGTATGACTGCTGTAGGTGGAAAAAGACGAGTCGAGATGGATTGGATTGGATTGGTACTACTGTAGGGGAGTGTGTGTTGTTGTCGTTGTTGTTGTTGTATTTTTAGGATTCCGTGACTTACTTGGACGTGGCGGGAGTGGGCCGTAGGTTGTCTTTGTGCCTGACTAACGGGGTATATTATTACTGTATGTACTTCGGAGACTAAAAGTGTGTGGGTAAGTAAGCTGGGAAACTGGTGGTAAAGTGTGTGGTAAGCTGGGAAACTACTACTACTAAAAGTGTGTATTACTCTACTTCTACTACTGGGTAAGCTGGGAAACTACTGCTGAAGTGTGTGGTAAGCTGGGAAGGCATCAATCCATCCCGAGTAACCGCGGACGGCAAACGGTGGTGGGAGAGACAAGAGACACATAGAGATCGAGACAAGCAGAGACAGCGACAGAGACAGATACAACGACAGAGACAGATACAACGACAGACACAGACACAGTGGAGACAGACCGAACACGCAGAACACACAGAACACACACAACTCTCCCTCCTAATCCAATTCCATTCTATTCTATTCCTGTCCCTCCCTCACCTCTTCCCGTTTATTAACCCTCCCCAAATCAGCCCAAACCAACCCACACCTCATTAATGCCATATCTCCCATCTCGTACTTCTCCCATCACCCTCATTTATCCCATCTCCCATCTCCCCCATCCATCCCATCCCCCCCCCATCTCCCATCCCGTACCCCCATAAGTGGACACAATGCAATCTTAAAACTCGTCGCAAGTCACACTACCCCCCCAGTACCTCATCCCAAAGCGCACACACAACTCGCCGGCTGTTCCCCCCTCCCCAGTCCAATCGCCCTCACCCACTACAACCCCTACACCCTGTACACTGGCAACCCACTAAGACAATGCCAACACCGCGCTAACCCCAAAACCACCCACACCCCCAGCGGAAACACCTCCATCCCGTTAGTCCGCGTCCTCTCCGATCTCACTAGTGCGGTAGAGGACCCACAGCTCATTTCAGGTACGCGCGCGGTAGGGGAGGTGTGATTGGCTGGATGTGTTGGCTGACAATATGGTCTAGGCCGGGTTTGGGGGACGGAGGGATGGTGGATGGTGGTGGAGGAACAGGCAGGGCGGACGGTTGGTGCCACCCGTGGTTTGATGTGATGGGCGAGGTGGGAGAGGGGAGGTGTGTGTGTGTGTGTGTGGGTGGTGTTGAAGAGTGGTGCTGGTGCTGTTGTGGTGTGGGTGTGTTGTGGGTGTGAGCTGTCATACACCCACCTGCTGTAGCTGTAGCTAGCTGTACAGTCAAGTCGGTAGAGCTTCAAAACACCATGAAGAACCATCACCGCTCTGACCAAATTCGTATGAAGAAACACTCCTCCCTCCTTACCTTACCGCTACCTCAACACATCCCGTATCAGCAAATACAATAATACTACTCTATAAATAACCCCCCAACGAATTACCACCATCCCATCACCGCTCAAACCAACCCCAATCATCGACAATCAGCCTTTTTTCCACACACAGACACACACCCTAGTCAGCATTGCTTTTATTTCCAGCCTCAATATCGATTTTCCTTATCTCCCGGGCCGGATTTTACCTTCCCCTGTTCACCGTCTAGACCACCACACCACACCACATACCTACCACCATAACCACACCACACGAGACCAACCACCACACACAGACACTCCCCTAAACCGACCTGGAACCCGTAACGGGTAATACCAAACAATACAAAAACACAATATAACCCCACAGCGGCAAGGGTTACGATGATTTCACTACTCTTATTATTACCCACTCCATACACAGCTGTGGCGGAAATCAAATAATCACACAAATACGAGCTCCAATTCCCTCTGTGTCATTCAAGTTTTGCCTTCCCCTTCCCCTTTCCTTGGTGGAGAGTGGCGAAAAATCTGGCGAAACTCAATCAACCCACCGGTTCCGCGGCGCGCCGCGGGATATGATGGCAATACAATACCGAGATAACGCATTACTTGTTTTGACCGATACATTACGATACAATACGCTAAGGTCCCGCTTTTTCCACGCGGATGGCACGTCCCGATCATGCCGCCCAGAAATTCCAAGCATTCCCAGCGTTCCGGCCGGAGTGAGATATGAGATAAACAAAGGCGGGTAACCCATCCGTTCATGCATGGAAACCAGAGTGGAAGTTGGGAAACTGGGAAGTAAGTGCGAAGTTACGTTACCGCTGACACTACATGTCTTGTCTTGCTTTGCTTGACATTCCAACTACGTAAGGTGTGGGACGGCACATGTATGCATGTCTGTGATAAGACCGGATCATGTCTTGGAGAAGGAGGTTCCATGCGCGTTTCTATGGAGTTGGTGGGGGAGGGAGGTTTGTTTTGATATGACCTCATCAACACATCCCCCCTCCTCCACGCGTAGAGATAGGGTAGATCAGCTATCTCCCCCCATCCAACGCCCAAATCCGCCGATTCCCCTCCCACAACCTCCCCCAACTTACCCCCCCAACTACCCTCCACCTACAGCTTCGCCCTCCCCTCAATCGCCTTATGCTTCCGTCCGCCCTCCTGGAAATACTCCCTAATCCTCGCCCTCGCCACCTCCACCACCCCCGCATCCTCCACCGTCGCCGGCACCTTAACAGCCTTGTCAAACTCGCCATGCACCGCATTCTCGAGGAGTTCCCTCAGCACCCTCCTCAGCGTCTTCCCCGAGCGGGTTTTGGGTATCATATTCTTCCCCTGGATCGCACCGCCGAGGGACGCGATGGCGCCGATCTGCGAGCGCACGAGGCCTTGGATCTCGGCAAAGACGGCGGGGGAGGGGGTCGCGGAGGTGGGGTGCGAGGGCGTGGAGAGCGTGATGAATGCGAAGGGGAGGTGGCCCTTGAGGGAGTCGGGGATGCCGACGACGCAGCATTCGGCGATGAGGGGGGAGGAGGAGATGGCTTGTTCGATTGTGCCTGTGTGCTTGGTTAGCTTTCATCCCTTTCTCTGATACTGACTGACCCCCTTGCCGCTTCCCCAAGGGAGACGACCACGAGACAACAAGACGACTTACCAGTACTAAACCGATGCGCAGCAACATTGATAATGTCATCCGACCTCGACATAACATAAACATACCCCTCCCCATCCACCATCCCCGAATCCCCCGTATCCACCCACCTCCCCCCAAACCTCTCCAAATACCCCTCATAGAACCTCTCCTCATCCCCCCACAACGTCCTAAACGCTGTCGGCGCCAGCGGCAACGCCATCACAATATTCCCCATCGTCCCCTCCTTCACCTCCACCCCCTCATCATCCACAACCCTAACATCAAAGCCCGGCATCGCCTTCCCCGCCCCCCCCGGCCTGACAGTCAGCGGCGCAACCCTCGTCTTCGCATTACGCTCCGTCCCCGAGTTGGGGAAAGTCGAAATAGCAGAGATAGGAGACCCGGACTCGGATGACCACCAGTTATCCACCACATCCGCACCCTTACCAGCATACTGCTTCAGCAGCCCCTGATACATCGTTATGATACTCGGCTCGGACCTTTCCCCCGCCAAAAACAGCGCATTGAGCGACTTCAACCCACCTCTCTCGCCGACCTCGCGGAAGCGCGCGTTCTCAGGATCATCGCGCTTGATAGCCCGCAGCGCCGTGGGTGCAGTGAAGAGGGTGTTAACCTTATGCTCCTCGATGATACGCCAGAATGCGCCGGCGTCGGGAGTGCCGACGGGCTTGCCTTCGTACAGCACCGTCGCGGCGCCGGTGAGGAGGGGCGCGTACAGGATGTAGCTATGCCCGACTACCCATCCCAGATCAGAGGCGCAGAACATCACATCGCCTGGTCCACGGATGCCAAAGGCATAGCTAATCGACAAATGCAACCCCACCGCATGCCCGCCCGCCTCACGCAACACCCCCTTCGGCAACCCCGTCGTTCCAGAGGTGTAGATGATATAAAGCCCATCCGACGACTTCACCGGCACACATCCCGCCTTCACCCCGCGAAACCTGGCACTCCTAACCGACCTCTGCCAATTCCTCTCCCCCGCCGGCTTATCAAGCTTCCAACGCAGCTGGTCGCGCTGCCAGATTATCGTCTTGGAAGGCTTGTGGGACGACAGCGCGATAGCTTCCCGCACGAAGGGCGTGTAGCTCACGGCGGGCTTGGAGCCGTCGATGCCGCACGAGGCGGTGAGGAGGGCGACGGGCTTGGAGTCCTCGATGCGTTGGGCGAGGGCGGCGGGGGCGAAGCCGCCGAAGACTATGGCGTGGATGGCGCCGAGGCGCGAGATGGCGAGGGTGCCGATGAGGGTTGCGGGGATCATGGGCACTGCGGTTTTGTTAGTTTAGGGCCCTCTCTCCATCGGTGTAGGGTAACTGAGGGAAATGGACGGGGATTAATTGATGGCTGGGAAAAGGAGGCGTACTATACAACAACACCACATCCCCCCTCTTAACCCCCTCCTCCCTCAACACCCCCGCAAACACCTCCACCTCATCCAGCAACTGCTTATACGTATACGTCGTCTTCCCCCCCGTCACGGGACTCTCCCATATAATCGCCGTACTATCCCCATTCCCAGCCTCGACGTGGCGGTCAACGCAGTTATAGCAAGTCGAGATCTCGCCGCCGGCGAACCACTCCCAGTGGTCGTGCGATATGCCGGATTTAAGCGTCTTTTGGGTGAGCGTGAGGGCGCGGGTGGGCTTCTTGTGCCATGTGAGTTGGGCGGCTTGCTCGCTCCAGAAGGATTCCGGGTCGGTGAGGGAGCGGTGCTGGAGGGCGTCTTGGGCGTGGGGTGGCATTGTTGGTGGTGGTTGGGTGGTAATCTGGTGAGGTGTTAGTGAGTGTTTGATGCCATTTATGATGTAAATGCAATGCCAGACTGAGCTGCTGCTAGATCTCTCTCTCTCTCCCCTTCTCAACATCGCCGAATTGGCAACACAAAGAACCATACGCCCAACCAAGCACCGACGGATAACCCCACAAACCTACCTTCAAAGCTCTCAGTATTCTCTCTCACACGCTTCAATGCCAAATAATCCGTATAATATCATAAACCTCGTAGAAATAAAATGATCGATACGCTGAATGAAGCTTGGAAACACTTCCCCGCCTCGAAGCTCGGGATGCACAAATGTGCCATCTTTTATAGTACAAGGTACGTCCTGAGACCCGGCTGGATTACCGCATAGAGGTGCACGTGATCTGGGGTTGTTCCTTTTACCCGACGACCAACCGAAACACTGTCATATCTGTATGATTTGGGGAAAACATGAATTTTATTTGGGGATTGGATTGGGGGGGGGTTATACTGTGGTGATTAAGCTTTGGATGTGTTGATAGGTGCTAGGATGGGTTATTGGTGTAGTGGAATAGGTTTAGGTTTTAACTTTTATCTTCTAACTTTGTCAATGCGGACACTCATGGTATTCTCATTTTCGGTGTCTGGCTAGATAGTCTCCGTGTTGACGGGGATGTTGGCAGATGATGTAGTCATGGCAGTATGACAGCGCTTATATCCCCGATCCGTCCTGCTGTGAGATTTCTTCTGGGGGCAATCGATGTAGAACGGTGCATGTCTGACCTTCCCCATAGGTGTCAGAGATATAAGCTTTAGCTAAGCTTCCTGGGGAGGTTCGTTCCATTTACCTCGCAACTGCGGCGTGCAAACTATCAACACCGCAACAGGAGGGAATTAAAAGGATAACTTGTTGTCAAAGTTCAATCTGGTTCTCACATCGATGCCTGTCCCCTCCGCCTGACGTCAAGCATGGGCAAAGGACGTCTAGGCACAACATCAGAGATCTCACATCACATCACGCACAACTTCATCAAACGCACACATGTTTTCAACACAAAAAAGCTTTTGATTGTCCGCTCATCACATCGTTCCACAAAAACGCGAAACGACGGGCTACTCTATCAACCAAGCGCAAAAACGCATCAACAACCAACATAAAAAAAGAAGCCCCCATTTAAAAGTTAGAATTCCAAAAAGCAAAAAACATAAAAAGCAAGATAGTGTCATCATGGTCATCATAAAAAAAACTTCTCTCATAGCACCGGAGGCTAGAGTAGTAATGGGGGACTTGGGGGAGAGGGGGGAATGAACTCCGTCCACGACGCCTGGTTTCATCAAAGACGCAGGGACAGCCGTCCCATCCCATATCCCATATCCCATTTCCCATTTCCCGAGCCGAGCAAGCACCGCATTGTATAATCTGTCAAAAAAAAAGCCCCAGATCATGAAAATAAAGATATTTCCCCCCTCCTTGCCTCCCTCCCTTTCTCTTCGTTTGGGAGGGAGGGGAGAGGGGCGTGCGTCCATTTTTTCATTTCATGTTTCCCATCTCAAAAATTTCAGTAGTCGTTAAAAAGGGTCGGCGTGTGTGTGTGTGTGTTTCGTTCGTTAACTTGGGGCAAAAACGTTAAAAAAATAGGGTTCGGTATCAGTGTGTATTTCGTGTGCGTGTGTGTGTGTGTGGTGCGTATGCATGCCCCCCTTTCGTGAGCAGGGGCAAAACACACCAAAGGGGAGGTAAAAAAGGTCGAAGGCACACTTTCGTTAAAGACGTCCCAAGGAAAAAGATTGTTCGAATGAGTGTAGTTTTCGTGTCATTGATAAGGCGCGAAGAACAGTGGTCTTTTTGGCCAACTGTTTCTTGCCATCAGGGCGTTCGTTAAAGAGGTTTTTTAGGTGTATTTTTTTGGTGGTGGAGAGGGGTGCTGAGATGCCGTTGCTATGCCAAAGAGTAAAAAAAATGGGGGTAAAAATCGCCAACGTCTATAGTACGGAAGGACTGCTGCGTCAAGTCATTCATTTGATTGCATCATCGTCGGCGCTGGGAGATGGTCGCGCGAGCGCGGTTGAGGGGCGCGTCGTAGTTGAGATTAGGCGCCGAGTCTTCGCGGATTGTTCTCCTCCTCTTCAAGCCATCGGTCTCTCCTCCTGCATCGCGGCTTGAGGGCCGTTGATCGTCATCGTCATCGCGGCTCCTCTTACTGCTCGGCGTGGCGCCGTTGGTAAGGGGCTGGCCTGCAAATCCGTTTGTTAATGGATTACCCAAGTCTGACTGGTTGCCGTACATTTCATTAGTTGAGCTTCCATTGGCGGTGCCTCGTTCGCTGCTCATTACATTATACAGATTACTCGACGGTGGTTGGGCTCGTGGAGGAGTGCTATATCCGCCCTGGTGTTGGGAATAGTAGGCCTGTGAGGTCGTGGCGGTGCGCGGTGTTACATGGCCAGATCCGCCGTTGTGGTTCGGCGAGCCTGTCAACTCGGGGGAGATATGGGCGTGCTCGCCTGTGATGGAACCGACTGGAGGACCAGGCGCGTAGTTGTACGAACCACGGTTCGCATCGTAGGCGGCGGCGTTATCATGGGCATAGTCCCCATCGTGTTCTGCCTCCTCTTCTGGCTGAGAATGGCTCACTTGATCATTGCCTTGGCTGTGGTGGATGAGACCGTTGGGGAGTTTGGTATCGTGGTGCTCGCCATCCGACACGGACCCTGCCGCGCGCCCTGAAGGAGGGCCCATCTCATTCTTTATGTATGCACCAGTCTGATTGTACCGGCCCATGTTCGTCTGAGCGCCATTCGGTTGAGGATACGCACTCTGTTGCAGAGGCGGCGCAGAGTACATTTGCTGTCTAGACGTGTCGTATGATTGCGTTGTTTGCTGGTACTGTTGCATGTTTTGAATGGAGGTTCCCGGTGGTGTAGTAGCAGGAGTTGTAGGCATCGACCGGGCGTTACTCAGCCCAGTATCAATCGCGAGCGGGTTGGACCCTTGAACACCATTTAGGTTCTGTCCACCCCATTGGAACGAGCCATCAGAAGTCCCCATGTTTCCCATCACGCTCGAGGCGCTGGTTGGGGGGGTCGGAAACGTATGCGAGCGCTGGATGTCTGGGCGGCCACCAATCCCCTGGTGCCCCGATACGGAGTGCTGCGGGCCTGGCAACGAGCCACCTCCAGAGTTATGCATCGAGTGGTGATGATGTGACTGCATGGAAGGCAGGTTGGGAGCTTGCGGGTTTCGCATCTGGTTTTGCTCCTGCTTTCGGCGCTCAGCCGCAGCCATGACACTGTGCGACCTCGTCTGGTTTGACGGGTGGTAGAGGAGCGCGCCGATGTTGTGGACAAAGAGGGGGTACAGCAGCTCCGTGATCTTCTCCTTGTTGGCGAAGTCCAGAGCGCGTTCAAACGGTATCCAGACGCCCTTGAGGTGCATCGGCCCAATCTTGACCACGTGTCTCATCTTCTCACTTTTTAATATGCCATCTCGGCGTCCTCGAGTCATGCCCGCGACGTTCAACAGCTTGGTTCCGTTAATCATATGGTTATCTTCTCTCCTCGCAACACAGATGCCCTTGGCCTCTACCTGGAAGCAGAGACTCCCTTCATCCTCCCAAAGCGTCGCCGTCACCCTGGGTTTCATGCCAGGAGGCGCGATTTGGCCCGTCGAATCGAACGGTTGCTGCTGCTGTTGAGGATATCCTTGCCCGTGCATGACTGGCTGCGCTGCAGTTAATGACGGCAGCGACAGGACATTCGGTTGAGACCCTAAAGAGCCCGAGACCTGCCCCGATTGCTGAGGCGATGTGAGGCCATTAGAATATCCATACTGTCCATAAGAGCCCGGTGCGGCCGAGTACTGCCCCGGCACGGGCTGAAGCGACGGCGGTTGCTGGTGGTGTGGGTAATGACCCAGGCCACCAGATGTCACGGTCTGCGGTGCTGGGGCCTGTCCGGCCGACATATGTGTGGAGTAATACATATCAGGAGGCGCCTGGTTCATATTGTTGTATGACTCTGGGCTGTACTGATATCCAGTGGCAGAATTGCTCGCTGGTGTCTGATGCGACAGAGTTTGGAGGCCTCCACTAGCTGGCAGAGTGGGAGATTGGGATTTCGCGCCGTTTAACTCAACTGAGTACGACGTGTCTGCGGTACTGTTGGTGTATGCTGACGAGATGGAGCCAAACCGAGGGGATGAGGCACTGGACGAATAGGCCACTTGCGGCTGTGGCAATGGCAACGACGGCAACCTCTCATTCACATGCGACGGCCGCTGATAAGACTGCAGGCTGTAGGACGGAATGTTGCTCGGTCCCCGGGTTGAGGCGTGGGAGAGAGACGGGAGATCCAGCTTTTCGGTAGGGCTGGGTCCTGATATAGGTAAAGAGACGCGCGATCCGTTGGCGATTGAAAACGCAGGTGCAAAGTGCGTATAGGCGGGAAGGGTATGTTTACGTGACAAACTTGGCGTCGTTTGCAGGAAGTGGACGAGCACAGCTTAGAGCCAACTTGGGGAAGAAGGCTGCAGAAAAGAACTATGTGGTAAAGTTTTTGTGGGAACGTGCGGGGGAGTTGTGATGATGCTTCTATGCTCGCTGCAGGGTAAAAGAAGATGGATATCGCAAGTTGGTATTCGTTAATGCGGGGGAATATTCAATGAGCAGAACGTGTATATCGTAGAGTTCGTTAAGAGTCGTTGGGGGGGGGAGAGGGAAGCTGCTGTACTCTTGCCAATTGAGGCAGTCTGGGACGTGAATATTTTGGCGGCGAGGGTCCTGGGGCGCGTAGGCGTTTATGTGGCCGAGGAAGAGCTCGTAAGGTCGTTAAGGTCGTTTGGGCGTGAACGTAGTAAGAGAGCCAAGCAGCGGCAACAGTAGTAGCAGCGGCGTAGTAGCAGTAGTACCACCTGGAGGCTCGTAGAGCTCCTTGAAGAATATTTGAAGTGTGAAGATGACAATGTCCTCCACCACTTTCTAACATAAGAAAAAAAGTGTCAGCGGCCGTCGAATGCACGCGCAATGTATGTCTTGAGGGTGAGACTGGGAGGACAAAGACGCGAGGAGAATTGGCGACAGCAGCCGAGATGGAGATTTGCCTAAGACGTACCTGATCGGGGCCAACACCTCACCAGATAGATACAGCGATGGGGGAATAGAATTCGATTTGGCGACGGAGGGAGACGACGCGGGGAGAGGGGGGAAGGGGAAGAGGGTAGAGGGAGGGAGGAGGAGGTTATGGAGAGGAGGAGGTTAAGAAAGAGTTTTGAAGAAGAGGTTGAAGATGCAAATGCAAGTGGATGTTGGATGTAGTATCGGGGTGTGGAGGTTTACCTTAGTAAGTATACAGGTCATAGCAGGGAGGAGGAGGAGCATTAGCGACAGCAGATTTCGGGAATTGTGAGTGGTTGGGCGGGGAGTGGAGGTAGGTGGAGAGGGAGTAGAGCTGTCCTCGCTACGGCAAGAGTGCTGTACAGCACGCGGATCAGAGGTGCAAGGACCTAGGCAGGGTTTTGGGAGGATTAGAGGAGTGGGGGGGGTGGGTTGGTAGGGATTTGGGGGGGGGGGGGGGGTGGTGAGCGGGAGGAGGAGGAAGAGACGAGGAGAGAGGAGGTTGGTAGTAGTGGTAGTAGTAGCAGAGGTAGGGTAGAGTAGTTTTAGTAAAGTTACTAGAGTTAGTAGAGTAGTTAGGGTAGGAGGGTGTAGGTAGAGAGAGTACAGTACAAAAGTAGAATACTATGTATACTCTACTCTACACCTACACAAGCCACGATTGGAAGGGGCAGGGGAAGGGATATGATGGGATGGGGGGTGTGGGATTAAGAATAAGAATTTGAGTCCTTTTTTACAGTTCACAGTTCGTGTTGTTGGTTGTATGGTGTCAATTGGTTAGATGGTGGGGGAAGCGAAGGGTTTCGTTTACCTTGATGATGACTAAGCGAGTTAGTTAGTGGTGTTGTGTTGTGTTGTTAAGGGTAAAAGGGCAGAAAGAGCAGATTATAGTAGAGTGTTTGTGGTGAGTATTTGGTGGTGGTGGTGGGAATGTAAGTGGGAGTGGGTGGATGAAGATGATGGCTGGCACTGGTGGTGTTGGTGGTGGGCGGAGAAGACTCGATGGGGGTTGGGAAGGTTGAAGCTGGGCTGGCTGGCTGGGGGGGGGTGTGAGAACAGCCGACGGTTGTAGGCGGAGTACCCTTCATCGTACTTTTGACGACGAGATGCCCTGCTCTGTTTTTAGCGCCGGTATGGTTGAGAATAGAGGGTCTGACCGTGCGTGATTGGCGGTTGGGGCAGAGTGGGATGGGGGGCAGAGGAGAGGGTAGTATGGGTAGTACACTTACTGGCGCCAGGGTATCTTTTTAGTTTTAGCGCGGTACTTTTGGCAGTCGAGCAGGTACAGGCTGGTAGGGTAGAGTGAGTACCTTTGGCGCGGTCGCGGTCGGCTGTGTGTGTGTGGCGTGGCTATAAGAAACTGACAAGGGGTCGATCGGCGTCCAACGAAGGGGGGCCATTGGCAATTGGAGGGGCTGGGGGAGGCAGCGGGTAGGTGAGGGGAGGGGGGAGGGTGAGGTGATGGATGGGAGGGCAGAGGAGTGGAGAGGAGAGTGCCAACATGAGAAGCGAAGCGCGGGAGGCTGAGAGGCTGAAGCTGAGTAAGGGAGAGTAGAGCGGTAGAGTGGCAGAGTAGATAGAGAAACTATGGTAATCTAAGGGAACGATGTATGGCAGTTTAGTTTTTGAGTGTATGTGTGAGAGTGTGCGTATGTGTACGTGTGTATGTATGTGTGTGTGTGTGCGTGTGAACGTGACTGCGAGGCACAGATCTCCGTGCCTGCTGTATCTGTGTCCATCTATCTGTATCTGTATCTGTCAACTAGACAACACGACACAACACAACACAACACAAAGCACTTGGAGGTACCAGCCCATCTATGATCTATCGCGCTCTTCGGACCGTACCAGACGAGTCGTACGAGTCGTGCGATTGAAGGCAAGGAATAGAAAGGCAGGGCAGGCCTGGTGTGCTCCGTGGCAGGGTTTGACAGATAGATACCCGGCCAGATGCCCATCATAGTACACGTTTAGTCGTTTAGTCGTCTCCTCGTTTCCTCGTTTCTCTTTTTCTTCCCCCCCCCCTCCCCGACTCCATATACCGGAAGGGGAGTACTGGAGTACTGAGTACTGTATTTTTTTTTTGTTTCTTACTCCATACAGATCAGACTTTCCCTTCCAGCCAGACACAGGGCAGATAGGCCAGACAGAGCCAGACATAGCCAGACAGAGCCAGACTGAGGATGGCCCCGAGAGGAGCGGGCAGGACAGACGTGGTTGCCTGTCATTGGTCGATTATAAGTACACACCACACACAAGGTAGGGTACGTACTCTTTTTGGGTCGTCTATACGCTGGCCCTTCGCGCGTGTGTGGGTGAGAGGTGGGAGGTGGGTGTGTGAGCTGGTGATGTGTGTGTGATCTAGTCAGTCCAGTCCAGTCCTATAGTAGTACTCCTCTCTCCTCCGTCAACCCTCAACCCTCAACTTTCTCTAGTGCTCGTTGGATGGTCTGTTATTTGTGGTCCTATGTGGTCCTATGTGCTGTGTGGCTGGCCTTTTCTATCTCTTCTCATCCTGTTCCTCCTCTGCTCCCCCACCCGCCGCCCGGCCCCCCCCATCTTCTCCCCTAACCCCCGTTTCCCCCGTTTCCCCCGTCGTCCACCCATGTCCCCCTGTCCCTCCGTCCACCCCCCGCCCCACAGTAGAGTACTAAGTACACACATACATGCACAACGCACACCGTCACTTCCACACCCACTCCCCTTCGTTCCCCTCATCCCTCCCCCTCGTCACCTCAACACACCTCACACCCCCCCTACCCTACCACCCCCCCTACCGCCCACCCCCCCGTCCGCCCATCCATCCATCATCTTTTTCATTCCCATCAAATCGCGCGCGTCCCCTAGAAGCTTGGATCGCTCTACGGGCAGACTACGGACGGCTGCACTGCACTGCGCTGCGCGGCGCGGCATCTGCACCTGCACTCCGGGAACTAGCTACTAATAGAAGATGCACAACGCACAGCGCACAACGCACAACGCACATACATGGTACTTTGCATAGTACGGAGGTTGAGAGGGGGAGGAATAGAGTAGATAGAGGGGAATATATGAATATACTCATCGTAGAGTTACTAACTCTCACAGTATAATACAGTCCTAGAGTTTGTATGTATGCATCTTGTACACTTTCTCTCAGGAGTACTACGATGGTACTATGTGTATTACAGATTACTCTCATCAATTTATACACGGGTGCCTTTTATACACACTCACTCAATCGTCGTCTGTCAGTCTGTCAGTTCCTATCTGTCTCTCTTTTCTCTCCTCCTCTCCACTCTCTCTCCACTCTCCACTCCTCTCTCTCGTCTCTCTGTCTTGCCTTGTCTCGCCTTGTCTGTCTCTCTGTCCCTGCCGACTTCCATGAGTTACTATACCAAAGTACATGTATATTCTACTCTATCCTACTCTATCCTATACTTACTTTGACTGGCCCTGTTAAGTAGACTGACTATTCTCTCTACCTATCCTATCCTGTCATGTGCTCGGCTCATACGTGTCGCAATTCAACTACTCTGCCTTGCTCCTTCCTCCTCCTAGCCTCGTTACTTCGGTCCTCCCTTATCCGGCCGCCCATCGGCCATCAGACACTCCTCAACTCACCTTTTCCCCATACCCAATCCTTGACTTAACCCAGTCCAGTACTCAGCTACGCCCCCAGATCGTGTGTTCTTGATCTTGATCTTGATCCCGATCCTCCCCCAAACCTTCCCACCTGCTCTTTACAGCAAATGCACTCCGAGACCAGTCGTCTCGTCTGAACTGTCTCGACTCTTCTGTACAGCAGCATTAGTGCACATCATCTCTACTCTAGACGTCTGTACTATGCTCTCGTCTGTATGTACAAAATATGCACATGCCGTCCTATGCTGCGTCCTATGTATACTCCACACCGTGCACAAAACCACAAAACCACAAAACCACAAAAAAATCGCTGTGTTCCTGCCACGGACACTCCTCTAGCCTCTGTGCTTGCGACGGCTACTTGCAGCGGGACATGATTTTCCTTTTCCTTGCGCCGCCATTTCCGATCATCACGTAACTACCCTAGCCCCAAATCCCACTTCTGTCTCCCCACCTTGCCCCTTCCCAACCTAGTCTAGCCCTGTGTCAAGGAACTGAAAGCCTGCGCTTCCAAGGGCAGGCTTTACAGGCTCTCCCTCAAAACTCTGTACTCCGGATACTTTCGCTGCTTGCTCTGTTACTCTGCGCTGCGGTGCGAGATGGAGCCATGGAGACAGGCATGCATGGCCCAGACGATGAGAGACATACAGCACCACACAGAAACATCACCCGCTTCCGCGCCCCCTCTCCCCCCGACCACCCTTCCACCAAACCACTCCCACCCCCCTCCCTTCCTCTTCCCCCTTCTCCCCCATACCATACCACCCCTCCCTCCCCGACCTCCCCAACTCAGACGTCCCGTCCTGGCTGAACGCTTGTTGTTCCAAATGCTAATGTATGCCTTGCATCTGCACGCACACATTACCAAGGTTATTATTCCCCGCCGAGACATCCCGAGCGATGACGGCGGCTCTGTCTGTAAGCTGTAAAGCTGTAGCTGTAGCCGTGATGTAGTGTGGCTGTACTATTGCTGTACTATAGCTGTACTCTAGCCGTAGCTCCTACCAGATTTACCAGTAGCTGTGGTATAACTTGCTTTCCCCTTGCAACGGTACGGTGCGGGAAGTTTAGCGGTAAGATGCGCGGATACGCATCACTGGCATGAGCGTACATCCTCTAGCAACTGCCAGTGCGGATCAGGCGTCTGTCGGTACTAAAGAGCACATGATGCTGTACCTCTACTGCACCGCCCGCCTCCCCTTCCAGCAAGGTACGCGTATCAGAGTACGATCTGATTTTCGCGGTTCGTTCGTCCATCACTCAGTCCACATTTAAAATGTTTCGGTTTCGGCCGCGGATAACTGCGGAACAGACGAGACAAGACAAGACACACACAGACTCACGGACTCTTTCCCGATATAGCGGCAGACACATATAGCTACTGTAAAAAAAGAGAGAGATGCACAGCCACTATATTAGAGTATTTCTTAAACATTCAAAGCTGCATGGTGAGATCATGTAAAACTAGTCGCGCCTTAAATAAGTCAGTGTTTGTTAAACCGTCGAGAAAGATGGCGGCTCTGGTCTTTTTTGGCTCGGTTACCGGGGCGACTACTTGGCACATCAACACAACCCAACTTTATTCACCGATAACCACACTCCGCGACCGCTGCCCATGGAGTCAGCGTAAGCTACCAGCACCAAGTGACACGCGCAAATTCACAGCAAAAGGGACGAAAGACAGTTGTATATCCCCGATAAGCCAGCAGTCAGAGGATGGCGCAACCCCTCTCCGCGAAATCCAACACCGCAATGAACACGTCGACATCACCGCTCAAACAGCACATGTCAACAAATATGTACCAAGACCCTGACGCGGACCTGTCTGAAGGGCCACCCAGCTCGCCCTTCATGGCAAACGGCAACAGCCAGTCCGAGAACATCCCCCCCGCGAAGCAGGAGACTGCCTCACCGTCGCCGTCGCCCGCGAATCGAAATAGCGTGGTGTCTCCCCTGAAGATGCTGAAGATCCGCTCGATCCAGTCCGACGCAAGCACACCCTCCCAAAGGAGTCCGCGCAAGATATCCTCCCCAGACCGTCGCTTCCCCGTCAAGATCGCGCTCTCGCCCACGCAGGAAACCCAGCCCCAGTCCCAACCTCAACCTGCGCCCCGACAAATCCAGGAGACGACCCTAACCATCAACGACGTGCTGCGCGACAACGAGGGCCTCACGAAAGCCATCCAGATCCTCGAGGACGAAGACAGCGACGACGGCACGGGCGACGACTACGCCGATGCCGAATCGGGCTTCGACGATACGGTCCTGACGCGCAATGGCGGCGATGACGAGGGGTTCGCGGACGAAACGGCATTCAGCGCCTTCTCCGCCGTCCCCGACATGACGATGTACGCACAAATCGGGCACACGCCGACCAAATCCCTTTCCTCGCGCGCGCCCCCCAACCTCGCCTCCTCCTACACGCCCGCGACGCTGCGTCGGCCGATGCGCCAGGACGAATCGTCGCCGACACCGCGCCGCGAACAGCACGACACTACGAATATCATCGATTTCACGGAGCAGTTCAACAACTTCAGCACCGCGCGACACAGCTACGAGTCTCCGCTGAGGAATCAAAGCTCCTACACCAACAGCAGCAGCAGCAGTAGCGCGCGGACCCCCTCCCCTAACAAACACCGCAGCTTCCAAGTCCCGTCTTCAACACGCATGTCGAACCTCCTGGACTTCGATATCCCCCCCGCCCCGACCCCGCGGAGCATGCCCTCCGTCACACCGCGCGAGCTCGAGGGATTAAAATCCGCTCTCCTCTCCGAGATAAGCAGTCTGAAAGCCTCGCTCTCGGGCAAGGAAGCCGAAGTAGTCTTCCTCAAATCCGCGATCGGCGACGCGGAGAAGCGCGCGGGGGATGGGATGGAGATGCTCCGCGACGAGCGTTCGGCGCGCGAGCAGCTGGAGGCGGAGAAGGAGGCGTGGGAGAAGAGGGGACGGGAGATGGAGGGCGTGCTGCGCAATGTGAAGGAGGAGATTGTGCATGCGGAGCGGGAGAGGGAGGATCTAGAGGGGCGGCTGGACGAGAGCGAGAAGCGCCGCGAGGCGGCGGAGGGGATGGCGCAGGAGGCCGAGTCGAAGATGGCGGGCATGCGTGCCGTCGCCGCACAATCGGCCGCCGGCTCCGGATCACCGGGCCAGGACGCGGCGAAGAGGGCGGCGGGGGCGAGCGCGGCGCACGAGGTGGAGTTTGCGGTCGAGAAGGTGGCGAGGGAGTTGCATGCGCTGTATAAGAGTAAGCATGAGACCAAGGTCGCTGCTTTGAAGAAGAGTTATGAGGGGAGGTGGGATAGGAGGGTTAAAGAGCTCGAGGCTAAGGTTGAGGACCTCGCGCACGAGAATGAGGATCTCAGAATCGGTCGCGACGCGACGATGAGCGGTGTCGTCCCGCGCATGCCTGTTGACGACGTGACGGAGGAGCTGCGCGCGAATGCGGCGATGGATGCGCAGATCGTGAGGGAGCTGGAAGCCCGCCTTGAGGGCCTGGCGCAGGAGGTGCAGAGTTTCAAGGCTGATAACGCCGGGTTGCGAGAGGAGCTGCAGCAGGAGAGGATTGAGAAGGGGGAGCTGGTCGCGGCGTGTGATGAGCTGCTTGCGTTGCAGGAGGTGAGCGCGGCGAGGGGCCCGGCGGTTAGTAGCGGGGTGGAGAATCTGAGGGGGAGTATAAGTAGGGCGTCGGGGTTGAGGGCGCCGAATTATAGTGCTGGTGGCGCGGGGGAGAGCAAGATTAGACCCCCTGGCGGCGGTGGTGGTGGTGCGGCGGCGGGAGATAGGGCGAGGAGTGGGAGTGGTGCGCAGGGGAGGCCGGGGAGTGGGTTGGGGATGAGACCGGGGAGTGGGCTGGGGATGAGGCCGGGGAGTGGATTGGGGGGGCGGAGTGGGATTATGGGGTCGATTGAACGGATGGGGAGTTATAAGGGACGGGATTAAGGTTGGGAGGCCGGGTTAAGTTGTTATTATGATTCTTGGGAGGTAGGGGTATTAACGTAGAATATGGGATTAACGAGTCAAGCCATGTATAGATAGGATAGTGGAAACAGCAATGGAATCCCACGCCTCTTTCTCAATTCTCTCTTCATTTCATTTATCATCTATATACGCTCTCATTTTGATTTTCAATCCGTCCTTCTCTTCCTTCCTCTATCTCATCTATATCGGCAACTGCTCATGCTTCCACTTCTTCTGGCTCTCACCCTCCCCATACTCGGCCGTGATCTGGCCCTGCCCGCGCAGCTTGTACTTGTAAATCATCAACCCCTCGAGTCCCACGGGTCCTCTCGCGTGGATCTTATTCGTGCTCACGCCCACCTCTGTGCCGAACCCGACGCGCGTACCGTCCGCCATCCGCGTGGAGGTGTTCCAGAATACACCCGCTGAGTCGACGGCTGCCATGAAGCGCTCTGCTAGCTCGGAGGAGGAGGTTAGGATCGCGTCGGTGTGGTGAGAGCCGTGTGTGTTAATGTGCGTTATTGCGGCCTCGGTGGAGTCGACTGTCTTGATGGCGAGCTTGAGGGATAAGTGCTCGGTGTCGTAGTCTACGGGCTCGGAAGCCTGGATAGACTCGTTGGCGGGCAGCTTCTCGTCGAGCACTTTCTTACTCTCCTCGTCGCAGCGCAGGACGACACCCTTGGCCAGCAGTGCTTCCGCTACTTTCGGGAGGAGACCGAGGGCGGCTGACTCGACGAGGAGGGTCTCGGCGCTGTTGCATGCGGCGGGGTAGGTGGTTTTGGAATCGACGATGACTCTCGTGGCTAGTTCTTGGTCGGCGCTCTGCTCGAGGAAGATGGAACAGATCCCGTCAGCGTGGCCGAGGACAGGGATCTTAGTCGACGACTTGACGAAGCGGACCAGCTCGTTGGAGCCGCGCGGGATGACGAGGTCGATGTACTGGTCCAGCGCGAGGAGTTGGGGGATCACATCGCGGGTCTTGATGAGCTGGATGGCGTCGTTGGGGACGGCTGTGGAGGAGAGGGCGCTGGAAATTACGGTGGAGATGGCGACGAAGGATTCGGTGGATTCTTTGCCTCCTGTAGTGTCTGGTAAGTTTGGGTCTCGGGGGATGTCGGACGGGGCGTGCGTACCTTTTAGGATGGCTGCGTTGCCGGACTTGATTGCCAGCGCGGCTATGTTTGCGATGACCTCGGGGCGGGCCTCGAAGATGATTAGGAGGACGCCGATGGGGCAGGTTACTCTCTCGAGGTCTAGGCCATCATCTAGGCGGGTGCGGAGGGTGACCTTGCCAACTATGAGAAGCATTTCTTAGCATATATCATATTTGAATGCAGGGACAGCATTTAGTTACCTGGATCATCCAGCCCACGCACATCCAGTATCCCCTTCAGCATATCCTCCCACTTCCCCGGTTTCCCCAGGTCCAGCCTGGACACAATACTCGCGCTCAGCGATCCGTCCTCGGCCGCCTGCCTGGCGGCCGTCAGGTCGCGCGCATTCGCCGCCAGGATCTCGTCCTTGGATTGGGAGAGGGCGCTGTGGATTGCGGTGAGCGCATCGTTTCGGGCGCTCGAGGAGAGGGTTGCGAGGGTGTGAGAGGCGATTTTGGCGGCCTTGCCGGCGTCGACGGGTTGGGCGTTGGAGAGAGACATTGAGTGAGGGGTATAAATAAGCTCGGACTTGATTTCGAGATGGCGGGGCGAATTTGAGAGAACAGCTTTTGTTGCTGTGGGCTGGGGGGGAGAGGCAATGTCGTCGCTAAATAGAATCAGGGTATAGAGGAATCAACTGATCGCAAGTTTGTAGTTGAGGGTGGAAAAGCTCGATTGCTTGATTTATAATTCTTTGAGAATCATTTGTGAGAGATAGATTGACTCAAAGACACAATCCGAGATCAATCCGAGATACAATCCAATTGGTACCTGACGTCGCGGAAAAACCATGCTTCCGCAACCATCCCGCATGTGCCGCCGCCTTGAAGGTACAGTACAGCACGATAGCTATCACAGTACATAGTTTTCCGGCTCACGGCAGAGGACTCATCCACTTTTGGCAGCACGGTCTCTGACGCCTCTTGCACACTGGTAGTGCTTGCAGGATCTTTATTCAGCTTCTCCTCTAAGCAATACCTTGAAGGTAGGTAAGGCGTCTTGCTAAAGAAGCTATCGCGTGGGCGCCTGGACCACAAATCTGACGTTTACCTCACAACTTATCGACCTCACAACGTCACGGCTTGACAGTAACTCGCCCTACAGACGGAAATGGATAAACTACTTCCATCGTTGCTTTCCTTTCCAGTTCATCCGCCGCCCATTCAACCTCTGTCCGACGAGCACTATGACGAGACCATAAAGTCGCAGATCAAACATATCAAGAAGCTTGCCCCAAAGACACTTCTCCAGAAGACTTCTGGGGGTGAAGATATTCTCGATGTTAGACTCTCACCGCTCTAATTCACTGCTATTGACTGACTTCGTGCAGATTATCAACCCGGCGCTGAATTCAATACCGTATGCGTTTGCACTTCTCGCCCGCGTCAACGAAGTCCAAAGCGCCCCCAAATCGGCTCAAAACAACACCCCGCCTGAGGAACTGTTGCCGTTGTGGGAGAAAATCGTACACTTCCTGGAGAACTTCGACTCTAGGCAGGCCAGATATATCGGGTCGGAGACATTAGAAATCATTACAGTTGTGGCAGCGCTTGCTCGTCATCTTGGACAGGTATGTGCCAACCCCATCAAACTCGCGACACAGGTTATTAATATATATATAGCCTGGAGCTGCCGTTTCACCCATCGCCAGTGCCATCCTGCGACTAGACCCAGGGGCATCGACATTGACATCCGCGCATCTTATTCTCAGCCGGCTGGCCCTTGAATCCAAGGAATTCTCTCGTGCGGTTCCCATCCTCGAGCGACACATTTTATATATCCCAACCACGGACCGTCACCCGAAACAGGCCTGCTCGCTTCGTCTCAGGGCTCATGAGTATCTCACGATAGAGTCTGGCCTCACCAAGAAAATAAGTACACAAGATATCCTCGAATATTTCTCGTTCAGCGGCTCAATATTCATTGGTCTACAACAGTGGGAGAATGCCGCGGAATCTCTTGAGAATGTCATTACATATCCGGTCAGGGGCATTGCGGTCAGCAAGATAATGGTGGAGGCTTACAAAAAGTGGACGTTGGTGAAGGTGCTTCTGACCGGGAAGGTCCCGACCCTTCCTCCTAATACAAACAGCAATGCTTCCAAGGCGTACCATATTATTGGGAAGCCCTATGATATGGTGGCCAGCTTGTTCGAGTCGGGAACTGCTCCAAGACTCAACGCAGAGATTACCGCGGGCACGAACATCTGGAGCGGAGACGGAAATGCCGGCCTGATGCGTGTCGTACTGGGAGCCCATCAAAAACACCAAATACGCAGGCTGTCGAGTTTGTACGAGACTATTCCAGTCTCTTACATCGCTCAAAACACCGTGAGTGCCGAGACAGGTGCCAGTTTGGAGACCCAAGGCGCTGTGGAAGCCTTGGTCAGTAATATGATATCCCAAGGGGAACTACGCGGCACTCTTGTTGGCGCCCAGGAAGATCAACCTGCATTTCTCCGTTTCGCCCCGACAGAACGGGTCTCCGATGAAACCGCGGTGGAGCGAGAACTTGCTGGAGCCATGGAGCGCATCGAAACTATGGTGGAAGATATCAAAGCCACTGACCATCTTCTTACGCATGAGAAGGAGTATTTGACATGGGTCCGTAAACAGAAGAAGAAACAGGTCGGCGCTAGTTATGCTGATGCCTATGGCGGAGATGATCTGGGTTGGATTGTTGGTCCGGATGATGAAGATCTTATGGCTGTGATGTAGCCTAGATCAGGCCAGGATTGGGGAGAGGGGATGATGGGTGTACAGACGAGGGTGGAAGCTTATGAATCACGACAAACGGGGTCACGGATTAATGAATAGTATGAGGAGACCGTAACACAAAATTACTCCAATTAACTTTAAATTAATCTCATTAACTTCCCTATCTATGTCTTATCACCGGTATGTATATAATCGTGGGTGGAAGCGATATCCTGTAAGGTGAATTTATTCAAATCGAGGCCAAATATAACCTGCACCGATCTCGTCCTTCTCCGTCATACCAATCCAAGAGTTGGGGTAAGTTTACAATAAATCCACAAATTCCACTGTGAAATCAGAATGGTCACTAATGTGATGTTGGTGAATAATTTTCTTCATTTTATGCCTCTCAGTGGTTGGTTGTAACATTAACATAATATTTATCCCATTCATCCACGACTCATTTTCGTTACAGTGAGATATTCTTCACTCAGACCATAGCAATCTCCTTAGCTACTGTTTGATGGCTGAATTCGACAAACCATGAGAACTCAGACTATTTGACGCTCATAATAATCAAATGTTGTACAGTTTAATCAGCTCGGCCAGCTTCTGTGCTTCCTGCGAGTAGTTGACGGGGCTTGCGCCAGTGACCTGGTAACGTACTCTAAATCAATCTATTAGAATCTTTTCAACAAAGTCAACAATGGGAATGCTTACCGTTGTTGGTCCTGGAAACTGTCCATCTTGGCCCGGCACTTGAACAACATAGTCTTGCAGTTGGCCTCCTCGAATGCCCGCCCAGCAGCAGCCGGGTCTTCGCCATCCTTCAGGGCCATCAGCTGGTCGGCAGACATGCCCATAATCAGGCGTCCAACATCGTCAAAACAGCTCAACCAGAGCTGACCAGTGTGATCATTGACGTTGAGGGACATGATATATCTATACTCGGGCTTGGGGTGTGTGATATCGCACTTTTCGCAGCGCCATGTCCCATCACCCATGTCCGTAACCTTCTTGTTGCATCCATCACTCAGACATGCAGGATAGGCAAAATTCTCCTGCTTGATATAAACGATCGTTGCTTTGGTAGAGAAGTAGTCGGTTGCCTCTGACATGCCCAAGCTGTCCTCGTAGACCTTGGCAACGGTCATGACTGGATCTTGGCGGCCTCCTGCAGCTCCAGCACTTGCCATTCCAGAGTGAGACGCAAATGTGTTACTGCGCCCGTGGGTATCGTACCAGCCCCGGAGTTTATGAGCCTCTTGAATGTCTGGGTCAAGGGTCATAGAACCGGATGAAAGTAAGCTCAAGCTCCTCCCACCAAAATCCGAAACCTTGGCTCCCTTAAACGCAACGATCGATTCCGGCTGAGCATCAAAAGACACCGCAGTCTTCCCCCAGATGGTCAAACGAACAGAGAAGTCACTGTCATCGACGAGAGTCAGCTCTCGTTTGTCGTATGGTTTGCTGGTAGATTTTGAGACGATTTGGGTGACATCGGCGACCTCCTTGAGCACTCCAATGATATCGATCGTGGTGTCTTTCTCTACCGTCTGTAAACTCGCGATATCTGTGAAGTTGAACCGGACTTGCGGGACGTTCTCTTGATCTTCGGCCTTTTCAACTTTCGTCTCCCGATCAAAGGTTAACTCGTAGTCGTTTGGGAGATTTGTGAACTGTTTCTTGGCAAGCTGAACCCGGCATGGCGACGAAATGTAATAAACCGAACCCTCTTGGAATAAGTCGTATAGTTGGTCACACTGCTCGTTGAATCCTGTAGCCTTGATCTCGCCGCTTTCGTCCAGCAGGTTGACACTGAACAACTTCCCTTCGCCACTCTGTTTGTGCCACGTCCTGATCTCTGATTTGTTCGATACTCTAGCTTTGATGGTCCATTTATGTGCGTATGGTGATAACGCCTCAATTGGGTATATGTTTCCTTGTCCTGCAGAGCTCGAAGGACCGGTTCGGGACGGGAGCGATTGCTGTTGTGCTGGTTGTTGAGCGGGTTTGTTTCCGTAAAACCCGGCGCCTGATACGGCGCCTGGGGCAGGCTTCACATCTTCCTCCTCATCCTTCACCTTCAGCGCCTGAGGGTCTCCGATCTTGTCCGGCTCGCCAAACTCGGCCAAAACGTCGATGTCCATGATCACCAGGATACTATAATAGTCAGTGCCTGGCATAGAGGACACCTGGGGTTCACTTACCGCTTGCCCTTTAGGGCATTTGCCTGGAACTGCTTCAGGCGCACCAGCGAACCCTTCTTCAGCTTCTGGTCGTGTATAAAGTGGTTGGCGCCTGTACTGTTGTTAGATTCTGGTGTGCCAGGCGACGTCAATCATCCCTCTTACCTGTGGCGAGCATGCTCTGTACAAAGTTCTTAGTGTCGCTGAGGACCACTCTATATCTCTCTGCTCCATTGCCTTGGGAGGCCAGAGGCTTGATCTGGACGCACTGGCATACTGGCACTGGGAAGTCTGTGGCGCGTCGTTCGGGGTCGTTGAAGATTGCACTGGATAACGTTAGTCAGCTCCACAGACTGCGATCTTGTTATGGCAGGTAGACAAACTCCAGAACTCCGGGTGTAATCTTCGATGCTGCAAGATCGGTGGACATGATTTCTGGTCGTATCGTTTGTTGCTGGAGAGGTACGTGCAGGAGTGAAGGAGGCTGAAGAGGCAGATAATGAAGAGGCGACAAATACACGGTTGACGCGATTCTGGGCTGGGTGGGGTTTGTGTACGCGTTCGCGTAGAGTGGTGGTGAGGGGCATGCATGCCTTATTGGTAAGGCATGAATATGTGATATTGTTGTGATATTAGCCACCATAAAAACTACCTCGGAAGAGTATTGATTTACTTTTGCTAGTTTAACATATATGCTCCTGTTAGCAAAGGTCTGAAGTGGGACAGTGTAGCCGATAATGATGTCGATATTTAAGAAAATATAAATTATTATTTTAGCTGTAATTTTAGGCAATTAACAGAGAAAATGATAGACCCCGAATAAATAAATATTTATATATTTCTTATAACTGCTAAAAACTGCTTTATTTTACACAATTCCCTCCAAACCACCACGAGGCTTGATCAGGGTGGTTTATAACACGGGATAAAGAAAGAAAAGTTATACTCTACTGGGGGGATGACAAATAGCGAAGGGTTTTTGAGAATGCATATGCACTTGAGACATACAAATCCCACAAGTAATATTATTCTAGATATACCATCGGTACAACGAATATAATAACACCCAATCGCCAAATACAAATATGTGAGATACACTTCCCTCCTCCCCTTACTTCGCCTCAAATAACTTCCCCAATCCCTCAAGATTCACATTACCCCCCGTAAACACAACCCCCAAATCCCACTCCTCTCCCCCTTGCTCCGCCTCCACGACCCTCCTGAAATCCTCATTCCACAACGCAACCGCCAGCCCCACCACCGAACTTGGCTCAACAACCACCTTCATCCTCTCCAGCACCAAGCGCAGCGTAGCCTTAATCTGCTCCTCAGTCACACTATACACTCCCCTGACCAACTTCTTATCACTAATCACCTTCCACGGCCATACTCCCACCGGTGTTCTCAGTCCATCACCTATAGTAAGTGATTTCACCACCTCAATTCTCTTCCCCGCCTCCAGACCCCTCTTACAGTCATCCGCGCCCTCAAACTCCGGTTCGGCACCAAACACCACAATCCCCGTCCCCTGCGCACTCAGCGCCGTACCACTCAGCAACCCCCCTCCTCCACACGGCGCAATAATAGCATTCAACCCCTTCCTCCCCATCCCCACCTCAACCTCCTTCTGCGCCTCCAGCACCTGCTCCTGCAACTCCAACCCCGCTGTCCCCTGTCCAAGCATCACATGCGGGTGGTCGTAGGGAGGGATCAGGGTCGCGCCGGTGTCCTTGATGACGTCCGCGACGACGGCTTCGCGCTCGGGGGCTGTGGAACCGCTGAAGAGGACGCTGGCGCCGTAGGATTGGGTGGCGGCGATTTTGGCGGGGGTGCTGATGCGGGGCATGACGATGTGGGAGGGGATTTTGAGGGTTGCGGAGGCGAGGGAGACGGCTTGGGCGTGGTTGCCTGTTTTGGGATCTCGTTAGCAACTTGCTCTGTATCTTGTCCCCCACGGCGGAAGTCCAGAGGGAAACCCTGGGCTGGAAATGGAGAACTCACCACTACTATGCGTAACCACCCCCCTCTCCCTCCCTCCCCCTTCCTCCCACCCTTCACTCTCCACCAACCTCAGCAGCGCATGAAACGCGCCTCTCGCCTTGAACGCGCCGACCTTCTGGAAATTCTCGCACTTGAACCAGAATCTGATCTTGGGGCTCGCGGGCGTTTGCCCCGCCCAGGGAGTGCCTTCGAGCTCGGCGGCGGTGCGGGGGGTGGAGGCGAGCTGGGAGATGTAGGTGGAGGTGAGCACGGGGGTGCGGTGGATGTAGGGCTTGATGAGGGTGTGGGCGGAGAGGACGGAGGCGCGGGAGAGGGGGAGGGAGTTGGGGTCGGCCATTGTGGTGGCGGTTATGGTGGTGGTAATGGGCAGGTAGAGGAGTGTGAGGGTATACAGATTTGAGGGTATGGAGATGTGAGGGAGAAGATATGGAGCGTGAGGGGCTGAAGATATCTTTTTACGAGAGAGATGGAGGGGTATGCGGGGTAAGCATATGTGGTGGTGCGTCTGGGCCTGGCTAGTATGTGTATATTACGCCCTGGATTCTACAATTACCTGCCTCTTTGAGGCACATATAGACTTTACTCTCCGTACTCCGTATCACAGCCATTCTTAGAGCTTAACCCTACATTTTACCCCTCATAAAACTATCCCACCATGCATCTTCTCCGCACCAGTGACTAATCTCCAAGCCCTGATACGATAACGGCGGCGAGAACGGCGGCGAGACCCTCAACCCCACATTTCCTCTCGCAAAGGCAGGTAGGCACTAACTGGGTCACCGAACACCGAGCCGCAAAACTGGATATCGGAGCAACGCCGAACAACCGGGGCAGAGAGGGGAATGGAGTGGATTGGCAGCTGATTGCGGAATGCCGATTGCGGAGGAATGTGTCAGTATTGGACTATTACGTCTTGGAATACATTCAGTCACTGTTCGGTGCGAGTTCGCATGGTGCGAGTTCACATACGGATTGATCAGGATATTATGTTTGCGAGGTCACATACAATTCATCAGGACATTATGTAAGGTAATTTTTTTTAATGGAGTAAGCAACTTTTTGCATTTTAGGCGTCATATCCGATGATATAATAGAACCGAGTTATAGTACAAACATGCGCCGTTCGAAAATAAATTCCCCCATCAACAAATCCTGCCATTCACCAACCAAAACCCACCAACGACCCATCAACAATTTACTTCTGGTTCTCGGGGCGGAGCGAGCGGACGGCCTTTCCGGCCCTCCAGATCTCGAGATCACGGATCTCCTGCATCTCAGCCTCGTACTTCTCTCTGTAGTCAGGCTGGGAGTTGTAGTCGAGGGAGCGCTGGGTCTCCTTGCCGGTCTTGACGGAGTCGTACAGGTCGTTGAAGACGGGCTTCAGGGCGTCCTTGAACTTGTTGCTCCAGTCGATGGCACCGCGGCGGGCGGTGGTCGAGCAGGCCTCGTACATCCAGTCCATGCCGTTGGCACCGATGAGAGGGTAGAGGGACTGGGTAGCCTCCTCGACGGTCTCGTTGAAGGCCTCCGAGGGGGAGTGGCCCTGCTCACGGAGAACCTCGTACTGGGCGAGGAACATACCGTGGATGCCGCCCATGAGGCAGCCTCTCTCACCGTAAAGGTCAGAGTAGACCTCCTTCTCGAAGGTGGTCAGGTACATGTATCCGGCGCCGACGGCGACACCGAGAGCAGTGGACTTCTCGAGAGCCTTGCCGGTGACATCCTGGTAGATGGCGATGGAGGCGTTGATGCCACGGCCCTCACGGAAAAGGGTGCGGACAGTGCGGCCGGATCCCTTGGGGGCGACGAGGATGACATCGACATCAGTTGGCACATCGACCTTGGTGAGCTCCTTGAACACGGGGGAGAATCCGTGAGAGAAGTAAAGAGTCTGGAAATAAGTGTTAGTAATGCGAAGTTAGGCATTGAATGTGGATCTGATGTACCTTTCCCTTGGTGATTTGGGGCTTGATGTGAGGCCAGGTCTCGGACTGGGCAGCATCGGAGAGGAGGTTCATGATGATGGTACCACGGCTGATGGCCTCATCAATCTCGAAGAGGTTCTTGCCCTCAACCCATCCATCCTGCTGAGCCTCCTTCCAGGACTGTCCACCCTTGCGGACACCGACAATGACGTTGAGGCCCTGATCTCTGGCATTGAGACCCTGACCGTGTCCTTGCGAACCTGAGCAATTGGTTAGCAGTGTTCGCGCAATTGACCGAGCGAGTTCAACATACCATATCCGATCATAGCAAGAGTGTCATCCTTGAAGTACTCCTACGAAATCGTAAGCCGAGGTCGCACGAAAACCCAAAAAGGCGGTGGGATCGCCAATTGAGCGGTTACATCATCGGGGAGGACTTACCAGGAGCTTCTCACGAGGCCAGTCGGAGCGCTCATAGACCAGCTCTTTGTCGCCAGCAAAGTCAACGGTCTTGACACCACGGAACTGCTGGACAGGAGCTGCAGCTCTGGCGACAGTGGGCCTGGCAGCAGCATTGATGGCGGACACGAAGGTACGCTTAGCCACTGGCGCAGAGAATTGGCGTGCCAATTGGGAGCGGGCAGCTCGTGAAAGAGTTCGTGAAGCCATTTGTGTGTTGTGGTTCAATGGCTAAGAAAGATGGGGGGGCTGTTGATACTTATAACAGTGAGTCAAGGTCTGTGGGGATACGTAGCTCGAGTATTGAATTTTTGAGGCCGATCTCGCTTCCCCGACGCCCCATAGCTTTAGCGCGCTAGTGCGGCATAGTCACGTGTTTATGGGGTTTTGCTCCACGGTAAACCGTAGTTACTCCACAAACTCGCCTATTTCTCGACGCCATCATTTCACAGGCTGGTTCTTGATGAGCTTGATCACTACGGACGACATCTAATAGGCCGGGTGGTGTAGTTGGTTATCACGTTTCGTTAACATTTCAAATGTACCGAAAAGGTCCTGGGATCGAACCCCAGCCTGGTCATTATTTTTGCCGTCTTCGGTGACTCAAAGCTGGTATAAATTCGGCGTTGAGAGCTGTTACTTTTGCCGCCGAAAAGTCGGAGCAAAAGACCGTGCATAATAGCTACTAAGAGGATCAGATCAGCCTGGAGCCACCGTTATCGCTCAAGTTGACTTCAGCAACTCAATGAAGGCTGTAAATGACTCAGAAACTATTAGAGCCGTTTAACTCCTCGGTCACTCAAAATTAAACCAAAAAGGGGAAGCTCTATTAGTTTTAATGTTGCGCAGAGTCACTCTTCATACTTTTAGGCGGTACAAGTACTCACAGGTTCTCATGATGTCCAAAAAGCCCAAGGAGGGACTATCCGTAGCTGAGAATTAGGAATATAGCAACTTGTTCAAGCGCCCGTTTAACAGACAAAACCCTTGATAGAGCCTAAGAAAACATGTGCAAAACTGCCATAAGCGCACGAAGCTGTCCGCCGATTCATCTGATTGCTCGTTTGCCAGATCATGGAAAGGCTAAAAGAAGGCCGTGTAACTGCTACCGTTTTTCGAGATTTGGGTAGATAACACAAACATCCAGTTCCGGCGACTTGGGACAATTATAATTTTCTGTCTCGGCCATACTGTGTCGTCCTGCTCCGATCACCTTTATAACAAGCGGTGCTACTCATTATACGCAATGGTAGCATGGGCCCTTGAAGGGTATCGCCTTCTTATGGCCTTACACATCATCACATGCCACCTTGTAAAGACCATATCGTGTTGTCTTGAGAGTATGAATTCCTGTAGTAATATATGGGCATTCCTCTACGAATGCGACGACCGAAGCCTCCGCAATAAACTCCCAGAGCCCGCTGTGCTAAAACGCCTCAGATGCCCAACCAAAAATATCTCCGTAGTTCCCATATGCTTCTATACCGTGGGCCTTCTACTTCAGAACCTTCTCAAAAGGCACACCCCGCACAGGGCCACCGCCCATTGCTGTCCTGACGTTCCTCTTGAATCCCTCCCTGTTTGACCGTAAGTCTTCGGCTGCATCTTTGTTGAGAGGGTCGGAGGCGTTGGGTTCGAGGAATAAGAACTATTGGCACATATGTTAGCAGTGTTATAAAGGACCTGCGGGGAACCACGAACCTGTAATCCAACGATAACCGCATTAAGGTTCAGCACCGGCTTCCAGTCCTCTCTCAAGATATTCAGGCACACATTGCCCTCGAGATCGATATTCGGATGGTATATCTTCTGCGTGCACTTTACTTTCGGCGGGTCATGCGGGAAGTTCTGGTTGATAGCGAAGGAGAAGTTGAAGCGGCCCCCCTTGTACATGCCCTCATCCGGGTCGATCGTAAGAGTAAAGTTGAGGATGTCGTTTGGGTCGGGGAACTCGGTGTGCCATGTTCTGCTCGGCTCAAGCTCTTCGAGATCTAGCTGGCTTGATTAGCTACGGCGCTCTCTCTTGGTGGGGGTGGTATCGGTTGGACTGGACTGGACTGACCTTTTTGCACGCGCAGTTGGGCTGCTGTGACCTTCTTCTTTTTCGTGCCATTTGCGTTGGCAGCTGCTTGCTCCTTTGCTTTCTATATCGGGCGTTAGAATGGGATGCTTCGGGGCCTTTGGGAATCAGCTGTGGAATGTGCATACCATAGACCATATTTTCAGCATGGTGGCGGTAGACCAAGGCTGGACGCCTGCGGGACGGTGTTCCCGGTGCTGTTCTGGTTGTCTGGCGCCCCTCTCCGACGGCGTATAGAGGGCGATGAACAGCAAGTCCTTAGTGTGACAGGGCGAGCTGGTTTATATAATAGAGAGCAGCGGAGTGCGAGGCAGCAGCAGGAAGTGAGTATTGGGGGTTGGGCTGGGAGAATGAGGGGGTGACTTGTTTTGTTATCGGAACATTGGCGATCTCAAGTATCGTGGTTGATAGTGGTCACGTGAGATTGCTCTTGTGGCGTTGTTGAGTAAGCTACGTTTTGGAGATGTGCCAGGAACCTTCTTTGGTTGACAAACAGCAAATTTGTCGGCGGACGCTCTAACCGAACTGGTGGCCCTGTCGCCAACGGCGGTCAACGGCAGCCATATGTCAGTTCAACAGCACTGCAGCTCTCGTTACACTGTCCTAGCAACTGGCTGACGGCAAGCTGTAACTATCGATTCCATATATCGTAAAAGAAAACATGCAACTTCAACTCCGCAACCCTTATTCTTTCTCCTATACGATAATAAGTCCTGAGACCATTCGACGATCGCTGATAGTCTGTCATACATACGAGTGCTGCAGAATACCACTACAGAAATGGGGGATGGGCTAGTAGTACTGAGGAACGACGAAGCGGGGATTGGTGAACAAGACACTGAATATTCAAGCAAAGACAGTATGACGAATCGAGAATGAGGGGATAAGAGACAGTATCGTGAACCTAACAATCCTGTCCACGCGTAAAGTGCTCTGCAGTACTGTAATTGTGATATGATGATGCCTCGGCGTCACCAAAATCCTAGAATAAAGCAAGCAAGACCAGCACGGCTGGCTGCCGCTCCATAAAGCGGTACAGTATAAAATAGCATCATAGCATCATCTAGTGGAGTACAACGTCGTAGGCACAGTACGCGGCGAGCTAGGGGTACCAAAGACAAATTTTGCGGATGGGTACGGGATCTGGCAAAGGGGGGGGAAAGGAATAGTCTATAAATACATTAGCCCCTGTCTGCCAGCTACGAAGTCTTACGCCTCTACTGTGCACTCTACACTCTACTGTACATCCGACCCATTTCTTTGTTCAATACGAAGAGTACTAAATACCTTTTGTCCATGATCTACCGTCAGCGTGTGATATGTATATGGTACTTCATTAAAAGCCCCTTTGCTTTTTAATAGGGTGGTCGGCGAAAGAGCAAAAGGGGGATCCTGCTTACGTGCGAGGACCGCAGTACTGTTGCACTGGAATAGAGTAATCTGACCTGTTGTCTCTCATGTGCAGAGAATATGTCTGTTTCGACAGGAATATTGATTGACAGGAACAGGACTTTCAGTATCGGATTCAGGAGTCAAAGCATAGCATGAGTTTGATTTCATAGAGAGTTGGCGGACAAGATTAATATCTCCAATGATGCACCCATACACAGTAAAGTCAAGATGAACTGAACTCTGAAAATAGAGTACCATACTACAGTGGTACCTTCTTTGTCCCGGCAATGCTAGGTACCGCTGATGGTGAGGCTGTGTGGAGTGTGGCACACCTCACAATCCTTGGACCTTTGGATTCTGTTCCCCATCTTTTCTTGGCGGGACTTTGGAGCACTCAACGCCACAAAGCTGAACGGTGCTAATCACAGAGGCACAACTTGTGAAACATTTCTTCTGCTTCAAGACTTCTTACCAAAACCTCACACTGAGGTCTTCAAAGAAACCTGTTTTCACCCCTTTTTATCCTCACCCCTCAAAGGCCATCTTCCATTGTGCCCTCTTGTCTCTCGCTATCCCTCTATCCTTAGACACAGAACCTGCGAAATCCGAAACAACTTTTGTTCGACCGGGAAAAAGGCAACGCGTCCTGCTCTGGAGACTACACAGATATCTCTGGATCCATCGATTTCGCAATAATTTGATGGTTTAAACGCAATACACGCGTCGCCTCCATCAATATCACACAAATGGAAGGTCGTTACAATCCAGGGGCACCTCTTCGTGAGGTGGACCCTTCGGATCCTAGAGTACGTGTTACCCCTTCGGCGTGGTGAGCCAACTACTGCCAAATACTAACAAACGGCCAGTATAACCAACCTAGGCCAGACGCTCGCGATGAATCCGAACTTGGCCTGCTTTCCCCAGGCGGTGGGCATGCATACCAGTCCCCATTTGATGGAAACAATCAATCGAATCTGGAAATTCAGAGGCCTGTCTCGACAGCATACAGCTTGACAGAGTCGTACGCAGTGCCTGGGCAGCAGAACCCACAACATGCGACAGAGTATTCGAGCGGCTCATCCTTCCAGCAAGGAATCGAACTCGAGGACATTCCTTTCGGAGGCACAAACCGAGCCCCGTCGCCATCGCGAACGATCGACTCGGAAGATGCCTGGAGAAAGCGTCAGGCTCCTGGCGGCGGAGGCCTCAAGCGCTACCCTACAAGAAAGGTGAAGCTTATCCAGGGCTCGGTCCTCAGTATCGATTACCCAGTCCCGAGTGCCATCAAGAACTCGATAGAGAAGAAATACACAGCCGATGTCGAAGCTGGAAACGAAGAATTCACCCACATGAGATACACCGCGGCTACCTGCGACCCTAACGACTTCACAATGAGGAACGGTTACAATTTGAGGCCTGCGATGTACAATAGGCACACTGAGCTCTTGATTGCGATTACATACTATAACGAAGATAAGGCGCTGCTTTCGCGCACGCTGCACGGTGTCATGCAGAACATCAACGACATTGTCCGTCTCAAGAAGACTGAGTTCTGGAACAAGGGAGGACAGGCATGGCAAAAGATTGTCGTTTGCTTGGTCTTTGATGGTTTTGATGCTTGCGACAAGGAGGTTCTTGACGTTCTGGCCACTGTCGGTGTCTTCCAAGAAGGTGTCATGAAGAAGGACATCGACGGAAAAGAGACAGTCGCTCATATCTTCGAGTACACAACGCAAATCTCGGTGACTGCCAACCAGCAGCTTGTGCGTCCTCAAGAGGGTGCGGCAAACAACCTGCCACCCGTGCAGATGATGTTCTGCTTGAAGCAGAAGAACAGCAAGAAGATTAACTCCCATCGTTGGTTGTTCAATGCTTTCGGACGTATTCTGAACCCAGAAGTCTGCATTCTGCTGGATGCGGGTACTAAGCCTGGCCCCAAATCGCTCTTGTCGCTGTGGGAAGGTTTCTTCAACGACAAAGATCTCGGAGGAGCTTGTGGTGAAATCCATGCCATGTTGGGCAAGGGCGGGCGCAACCTGATCAATCCTCTGGTTGCAGCTCAGAACTTCGAGTACAAGATCAGTAACATTCTCGACAAGCCGCTTGAGAGCTCTTTCGGATATGTCAGTGTGTTGCCGGGTGCTTTCTCAGCATACCGTTATCGTGCTATTATTGGCCGCCCGCTCGAGCAGTACTTCCACGGTGATCATACGCTTTCTGCGATTCTTGGAAAGAAGGGTATCGAGGGCATGAACATTTTCAAGAAGAACATGTTCTTGGCCGAGGATCGTATTCTTTGCTTCGAGTTGGTCGCCAAGGCTGGTTCGAAGTGGCATTTAACCTACATCAAGGCGGCAAAGGGAGAAACGGATGTTCCTGAGGGCGCCCCTGAATTCATTGGCCAGCGTCGTAGATGGCTCAACGGTTCATTTGCAGCCAGTGTTTACTCTGTCATGCATTTCGGTAGAATGTACAAGAGTGGACACAACTTGGTCCGCATGTTCTTCTTCCATATCCAGCTTGTTTACAACGTCTTCACGGTTATTCTCACTTGGTTTTCGCTCGCCTCTTACTGGCTTACAACGACTGTTATCATGGATCTTGTTGGTCTTCCAGAGCCAGCTTCTAACACCGGAGCAGAGCACCACGGATGGCCTTTCGGAGACACAGCGACCCCGATCATCAATACGATTCTAAAGTACCTATATCTCGGATGTCTGGTCATGCAATTCGTCCTGGCCCTCGGAAATAGGCCAAAGGGATCTCGTTACACATACATCACATCGTTCATGATCTTCTCGTTCATCCAGCTGTATGTCATTACGCTGTCTATGTTCCTGGTTGTACGCGCGTTTGTTGGATCAAACGTGGACAAAACAGCGATCTTCACCACGAATATCTTCTCGTCTAACAGCTCTGGTATCATTCTCATCGCGCTTGCGGCCACTTTCGGTCTATACTTCGTCGCCTCGTTCCTTTACCTGGACCCATGGCACATGTTCCACTCCTTCCCTCAATACCTGCTTGTCGCATCCTCGTACATCAACATCCTCAACGTCTACTCCTACAGCAACTGGCACGATGTGTCTTGGGGAACCAAGGGATCCGATAAGGTCGATGCTTTGCCATCTGCACAGACAACCAAGGTCGAAGGCAAGGCGGCTGTCATTGAAGAAATCGACAAGCCGCAAGAGGATATTGATAGTCAGTTTGAGGCAACTGTCAAGCGCGCTCTCAAGGAATACAAGGCGCCTAAGGAGGATGAGTCCAAGTCTTTGGAGGATTCCTACAAGTCTTTCAGAACGACCCTGGTGGCTTTCTGGATTTTCTCCAACGCCATTCTTGCCGTGGTCATTACTAGCGACAACTTCGATTCGTTCGGATTCGGGGTAAGTTTAAACATCCATACATACCATCCGACATTAACTAACAATATCATAGAACAAAGCATCTGCTCGCACAGCCAAGTTCTTCCAGGCCCTGCTCATCGCAACAGCCTGTCTGTCTCTCGTTCGCTTTATTGGATGCCTGTGGTTCCTGGGCAAGTCCGGAATCATGCGCTGCTTCAGGAGACGTTGAAAAGGGCGTATTACGCCCGCGAGTATGTCTCGTCAACATATAATGACCGGCGTTTTTGTGTTTGGGTATGTTGCTACATGTATAAAAACGATATCGTTTTCTTTTTGTGAGACATTAGAATAATGCAATACAATACTTTTTGAGATCTGTACAAAGTTCGGCATGGTTGTTTCCCCTTGCTTCCCTCACATTGACCACTTGCGCATGTGCAATTTCGACCAGGCAAGGGAGGGCAACGTTCAGCATCGTGATTCACACATTGACCACCTGCGCATGTGCAATTTTGATCAAGGCAACATTGGCATTCAGCATCGTGATGCAAATTAAACTCCGAGCACAAGCAACCAACTCAATCGCTCGATTGATTGTCTGAACGAATATGTGGATACAGACAGGTAACTTTCACCCACGACCGTGTAAACCGGCCAGACCTTTTCTGCCAAAAAGACCAATATAGAGCCAGTTGAGCGGCAGTCGAGCGGATCTGTGGAGTATGGTTGTGGAGAGAACTGTTTCTGAAACGTGGGTGATGGCGAACGGCCGCGGTATCACCTTAATAGTGGGGATGATCGCGGACGCGATGTTTCAGCGGCATTCCTCCGTAGAAGCACGCCAGGGAATCTTTTCAGAACGCCACCTTTTCTGCGGCTACGACGCGCTATTTCGTGTTGGTTGTGCATATCCTGCTTGAGTGGAAGGGATTTTCGGTGGGAGAGGTTGGGGAGAGGGATTGATGATGCGCTGGATCGTTGATCGTTGATCGTGGTTGGTATGTACTTGTCTATCTATACTGTATAGCGGCATTTGATTGTCTGGAGGAGGAGAAGACCGTGTGCTGTGCTTGTGCGAGGGATGATGATCCTTCGCCCGTGACAGCCATGTGTCTCCTCTTCATATGATTGCCATTGCCAATGGTATAAGCGTACAGCGTACTTCGTATAGATCTAATATTACACCGTAATGTTAGCATCTTAGCATCTTAGCACCTTAGCACCGTCTGCAAATCATTTGTTCTGGCCGTCGTTTATGCGTAAGAGTACAAACACCAAAGTACTCAAAGTACGACGCGTTTTTTCCTTCTCAGAGTCAGGAACCCTCGAATCAGACGCCGCCATCCAGGAACACGAAGGGCTCACTGGGGGTCCACGGCTAATATCTCCTAGCTGATTTCGGCCTAATGCGTTATCAACCCCCCCTTGTCATTTCCGATCATTCAGCCACGGCTTCCATGCCGCCCACCACCCACGACGGCAGACCCGCCCGTTGTCCCCTCAGCTCGCATCTCATCTCACCACCACCACCTGCCTCGTCCCTCATCCTCACCACCATCTCCATCTTCACCCTCATCTTCAACTTCATACCCCATCCGTGTCATTGTTCAGGGTCCCATTTTGCCCTTCCTTCCCCAATTCTCGATTTCCCCGAACTGCACCTTTTTTCACCGACTTTTCAGGTCCCCAACGCTACTTCGAACCCAGACCCTCGACATCCGCTCTTAGCCTTGGCTTCAACTGTCGCGATTCAAACAAATATCTTACCACGAATACCGACCTTTCATAACCAGCGAGTCGAATTGATCGACCCGTCTCAATGTTAGGAAACAGACGCTCGCAACTATAACCTCTGGTCATCTCAACAACTCGAGATACCACCACATTCGCTCACTATATATCAACTTTCACGCACCCATTTATTACGATTTGCAATCCACTGTTCCACTTCAATCAAATATCATTATACAACCCCCAGGCACAACACAACAAGCTCGTACGAGTTAAGCAACAGAGTTCCACAGGACATCAGCAGGTGGTTGGAAGATAAACTCGTTCGGCTGTGCCACGTCAACTTCAGGACCAGAACTCGGTACGGCGGCAACCACAAGTTGCAAGGCGATCCCGGGCTGTGCTCAGATCGTTTGCCTTGCTAGCAGAGGCTCTCTCTACTAAATACATTGGGCCTGTTCCCACTCCTATCATATACTACCCATAAATCGCTCAAATGGCAGTCTTCGGCGGCGATAGTAAGTTGACAACCCAACCCACCTGCGTCCCTTTTCGATTCTAACATCTGCCAGTGTCGAGGGGTCTGTTTGCCCGCGAGTGTGTCCCCTGCCCTTCAGTAACACCTGCTTGTCCATCCTGCCCGACGGGCTCGAAATGCTCAATATCAGTCCAGACCTGCGACACCTGCCAATCGACGTCCTGTATCGTCGATCCTACAGTAGTCACCCCAGCGAACCCTGATACATCAACAGTTGGCGGTGGTGATTCCAGCCCCAATGTCGGTGCCATCGCGGGCGGTGTTATCGGAGGACTGGCGGCGATTGCGATTGTCGTATACCTTGTGTGGAGATTCTTCGTCAAGAACAGGAGGGCTCAGTACGAGGAGGAATATGCGGAGCAATATACCAACCAAGCGACGGATTCGGAGAAGGATTTCGCATCAAGGCGGGACGCGCGTGCGTCTACTCATACAGTCGGCTCGATCGCTTCTACCGTTCTTACCAGAGCATCCAACATTATCCAGATTGCATATATTCCAGGCGTTACGAACAGATCGGCACCTTCAACGCCCGGCCTCCTCGTTCCCCCGGTTCCTCCGATCCCTATCGCCCTCTCGGGCGCAGGCACCCCGAGCTACGAGGACGAGCACTTCTTCATGCCTGGCGACCTCCGCGACTCGACTTACTCTGCCATGACTGACCGAACGTCATACGCACCACGATCCAGTGTCGCATCTACCATCTACGGCAAGAACGCCGTTCTTTCACCGTTACCCGCCCAGACTGTTATGAGAGGAAAGGCAGCTGTGATCAGCGTCAAGTCCAACGGAGGCCACTCGCCGGGTGAATTAACACCACCAGTTCCAAACGTGGATTACACCCGATATAAAAACAACAACATGCAACCCCCACCCAGCCCAGCATTCAGCGTCGGCTCCACCTTCCTCAACAGCGCCAGCGCAGCTACAGCAACGCAGATCAAGCCAACGATGGTCAAAGTGATTCAAAAGAAGATCAATAAGCCGAAATCTACAACCGCAGAGTCGAGCGAGACCGAGGCGCAGGAAAATGATGCTAGCCGCGAATCCGCAGCTATCACCATTATCGACGACACACCCACTGTTGAGCAGGGGCCGTTCAGCGATCCGTCACCAGCTGCTTCATCGCCGAAGACGAAGGGACATGTGAAGAAGGGGAGCTTGAGCGCGGTTATCGAGGAGGCTCAGTCGAAGAAGGCGCAGAGCGAGGCGAGCGCTAAGGAGGAGGCGAAGAAGAAGGATGAGACGCCGTTTGGCGACGAGCATGCGACTGATTGATCGCATTTTCACACACACCCAATACCAAAGGCTGGCTCAACGACGAGCCGACAGATTTTTCTATGTATATACTTGGAAGGGCGTTTGGAGGAGTTGGGAGGACAACAACTAGTCTCCACGACATGACGGGCTCTTTTATTTTTTGCGGCCGGAAAACTCCTTTTTGTTTTTAAGATAGGATGGATTTTTGGAGGATTTTTCTGGTATCTTAGCCGGGAGGAGGTTATGGCTGGGATGGAGGATGAAATTGTTGCAGAAGCAAATAGGTTTATTCAAACTGCAGGCCAGACTGCAAGCCAGACGGGCGATTTACGACACATTCAAATACAGCTTTTCCAAGCACCTTTCACGCATAACCAATACCATTGGCCCCTCTTCCCCCCCCCCCCCTTTTCCTCATGAGCGTGGTTTTAGTAATAGTCGCGCGGATATTTGCGCAATGGCTCGAGGCTAGAACGGCTTAATCCATACCTACCCAAAGTCCGACCGTCTCGGCGTGCGCTCGCTCGCACGCCACTCCCCCCCAGAGCCGATGATGTGCATCCCCTCGCGCCTATTACGACGGGTTGCCCTCGCCGATCCCAAGCCGCTGATCGAGCCTAGACGTTGGTTTTTATACAGCGATGTGTCACGTACCCCTCTCGCTTGACTGTGACAATTCGGTCCGTGGAGGGAGGGAGTGGTGAGGAGTGGGAGCTGTGGGCGCCACTGGGTCCACATAGCAAGTAGGCAGGCACAGCTCACAGCTCTTCCAAGCTCCATTGATTGTCTGTGGGCCCCGTGTGTGTGGTGGTGGTGTGGTGGTGTCGTAACCCTTGCTTATGTAAGATGCTGTGGTTGTGTGTGCGCGTGTGCGTGTGCGTATGTTGTGTAGTGTGGTGTCGCTTCGGTAACTAGAGTGCTGACGAGATGGGGACTTCCTGTCATGGTGACAGTTTCGTGGAGAAGGTGCATGTTGCGTTATACCTTGATTTGTGTTTTTGGGTTTAAATGGATTTTAGGGAGATGAGAGGAGGAAGGATTGAGCGGGTTTTGGGGTTACTGTTTTAGTGATTACCTGTCTTTCCCGAACTATAGTTACTGTATTGTAAATCTCTCGGTGGATATCGTAGACGCAGGTATGGGTTGAGTAGGGATCGACGAGTTTTTTGAGGAATAAACGATAACTTACATACTTACATACCTCCTCTAGACTGTACTCTAGACTGCACCCGTACCTTGCTGTGCTGTACTTTGTGTGTGTATACACGCACCTTGTTGCTGTTTATTTGAACGATTTTGCAACTCGACTGTGCATATTGTCATGTACTGAAAGACTTGACTGCACGCACATACTACTTTGCTGTACTGTGCTGTACTTGCTTTGTACAATTAATTACTGCACTGTCCTCTAGCTGTACTCGTACTACTGGTCTACTATAATACTATACTCTCTGCTACTAACTCTCTACTACTCTCTACTACTCTACTACTACTCTACTACTACTACTATACTACTACTAGTACTCCGAAAAGTAAACCCAACCTCCTATCCCGAAAAAGCCCTTTAGTTTACCATTATTATTTCCCAATATTATCTCAATATCTCCCCATTATATCTCTCGTCTCGGAATCAGATTTGTTGATTATCGAGCGATTGTTACTAAAAACTACCTTACCTACACTACTGTTACTACTACTACCCACCTATCCACCACCCAAAAAACTCCGTCCGAGCTTCTGGACGCACTACTGCATTGCTCTTATCCCATCACCCCCCAAGCTACCACCACTACTACTGCGACTACTGCGACTACTCCGACTACACCTGAATTCTACTTCCTTCCTTCCGCCGCCGTCGCTCTTCCCTGAATTTCCCTTCCCGCACGAGACTGCATTGGAAGGAACGTACTGTTGTAGAAGCTTGGCCCATCTCGATCTCTCTCAGACAATTAATAGCCGCAGCAAGCCAGCAGTACCACCAAGCAGCAACCAACCCAAAGCCCGTGCAAAAACCTGTCTCCTGTCTCTTGCCCCACCATTACTCGTCCTTGAAAGAAGCTCGTCCCGCCGATAAACTTCCCCACAGTCGAGATACATGAACATCTAGCGAAGCAGCATTGCAGAACGACAACACCTCTACAATATGTCGGGAAAGATGATCCTGTACAAGCTGGTGGTGCTTGGAGATGGTGGTGTTGGCAAGGTCGGTGCTCCCGCGGCCCTCTCTCCCTCCGCCCCTGGGACATCAAAGCTCACGCACAGCTCTAGACCGCTTTAACGATACAGCTATGCCTCCAGCATTTCGTCGAGACGTGAGTAGCTCCCCCCCTCCCGAAGCTCCAGCTGCGTGGCTAACTTTCAATTCTCCAGCTACGACCCGACAATTGAGGACTCCTATCGCAAACAAGTCGTCATAGACGGGCAATCCTGCATGCTCGAGGTCCTCGACACAGCCGGCCAGGAGGAATACACTGCCCTCCGTGACCAGTGGATCCGCGACGGCGAAGGCTTCGTCCTCGTCTACTCCATCTCCTCGCGCTCCTCATTCACCCGCATCCAGCGATTCCACCACCAGATCCAGCGCGTCAAGGAAGCCTCTCCGCCCTCATACCCCGGGTCCTTCTCCGCGCCCTCCGGCCCCCCCGGCGCCGTCCCCATCATGCTCGTAGGCAACAAGGCAGACCGCGTGACGGAGCGCGAAGTCTCGACGCAGGAGGGCCACGCGCTCGCCCGCGAGCTGGGCTGCGAGTTCGTCGAGGCCTCGGCGAAGAATTGCATCAACGTCGAGAAGGCCTTCTACGACGTCGTGCGCCTGCTCCGCCGACAACGGCAGCAGAGCCTGCGCGCGACGCCGAACGCGAGGGGCGCAGGTGCTGCGCTCGGCGAGGCGCCGCGCGGCGATAGGCCTCCGAGGAACCACAGGGAGGATAGGCAAAAGGCCAAGAAGTGTGTTATTTTATGAGCGGCCTCCTCCTGTCCCGTCTAGCGACAGGAATGCCGAGCAGGCCCCGCGCTGGGCTGTGCCATGACCGTTATGACTTCTATCCTCTTATCCTACATCGATTGCGCGAGCGACGCCGCTCCTCCGAAGCGGCATGGTCCCCGGGAGTGCGTCGTTTGTTATCATCATCATCTATCTACAGAAACCCCAGCTTTGAGCAGCAGGTGTTTGTTACCCGAATTCGTCTTTTCATCAGACGTACGTTGTTGTGTAAACGTATGTCCGCCGTCATCACATCACATCTTCACGCACGTCATGTCATTCGCATTGTTCTTGTTCCGCTCTTCTCTCCCAACGGCGAACGGAGTATCAAAAGAGGGTTGGGTTGGGTGGGTGGTTGGATGGTTGGGGGGGGGTTCAAACGTTGGCGTATGATTCAACGAGGGTCACATTTCATGTCATGAGAGATGTGTGTTGGGGTTCTACAAACTGCAAATATGGCGTGGAGTTTGTCGGCGCAAAGCTCTACTTTTTTTTTGTTTGATGGAAAGGGCTCTCGCCGCAGGCACATATATATCAGAGAGAGAGAGAAACGAGCACATACGTTTTGGGGGGTTTCTTGTTCGCCCGGTCACATTCATCTTTTTGGATTGTCATCGATCATCTTCACAAACCTATCTATGGCTTGCCACTTTACGTAGCACAGCTGATTGGAAATTTTACGGATAAGTTAACTACAACTACTTAGAAATTATTATAGATATACCACAATATCCTCGCTCTCTCTCTGTGTGTGTGTATTTTCTCTTGGTGACCTTTCCGGGGTCTGTGTGTTGTGTGGTGGTGGGGAGGGGATATAGCAACTGCACACTACTGAGCACTGACTCCAACACACTGATCACTATCGAGTACGGACATCCTAAGAGAAGAGAGGTACTTGGTGACATGTGAAACCTAGATCCATCTTTTCCCTCCCCCCAGTGGCAGGCGGGCGAGACCCGAAGCGGAGCATCAGTCAAGGGCTAGCTAGCAGCGAAGGGACCCTCTCCCCTTCTCCCCTTCCCCTCTCCACTCCCTCTATGATAACGCTGGTTCGTTGCGTGCCCCAGCGCCCGCGCGCGCGCACACCCATTTAGTTCTAGGTCGGTAGAAGGGGGTCTCAAGGGGGGATTACCGTGGTCGCATCCCGAGATGGATGGATGGAGGTCTGTTGTCTGCCAGCAGGATCGTGGTATGTATGTATGCATGGTGGTGCCAGAAATTCGTTTGGATGGGGACCGTGCATTCGTTGGTGGGCTAGTGTTTTTTTTTATTGTGACTACTTACTGCATAGGATAGATGGGTTTTTTTGTTAAAAAAAAAAGGCTCATTACTCGTGGGGGCTGGGATTTTATGGTGGTTTTTAATGTCCTGTTCAATAAGCTAGGTTGGTGTGGGAAATGGAGCTATGGCTTATGGGAGGGAAATTATATTCGGCCTAGATTGCTGGTAGCGATTCCTCGAAAGCACCACTGTGGTTAGCACTGTCGCACTCATCGCGCCAGTTGTGGAGTTGAGTGGTGGAGTCGTCAATTGAATTCCGCGGCCACAGCCGGGGCCCCGCCGGAAGATATCGCCAGCAAGTCAAGTCAATTCAACTCGCTCATGGTGAACCACCAGCTAGCCAGCACCACCGCCGCTGCTCTCTCTCTCTCCGTGGATAAATGCACGGAATCGGGTTTGCATAAACAACAAACGTACGGGGGGATGGGGAAACCTGGCAAGGAAAAAAAACCAAGCATCACCACCACAGCCAACACCCGCGTTCGAGCAAAAAAAGGCAAGGGTGCGGAGAAACGCGCTGTTTTTTCTCTTTCTCTTTCTTTCTCTCTCTCCCTCTCTCTGCACCACCTACCTACCTGCCTGCCTGCAACCGCCGACCGACCGACCTCACCTCACCTTGTGCACGCCCGCCCGCCCATGCATCACCAATCCTAAATACCAGCGTGCCCAACCACGCACCCCCCTACCACCACCCTACTGTATTCGCGTGCCCGACCGACCGACCGAGCGTAACCGTAACGCACCCCCCAGCTGGGGCGGCGGGAGGGCCACGCTGCCACGGGGATACCAGGCCATGGCGGTGGGACGCTTGGTCGGGACGGGGTGCGTGGAGGACCGGCTGCCCGCGCAACCGGGGCGTGGAAACGGACGGGCAAGACAACAGTGCTAGGTAGGGAAGGGGGGATCCGCGTGGGGCGGTGATTTGGATTGTAAAACATGGTCTTGGGGAGAGGGAGGAGCGAGGGAGGGAGAGATGGTCGGCGGTCGGGGACGCAATAATGGAGCGGAGAGAGAAGGAATGGGATGGGATGGGAGATGCAATGTAGGTTACTGTGATGTGCTGTGTGAATGTGAGTGTGAGTGCGTGTGTGTGTGTGTGTGCAAATACAGCGCAACCATGCATCGGACAAATCCAGCATGCTTGCACCCAGCAGCACCATCCCGTTCCATGGCCACACATACCCTGCAGCCACCGGCCCCTCGTAGCGCGTCCTGCGAATCTTCAGAGGCGCTCGCTTTTGTCTGATTCTCACATCCCGTCCGTCTCCTGTCTCGTCCGTCCGAGGACGGCGGGTCGGGGGAAGACCGAGTGGACGCCGGGCGGTGAGTTTGGGGGTGAGTTGAAGGGGCTTGTGCGTGCGGCAGCGCCGTCGATCCATCGGCTCTTGCCCGTTCATTATCGGTGTTGCCAAGGGGCGCGGTTATTGGCTGTGTTTTTGGCCGGGGAGGCGGGACGATGGTAGGGTGTGAGGTTGTTGTGGCTAGTGAGATAGTGAGATGGTGAGATGTTGGTTTCTCGGGTTTGCGCTCTGATGCGGATAGTAGGTCTCATCCGTTCTTTTGTCGCCGCAAAGTATGGAGACGTTTGGTGAGACGAGGAGCTGGTGAGGTTCCATGGGGCGACCTCCAACCAGGTCAAGCACTGCGCGTAGGGTAGCATGTGCATGCATCCAGGTAGCAGGTGTGGATACACATCTCCGTTTCCCCGCGTGAATTAGAGTGCCACCGCGTGGACTATCCTCCTTCAATGCCTTCCGTGAACCTCCTACTTCTGGTAATCCTGGAACAGCTGTACTGGAACAACAGCACTGGAACAACAGGACCAGTTCAGACACCTCGAGGGCCGGACCGATATTGGCTGCATACCATGCGTCCCATATGCAATGCGGACAGGGCCGGCGTGCCTATATTGCAGGGACAACGATGCATGTGTCTCCAATCACGTGGTTTGGTTTCGAACCTTGGATATCGAGGTCGCTGTTGGATGCATGTGCAGCGGTAATATCTCGCTGCAGCTTATTAATTTGAGTGATTGGTCGTGTGGGAAAAAGCAATTCTGGATTGAGGAGTCGCGGCGAGATTCCGAGAGACACACCGAAGGGTGCCTTGTCACGTGTTTGAGACATTTTATATCAAGTTTGTCATTGTTGTATTAGAAATATGAGGACGCACGGGAGAAGTCATATATTTACGGGGCATGATGTGCATTATTTCGGGCCGTTGGATACATTGCGGGGGCGGGCCGATTGGAAATGTTATTTGTTATTTGTATAACATTTTTTGTATTTAAAATAAAAACGCCAAATAATAATACTCAATGCTAGTCTACCGCAAATAAACACATCTACTCTCAAGGAAATCTAGTAAAAAAATATCATCTGTCTACAAAAAATAATCCCTGTTGCCCGCTCACGCCCTATCACACTCCCAGTTATCATCCGTAAATCCGCGAAATTAGGAAGGGACAGCACTATGCTCCTCGCTTGGTAAGACAGAGCTTGAAATCCCGTTCCCAACAACGGGAAACCCCTCAACAACGACATTTGGTAAAGCAATATGCTCGCAAGCAGCCGCGGGGTTTGCATTTCCATTCGCAGTGGAAAGAACCTTCTGGGCGACGGCCTCTGATGAAACGATGTGATTGCAGTCAGTCGTAGAACTTGAAAACCCATTCTCAGTGACGGAGCCTTTATGATTAACGATCTCTCGTGCAGCAATCTGCTCGCTGGTAACCTCAGGGCCAGTATTTCCATTCCTCGTGATGAGGACCTTCTGATAAACGGTCTCTGTCACAGCAATATACTTGTAGACAGGCGCAGGGCCAGAATTTCCGTTCTCAGTGACGAGGACCCTTTGATAAACGGTCTTTGGCAAAGCAATATACTCATAGAGAGCTGCAGGGCCTGTATTTCCGTTCTCAGTAACGAGGACCCTTTGATAAACGGGCTCTGACAAAGCAACATACTTATAGATAGCTGCAGGGCTTGAATTCCCGCTCTCAGTGATAAGGACCTCCTCAGCAATGACCTCTGGTGAAGCAATCTGCTCGCTGTTAGCCGCAGAGTTTGAATGTCCGTTCTCAGTGACGAGGGATTTTGGATTTCCATTCTCAGTGACAAGGACCTCCCCAGCAATAGCCTCTGGTGCAGTAACATGCTCGCCATTAGCCACAGAGTTTGAATGTCCATTCTCAGTGACGAGAACCTTTGAATTTCCGTTCTCTGTGACAAGGGCCTCCTCAGCAATAGCCTCTGGTGTAGTAACATGTTCGTCGGCATCCTCAGAGCCCGAAGTCCCATTCTCAGTGATAGGGACTTTCTCAACAACGGCCTCCGATGCAGAAATCTGCTCGCCAACAGCCGCGACCTCCTCGGTGTATTTGCCTTCCTGCAGCAGGCGCCTCAGAATCTTTCCCGTTGGGTTTCTCGGGATATCTGTAACGAAAATAACTCGATCCAGCTGCTTATACCTCACAAGCCTCTCCTTCATCCAAGCCTTGACATCATCTTCAGTAACAGTGCTCCCTGGGCGCCGAACAACAAAACCGCGAGGTATGCCGTCGTATGTATTGGCGGCCTGGATGCCAATCACACCCGCGTCGATGATGTCCTCGTGTAGCAAGAGTACGCTCTCCAACTCCGTTGGACTCACTTGCCAACCCTTGACCTTGATGACGTCCTTCTTGCGGTCAGGGACATACCACTTAGAGTCTTTGACGTATCCAACATCTCCGCTTCTGGTCCAACCACCAGGAGCAAAAGCTTCAGCTGTTGCCGTGGGGTTGTTGAGATACCCCAGCATCGGGAAAGGAGGCTTAATGTAGATTTCGCCAATTTGGCCGTCCTCGAGGCAGTCGTTTCCAGCATTATCTACAACTCTGTGATCTGGTTAGCTTGGAAGTTTGAATTGGGAAAGGATATAGGGAATACTTACTTGAGGGAGAACCCCGCAAATGGCCGACCAACACTACTGGTCTCGTCTTTCTCTGGATATTGGAATCCGCAAACCCAGCCGCATTCCGACATTCCAAAGATCTGGTTGATGCGAGCATCTGGATGAAGAATGTCATACAGCTGTTCCTGGATATGATATGCAATCGCCGCTCCGCCACAGAAAACCTGACGCAGAGATGCCACAGTTGAGCTTGTGCATTTTGGTAACAAGGGCAGCGAGAGGACCATCGGTGGAACAAGTAGAACCTCCGTGATCTGATATTTCTCAACTGCATCCAAAACCGCATTTCCATCGTAACGCGGCATAATGTAGCAGGGAGATCCTGTCTTAAGTGGCATCCCATGCTGCGATGGGGCGGCATAGGCCGGGAACGGAGGAAGACAACACAGTCTGCTAACCTAGACACAGTCAGTTTGGTCTCTGGAATACTAAGAAAACACTTACCTCGTATGGCATCTTCCTCTCAGTCTGGATCTGACACTGGTTGATCAAGTATGCGTGTGGAATCACCACAGCCTTCGGGAGGCCCGACGTGCCGGAACTGCTGATGTATGATGCAGGGACATTTGCTGAGTCGACAATGTCCTCAATGGTAATCTCATCATCGCCGATGAGGTCCCAGAAGGACGTTGTCCCAGATGGCACACCCTCGTGGTGCACATCGAAAATGATAATATTGGATTCTGGGATCCCAACCTCGGCGGCAGCTTCCTTAACCTTAGAAAAGGTTTGTAAGTCGGCGACGACGAATTTCGCATTGCACACACGCAAGTGATGTGCTAACTCGAAGACTGTGTATCCTGGATTTGCACCAGTGAATATTCCTCCGGCGGCGATGATGCCGAGGTATGTCGGCGTGTAATAAATCTAGAACGGTCAGCTCCATTGTTCTAGAATGAGACATTATGAGACAAAAAAAAACTTACATCGTTGAGGCTGACCACACAAGCACAGTCGCCTTTCTGGAGGCCAAACTTTTGCAAGCCTGAACCTATCTTTAGGACTAAAGTCTTGACTTGGGAAGCGGAGAGGCCGCGATCTGGGTTGTTCGCATCGATATAGATCTGATTTAGAAAAGTTAGCATCTATGAAGTCATGGGCAGGGAAGAAGTGATATCAAACTCACAGGTTTATTCTGGTCGTAGTCCAGGCCCTTGAAGAGCCACTGGACGTAGCTCATGATGATGATATATCCAAAAGCTCAAGTTGTAAGAGAGTAGGATACTTGATATTCAAAAATGGTTGTGATGTGAAAGTTCTGAGAGTGGCAGCAGATTCACGGATACCTGGAGGTATATATGTGTGATGCCAAGGACAGAATGGTGCCGAAGTGAGGTGAATAGTCTTTGGCTTGTCCTCAATAACAATGAGTGGAGAGTAGTGAATATAAAATTGGAACAAAGAGTGCTAGTTTTAGAACTGAGAACTATGAAGATTGCCCGATCCCTGCATGTTCTAAGTTGTGAAAGTAGGCCATCCAAAGGGGATGGCCGTGAAATATAGTCGATCATAAAGCCCATTCATTCACTTACTTTGTTAATTCCGACGTGGGGGATCCATGAGCATGGTTACATTTCCACCGTTCTGGCAAGGTGGAGTGGTTGTTTTGCCGCGAATCCACACATGTCTTCGATAGAAGGAACCTTTTGTTTCACGGCATTGTCCACTACGTAGAATTGGAAATCAAACTGTATCAGTACTATCCGCACCCGCATAAGACATGCCACAGATTTGTAGCCCAACTTTGTCTTAGATGCTAGTAACGCTTCACAACCAACCATGCTATTTCGTTGGTTCTCGGCCTTGAAAAGACCGGATTTGATATAAAGCTTGTCAACACAGACGAACCTGCCACTCGGGATAAAAACCCCAAATCTTGTCACATCCATGTGACATGACCAGAATATCAATATAAAAGGCAGACAAGCAAGGAGGTGGTTGAGAAAAATGATTTGTAAATTGGAAGGTTTCCAACATTTCTAACATGACATGTCGGTTCTGCCAATAATATATTAACAAGCCGCTTCAAATTCCCAAAATTGAGACTTCCCCATATGTTTGATAAATCCCAGACGCCGAGCTTTACAAATTTCCCTCACGCCTCTCTTCTCACCCTTGTATCTTCACCATCTCATCTCTCCACTTGGGCCCAAAACGTCGCAACGCCCATACTACTGACCCGCTCCCCAATGCCCATACACCTAAGCCTGTAAATAACCAACCATTCCCAATGGTATCTATGAGAGGACTCGCCACTATGCCTCCCACACAACTGAATATATTCCGCACGAAGTTATTCAATGCAACCCCGTTACTACTCTTCTTCGGCATGAATTCTGTCAGCATGGTCGTGGCACAGCTGAAAATAATCATGCTGCCAACGCCAAAAAAGAAATTTGCTACGGCAGCAATTATCCAATGCTTCCCATAGCATACGATCCAGCCGTACAAAACCAATGCAAGCGGGTACATGGCTGCCGCTATGTACGCATTCTCACGCATACGGTCTTCAGGGAGGAGAATGAGCCGGCCTTCGGTGTCGTAGCGGCCTGCAGCTTTGGCTTCACGCGCCATGATGATATCGGACCAGCGGCCGCCGAAGAGAGCCGCACAGACGTAGCCTAAAGAGTTAGGGATGTACATGAGGCCGATAATCATGGTACTAAACCCATATGGTGCGGACGAGAACGTTTCCTGGACTGATATATTGAGGATGTAGAGGCAGCCGAAGGTGATTGCCGCATAGTAGACTGTCAGCGCAACAGCAGGGAAACGCAGGTACGTGACAATCATGAGCGGGTCGATAAAGCACCGCTTTAAAACGCGGGCGACGGTGACAGTTTGGTCCTTGACCGACTGGCGAGTCGTGATGCGTGATGCAACTGGCATGACGGCGTCTTCACTAGTTTCTGGGTTTCCGGAAGCAAGCTCGCCGATAGGAACGGTCTTCTGGAGCGTTTCCGGGAGACAGAAAGTGAGGACCAAAATCAGGCAACCGCCATAGATGGCAAGAAACCATTGCGAGCTTCGCCAACCAAATCGCTGCCCAAGGGCTCCGCCGATGATGGGTGCAAACAGAGGGCCCATGAGAGGTCCAAGGTAGAAAATCCCCATAGCCTTCCCCCTCTCCTTTGGTTCCCACATGTCTGCAATGGTGCCTGCACCAACGGCCTGGACCGATGCGGCAGCACCGCCAGATAAGACTCTCATGACAATTAGCATACTAATCGAAGTGCTGATCGCAGAGAGAATGGCGAATAAAGTAAATAGTGTAAATGACACAAGATATATGGTTCGTCTACCCAACGTCTCGGAAAATGAAGACCACCATAACGGGAATATAGACATGGCAAGCATATATAAAGCAACTGAAAGATTCGTGACCGTGGATGAGGCATGGAGCTCTGCTGACAACTGCGGCAGAGTAGCTAAAAATAATCAGTACTCGAGCTAAAGAGATTCAAATTATACAGCTGAGAGCCGTGAATTGACTCACGAAAGAGAATAGCGCTCCCCATGGGCGCAGCCGCAGCAGCCAATGCCACGATAAGTGTTATGAGCCATTTCGTTTTCCTCGCATATTCCGGAGGATTTGTTACTTCGGGAATAAGAGCGAGACGCCCAAGCAACCCCCTCCTCCTGGACCGCGGAATTATGGTCACAGCCCTTGACCGTACTGAAGCTGACTGAGATTTGGATCGAGTATGCTCCTTGGTTTCTCCAGCCCGGTCCGCTCTTATGGAGCTAGTTGAGGGGGCGGAAATGGAGAGGCCATCCACGCTTTTCTTTGCTTTCTCTCCATTATCGACGGCACCACATTCGCCATTGTGGTCAGCTTCCGAGACAATGCCCAGAGGCACCTTTTCTACGTCTTGGGTCTCATCGAGTGTCTTGCCTAACCTTGGCTCATCTACCATAATAACAGTCAGATATCACGCCGAGGTAATGGCGATACCGGAGGAGCTCTCAAAGTACACTGTTTGTTAGTCTAGCAGAGAAAGTTCTGCCACAGAGAAAATTATACAATTGGAACATATGTATACGGACATGGACGTATGTATATTTATGTGCAAATGTCCGTTAAATAGAACGAGGCCGAGGAAATAACATGAGGAGAATGCTGGGATCAACTATGGCCCAGAGAGCGGGGGGATGGAGTCCTTACATAGCCGCCCGGCCTACAACTAAACCCATAAGCCTCTAGAGGTTTCGGTGTAAAAAGCTTAACATTTTGGGAAACCATCCTGGGAATTGGCGTCATTTGGTACCCAGTTTAGGTGTACGGCTAAGAAATTGTATGGGAAGGTGGAATCTCGGGGTATAGATTTCGGCAGTGACGGCACGCAAATATAACTTTAGCGGGTGAAGTTTCCCCCACGAATGATGGCCGAGGCTCAAAAGACGCTAGCGGTGAAGATTAACAGTTTGTGCCGTTATCGAGGGGTTCTTACAATTGCTATATGCACACCCCCCCCGCGTACGCATCACTACTTCATGGGGTAACAGCGAAATTTTGTGGTAGCAGACGCAAACATCTGCCAGCTTCTTTTAGTTACACCAAGCCATGGACGCTTTGGAAGAAGCCCAGGCGAGACATCGCAAAGAAAATAAAGACCTCCAGGGGCGCATCACCCAAAAAAAGAAGCAGGCCACCAAAAAGACACGTAAAGGTGTCAACGATGAATGCGCGGAGCTTGAAAGGCAGCTGAAAGAGGCTCAGGCAGCTGAGCTCGCTGCACTGCGCGGAGATGCCCCGGAAGACGAGCCAGAGGTAGAATCCGAGCGAGAGCATGACGATGCAAGCGTTGCGCCTACCCAGGACGAGACCCTCGCCGCGGATCTTCAGAAAACTGCCATTTCCGACCCCGCACCTTCAGAAGATGCCCAACCCAAACGCAACCGCCAAAAAGAGCGTCTAGCGCGCCGCGCCGCAGAGCAAGAAGCAGAGGCAATAAAAGCCCAAGAGGAAGCCGCGAAACTCCCGAACTGGAAGCGTCAAGAAAGGACTGCCATGCTGAAGGCGTTCAAAACTCACAAGCTGGACGAAAAAGAGATCCGACCAGATGGCCACTGTCTATTTTCGTCTGTCGCGGATCAACTCGACCAAGCTGGCATAGATCTTAGGACAAAGAACGAAGCCGAGAAAACGGAAGCATTCAGATACAAGGCAGTCAGGAGGACCGCGGCGAAATACATTGAAGGCCACCCCGACGAGTTTGAGGCATTCTTGGAGGAGCCGCTTCCGGCATATGTACAGAAGATAGAAAATTCTGCGGAGTGGGGTGGACAAGTCGAGCTTATTGCTCTTGCGAAGAGCTACAATGTCGAGATTTGTGTTCTACAAGATGGCAGGCTGGACAAATTCTCCCCCGAGGAGACAGGAGAAGAAGCCAAGAAGATATGGCTGGCATACTATCACCACGGATACGGATTGGGCGAGCACTATAACTCGCTTCGGAATGCACCTTGAATGGTGTCCTAATTTCTACCAGATGGACGAATTTATTATTCGAGTATAGGGTGCGCCCAGACACCAACCCAATCCGTCATGTTACCGTCCGCATCGTATCCATCCGCATGAGTCTTCTGTGGCTGGAAATGTGCTATCCTCACGAGGCCGTTGCTCAGCGGTTCGCCCAGCTTGGCGTCAACGATTCCGCCTTGATCATCATACTCCAGCGTCTTCCCTGGACGGGGCAGATGCGCCATATATACACTCGGGGGAAGAGCCCATGGCGGACCTCCCGAGTTGATAGGTTTATAAGTTGGAAACTCAAGGCAGATGAGGCGGCCAGTAGGCGCCAGCAGTTGACTATATCGGAGTGACCAAGCTGCCCTCAGAGTAGGCGGCAGCGCGCTTAGAAACTATTAGATGAGATTAGCTTTGGAGTTATCACCTTGGATCTAGAACATACGGTATAATCGAACAACACATCGAAAGTACCATCGAACTCCTCTCCTAGACTCTTTGCCCAATCATCCTTGAAGAAGTCCCCAGTAATCCAAGTAACCTTCCCCTTTCCGACCTCCTCGTTCCTCACTCGATACACCTCGTCACCACCGTGCTTCTCCTCTGTCTCCCTCGCTCCTTTCAGTGCCAGTTCACTCGTCTCGAGACCGTAGGTATCATATCCAAACGCAGCAAGAAGTAGCACGTCGTAGCCCTTGCCACAGCCCGGCACGAGAGCTCGCTTGCGTTGCTTTCCTGAGCCAGATACAGCAACAGGAGGCTCACTGATCAGATCGCGTCGCGCGAGGGCCTCAGCGAGAGGGGCGGAAGGGAGGCCTTTGTCCCAGGGGATGAAGCCTTCGCGGTAGAGCTCATTCCATTTAATAGGATGGTCTGATTCCTGTGCATTTAAAAAGTGTTGGCGGAGGCGCTCTCGAGCCTCTGTGTTGGCCATTGTGACGTCTTATGTGTGTGGTTTGTGGTCTTGAAAAGGGTGCTTCAAGCTTTCACTGGTTTGTGTTTGTGGATGAGAAGGTATCTTTTAGCTAACGAACGAGTTTATATCTTTTCTAATAAATATCACATTACTAAGTTTGGAAGGCCAGACTCAGTACCCCGCCACGGGAGTTCATCATCATCACTTCCGATGGTTATTAATCAATACTTACGTAGGTGGAGAGTCGGGTCTAGAACGGCCAAGTGTGGAGGGACCCTTTTCTGTCAAACATAGCAAACTTGCCCACGGGCCGAGGCATAGATTTGACATATTAGGTCTGGAGGGGAACGCAACATTCAATTACTCTTACATTTACTTTACAAATATCATTTAATTGTGTATATCTTTGCAGCAGAAGTTGGAAATATATTCAAGATGGATCGTTCTACTCTTTTTGACGTCACGGTAAGCTACTTGAGTGTCTGGAATGACCTTACAGAATTGAGGGCTGAATCCGAATACAGGGCAAGGTCGTTCTCGTCACCGGTGGTGCCAAAGGCATTGGGCGTATGATCTCCGAGGGCTATGTTGCCAACGGAGCCAAAGTGTACATCTCCTCTAGAGACGCAAAGGCGTGCGACAAGGCTTGCGCTGAGCTGAATGCGCTGGGTGAGCAATACTACATCACATCCGCCATCTGCCGTCAATTGCTGACATCTCCAACCATGAAGGCCCTGGGTCCGCCCATGCGATCCCCGCCGATTTCTACAAGCTGGAAGACTGCAAGCGCCTCGCCGAAGAATTCAGGAAGCGTGAGGATCATCTTGACGTGCTCGTCAACAACAGTGGGTCCAACTGGGGCGCTTCCTTCGATGAATACCCAGATGCCGCATGGACCCGTGTTCTTACCCTGAACCTGCACCGCGTCTTCACAATTACCCAACTCCTCACACCTAGTCTGGAAGCAAAGGCTGGCCAGGACTCTCCCTCTCGCATCATCAACATCGGCTCCGTCGACGGCCTGCGTGTGCCGACTCTCGAGACCTTTGCGTACAGTTCCTCGAAGGCTGGTCTGCACCATCTCTCCAGGGTCCTGGCCAACCACCTTGGAAAGAGACACATTACAAGCAATGTCATTGCATGCGGACCATTTGAGAGCAAAATGATGGCGCAGACCTTGAAGGACTTTGGAGAATCTATCAAGGCCGGGATCCCGCTTAACAGGATTGGAAGCCCTGAGGATGTGGCTGGAACCTGCCTGTTTTTAAGCAGCAGGGCTGGTTCTTATGTCAATGGAGCAACCATCACGCTGGACGGCGGAAGTGTTATTGGATCGAAGATCTAATTGGGTTTATGATGAATGTAAATATGGACGGGGCGGAGAAGTTGATAGTTCGTACCAAGTACGTAGCGCCTATAGCTGTAATTGTATCAACCACAAATACGCAACGAGATGTCGTGAGCGACAAAATATTATTTTTAGCCCTGATGAAGCTGATTGAAAGGATATTTTTGATTGACCTGGTCGATGATGTAAGTGGAAGATACACACGTTACCTGTAATACCTTCTTGGCCAAGAAAGTCTCATAGCTTGACGGCGAAGTTGAGGGTTTGCATGAATACATGGTAGAAATGCAATTTGAGGCTGCAATAACGACTTTACCAAACTGCTGTTAATATTTTATAATTGGCGTGAGCTGGACCTGCCTGTGCAGCTCTGTAGCCATTCCATGGAGGACTGTTAATAGTTTGTAGAACCAAGTTGTGCCAATTGGCCGGTAGAGTGACAAGCCAAGATTTGCGCGGAGGGGAAATATTTGAATGCGTCACATTACCCTACCGAGCTTATCTAGTACGGGCATGGACTTCCGATTCCGAAAGGCTTCAGAGCACAAGAAACCGCCCGATAATATATGTATATATAAATACATAAGCACTGAATAAGAGGCACCTATATCGGCCTTCTGAGGTAAGACGGCACACCCTATATTAACGAAATCGACAGAGACTAATCGCGTTTCTCCAGAATTGCGATGTCGTTGAAACTCGCGTCTCGTTTGGGTGCTGTGGCCTCCAGGCCGTTCCCTCGAACTGCATTTGCTTCAGTAGCATTTGCACGGAGAGCACAGTCCTCGAGGTCCGCAGAAGGCCAGCAGAAAGTACAGAAATCTAGCGAATCTGAAGGACTTCCACTGACTCCTGCTTCCCAATTGCAGCTTCTAACGCTCGACCTCGAACATGGCGATCCCCAAGTCTACGAGATCCTGCAGAAGGTGAGCGATGCCATCGCGCAGTCAGAGAAAACTGCTACTAACACTGCTGTAGGAAAAACGTCGCCAGAAGCACTTCATCAACCTGATTCCATCGGAGAACTTCACGTCGCAAGCTGTTCTTGATGCTCTTGGAAGTGTGATGCAAAGTTAGTTGAACCACCCCGCAATTGCCGGAACAATGCTAACCAATTGCCAAAGACAAGTACTCGGAGGGATACCCAGGTGCGAGATATTACGGCGGTAACGAGTTCATCGACCAGGCGGAAGTGCTTTGCCAGAAGAGAGCTCTGGAGACATTTGGCTTGGACCCCGCTGAATGGGGCGTCAACGTCCAGCCACTATCCGGCTCTCCCGCCAACCTCCATGCCTACTCTGCTGTCCTTGATGTTCATGATCGCTTGATGGGCCTCGACCTGCCGCACGGTGGACATTTATCACATGGATACCAAACGCCTACAAAGAAGATCTCGGCCATCTCCAAGTACTTTGAGACGCTCCCGTACCGCCTCAATGAGGAGACTGGATTGATCGATTACGAGAAGCTGGAAGAGCTGGCTATGCTATACAGGCCGAAGCTGATTGTTGCCGGAACATCGGCTTACTCCAGACTCCTTGATTACAAGCGTTTCCGCGAGGTCGCCGACAAGGCCGGAGCCTATCTCTTCAGTGACATGGCTCACATCTCCGGACTTGTTGCCGCTGGCGTCATCCCCTCGCCATTCCCCTTCTCCGACGTTGTTACCACGACGACACACAAGTCTCTTCGTGGCCCGAGAGGCGCCATGATTTTCTACCGCAAGGGAGTCCGCAAGGTTGACCCCAAGACTAAGAAGGAGGTTATGTACGACCTCGAGGACAAGATCAACTCCTCCGTCTTCCCAGGTCACCAGGGTGGCCCCCACAACCACACTATCACGGCCCTTGCCGTTGCATTGAAGCAGGCCCAAAGCCCAGAGTTCAAGGCATACCAGGAGAACGTCCTCGTAAACGCACAAGCTTTGGCCAAGCGCCTTGGAGACTCCAAGGACAAGGGCGGTCTCGGTTACACCATCGTTTCTGGCGGTACTGACAACCATCTTGTCCTTATCGACCTGAAGCCACAGGGTGTTGATGGTGCCCGTGTTGAGCGCATCCTTGAGCTCGTCGGCGTTGCCTCGAACAAGAACACCGTGCCAGGTGACAAGTCCGCCCTCAAGCCCGGTGGACTCCGCATGGGTACGCCAGCAATGACGACCCGTGGCTTCACACCCGAGGACTTCTCTCGCGTGGCAGACATTGTCAACCGCGCCGTTACCATTACCCAGAGGCTCGACAAGGAGGCTCTTGAGGCCCAAACTGAGAAGGGAAGGAAGAACCCTGGCAGCGTCAAGGCTTTCTTGGAGTTCGTCGGCGAGGGAGATGGACAGACGGAGATTGTACAGCTACGCAGCGAGGTTGAGGAATGGGTTGGTACGTTTGCTCTGCCATGGGACTCCACTGCTTAGTGGCCCGGCAGATAAAATGGGCGGTTTTGGCGTCAAGTGGTTGTAGAATACCTACTTCGTTGCACATAGGAATCTAGTCTTTACGTTGTATGTGGATCATGGGATACAGTTAGCTTCCTAGGTTATTAGTTGCAAGTGTGCTTATGGAACACGAATATGAATTTCACGCGGTTTAACAATCATAAGTGTAATAATGCTTCATTTATATACACTTGTCTAGCTATAGCCCCAAGAACAATGTCCAAGTCGTAGAGAGAAGACCTTCATACCAAGTTAGTATGGTGAGCCAAAATATATGTTTGATTCAAAAGATGAAGTTAAATAAATATCAGAACATGTTTCTTATCTCACAATGCACGTATATTGTGCTTCGACGAGCTGGGTTATATATCTGGTCTCTTGACCATTTGTCATCATTATAGGGGAGTAATTTGAACAAGAAATTGATAAAACATACCCTCTTCAAAAGACTTTCTGTCTCTCAGACTTGTAGTTGTCGCCACAGTGAAGTGGAATGACTACAATCAACGTTAGCAACTGAACAGAGTAGCTTGAGTTATAGTAACGTGGAATCGTTGTTGTTGTTTCAGAACATGTTTCTTATTTCATAGGGCAACTTGTGCCTCAACGAGCTGGGTTATATATCTGGTCTCTTGACCATTTGTCATCATTATATGGGCGATGATGTATGACATCACAATTATAAGAAAATATATGCATACCTCTACAAGTAGAATACCCCCAAAAGCCCGCAAAACTATTACACGTCTATAATAGACAGCATAGTAGGTAAAATGTAACCCCTTCTTCATGCACCAGTTTCCCAGAGAGAAATAGGGAGCAGGTGTTTGGTAAGGAAAGGGTTTGGTGGTAGATCTTGGCACGAAAGATAGTTATCCTTCAGCAGAGGAGCATTGAGAGCTCGAAATGCTGTACACACTAATGCCTGATTTGGGGAACACAGTTGTGGACTGTGGAACAGATTGTAAAGAAAAATGAAGACAAAGTAGAAATAGGTACTGAGGAACAACTTCTTGGAAGTTGCGTTTGATCATGGCTGACAATGTGGCTGATGGGTGCAATGGTTGGAATGTTGTAGATGCGAAGAAAACTCGCTGTCAAACGAGAGAAGTTGGTCACGGCGAAAGCTTGACGTGGCGCTCACCTGAAAAGAGTTGCTTTGGTCCTTCACGGTCAGTAGACAGAAACACAGTATCCATGGGCATTGGACGGGGGTCGGCCACACGAGGGAGATCAGTATCTCCTGTTGTCACCACGAACAGAAGAAGGCTTTCACGCTTTGAAAGAGTTCATGACACCATTGTCCATGCAGTACATGCAGAAAGCCCTGATAACGAAAAGCAACCGAGCCTTTTATTTGTAAGACCATTGCCCCGCTCCAGCTACCCCGTAAAAAGTTGCAATGCTTATTTGGTCTCGGTCTCCTCCTCATCACCGAACATGGCAGCACGCTTGGCGACAACTCTCTCTTGCTTGCGCTCGCGAGCAGCCCTGGTCTTGGCACGACGGCCGTCCATCTCCTCCTTGATAGTCCTCTCACGGGCGGCCTCAGCCTTGGCCTTGTGGATCTGCGCATTGTTAGCTCAGATGATGCAAATTGTGTTGAGGTGTAACGTACGTGCTCAACCAGAGCGCGCTTGTGCTTGAAGGTGTTACCCTTGCTCAGGTGGTAAAGCTCGTGGTAAAGGTGCTTGTCAATCTTGCCGCTGGCACGGTACTTGACGAGGAGGCGGCGGAGAACGCGGAGTCTGCGCATCCAAACGACTTGGCTGTGGTGGTTGTCAGTGCCCATTCCATAGTCTCTCGCCCTCTAAAGCGCATTATCGGAGTTGTGTTGCATACCTTGGCATACGAGCATCTGCGGTACCCTTACGCTTACCGAAACCCTTGTGTCTACCGAGTCTCTTCGCATCGGTGTGGTCTCTAGCGCGTGCCCTCGAGTGCATGGTGACTGGCTTGCGGATGATGAGGCCATCAGCGACGAGCTTGCGGATGGTCTGACGGGAGTTGGCGTTGGAGATCTCGGAGACCTCATTCGGGTCGAGCCAGATCTTGCGCTGTCCGCATCCCACAACGGCCGCCGCGAGGCGCTTCTGGGTACGAAGGTTAACCCTAAAGATAACCCGTTAGTTCATGCTAATCAGAAGCCTCTGCTGGACGGATTCCCTCAAGTGTCGTGGCCGACTCTGTCGTGAATAGTTTTGACGAGTGGGATCTCCATATCGATGACTCCATCAATCGTGGGTGCTCCCACTCGATCGTAACTAATGTCTTCGGATAGGGTATCTCAAGGTATTCCGTCCAGAAGTATTTTCGCACACGTACATCTTGTCTTTCCTGATGGGTTCCGTTGGTTGTCGATGGTTGTCGTGAATTCTCTCGACCTCGTCTCTGTACTTTGTCGGAATGGAATTCAAAGATGGCGGCTTTCGCTTGTGGCAAAACGCTAAACTTCTTCGGGGATTAACCACCGAATTGTGAGGAGAAGTGGAGGGTTAGCCCTCACCACTGATAAGATAAGATAAGGGATTAAAAGACCCCTGAGGATCACCCCACGCGACCAACGACTTGGTCAACCGTGACAGGAATAATGTATGAGGCGACCAGTGTATTTCTATAGTTATTAATGAATAACTGTTTATAAACCACTACGGAAAGGCGAAGCACGAATTCATGGTTAAACAACATTGGCTATGCTCAAATATACATTTTTATTTCTCGTGACTCTACCCCTGTGAACCAGATCCTACTCTTCTGGTCTTCCCCTAATATCAAGAGCGCCATGCTTTACAGAATTGAATAGTTCTGATACATCAGTCATCACTTGAAGTTCCCTCTCCCAGATCAACCTTGCCTACGCTCCATATTTCGCGTTCGTCGTCGACTTCATCGTTGGACAGGCCAAGACCGCCCTGGCCACCCTCAGCCTCCCTCCTTTCCCTGGCCTGGGCACCCAAACGTAATGCAACACGCTTGAAGTAATCTTGCATAGCTCTCTTTGAGACCGGCGCCATCTGCGTTTGGCTCGCAATGAACTTATCGAAGACCTTTCCTTCCTCATCAACTACATCAAAGAGCGCCATGAAGGCTGCTTCAGCTGACAGCTTGATTGGGATAATAGTGTCTCGGACACTGGCAAAAATCGGTGCAGCTAATACTGCAAGGTGTGGCTTTACATGCTCCATGTGGTGCCGGCAAGCGGTGCGGACGACAACCAAAGCCAGCCTTCGCGTATCTGCTGGGTTTCCCGCTGGGATGTAAGTAGCCAGTGTTTCAAAAATCAGCTTCCTGGCTTCAAAAGATTTTGGGCTTTCCGTCAATATGTATTTTCCAGCTGCTAACACAGAGTTGTCGGAAATGAAGGGCTAATTAAGTTAGTAATAATCTCTGATATAGACTAGGAATACTCACGTCTTTACTAGCTATGCCTTTGCAGATCACAGACGGCAGATCCTCAGCGAATGATGACTCCGTTAATGATTGAGGTGCCTGTAGTAGAACGGAGTTGAGGGCCAAAATAGAAGCGTGGGTAAAGTGAGTCGTCATGGCGCGGTTCTTGATTAGGCTTGTGGCGTTATCCTCCGATACATTCTTGATCAGTGCACCAAATAGCTTTGCGTTTGTTATCACCATGGTGGCATCTTTGTCCTCCACATCGGTGTCAATCAAACCCAGTACCGCAGAGCGCGAGGCCTCGCTCATGTTGCTTCCGGCCTTGCTGACAACCTCATACAAGGCTTTCAACATGGCGTTCCTGACGCCGATATCAGAGGTCTTGCATCCTGTCACCAACTCTGCCACTAAAGGATCAATCCGAGGAGTTAGGGTGATCAAAGTTCCAAGCGCCTTCGCAGCACGAGTCCTCAGAACTTCGCTAGACGTGTCCGCGAGGGATTTGGCAAACGTCCTCTGTAACTGAGGAAGGAAAGGCTTCAAGAAAGCTGGAATCTTCTCAAGCAGATTGTTCAAGGTTAGGAGAATAGCAGCTCTCACATCAGTCGATTTTTCTGATACGATTCGAATGAGAGGTCCGGTGATGGCCGTGACGAATGGTTTGAGAGACTCAGGGCTAGTCCTGTCGAGTATATCGGAGATGGCTAACGCAGACTGCGTCTTCTGGTCAGACGTGCCATTCATGAGACCCTGCAAGAATATCGGGAGGATGGCATTGATTCCCTTTGGCAATGAGAACCCTGGCAGGTCGGATCCTGGAACGCCAACTCGTTGAAGGGCTTGTCTGGTGGAGTGGACCAAAGCTTCCATTTCTACCTTGCTCACCTGCTTGGTGAATTCGTTCAGGGCAGTCCATGCACCCTTGGTCACTTCCAGATCGGTATCATCAAACGAAATCAACAGGTTCCTGACGATATCCTGGTTGTAACGGCTGTAATCGACGTCGGTATTTGCAAAGAAGTTGGCAAGGCGATATCCGGCGGCTGCGCGCTTTCGGTGGTCGTCGTGCTTGACAAGGCCAAACATAATGCTCATGGTTGTATTGAGACCATCATACTCATCGATGGAAAGGAGCACAGTGTCCAGCGATGACTCGAGATCAGCGCGGAGCTCCTCATCCTTGCACACTATAATATTGTCCACCAATGCGTTGATAACGGTCGATAGGCGCCTTGTCATAGCTCCTCCGGCTACAGTTGATAGCGAAGCCAGGGCCCTTGCATTGAATGCGTTGATTGGCGAGGCTGTGAGGGTTGGGAGAAGGTTCGGGAGAATGATGTTGGAGCGAGTGGTCTCCGTCAGTAAAGTTAGAAGTGCAGACAGTGCATTGTCGGCCTCGCCCTCTGTTCTGAGAAGGTTGAGGAGATATGGCAAGACTTGGTCCACGGCGCGCTTGCCAAACATGTTCTGCATAGAGTCGAATGCATCAGCGGCGGCTTCTCTAACCTCTTCATCCGAATCAATAAGAGCAACGCGAACAACAGATATCAGTGTTTTCTCATGGTCCTCTAATCCATCTTCGGATGCAGATGAAATAAGCTCGCGAAGAGCAATACAAATGCCTTGTCTGGCGTCAACATCTGTAGAAGTCCGGAGGCCTTCCTCGAGAGTAGGTAGCAGGGTAGAGAGCACCCCATCACCAGCCTTACGGATGAGTTCACCCAGAGCGTTCCCAGCAATGAGTTTCTGTTCAGCGTTTGTGGATCCAAGGCGTTGAATAATAAGCTGGCTGAGTGTAGGAACCAAGTCCTTAAGAACCCTAGGACTGGCAACAAGTGCCTTCCACACGTTGACAGCTGCAGTTCTAACCTGGCCGGCAGTATCACAGCGACAGATATATAGCTCAGAGAGAACCTTGTTTCGCTTCTCTTCGCCGAGGATCTCCAGCAGAGATGCTCCGGCTTCCTTGGCGCCCTCTTCAACCTCATCCTCGTCCGTGGAACTGATACCAGTTAGGTTGAAAAGAAGATCCCCAACCAGCTCAACGGAACTGAGACGGATTCTGTAGCTATCGTCTCCCAAGCCACGCTCAAGTTCAGGAAGGAGGAGGTCGATGGCCTTGGTAGCGAAGTTCTTGACAAGGAGGCGGGCAGCTCTGAGAGATGTATCGCGAATCGATTCAACCTCATCCGCAAGACCAGTAAGAATAGGAGGAATGATCTTGCTGAGGTAATTTGCGAAACTGTTGCCAAAGCAAACAGGCAAGAATATGAAAAGAGACATGAAACCTTCGCGAACAGATGCTTTCGATGACGAGACATTTTGTAGGATCGTGGGCAGTGTCTCTTCGAGGCGGCTCGTGCCCAGGCCTGCGAGGACTTCGCTGAGAGCTTGTGCCGATCCGAGGCGGTCTCCTGCTCCAGTATCGGCCTTGAGTGTTTGCATGAGCCCTGGGATAAGATCTGGAAGGGCATCTTCTCCCAGCTTCTCGATGAGTGAACCGAGAGCCTTGGACGCTGTAGCCCTCGTGGTGGGTACGGGGTCTACCGCGGCAATCTTTAGACCAGCAACCAAGATCGGAAGATGAGATATGAGATCTTTACGCTCAGTCAGGTGTGCAAGACTTCCAATAACCTGTGCTGACTTTCTCTTTGTTCCAGATCGATCGCCCAAACCTCTCTCCAGAATACGAACAACAAGTGCGAGAGAAGGTGCATCAAGATAATGGACGAAGGAAACCTTGATCAGCGCGTCAAGTGCATCATCCGTGTACTTTGTCGGATCGCTCAAAGCCTTTAGGAGTATGTCCACAAGACCCTTAATCTCGGGGTTGCTGATGACTTCTCCAAAGCGCTTCAAACTGCGATTGGCAGCCAGGCGCACTTCTTTGTGACTGTCATTTAGAACACCAGTAAGCGGGGGGATAATCTTTGGCAAGCTTTGGGCAAGCTGTTGAGGATCGAGGTAGGCCATGGCGCCGAGAAGGTCGCAGGCACCTTTCTTGCTTCTCCACTGCTGGTCATCAAGGCCATCCAAAAGTGTAGGAAGGATCTTTTTGACACCGTATGAGCTTAAACTAGCGAAACATGTCTTTGCCGCAGCAAGACACCCGTCTCGAATATCGGCACTAGAATCTCCAAAGCTGGAAAGTAACTGGGGCACAATCTGAATGACATATGGCTCAAAAATACGACCCAAGATAGTCGAGAGAAGCTCATAAGCCAGCAGCGCCCCTTCACGGTGCTTGACATCTTTCTTGTTATCGATGGCGCTCCTGAGGGTGAGCATTATGCGATACTCTCTGAGAGCAACGATACCAGTACCTTGAATTAACCCTGCGAGACCATACGCAGCACCACGGCGTGAAGCATAGCTACTACCATTGAGCAGCTGGTCCATGACCTTTTGCGTGTAGTCTGGAACCTCGCCGGGTGAGGCCCGGACTAGATCTGGAAGGCAAAGAGCTACGGCGTATTGAACCGTCTCAGAGGGGGTGCTCAAAGTGGCAAGAAGTCTTGCTACAACTTCTGGAATGCGAGAATCCCCTGGATTAAGGTGCCTCGCGAGTGCGCCATACAGGATAATGACGGCTTCGTTCACTCTGTCGCTGAAATCCGAGCCTTTATCTGGCCCTTCAAGAGTTTGTTCAAAAGTCTTCATCAGATCTTCGACCTTGTTTTTCGCATGCAATGCAATGATGGCTCTCGCGGCCTCGATCATTTCTTCTCGAACATGAGGGCTCTTGTCACCGAGTGGTCCGCGCTCAATGAGAAATTTCAAGAACGAATCTAGTAGTTCCTCCTTGAAGACGACAGACAACTCTCTGAAGGCTAGTGCGATGCCATTTCTAGCTTCCCAAGGATCTCTCATATCCATCTTTCTAGGCATGCCATATTCATCGAGCTGTGGCACTTTTGGTTTGGCTAACTCTATGTATGAGGATTCAAGGCGCGAGAGGATCTCTGTAATTAATCCAGGGTGCAGCTTTACTGCCGCGGCAAGGGCTCGAGCGGCTGCTCGGCGGAGCTGCTTGTCTTCTCTTTCGAGATATGGTAGGATCGTGAAGACGGCATCACTCGAAACCTCAAAGCCGCTCTCTACCCATATTTCGTGCGCGAGCTCAACGTTGCCCTCAATATCGTCGTGGCATGCAAGCCAAATCTCCTCGGAGAATTCCATGTCGCTGAGGTCAATTTCGGCGCTGATGGATTGTAAAACTGACGTGCGGACCGATGTCTGAGGCACGATAGCTCCTCGGACAAGTGTTGCAATTTCATCGTCGTTGATAGTGGGAGCAACCGAGCGACAAAGATCAGCCAGGCACTCCTTGATAGCTTTGTAGTGCTGGTTATAGGCTTGCATCGATTCAATAAGCACCGAGAGAACCTCGCGACGTGGCACTATAGTATCGGAGCACGCATCGGTGTGGAACTTGAGAAAATCGATCGCGAGTACTACTTGCGCCTCGGAATCTTCCTGCGTACCGAAACCACCATTGCGCAACACAAGGAATACCAGAGGTAACATGTACGTCAAAGACACCGTATCGAAAGGCCTCTGCTCGCCAGAGAACCGTAGTCGATACAGAACTCTGGTGATGAGCTCTCCTAGGGACTCTTGGGTAAGCTCTTCGGGTAGGTGGGTGATTCCCAACGCTCTTAGCGTTGCAATTCCGATGAATGGACGAACCGGTCCGATGCGGGCGACCACCCTCTCCGACAGAAGCCTATATGCCTCAGCAGCTGCATTGCCTGTAACCAGGCCTGCTCCAGCATTGATGATATTGATCAGAGAGGTGACAGCTGGGCTCATCCACAGTTGAGCTTCAGTTGGGGGGCCAACAGCAAGACTTTTGATAATGCCAATTCCTCGCACTAGTTGAGCTTCCAATTGCCGAACTTGTAGACGTATTGCGGCTTCCTTCTTTAGCTGTGCATTTATCTTTGCGTTTTGTTCTGGGGTCAATTTTTTCTGCTGACCCTTCTTCTGAGCTAGCTGGGTACGTAACTCTTCCTCCCACTTCATCGTGTCGTAGTCCTTAGTATTCTTGTTAGGCACGTAGTCCTGTGACTTTTTAGCCAGTACATCAACAAATAAAGTGCCTTCAGGAGTTCGGAATATTGCGGCTTCTGTAGGGCCAACATCATCCAGCTGTTTAGGATCGAGATCGTGTTGAAATAGATCAACTATTCGGGAAGTCATAACGTCAGGCGCCACAAAGGCAAGTTCTGCTGCGGCATTGAAAGCTGCACTTTTGATAGTGTATTGGGTTTGGTCTGCAGTCTGCAAAAAAGTTAGTGATGTACAAATTGATAAAGACTGAACATACCTCTTTGAAATCTGTGATTTCCAAAACTTGCTCAATAATAGCATCGTTATACTGTCTACAGAGTTGTCCGGGGTCCACGCCGACTCTGAGGCAAAGCTCAATCCACTGAACGCCAGGAAGCAGCTCGGGACGAGCAATAACCAACATCTTTACCATTTGGTTCTCCTTTATGGACTGGTCTATCTCGAAGCCGAATTTCGATGCATCTGCGGCGGAAAGGCAGATGGCCTTTGCGATAAAGTGGAGATTGGCTTTGTCGGATTTAGAGGCTGCTGCGGCACAGTCCTTCTCTCCAACTTCGATGTCGCGAACCCAACGCCATAGGCCAGAGACAATCATCGATGAAGTTTCTTGGGGGAGTCGTGCGTACGTTTTCGACAGCACCTCTATGCATTGTCGTCTCACAGCAGGTGGAACGTTTGCGGAGCAAATACAGGATATTACCCCCTGTGACCACGCGAGGGCTGTCGCCGAATTTGGACCGGATGTAGAGGCTTCATCAGCTGTAGCAGAGAGGGCACGAATAAGCCAGAGACGATCCTCATCATTAGTTAATTTACTGTAAACCCGATGATTGAGTAAGAATGAAGGTTTGGGCTCAAATGCCAGCGCTTGTTGAATAACCTTTGCTTTTTTGATGGCTTCGTTAATCTTCGAACTTTTCAAAGAAGGGAGCTTGGCCGCTGCTAGAGCTGTCAAAACATAACCACCAACAACAACGCCGGATTGGCCAGCAGCAATGGGGTTTGAGGCAACCTCATCGAAAAGTTGAATCAGGCTTGATATGCTGGCTTCAGCGAGCTCTACAACATTCTTATTTTCAAGATTAGAACCCCCCTGTGCCCACAAAATATCACCTAGTCGAAGCGTCCACAGCTTTCGTAGTGGCGCTTTCTTGTCTGATAGGCCTTTGCTGAATGCTTCTAGGACCACCTTGGGAAGTGCTGTCCCATTGGTCAGTGTCCACGATGTGTAAAGGGACAGAACCGATGTCTCTGCACTCAACGCTCCTTCGTTGGGTTCCTTTGCCGCAACCGCAGAGACTGCCGGCAAGACCTTTTCCACCAAGCTTTCAGTTATCGGCAAAACCTTCAGAATTTCCGAATGCAGGATTCGATGATCCGCTGCCGGAAGCTTCCCAGACTTTAAGGGAAGCAGTATCTCGTTGGTGATAACGCTGAGTGCAGCGTCGTCGTGACAACGAGGTATGGTGACTCGAAAAGCGGTATGCGCACCGTTTCGAATGGTTGCGTTTGTTGATTTAAGGTTTGATAGTAATGGTTTCAAGAGGTTCCCTTGCAAAATCTTTGAAAGGTCGATGCTCTGAGGTAGCGATTCAACCAATGGCGTAATGAGATCATCCAGGACAATCTCGGGAGCCCTGAGCAAGGCCTTTACAAGGGATGGTGCTACGTGCTTCGCCAACTCCTCTGCACTAGTGAAATCCAAAAAGAAATCATAAAGTCCATTTGCAATATGAGCGGGCACTGGCGTCCGAGATCCAATAATCTCTCTTGTGTAGAAGTTGTAGTAATTTTCCTTCTTTCTTTCAAGAGTGCCTTTTGCTTCTGGTTTTCTCGAACAGACCCCAGCGATGACGCCCAGCATGATGGCATTTCTTGCGCTGGGCTGGGCAGCTTTCGCACTCAGTCCTTCAATCGCATCACTAATCGAAGCCTCGGCCGAATCCTGGCAAGAAACGACCTTTCGGAAGGCCCTTCTAGTCACAACGAGAGCAGAGTGCCTAATATTGGGTTTTGTAGTTGTCTTTTGGCACTGCTCTAGAACCTCTGCGTCACTTGCAACTAGTTGCTGCCCCCAGATCGCCCAATAAGGTGTCCCACTGCACTCCTGAATAAGGATGCTGAACCATTCAGTTAAAACAAACGCGTTGCTAGCTGCTATGTTGGTTTTCGATGCCTCGGTATGTAAAGATTTGATGAAGGGAGAGAGAATGTCTGGGCTTGCGCCTGCTCGAAATATTGTCCTCAGACATTGTTCAACGTGGCGTCTAGAGCTTCGGTCTTGGTAAAAGGAATATGTGGTGAAAATAAGTTCCAGTAGAGTTGGATACGATGACTGCTCGATTTCTACAGAGAACAGAGGTTAGCATGCTCACTGAATAGGTTCATCCTGCCACGCACCTTTGTTTGAGAGTCGTTCATCAATACTGTGAAGATATGCTGTGCGGGTCGCCGTCGAGGAGGAGGAGAGCGCCTTTCTGCTGGCCTCGAGGTCCATTCCCCTTACATCTTTCAGATCTGCCCCTACCATCTTGCAGTTTTATGGCAATGGAGCGGATTACTGAGGCGAGATAGTTCTCACCCGACATGGAAGTTTTGGTCGCCAGGGACGCTGAACAAAGGATTAAAGTTCACCCGAAGTTACTAAGGTATTGGCACCCCCGCGTCATTCAACTTTATTTACGCGGTGACCCCCCGCCATTTTTTTCAATAGAACGCCGACAAAATTATAATACTATGGCGGGAGGCAAAAAGAAAAAGAAGCCAGCATCAAACCCTGCCCGTGGCTTTGCTACGACCTCGGTGGCATCAAAGGTGAGGATTGAAGTTGCTGAAACCACACCTTCAGACGAAAGCCCAGACAATGAATCAGAGCAACGGAAGGATGAGACAGCGACAGAAAGCTTGTCAACGTCCACAACAACCGGAAATACAGATACGCAGCTAACCCCCGAGGAATTCGAGAAACAACTCGAGGAATCAGATCTTCAAGTACTGGTCGAAAAGTACTCGCAAAAAGCCAAACGGGATGCTGCTCGCCAGGTAACCAGGCTCCAGACAGATCGCCGCCTACTACGAGGTCAAGCCGACTTTTTGAATACACGAAAATGGCTTCCTCCGGATTTGATGGACGAGATATTGGATATAGTTACTGCGGATCATCGAGCCTTGGGACCGAGCACAGCAGACTCCCCTGCAACGTTGAAGCCGCTGACAGAGGAAGATTTAACCATAAAATTATGGACCCTACAGCAAGCTCTGGCCGGCGCAGGCTTCCCTGACGACAGAGTCCGCATGGTCCTCACATACATTCTAAGCATATCCGATAAGATGGTCAGCGGAAATAAAGATTCGATCTGGGGTCTTGAGGAATCTCTCCAATGGATGGCACGTGAATGCTCCCGAGACGAGTTGCCAGACTACGAGAATTGGCAAACGAAATCCCTGTTGCCGTTGAAGTTACAAATGGGTAGGTCCTTATAGTGGGCGAAGCGTATCTTTGGGTCAGTTAGCTAACCGACCAACAATTAGACTCTCAAGCCGGCACACCCACGGCGTCAGGAATGAACACACCACGGCAGATAGAAGCAGATATACGCCACGTAGACTCGAAAGAAACCATTGCAGAACAACCCGTTACAAAATTAGCCGCGCGGCCCGCAAAGCCCGCAGTGGTCGAGTACGAGAGTGATATAGATGCGGACGATCTACTCCCGGAATATCTGGAAGCAAAGACGAAACTTTTCCATCTACAGCCCCCGAAAAACTCGGCACAGGCTGTAGCCCAGCGTGGAGCAGGGGCCGTCAATGGCAAGAGAAACAAGGGTAGCCAAGCGCCCCAAGACCCAGAGATGGCAAAGCTACAAAGGAAACTGGTGAAGATCGAATCTGACGTTCTTTTTGATCGATACGAGGCCGAACAGGAGTGGCAGAAGCGGAAGATTACTCTTGAGAAAGAAGCTGCTGCGAAAAGACAGGAACTGTCTGGTGGCCCTCCCCCGAGGATCCCACACCCTGCTGAGTCTAGTGATGATGACTCTGATGATGAGATTATGCGCGCAGCTGCAAAAATGGGAGCAGACTTACTCGAAGATGATTCAAGCGATGACGATGGTGCCATTGCGGACTTGTTCGCAAATCTCCCCGTTACTGAAGTTGACCCAGTCACCGGGAAGAGCACTGTGGTTATCAACGATACCAATGGCGGCAAGATCACCCTCCGAGATTTTGGAAAATCTACAGGCATAAGTCCTAGAAGGGTATTGGAAGAAGCTTGCCGTTCTAGAGATTCTTCCGTGAAGATAGTCTACACGCTTGTCTCCAAAACCAGCTATTCCAACCGCCATTCCGTCAGGGTAAATTGGTCCAAGGCCCAAGAAGTCCCGTCGCCAACTTCGGATTTTCCCGAGATTGATTGCATATGTTCACCAAAATCAATCACGATTACAATGACCAGCATCTCTACTCCTGATGCGGCCCAATCGGAATCTTACGCCGCAACCGTAGCGCTGTTTCTCATATTCAGCACTTCAGTGAGGGAAGAAAAAGTGTTCCTGCGACTCCCTCCGGTATGGCGTGAGCTATGGACGGAGTTTGCTGTTGCAAGGAAAGAAAAAGCGGATGCGCTCGATAGAGAAGCTATTCGCGGCTTTCGGGATACTATCAGGCAGAAGAGGGATCGGGAAGAGGAAGATGGTGTCGTGCTGACGACTAGCTTTAGACGCCGTGCCTTATTAACTCCCAATGATACCAGCGATGAGTCTGGGACGGAGACGCCAGGTAGCTCTAGTGTCTCCCCCGAGACTCTCAAGAGGATATGGCATGACAAGAGCAACACGCCCTCATACCAAACAATGCGGCAGTCTCGCATGCAATTGCCTATGTGGGGCTACAAAGAGGAAGTTCTTCGTACAATTGATCGGGAGCAAGTAGTCATTATTTGTGGAGAAACGGGTTGTGGTAAGAGCACCCAGGTGCCCGCATTTATTCTAGAACACCAGCTTTCACAAGGTAAGCCGTGCAAGCTGTATTGCACAGAACCACGCAGAATTTCAGCAATCTCTCTTGCCAAGCGCGTGAGCGAGGAGCTTGGGGAACGTAAAGGGGACGTCGGGACGCCTAGGTCATTGATCGGATATGCAATCCGCCTTGAAACCAACACGTCTCGGGAGACTCGCGTTGTATACGCCACCACTGGAATTGTTATGCGCATGTTGGAAAGCTCCAACGATCTCAAAGAAATCACACACATAGTTTTGGATGAGGTGCACGAGAGAACTATTGACAGCGACTTTTTGCTGATAATCCTCCGAAAGCTGATGGCCCGGAGACCAGACCTCAAGGTTGTCTTAATGTCTGCTACTGTCGATGCCGAAAGGTTTTCGAAGTACCTGGACGGCGCCCCGGTTCTGCAAGTCCCCGGAAGGACCTTCCCAGTTACTTCATACTACCTCGAGGATGCCGTGGAGCTTACCGGTTATTCTTTGGATAATGGTTCACAAAATAAGAGATATACCGACTTGGACGACGATGCCGAATTAGAGGATGCACCAACGAGCGAAAAGACGAAGGCAGAGAATACGAAGCTGCTGCGTGGTTATAGCGCCAAGACCCGGAACACCATCCTCCAAATGGATGAGTACCGGATTGATTTTGAGTTGGTGGCACAACTCATAGCCAAGATCGCTACCGACGAGCGGTATGTTCCCTTCAGCAAGGCCATTTTGGTATTCCTACCAGGTATTGGAGAAATCCGCCAATTGAATGACATACTCCTTGGGCTGCCTACTTTCCGAACGGATTGGTATGTATACCCGCTGCATTCGTCTATCGCGAGTGAGGACCAAGAAGCGGCATTTTTGGTGCCTCCTCCTGGCACCCGGAAGATAGTGTTAGCTACGAACATTGCCGAAACCGGTATCACAATCCCGGATGTTACCTGCGTAATAGATGCGGGGAAGCACCGCGAGATGAGGTTTGATGAGCGACGACAACTTTCGAGACTACTAGAGACGTTTATTTCGCGAGCCAACGCGAAGCAGCGACGAGGAAGAGCTGGTCGTGTGCAGGAAGGACTATGCTTCCATCTGTTCACGAAGTACCGGCACGATGAGCTCATGTCTGATCAGCAAACTCCGGAGCTGCTGCGACTATCACTGCAAGACCTGGCTATCCGAGTCAAGACCTGCAAGCTGGGAGGAATCGAGGAGACGCTGGGTCAGGCCCTCGATCCCCCGTCGGCAAAGAACATTCGCCGAGCTGTCGACGCACTCATTGATGTTAGAGCGCTCACCGCTGCCGAAGAGCTCACACCTCTGGGCATACAACTGTCGCGGCTACCTCTCGATGTATTCCTGGGCAAGTTGATCCTGCTAGGAAGTATATTCAAGTGCCTAGATGCAACAATCACCGTCGCAGCAATCCTATCTTCCAAGTCGCCATTCCAGGCCCCATTCGGCGCACGCCAGCAAGCAGACACAGTCAGGCTCGCCTTCCGCCGCGGAGACAGCGACCTGCTGACAAACTACAACGCATACCTAGCCTGGAAACGCGTGTGCAACACGACCGGATCCGAGTACCAGTTCTGCCGCAAGAACTTCCTGAGCCCCCAAACCCTATCCAACATTGAAGATCTCAAGGGCCAACTAACCGTCTCCCTCGTCGACTCCGGGTTCCTGCCCCTGACGGAACGTGAGCGCGCGCATATCAAGCGAAACAGATACTCGAGCCGACGCCACGACTTCTTCGAGCTCCCGCAGCGCGCCAACATCAACAGCGAGAACGACCTGATCACCCAATCCGTCATCGCCTGGGCGCTGTACCCGAAGCTACTCGTTCGCGATGGCAAGGGCTTCCGCAACGTCGCAAACAACCAATCCATATCCCTACACCCCACCTCCGTCAACAAAGGTCACCATGAGATCAACTGGCTCTCCTACTACCACATCATGCAAGCCAAGCAGTAAGTTCCCGTCGCCTACTCATTACCAATCTCCATACTAACCCCATAATTTAGATTCTACAACGCGCACGAAACCACAGCCGTAACCGACTTCGCTATCGCCCTCCTATGCGGCGACGTGCGCTGCGACTTCTACGCCGGCGTGTTAATCCTCGATGGCAACCGTGCGCGCTTCGCCGTCTCAGACTGGAAGACCATGGTCGTACTACGGACGCTGCGCACGCGCCTGCGCGAGATCATGACGCGCAGCTTCAAGAACCCAGGGAAGCCCATGCCTGAGGGTCTGGCGAGATGGTTGGAGATTTGGCAGAGGATCTTTTCGCAGGAGAATCTGCTGCTTGCCAAGGGATTGGTGAGGACGTAGGGTAGGATGGGGATGTAATGGAGAGAATCTAAGAAGGGTAGAGGCAGCCTAGGAGGTTGAAGGGTGATAACGGTGTGGCATGTAATCACACATGATGGGCATACATAGTGAGCATTCTGGGATGGGAAAGTGAGCATACTGGGCATATCAAGCTCCAGCTTCAAGGCGTTGTTGCTGCTTGCGAGCAAATGGAAATGGAAATGGAAATGGGAATCAAGAGCATACAGATAAAGATCAAATGAACATAAATGTTCGTATCATGAGCCTCGGTCTCATTTTTTCCGTGAATGTTCCACTCTCGCCCAGCTTCCTCCGCGGTCTCTGTCCATCACGAGGGAGTTATCTCACCGTGAAGCACGACACCTCACCGCCGCGAGCAAGTGGACATGCCCCCACTGCCCGCCCTTTCTCTGCTGCCTAAACCCAAATCCTTCAGCAGACCGAACCAACAAATCACCTCACCCACCACCAACACCACACCCCACACACCTTAATTTATGCTTCCCCTTTCCTTCTCCTCCCCGTCTCCCGTCTCCCGTCCCCCGTCCTACTCCAGCCCGCCCCCCGATCCACCAACACGCCCCCACAACGGCACCAACATGGCCCGCTCCGCGCGCCCAGAACCGGGTGTAAGCAAGCCCACCGCGTCCCGCAGCGGGCCCTCTCCTGACCTTACCATCCTTCAGCTACTCGGGAATCCTCCTCGGGGATCTGTACTTCGCCGGTGCGGTATCAGAGGTGTTGGAGGGCGGGAGCAATATTTCTCCACTCGCGTGCCTTACGTGGCTGCCTGGCTGGATACCTGGTCGCATCCACAGAGGGAGGGGCAGGCCAAGGGGAGACCAAAGCGGCGCCGCGAGGACGGGAATGGTGTGAGATGCGAGCAGGGGTGGGGCGAGGGAGGAGTTGGGAGCTGGGAGTTGGGAAGAGTGGAGGAGGAGGGGAGGAGGAGGGGAGGAGGAGGGGAGGGCGGGACAGTGAGAGCTAAACTTAGAACCTAGCACCTCCCGCGCCGCGCCGCTTGCGCCGCGCTTCTCTTATCCGCATTTGTCTGCGCCACGTCGCGCGATGCGACGCGGTGGGAGACTATTACGCGCGCAGCGTCCTGTTCGGGTTATACTGGTCGCTCTGTGCTGGAGGACAGTTTGTTTCCCTCCGCAAGTGAGTGTGCACACAGAAACCCAGCGAACGACGCGCGCTCCTAAAAAAAGCCATCTCACACGACGTGCAGCGGCGTAGACACCGGCCCCTGCACCTCGCGAATCACAACCCCCGTCCCAGGGCGCCCGGCGCTTACACGGCTGCGGCGCGCGATAGCGCCAGATGGTGGGGTGTGTGTGTGTCTGTCTGCTGTGAACCTGTCTCGGAGTATTGATTGATTGCACACATCTAACTCGCGCAGACACACGCAGGTCCACGCACACGCATGCGCACGCGCATGGTTGCTGGATGAAGCGAGCGCGAGGGGGCGGGTAGGTGCATATACGGCGGCTGGAGGCGGGCGTGGCTGCGCTTGTGCAGGGGAGAGGTGGGGATGGCGGAGGGTAAAAATAGGTTTGGTGGGTTGCAGGGGTGGGGGGTGATTGGTTGGGGGGGGGTTTGATGGGGTGATGGTCTCGGGAACCGAGGGGGAGGGTGGTTGGATGGTGGGTTTGGGGTGTTTGGACTTGGGAATGGCTTGTGCGACGATGATGAGACTTGGTGATTGATGGTGGTGATGGAAATGGGGAATGGGGATTGGGATGGGGTGCAGGGATGAGGGGGGGGAGCACGATTGGGCGGTGTGATGCCGTCTGGCCGGAAATTTTGTGCTTTCTGCCGCCGGGTGAATTTCTGCGGTTGCCGGTGGAGTGAGGTGAGGGACTGGACGTGGTATTGGGTGTTTGTTCGCTCGAGCGGATGGGATGGGTTGGAGGAGGGTTTGTTTCGAGTTCTGTGCTTACTGTGTTTGACTCTAGATAGTATGCCGTAGATGGTATATTCAATAAGCTGTTATAGGAGTTATGACTGAAGCACAATTATAGAAACTACTATAGAATTGTCGGGTCGTAGTATAGAATAATACAATAGAGTAACTCCGTAGATTGTTGTTAACTCTGCTGCCTAGAATGTACTGCAATATGGCAGACATCAGATGATGACAGACATGGATGTCGTTGGTTGGTGCCAAATATAGAACAGCATCGCGATCCTAGTCCAAGCCACTCAGGGGATAGCGGCCTTTCAAACGACACCTCCCGTCTCCCGTAGTCGAACCCCTGTCCCTGTCAGTGTCACTGTCAAAATGTTCAACTTCTGGTACTTCGACCACGCTCTACGGTGTTTCACTCTCTCTACCTTGCCGTAATTGACGCTTACACGCTCACACGCTGGCACACGCACGAAGCGATCAGCATGTACTGTACGAGTATGTACGAATTATGTACGAATATACCCAGAGCTGAGAACGTGTGGGTGGATGGATTGCTTGTTGTGTCCAGCCGTGCATGTGGATAGTTGCCAAGTAAGGTACAGCACAACACACGCAGCGCACCAAAAGTGTGTGGGGATGGGATGATGGGAACAACTCCCCGGGATGAGAATCCTTCGAAGAACAAACAAACACTGCTGCACTGCATGCCATTGCACCACGCTGCGAGGGGCTGTTTTGACGGCCCGAACATCTCACAATGTTTGATGCTCCTTTGGGTTGTGAAGTCGGGTCCTGAAGCCGAGTACTGATGCTGGACTGCTCGTGTCTAGAATATGCACGCCGCTATAGGATTCTACCCGTGGGATTCACTGCCTGCGTGCGCATGCGAGTAAGTAAGGAACCCGCGCGGGATTCCTTTGTGTATGCTTCATGGGATTCATGGCTGGGTCTTATTGTGCTTATTCTGCTACGGACCTGGGCTTTATTCCAACGGCCACAGCCTCTGTACAGTACTATCAGCAATCGATAATCGAATCGAATCGAAGATCTTACAATCGACAATCGACAATCGACAGTCCCGTATTACTGTACTCCCCGCTGGCGCTGTAAACTCTATCTATACCTACGGTGCATGCTGCTTACTGCTTATCATGCCTCACGCTGTCGATTCGAGACCGCAGACAACTGATTGTGCTCGTTGTCGATAACCAGTGCCCTAATCCTGCTCATATCGCAATGCTACGCTGGACGGCTAAGTGAGACTTTCTAACAAGGTACTTCCACCACCACCCAAGGAACGTGCGTTTCAAAGTACCCACTCACCACCACCATCTTCAAGTCTTCAGTGCATGTACCCAACTACCAACCCTTGCTTTTGTTCCATCCTAATCCCATTCCCATTCCCAATCCCATTCCCATCCATCTCCATTCTGCACCTCATCCTCCCCTCAATCCCCACTACAATCTTTAATCTATAATCTAAAATAACCGCAGGAGTAGTCGATATTCTACGAATTACTGCATGCCTATTCTAAATATGCTCACATTTCTCTTGGCTTGCAACACAAGGGCCGAGGTTGAGTACCACGTCGAGTAAACTACTCTACTCCGTATGCAGTACACTGGGTACAGAACTGAACAAAAGGAACAAAACAACAAACCACAAGAGACACTTATTATCACACAGGGATCTTAGATCCTAGCTCTGTACAAGGTATGCACTGTACTGTATTGTACTCTACATGCTTTGCGTCTCCCGACTAACCATCTCTATCCATCTTAGTATGGTCTTATTTAAGACGCGTTTAAGCGCCGAGGAATACCGCCTATACACCAATCGCGGTCCTCACCACACCGAAACATCCCAACATCCCCCTCTTACTCGCCCTCATCTTCACCCTCACCAATGGACAAACCCAGGGATCTTAGGTAGGTTCCTACAAAAAAATCTCTTGATCTCATTCTCCCCAACATCACCCATCCCACCCCACCCCACCCCCATCCCCTCCCTCCTCCTACCCCCCCCTCCCCTACCCCCCCCTCCCCTACCCCCCTCACCCCGGCATCGTTGCACCCCATCGCCCGGTACATATCTTTCTTTGCTTTGGCCAAGGCTCGGTGGGGAAAAATAAGGACCCCAAAGAGACTCGACTTCTTCTTCCTCTCTCCATACTACCTCTCCAATACTTACCACTCTATCTCGTTCCTTCCTTCCGTTCAAAATCGTTCAGCAGTGCGTAGCAGCGCCCCCAGATGTCCGCTTCTTTCTGGTCATACCGCCGCAATTGCTTGGTATTCAATCAATCTTCCTTGTCTCTGTGACATTCTTAGTAACATTCTGGATCTGCGTTCCGCTCTCACTATCTGTTCTTCCTCTTCCATTCGTCGAGCTCCGAATATCTATTCCCGTGGGGCTGAAGGAGTCTATCCCGCCTCGGTCTTCCTTCGTTATCGAAATAAAGTCTCCAATCGCCCAGAATGTCTAGTCTACGAGATATAATGGACGTGGATGTGGAGCCTCTCGAGTCTCAAGCCATCCAAAGATCAAGAGACATCGCGCTCCTTCAAAACCAATCCCTCGACACACGACCAACGAATTCATTGTCGAGGACAGAACGAAGCACTACACAGCGGTCCGTTAAAAGGAAACGCCCAACCCGCATCAGCAAGCCATCATCGTCGGCGGGGTCATCACGTTCAGGCACAGCACGTCGGCGCAGTAGCGGCGCCACAGAGTTGATGGATCCATCGGGTTACGGGCAAGGCGGCTCGCAAAATAATGCGAGACCGTCGTTACCGCGCGGGCTCGAGGCAGATCAACCCGTCCGATATACTCCAGTCACTGGACGTGTGAGCAAGGCAAAGAAGGGCCAGCCCGTCCATGTCTGTGAGCAATGTGATGAGCCAAAGGTAAGTCTTTATATGATGACATTGATCTACTCATGCTGACGTTGCCAGGCCTTCACTAGAGCGGAGCACTTACGGTACGGATCTCAAATAGTTGAGACAGATAAGGTTTACTGACGAATCTCACAGACGCCACCAACTAAGCCACGAACAAGCAAAGCTTCCGTGCACATTTCCAGATTGTGAGAGGGTCTTTCACCGTCCTGACCTTCTATCTCGGCACATGAGCCGGCAGTAAGATATCCAACACCCGTCTCGAGAGCTGAGCTAATAATGAAGCAGTGAAATCCAAGGTGATGGGCCGTATAGAACCAGCGACTACAAGCCCATCGACAACGAGCAGAGATCACGATCGTCGTCGACATCCAGCAACCCACGAACACCACCGCAAAAGTATTCGCCGCAGCGGCCCAACATGAATGCGCCCAACTCCAACTATGCATCTCCCAACATCCAGGCTCCCACGGCGAATGCAAGTGCAAATATGCGCCTGTCTAAAGAATACGAGCCCATAATGGGTTCCTTCCAGGCGGTTAACGTCTCAGAATCCTCCAACCAACGACCCCATAGTCGCACCGACGGCTCCGAGAGCTCTGGTCTCCAATTCTCCCCCGCGAGAGGCTCCATGACCTCCCACGCCCTCAACACCAGCACCTACCACACCATCCCCATGAGCACCAACATGACCTCTGACTTCCTCCTCAGCCACCCCTCCACCCTCGGTCCTGCCTTCGAACAATCCACCTACTCCTCCTTCGCCTCAAACGTATACCCCGGCTCTGGCCCCGGCGACATTCCTCCACTCACCCTCCAAGTCCCCGACCCCGCCTATAACCCCTCCCTCGCCTCTCCCCCCTACAACTCCTCTGAGTCCAACTGGTCCACCCCTTCGGACGTCTCGCGCCAAGGCACCGCATGGCCGCACGACCGCGCCCTCCAAGCCGGCTGGGCCGCTGCTGAGTCCCACTCCACGGCCGCGCAGCAGCAACAGCAGCCTCTGTTTATCGCGCAGAACATGAATCTCCTCCGCCAGCAAGGGGGCCTCCATGTTGTTCCCGAGCAGTTCCAGGGCCAGTTTATGTCGACTACACGGCAATTCGGCAATTCCATTGTGACCTCCCAGCCGATGGATGAGCAAGGTGGCGTTGAAGGGGGTGGTGATATAGTAAGTCGTGCCCGCTCCGCGCGTAACCAGGAGTTGAACACTGAGGCTAACGGTGCCCGCAGTACAGCCAAGATGGATCAGACGCGAGGGACTTCTCGCACCAGCAGCATGGTCAGTTTATGGATGAACGCCTCTATGGCTATACGTAAGGACAAGGGCTCATGTGGACTCGCAGTTTTTGGCAACAACTTCTACCAGGGCCTTTAAGCCTGGCTTTCGATTTTAATAACTGCCGAGTCAAGCAGCGACATCTTTTTTATTAAAGAATAATTTGTTTGAGAGAGGAGAAATTGGGGGTGGAAACAGACAGACCAGATGAGACAGACGAAGACAGATGAAGATGGGACAGGAGTCATGATTTTTTTGGATGTTTTTTTTTGGGATACAGCGTACGCACAACCTCAAACTTCACCACCACCGCCGCCACCACAACGCCTTTCTTCTAACCTAATCCCGACACCTGAAACGGCATAATGACTACATTTTTTAACGCTTCAATTAAACAACTCTGCTTCTTTGCTTATTGTTTTTTTGGCTTTTAGTTTTTTTTATTACTATTATTAACTTTATACTTCTTGCTTCCTTGCTTCTCTCTAAGTGCTTTGTGGTTTCGTGTGCTTCTATCTTGGCGCTTCCTTCCATCTTCTCATGATGATTCTTGTCTCCCGATCGCCTTATTTTTATCTCACTTACCGCTTGGTGCTTTTGCTTGCATACCTGTTTTGCTATGCATTTTTGGTTTGATTTTTCTGCGAGGATGGCTGGGGAAGCGGGTGAGATGGGATGGATGATGTGAGATGAGGCATAACGCCGACACTAGGGTCACGTACAAAAAAAAAGACAGACATATAGGCATCGTGGAGGACAAACGGATAACAAGGCGGGGAATATATCCCAAAAAGTTATACACAGCCGATGCAGCGTTGCGATGGTGGGCCCGCAGGTTTAGGTATGCGATGGATTAGCACAGCGTGTATGGCTAGCAATAGAAAAAGTTGATCTTATGAGCTAATCTATATAGGCCTAATGAACCAACTGATAAATTTGTACATTACCCGCTGTTAAGTCGAGCAAAATTTAGGAGTACAGGTAAAACAGGAAAGGTCGTAATAGTCGTATAGGATACCTCCAGGCCCAGCAGCATTTTGATCGAACGCTCTTGCCCCATACTTTAAGTTGCAGTTAGCTCCCTTGATAAAATAGAAGGCCGTGCAACACCCAGTTGCGACGCACTGTGCAGCGCAAGCTTCCATAGAGCCAACCTGTGGAGAACCACTTGTGTAGGCAACTAACGTCCCAGATCCTTCTAGGGCGTGCGAGGTCCCCCTTTGCCCACAAATAGCGCTTGGGGGTGTCGGTGAGACTAAGCCAGAGACTGTTTTACAGGGAGATGTAGAGGTCGAGGTAGTACGTGGCTGTAGTGGTCGAGGACGAGGCCCCGATGTTGCCGTCTGCGTGTCAGTGTCCGTCTCGATAATTGGATCGTTCTCCCACCCTGCAACAGGTCCAACACAGTAAGTCTTCCCTACGGCCAAACTGCCAGTACAATCGTTGAGATTCAAGCTCGGGTTCACCTGAAGGAACAATGCGATATATATCGCCTCCTTGACACAGATCGTAGCGCAAGTTTCGCCAGTAGCTGCTCCGTGGTACTTCCCGCAATTAAGCGTCGTGCCAGTTGCCGTCGTTGCGTTTGCAGGTGGTAGAGCCAGATATTGCGCATATCCTTTATTATAACCAGGCGCAATACTGATACCAGGTACTGGTGCTGTCGCAGTAACGGTTCCGCCTTGCGGCGTCATACAGAGGATAGAACCGTATGCAGGAAGACTCGGATCAATCTCGTACCTTGAACAACCATTTACTTCCGGAGGACAATGGGATTCAAATCATCCCATTTATGACCGCATTTTCGACTATGAGGACGAGGAAGATTGTGTTAATCCAAGGGTTGCTCATATTGACCCTACTAGACTTCCAATTATGTTGCCGCAACCTCACTATTTCCAAAGTAAGTGAGAATGTTAATGTTACCGACAGATTTTCTAACTTACCTAGCTAAGCATATCATCGAGTTTCAAGGGATGAATACTTTTTTTCACTATCTCTCTAACAGAACTATTGTGCCCGGCACCACCTTAGCGGTTACCCCCTACGATTTCTTTACACAGGGGTTTAATTCGGAAATAATCCCCACGACCTCCCCCCTCATCACCCCAGTACAAAGTCAGACTGCAAATTTGCAAATACCAAGTGATAGAATCATGGAGGCCCTAGGTAGCACATGGAACCACGGAAACTTTGTTCTATTACGAGACACAATTAATGGCGCGAAATCCCGAGTAAGCCTAATAGTCTTATGTACGTTGCCTACGCTAACCATTTTATTTTAGTTATGGGCAGGTGTCAATTCCACTTCTGACGACAAAATGAATGATGCTGTGCGTAATAAGCCTGGTACAGCTCTCAGCTACATCCGAAGAGTACGTTTGCGATCCCTTCCATACAAAAGTTACTAACCGAACAATAGGTAATTGCTGTTACACACTACTTAAACTCCCCTATTGTAATGAGTCGCCTGCAGCAGCTCTGCAACCTTATCCGCGAATAGCTCGTTATGATCGAAGATGTTTGGCAGGCCCCCGGACCTAATAGGGATCTCTATTTGTCCGATTCATGGGAGGCATTTATTTCTTACCAGATGCCGAAAATCGTTGAGAGGGCTAATAAATTTGCGGACGACTGGCTCAGGGAACTAGAAAGAGTATACAACGCGCGGCCAGCTAACGATCCTGACAAGGCATTGGTGTTGCAGAACGTTCGAACTTTAGATGTCTATCGTGTGGAAATGGTGGCAACTGGGCTTCATGTCGCGGGATATCCATGAGTTTCTACAAAGGATTATTAGAACATTAGACTTCAAAACCTAGAACTGTACCTCTAAGTTCTCTATCCACAATCTACTAAGTAATGGTACCCTGCTTTTTTTCTAAGATGATGCACGTCGGTTCCCCCAACTATGGGCAGAGTGGACGTTTAGATCCAACCACTAATTGTGTGCAAAGCGAATGGTAGCTCCGACGATTAAGAGCCTTTGCAAATCCGTCTTCTGAATGAACCATGGCATGCACGGCTGCTGGGGTTAAATTTAGATATCGATAGTAGTATAGATTCATTCTATCTACAAGTTGTTTTCTATCTTCCTAGCCTTCCGCCGTTTCTTAACTCATCATTATACAAACCCCACAGTTCTTCACATTCCACGGGCCTCCATCCGTGATACTGTGACACTCGCCGAGGTGGATCGGGTACACCATTCCTCGCACCAAGCATACTAGGCTCATTTTCATCAGTCTCCCAAATATCACTGTGCCGCGGCCAATCAGCATCCACACCCTTCACGCGGCCATGCTGCCCCCACTTGAAAGGCCTTGAATCCAAATGCATCATAGGATCATTCGGCATCGCCCGGAGCTCCTCCTCCCTCAAACAATACATCCCCCTCTCCCGAGGCTCGCTATTCGTCATCCAGCTCAACGCCTCAGCATCTATCACTAAGCAGATGGAACTCTTCGGATCCTGCGCAAGATGCGTCATTGGAGTAGTGTGTTCCGTCTCCGGATCATAGCTGATACGTTGCAATTCCAGGGCTTCATGAAAAATCGCGTCCCGAAAATGGGCGCGGACATCTTCAATGCTGGCCCCATCCCATACCTCGCGGTCTTCAATCACGAGGGGATCATACTGGTCCTCCACTTGATCGCATGGTCCGGCATTTATTAATGGCCGAGGAGTATGGCCGTGCTTGACTTCATAGGCGCGAATCCTACGGTTAGTTCGGAGCTCGTTGCGTAGAGCGGTCGCAAGGCAAGTTTTTATTTTCTCGAGCGCAGAGAGGAACTGGGAGTCTGATTCAGGCGTGTAGACTGTGCGGTAGATGGTAAAGCCCCATTTTGCGTCGCGTGGATAAAGACGCTGTAGAAATTCGCGGCAGGGTCTGGAGGGTGTTAGCTGTTTGGATATAGGATTATGTGAATTAGAACTGTCTACCTGATAAACTCGCGCCTGTCATAGGTTCGGTACAATGCATTTGAGGCGTCCGTATCAGATCCATCTGGTAGTTCCGCGAAAGTAAAGCGCGACATATTTACAGGCGTAGAGCGATTGGACTGTAGTTGACTGCAAACGTAGTAGGATCAGCGAAGGTGATCTTATAAGTGTTTATTTGGTTATAGTATAGGTTCATTACTACGTCGATGTCAAGAAGGATTTAAGGCCTCTTAGTTTGCTACGCCGCATGACATGGGTGAGAACACTAGAGCGGAAAATAGACAGGTAGTTGGTAGTATCATAGATTCGGAGCTAGGACGACGGCTTTTGGCTTTTGGAAGCAACAGCTCCAACACCACAAAACGGGGATACTTTTACCTTTATTAATTTCATCCTTAGATTGCCTCACCCGTTAGTTTTATAACCTCGTACCAACCACAAGAAACTTGCAGTCAAACCCAAATTACAACTAGAAGTAGTGTCATGATTAGATAAAATATCCCAAAAAAGTTAATTGAAAGCTTGTTCCACTTTGATGAACATTGATTTTCGAATCTTTGTAAAATAAATATTTGTACAGTACAGTACAGTTACTGACAGATTGTTTCACTGTGATGATCATTGATTTTGAATGTCCTAGGATAAATTTTCATATAGTTACTGACAGAAGCTCGGTCGGAGCGCCCATGCAAACTACATGAACTTCGTCGTGAAACTACTATTCATCACTCGCAATCTCACAAGGCGCGGAGTGAATGTACATGGCCACCACAACTCTTTTTCCTGTTCAGCCCAACACCATCCATATCCGTATCTCCTACAAGTACAGCATTTGCCCTCTCCCTCCCTCCCTCCTTCAAAAACCTTTCGCTTTTCGCAAAAACAAACCACAGCCCGGCGCCCCAACTCCATCCCAGCAGCACCATAAAAAACGCCATTTCCCACGCCACACACACGAAAACTCTCCATCTATCTCCGATCACTAAACGCATCTCGTCCTTGCAACCTCGCATCCCTCTGATCCCCTCCCCTCTGATGATCCGGCGGTCCCTGGCTACCACCCCCCTGTGGCGGCGGAAACCCCCCACCCTGCTGTGGCGGTGGGAATCCTGGGAACCCACCCGGCGGCGGTATGCCCCCAGCCGGAAACTGGAAATTCGGCGGCAACGGCGGCATCCCCGCTGGAAACCCTCCAGGCGGCGGCGGGAAGGGGAGTCCACCTGGTCCTCCGGGAGGGGGGAATGGCATGCCCGCTGGGAAACCTCCTGGTGGCGGGAAGGGGAGAGCGCCGGGTCCGCCGGGAGGTGGGAATGGTAGGCCTCCTGGGGGAGGGAAGGGAACGGGCATTCCGTTCGGGAGGGTAGGTGGCATACCACGGCCGAATGGGGGAGGTGCGCCACCGAAGGAGGGGCCTCCGGGGGGGTGGGCGAGCATGGGGTTTGAGGCTGATTGGCCTTCGGCGGCGTAGGAGGAGGTGATGGAGTCGATTACTGATTGGGCTTTTTCGTGGCCGATTTCTGTGGAGGTGGGAGTTAGCAGGGGAGTTCTGGAGGTTGGGGGGGGGGGGGGTCGAGGAATGGGGGCGGGGGGGGAGGGCGTACGTTGGTAGTAGTCGACGACGTTGCGCAGGTGGTTGCGGCCCGTGTTATGGGCTTTGCGCACGCTCATGGAGTCGTGCGTGAGGTAGACATCGCAGTAGTCGCCTGGAGGGTTAGAACGAGGTTATGGAGGCGAAACGATTCCAAGCTTCGCGCGGTGGGTGTAGGAGCTTACAGAAGACTAATTCCGGGTTAGCAAACATCCATACATGGATCGCGCAGGAGTAACTTACATTTTGGCATCTTTGCGGCGTTGTGGTGAGCTTGCTGAAGCTTCAATTCTCGATTTTGCTGAGGTCAAAGAGGTGTTGAGTTTAGCCTTGCGTCGAGCGAACGTGAACTTGACGCGGAACGGGGAACAAACTGCACACGTGACACCCTTACAGGGGTGAACCAACCACGTCGCTTAAAGTTCCTGGCACGTAGCTCTGGCCGGATCTCCTTTCCCCAAGCCCCATGCGACAGTCCCCCGAACGACGACAACTCACCATGGCGTACCCTCAATCGATACTGCGCGTGCTGTGCGGGCTTGCGCTGCTGCTCGCCTGCGCTGAGGCGCTGCACTTCGACCTCATGGCTGTGAAGAGGCATGATTCTAAGAGCGAGAGGTGCATCCGTAACTTTGTCTCAAGGGACACACTGGTTATGGTCACGTCGACGATTAGTGGGCATAAGGGAGATGGAATGCAGGTTAACATTCATGTGCGTATGGCCGGTGGTAGGGGGATAGGAGAGTGGCAGCTGCTGACAGAATGTAGATCAAGGATGCGGTAGGGAACGAGTACGCGCGTGCGAAGGACGTTGCGGGCGAGAAGAGGATGGCGTTTACGTCTCTGGCGGACTCGGCGTTTGATGTCTGCTTCGAGAATATCTTGTACTCTAGTATGTGCAGCCCCAGACTCCCCGGATCCCGACGCCATGATTTCTAACGAACCCCTCCAGACACTGCACCCCAACCACACACCAGGAAGGTCGAGCTCGATGTTGACATTGGAGCGGACGCCAAGGACTGGTCCGCCATCCAGGCCACGGAGAAGCTCAAGCCGGTCGAGACCGAGCTGCGCCGCATCGAGGAGATGGTCCAGGAGATCGTGAACGAGATGGAGTATCTCCGTACCCGCGAGCAGAAGCTGAGGGACACGAATGAGAGCACAAACAACCGCGTGAAGTGGTTTGGCTTTGGCACCGTCGGCATGCTGGTGGCGTTGGGAGCGTGGCAGATTGTCTATCTACGGGCATACTTCAGGTGAGGATTGAATTTGGTGGAATTGTTGCCTCGTATGATTTCTTACTAACTGCGACTAGGTCGAAACATCTTATTTGAGCGACCTTTTACGATAGTGTGTTGGCGAGTAATGAGATATGGCCATATGAGGTACAGGGTGTGTTAAAATACCGGGGGACCAAGAGGGCATCCAGGGGGCGCATTGTTATATATACCAATGGAGTCAATTGAAACATTCCATTTATCTAGTCGGCATGAGCCGATTGTCTCTATGGGAGTGTTCTAGCTTACCTATCCACCAACCTTCGCCTCGCCAGTGCAACAAGCATGGTATTCATCCCGACGTTTGAATAGTACCTTGTGAACATGTGACGGATGATGCAGTGACAGTTGGCACCAAATGTGTATTGATCCATTGGGTGCTGATGACCCAATATCGACCCGGGTAACACCACTTTGCCCGTCATTTATAACACTAGAAATTTTCACATTTTGAGCATCGAGGACGACTTGTTATTGGAGAATCCATTCATATTTTCATAAAAAAGCTGCAAATGATAAATGATAACAGGCCCTATCCTCCCAGGATAGAGCCCATCCCCGACGAGACCAACTATCGTAACATCGTATAATCGTAACACGGTATCAGACCAAAACACTATGCCATACACGAATGATTATACACCAGAAGAAGCGAACGAACTTCAAAATGCACACCCCCATTACAGCCTTTCCCTCCTCGCGTGTCGTCCAGTGCCATCCATGTCCCGAGTATCAAATAAAACCAAAAAAAGAGCGTTTCCATTTCGAAAGAGAAGAGAACCAAAGAAAACAGCCATAAACAATATCGTAAATCGAAATAATCGCATAAAAACCCCAAGTTGGTCTGAACCGTTGTTTATATCCCCCCGCCCTTAAGCTCCAATCAAGCGCCTAAACAAACCTTTAATCGGCCCCTGGCGCATCTTCTCCTTAACATCCTGATCCATCGTCGACGCCCTCCTCTTCCGCCTCTCCTCCCTATGACTCTCATGCCTCTTCCTCCTCTCCTCCTCCCTCGCCACATCATCCGGCCCCGGCTCCCCACCACCGGCCTCCTTCTCCTCCCTCGCCCTGCGCTCCGCCCGCCTCTCCGCCTTGCGCTTATCATGCGCCTCCTGCTCCTCCGGCGTTCGCACCTTGCGCGAGCGATCACTCCCATTATGCGAGCTCTTCGGTCTATCCGCCGGAGAAGCAGCATCCTTCTTCCGCCCCCCCACCAGCTCGCTCTCGCCCTTAATCTCGCGATCCATCTCGCTCTCCGCCTTGCGTTCGCGCCCAATCTCACTCTCACCCTTGAGACTAATCAGATTCGGCTTCTCGGCTGCGTCGACGGCGCGGCTACTCTTCCCATCACTGCGGTTGGTAGTACTATGGCGTCTCCTCCTCTCCCTATGACTCGCCCTCGCAGCATCCTCATCAGCCTTCCTCTTCTCCTCCCTAACACGCAGTTTATCCTCCTCCTCCGCCCTCCGCTTCTCCTCCCTCAACCGTCGCCTCTCCCGCCTCTTCTCCTTCTCCACCCTCGCCACCTCCTCCGCCTCCTTCAGCGCCGCCGCCGCTGCCGCCTCCTCCGCCTCCCTCTGCGCCTTCTCTTCCGCCTCAGCAGCCTCGCGCTCAGCTGCGCGCTTGGCGCGTCGTTCCGCCTTCCTCGCATCATGCGCTGCCTGCTCCTCCGGCGTGCGCTCCCTCCTCACTTCTCTATCCCGTTCTCGATCCCTTTCCTTCTCCTTCCCTCCATTCCCCATGCTCATACCCGAATCATGGCGTTTGGGTAGTTTAGGCTGGAGTCCTTTCCAGAACTGGGTTATGCTCGCGTCACTCTCGCGGCGCTTGCGGGGAGCGGCTTCGGGGGAGGGAGGGGGGAGGGACCGGTCTTTGTCGCGGGAGGAGCGGGAGTGGTGGTTTCGGGAGGAGTGAGAAGAGGAGTGCTTGGAGCGGCGCTTGGAGGAGGAGGAGGGTGGGACGGCGTCGCCGGGTGGCTCGGTTGACTCTGGCTCTTCGACGATGGCGCGGTCGGTTATAGCTTCGGGAGCTGCTTCTTCTGCTGGAGCTGGTTCTTCGGCTGGAGGTGCTTCCTCGGCGGGAGCAGCCTCTTCAACAGCAGCGGCTTCCTCGACAGGAGCGGCTTCCTCGGCAGGAGCGGCTTCTTCAGCAGGAGGTGCTTCCTCGGCGGGAGCAGCCTCTTCGACAACGGCAGCTTCCTCAGCAGGAGCGGCTTCCTCAGCTGCCTCTGCGGCAGGTGCTTCTTCAACAGCAGCAGCCTCTTCAGCAGGAGCGACCTCTTCGACAACGGCAGCCTCCTCAACAACAGCAGCCTCTTCAGCAGGAGCAGCCTCTTCAACAGCAGCAGCTTCCTCAGCTGGGGCTGGTTCTTCGGCCGGGGCGGCCTCCTCGGCAGAAGCGGCTTCCTCAGCTGGTACTGCCTCTTCGGCGGGTGCTGCTTCTTCGACAGGTGCAGCTTCTTCAGCCGGGGCGGCCTCCTCCACAGAAACTTCTTTTTCAACTAGTGCCGCCTCTTCGACTGGTGCAGCTTCCTCGACTGGTGCTGCCTCCTCGACTGGGGCGGCTTCTTCAGCGGGGGCAGCTTCTTCAGCTGGAACGGCTTCTTCTACCGGTGCTTCTTCCTCAACTGGAGCAGCCTCTTCGACTGGAGCGGCCTCTTCAGCAGGGGTAGCCTCTTCGACTGGTGCTGCCTCTTCAGCGGGTGCCGGTGTGGCTTCCTCAGCCGGAGCTGCTTCTTCGACTGGTGCAGCTTCCTCGGCTGTAGCTTCGTCCTTTGGTGCTTCCTCAGCTGCTACTTCCGCGGCGGGTGCGTCTTCGGCAGGCGCTTCTTCGGCTGCAGCTGCTTCTTCAGCGGGTGCATCTGCAGCAGGCGCTTCTTCAACTGGTGCAGCTTCCTCGGCCGGTGCTTCTTCCTTAGGCGCTTCTTCGGCTGGGACAGGTTCTGCTGCAGCAGGAGCTTCTTCAACCGGAGCAGCTTCCTCTGCCGGAACAGCCTCTTCGACTGGAGCAGCTTCTTCAGCGGGTGCCGCATCTGCAGGTGCTTCCGCAGCTGGTGTCGCATCCTCAGCAGGAGCCTCTTCAGCAGGTGCTTCTTTTTCGGCAACGACTGCCTCTTCGGCTGGTGCAGCTTCTTCTGCAGCAGGTGCTTCTTCCGCAGGAGCATCCTCGGTGGGTGCTGCTTCTTCAACTATAGCCTCCGCAGCTGGTGCAGCCTCTTCAGCCGGTGCCTCTTCGGCCGATGCCTCTTCAGCTGGCGCCTCATCCTTTGGCGTTTCTTCAGCTGGAGCTTCGTCGGCTGGTGCTGCCTCAGCCGGTGCCTCCTCCTTTGGCGCTTCTTCGGCTGGAGCGTCGTCCTTTGGTGCTTCCTCAGCTGCTACTTCTGTGGCGGGTGCCTCTGCAGCTGGCGCTGCTTCTTCAGCTTTTGACTCTTCAGCAGGAGCAGCTTCTTCAGCCTTGTCCTCTTCCACAGGAGCTTCTGCTTCCGCAGGCGCTGTTTCAGCTGGTGTTTCTTCGGCGGGTGTTGCTTCGGCGGGTGTTGCTTCGGCAGGTGCTTCTTCGGCGGGTGTTTCCTCGGCGGCAGGGGCTTCTGCTTCAGTTGGTGTTTCTTCGGCCGGCGGCGCTTCTTCGGCGGCGGGAGCCTCTGCTTCAGCTGGCGTTTCTTCAGCGGGAGCTTCTGCAGCGGGAGCCTCTTCAGCAGCAGGTGCTTCTGCTTCAGCTGGCTTTTCTTCAGCGGGAGCTTCTGCAGCTGGTGCCTCCTCAGCGGGCTTTTCTTCGGCTGCGGCGGCCTCTTCGACAGGGGCCGCCTCTTCAGCGGGTGCCTCTGCGGCAGGTGCTTCCTCGACTGGAGCTGCTTCTTCAGCGGCGGCTTCATCAGGCTTATCCGCCTCAGCAGCTGGCTCATCGACAGCAGCAGCTGCTTCCTCCGCAGGCTTCTCCTCGCCCTTCTCCTCCACAACAGCCTCAGCCTCAACCGCTACTGGTTCAGCAGGAACATCCCCGCCCTCGTCATCAGCGGCAGCTCCCTCCTCCTTCTCATCGCCGGCGACAGGCTCATCGCTCTTCGCGGCATCTTCTTGTCCCTCAGCGGGCTTCTCATCTTCTGCTGCTGCGGGAGCGGGTTGGTTATCGTCGGTATTTTCTACCGAGGGCGTCTCGTCGGCGGGTGCGGGCGGTGCGTCTTCGGTGGGGGTCGTGTCGTCACTTACGGGTGCGGGTTCTGGGGTGACTTCTTCGGTGGGGGCGGGTGCTTCTTCGGCGGGTGTCTCTTCGGCGGGAGGAGCTGCTTCGGCAGGGGCTGCTTCTTCTGCTGCCGGTGCTTCCTCGACTGGTGCTACTGCTTCGGCGGGAGGCGCGTCGTCTGCTGGTGCTTCTTCGGCGGGAGCTGCTTCAGCAGGAGCTGCTTCTTCTACTGGTGCTGCTTCCTCAACAGGGGCAGTTGCATCAGCAGGGGCCTCCTCAACTGGAGGATCACCAGCTGCCTCATCCGCTGCTCCACCACTCTCCTCGACGCCATCCTCCGGAGAAGTAGCAGCCTGCGCGCCTTCATTATCCGAAGCATCACCTAGCAGTAGCTTCTGCTTCTTCGCCGCCGCCTTCTTCTTCTTATTCTTATTCGCCATTGGAGGGCCGAACCAGTGGACAGTCTTCTCCTTCTTCTTCTTAGAGTTGCTGTTTCCCTTGTGGGAATGTGATGAGATGGCCGAGTTTGGCGGTTTCGGGTCGGGTGATGATGGTGGTGGCTGTTGGTCCTCGGTTGGTTGGCTTGGGGCTTCCTCTATGATGTCTTCGGGGTTGACTAGAATTACCTCTTCTGCTGCTTCTGGGGGAGCGTGTTGTTCTTCCTCGTGTGGTTCTGGAGGGTCTCCTTCTTGTTGTTGTTCTTCTGGGGAGTCGATACTGTGTCAGAGAGTGCTATATCTCCAAGGTTGATAGCCAAACTCACGTCTTTCCTGCTCGAGCTCGAGCTCTTCCTTCACTCTCGCAGCTTCCAATAGCTCAAGATCGTCGGCGTTGCCCTTGAAGGTGATGGGCTGGCTTACTGCAGTGTAGAGCACTTTAGACGGGCTGAACTGAGTCCTATAAGGACAGAATGAAATTTCCATACTGGAAGTGGAGAGAATCTCAGACTTGTGCTTGAAGTTACCTAGTGTAACCGAGAGCAAATAGGTATGAAGAAGCCTATGCTTTTATTCCCATGCGCTCGGCGCGCCTCTCAGTGTGCCACTCAGGAATGCCGTTGCTGCACCACACGGATGCGTGGACGCTGTGTAAGTCAATGAAAAGGGTCGGGTAACATTGGGCGTGTGCCAGCGGTGGGTGTGGCACTGAGAGAGCAGAGACGTGGAACGAAGAGAGAGGAGTGTAGGGTGATGTAGGTGAGGTGAGAGCGCTGTGATTGCTTGCTCGAGATGAAAGGGGAGGTTGAGCGACTTGTAGGGTCCAAAGGACGCAAGTAGCCAGGTCTTATGGATTGGCGCATTGGGGGGCGAGGCATATGGGGCATGATGGGGGGCATATGGGGGGGGCGAGGAAAAACGAGCATGGGGAGACGGAAAAGAGAGAGCAACGGGCACCGAACCCACGATGTCCTACCTTGGTAATCTGGAGATCAATCTGTTGATAATCGTGCCTGACTTCGATTGGACGAAGCGGACCCATTGGGCCACGTCGACAGCTTGGTAGGACTTTGTGCATTTCTGCCATCATATTTCCTTCTGGCACGGACAATTGAGACTGCCCTCCCCCTCCGTCATGGCGACATACCTTTTTTCCCTTTCGCGCCGGTGCCCAACATGCGCGTTAAGCCGGAAAGCGTTTGGGCATGCTGCAGCCCGAACTGTGGCACTGACTGCAGTTGAGGTCATTGGGAGTGCATCGCAAGAGCCACAGTACAGTACAGCAACTCCACGGGATGGGGCGTGCACGCACGGCGCATGGTTGCGTTTGTGCTCCATGCCCGTTGGTTGGGTAGAGATAGATGAACTGGAGAAAAAGAACATGAGGAAGTGGGATGGGGGGAAAATAGGAATTTTCATTGCATGTCTTGTTCCTGGATTGGACGATTGAGACAGCAGGGTTGTACCGGACCGGACCGTGTGTGGTTATTAGAGTGCAGGAGAGATGGTTGGAATCGGGGTGGTCGACGTGGTTCGCCTCGAATTATCTTTGGTCTGATGGTCGCTCGGCAAACGAGTTAGAAGCTGCATAAACGGACGAGGCGTACTGTGCTTGCATATGTATACTGTGCATATAGTCAGTAAAGTCAGTTATGTAGAGGAGGTTACAGTACGAGGATGGTATAAACAAGCACAAGCATGATCAAAGTGAAGCGACGACGGCGTGGGGGAAGAGGATAGCATGCTGTAAAATACCGTGCAAGTAGAGATGTACCCTATAACAGCGACTGATGGTGACTGATAGTGACGGATGATGCTATATTCACTCACTGTATGTACTATGACATATGATAAACCGTATAATTCAACCCCACGAGCACCACACTCAAGCACACTCATAGTGTAGTCACAGTATACACGTCGATATTTCTATCTTCGGATCGAATCGGCAGCGAACACACAGCTCCCCGCAGCCACTCACTAAAATCCCAACAAACACACGAGTGCATACTGTAGTTATTTCCATACCGTACCGTGCTGTACTGTACAGTTATACTCTAGCCACTGTAGCTGTAGACAGAGAGAGAGAGATCAGCATATACCACCAGCTGGGCAAGCAGGGGCGTCGGGTCCCAAGTCAAAAATAGTCTCGTGACCCAAATCTGACAACACACACTTACTTCACGCCTCCTCTCTCCTCGCTCCTCGCTCCAACCATCCCCTTACTTCGTGCTTCTCTCTTACAACGACGCCCCCACAGACAACGGACACTACACGTGATATACCACCATAGACCATACGCTGCACCTTCATGCTTCTCTCCGTATCTTTCCGCCTCCCCTTACTTCGTGCTCGAGTCCTCCCCCTCTTTCTCCCTTCCCCCCACAGATATCCGATATCCCCCACACCACAGACACCCATCACCACGGATATCCCACACAGACTTCCCCACAGACAACAAACATCACACGTGATACATTCACACACACACACACATCTCACACAGCACAGCACCATCCAGCTAGATCATAACGTTTAACTATCCCAACATGCTAACCATAAGCCACCCTCCCCACCGCCTCCCTTCCCCCTCACCGTCTCCTCTCCTCCCAACAAAAAGCCACGCGATATCGAAATGTATAAGCCAACCAGGCCAAACTAAACCCCCCACAAAAAAGCACAACAACAACGAACTCCATCTGCACAACACCCCCCCCCCCTTCCCCGCAAAGAAACGAACCTTCCCCAACTCTATCACGGACCCAGTCCATGAACCAACCACTCCCCTCTCGAAGAAAAAAAACGGCAGCCTCCCTCCCCTCCCAGTGCAATGCGTACGCGGAATCAATAATATAAAATAAGAAGGGTTCAAAAAAAAGACTACCATCTCTCCGCCTCCGCGTGCGTGTGTGTGGGTGTGTACGGTGACTGTGGTGGTGTAGTAGTACTCGTATTGTATTAGAAAACTCTCAAACTGCACAGGACCACTCCCTACATCGCCATCTCCGCCTGCAGTTTCCTCAGCTCCTCTTCCTCGTCCTCTTCCTCCTGGCGGGCGGGCTGCTTGTTCTTCACTAGGGGGGTGCGTTAGTCATAGTTCAACAGTCCAACTCTATCCCAACCTCCAACCTGGACTCCCCGGGGACAGGAGAAAGTGAGGGTAGAAAATGCGGGGGGTACGTACGCTCTCCATTCACCGCCGCGGGCAACCTATGGATCTCATCCGACACCGGCACCGTCCCTGTCTTCAACATCTTATCATCCAGCTGCTCCTGCTCCATCTCCGCCAACTCATCATCCAGCTCCGACTCATCAATCGTCTCTCCAAGCGGGGTATTCGTGATCGCATTCGCGATCTCCTCGCCCAGCGCGTGCTGTTCCCTAAGGTCCTCCCTATTCGTTCGTTAGTACTCAGTCTCTAACCCCGTATCCAAATCCAAATCCAACATCCCATCCAGTCATCTAAAGCAAATCGGCTGGGGGGGAAAGCCAAGGGGGGGTGAAAACGTACATGGTCTGATCCACAACATCGATATTCAACTTCCCATGAATCTGCTTCATGGCCTGCCCAGCCTTCTCCATCGCCGCCAGCGTCTCACGATTGATATTCGCCGCCTCGATCGAGTAGATCTGCTGCTCCAGCGTCGAGATCTGCGCTAGGGTCTGGTCGAGCGTGTGTTCATGCTGCTTCTTGCGCTTTAGCGCTGCTCGTGCCGCTGTGCGTGTATTAGCATTCCGTTCATATATCCATTTTCCCCATCATCCCAACCATCACCCCCATCTCAACCCAGTATACCACCTCACCCCCCTTCCCCAACCCAGCGCGGGCGTCACAGTCTCACACAAAGAGAAGGTGTGAAAGAGAAGGCTGCGTTTACGTACCATTCTTATTAGTAGCAATACTCCTCCTCGCAATCCCATCCTGCTCATCCATCTGCGTCTGCAAATGCCTCTCCCTCTTCTGCAACATCTCCAGCTGCGACCTGAGTCCCAGAATCGCATTCTTAGGCGTGTCCTTGCGGCTCTGCGCCGACTGTCCGCCGAACCAGCCCCACATGCCTGACATCCTGCTGGGTCGTCAAGCTGGTCTGCTGAGTCGTAGTGTGTAGGTAGATAGTCGTGGTTTCGAGGATGTGTAAAGGCGAGGGCGAGCGTTTTCTGTCAGGGCCGTGGTGGCCGAGAGAGGGCTTGTTCGTAGATGTGCGTTGTGGCGACGACGGGTGGTGGATGGCGGGGTACCACTTCCTCACCCTTCTTTGACAAAATCCTTCGTCTTCTCAGTATACCTCGTTCGACAACCTTATAAAATAACTCTTCTCGCCGTCTCAAACAAGTTTTGCCAAGAGTAGGTGCGTTTCTTAGGTTTCTCGTCGTCGTTATCGCAATAGCAAAGGCCCGGTTTCTAGGTTGACATATTAAGATGGAGGTGCTGCTTGGATGACGATGGCGCCGCTAGGGACCGGGTTGGATTAGCGCCGCCACTTCTCCGGTTCCGCGTGGTGCGTGGGGGTCATGTGATCTAGGCCACCGCTTTTACAACTTACAACTTACAACTTTACTTTCTAACTCTTTCCAGTTTGGGAGATTAAATAGCAGAGCAGCGATGGCGAATTCGGGACCTCCTCCGGCGCGGTTATGTGCGCTTTCTGATTTATGGGAGAGGGGGGTGGGTGAGAAGGTTAGGGTGCTTGGGTGGTGAGTTTTATATTTATACTTGTTTTCTTGATAATTAAATTCATATTTATTTATTCCGTCGATTACCCTCCAAACCCAAACCTCTCATTATGATACACACTTTACACCACAAAAGAAGAGATAAAAAGAGATATATAATCTTGCTCTACACTTCAATTTCCACTATCGAACTTCAAATTTCCAAGAAAGCTAACCCCCTCAACCAGTATAACAAACTACAACACCACCACCGCCATCCTCACCCTGCACCCTCCTCATTCCCCCTCCCCTCACTCCTCCACCTCCACAGCCACCACCCCCCACAACCACACAGCACAAATCGATCTCTCCCTCCTCCTCTCCTCCACCCCACCCCCCGTGACTGCGATCGGGGAATGGGTGAACGTGATCGGATACATCACCTCGCAGCAATCCGCTCCCTCCGCTCCCCCCACCTCTGCTGCCCCACCTACAGGGCGAGGAGAAAGAGGAAGTCGGAGAAGGGGCGGGAAGGAGGGAGGGAGTGATGGAGAAGAGACTAAAGGGGAACATCACACGAGCATCCAAGCCCTCCTCCTCTGGTCGGCTGGGGGGTTGAATGTACAGGAGTACGAGGAAGTGGTTCGGGATTTAAAAGCCGAGCGCGAGAAGACCGAGACACAGATTTAAAGAAACCCGAGAAAAGGTGGTAGTATAAATAATCTAACTAACCCAGTCTCCTCCTCACCGATCGATGCATGTCCCAAAAATGGCCCCCATCTACGTCCCGTCCGTCCATCCACCTCACTTCAGCTCAGCTCAACTCAGCTACACCACCCGCCCCGAGCTACCATGATCAAAAACAAGCACAAAGCACAAGCATAGTCGAGCAAACGACAAAAAAAAAAAAGGAGACCAGCACAGCACGGATGGAATGGACAACGACCAAAATGATATGATAAAACCCCCCGAAGAATGAGCGAGCCTAAGAGCCTAACGAACAAACAAAAAAACACAAAGACGACCGCCTGATCCAATTCCAATTCCAACGACCCTCTCCCTCTCTCTTCCCCTACCGGGAAATCCGATTATTATACAACCACTCCCCCCAACCCTAGCCAACTAGCCAACCACCATGCATCCCCCCCAACCATCCATCCACCATGCACCCACACAACCACACAACCACCCATCTACAAATCCTTCAACTTATCCTTCAACTTCCCAAAAAAGCTCCTCCTCTTCTTCTGCTGCTGCTCCTTCGCCAGCGCCGCAGCCGGGCTCCCACTCGAGCTCCCAGCAGCAGCCGCCTTCGTCGCCGCCACCCCAGCCGTAGAATCCTTCGCCGGGGTCGGCGGCGCCACAGCCGCAGCACCAACCGACGTCGCGGGCACAACACCGCTCGCTACACCAGTAGTAACAACGGGGCTCGTCTGCTTCTCAACCGGCTCACTCGTGCCAGGCGAAACATCACTCAAATCGCTCACCACCGACTCCTTTGGTAGCTCCGCCTGCCTGCCCACCTCCTCCTCCGTCACCGCAGCCACCACAGCAGGGGACGCGAGGACCGGCGCAGCAGTAGCGACAGCCCCGCCCGCAGCAGACGAAGGCGCACTCTCCCCCTTCGAAACATCCGTCGGCACCTCCCTCAGCAACTCGCTCTCAACCTCCTTCTTCTCCATAACCGGAACCTGATACGCCGCCGCCTCGGGGCTCTCATGGGCAGCACTAATCGACTGACGCACCGTCTCCGGCACCACATCCGACTCAGCCGGGATGCCAGCTACAGACTGACGCTTAGCAGTCTCATTGATATTCGAGATGGACTCACGAATCGAATCAGGGATCGGGATCGATTTCGACACCTCGCTCGGATTCGGCGCATTCGCCACAGCCTCCGAGACCTTCCCCTTCGCCGCGGCCCCCACCGCGAACGCAGCACCACCAACAGCCACAGCCGCCGCGGCGCCAGCGCCGAACTTGGCGGCGTCGTGGGACTCCTTGGTCGTGCCGTCGGAGGTGACGGGGGCGAGCGGGACGCCGGAGAGAAGTTCGCGCTCGACCTCCTTCTTTTCCTCGACTTCTTCGGGGACGGCGCTAGCCTCGGGGGGGAAGTGTGCGGCTTCCTGGCTCTCCTTGACGAGGTCGGGGACGCTGCTTCCTGTCTTCTCGAGGGGGACGGCGCCGGCTAGCGCGGCGGTGGTGGCGCCGGGGCCGACGGATTGGATGGTCGCGGCTTCTTTACCCTTGATGTCTTTCTCGAGGGGCACGGCGCCGGCTAAGGCAGCAGTGGTTGCGCCAGGGCCGACAGATTGGATGATCGGGCTAGCGTCGTAATTTCCTGCGCCGCCCTCGCCCATTGCGAGGCTGGACTCGGGGATGAGACCGCCCTTGGATACGGAGGGGAGGTCGAGGACACCAGTTCCCTTTGCGTTGCGCTCAGCCTCGGGAGTGACGACTGGGGGCAGGAACGGCGCGGTTCCGAGACCGCCGCTGTTCTCGTAGGACTCCTTGTCTGTCCTGACGGTTGAGGCGATGGTGTTGCCAGTGATCGTGCTTGGGTTGGGGACGGGCTCGCCGGGGGCGAGGGTGATGGGGTTACCGCCGCCGGCGGTGGCGGGGATGGGGTTCACGCTGTAAGTTGGCCCCTTGGCCAGGTCGGCTGCCTTGAGCTCCTCGTCGTCGTGGACACCCGAGGCGATGGTGTTGCCGTTGATGGTGCTCGGGTGGGGGACAGCCTGGCCGGGCGCGAGTGTGATGGGGTTGCCGTTGCCGGCGGAGGCGGGGATGGGGTTCACGGAGAAGCTCTCTGGTTCTGTGGCGGGGGTTTCGGGGAAAGCGCCGGGGAGGGCGCTGGAGCTGCCGTTCTCTTTTGGCACGTCCTTCGCCAGGGCGGCGGTGGTGGAGTTGGGGGTGACGCCGGACATGAGTGCGGCTGCGGCGGGAGTGTGGGTGTGTGTCTTGATGCGGTCGGTGGTGAGGTAGTTGTTGAGGTTGCCCAGGTTATCTTTCTCTTGCGGCGCTGTGTGGTCGGTCACCCAGTTGCCGTCGACTAAGAACTGTAGAAGGTAGAAATATCAGTATTTATGATTCTCGAGCAAAGCAATGAGTGAGTCAATGAGGTGCTTTTGGTGAGAAACAATGGTGGCTGGGGCGAGGAGGATAAGGGTACAGTAAGAATGAGGGGTCGAGGCGGTCAATGGGAGCTAAGGGAGCATTAGGCGATCCATGGAGGAAGGCCTGCATTGGCATGACGCCTTGGTTGGCTTCGGTTGCACCCCTCACCAGGGACGGCGCATCGCCCACCCAGCCAGCTGACCGGACATGGACTGGACTGGGAACCCCACCAGTACGGCGGTAGCCAAATGCGATCGCGATCATCGGATTTGGCAGGACGGAATTTCCCCAGAAGCTGTCTTTTCTTTGGACCGCGACCCCGCTGGCTTGTTATCGCGGGTCAATTCTGGGCATTGCAGAATGCGCGCGCATTGGGGGCGGAATACGTCATACATACACACTAGAGTATGTAGTTTTGCGCCAAAACGCCGAGACAAAAAGGCCCTTGTTCAGCGTACCAAGGCGGCCGGCAGGCATGCGTGTGCGCAAATACTTCTTAGCCACCGTAATTCCGCGAAGAAAGGCTGTATGTATGTACAATTGCATACGTACAGTACAGTTACTTGCGCGGTTCCCGGTTGGTAAGCTTGTGCCAGCTTTGCCGGCCGGACCGTAGTAGTATAGTAGACTGTGGCTTTTTGCGATTCCGTAGCTTTCAAAAACTACCTGAAGCAGAGGCGCGATCTCTTGTCTTGTTGTTTTTGCGCCTGATGTGTCGCAAAGAGCTGGAATTGCGCTGTTCTCACCTTGTAGTATATCTTCTCTGCCGCGCTGGGCAGCGTAACCTCCTTCTCGAAGATGTCGCCCTTCTTGTGTAGCTTCTCGGTCTGCGCCCAGTTGTCGAATGTGCCTGTGACGATAACCTCGGAGGCCGGGTGCTCCCTATGCGAAGAAATCGAGTTAGAAGTTGACTTCCAGAGCTAATTGCAGCTGGGGAAACTGCGGAATTTCCTTTCTTTCTGCGGGTGGCGAATTTGGGAGCGAAAAAACTGAAGCTGTTCGCGACCCTCGGCGGGGGGAGCAGCGGGAAGATAGGGACGAGCTTACCACTTGAAAACGAAGGTTCCCATGGTGAGGACGGGGGGGGGATAGATGATGCTCGTGTGGTTTGATCGATATGGATATCGCTGTAGTTGGGGGACGCGTGGGAGGGATGAATTTGAGGGATTGGGAGCTTTATGGGAGAGGAAGGATGGAATCGATGATGGGAAGAAGGTGGCAGAGTAGTACTGCAAGGTTGGTAAGTGTTGTTGGTGTTGGTAGTACTGGGTAGGCAGCTGGTGGTGGTTTGGTGGTGGTAGGTGGTGGTAGGTGGGTGGGTGGCTGATGGGCTGGCCAGGCGTGGGAGAGTGGGTGGCGTTGGGTAGATTGGCGTTGGGAGTGAAAAAAAATAGATGGGGAGAGAAATCAAGGCACTGGGATGGATGAGGCGGAGACAGTTGGTGGTGGTTAATCGTCGTAAGTAGGGAGAGTAGGATAAGGACTCCTTTTCTCTCTTTTTTTAGAGTAATAGGCAGCACTGTATGGTGCCCTTTCATATAAATTGTAGCAGCAGGTGGCAATGGCAGACTGAGATGGAGTTAGAGGGAGACTGGGAAAATGGGAGGGTGAGGTGAGTCTACGGTCCAGTACTTATGATAAGGCGCGATAGAGGGCGCGATGAGGGGTATCGTGCATGTACCATGTTTCTGTCTCACCCGATGTCCTACGCGTCGTGGACCGCGATATGGGGTGAGATAGTGACGCGGATTAAGGGTGCATGTGGGATTGATAATGTCTTTAGAGGAAAAGAGCGCTTATGGAGTGTATAGAGTGTATGAGTGTATGAGTTTATGGAGTGTATGAAGTGTATGGACTATAAGACAGTTTGGACCATATAGACTGTATAGACCATATAGGTGGCATGGTGTGGGATAGGATAGCACGGTTAGTGGGTACAGAGATTGTTGACGTACGGAACAACAGAAGGTCCTGGTCCTAGAGAGAGCCGATGGAACATTCTATACGCACGCCCTGAGCTGGTGGTGCATACACTCTAGTATAGCTAGATTAATCGCAGTCTACTGGGTAATAAATGATGTACCCCTCAGCAGACAGGACGAGGGTAAGGTACGTGTTGTGTCGTCGTTGTTGTCCCGTGGCTCGTCATTTTAGTGTACCGTGGTAGTAGAGAGAGCAGCTCTTTCGTTCTAGAGGGCTCTTTCGTTCTATAGGCCTCTTTCGTTCTAGAGGGCTCCTTTGTTCTAGAGGCCTTCTATCAACTACTATCAAGGGTTTTCTCGTATGAAATGGTAGTAGTGAGGTGGTAGTGAGGTGATAGGAGGATAGTCGTGATATTGGTAGGATAGTAGTAGGACAGTAGTTGGCCACTCAGACAAGAGACTCCCTTGATGGACTCTTGGTAGACTCCTAGTAGACCCTTTAAGAGGCGGGAGTGACAGAGGAAACAGCAGAGTGAAGGTAGGAGGGGATTAAGTCACCAGGAGTCAAATTGAGTAAAGAGGGTTAGTAAAGGGAGTTAGTCTGATGGGAGTATTGTGGTAGTATAGACATCATACATCATACATCATAGAGGTGTGAAGTACCATACTATGGTTGTCTACTGCTCTACCACTCTACCACTCTACCATTCTACCACTCTACCATTCTACCACTCTACCACTCTACCATTCTACTACTCTACTCTACTACTCTACTTACTCCAGAGTACTCTGCTTACTCTGCTTACTCTGCTTACTCTACTCTACGACTCTACTTCTACTACTTCTACTTCTACTACTCTGCTCTTACTCTTCATCTACGCTTAGCAAGTTAGCACATAGTACTCTACTCTACTCTACTATATGATGTATATACATCATCGATAGCTTTAACCTGGGCAATGCTCCACAGATCGGAAAGTATCGTGTCAGCTTCCCTTGTATGGTCGATTGTACCGCTGATACCACCTCTTGTATCATCTCTTGTGTGTTGTACCCCACTCGTTGTTGCACCCTGCATATTCGACAGCATAGCATACATAGCATAGCATAGCATAGCATAGCAGACAAGCACGGCACGGTACATCTCTGCGGAACATCTATGCGGGACATGTATGCAATAGTACACAGGTTGTGTCTAATGTATCCAAGCTCTGACTGTGTATAAGCTGTATGCTGTAGTTATACTACACTTATACTACAGTTATACCACAGCTATACTACAATCATACTATAGAAGCTACTTATATGCGTTTATATGCGTGAACAAGCTTGTTCGGCTGTATGTATGTATGTATGTATGAAGCACGTACAGACATGGGAGGTCACATACACCCACAAACACCCACACAAACTCCCACACAGACACCCGCACCCACACCCACACAAACCCCCCCAGCCAGCACAGACCATATTCCCGCTGCCTGCCCTTCCCACCCTTCCCACCTAGCAAAAGACCATCTAGTGGTCTGTGTCCCGTGTCTCTGTGGCCCGTCTAATCCACACACGGCCGTTTCCATTATGCTTCTGGAAGCAACGCCCAACCACACACCCACACAAACCCACTAATCCCCAAAATCAACCCCCCCCTCCCCGCTCACCCATACAATCCAACAACCCCCCTCCTCTCAAATCAAACCACACACAATCCTCTCCCCTCCTCTTCTTCCCTCATACCACTATCTCTACTACCACCCCGTGAACATCATTCTCTCTTCCATTCAACCAACTAAACACCAACTAAACTACTGCTACTACTACGCCACCACCACACACACAACAATCCCACCCACCACCAACCATCCCTTCAAACTCTACACACAAAAAGCAACAAAATATCTTCCGAAACACACAACAACAACTCTAATAAAACAACAATCTTTGTTCCTACCTGTCGACTGTCGATTGCCGAACTCTGAACTGTGACACCCGAGACAAACCCTCTCACAGATGTACGTTCGTTCCGTTCGTTCATGCTTGCTTTGTTACCTACCTACTTAGCTAGCTTCCCGTCCCACACGTCATTTGTTTGCCATAGCTAACCCTCTCCCCCCTTCAGAATCAGACAACAACCCTCTCACTACAAAAACCCCAATCGACAAACAGTAGTCGACTCTACTCACCACCACTGTGACACTTCTTCACAAACACACCCACAACGCCCTTCTGAGACCTCGCAATTACGCTTAAGTCGCAAGATCGGCACAACCAGCTCACTCACCCCTCACCTCCCTCTTCCCCCATCAACCCTTCCAAAAAAAAACAAAAAAAAACAAGAGAGCAATCCTCAAGGCGCCACCTGAGGATCTGTGCTTTTCCGAGACATTTCATACGAACCGGGCCCCATTGAATCACCACCCACCGGGCCTTATTTAAAGGGAAATCACCTCGCTCTTTAACCACCACAACCACCACTACTACTCCACAACACACACACACACTCTCTCCCCAAGACCTAGCGACAAAATGCCAGGCCACACCTTCCCCGGCCGCCACGGCTCGAACCCCTTCAGCGACGCCCCCTCTGCCCCCCAGAGCGGCACCGAGACCCTCCCCACACGCCCCATCAACCAAGTAGTCGAAGAAGAAGAAGAAGGAGACGCCGTCGCCAGCCCCACCACCGGCACCTTCCCCTCCACCACCAAGACGACCGGCACCACCACCGACCCCTTCGGCACGGATGGCACGTCCGACAGCAGCGGCCCGCCTTCCTCCTTCAAACCCTCATCCGACGGCTTCCCCTCCAACTACGGGATGGGGAGACGCACGTCGGTGTCGGCGGAGTCGATGAACCCGACGGACTCGGCGAGCGATAAGTGGACGCCGCCGTTTTATAAGAAGACGGATGAGCAGCTGGCGAGGCTGAGGGCGGCGATTGGGGCGCATACGCTGTTTAGGGCGTTGGATGATGAGCAGAGTCGCATGATTATTGGGGCGTTGGTGGAGAAGCCGATTCCAGCTAAGAATATTAAGGTGAGTCTAGACGTCCACACTTCTCCCGCTTTGCCCCTTCTCCCACTTCCCCCCCTCCCCCTCACCCTTCCGTCCCCATTTGCCCCAGCAACCCTTAGTACCATACGATCTGCCAAAATTCTTACTGACAACCCCCCCCCAGGTAATCTCCCAAGGCGACCAAGGCGACTACTTCTACATCGTCGAATCCGGCTCCTTCGACATCTACATCCACCCCAGCGGGTCCCTCCAACCCGGCCCCTCCGGCCTCGGCACCAAAGTCGCAACCATAACCGTCGGCGGCACCTTCGGCGAGCTGGCCTTGATGTACGGCGCCCCGCGCAACGCGACCGTCATCTCCGCCACTAACGACTGCGTTCTCTGGGCGCTTGATCGGGTCACGTTCAGGAGGATTCTGATGGATTATACGTTTACGAGACGGAGGATGTATGAGAAGTTCCTCGCTGAAGTGCCGTTGTTGTCGTCTTTGAATGATTATGAGAGGTCTAAAATCGCGGATGCGCTGGAGAGTTGTAAGTATGCGGCTGGGTCTACGATTATCAAAGAGGGGGATGCGGGGGAGGCGTTCTACCTTTTGGAGGATGGAGAGGCGAGCGCGTATAAGAAGGATCTGGATGAACCAGTCAAGAATTACCGCAAGGGCGACTACTTTGGCGAACTTGCACTCCTCAATAAGGCCCCGAGAGCGGCGAGTGTGGTGTGTGATACGGATGTCAAGGTCGCGACGTTGGGGAAGGATGGGTTTCAGCGGCTCCTGGGGCCCGTGGAGGGGATTATGAGGAGGGAGCGGTATGTGGGTGTTGAGTCTGTGGATCCGTTGACTAGGGAGTAGGGGGGGTGGTGAGGTGAGGTAGTGTGTTTTTGTTTTGTGTTTTTTTGTTTTCATGTGTTGAGGCAACGTGGTGAGGGGGGGGGTGTGTTGGGGTGCTTTACATGGCGTTAGGGGGGTGTGAGGTGAAGAAGACGGCGCTGTAGATTCGGTGCTGTGCAGAGAGTGTGTCACGGGGGATGATGGGAGGCGGATACTTCTACTCTTGATGGGTGAGTGTGCTATCATCTCTCGCGGGAGAAAACCCGGGGGGGGGGGCAAAGGATGAGGTGGGGTGAGATGAGATGAAGATGAAAGGAGAGAGGGGGTCATAGAGGAGCGAGATTTCGAGAGAAAGTTTAATTGATTATGTTACATTTATGTAGTTCGGTTCATGTATTTGTGAGCGTGTTTGTGGGGGAGGTGGGTGTCATGTGTATGTCATGTGCTTTTTGTATCCGCACACCCCGTATTTCCTACATCGACACACACACACACTGGTCGAGTAATACACAACGACCCCCTTCCCCATTCTGGCTCTTGCTCTAGCTCCGTTAGCACAGCCCCTCCAGCCCATCAATATAGCTGATATAGTATACAGAGTCCCCTTCCCACTCCCACCCTCACTTGGATATAGACCCCCAATCCCTCCGTTCCCATGCATCCCCTCCCCCCCCCATCCCAAGAAAACGCCCAAAACTCCACCCAACAACCAACCCCCTATCGGAATTAACACCCCTCATCCCCCTACCTTTCTTCACCAAACCCCCTAAGATCACGCCCCCAGAACCTCAAGACGTTCCCTCCTCAACCCCTCAGCAGCAACACCCGTCTCCACTACCCTCCCCACACCCCCCCTCCACGTCTTTTCAAGAACTTCCATCTCCGCCCCAACGGCTTCTTGTCTATTCCTCCTCTCTGAGACAACCCTCTCAATCTCCTCTTTCGTCTCTGCTAGTTCTCTCTCCACACCCTCTAACACCTCCGCCGTCTGCGCGTTCCCAGCAAGCCAGTCCTCCTTCCCCTTTGCTCCATTTTCCAGGTTCTCCAACCCCCTCACTCTGAGTCTCAAGTAGGTACTCGTAACACCGGCTTTCCTAACAGCATCCTCGATCTCCTCTACTGAACTCCCAGCCCCCGGCGCATCCAAAGCTTCGTACCGGGACATATCGATAGCGGACATCTTCTTCGGCGCGCTGGAGGAGGGGTCGAAACCTTCGAGCGCGGGACAGGGCGGGAGGCGTGGGTGGGATTCTGGTAACGGGACCGGGAGGGAGGAGGAGATTAATTCGCGGGCGCTGGTGAGGGCGCTGGGGGAGGGGGGGGTGTCTATATCTGTTGTGGGGGGTTAGCTGGGTTATAGACAGTGGTGTTTAGGGGGGAAAGGGGGAGTGGGGGTGTGGTAGGAGGGTGAGAGGGGGAAAGACGAACAAGGTAAAGATTCAAAGGTTGTGTTTGTTGTTAAAGACATTTTGGCGGTTTTTGTGTGTGTGGTGTGGTGGTGAGGTGTAATGTGAGGTTTCGTTGATCCCGTGAGTTTAGGGTGTCGTGAGTGCTCGTGGGGGTTTATGCGCGCGGAGAGATGTGGTGGTGAGGCGCGTGTATGTATGTATGTATGCTGGGTTATATAAATTTGGGTAGATGGATGATGGAGATGGGTATCGATATGTATGGATGCCTTATATATAAGGTTTTCAACGTACCATTTTTGCGGTGTAAGGTTTTGTGGATTTGAACGATTAGATTACAGATACAGCAGCTCACAGATCACAAATCAGAATTGCAAGGTGAATAGATGAAGGTAAGCTTGTAGTTTTCATTTTCATTTCTACTCGCCCCATCAAGCAAAAAGCAAGAAGGGTTGTTATTCCTACCCCCCTCGGACACAAACTATTGACGCCAGAGTGCAATCCCCCACGCCAATCCCAGCCCGTAATCCCACCACCTCCACCAGACTCAAGATAAACGTCACCATCAGAAAAGACGATGCGCTTAGACCTTGAAACCTCTCGACGCACGACGTCCACGAGCCTTCTCGAACTTGCGGCCCTTGGACTCGACCTTGGGTTTCTGCGGGGGTGCGTTAGTGAATATTTCAATTCCACCGCCCTCTGATAATAGAGGTGTAGAAAACGGAGAAAAAAACATACCTTGTGCTTGTGAGGACCCATGCCGAAGTGCTTAACAGCCTCACGGGCGTTCTTGGGTCCACGGAGGAGGAGGGTGTTGCTTCCGGTAGGAGCACGGAGAGCAAGCTGATCCAGGGTGAGGATCTCACCACCAGCGGCCAGGATGCGGGCGCGGGCAGTGGCGGTGAAGCGGAGGGCCGCAACGCTGAGCTTGGGGACGGTCAGGAGACGGTTGTCGTCGGTGACGGTGCCGATGATGACGACGGTCTTGTTGTTGGACTTCTCGGAGACGTTGGCGACGATCCTGGAGAGGGAGACGGGGGGGCGGTTGATGCGCGACATGAAGAGGCGGCGGAGGACGACCTTGTTGAAGGAGGACTCGGTGCGGCCTGGGGGGTTGGTGGCGTTAGCTGGCTGTTTTTTTCCCTTTTCTTCTGGGAGATGGCGCATGAATGTGAGGGGTGAACTTACGGGCCAAGAAGCGGTACAGCTTGACGAGCAGCTTCAAGTAGACGTTGTCAGACTTGGGCGCCTTGCGGTGCGTGCTGCGGACATGGTGTGCGTCGAGATCGATACCTATTAGAAAAAACCACCCATCAGCCTATGTTCAATATGCTCTTTGTAAGATCCGGTCTTTCGACTGCGGAAAAGTACTTCGCAAAGATCAGGTCGTCGAGCGTCGCATCCCCAATTAACACCTTGCGGCGAACTGGAAAGCTTTCGCTGAACAACTTCATGATCCCCACTTGCATACGAAGGCGAAGATTGGTAACATACCCATCTTTGCGGTTTGTCGAAACTGGTCGTTGTCGTCGGGTTGGTGATGCTGTCGAATAGTTCGGTGGGAGAAATTGAGAATGTGCGCGCGGAAAACCTAACCGAAAAGGCTTGGGTGCCTTAGGCATGAAGAACACAAAGAAAATGCTCTAGCGTCAACTAGCTTCTAGCCCCTGCCGGCATTGTCAAACTCACCTCACGTGCCTCTCTCCTCTACTCACCTGGTGATTCTTGGATCCCGACACAAAGCGGTACGTATAATCTCTTTCTATTACTGTATATAGTTATATATCAAATATGGCTTTGTACAAGTGATCTATAAAATCCCGTCGTCTATTTGCATACCGCTTCCTAATGTGACGAATGACCACCACCAGCAGTTTCACGCACCCCCACCCCCACCCCTAATCATTCAGATATTTGAAACATCATCGTTCATACCTACCAAGAAGTCTCTTGTCATCTCGAAGCTGAGCCAGCTACTCGCCATACTGGGCGCAACCTTGAGCAGGTTCGGGACGATGCCCTTGTATAATCCCTTGACGCCCTCCTGTGCGATAATTACCTTCACGGCGTCGAATACCCCCTTGTACTGATAACCCATCCCCGACATGGTGTTGATCTGGAAGCGTCGCCGTAGGACATCGCTGGTAAAGATTAGGATTTCCGCAAGATGGAGTTGGCGCGTGACTTACAATGGGTATGTGCACGTCTGTGCAACGGCTCCCGAGATTGCGCCTGCGGCAAGTTTACGTAGGGCGCTGGGGTTTTTATCACCCTCTGGTGTAAAGTGTTTCCGTACAAGTTCATAAGTCATAAAATTCAAGCCGACCTGCAACTAGTTAGTAACGGGGCTTGAGAGTTGTAAGGTTTGAACTTACGTAGGGTGCAACACCAGCAACGGTGGGTACGATGCCTCGGTATAGAGCAAGAATGCCGCCTTCGGTCTTATACATCATGACCATGGTGCTCCACATCCCGGGTAACTTGGATTTGTGAAGATTGCTAAGCGCGGCGAATGAGGCTGACTGAATCGAAAGGCGGGTGCGGACAATATCAAGTGGGTAAGTAAAGAAAACAGAAGTAATTCCAGCGGCTCCTCCGCATATTAATCGCCTGAACGACGAGAGGTCGGCACCAGGTGTTGGCTCGAAGAACTATTACAAACGGTTAGTTGTGAACATGTGAGAGAGCAAACATGCTGCCTACCTTCTTGTAGAAGTTGTAGCTACCAAACTGCACGGCAGAATATGGTACTATACGGACACAGTTTGTGCCGTTACCCCTCATGAACCCCTTCCATCCTTCCTCACGCCAAATCCTAGCCAATGACTTCGTGACGGACTGAGTGTATTCTTGACGACCAGCACCCTGGATTTGGTATAAGATCTTGAGCCTCTCTAGAGGCGAGACGACAGTTCGAGAGACGGCGCCGGCAACACCTCCAGCGCAGAACGCAGCGGTCACCGGTTGTGAAAAGAAATCTTGCATCTGTAGGAGCCTGACGCTCGGTTTGGGCTTTAACGCCTTCTCTGCTGGCTGTTGCTGTTGACGTTAGCAGGGATTCATTCCATGGCAAGACTGAGAGCATGAGGGAGCATACGTCTGACATCTCGTGGCGATTGGTTAGGCAATCACTCCACGGGTCGTAGTTCGAGCAGCACCGCTGGGTTTCCAAAACATTAATCCCAGGTTGCAGGGTAGCCAGTGGTTTCGGCGCGGATCTGAAAGCGTCGGGCCCTCGTGAATTCTCCGATGCGCGTCGCGAATGGGACGGGTTGGTGCGTTATTAAATTTCGTGGTTGCTGCACAGGGGGATCAATGAGCGGTAATCCTGGGGTGAAGGGTGGTTTTTGAAGGGTCTAGATGCTGGGCCATCCAGGGTGGCAGGGCGGAAGTAAACGTTATTTTGCAAGGCTGATGAGCCTGTGATGTTCTAGGTCGAGTTTCGTGACTGGTTTACAGTATGGTATAGTCGAGGTCAGTCGCATCGCAGAAGCTTAGAGTGGAGAGGGTGTGATTTGGAGTGAGTGGAGATGCTCTGGACCGCAACAAGTAATACCATCTCTCCACGGCTGGAAGAGGCTGAGAGAAGTCAACAATGCCGACCGGATTATCTTCGTAACAAGGTGCATCCGAGCCGTCCTGTTACCGACGACGGAAAGTCACGTGGCTGTCTGCCAACTATCCCGCTGTGATGCCTGAGGCGACAAATCTCAGCTGCAAACGGATAGTGCATGGGGCGGCAGCGCCTCGTTATCCATGGCTCGTGTTATCGTCCGTCAACATACCGAATCCCTCTTTCCAGCGCTTCATTCCCCATAATCGTCATAAGCTCCTACGAGCGCATATCGCAACCCAACCTCAACAAACGACACAACTTCGAGTGCCAAAATTTAAATTGGAAGGTTCTATTTGGGTGCTCACTGGGAGCTTGCATTGGCTTTTGGCCCGCTCTAACCCTTCCAAACAAGATACTCACTCAGCCAGCAACGGCCACCTCGGATCACTCAACCATCGAGATCCATCAACATGTCTCGTGGCGGCGGAACAACCCTCTACGTGACAGGCTTCGGCCACGGAACCAGGGCTAGAGACCTTGCGTACGAGTTCGAACGGTACGTCTACAACAAAAATCGAACACTCGATGATCAGCCTCGAGTCCGATAATCCCCTGCCTCGTCCTCACACCCTCCCTCGAGACTTCGCTGTCAGCTTCCTCACGTCCTGCCTCCGCTCAACCCTATATCCCCATTCCTCCGATCGAGCAGTCGCATCACGGCACAGGAATGGTCCCCATACTCGCCTTCCACACGGGAAGGCGTCCCATACCGCAACAGCTTTGGCCTTTACAAGCTCCTACTCATTTATTGGACTCATCAACATCTGTCCCTTGCGAAATTCCAGTACTGACAAGGCATATTACAGCTATGGGCGTCTCGTCCGGTGTGACATTCCAGCTCCTCGAACTGCAGCAAGCCGCCTGTGAGTCTCTAGTCGCTCTTTTTGTACGCACTTCTAATATGGTTGACACTAAAGCAGGTTTGCCTTTGTCGAGTATGAGAGTCGCCGTGATGCCGATGACGCTTATCATGAGCTGCACAACAAGCGCATTGGACGGGATGATTTACTGAAGATTGAGGCAAGCATACCGACCCAAGCCGGAGGACCTCGTTACTAACGTTCATGCTAGTGGGCTCGTACTCCACCTTCTGCTTCCTGGCGCTTTGATACTGGCAGGGACCGTGAGCGTGCTCCGGGTGGACGTCGCTCCCCTCGCCGCCGCTCCCCGTCTCCTCGCCGTAGCCGCGACTACTCTCCTCACAAGGATGATAGGCGTGATTATGACCGACGCGGAGATAGATCCCGCAGCCCTGATGATAGGTTCGTATTCGTGACTAATGGCCAATAAGAGCTACTAACAATCGTGTCTAGGGATAGAGAGATGAAGGATGAACGTGATGACGTTCGTGAGAATGGCGCTAACGGTGACGACAGAAAAGGTAATTTCCATTATTAAAGCGCATCGTCTCATGGCTAACTTCTCAGCGGCCACAGAGTCTCCTCCCCCAGTCCACGATGAACTGGACACTGCAGAGTAATTACAGGTGGTTTTGTAAACAGTCTGTATTTGGTGCCAGAGAACGTTTCTGTTCAATCAGTGGTGGCGCTTTTCTCAAAATGGTCCCAAGGAGGCTTTATTAAAGGCCAAAACTGTTCTATAGCATATGGTTTAACTCAATTCGTAGTACAGTGCAATTTATGATAATAATCCCAACTATTGCTTGCCAAGACCAGGTGTCTATGAACCTTGCTGGTGATCACGGCTCGTATTGGCCAATAGGACATAGAACGTAATGAGATATCACAAAAGCGATCATAACTACTTTATGGGAATCTTATTATGAATACGGTAGAGGATAGAAAGAGTGCTAGGACTGTTATTACGATGTTATTTTCGAAAACAGCAAATATTGGAGCAAGCACAATTTGAAAATATTCTTTTTAATGAAACTGTTTATTGCAAGTAGGCCCGAGAGCATAAAATATTTGACTGTAATGTGCTCGTTGGCAAGAATCTACATTTTGTCGTGCGTTGCCATCAAGGAACCTGGAGGACATTAGTATATTGTATAACAGAGAAGAAGGCGTTTTTCCTACCAATGAATGTAACAACCAATCTGCTGCGGATCTGGCAAATATCCTCGGGAACCAACCAGATGGTAGCCCCAAGCTTTCTCGCAATACTGATGCTCAACTTGGCGTTCAGGTACGCTTCATCCTCGGTGCGGCCAGATGTAACCAAATCGTAGTCGACGTAGCTGCTCTTCATCCCATTCAGAACATCAAGCAAGAAAGTTCCAGTACCAATGGAAGAATCCTTGAACGAACGAATGGCGGAGCTTTTCCCACCCTTGCGAGACATTTCGTTGGCCCACTTGACCATCTCTGCGTCAGTGATCTCACGCTTGCCCATGCGCTGTGCAAGGTCAGACAGAGTCTCGGAAATATCCTTCCGCATCAGTTGCCAGACAAGTCCGAGTGTAAGGGTTTTTTGTCCATCTGTGATATCTGCACCCTGGATCCCGACCAGCGAAAATCTGTTCTGTTTACCCAACTCAATTGCGTAGTTTGTGTTCTCCACAGCCTTGAAACGCGAGATCTCGGCCCCAGATGCTGGAGCTTTGTTCACGTGCTTCCAGTTCACGGAACCCTTGATAACCTTGTCATACGCCTGTAGGAGAACAGTGCCGTCTCGTAGATCATCGAAGAGGGAGTTGACAGATGGGTTGACATCCAGACTGTTGAGCCAGAGAGTGAAAACTCTCGCCTCGCGCTCTCCCTCAGCATCGAAATCATCCACCTGGAGCTTCTCCTCCTCGGTAATGGGGTCCAATGCTGGGTGGGTGTTGAAGAGGTTAGCGACGAACGCGAGATTGAGCTTCGGGTTTCCAGCAACAAGAGATGTCGGGCTAAGGAACTTGCGGCAGTCCAATCTGTCAGCATTTTGAAGCACTTCTTCTGCGCGCTGCAGCAGGTCCTGTGTTTGGAGCGGCGAGCGGCTGCATGTCTCTGGAGCGATCTGGTTGAGGAGGACAGTGTAGTTCTCGCCATCCTTGATGTCGGTCGAAAAGTTGGTTACCCTGATCAACGTTAGACCTGATTAACTGTATGGAGATGGGAAGCTTACCTTCTTGGCCAGTTGGCTGCCTTCAGGTGGTAATTGAACCACCTCAAGAGAATCTGCTCGGGGGCCAGGCGCAGGAACTGTTCAAGGGTCTCATCTTCCTCAAGTAGTCTGTACAATTCTGGGTGTAGCTTGATATCGATTTTGCCAAGCAGACCTCTCCGAATAACCTGCCAGATCAACCCCAGGATCAGATGCTCGCGGACCTCAATGATATCGCCGCTACCAATGTTGACAACCGAACAACCAATGCCCTTTGCCGACTCGATAACAATGTTGTTGTTCTCCGTCATGTGGAACGCATTCAGTGTCTTGATCTTCTTCCCTGATCTGTTGAGTACCCGCTCATCGATAGTATCGGGGACGCTGTCGTTGATCAACTTGGCAAGCACCAATCCATCCTTGCATTTATCGAACATCTCGAAAGTGTCCGTAGGGAAGGGAAGCAGATGTCCCACGTCTGGGTCGCCAGCAAGGACAGCATTGATATGCCTGGTGAACTCGGTTCGCTCATCCTCATTGATGGTGTGTGTAACGTTTGCAGACGAACCCTGGACCTGGATACGTCCGCTGGCGCTTGGCTTCGAAGCATGTCCCATAGTAGGCTTCTGCGACGTGGGCGCTGCTGGGCGCGTTGGTCCCGTCGACATTCGCTTTTGCGCCGGAGACGATTCGCGCAATTTGGAAACCAGCTTCACTCGGGTTAGCAGCTAAATGGGCCATGATAGTATGTATGAACACTTACGCCGACATAATCTTCCAGCTCAACTCTCCGCGACGAGTCAAGCTCGACCTCCTTCAGGGCCTGCCTCACGACATCGTACGGTTGTCTCTCGCTCTGTTGGGTGGCTTTGATCGCCGTTCCCTCGTCAATGTAACCTTTGTCGTCCACATCTAACTTGCGGAAAGCATCTTGGAGCCCAAAGATCTCATCTTGCTGGAACTCCGGAAACTTCCTGGAATGAATTTCGTCAGTCAGGCGCAAACAAAGGACAGCAAAGCGGGGCAATCGGTGTGGACATACCGCTGGAGCTTGATGACATTCATGGCGAGTAATCCGAGGATGCTTCTCGCACCGGTCGTTGGATCTAGATTAGTAGTCGGGCGCCGGGATGGAAGTTATGCCAATAGTTGCGAATTGGACTCTGTGGTAAGCGTCGTCGGTGCTCCGGGCGGCGTGGAACCTTCGATTCGCGTATGGAGGGGTACTCTTGGTTGGGCTCTGCGGGATATATGGCTGCCTTTCAGCTTCGAGTATCGTGACGTCCTTCAAGAGACAACACTCGAACTCGTTAACGCTTTAAGGGAGCGTATGTAAATAATTGTTTTGTGAATTGATTACTGCCTAGCGATTTCTTCGCTGCCTAGGAAACTACTCGCTGGTGGGAACAAGAGAGGGGCTGAGGGGTTACAGGCGTCACTGAAACCCAGCCACATAACCAAGCCACAACCACCATGCCAAATAAACGATTACGTCGGCGCTAGTGCGTCACCTTGACCTTGAGGGCTATGGGCGTTCTAACCGGGCTTCTGTCAGGAACTCCTATATCACAAACATTCAAAATCAATGGCAATCACAGTGGAACAAGCATTTCAGTTTTCAGCCCCCATAGCTCAGTTGGTAGAGCGCGGCACTAGTATCATCACTGATCTATCATATGCCGAGGTCTGCAGTTCAACTCTGTATGTGGGCAATTTTTTTGCTCTTATGGGGGACTTGGCGTGGACAAGCATTTTAGTTAATTTTAATTTTATTATACAGTAATCTATAAATGACACCCGTATTTCCCATGATCGGAGCCAACTCCAGACGGCGGACCAGACGCCTCATTTGACCCATATGCACAAGTCGATAGGAGTTTATCGACAGCTGGTGCTCCATACTGCAGCTTTAACCAACTAAACCCTCCCCACTAAAACTATTCATCCCAACTATAGCTCCCTGAAATCACTAGGACGGCTTCTCTTTTGTCGTCCTTGGTGTCGGTGAGGGTTGACGGGATTCCTGAAATATGCGTTGTCCTCCTCATTTGGCAAGTTCCCTGCAAAAACCGTCTTCTGTTGATTTGGGAATTCGCCTGGTTGAACTGGTGGCATATTCTGCCTTGAATTATTGTAACCCCCTCCTCCATTCCCCATACCACCCCCATATCCACCACCATACGGCCCATTCATGTTAGGCATGTTCATGTTCATGCCGGGAAATCCGCCGTTCATCGGGAAGCCGTTCATGGCCATCATCGGGTTCATCATCGGGTTCATCATTCCGTACGCATTCATCATATTCATATTCATGTTGCCCATTCCCATACCCATCCCGTACGGATTCCCAAACTGTTGTGACATATCGAAGGGTGCGTTTGGAAATCCTTGCATGGGGTTCATGCCGTTCATCATGGCCTGTTGTTGCATTCCTGCCTGTCTCTGCGCTTCTTGCTGTTGCATCGCCTTGGGGCCCTTTGGTATCTTGGGGTTCTCAAGGAGATCCTCTGCAGGACGTTTCTTAGAGTCAGGTCCAGTAGGGATAACTGCCTGTGGCTTATCTCCTGGCTTTTCTGAATCCGAAGGCTTTGGAGATGAAACGACAGCAGGAGATCCGCGCTTTGGTGACGCTGATCCGGCCTTCTTGGTAGTTGGCTCGGCTGGGGTTTCTTCTGATGCGGATTCGGGATTGCTAGGACTCTTTGGGGCCTCTTTTAGTTTTTCCTTCTCCTCAACATAATCCTTGATAAGTTTAGACACCTCTTCGTCAGGTTTTAAGTTATCAATCAGAACCTCTTCTGTTTGACAACCAGGGCATTTGAAATCGCTCTCAATGAGTGCGTTAGTTATGCAATCATTGCAATACGTCTTCTCACAACAAGGCGTCTTCATTGGGTCTATGAACATGCGTTTGTCGATTGGGCACTCTAATCCTCTGTCTTGCAACTCCTTGTTACCTGATGCAGCTGCTTGTTGCGCTGCAGCAGACGACTTTGTCTTTGCCTGAAACTGCTCCCAAGAAGCCTTGTCCGGCTCTGCAACAACAAACTCGCCTTCGGCGTTAACCATGACACCGGACGGAGCCTTTGCATCATCCGCCATCCCGTCGCCTGAGAGAGCAACTGGCTTCTCGACTGTCCTTAACATCGACCTAGGAATTCCTGTGGTTCGCTTGACTCGTGGTTTGTTGTCAAAGTTCGGATCGTCATTCGTTGGGCATACTTGAATCCAGTGTCCCTTCTCTCCACATCGATAGCATACGTACCCCGTAGGCGGCTCGTGATCTGGGACGTTGGGGGGTGGTCCTCCCTTTTTGTTGCCACCAGTACGTGCGATAGGTGTTTGGCTGCAGAAGGTTAGTACTGGGCTGTTGTTTTTGGAGATAGGGGATAAAAACTCACTTCGCCATCTCATCCTGTTGTGCGGACCACTGCTCGTTCTGTGCTTGAAACATAGCAGCCATACGTTCCTCCTCAGACATTGCATCGTTCATTTTGGGAGCAAAGTTGGAGCTCACGGCCGCCTTTGAGGTGGATTTAGCCGTAGGCATCTCTTTTCTGGATGAATTCTTTGCATTAACTGGCATCTTCCCCGACATGTAGCGAGCCGCCTTGCCCGCTCCAGCCTTTATGGGTGGTAAGCGGCGGGCGATGATCGAGGTAGACCTCGGAATTATTGTGGTGTCATCAGTATACTCTATTGTACTGTTAGTAAAGAAACCTTCTACGTCGGTTAGGCACATACCTTCGTTTCCATCTTCGTTATATATTTTGAGATCAAATTCCGTTCCATCTCCCAGTCCACCTTTAATAATAATATCACGTTTCAGCTCGAACACAGAGATTCCAGTGCCGTCAAATTCGACCCGGGTGGGTTCCTTTTGCGACTTGAACTTGAAGAAAACGGAAGAAGTCATTGTGGCAATATTTTCACCACGTCAATGTTGGTGAACTCCAGTCTTTGGGCGGTCAGCCAGGAGGTACTGGATAAGGGATGAAATATTTCGTGGACTGTTGGTATCGTTTTGTGTCGTACTTTGTTTTCGACTCCGTATATATGATGTGATGGTCTCCCTCTAACTGTCGCACGATTTGATGGCAAACGACACCCAGTTTTCAGTAGACGCAACAGGCTTGAGCCAGGTAATGCGACCGTACAAAGCCAAGGTTATTTTTTATCTTTTTTTTCGTACTGAGATATGGGGAATCAAGTTCTGATTTCAATAGCTCAAAAAATCTGGAAAGAGAGAAGAAAAACACGACGGAAGATGTACAAATGGCAGCGATGAAGCCGCAAAAATAAGAGTTGAATAACAAGTAACCGCCCGTAACAGCCTCAGCAGTCGACTAATCCCAACAACCTCAAGCTACATCCACAGTATCAACAGGTCACCTTGGACTGGCTGTCTACTTCGATGCCAAATGTATCCACAGCGAGCCTGATGATATCTCTTCTGCAATCACAAAGTATCCTAAGATGATGCCTGTGGGTTAATCGTTCAGTGTGCACCTGGAGGAAGGATCGAGGGTTGAATTCGCTGATGTACTTGGATGTGAATCGCGTGACTACAGACAGGCTGGATCGAGTTATCAGGAAACAGAGATCGCTCAAGTCGAAGATGATGATTCAGTTGTCGAAAAGTTCGGATGGGGAAGTTCGATGATGAAGGTTGGAGAGTGAGGTTGGCAAACGAACTGGGTGAAGTATGAACACGAGCAAGTGGCGGAGTTAGACTGCTTACTAATACACACTAGCGAAAGTAAAGTTAGACTCTTTCCATATGGCATTCTGCAACGTTTGTGGTCCGTGCACGTATGACACAGAGGCAGGCGGGGGGTTATCGCTGAAAAGTTATAAAGGATAGAGGGGTCGTTGTTCAGTCATTCAGCTGGGTTGACAACGCCGCCGCGCAATAAAGTTACCATGCCTACCGTGCATTTGTTAGACTATGTTGCGGGTAACATTCGCAGCTTAGTCAATGCCATAGAAAAAGTTGGCTACACAGTCGAATGGGTCAAGTCTCCCGAAGATGTTGAAAAGGCCGATGTAAGTCATTCTGGAGCTATTTGCGGGGTTCAAATGGTTCTGGTATTGATATCTATCATAGAGACTAATCCTCCCCGGTGTTGGCCATTTCGGCCATTGTCTAAACCAACTATCCTCCGCCGGATACCTCCCCGCGATACGGAAGCACGTCCAAGCTGGCAAGCCATTTATGGGCATATGCGTTGGGCTCCAAGTACTGTTCGAGGGCTCCTCGGAAGCCCCAGAAGTCGCTGGACTCGGTATAATTAAAGCCACCCTTGATAGGTTTGACGATACCACGAAGTCAGTTCCACACATCGGCTGGAACAGCGCCGCGTCCGACAAGGAATTCTTCGGCCTGCGATCCGACTCGAAATACTACTATGTCCACTCATACAAGGTGCCGTACGTTAAAGGTCAACTGGAGGCTCAAGGCTGGTCAGTTGCGACGGCTCGATATGGAGATGAGGAGTTCGTGGGTGCGGTGATGAAAGACAACGCCCTCATTACACAATTCCACCCAGAAAAGAGTGGTATGGCGGGGTTGAGAGTGCTCAAGGCCTTTTTGGACGGAGACGCAACCTCTTCTACTGGTGGCGTCTCTACCAGCGCCCCTGTGACTGAGGGTTTGACAAAGCGAGTTATTGCTTGCTTGGATGTCAGGGCCAACGACAGCGGCGATCTGGTCGTCACCAAAGGTGACCAGTATGATGTTCGCGAGAAGGGTAGTGGAGGAGATGTACGCAACTTGGGAAAGCCTGTTGAGATGGCCAAGAAATATTACGAGCAAGGTGCTGATGAGGTTACCTTCCTTAACATCACAAGCTTCAGGGATTGCCCAGTTGCGGATCTTCCTATGCTGGAGGTTCTTAGGCAGACATCTAAAACTGTCTTCGTTCCCCTGACGATTGGAGGAGGAATCAGAGACACAGTGGATACCGATGGCACCAAAGTATCCGCCTTGCAAATTGCAACCATGTACTTCAAGAGTGGTGCAGACAAGGTCTCTATAGGATCGGATGCTGTGACTGCAGCCGAGGAATACTACGCGGCAGGGAAAAAGCTTTCTGGAAAGACAGCGATTGAGCAAATCTCCAAGGCATACGGAAACCAGGCTGTGGTTGTCAGCGTGGACCCAAAGCGCATATACGTTTCCAGCCCAGAAGAGACGACCCACTCGGTCGTCAAAACATCGACACCGGGACCCAACGGAGAAGGATACTGTTGGTACGCTTGCACTATCAAGGGAGGACGGGAGACGAGAGACACGGATGTTATTCAGTTGACCCAGGCGGTTGAGGCCATGGGTACTGGCGAGATCCTGCTTAACTGCATTGACAAGGATGGCACTAACAGCGGGTTTGACCTTGAGCTTATTGACCATGTTAAGAGCGCCATAACTATTCCAGTTATCGCGTCAAGTGGCGCTGGAAACCCAGGCCACTTTACGGAGGTATTCTCAAAGACAAAGACTGATGCTGCACTGGGAGCTGGTATTTTCCACAGGGGAGAGTATACTGTGACACAGGTCAAGGATGAGTTGATTGATAAGGGATTTATGATCAGGCAATTTGAAGACCAGATATAGAAGTATCGAATTGAAAATCAATATTATCCATTTCTGTAACTCCTGCGCCATGACTTTCACCATAATGCACAAAGTAAACTAGCTAAGTGTTCTTGTCTGCCCCGCGCATCATGCAATCGCTTGCTTCTCAAGATGGACTAGACCATTCGGCGGCTGAATTTTCAGTTAGTTTGAAGTTAATAAATGGAGACTGGTGACTCACGGGTGAAAACTGTCGTAGCTGTACTCCAGCCTCCCTGAAGACGGCCGCTGTCTCGCCATCCATGCTATACCCCTGACTATAGACAACCTCGCTAATGCCAACCTGGGCTATTTTGATGCTGCACGTCAAGCAAGGACATGTATCACAGTACAATATAGCGCCCTCGCGGATCCTCTCCCTCCCTGCCTCCAACAACGCATTCTCCTCGGCGTGGATGCACAAACACGTCGACAAGCCGACACCGGATCCCTGTGCATCATTGCACCTAGGACATCCACCCTCACCACAGTTCTTGAGTCCTCGAGGTGTGCCGTTATAGCCAGTGCTAATGACGCGCTTCTCCCGCACCAAGACACATCCGACCCTGCGTTTCATGCAGTTACTCCTCTGGGCCGCGAGGGATGCAAGCTGCATAAAGTATTGGTCCCAGCTAGGCCTCAGGCGGTCTTCATTTGTCAAGTCTAGTTTCCCTAGAGTGGCATAAAGGTGTGCGAGGTCTGACGATGTGTTAAGAAGGCGGATTGTCGCCCGTGAAATGAGTGGCAGCAAGCCACCATTTGGGTTGAACAGGTGATCATCTGACCTCAAAACAAAGTCTTCGAGAGAGAGATCCTCATCCAATTGAGGAGATGAAGTAGGAGAGGTCAACCGCCTCTGAAAGCGCTTCCAGCGAACATTCACAGGTGCATCAACGCTGATGAGAATGAAAAATGGTCGGCGGACAAGAATATCAAGAACGGCCTCGCAGTAAACGTCGGTTGTCACCCAACGGCGCTGCCATTGCGTAGTCACAAAGTTAACCAGATCATCGATGGTACGAAAGGTGTGTTTGTCGTCCGTCAAAGGCTCGTTTGCTGAGTGTTGCAGGCGCAAACGCGTGAATCCATGGTGCTCAATCAGATATTGAGCAACGGTCCTCTTCCCCGAACAAATGCCACCACAGAGACCAACAAACATTCCGTCGCTTTGAAAACAAACACAAGAAATCGACTGTGGCAGAATAACAGCTTAGAACTTCAAAGGAATGTTTAAGGTAATCTGATATTATAACCTTTGCTTCAACGCACAGGAGGCTTGGAGCTTTGTTGTCGGACAAAAGAATATCCGTAAACGAGAGACAAGGCTGAGGCTTGGCGTGCTTGTGCCTGTGGAGGTGGGTACATTCGTGCATGTACCCTGCCTATTGGATGATCAGCAGGTACCTCCTAAGCACGGTTCCGGCCTCTCCGCCTGATTACTCGACGACTCCGGCGATAAGCTGCCTCCCCGCACTACGGTTATATCTTATCGACAGCTCTACCTGCAGCCTGTCTTCGACTCCAACATCTCATAATATTCTTTCAGAACCATCCTACTTTACTCCTTTTTCATACTTCTTTCAGATATCAAAGCCTTTAAGGCTGGGGCGACAAGTCTGATCAGCACCATGGCGCTTCAATACGCCCCGTTCCAGTCTGAGATCGAACTCCCCTTTTACTCAGCTCTCGCAAACCTCAAGATCGACCATGACCGTCTTGATGTGTCGGCTCGCCAGCTTCTGGGTCTGTACGGAGCACCTATTAATCTCACCTCTCGGACAAACTGCCAGATGCAGATACTGGGAAATGCGCTGAGCAGCTCATCGTAAGTTAAGAACTGCGGGACTTTGTGACGATATCATTAATTAACCGCTTTCCAAAGGGTTCCTGCCGGCTTGGTTCGCGCCGAAGGCATCATTAGGAATGTCAATACCATTGAGGAATTCAAGAACGCTGACAAGAATGCGATCATCAACACTGCGGGAAAGCAGGTATGCTACTATTTTGCGGCCCCCTGAACTTACAAGGCAGGACGTTAACACGATTAGATCTGGGATGCGATACAAGATGGAACCATTTACTCCCTCCCATCCCTACTCTCATCCTTCACTATACTGTCGTTTGCGGACCTAAAGAAATACCGGTTCACGACCTGGTCAGGATTCCCAGCTCTCCACTCAGACCCCGTCTGGACACAGTCTGCACCAATAGACCGACTTGACGGGCGCGAGACGACAGCCCTTGTCGACGAGGTCGGCACATGGAGATACAGCGTTGACCCAAGAGAGCACGGCTTCTTTTTGGCTAAGAAGGTGTACAACTCTGATAAACCGCAAGCAGACGAGGAGGGGGAAACCAAACCGGACGAGCGCACCTCCATCGATGACGATATAGGCTATAACTGGAAAATCGGCTCCCTCCATGCATTCGAGACGGGATTCTTTCGGGATGTGGATGCTAAAGATCAATTTATTGCGTTCGCAGATCCGTCCACATATCCACAGAACCCCGGGTGGATGTTACGAAACCTTTTGGTCTTGGTTAGGCAGCGTTACAAGCTAGACAACGTCCGCATCATGTGTTTCAGGGACGTCCAATCCAAGCGGCACGAAGCACGAAGCATCATCCTCAACCTCAGTTCGACATCTTCTGTCGGGAAAGACGAAACTACCCCGCCAGCGGTAGCTAAAATGCCCAAAGTAACAGGATGGGAGCGAAACAGCCACGGGAAGCTATCATCCAGGCTGACAGACCTATCCCAGTACATGGACCCGCGACTGCTTGCGGATCAGTCAGTCGACCTTAACCTAAAGCTCATGAAATGGCGCATCGCGCCGAACCTAAACCTCACAAAAATCAGCCAAACGAAGTGTCTCCTCATTGGAGCTGGCACACTCGGCAGCTACGTATCACGGAACTTGCTGGGCTGGGGTGTGCGTAAAATCACCTTCGTCGACAATGGAACCGTCTCATTCTCAAATCCCGTCCGCCAACCTCTATTCACCTACCAAGACTGCCTTGGAGGAGGAGGGAAGAAGGCAGAACTAGCCGCGAAGGCCCTGCAGGACATATACCCTGGAGTAGACAGCACTGGACATGTCATCTCGGTCCCCATGCTCGGACACCCCGTTACGGACGAGGCCAAGGCAAAGCGCGATTTCGAGACCTTGAAGAAACTTATCGACGAGCACGATGCCATATTTTTACTTATGGACACTCGCGAGAGCCGATGGCTGCCAACTCTGATGGGCAAGGCAACTGGAAAGATCGTAATGAATGCCGCTCTTGGCTTCGACACATACGTCGTCATGAGGCATGGGATGACGCCTCCCGACGGAGCCCAAGCAGCCCTTGGCTGCTATTTCTGCAATGATGTCGTGGCCCCAGCAGATTCAGTAAAGGACCAAACTCTCGACCAGCAATGCACAGTCACACGCCCCGGAATAGCAGCCATCGCATCAGCACAGCTCGTTGAGCTTCTAGCATCCATCCTACAACATCCCCTCGGCGGCCTTGCCCCCGCCCCTAAGCCTGTGCAGCCCTCCGGATCAGGCCCAGTTACATACGAGCGCGACCCCCCCGAACACCCTCTGGGCATCGTACCCCACCAGATCCGCGGCTTCCTCGCGAGCTGGCAGAACATGCTTATCAGCGGGCAATCCTACGACTGCTGCTCAGCATGCTCCGCCAAAGTCGTGGACGCGTATGAGAAGGACGGGTGGGACTTTGTTAAGAAGGCATTGGCGGAGCGGGACTACATTACCGAGTTGAGCGGGTTGGCGGAGGTGCAGAGGGCGGCGGAGGCGGCGGGTGGGGATATTGATTGGGATAGTGAGGGGGGAGGCGAGGAGGAGGGTGAGGGGGAACTTCTTTGATATTGTCAATACCCAAGGCTTACATGAAATAACGTCTTTGCGAGCAGTTTGGTTTGAGAATGGGAAAGTTAGATGGAACGTTTCGCGATTTTTACGTGTTTTGAAGTATTTTGTCTTTGCAAACTGGAGTAAGGTACAGAAGGAGGTGTATTCTGCATATGGGAGATGGGGTTGGCTATGTTTGTCACGTATAGTTCTGTTGTACTTGTTTTATTATCAACAGTAGCAATTGAATTTCAACACACGTATATATGAGAGGTCCTGAGAATCCTATAACGATTGCAGTGGTGCAAGATGCTGTATATGCGAGAATTCTAGCCAAAAAAAACAGTCCCATAAATGCCACAAATCCAATCAAACATTGTGGTCGTCCGCGGCCTATTTCCAACTCCCCGAAAGCGCAGTGGCGCAACGTGCATTGGTCAACAGACCAGAGGTATCTAGTATACAAAGAAAGATCATTCGCTCATATTTCATGATATGCTGCAAAATCAGCTATGGAAGCCCCGATGTCAATGAGGGAGACATGGCTAGGCTTCCAATATATCGTAACACGTCCATCTACCATCCAAGCTGAGAGCTTGGGTCATTTCATTCCGTCGTGGAGATCAAATGAGGACCCATTCACTGCCTCTCTTGAGGAATTTATCCAGGAGCATGCCGATGTCTGTCAGGACGAATCGGCAGATGTAGAACCCGAAGAACTCCGCAGCGTGGCGAGTGCTTAGTTCTAAACCGACTTGTGTTTTATCCGCATGTTTAAGGCCAGGATCCTCGACCTGACGAGCGATTTGGTCTAAATATAGTTAGTAGGTGTCATGAGAGATATAACTTTGTGATTATAAAACATACCGAGGACTTGAGCTGCATCGAATAGCTTTGCTAATGCGCTCATATAGTGGGCATTCGGGCCTGTAAACTGAACTTGGGATATATCCCTCTTCGCGAATCGGGTATTGCCCGAGGTCGTCATGGGAAGCGTGCTTATCGTATGTCCTTCCTTTGGAGTCTCTGTGACTACGGTTCGTCCGGCGTAATTATTCAGCGCCACCCCGGAACTCTTTGACCGCAATCGGCGCCACGAGAACGAAGATTGCTTCCCAATCCCAGACGATGTTTTGGAGGTGGTGGTGGTTGTCTCTGCCTCGGTTGAGGTCGACGAGGCATCCTTAAATAGCATGCCCGAGCCCTGTACACCGACATCATTACCAAGCTTTCGTACTAGAATGGCCCGAGCTTGCTCAAGGACGTCCTCGAAAGCTTGCATCTCATCGAGCACCGCATCCGCATCAAAGGTATCAACCTGGGCGAGCTTCTGCAAAGCTGCTGTTAAAAGATCACAGCACGATATCTTTTCCTCAAGCCCCTTGATTTTAACTCCCTTGACACGCCAGACATCCCTTGGGACAAATAGTTTGGTAGAGAGATATCCTCCACGAGTATGAGCCAAGGTTTGGTAGAAAGCGCGCATTAGCCAGAAAGGCCGTAGGAGATGCTCAGTCGGACATGGCTCCAAAGGTATCGGCCCACCCATGTGTCCATCCCTTGGCGAACCTGGGCTTTCTGGGGAGTGCATATCACTATCGAATAGGTATAAGCCGCCGGTGGGAGCACCATTCGGAGCACCATTCATCTTGTCTCGGAATGTCACTGCAATGGGCGTTGGCAGTGCTGGCATCGCCGGTAGTCTGTTTGGATCTCCCCTTGTGGCTGAAATGGTACCAAACTGGGCCGTCATTGGCGTATTCGGTGACACCTCCGGGCCATCGTCGACGTGGGATACCGAAAGATTACGACTCTTCAGGTTCTTGAGACTGGACGAAGAGAAGTTCTTCCGGATTCCTGATCTGGACTGCGCTCGTCCAGGAGAACCAGAACGAGGAAGAGAGCCGGCATTATCGTCCAAATTAAAGCTTTGCGTAAGCGTAGGTGTCGGCGGAGCAGCAACGTCTGCTGGGAAGGGAGATGAGTTTTGGCGGGCCCGAAATCCGGGGTTGCTCGCGGATTGCGGTATCGGGGGTGGTGGCATTTCCATTTTCGGCAGCGAAAACCCTCCTGCTGGCTCCGAGGGGACCTCCGGAGGTGGTGCGGTAGGAGCCTGAGAGAAAGATGATTTTGGTGTGGTTCTTGTGGCGGTCTCAATCTTCAACTGCTTAGGATTTGTTCCCGACAGGCGTCTGCTCCTCACAGTATGTGAATTACTTGTGGGTTCGGGCGCCTGCATTTGCAATGGGCGTGAGAATTGCGGAGCACTAGAGGTAGGAGGGAGCGGGAGAGCCTGGCCAGGGGGAGGGTAGACTGGTGGTGGTGTTTTGGATTGAAAAGTGGGCAATTTTGGGATAGGGGCAGTCTCAGCAATGGTGGACATAGTAGTTCCACCAGTGGTAGGATTTGACCCTAGGGAACTGTGCCAGGTGCGTCCAGAAAACCCACTCGAGTCAGATTCTCGAGGCAATGCCGACTTGGACTGGAGGCCGAACTCGAACTCATCCATAACGTAGCCCCTGGTCATCTCCTCAAGCATACGCTCTTCCTCCTCTGATTCGCCGTCGTAGTAGTCCTCTTGGCCGGTCTGGTCGCGTGCCAGGCGCTCCCTCTCTCGATCTCGGGCCATGTGAACAGCAGTCTCCCTTTCTGTCTGCCTGACCCTTTCTCTCGCCATCTCAACCCTCATTCGCATACTTGCAACTCCATTATCATACTCAGCAGTGCTTCTCATGGGAGGGAGGTTTTCCACAGGCTCAAAACCGTCATCATATGCTGCTTCCACTGCAGCATCTAAGGCAGCATCGAATTCTGCCTCGGTTGCTCCGCTAGCAGCTCGTATATGCTTCCTTCTCATGCCCAGTGACGACGTCCTTGAATGTACGGACGAAGCCCCGGAGCCACCAGATTCATCAATAGTATCCAGCCAGGAAATGGAATCGGTGCTTATTTCTCTCGTATGACTGTTTTCATTCGATTCAGACGATGGACGGTAGGGCTTTGAGTGGTCTTCGTCCGTTGGTAACAGATCCATTGGAGAGGTTGGGGGTCTTGGGGAGAGTGGTGGGACCATCATTGATTGGCGCTCCATCGGGGAAGCGAGAGCTGTTTGTGCGCCGAGGAGGTTTTGGCCGATGGGAGACCTTACAGGGGCAGATCTCTGGTAACGATTAGTATTTTGACCTGGAGGCTTATTTTAGAAACTTACATCAAAGGTCTGCGGGACAAGTGAATCTCTTCGTCGGGGGTGTTGGATGGGCTGCTGCTCAGCAGGGAAAGACTCAAGTGCAAAGGTGTCTTGGTTAACTATTCTCGTCATAGTTGCCATTCCAATTACCGTTGCTTCGTCGTCATCTACAGGGGGGGATTGATCGTCTGTGTATTCGATACTTTCGGGTCTGGCAGGTAAAGCTTTGTCATCGTCATTGTAGGGAGCAAGCTTCACCAGCTCTGTTATCCGACTGGTGTAGGTATTTCGCTATACTTGGTTAGTAATATTCGATCGAGCGGGAATCCAACGTACAATAGCCTCTAGCTTCCTCCTATCTTCATCGCCCGAGCTCCTCATCATCACCTGCTGTAGTAAATCGCATGCCTCTGAATATGCCTGCATGGCACCTTCAAAATTCATTGCATTATCAAGCACCACCGCCGTATTGGCTTTCTGGAGCGCCTTTGAAAGCATGGCTTTTTGCGATGGCTGCCTCGACGAGCGATCTTTGTTTTTCTCCGAGGATAGGGTCCCTGAGCTCCCTTTCGTGGCGTGCGATCGGTTTCGCGAATGTCCCCTACTGCGGCTACGGTCCCTTCCCTGCCGCTGCTTTTGAACAGGGCTCCCGCTAGATTTGGTATGCCCAGGTGGGAGCGAAGGCGAAGGAATTATAGGAGACCGATTCATCGAGTGGTTTCTGCCTGATCCACGGGTATTTGGATCCTCCCACGAATCGCCAAAATAATCAGGTGCCGCAGACCGCACCGCGGCGGACAATAATCCTGCAGTTGATGGCGAGATAGTTGTTCCCGTTTGTGGGGACTGATCGCGACCGTCGCTACCGCGGCGATATGTGGGGAGAGTTATTATTGGAGGTAGGGTCGACGATAGATTTGAGCCGTCTCGTCCTCGCGACGGAAGCCGCTGCGGAGAGTTTTCCGACTTTGGCGCCCCGTATCTGCTTCCTTTGGAGAAATTATCGATTTTGCTGGTTCCGGAGGCCGACCCCAGCGCGCGCGAGGAGCTGTTTGACCTCACATGCGCTGTCGAACCTTTGCTAGATGTTGTAGACTGCGACCAGCGATTCAAGTTTCCAACTCCGTCCCTGACACTCCCAAGACTGTCTGATCGCCTATGCGTAGCTATCTGGCGTCTCCGCGCTTCCGGCGATGTTGGAGCTAGCTCCGAAAAGTTCGCAATATTCTTCCCGTTTGCGCTCACTGGTGGGCGTGAATTCGATCGTCCTTGGCGGACGGCTTCTGACTGAAGAGCAGGAGCATCTGTGGAATATGGCATATTCGCCTGGCGTTGGATTCGGTAGGATCGGTCGTCCGTGGCGGCCGCCTGCATTGTGGTTTCGAGTCTCAAGAGTGGAGGCTAAAACCAGGGGTATGGTATCGGAAAGGCGCACGCATGAATTGTTTCAACTTTAATGTCGAAGTCGGGAAGGCGCACGCGTATATGGGCGCCTCGTCAACGGTCTCGTCAACGGTCTCGTCAGCGCGCGCGCGTTACAAGAACAGTTTTATACTGAGGGGTGTTCCAGTCGCGATCGGTATGTGGGCGGCGAGCGCGTGGGAGTCGCAACCATCGTTTAAGCGGAGTACATCCTCTTCCAATTGCACTGTACAAGAGATGATGCGATATGTAAAAAATATATCCTCGTATACGTTGGCGCACGAGGACGATTGGGAGGAGGAGGGGATGGTGGGTTGGGATTTGTGAAGCCACACAGTCGAGCCGTGGAGATATGTAGATTAAGAAGATAAGTCAGCCGAAGAGGGATGGACTAATTAGGCAATAAGGGGACGGATAGGTCCCCGTTTGAGCCCCAGGTACGACATACGACAGGCACAGCTTTCCCATATTATGTAATCAATAGTCCACGCGACGCGAACAGTGTCCACTCGCGTATAACTTGATAACCACCCTCGAATAATCCAACATAACTGAGATATACCGAAATATACCAAGATATTCCGAGATATACATCAATTACTTTAAAATGCATATAGTCTGAAGCTAAACTATGCACAGTACAACTTCAATCGTCGTGTGGAACATGTCCAAGAAACTCTATCGTACAAGAGTGATATATATCAGTGTGTGATCGCCCGAGCCCCTTGCAACAGGAGCCCAAACATCAACCCTCTAGCAACCTTCTCGTCCTGCAAGCAGTCAAATACTCTGCCAACAGCCTCGCCCGTAGCAGCCTGGCCCATGACGCCGGCCAATGCAGGTGGGATACCCCTCTCAATAAGTAGTTTCCTAGCCCGAACCCTTAACTTTGTTTTTTCCTCGGCGCTGAGTTCCTCTGGCCATGCTTTAAGCTCTTCTTCGGTTGGCATCGTGTTCTCACGGATCTTCCGGAGATGGCTGGCGATCCCAGCGTCGGATGTATTCGAAGTGATGACAGATTCTTGGACGAGAGCCTGGATGGATGCCAGCGAAGGATTTCCAGGTCGGAGGAGGAATGTCTTGGCCGCCGTGAGGAGTGTTCGGCGTATATTCCAGACAGATGATAGCGTATATAGTTCATTGATCATGGCGAATGTTAACTCCAGAGCTACCCTGGTCTCCTCTTCTGTGAAGGGCGTTGGGTCTTTTCGCTTGTTAGGTACCTTGGCCTCAGATATCGACGGGGATCTTATGGATTGGACTGGCGAGGTATCATTCGTAGATGTGACTGGTGTCATAATTTCATTCTTCGACAAAGCAGGCGATGATGAGGATCGTATAATTCCGTAGTCGTCGGGCATGTCGCTAGGCGGCGGCGGTAGAACGATGTTATCGAGATCTAGCAGTGGGCTCTGAGGCTCTTGTTCTGTCCCTAAAGATTCCATTGACGACTTCATGGATGCATCGCTAACCCCGTTACTAGGGGTTTCAACTGGTGTACTTGCACTGGACAGCTCATGCTCGGGTGTTTCTGCGATGACTGCTGTCTCGCTGTGAGATGCGGCCGGCCCATTACGAGCTTCTTCGCTTGATGGCTTAGTGCCGTTGATGGAGGTACTATCGTCAAGTTCCGGTGCAAGCGATGAGGAAGACCGAAAGCCAGGACGAGAACTAAGACTCAGTTTGCTGGCAGACCTTCCTCTCCCGGGGTTTATATTCCCAAGCACCCCCGTCATACCACCGAAAACTGTTTTACCGCCTTCGGCAGCTCCCTTGGAAGCACTCATGAGATTATCAACCAAGCCCTTGCCCATAGTCTCAAAAGCTGCGGGAGATGGCCACCCAAAGCCCTTTCCTGACTGCCCCTGACTTTGGCTTTGTTCTTTTTCAAGGAAACGCTTCATTCCCACGCTTTCCGCCAAAGCCGCATGACGACATGCATCGCGCAGATAATTCTCCAAATTAGTCCGCAAGTCAGCCTTGCCCTGGTTCTTCCAAGTCGGCAGTGTGGAATGCGTTTGCGTGAAGGCTATCACTCCAGATACCTGAGCAATGCGCTTTAGAACTTCGTGGAGTGTCTCGAAATCTGCATATTTGCGAACAATCATCCAACCGGAGTAACGCGAGGAATTCGGCTCGATCTGGACCAGATAATCTCCTGTGGGCTTGTTGCGAAAGCGACTGTTATCGCCTGGGGAAGCGTCGTCCATGATAGTTATACCGGCGCCTTCAAGTGTCAGAGGCTTGGGCGTCTCATTATCCAGGTCGATACTTCGTTGGGGCGCAATCTGGTCGAAGCTTGTGAACGGTTGTTTCGGTTCTGCATCAACTTCGACCGAAGTCGGGACAAACGCTTCTTCAATCGGACCTAGAGGAACATGTACGCCATCTGAAGAGTGACTTGAGGATACCCTGGCAACGTCTGGGGTGTCCCTGGATAGGGAAGATCTCGAAGTCTCTTTAGACTGCCTTGATTCATCCTCAGCAATTAGCTGGCTTAGCCTTTCCGCTTCCTCTGTGGCAGACTTCATCGCGTCGTCCGCTCTGCTGACACGCTTTTGGGAGTTGGTATCGGGCTGATCCATCATAGGTTGAATCCCCTTCGGAGATGGTATCCCCATACCAGCATCAATCGCCTGAATGATATCTGGTTCGCCCTCTTCTAGCAGATATACAATCCAGCCATTTATCCACTCTGGCTTGGAACAGGCCCTCAAACTCATCTCCATTACAACTCCACTTAATATTCTTTCTAGGAAGACCCTAGCAGGGTTGCAACTGTACACAGACTTCTCAATGAAATTCTGTAACAAATCGTTGGCAATCAGTTGGAACTTTTTCTGTTGCTGCTTCTCATCCATGATATGGGCGAGATGGGAATCAGGGTTCGAGGTGAGGTATTCCTGCACTGCATCTTCTGGAGAAATGTCGAAATCAGGCGAAGCCAGAATGGCGGTTGACAGTTCACCGAGAAAGACGATGACTATCGAGGAGCAATTGGTAAAGAAGTCCAGAAAAGCGTCTGCGGGGCGCTTCTTCGACAGGGAATTTGCTATAGAGCGAAGGAACGACACCAGAGTTTGCTGACTCGTTCGCGGGAATGTCTTTTCTTCCGGCAGAACTGGAAGATACCAGTACTTCACATAATCTCGAATTGTTGCTTCCACCAGTTCTCTCAGCGCCTCCGCCGTGGCAGGGCGAAAGTCGTCAAAGTTGGCCGCCCCTGGCACAACCGCCTCGTCCGTATCGTCATTATCGTCAAATTCGTAAGGATTCGCAGGGTTCTTTTCCCTCCAATCTAAGACTTTTTGTAGGATATGCAGGCCGTTCTGCTTTGGGTGTGTCGTATGGATATCGGCGACAGCACTATGCCTCTCCCAGGACGCATGCAATATTATCCCTCCAAATGCGCCTATAAGCACGAGGCCGACCCTCCCCAGGATGAGATATGTACAGCCAGCCAGGCCAACTGCTATGGCACACAGCTGTTCGGGGGACGCATGGGCTAGGTACTGGAGAAGTCGAGTCGTCGCATCTGGCGTTGCGGCAGGTGCGCGCGTGGGTGTTGCGTCAGCTCCTCCATTGGGCGAATCATCGTCTAGGGGCGAGGAGCCATTTCCTTGATGGTCTTTATTATCTTCGATTATTGCCATTGGGATATGGGGATTCGCGATTTGTCGCAGATTGTTGCGATCATCAGTTATTGCGCAACTGTTGTCGAGTCGTCGTTGTCGCAATGGGAGAGCTATACGGTAGTATCCGCGTATACGGTATTTGGGATTCTGGACCTGGCAAGGAAGGGAGATCCTGTCATCTTACAAGGAAAAGGTCCTAGAAAGCAGCTGCCGTAGACATATATACCGAGATATAAGTGGGTTGAAAGCAACAATCTCAATCTGTGATTCTTCGTTCCTTGTTTATCCTCAGCCCAGGGTAGAGCCCGTATTGTTTCAGTCGTTCTGAGGGGGATCCAGCCGGGTGAGGATCAGCCAAACTGGGCTGCCATCATTGGCACGTGACTATCAATCACTGTACGCGTTGTTGCGCGGGGTGTGCGATTGACCGCGTCCAAAGCTTGGCCCGATGTGTAACCTTCTTGTCTACACCGAGGTCTCGATATTTGATATTTCCGATTCCATATTCGCTGTTCATTCTACATCACTGGACAGCCTCAGTAAGGTCCCGATATCTTCCAGATACTTTTCCGAACCCTATTTCATGGATATCTGAACTTCACACTTACAAGCATCCACATTCGACTCAGGTAATGAGACCCATACCCTTCTGATAATGAATTAAATTAATGGAATCAGCCCAAACAACTTTTGAGACAAGATACCATCGCATCTTCCACAATGCCAGTCACCAAGCGCGGCCGCGCCCAGGATTCGCCCAGCGATATCGATGACTACGATGACGGCACTGGCTTCGTCGCCTCTGACGACGACGCCCAACCCAAAAGCAAGAGAACCAAGACCACAAAGCCTAGCAGCGCCACAAAACCAGCACAGGCTCCTCAGACAAGCGAGAGCGGAGAGAAGTTTTGGGAGGTTAGTTGCTTGCCAATAGCGTCTGAGAGATGATAATGAATGGATGGTGACTGACTGACAAATCTCCGACCACAGTTATCACAGGGAAGAAACAGCAGGAGGGTCGGCATCAGCGAATTCAAGGGCACCCGTTTAATCAATATCCGGGAGTTCTATCAGAACCCCGCGGGTGATTTCCTGCCGGGCAAGAAGGTAGACCCGAGCTGCATGCCTTTATAAATCTCAAGTGCTAACTTCTTGTAGGGTATCTCTCTGCCGCTCGACCAGTACAAGGCGCTGCTCCAGGCGATCCCTGATATCAATGCCGCTCTCGCGGCAATGGGCGAGACAATCGAGTCAGGTGATGCGGCCCCGAGGAAGGCCAGAGTAAAGGGTGCCGACGCCGGTGCCAAAGAGCAGAGGGCTAATATCGATGAGACGAGCGATGAGGACGGAGAAGAGTAGTCGTCTACAGGAGCTTGCTGTAATTATATGTATGAGATATGAATTATAATGACCATTCGCTAGATGAAGATGGATGGAACTGTATTTGCATATTCTATTGTGTCTACACTCTTCTAGGCCCTACCGAATCCAAATATCACTTCAAAGGCTTCTTCAGCAAGTCCATGCTGGCCCTCCGCTTGAACGCCCTGTGTCTAGATAATAACTGAGACTGCATGAAATGGCACACATCCTCATCGCCCCAATAGCTCAGATGGCTCGCGATAGTATTGTAAGGGTTGAAATCCAGAACACTCCTATTTCAAATTAGCGTCTCCTCATTTTAGAGCTTCACGATAGTAACTTACTCCTGGATACTGAAATCAATACGTCCATTCTCATTCAAGCCCCTAACCTTCATCTCCTCCCTCCTGAGCTTCTTGGCCCTCTCATCCGCCGCAATCCTCTCCTTATTACTCTCCTCATTCCCTTGATGACTCTTCCTCCGCTTCTGGAAACCGGAATACAGGGTCTCTATATCGTCATCAATCAGCGTCGGCGCATTCTCATTGCCCTCGCGGTCCGCATTGGCAGTATCTTCCGCTAGCTGCCTCTGCTTCTCATTGGTGTTTTCCCTCGTCAGGGTGCGAGTATCGGTAATGACGCCACCACCAGAGATATTGGTTCCGGCGCCCATAGACAACGGCGACTCGCGGATGCTCTGGCCCTGTGCTCGCTCCATCTTGGCGATATCCTCACCAGTGAGTCCGAGGCTTCGGTTGATAAGACTGCTGGCGATTCCGGAGCTGAAGCTCGACCAGAGACCGCTTACGCTCTGGCCGACCCTGGCTCCGATTCCTGTGATGCCTTGAGCCGCAGACGTATTGAAGAGACCCTTCTTCGTGTATGGAAGCGCCTGCGGTTTGAGGGATGACATGGCTGGCGCTATAAGGGGCTCTAGGCGGTACGCAATGGGGTCGGAAGGATGGAAGATGTTATACAGCTGTGCGCATTTCGGCGAGGAGATCGAGTAGGGGAGCCCACTTGTGGGGAAAAACGTCTCGTTGGGATGGCTATTTGCGGCGAGGAATGGGTCATCCAGCATATCCAAATCCATGGGGCTCTGCGCTGGCATTGCTTCAGGGTGATGCCTAGCGGCGATTGTTCGCCCCTTGAGCATCTGGAAGAGCCCGATTGGGCTACCGAGGCAGTAAAAGTCTTCGACTTCGAAATCGAAACTCATATCCTTGCCATCCTTCTTGCTTTGAGGTTGCACACCCGGTCGATTGTGATAAAACTTCGGGTGCTGGGGTAGCCCGTACGTATCCTTGTCTTCCTTTTGACGACAGAGGATATCGAAGAAGATGGCGGAGCCGAGAGAGTGTCCGATCAAGCTGACCTTTCCGTTGAAATCTGGATTGCGGTCTAAGAAAAGCTTATACACCCGGTTGCACTCGCGGAGCACGATGTTAGAGATGTGTTCCCTATAAGCGCTCTGATAAAGCAAGACGTCCAGCGCAAGGTCAGTGATGAGACTTCTCACGAATGGGACACCTTCAACGGTAATGTCGTCCAAGCTTGGGTACTCCTCGTCTTCGCTAGAGACATCAGCAAGATCATGCTCTTTGCGGTTCTGCTTTAGGCCATGGCGAGGGAAATCTAGCAAGTGTCGCCAGCACACTGGGAGGACCTGAATCCGGCAGTTCTTTGGAAGCTTATCAATTTCTGAATTCAGAGCTTGTAGATCCGCAGAGTTTCCATACACGCTTTTGAGTGTCTGACGGAGGACATTGACGTCGTGGATGAAGTTTACGCTCTCGGTCCGCATCCCTAAACGTTGTCCAATGCCATGGGTCACCAGGATCAAATGTTCAATCTCGCGCGATTGATCTTCGGTAGGATGGTCCTGATAATCATCCCGAATCTCCTTCTCGTCTAGTTTTCTTATTGCCTCTTCAGCTTTCGGGGTCGAACTACCGCTTGACGCCGGCTTCTCCGCTTCGGCATGTAAGTCGCGAATATCGGATGCCCTCAGCGTCCCGGCTGGGGCAGATCTGCGCTTCAAAAGCCTCTGTTGCCTTTCATCAAGTCGAAGACCTGCCTTATCAGACTCATCTACCATATCTGTTTCTGGGGCCAAAGGAACCTCAGTCTTAGCATCAGTTGAAGTCTTCTCCCCTTTAGTATAACCTCGGACAATCTTCACACCGCTCATATAGCCACCTCCTGCGAATCGTTGGTAAACGGTTGTACTCATGCGGGAAACGATGCTGTCATCTGATAGCCACGCAACGGTGTCATCCTGGTATGTGACAATGGAGTTCATATATGAGCCAAACAGGCGGTGGGTCTGAGGTTGGTGTACGGCATCCGTAGGCTTTCTTCCAGCCTGCTCCGTGGCCGCTTTCAAATTCTCAGCAGATGCTTTGGGAGTGACTTCGGAAGCACCCATGTCGGTAGGCAGTTTCCCCCCCTCCGTAGTTTTTGGCTGAGTATCTTTAACGGCAGGCTTCGGATAGCGAAATGGCTTGACCTTCAGATATCCCTCCTCCAGCTGTGTTGCCAAGTTCTCATCACACGGTCGAAGCGTCGAACCCTCCTGATAGAACCAGGTACCCCTCCTCACGTCATATATTGGTCCAAGCCAATAAACCGGCGCGAGTTCTCTCTCCTCAATGTCGACATCAAATAGATAGTCCTCATTGACAGGTACCTTGATTGTCCTCCGCTGCTTCAGAGAACCGTCCCCTTCCAGAGAGCTATTCTCCTTCCTGCCAGGCTTTGACTCTGGTGTCGTTTGTGTCAAGTCGATCGGACTTTGAGCCGTTTGGCCCTCATCCTCTTCATCCTCGATAAACTTCTGATATGCCTTCTCGATAGACTGAGAATCTCCCGGGGAGAACGTCAAGTATTTCTTCGGCGCAGGCAGCGGTTTCGACTCGATATTGACGTCCTTCAGCAACTTAGGTTTTCGCTTTGGAGCCTTCAACACGTTAGCAAGCGCCCAAGTAGCTGACACAGGAGCCTTACATCAACCGCATAAAACCACTTCGTCTTAAGCGGGGGACAATCCTCTGGATACCTCCTCGTACTAATCCCATGCGAGCGCCCGACACTATGATCACCACCCCTCTGCGCCGACTGCGCCTGCGCCTCCGCCGCCACACCACTCCCCTGCGCCGGCTTCGGCGTCGCCGGCCTTGAACTCGTCCACGGCGAAATCGACTCCACCGCCGACGAGAGGTACGACTTCTCCACCTTCTTCGGGGCCGCTGCTGACGAGGTCGGGGTCATGCTTGCGTCTGGCTCCGGCCAGTCGAGCCGCCCCGGTTTGGGTTTCGAGGTGCCAGTCCACGCGGAGGCTGGGCCGATCAGCGACTCGGGAAAGTAGTTGGGGACTTGGCGGGCGATGCTGCGGAGGAAACGGGATGCCAATTTGGAGGTTGTAGGGGTTGGCTGTACGGTTCAACTGCGGTGTGGGCGGGGTCGACGGTGCTGTTTGAGCTCCGTTTGCCTTGATTCGGAATTATTGGCCCGGCATTGAAGTTGATTTTAGAACATATTCTGTTTTTCTGAACAAAGGAAAGGTGGCTCTAGGGTAGTTGGATCTATAATTCGGACATTTAATGGAGAATTGGACATTCTATGGAAGACATGACGTCGACGCTTTGGCGTACCATGAAAGTGGACTGGTGAGGGAGCTCCCGCCAGCTAAGCTTTGACCACTCACAACGCTGTCCCGCCACACACCTTGACGGCTCTCAGGCAGCGCTTATAAGAAACGCCAAAACAGGTATATAAATTTGACTGGTAATTTCCTATAGCTTCAACTTATTCACATTTAATACAAAATTGCATTATCACATCCAAAATGTCTTCTCAGGAACTCCACTCCCTAAATGCCTCCATCGCGTCAAAGACCGACCCCGCATCGGCCGCACGTGCTCTCACAGCGCCAGCCGAAGATAAACTCTCAACAGGGTCTCCAGAGTCGGACATTGAAGGCAGTCTTAGGCCCGTCTGGGAAAGCATAATTAATGTGGCGGCGGATACCGAGCACCAGTCCCAAGAACATTTAGTGTCTATCGTGCGCGCCGTCCAGCAGCAGACCCTCACGAAAGACGGTGCGAGCGAGGTTGAAGTCTGGGGGGAGAAGGTGAAGGTGTGGAGCGATCTACCCCTCTTTGGTGTTTCTGTAAGAGACGCATGGAATAGAAGTATAACCACCCGCCGCTTTCTCGATATTCTTAGGTTTCTAACATAACACAGCTCCTAGCACAGGCTCTGCCAACGACTTCTCTGCAAGCCAGTGGCGCAACATAAACGCCTTCCTAGCCCGCCTAACTTCTCTTTCTCAATCTACACCTACGTTTGACTTTTCCATGTTCGGCTTGTGGACGTTACGGTCAGCATTTGAGGGAACGGGCGAGGCCTCGTCAGCAGATGTGGATGCTGCTAAAGTGTGGTTCGAGTATGCGGAGGATGTCTTGACGAAGCTGAGCAACGAAGGGAAATCGTTCCCCGCCAAGGTTGGCGCTGGTGGCGGCAGCTATGCGGATAAGGGATGGACGGGATTCAACCCTGATAGGCTTAAGGTTTGGCAGGCAGCTCTTCAATAGGTGATGAAGGGCCGCTAGGGGAAACAACACACGCGCCATAAATTTGAACCCTTTTATTTTAAGAGCCCTCTATAGAACAAATCCAGCGAATGAAAGATATTCTTAAAACTATCTGCGCCCACTCCCGCTCCCCTCCCATCCTGCATAATGATAATGACTCCCTAATTTTCAAGCACGCAAAAAAGCCCCAAACTCCCCATCCCTAAAACCCTAAAATCCTAAACCAAAGCAAGCCATGTATAATCATCAAGATCATAAATCATAACCCTCATGAAGTGTCCACCGCGCTCCTAAAAAAGCAAAAATGAGTTATATAGACCTCCAGCCGCGTGCCGCACAGCAGACAACGCTCTCTGGGCCCATCAAAATCTCGACCGTCCTGTGAATACCGGGTTACTTTTCCCTTCCCCCGTCGCTGTTCATACACCCCTCCTCCCACGCACCCATCTAATCAGCTCTCGCGCCCCCCTCCACCCTCCCTCGAAGCACATCCTCCACCCCATCCCTCACGCCCCTCGGCCCACTAATACTCCTCCTCAACCCCTCTCTCCTCCTCTCCCTCCTCCGCTCCGCCCACCGCTCCACCCCCGAAACACTCACCCACCTCACCCCGACCTTGAAATTCCACCTCCCAAACCCAACATCGCGCATCCGCTCCCTCGACATCCGACTATCGCTTCCCGACATCCCTTCTATCGGTGCGCTCGAATTCCGCATCCCCTGTCGCGCACTCGCAAAGCGCACATACTCCCCCAACGCGACGCTCCCTACGCTACCATTGTTCCTCTGCACAACGCGCAGGTTCCCCGACCCCGAACGGCGGATCGTGCGGCGCGGTGCACCAAACCCAATCTCGCGGTCGCGCGCGGGCATGATGGAGAAGGTGCGTTTCAACACCGAAGAGAGACTTCGCTTCGGCGCCGACAGTGCAGGATGCACATTTGCTGACGGGGGGTAGTAGTTGCGGTCGTCCCACTCGTCGTCAGAGTACTCATCGTCGCTGTCCAGATCGTCCCAGAAGCGCGCAGGGCGCCAGAATGGATGCAGGCGCGACGTGTCAGCGGGCTGGTCAGAGACGGTGGGGTACGTATGCGGAGTCGCGGTATCGACGCTGTTCTGTGGCTGGCGGCCTAGGGAAAAACGTCGTGGGAGGATGGTGGAGATGGACATGCTCTCACGGCGGTGGGCGGAGAGGGCGCGTTGCAGAAGCGACGGACGACGTTCAGGCGGCACAGCTGAGATGGTGTGTGCTTCTCCGGAAAGGAAATCGTGGCCGAGTTGTTTAGAGTCGTCATCAGGGGAGACGGCAGCGGGAGTGGGAGGGATGAATTTAATGAGTGGTGGTTGTGGGGGATCGCGGGGGTTGCGGAGCGGGGAGTCTGCTTCCATTTCGAGTGGATAGCCGCGTTGGGGGGGTGTCATAGGATCTGGATCGGTTGGGAGAGGAAGTGAGGAGGTTCGGAGATGGATTGGTCGGCCTTTGGGCGCAGAGCGAGGTTGCAGAGGGCCGTGTTCGATCATGAGTACGGACCTGTTCTGGTGCGGGTACAGGTTTATAGCCAGCGCTTCGGATATCTCGAGTGCCGTACCATGTGTATCGTGTGATGACTGCGAGAACGGCGTAACTTGAGCCGAAAGTCGTTGGCCGAAGAACGGGTCCCCATTGGTATCAACAGTCAGCGTGTTGCTAAGTGGTACACTATCCTTAGGCGGCACGGGCGGTGGGAGAGGAGCTAGTGCAGCGAGTTTGGCGGCTTCAACCGCCTGTATTGCGTTATGCGCCCGCAGGCTCTCTGCGGTCAGAGATCCCGAGCGGGAAGTATTCCTGCTCGTCGGTGCGGAGAGAGATGAACGGCGCTGCGGGATCACAGGCGGGCCATCGGTACTGCGTTCTGACTGGACCCGAGACGTGGCGGAATCGGACATCCGCCTCTGCCGGATGGTGGGCTGCTCGATTGTGCCGGGGATATTAGACCCAGCTGACTGGGACAAGGGAGCAGACTGCAAAGATACGCTCTTCCTCGTGTGACGGCTGCTTGCTGAGCGGAGGGAGGGGGCCTGAGCAGGCTTCACTGAGGATCGGCGCTCAGGGACCACGACGACAGGGATAGCGCCCTCGGATAAGATTCTCCTGCGTGACCTGGTGCTTGCTGTGGTGGTCGCGGTGGAGTTGAGGCTGTTGTGGTTATGCCTCGAGGATCCGTTGCTCTTGTTAATGATCCGGCTTGCAACTTCGCTTGCTCCGTTGGGCTGGCCATTAGTTACTGCTGGTGCAGTTGGGAGACCCGGAGGGGTAAAATCCCGCAGCCCATACTGTTTCTTAGTATGTCGTAGCGTTCTTCTCTGAGTTGGAGGCGAATTAACGACAACAACAGCCCCGATAGTAGTAGCATTCGACTTTCCTGACATCGACGAGAACCGTCGTACATCAGGTACTGGGGAGCTCTCTGCTCTCGCCTTCTCAGGCCACAGCTGCCGGTTTACCTCGCTCCCTCTTAGCGTATCTGCCGAGCTAACATCTTTAACCATGTCCGACGTGCCATTCCCCAGCCCAAACTCCTGCAAATGAATCGTCGCGTTTGTTGGCGCGACAGGGCGATCAACGCGCACTTCCTGCATAACAGGAATAACAGGACTCTCATCAAAACGATACGGTTTCCGCGCCGTGCGCCTCCGCACCGTCACATTCTTCATGAGATCATCGTCTCGGCGATACCTCTCCTTGCGTTCTACTCTGTCTGTCACATTCCAGTCGCCGTCAAAGCGGCGAAACTCTTCGTCCTCAAAGGAAAACTTTTGACGCAGCACCGGCGTCGGGGTTCGACGCCTATCTATATCCAAGTCTAGCCCCAACCCAACATACAGCGGCTCTGGATCCATGGGGGTGGACTCTCCCGGAGTGAATACAGAGCGAATCTCCTCCGAAGACTGGTTCTCTCGTGCTGTCCTGAACGATTCAGCGCGTGATGATGAATTCCTCTCACTGGGGGCCGGCCGCATCAACGACGCGCGTCTGGGATTTCGCGGGGGCGTGAAGTCAGGAGTAGGCGGACTGTGAACGTTTGGCGGAGTGTTCGGGGTGGACGAATCTGTCGCTGTGCCATTCGCCCTGAATGGCACGGCTGGGGTCTGAGTTTCGTCCGAGGGATTTCGCGAATGCGCCGGAGGAGTTGGCGGGAGGTCTGGCAGGCCTATTCGTTTTGATGCGTGCTTGAGGGTGCGTGGGCTGAGGTCGTAGGACGATGTTGATGGGGGAGAGACGTCGGAGTCAACGGACATGGTTTGGGTCGCCGTCGACGGGGGAGAGGAGTAGTAGGTCTCGGTGGATCGGTCGCGCTTGGGATGGGGCAGCGTCTTGTGTCGTTTCAGCGAGCCCGGGGTGAGCGCGTTCGCGGCTCCAGCTGAGGTCTCACGCTCGCGCGACGGCATCGTGGCATGTGGTGGAAGTGGCGGCTTGGTGAGGAGTATGCGACTGCTTGTACTATAACTTGGACGACGGCGCGTGCTTGCTGGGAATCATTCTATCATTCTCAAATGAGTGAGGTCTTCCTAAAGCGTCTTCATAAAGTCATTGTGAAGCCGTGTCTATCGTTCAACCGTGGTATTCTTGTTTGTCTGTATGTCTCTCTGTGCGTCGGTCTTGATGTAGAAGGTGAGACAAGCGCGCGCGGAGTGTCTTGGGGGGTGGTTGGGGTCGACGATCCAACGCCGCGAATTGTCAAAGGGATTTGATTAGTCAGCAGTTGCAAGATGGCCAATGCTGTAACTGGTGTACGATTTTAACTCGGTATAACAAAAGCCAGTCATAGAGTGGTTATATTGTATATAGTATGGTATATAGGAAGATTGTAAAATTATTGTATAATAAATCTATTGTTGCTTCAGCTCTTAAGACAGATGCAAGCACTAGACGTTTAAAGAGGTACATACAATACGCTTAACACTTTAAGGCTATACTATACTTAGCAACAAAGACGGGCCGGGCCCTCCGCAAACTTTTGGGCCCAAAGTAAACTAACTCTAGACCACGATCCATCGCAACGACAGCCAACCTCGCCCTACGCCAATCGACACAACAATCGCATCATATGTAGCCTAACCGGGCTCTCCGGCCAGCAACAATGAACCCGATGCCACGCCGAATCCTGCTGGGCGGCAGGCCGCTAATCCGCTACTTCACGCAACTCCCCCGATCCCGCCCCCAGCTCCCCTACCTCCACCACTCCTCCCCGCGTCCCCGCACCTTCTACGCACGCATCCTCACCAAGGAGCGCAAAGCATGGCTCAAGATGGAGCTGCGCTGGGGCATCTACGCCCTCTCCTCGGGCGTGCTGCTGTTCATCGCCGCATACGGCTTCGAGCAGGAGAAGATGGAACGCGAGTTCCCCAGCCCGCACGAATACACCTTCTGGTCGCGCAAACTGTACCGCGGTTGTCGGGTCCACGATTCGGAGAAACTCCGCGATGCAGGTGGTGTGAACTGGACGTTCAGCGGGGATAGATATATGCAGCTGCTGAAGCGGCTGGAGGACCCGGAGATCGATGGCGCGGGACTAGTACAGCAGGGCGAGGACGAGAGCCAGATCCTCATCCCCGGCGTGGGAAGGTCAGGATACGACATCACCGCCAAACCAGAGAACTGGCGTAGAGGCTACTACGAAGCCCTCCTGGGCGCAGCACGCGCAGCCGAATTCCTCGACTCCTGCGCCAAAGATAAAACCCGCGGCCTCGTCTTCCCCAAAGTCGCCATCGTCGGCCCCTCGAACCCAAACCCTCGTCCCCTCCAGCCCGGATGCCCCCCACCGCCGCACGAAGATGATTGTGAGCCGGCGTATTTACCGCCGGAGACTTTCTATATGCGTATCTTGACGACAACCGGCTTCACAGACACCCAGCGCCTCTACGCTGCGCTTGCCTACGGATCGTGGCTGGATTACAAGGGGACGCCTGAGGCGGCGGGAGAGATGTTCAAGTGGGGTCTTGATATCGCGAAGTCTAGCATCGCAGAGCCTGATTCGGTGGTGGATCCAGCGACGCACACAATCAAACCGACAGCCGTAGCGCCGTCACGGAATGTGCTCCGCGCCACAACAGCAATGGCGGAGCATAAGGCTAGGAATAAAGACCTCGCCGGTGCTCTACCAATTTTCCTATCTGTTCTCCGGGCGCGGCGCGCGCTGCCGGCTGCACCGCCAAAGCAGGTGGAAGATCGAGGGGGATTAGCTAAGCAGGCTGTCGATTTAGTCAAGTATGCGCTCATCCCGCCGGAATTCCCGCCTCCGCCACCGGATGGAAATCTAGCCCCTACTCGGGGATCGGAGGAGAAATGCGAGGAGGCGGCGCTGATGGCGTTTATTGGGGAGATTATGTATGCTTCCGCCTCTGATATAGCGGGGAAGGAGAGCGGGCTCGCGTGGACGAGGGAGAGTGTTGATGTTGCGGAAGAGGAGTTGAGAGGCGGGGTTAAGGAGGATAGGGTGTGCAGACAGTGTTTGCAGACGGGGTTGGATAATTGGAGTCAGATGGTTGGGAAGCTTGCTAAGGAGGAGAAGAGGAGGAAGAAGGAGGGGGGTGGTGTGGTGAAGAAGGGGTGGTTTGGACGAGGCCAGGAGGTGGTGGAGGAGGGGGTGGGGAGGTGGGAGGCGGAGGAGAGGTTGGTGATGATGAGGTTTAAGAGGGCGAGGGATGTGTTGGATGTGGAGAAGGTGGATTTGAGTAAGTTGTATATTTTTAGATGAGCAATGTATGAGTAAGTTGTTAAGCTCCTAGGGGTGCTTTCTTCAATCAGAAGTACTCTTGTTATTGATCAAGAGGATTAAATAAATATAATACCCAACCATTTCGTTATATTCATAAAAACATATCCAAGATGCACACTTAACACCAATCTAATAAAAACACCGAATATAAATCCAAATCCAAATCCCAGGTCCAAAAACTCCTAACCACCATCTCATGTACCCTTCCCACTTCTCCCACCCTTCTCAGACCAACCCCCAAATATACCCTTCACCACCTCCCCCGCGCTCTTCCTCCTCCCACCCTGCGCCCCCGACGAGACACTATGTTTATGAAACCTCGCCTTAACACCCTTCAACCCCCTCGCACCCTCCTCTTCATAGTCAAACACGCTCCTCTCAGCCAAGACCGGCGACGTAGGCAGTGGCACCGCACGAGCAAGAGGGCTAGGAGGAAGCAAGGGGCTCAAAGGACTCGTATTTGTAGAATAAGTAGATGGGTGAAGTGGCTGTATAGTTCCTTGTGGTGCAAACCCAGGCGGCGGCAGCGGGGGCGTCGCATGGTGCCTAAACGCCGGTGCCACGAGCTGCGGCGCACGGCGCGGCGCAGCGAAGTGGAGAGGTGGTCCAGCTTGGGGACGTTGGCGGGGGGACTTGGTGGTGTGGTTGGAGTTGCGCGATGAGGAGCGTGGAGGGATTGGTGGGGGTGGCATGGAGGAGATGTCGAATGCGAATTTGGAGGGGGAGTTGCACCTGTATAGAGGTGATAGCTCGGTGGGCGATGCACTGGGGGTGGCGGGGAAGTCGTAGGAGTTGTGCCAGGATGGGAGTCCTGAGGCGTCATAGTCGTCGTCTTCGTCTGAGGGGGAGTGGATTGACGGGTCGCTCAGACTCGATGTGTCGCTTGACGGGGTGACAAGGAAGAGTTGCTCCATTGGCGAGAGGGGCGACAGAGCGTGCAGATCGTACGCTGGGATAGTGCTATCGCTGGTCACAAGCTTGAAGTGCCGCGGCGACGACGGCGGCGTAGGAGGCATTGCTCTCTGGTGTGGGAATAGGCGGTAATATTGTTTCTTAGCAGAGCGAGAAGGGTGAGGAATTGGCGGAAGTGGAGAATCGAGGAAGTTGGGCCATTTATCCTCAAACTCGGGGAGGGCTGGGAGCGCGGGTGCGTCGACTATGCGAACAATCACGGGCGGGAAGGGTGCTGCGCACAACCGGCACGGGGACATGTCGGTCATTCTAGGCCGAAGGGACAGGACTCAGGCAGAGAATGTTGTGGCTCGGGACCGTGACGCGGATGTTTCTCAGACAGATCAATAGATAGATAGATAGGTAGATAGATGTGTGTATGAGACTTTAAGGAGAATGTGTGAAGATAAAGAATGAAACGAAAGAAACGAAAGAAACGAAACAAGGGAAAATGGAGGGTAAGATATATTCCATATACTGAGACAGTAAGAGGAACTCACACTCAGGGTCTAATGCGCGCGGCTAGGCATACGATCAGATCTCAAATGTGGAATATGCCAACATGCATACCACATATCCCATTTCAGCGAGTTGGCCGAGAGATCGCCAGACCGCAGGCGACGAGAAGGGCGGGAAGAAGATGAAAAAGGAAACGCTTTATTCGAGAAGGATGATGATGGTGGGGTGTTGCCACGGCGCTGGGTATGTTGTGATATGAGAAGAGAGAAGTGACGGGGCGGATGTATGGTACACATACTGATAGGCGGCGGGATATGCAGTGTTTTGGATTCGGATGGGTGTGTTGACGTGCGGCTGGCCCGTCGGTGGTCCGAGATGTTACCAGCCCTATTGCCCGCTTCTTGGTCAGATCGATCGTCGGTCAATAAGGCTACTAGTGGCTGGCAGTTGTCCACTTTATACAGTATCTGTCTGTTTGTATCATCTTTATCATCTGTATCATCTACAGTGAATATCTGTGATCTGTGGTTCAACGTTTCATCCCCGTGTTGTTTCACTGTAAGGCGAGGGACGGCCAGGAGAGACAGGACGGAAGGCTGTCCCTTCCCTCGACGCCCGACCCATCGTGAGACTCATCTCATCTCTAACAGTGGCGTCTGTTTGCATCTCAATAAACCTCCAAACAAAGCGACACGTAAGCATACCTTTCATTCCTCCCAGCTCCGCGGCCCTGGCGCACAACAACGGGCCATTTCCAGGCAGTCGTCCGATCCCTTTGTTTGCGAAGCCACCACGATCGAGAATAGATTCGATTCTCTATAGCATATTTCATGTGTAAGCACAATGTAACAGTACATGATGACTCGGACACCTACAGATTGATCGATGAGATCGGACGGGTTGGGTTGGGGGGAGTCGGCAGTCGGATGCAGAAGGGATGTTCCCCCGATCCCTTGCTTCCCGCCCTTCCTGCCGCTGTCCGCCTGATGTGGGACAGACGCGCAGTGACTGGACGGCTGCTGGTATTTTGGCGCGCTGGGTGCGTCAGGCTGGACTAAAGAGGAAATGACAGCCGTATGACAGATCGTTGGGGAGTAAGGTGGAGTAAGGTGCGGTTTGTTGCTGCAGTAGTGGGAAATCACAAGGCTGCGCTTAGAGGCTGTTGGAGAAGTAGGACATCTGTACTGGAAAATATACTGCAAATCATACATATTCTGCTAATTTCTATTGACAAACGGACCTAGAACTTCCCGTGTCCATTCCACGATGCCGACCGCTCTTCCCGGCTGTTCTTCCCGGCTGCTCTTCCCGACTGCTCTTCCCGACTTTTTAAGACGGACACTCGAAGACTGGGGGACCAGGCAGAACATAGTCTTTTGGAGCCTGTGTGTTTGAATCCCACTTGACATTCGCAAACGTATAACCCCCTGGGAAGGCAATCAGACCAGTCGATGGCACCACCGTCCCGCTCCCCTCCACCTTGACCTGCGCACAGCTGGGGTAAAACTGGCACTTGTTTATCTTCGCGCACCCTGAAAGAGCAATAATCTCATGTCGAATCAGGTACTCGCCTGGCGCGAGACACTCGGGGACCTTGCTGTACCACTTGTTGTCCTGATCGAAGAGAGTCTGCGTCGCCCACGACGTGCCATAAGCCGCCTCATCGATCTTGAACCAGACGGCCCCTTCATTCCCAGTGAAATGTCCGCAGTCGGGCTCGCACTTGGCCATATACGTCAAGATTGGCCCGGAGTGCGGGAAGTCAGCGTCCCAGTCAAATGTGATGTTTGTTCCTGCTTGGACAGCCCCGACGCGAGAAACGTCGCCGTCGAGGATTGGGACGGCGTTGAAGTTGCATGCCATTTCGGCGCCGGTCAGAAGCTCGACCGGCCCATCGCTGCCAACCCGTCGCACGATGCTGGGGGCATCGGCTGTGAAATCCGGAGTTTTGGTGGGGAGGTAGCCGGTGTAGGTCTGAGTGCCCAGTACGTGGTAGTGAACATGACTGTGAGGAGGTCAGTAATGTATTCGAAACAGGACGTTGGGGAGACAAACCCGTGAGCTGAGGCTGTTGCTGCCAACCCCACCAGTGATAACAACGTAGAAGAACGCATTATTGGGATATTCAAGCTGGAGAAGTGTGATTCTTAGCAAGTACTTCCTTTCGACGGCGGGGAAACATCTTTATAAACACTCCAGAGTGATGTTTTATCATATGTATAGCTTCGGAATAATTGAGGTTGAAGATCTACACTCAGGGTAATTAACTTAAATGAAAACACTCTAAAGTTTCAAGAATCGCCGTGAATGGTGGATCGTATATCCCCGCCAACTCTATCGACCGGCAGAATCCTCCGGAGGTGTTTCTGTTTCTTGTGGAAACCTTTGTCGGGCATATGGCAGGCATTTGACTGTTGCAGCTATTCTTGTCTGTGTCGACGCGCGGACTGTTCTCAGGGTGATACCTACCATGGCTGATGGTGATGCTAGCGATCGCTTGGCGCAAGTTGCGAATATGGTATAGTAACACGCGCGGAAGTGAGCGACTATAGACGCTCACGCTGAAGGGACTAAGCCCCATTATATCCACGCCGAAGAGAGTGGTGCCCGTTATTTGACGCCGGGATGATGGCGAGGGTGCCATCGCCATGCTTTAGACTAGTACAGGGGAGTGATCCTCGTCGCTAACGCTAACGCTGTTGCCGCCGTCCCAAGACACGATCACAGAGCAGCGATCGTCATGACCAGAGGCTAGAATAAGCGGAGTGTGCTATTAGGAACCAGAGTGTACCATCTCATATGTAATTATATAAGTATTTTTACATAGGATATTGTATGTAAAGTGACTTAAGACAAGTGAAAGGTAAAAATGTTGTAGAATTCTTATAAAACATTTGTTAGCAAACTATTCAAAATGAGGACGACATTTCCACTTCAAACAGTTAATGCACATATTAACAGGTTTCTCCTGATTATATCATCTTTGTTTTAAAATTAACTTGCAGCTTAATGCTATAGTGTTAGTGATTCAATATCAATAATAGCTTCTAGAAATTCATAGAAACTAGGCAGAAGTATATAACAAGAGGCTAAACTTTGGAGGCGGGTGGGAAAAGCTAAGTAGATAATGATCAAAATGTAAATAGCGCTATAAGCCCATAAAGATCTTCTACCTACCAAAGCTCCTCGCTTGAGTAAAAGCTGTTCCACTACCTCATACCCCTTGTCTGCCGCCTAGGATAGCGGCGTCCAGCCATTGCTATCCTTTGCATCTACCTTAGCGCGAGCTATTCTTTACATCTACTTAGCGCCCTTTTTCGAGCAGCAGCTTGACTATAGCCTCGTGCCCGTTCTCTACAGCCCACGAGAGCGGTTTCCGGCCATCCCCGTCCTTCGAGTCGACCTCAGCCTTCTGCTCGAGCAGCAGCTTGACTATAGCCTCGTGCCCGTTCCCTGCAGCCCACGAGAGCGGTGTCCGACCATTACTGTCCTTCGAGTCGACCTCAGCCTTCTGCTCGAGCAGCAGCTTGACTATAGCCTCGTGCCCGTTCCCTGCAGCCCACGAGAGCGGTGTCCGACCATTACTGTCCTTCGAGTCGACCTCAGCCTTCTGCTCGAGCAGCAGCTTGACTATAGCCTCGTGCCCGTTCCCTGCAGCCCACGAGAGCGGTGTCCGACCCCAATGTGTGTCCTTCGAGTCGACCTCAGCCTTCTGCTCGAGCAGCAGCTTGACTATAGCCTCGTGCCCGTTCTCTGCAGCCCACGAGAGTGGCGTCCGGCTGTGCTCGTCCTTAGAGTTGGCTGAGATATTAATATTCTTACTCAGTTGCAATAGCAGCCTTTCTGACAAGTACAACAATCCAAATCTTGCAGTCAAATGCAGGCCTGTTGTTCGTTTGGGAAATCTTTGACTATAACCCCTCGGACTATAACCCCTCCGAATTTTTTTCCATTCGTTACCTGGGGCTGACATGGTCTGCACAGCACAGGAAACCAAATCGTCATCCATTAAGAAAATGCGCGCCTCATCAAGCACCCGGTCTTGAACTGACTCTGCATGCTCACCCCAGTGTCGAGAAGCATAATCCAAGAGAACATTCTGTTCAAGTCTGCTCTCGAATTCCTTGTCACTAGGACAGCTGCCGCTCTTAAAGGGATAGAACGAGAGGTAAGTGAAGCAGGTGCTAGCAATGACTGTGTCAGGTTCTGTTGGGAATATACTCTTAGATGCGCTCTGGAGATATTCATTAATGGTTAAGTGTGCGAATGCCACAGTTCCACTATCAGAATTAACAAGTACGAGGCCGCCACAAAAATCAACTATATCGTTCTTTTTGAGTGTAAAGTCTTCGAAGTCCTCACGATATTCACGTGGCTTAATTCCTGCAGCGAGTTGCATCTCTCGCACAGACAATGGCCTTTTGGCACAGAGAGTCCAGGCTAATATACGCAATGCCTTGTCCGAATGATGTTTCTGATTTTTGATTCGTTTAATGGCCTGACCATAAAACTCGCTTTCTTCCATTGGAAGGGTCTCGAGAGCTTCTTGCACTTCTCCCTTTGTTGTAAACTCGCTAATGGTGTCCATTTGTAAACGCGCTAGATTAAAGCTATACGTATGGATTAGCAAGATTTACCGTTCAAATGCAAAGGATCTATACATTTCAGAATACTTTTCCACCACTGCTTGAATAATTTTTCTTCTAGGGATTGATTCTCTTTAAGAAGATGACGAAGGTTAGGACTCCCGTACTTCATATCATATATTCTCCACTGGATGTACGACTTGATATCTTGACTAGCTGGACTGATTGCAAGCATAGCGAAGTCGGGAGCTTGTTCAAATAGCGCTTCAATTGCAGGCATCTCTCGAGAAGTTACCAACATCTGAACCCCTAACGTTAATAGTGATTTTATTAACCATACGCGGTTAACACGTTTTGAGTCTTTGTCCGCACACTCGTCTAGCGCATCGAGAATCAAAATAGTTTTCTGCATACTTCTAATCACCTTGGACAGGAGCATAAAGTAGTCGTCCGGGCCTGGTGATCCAGAGTTGTGTTCCTCGCGAAATTCAATAGCATCCTCCATTATGCTCTTTCCTATCTCAGGGGTTACTGAAGCAATCAGTTGCTTCGTAAGACTCGCAATCACTTGACCCATGCTGTTAGCATTCTGGTCATTGTAGTTGAAGTACATCCAAGCAATCCCTACTGACTCGTTTTCTGTATTGCTTGAGCCATATACAGTCCGGCAGTGATCAATGATAACGGACCTAAGCTATATATTAGCAAGGCAACAAGACATAAAGGGTGAGTTCTTACGCCAGAAAGGTCTTCCCAGCACCAGCTACATGGAACTTTAGCTCTGTTAAGGTTGATTTAAAGAAAGTGCTTACGCTTTCCAGGACACCACAGCGTCTTAAGATCTCCATTCATCCATTTCTGAAATGTCTCATTCTTGATTATCCACTCCCCTGAATGCTCCAAGCGACGGTTCCGTATATCATGATGCATCTTACCTGCGGGTATTTTAGATAAGAAGTCTAAGGTTTTTTTACATTCATCTTTCCACTTCCGTTCCTTCTCGTCAAAGAGAAGCTCCTGTTGAATAGCTCGGTCAAGGGCCTCCATTGCTGTGGTTAGCGCTTGTTGCGAATCCGCAAAATCATCTCCTCTGACTGCCTTGGCTATGTTGACGACGAAACTGGTCCGCAGGGAAGCAAGGCTAATTCGCAAGGTTCCCATGATTCCTGCAAGAAGATTCGTGGACACTTCTAGCATATTATCAGAGACCTGGATGTATCCGAGCCGATTGATATTTTGGAAGAAAGACTGGTATGTGTCTAATTTGTTCAAGCAATCAATAACCCCGTTGGAGCGAGTTTGTTGTTTAGCTGCTTGCTGTTGCAATTGTATTCAGCTGTCTGTAAATATAGCAAATAACTATTAGAGGTTTGTAAGACTTACGTTGACAATCACATTCAGCGTGTTTGCTGCTAGCTTCAATGGTACAACTCCCGCTGCCTAGTTTGAATGATCAGTTAACAAACCACGCCCTCCACGAGTAGAGGATAGCTAAGACAGCCACAACTCACATCTGCCCCAAATGATACAATACCCAACACAATGTTTGTAATAGGATATAGCTTTTCCATGAATCCTATCACCTTCCCTCCTACAGTAGATTCTCCTATTTTGTGATCGGATAGTGCTTGCGCGACCACCTTTCCAAAATCTGTGGCGACTTGGGTCGGTAATGACCCAGAGGAAGTAATATCTTCGTCCTTGACGAGAATGGGGCCAGGAAATGTCTTTTCATAATTCACAAGCTCAGCCTGGAGCTCTTCTGTGACCCTTTGGAGTTCCTCTTGGGCTTTGATGACCCTGGGATTCTTATGGGGAGTCTTGATTAATGGCGAAAGTTTAATTCGATCTGTGATGTTTCTGGTTACCATCAAGCTTTTATGGGGACAGAAAGGTTTACGTATTGTCAAAACTAATGTTGGACACAATACAGAAATTTGTAACCGTACCAATTCGCTGCTGAGAGACAGGAGTTGACTGCTGCACAGTTGCAATTTGAGAGGTAGAAGAAAGGCTGGACGAGACGGGGATTAAAGCTGCCTTTGTAGGGATCAAAGTGGTATCAGAAGTTATACTGGTTAAGGGTATAGCGGAGGTCAATTTATTCGAAGCAAGCTGTTTATGAGATGCTAAAGCTGGAGCCAACGGGGTTGACGTTTGTTGCCCAATCGAAGTGGAAGTTGGTGCATTTGGCGATGGAAAGGTTTCGGTTTTTTTGGATCGGCGTAGTATGTTATAAAGACGGTCTCGCTTGCTGTCGGAGAGCCTGTTTGGTGCCGGAGTAGTCATACTGCCATAAGTCTGTAGTCCCGATCGTCCCGTCGTCGTCGTCGTCGTCGTCGCTTTTGTTGTTCTTACAGTTGTGGGGCCGTCAGTGTTTGACACGATCGCATCGAGATGCTCGATAAGATGATAAACTGTAACAGCGAGCGATAAGTATCAGAATAGATGTGCGCCAGTCTATGAGACCAAGGACAAGAGCAATGGAGCTGGTTGTAATATTGATGATGATGTTGGGTGATGGCTAGTTTTGGCTGTCGTGGCCCCGCAGTGATCAAGGCATGCATGCAGGTCGGACGAGTTGGCAGCAGTATGCATGAACGCGTTGCGACGTGAACCACAAATAGTTGTCCTGGCGCTTAATATGGGATGTAAGAGTATTGAAATTAGGAAAAGCGAGCTGCGTAAAACAACAACGAAAGCTGCCCTTTTTAGCAGCCTCCTATCCGTCTCAGCATTAAAAAACGAAGTACAAACATCGACAGCGTCGATTCTCAACATTGACGTGCAAGATTAACATGAAACATCAACTCTGGTCTAGTAAGAGCAGGTTTACATGAGAAAAAGAAAGTAAAAATAGATTGTCTTATAAGTTTCTAAGACTAAAATAAGGGTTCTAACTAGAAACTTCAAGTCGAATGGGCTATGACTTGCCTTCTTTCTTAGGAGCGTAGTGTAATAGCTTAAGTGCTCTACTTTTTAGAGGATAGGGACTACCTACAGGGATGGTCTCGATCATCCCCTCACTAGATGACCCACTGGATGATCCACTGGATGATCCATCGGATGGTCCCGATTATCCCTTACAGATGGTCTACTAGATGGTCCCGATTACCCTTCCCCAGATGTCCGCGGAGTGTTTGCTGAACCCATCTTCTCCTGGACTTATCCTTGCAACCCATAAACGTTTTAGCGAGGTAACGGGATGAAACGGATTATACCCTCTAGACATGTGGGCATCATGATATTTCTCGTCTCTCTCGCTCCCAAGGGAGTGAGAGTGAGGTCTTTGCTATGTACGGAGTAGGTAGAACATGGAGGCATAGCTATTCAATTTTGCCATGATCATAAATTATATTGATAAGACGTTAAATGCTCCTTCTACAAGGAGCCTACTATTACTATACATATGCGTGCCCTGAGTACAGTGGCGTACTTAGGCGTCCGCGGTTGTGAGGGACGCTGTCCAGCGTGTTCGGCGTGCTGAGTGCTGTCTAGCGTGGCCGTGACAGCGGGTGTTGTAATAGTCACGTGACGTCACGTGATCACTGTACGGAATATCAGTAAATCCTAGGGGTAAATTACATAGGCAGTAATACATCAATTCTTACTCAATAGCGGGAGACTGGCCCTTATCACCTGACTTTCCTGATTTCCCTCCCACCTAACTGATCACGTGTCCACCCCGCAATCTCTGCACAAAAGTCGAAACGCCACCGCCGTATCCTCCCCCTACCAAAACCACAAACCGCCACTTTTTCTACGTCACACCCCCACCACGGATAAACCTCTCCGATATTCGGGGCGGGGTATTGGTCCTTTGCCTTGCCCAAGGGGAATTTTGCCTTAACTTTGCCTTACCAAGTAAACTTGGGTGACTCGATTTTCATTGACTCACATTCTGATTCGTCCAGCTTTAGTAAGCAGCTATTCCCATCACCACACTGTTCCGTTACACTCACCCTCTCCACTGAAAGTCAATTCCACTCACAATCACAAAAATCCATATACACAATGTGCAACGAACCAAGTACAAACGGCCAGAATGGCGTCGCCAACGGCGTCTCCAACGGTAACGGCGCCGATAAGAAGCCTAGATCCGTCCCATACAAGGCCATTGGCGACTACCTATCAAATACTGGCCGCTTCAAGATTATCGAGAGCACGCTTCGTGAGGGTGAACAATTTGCCTCGGCGTTTTTCGACACTGGTAACTCCTGCCACCCCAAAAGTTGCACAAACCTCTGCTAACGACCGTCAAGCAACCAAGGTCAAGATGTACGTTATTTAATTCTCGAAATTTCATTCGAATATCATACTAATCCGACCTTTTAGCGCAACGGCTCTCTCAGACTTCGGCGTGGATTACATTGAGTTGACTTCGCCGGCGGCGTCTCCTCAATCCAAGGCTGATTGTGAGACAATCTGCAAGCTTGGTCTCAAGGTGCGTTTGTTAAACCCCTACAATTTACATTTTATGGTTTTCATAACTGACTCATCCAGGCCAAAATTCTCACTCGTTAGTCCTCGAATACCCAACCCCACGCGACCCAAAACTAATTTATATACAGACGTGAGATGCACAATGGAGGATGCTAGGTTGGCGGTGGAGACCGGTGTGGATGGTGTCGACGTTGTTATCGGAACCTCTTCCTTCCTCCGCGAGTTCTCCCACGGCAAGGACATGGCATACATCACCAAGTCCGCCATCGAGGTCATCGAGTTCGTCAAGAGCAAGGGCCTCGAGATCCGCTTCTCCTCCGAGGACTCCTTCCGCTCCGACTTTGTCGACCTTCTCGCCCTTTACAAGGCCGTCGACGAGGCTGGTGTCGACCGTGTTGGTATCGCCGACACCGTCGGCTGCGCTTCCCCACGTACCGTCTACGAGCTGATCCGCACCCTGCGTGGAGTCATCAGCCAGAAGACCGATATCGAGACACATTTCCACAACGACACCGGCTGCGCTATTGCCAACGCCTTTGTCGCCTTAGAAGCCGGAGCAACACGTGAGTCATACTAAATTTTCCAGCCCCCAAAAAGCGGTTTAGCTAACGTACGCAGACGTCGACACATCCGTACTGGGTATCGGTGAGCGCAACGGTATCACCCCGCTCGGTGGTTTCCTCGCCCGCATGATCGTCGAGGACCGCGACTACGTGCTGTCCAAGTACAAGCTGCAGAAGCTCAAGGAGATCGAGGACATGGTTGCCGAGGCAGTCGAGGTCAACGTCCCCTTCAACAACTACGTGACTGGCTTCTGTTCATTTACGGCAAGTTTTAAACCCCACTCCCCAGATGCAGATGACACATGCTAACTCCCTCCGCAGCACAAGGCCGGCATCCACGCCAAGGCTATCCTCAACAACCCCTCCACATACGAGATCCTCAACCCGGCGGATTTCGGAATGACCCGCTATGTCCACTTCGCGTCGAGAATCACGGGATGGAACGCCATCAAGAGCCGTGTCGAGCAATTGGGCTTGAAGATGACTGATGAGCAAGTTAAGGCTCTGTAAGAATACCCCACCCGCCCTCAAACCTCGCCGCCCACTAACACTTTCTTCTAGTACGGCCAAGATCAAGGAGCTGGCGGATATCCGTCCTCTCGCGATTGACGATACCGACGCGATAATTAGGTCGTTCCACCTGGACCTGGCCGATAAATAGAGGGTGTGATGTGATATTGTTGCGATTTACCATTAGCATTGGGTACGGCATCAAAAAAATCAAAAGAGGCAGGGCTGAACACCCTTCGGATCAAAACAAAGATTATCGTAAAAAGTTATTTCTGCTTTACTTTAGAGATAAAGATATAGCCCCTACAAAACAAATACCATTTCCAACGTGAAATGGGTGGAATTATAAAGTCCGCCTTAAAACCTTTCTATACAACCAAAAATCCTATTGATGCAAAAAGTCCCCCATTGTCAAACCTTGTCTATCCTAACTAAAGCTTCGACTTAACCCTGTTCTGCGGGCTGACCAACGGGTCGTATGAAGACACACTCAGCGTATCCCACGGCACAGACGTAGCATGCGAGTTCAGCGCGCGCGAATCAATCAGCGACGGGTTGAGCTGATCAATGCTACTGCACCCAATGAGTCTCATATTCATCTCCATCTCATCCTTCAGCAACTGCATCGCCTTATCCACGCCGGCCAACCCATACGCCGACATAGCGAACAAGAACGGCCTCCCGATTCCCACGCCCTTAGCACCCATGCACATAGCCTTGATGATATCCGTCGCGCGACGCACGCCGCCATCAATGTAAATCTCAATCTTATCTTGGAGACCGCGGTCGCGCAGAATCGGCATAACCTCCGCCAGGACCTCGATTCCCGATCTCGCGAAATCGAGTTGGCGACCCCCATGGTTCGAGAGGACGACACCCTGGACGCCAACCTCGACGGCTTGGAGCACGTCCTCGACGCACTGCACGCCCTTGAGGATGATGGGCATCTTGGTCACGCTCTGGAACCAGGGGATATCCTTCCAGCTGAGGGAGGGATCGATGAACGACGAGATGGCGCGGGCGGCACCCTGCGAGTTATCCGTCACCGCGCCGCTGGAGGACTGCACGTTGGAGCCCTGCTCGGTGAACTTGCTGCGCATGTCCTTCTCTCTGCGGCCGAGTTGCGGGGCGTCGACGGTGATGAAGAGGCCCTTGCAGCCGCGGGCCTCGGCGTGCTGGATGATCTTCTTGGTGATTGCACGGTCCTTGTTGACGTAGAGTTGGAGCCATTGGACTTGGTCGCCCTCGGCGGCGTCGACGATTTGGTCGAAGGAGCAGGAGGCTAGGGTGGGGATCATCTGGATGACGTTGTGCTTTTTGGCGGCTTTGGTGAAGATTACTTCGCCCTCTGGGTGGCCTAGTTTGCCGAGCGCGGTGGCGGTCACGTAGAAGGGGATGTCGACTTTGGTGCCGAGCATGGTGGTGGAGAAATCGACTTTCTCGACGTCGACGAGGATGCGGGGCCTGAACCAGATTTTGTGGAAGGCGGAGTGGTTCTCGCGCATTGTCTGAAAGGTTAGCGATCATCTTGAGAGGGAGGTGAAGACATACAATCTCATCATCTGCACCACTGGAGTAGTATGCCCAGGCAGTCTTCTTCATGACTCGGCTGGCAACGGACTCAAAGTCCATCATGTTGTAGCATTGCTCTAGGCTGGGCATGTGTGCTATCCTGTCCTGTCTTGCCACCTCATCGGGGTCAATCTCTTGTGCTACTTCTGCTACGGTAGCCATGTCCACTGGGCCTAGGTGCTTCGACTTGTCGAGGTATTTGTCCAGGGTGTCCGGAGGGTGGATTGGCTCGTACGTCTCGGTGGCATCTTTTCCCTGTTGGAATTAATACTTGCCATGTGCATGCTTTGAGGGGCAATAACATACCGCATACTTGAGGATAATGCCCATTCCACCAGGGTGCTCTGCTTTCATTAGTTCACCGATCATGTCGGCTTAGGAAATGGCTCACCAGGTGCGAATTCGGTCACATCGTATGCCTGTGTCAGGTCAGTATGTAATAATCTTTCGAGAAAATGTATCCTACCTTTCCATGGATAATAACCCATAATGAATCCTTCGAATTGTGCTTCGCAACTTCCTCACCAGTGAGAGCCATGATTTCAAGGTGTTGGAGTAAAGTTTCTTTGGGGGCGGGTCCAATATATCTCCAAAGGACTATCTTAATCCAAGCTTTCGGTAGTTGATCCCCCGAGCTTTACGGAGTGCAATGTTCGGCGAAAAAGGGTGACAATTATTAATTACGAGCTCAGATGCAATTATATAGACGACAACAGATAAGAAAGAAGCAAGAAACAAGCCAAGACGGATTTATACGGATTGGAAATCCCCGGTCGCGGACAGGCTCCGCAATGGGGCGAGGATAGAATCTGGGGATTCCCCCGCATGTGCCCTGGATTTACCGCGGTGGAATAGCCGGCGGATTAACGTTGATGCGGCCCGGGCATGTGCTAGCTTTACGGGTAAATGGCGTTCAGGATCCCTACCAAATCAATGACGATGAGACGTGAATTCAAGGACAAGGCTGTGATTTACAGAATCTGTGCTTCTAGCTGGAATAACTAGACCATGTGCTCTATATATTTATTCGATGCACGAGGGGCTACTACCATAGGGGATATCACATCTCATACAATTTGATACGTTCAAAGCAACAATAGGCCGGCCAATTCAGAAGCTGCTCTGTTCTAAATCTAGCAGCACAGGAACCCTGTCTGCTCGTAGTAAAGAAGAAGATAGTAAAAATATCGCTCAGAATTAGGGATAACTGTATATAGTAATAAAAACGAATTCTTACACGCAAATGGGGCTGTTATACCGTAGTAGGTAAGAACTATAATACCTATTAGAGTAGGTAGGCAATTATGATGCCAAGCCTACCAGGGGTCTTCTTTCCTATTAAGGCAAATATTATGGGGCTGCTCCAAAATGTAGCACTGTTACAGCAAATCTGAATTGCCATATTGGGGCAATTATGCAGCTTGAACAGGGCAACGGTATATCAGAGTCTTATGCATTACTGATAGCTATAGCGCAGCTGATAGACAACCAGTAGGTAGGTATTAATAGGGAATGAAACGCCAAATGAGATCCAAGCCAACCCCTCGTATTTACATCAATACACAGCACGAGTTCTGTTGCTTCGCCTTGGCTAGAGATTGATTGTTAGAGACGGCCCGGCAAGAATTCCGGGGCGCAACTTACTATAGAACATCCTGCTCGTGTCGCTCAAACCCTGGCTCTTCGCTACCAAATCATCTATCTTCTCGCCACGCTCCAGCACGCTCTCGATCGTCTTGTGCAGAATGACCTTTGTCTCATCCAGCTCCTTCTGGATCTTCATGATGTTATCCGCCTGTTGAGGATCTTGGTACTTCGCCAGGTATGATGTTAAGTCCGGGAATTCAAGTGTGGGGTTCGAGTTGGACCAGGTCGACCGCGGGTACTTGGCAGTAAATTCGTCGAGGACCTTGTTGAGCAGCGACTGTGCAACTAATAGCGGATATTCGTGGTCTGACATGATTATGCCCACAATCCCGGTGTTGTGCCCAAGACTGTGGAACTTGTATGGCCCTGGTCTCCGTTAGATTAACCTCAGACTGCTTTCTCTGTCGCCCTACCTTCGTAGATCTCCTGGCGTTTTCCAGGCGCAGCATCTTTACTTTCGGCGACTGTCTTGCTGAAGAAAGTCATGAACTCGCTCACCCTAAATCATAGTTAGCTCGACCTCCGTGCAGTTGTTGGAGGGGTTCCTTACGTCGACCTCTCCCAGAAGCTAAAGGAACTGGTATCTTTTGCGGAAACCAACTCATGCGCTGGCTTCTCGGCATTCTTAAAGATTCCAATGTAAAATAGCTTCATCTTGGTGGTGTAGAGTGGGTGGTTATGTTTGGAGAAGCGATGCTGTAGGCGCAAACAATGAGGGCCTGTGGCCTGTGACGTTTCGACCCTGACCGCCCCGCGGCAAGATCCGAGGCATCAACTTTCTGAGTCAGGTCACATGATCAAGAATTCAACAAGACAAAGATTTGAATCTTGAACTTACTTACAGCATTTACATTTTGATACAGAAATTTAGCGGAGCGTCTATAGAGGTTATCAAAAGTCCCTTCTTGTTGTGTCGGGCGTATTCCGGTGCATGTGCGTTGGCTACGACTTCAAGCTCCAAACGTCAAACATACCCCACCATAGACATCGGTGTACACATATACGACATGGCTACAGCAAAGCTGGCGGAGTCGCAATGGATAGCGCAGCTATCGACTATGAGAGCGGCTTTGGCGGATCTTAAACTGCCAACTTCTAATCAGCCCTACAGCCTAGACTATGAAGAGCTCTCAGACTCCCTCAACAGCGGAGATGATGTGTGGGACTTCATCGACGACACAGAGGCAGACGAGTACAGCAGCGGCTTTGAAGAGGACGCGCTGCCGCCTGCCGTCGAAGACGGAGTTTATGGACCAGAATGGATCCAGGCCAAATGTTCGGCCTTTGCGGCAAGTAAAGGTGGACTCAGTGCAGAAACTCTGCAAGAGCAGATCGTCTCGTTGCTTGTCTCAGATATATCCGACGAAGAGCTGCAGTCAGCACTGACGGATGTTATTGGATATGACGATTTTGATTTCCTTATCGAGTTAATCTCGCATCGCAAAGAGATAGCAGCTGCCCCTCGAGTTGCTGACCAAACAGACGGGCTACTCAGTGGGAGGCTGCTTACGAGAAAGGAGAGAGACGCACAGCTGCGGAGAAATGACTACGAGCACAAGCATGCTACTCTCGGTCCCAAACTGGACAGAGATGGGCCGCAATATCCTCACGTTTACAAGGCTCACTCTGCTGGAAATACCCTGAGCTCGTCCGGCCACAAGTATGGGTTGCCCATGGGAAGTGAGAGGACGGAGCATGAGCGATATGAAGAGTTCTCCATCCCAGCCGGAAAGGTCGGGACGCTGGGACTTGGCCGGAAGCTGGTTCAGATCTCAGAAATGGACCAGCTGTGCAAGGGAACGTTTAAGGGATACAAAACGCTCAATAGGATGCAAAGTCTGGTGTATCCCGTTGCATACAAGACAAACGAGAACATGCTTATATGCGCGCCCACCGGTGCTGGTAAGACCGACGCAGCCATGCTCACCATATTACATGCAATCGGCCAGAACACCACGCCCAATCCAGCAGAGTCCCCAGATGCACAAGATTTTACCGTCGCCACGGCGGACTTCAAAATCGTGTACGTCGCCCCAATGAAGGCTTTGGCAGCGGAAATTACCCAGAAACTCGGCTCGCGCCTTGCATGGTTGGGAATTCAAGTCAGGGAATTTACGGGTGATATGCACTTGACGAAGCAGGAGATCGTCCATACCCAAATCATTGTCACCACACCTGAAAAGTGGGATGTCGTGACAAGGAAAGGCTCGGGCGATACTGAGCTAGTCCAAAAGGTACGCCTGTTGATTATTGATGAAGTTCATATGCTGCACGACGAACGTGGAGCTGTTATCGAATCTCTTGTGGCACGTACGGCGCGACAGGTGGAAAGCACACAGTCACTTATTCGGATGGTTGGTCTTTCTGCAACGCTACCCAACTATGTTGACGTAGCGGACTTTCTCAAAGTCAATCGATATGCTGGCCTCTTTTATTTTGATGCCTCCTTTCGTCCAGTCCCCCTAGAGCAGCATTTCATTGGTGTCAAGGGCAAGGCCGGAACAAAAAAGTCTCGAGATAACATTGACGAGACCTGCTTTGAAAAGGTCAAGGATATGTTGGAACTCGGCCATCAGGTCATGGTTTTCGTCCACACTCGAAAAGATACATTCAACACATCAAAGATGCTCTTCGAAAAGGCCACCGATGATGGCTGTGCGGATCTTTTTGATCCCAGAGAGCATCCTCAGTATGAAGCTGCCACGAGGGAAATGAAAACTTCGAAGGGGAGGGAACTGAGAGAGCTTCTCCCCAAAGGCATGGGAATCCATCATGCTGGTATGCAGAGATCAGATCGTAACCTTACTGAGCGGCTGTTCTCACAGGGAGTCATGAAAGTGCTCTGCTGTACGGCTACGCTTGCGTGGGGTGTTAATCTTCCAGCCGCTGCAGTAGTCATCAAGGGAACCCAGATCTACAGCGCCCAAGAGGGCAAATTTGTAGACTTGGGAATTCTGGACGTTCTCCAAATCTTTGGTCGTGCAGGACGACCGCAATTTCAAGACACGGGTATCGGTATGATCTGTACCAGCCATGACAAGTTACATCACTATCTGAGTGCTGTTACTCAGCAACAACCCATCGAATCCAGGTTCAGTGCCAAGATGGTCGACAATCTAAATGCCGAAATCGCCCTGGGGACGGTGACGTCGGTTCCAGAAGCCGTGCAGTGGTTGGGATACTCGTATCTCTTCCAGCGCATGAAGATAGCCCCAATGACCTATGGTATAGACTGGGCTGAGATCAGAGATGATCCGACGTTGGTTCAACGCAGGCGTCAGCTCATTATCAACGCAGCTCGGACTCTCCACCAGAGCCAGATGATTATCTTCAATGAGGTAACCGAGGAACTGAAGAGTAAGGATGTCGGACGCATTGCGAGCGAGTTCTACCTTTTACATACCAGTGTTCAGATCTTCAACACGATGATGGCGCCCCTTGCATCCGAGGCCGATGTTTTGAAGATGATTAGTATGTGCGGCGAATTTGATAACATTCAGTCTCGTGACAGTGAGTCCGATGAACTGGTGCGACTACGAGACGAGTTTGCCCCTTGCGATGTTGGAGGTGGCATCGATTCTCCGCAGACCAAGACTAACATTCTCCTTCAATCCCATGTCTCACGCGCGCGGATTGAAGATTTCGCCTTGTCCAGCGACACATTCTACATTGCACAGCAGGCGGCGCGAGTGTGCAAAGCCTTGTTCAAAATCGCCTTGAATAGGAAATGGGGTTACCAGTGTCTAGTTATACTCTCTCTATGCAAGTCTATAGACAAACGGATCTGGCCATTCCAGCACCCCCTTCATCAGTTCGAGCTTCCTCTACCCGTCTTGAGGCAGCTCGATGATAAGGGTGCCTCGACTTCCATAGAGGCTTTACGGGACATGGAGTCTGCCGAAATCGGCTCGTTGGTGCACAACCATGGTGCCGGAAGCAAGATTGCTCGCATTCTTGAAAACTTCCCCACGATAAGTGTAGAGTGCGAAATAGCGCCTCTCAACAGAGACGTCTTGAGAATCCATCTCACTCTGACACCTGACTTCCGCTGGAATGACCGCCATAATGGGTCTTCAGAACCATATTATATTTGGGTTGAGAACTCTGAAACGTCTGAGATATACCACAACGAGTTCTTCATACTGAACAGGAGGAAAATGCACGAGGAGCACTATCTCGACTTCACCATCCCTCTTCAGGACCCTCTCCCGTCTCAAATATATGTCCGAGCTGTGTCTGACAGGTGGTTGGGAGTCGAAACAGTCACACCCGTTTCCTTCCAGCACCTGATTCGGCCAGAAACCGAAAGCAAGTACACCGATCTGCTATCCCTACAACCTCTGCCTGTAACAGCACTCAAGAACCCCATGTTGGAAGAGATATATAGCAAGCGCTTCCAATTCTTCAACCCTATGCAGACTCAGCTCTTCCACTGCCTGTATCACACGTCAACAAACGTTTTACTGGGTTCTCCTACTGGTAGTGGAAAGACTGTTGCTTGCGAGTTGGCAGTCTGGCAGTCCCTACGAGACAATCCTGGGTCAAAAGTCGTGTATATTGCACCTATGAAGGCTCTCGTTCGAGAGCGTGTCAAGGATTGGCATCCTCGCCTTACAGGGCCTCTCGGCTTGAAACTTGTCGAGTTAACTGGTGACAATACTCCTGATACACGTACAATTCGCGACGCAGATCTCATCATTACGACGCCTGAGAAGTGGGATGGTATATCTCGTAGTTGGCAGACAAGAGGCTACGTTCGACAAGTAAGCTTGGTGATTATTGATGAAATCCATCTTCTCGGTGGTGATCGTGGTCCTATTCTCGAAATCATTGTTTCTCGAATGAACTACATTGCTTCGCAGTCTAAGAGCACGGTTCGACTGATGGGTATGTCGACTGCTTGTGCGAACGCTATGGATCTTGGAAACTGGCTCGGAGTCAAGGAAGGTTTGTTTAATTTCAGGCATTCCGTCCGACCTGTACCCCTTGAGATATTCATCGACGGCTTTCCTGAAGTACGCGGCTTCTGCCCGTTGATGCAAACGATGAATCGGCCAACATTCCTCGCCATCAAGACTCATTCTCCGGACAAGCCCGTTATTGTCTTCGTCGCATCTCGCCGACAGACTCGACTTACAGCAAAGGACCTCATCAACTTCTGCGGCATGGAAGACAACCCGAGGCGTTTCCTCAAAATGTCTGAAGACGATTTGCAACTTAACCTCGCGAGAGTCAAGGATGATACACTGAAGGAATCGCTCAGCTTTGGCATCGGGCTGCATCATGCTGGTCTGGTTGAATCTGATCGGTCTCTGTCGGAGGAGCTCTTCGCCAACAATAAAATCCAAATCCTGATCGCTACCAGCACCCTCGCTTGGGGTGTCAATCTTCCCGCCCATCTCGTCGTAGTGAAGGGGACTCAGTTCTTCGACGCAAAGATTGAAGGATACAAGGACATGGATTTGACGGATGTCTTGCAAATGCTTGGTAGAGCAGGTCGGCCGCAATTCGATACGACCGGTATTGCCCGCATCTTTACACAGGATTCGAAGAAGGATTTCTACAAGCACTTCCTGCACACGGGCTTCCCAGTAGAATCAACGCTCCACAAGGTCCTCGACAACCATTTGGGTGCCGAGGTCTCGGCCGGAACCATCGCTACTGTCCAAGACGCTTTGGACTACCTCACGTGGACATTCTTCTTCCGCCGTCTGCACAAGAACCCGTCTTATTATGGTCTTGAGCTGTCTGCTGAAGATCACAACACTACCACAGCACAACAAATGGCAAATGACTATATGATCCAGATGGTTGATAGCTCCCTAGCAGAGCTTGCGGAGTCACAGTGTTTGGAGCTTTATCCCAACGGAAACGTCGACCCAACGCCCCTGGGAAAGATCATGTCATACTACTATCTCTCCCACCACACCATCCGTCATCTCGTCAAGCATGCCAAACGTGGCGCTACATTCGAAGATGTTCTATTCTGGATGTCGTCTGCCACCGAATATGACGAATTGCCAGTCCGTCACAATGAAGACCTCATCAACGGAGAGTTAGCAAAGAATCTCCCCATAGATGCCAAGTCATTCGGCAACCTGCCTCTTTGGGACCCGCATGTCAAGTCATTCTTGCTCCTCCAGTCTCACATGAGCCGGATCGAGTTGCCGTTATCGGATTACATTGGAGATTCAAACAGTGTTCTCGACCAGTCCATCCGTATTATGCAGGCCAGCATCGATACCCTTGTTGAGATGGGCTACCTCTCCAGCACGCTTCAGATGATGACACTACTTCAGTGTATTAAATCTGCTCGTTGGCCCACAGACAATCCCCTGAGCATCCTTCCAGGAGTGGATATTGGTGGGATCCCCCCCAAATCCCAAAAGTCGAAAGCGCTACCTTCGTCGCTGATGGAGTTGAGCCGTTTGCCGCCCGCTGGCATCGAAAGCCTATCCCAGATGGTTGCCGACAACCATGCGACCCGATCTGCATTTATTAAGGCGGCTTCGATCCTGCCTAACGTAGATGTCAAGGTGTCTGACATCACAGCTCTTGGCTTAACTGTCGTGTTATCGCGCCAGAACCCCATAGTCAACCGCGATGGCCGCGTTTACACTCCACTCTTCCCCAAGCCACAGACAGAGGGTTGGTTCGTTGTCCTTGCCGACAGCGGCGCTGATGAGGTACTTGCGGTTAAGCGTGTTGGGTGGAGTGTAGGGAGAAATGCCAATGGCAAAAATACCGTTTCTGTGGGAAGCAGACCCGTGGCCAGGGCATCCATGAAGTTACCAGGCGGAGATTTGAGGGCGAGGAAGATCGACGTCTTTGTTGTGAGCGATGCATACTTGGGAATGACTTATGAGAAGAGGGGCATCGAGATACCGGGGCCCCCTACGGTGGTAGATGACGTAAAGAAGGAAAAATCATAGGTATAAAAGTTCATATGGGGACATGTATGTGTGGATGGGGTACGTACTACACGATATATTTTAGGTTTGATACGCAGATAGAATCTGTGTCACATATTTGCATTTGCATCTCACTAGAACATATAGAAATATCACGAAGCATGAAATCAAATCAAAGTCATTCATTTCTCATTTCTTTTTGGGTCTCATAGCTTCCATAAGTCGGTCCTATCTCGTAATGTAGCAGTCATGATGACTCTACAACGCAGGCATCCATCGCACAAGCATTAAGTGCCAGCAAACCAGATCTGCACACAAGCATCGACTCCATTCCCATGCCCGAGAACCGCAGCCTGTGCCACGCCCTCGCCGGGTGAATCGAAAATGACTTGGCTCCTAGCAATGAGACAGAGGGGGATCCACATCCCACTGGATCAAGAGACACTGACGATCCCAAAGCAGCTTCTATACACATAATTAGCAAAGTTTCTCACCACAATCTCCCAAAGGAGCGTTAGGACTTACAGCTGTGCCATCAGCAGCGTAGGTGAAATAGTTGCAGACGGAGCAGTCGCGGGGCTCGTTGATCGGGATGTTGCAGGGGATAGAGCTCTTGCACTTGAGGCCGCATCCGAATTCGTTGCAAGTGCGCTTCTCGAGATGGTTGGCAGTGGTATCTGGGGTGGTGGTCGCATCGGTGAGGGCTGGAATTGGGTTGGCCAGGACGGATGAAGTGAACATGAGGGTGGCCGCGAGGGCGGTGACGAGGAACTTGATGAGAGCCATTTTGGTGGTGTTTTGCGTGGAAGTTGTTGATTCTGATCTGAAGGTTGTTAGATTAAAGTGGTAGAATAGGTTGTTATATTTACTTGGATGAAGGATGTTTTTGTTTGGTTGTTGACTGACTGTCAGTGTTGAAAAGTAGGTGTAGGTTCGATCAGTGTTGGAGAGTAGGCGTGGGTTTGGTGAGTGTGGAGAGTAGAAGTGGGATTGATCAGTGTCAGAAGGGCACCGAAAGTGAGATCAGAGTGTGTAAGAAGGAAACGGAAGCGGAGTTGCTTATGGAGTGGGTTGCTAACTACTTTTATAGCTGGGGGGGAGGGGAGGGGGGAATCGACTGCCTAGGACGACGACCTAGCTTCAACCAGACTTCAATAAGAGCAATTTTCATGCCATACTGTTGGTGGACATACAATAGAAAACTCACAAGAACAGCTCGTTTAGATCATCGGCAGATCTTGATATGATATCTGAGCGGTGAGTCTGACATGATTGGAATGGTACAGCTCTATCACAGCTGCTGAAGCAAGGGGTTCCCTCGAGGGGTTAACGCGGGGTAGCCAATATGGATGGATTTTTGGGATTAAGCTTCTGAAATATCATAGCTAATGAATTGAAAGAAATATGCAGCAACCCACCAGTCTCATTGCTTACCGTCGATTAAGAACATGATTGATAGTAAATAACTAGTGTTGCGTCGCAGATGTCTCAAGCCTAAGCCATGACACTGCGGATGACGAAGAGATAAAAGATAATGCAAACAAAGAAATGCGAGCTTGGGTAAATAAGAGTAATATTCTTATAAAATAGGAGCTAAAATAAATAATAATAATATTTGTTACTAATGAGCTTTTAAATAGTTTGATAAAATATTTTTAGATCAGTCTTATACAATCATTATTATCAAGCCCTTTATTTAATTTAATTTCACTTCAAACACAATAACAGAAACTTGAGGGCATTAAAATAAATATAGATGTATAACTTACTATCTTGTGAAATCCTAGCTCCTTTTATATGATGATATGGTATTATAGGCAATTTAGGCTTGCTCGTTTTTTCTTTTTAGTAGAGCGGGCCATCTACAATAAATAAATCCCCTACCTACTCCACAGAGGCCCAAGTGCTTTAAATGCACTCTATTGATGACCTAGAGTGGTTGAGCCTGCATTGTATCATCACTCCTTACCTCTTATATTTAACGCACAAGTATCCATGTGGCTACTTGCTGTTTTGACGTCTGTAGACCACGAGCGTGAAACTGGCACCTATGACTGAGCCTGCCGGCCTCCGAGACGCATAGGCGACCTATATTACTTGCAGTTCCGGCAGCTCGGATCAAGTGATAAATAAGGCAAGGGGAGGGTGGACAGCTTCATGTTGAAAGGATGATGTAATTTGTTCCATAGCCGCCCTTGATAACCACGTGCTCTAGCACACATTGTGCCAGCGCATTTCTTGGCTCCTTCGTTAACCAGTTGAATTTCTATTCGAATTATATTTCCTTTATTGGTTGATAGTGCTGACCCTGGCCGGTTGTTGTTTCCCTTTCTAGCAGCCGGAGTAAAGAGTCGTCGGTCGGGTGCCGTATATATCCCGAACACCTCACCGAATCAGCAGACACTCGTCATACCCCGAAATGCCGTGCGACAATAATAGTCAGAGCTGCACAACTAAATTGTCCCTTGCTTTCTATCAAACGACACCACTGTTGGTTTTTACTTCCTCTGTTGAAGAGAAATTATACTGTTTTATTTGAATTTATCTCTTGTGAATGTGATACCGTCCAACAGGAACCATGAAGACTCTGTGCCTCCACGGACAAGGCACCAGTGCCTCTATTTTCGAATCTCAGACCAGTAAGCCGATATATCTACTTCCAACATATCTCTTCTAATATTCGTCCTAAGAGTCATTCCGGGCGAAGCTAGACTCGAGCTTTGAGTTCGACTTTGTCGACGCCCCATTTCCAAGCCCCGCAACCGCTGGGTTCGAGTCTCTGTTCAAGCCGCCAAATTACACGTTCTGGACCAAGCCAACAGTCGATTCATTCCGCGAAGCTCATGCGTGGCTCCGTAACTACTTGGCAGAAAATGGGCCCTATGACGCCGTATGTTGCTTCTCCCAAGGCTGCGCTCTAATAGCCACCTTTATTCTCTACCACGCAGCAGAAACACCCAACGAGCCACTGCCTTTCAAAGCAGCAATTTTCATCTGTGGCGGTGTCCCCCTCCCCGCACTCGAGGATCTTGGCCTTTCCGTCTCCAAAAAGGCCTACGAGATCCACGAGAAAACTAGCCGCCAGCTGCAAAGCAAAACCGCCAAATACGCCAAGCTAGCTGATTCACCGGATCAAATCCAGATCGGACTCGGGCTGTGGGATTACGATAGAGAAGAACTATCTCATGACCACGACAAGTTCCCGGATGCAAATGACGTGTATGGATTGGATTTCACGGCGTTTAGGAAGGATATCAGGATCAAGATCCCTACGGTGAATATTTATGGGGCGAAGGATCCAAGATATCCGGCTAGTATGCAGCTGTCGCATTTTTGCGACAATACGAGGAGGTATGATCATGGGGGAGGTCATGAGGTACCGCGGACAACAGTGGTTTCAGATGAAATCGCGGGGCTGGTTAGATGGTGTGCAGATCAGATTTAGATCAGGCAGGTGATTTACAGAGTATAATTTATGACAGTGCTGATCAATTAGATGTGTTTTATTGAAGTCGTATACAATTCTATTTTATTAACTTTGCTCGTTCTTGCCTCATGCCTACTTTGCTCAACATCTACTGTCAGGTGATCTTGGAGCCACAACCTTATCTCAACCTTTCAGGGACCAAGGGCTCTACGGTCGAGAATAGTGTAGCTTAGGAGAATCTATTTTATTCTGGGAAGATTTGACAAACCAGGAGTTGTCTACGCACAGAAAGGCGTGCTTCACCGGAGCTGGAAAGATGTTGATACCGTGGGAGCATCATTATATTCTAGAAGGTATTATCATACACCACTCTATGCGTAATCTATCATGGCAGTAGAAAACAGCAGTCCCTATTTACCACCAACCCCATCATCTAGATAGTGCTCCTGACAGCACGGTGTCTTGCCACTGCATTCCACGCCGCCTGCTTCTGCGCCGCCTTGGCATCCTCAGCCTCGTTGGAGATGATGTTATTGTAAACGGTAACCTCACCACCACGGTTGATATCCTTCTCAACGGCGAGTGGGTGGCCAGGCACAAGGTTCATGACTGGCTTGGGGCCAACAGAGCGCTTGTTATTTCCACTTGCTGGACCCATGCTGATGACCTCGCCGTATGTCTGGCGCCATGTGCATGTTCCGCCGAGCTCCATCGCTGCTTGTTGACGAGCAGCGACAACAGCCAGCTGCTTGGAAAGGCAGCTGTAGTCGGCGCCGATCTTGTCAAGTCCGCCTGGGACAACAGTGTTGTACATCAGGAGGACACCGACTTGAGTGTAGTCCTCAACATTGCCTGCAGAGAGTTAGTTATCTGCCTATACGGTGATGATAGGACAAGGGGTTTTACGTACTGGAGTTGGCGTAATCATCAGGAACGCAAGTATCACCATCGATAGCATCCAAGAATTCCTTGGTGCTGCTCGATGACCCGTCGGCGTTGTTGTATGCATCAACAGCGTGTCCGACCTCGTGCTGGAATACGGAAACAGAAGCCGTGTTGCCCTGGAAGACAACCATGCCACCGATCTCGTAGGCGCTTCCACCGCCTGGAACTGCCATCACGTATGAGACCGACTGGCGCTCATGGACTGGTAAACGACCGAAGTAATCGATCAGCTGGCTCTGACTGTAGAATATGAAAGTTAGCCTCGAACCGTCGACGGAATCGCATTCCTGGATATCAGGTATACTGACGAGAGCTCTGCCTTTGTGTGTCTGCAGAAAATCCAAGCCTCCTCGCAATCCGCATACTGGACGTTGAATACTTCGAAGTCGTACCAGCTGAATTTGACGTCGCCGCGGTTTGCTTCGTCAGCGCAACGCTTTGGGATCCATCCCCACGACCACGGGCCGCTGGTGCTCGGAGTTGACGGCATGTACTGCATAAACTCTGCGTTTACATGCGGCGAGAGACCATCCTTGAAAAGTGTCGGCTTTCCGAGACCAGCTAAGGCCGGGGCGCCGAACAGGGCGGTAGCAGCAACGGCTGCCTTCATGATGGAGGAAAACATCTTGTTGACAAAGTCTGTTTTCGTTGGAGGTTGATTTCAGAGGATGATCCGTCGGGATAAGCAGGATACCCCTTCTCTTATAGCGATATGCCGCACAGAGGATTTACGCCCGAAGGATCGCAGGCCCCTGCCCCGGATTCGACAGATGCCAGAGGAGGACTAGGGTATCGAAGCGCGGGCGCGGCGGAGACCAAGCATTGTTGCATCTGAAATGAGGATTGCATCCATGTCAGATTCGTCCCCTGCAGCATCCACATCTTGCAAATCCTCCAAACAAATTTAACTCAAAACGCATCGGCACAAGGGCGCTGGACGCGACTTAACAGGTCCGCTATTAGATATGTTCAAGGTCCCTCTTGGAACGAGTTTGGCGCACCCATACTCAGTAATCACTGGAGATAGTTGCCTTGACCCTAGGGCCAACGTCGAATCTCTTGGTACGGGGCCGTTTCCGAAGTGCGAGTGTCAGCGATAATTTCGACCTTAATTTAGATTTCAGTGTGGATGATCCCTGCTCCAGACTGATGAGTTCAGGGATCACTTGAAGTTTTGCAGCGCCACACTTACTGTCAGCCCTTGTGGTTGTGGCCAATGGCGTTGGACCTCATGGCCCTGTATTGCCAAGGATGTTTCTTCTTGGTGAGAATCACGTGGATTTTGATGCTCCTTCACAAACAAGTGGATCGGAATTGCTTGTGCCTCGCCTTGTGGGACGAGTCTGTTGTACTGTATCTGTTTTTCTTTGAACACAGTATGCGAGGTCCAGTACAGCCGGGATGCCCTCATATTAATGCCTCGTCTCCTGCAATCTGCCTGAGAATTTGGGAGCAGCCAGCTTCGCATATTACGAGAATAGCATCGTACTAGACTGATAGTAATAGCGGGTAAAGCGGGGGAAAACGGGAGCATCCGTTCGGCACTCTTGCAATCTTGAGTTCCTCAACCGAGAAACGGTAGATGGAGCATTCTTCCAAGACCAACAAGCTTGTGACACTGAATCTGGATCTGCGCAAGCGAAAGTATACCTATTTTAGTTGCTATGTTTTCCATTCGACAGCTGAAGGATGTGGCTATGTAGAATAGAAAGTATGAGATTGAAACCCGGCCGCCCCCACCAAATAACAACAAGCGATTTGCTTAGTTTGGTGTCTGATTTGTGTTCTATTCGGAAACCCAACCACAGCAAATCGAAATTAAGGTTCGAGGCGCAACAATCCAGGGACATCCGAAGATCTCAAAATAGAAACAGCAAGGGTCACGGATGGCCAGTTAGCATCGGTGTTTTCCCGGCCGCGATACCGATCCCTGCCTAACTCGGTTACACCTTCACAGAACATAAGATTCGAAGGATGAACGAAGGATCAAATTCACATTGACGTCTGATTCACATCCGAACTCGTTCCCCTCTGTGCCTGCGAAGTGATTTTGTACGCGAAAATACTGAATTGGCCAAGCCGCCGAGTTGGAACCGTGTAATATATTCTTCAGAGAGCATCATGCACGTCGCTTTTTAGACGGTTTCCCTGCGGTGTAGCCTCCCCGTCTGTGGAGCGATCGTATGAAGCAACCGTCTGCATCTTCACCTATTCCTTGAAGATAACCTCTACGCAACGTATCATTTGCAGCACACGAGCTGTATATGATGAGAGCTGATGTGGGGTGCAAGTTCGTTTCTGATTCGATTCTTTTGGCCTTTCATCGATGCCTCAACCCCCCAAAGTGACCTTCCTTGTAGAGAGCATCCAGCCTAAGTGTGCCAACTGACATGTGATCGTCGTATTGGGATCCTCCCGCACGAACCCATAAGACCAACTCGTAGCCACGGCACCATCATGAGATAGACCTAATTTCCATATCCATGGTCATTAAGCCAGGCATCAAACAGGTTTCTCGTCCAGCATCATCGCCATCTCCGCTTCCTCATCGACCTCTCTCCCAGCCAACTTCGCAATGTCCACTTTCCTTATCGCCCCTATAGCTTCCTTACCCATCTCTGCGCACCAGCCCTGGAGGCTCAGAAAAGCGACGACGAGAAAGCCCAGCTCTTCGCGTTCGACGTCGAAGACCTCCCACCATTCCACACTTGGCAAATTCACACCTTCCTCTCTTGCGGCTAAGTAGATTGCTGCAACTGCCAGTGCATTTGGTTGATGTGTGAGATACAGCATCTGAGGAGACAGTAGTGCCGTATTTAAGAGAGCTATAGCGCGGCGCGCGAGCTTGGGACCTGTAGATTTCGAGTATGCGGCGGAGAAGATGTCCATCGTCTGGAGGTAGGTGATCGCCAGGGGGTGAGGTAGGGCCACGTGCACGCCGAAACCTAGAGCGTTCAAAACGTGACCTTCCAGTAGTAAAATGCGGTTCGTAAAACTCGTGTATGAGCTAGGACTTAAATAATAAGTCGCTGGGTCAGGCGGGCTCTTTGAATCCGGCGACTGGACTGACGCTAAAGCCGAGGAGGAGGAGTAGAGGTAGGTGTAGACGTTTGCAATAGACCGAAGAGAGCGCGGGTGCGCTGAAACTTTGGCTGTTAAATAAACCACAGCTGCTGAGATATCCTGCATGATTGTTAGTATCTATACCGCCTCTCGATTCAGTGGGATATGCTACCTTAAATTCATCGCGTGTCAATTCTTCAATCGCCCAATATCTGTAAAGTACCACAACCGCCTGGGCACTGACACTCTGTGGAAGCCGGAGAAGGATGCCAGCTGCTTGTGTGAGTCTAGCAGTGGAGAAGCGGATTAGGTCCTGAGCAGATCGAGGAAGCGCATCATTGATACGCGTGGATGACACGAGCTGCTCAGGGGTCACAAGAGGATTCGTAAGATGCGCCATCGCTCCTCCAAACCTAAAGCTGAAGCAGTAGGGAGACAAACAAACAAAAACAATAGACTCTGAGCAGCGCTGAAGTCGAGTTAGGCGTGACGTTGGAGAGAAGGGACATTGAATTTCCTATTCGGGACGTTTTCGATAGAGCCCGCACGTGATGATAGCACCGATACTCCAAATGCTCGTCCCGGCTATCGCCGCATAACGTGGGGGAAGAGAACCGAGCGAACCGAGCTTCGGCGGCCCAAGATTTACCAAGATCCCTTCCAAGGTATACCGCCCTCACGAGCAATTGAAGGATCTCACCACATCAGAAACCCCAAAATGTCGGCATTACGGATTCTCGTGCCCGTCAAGCGGGTGATTGACTTTGCTGTAAGCTTCCCAATGGCAGCTCGTCGTGGGAGCGACGGCGCATGACCTCGGCGGGCCTCACAATGCGATCATAGCTAACGGACTTTACTTCACAGGTCAAGCCCCGCGTCAACAAGACGCAGACAGCTGTCGAAACCACCGGAGTCAAGCACTCCATGAACCCCTTCGATGAGCTCTCCATAGAAGAGTCGGTCCGGATCCGCGAAAAGAAGTCCGCGCCCGGGGGCGTCGAGGACATCCTCGCCTTCTCCGCCGGCCCAACGAAGGCATCTGACATTCTCCGCACCGCCATGGCCATGGGCGCCGACCGCTCATTCCACGTCGAGGTTAAGGAGGGGGATGATCTTGAACCCCTCACCGTCGCGAAGCTGCTTGCCAAGGTCGTCAAGGACGAGAACAGGAACCTGGTGTTCTTGGGCAAACAGAGCATTGACGACGATTCCAACCAGACGGGACAGATGCTTGCGGGTCTCCTGGGCTGGAGCCAGGCGACGCAGGCGAGCAAGGTGGAGTTCGAGGCGGATGACTTTGTGAAGGTTACGAGGGAGGTGGATGGGGGTGCGGAGACGGTTAGGGCGAAGTTGCCGCTGATTATCACGACGGATTTGAGACTTAATGAGCCGAGATACGCTAGCTTGCCCAATATCATGAAGGCGAAGAAGAAGCCTCTTGAGAAGAAGAAGCTGGAGGATTATGGACTTGATACCACCAGGAGGTTGAAGACCCTCAAAGTTGTTGGTGAGTTTTCCTGGGATGCTAGTATAGAGCCATTTTGCTAACGTTTTATAGAACCCCCGACGAGGCAAGGAGGTGGAAAGGTTGAGGATGTTGATGGCATGATCTCGAAGCTGAAGGAGCTTGGTGCGCTATAGATTTGATAAAGAGGGTATAGATGCCCCTGTATGTATTTAGCATCCGTACCATGTATTGAAATAAAATATTTCTAAGACTATGCCGCCATGCCAAAGCCCTTTCCAAAAAAATACAACGAATTACATTATTGGGTACCCAGATAGAAGAAGCTCATATCAATCACCCATGAGAAGCTTGCCTTGGAAGTTGTTTACTTTTGGGGATACTATTTCTACATACATTCATCTCATCCGTAGACCTCCATCTTTCTAACTTCCACAATCCATCCAAACACCCCAAAACTCCATGCCGATAACCATACCACCGGCGGAATGACAACGCCTGCTACTTACCCCCCATAGTAATGGCTACTTTAGAACGTCAAACCCACATCGTGTATCCCACTGGGCCCATTCTCGTTATACTGCACACGACTCATAAACCCATTGCTCACGCCCTGATCCTGGACAAAGATGACCTTAGCAGCCACCTGCGCGCCGAGGAACACGCATTCTTCGAAGCCCTCATTCTATTTCCCAAGTTAGCTCATTGCTTTTTTTTTGCCAAGGCTGACAAGGAGAGAGGGACATACCTTGAATTCAGGGAAATACTCGGGCACCTTCGCAATCTTCATACTCGTAGGTGTTTGCCCATGACTGCTGTGGCTGTGACTACCGCCGCCGCCAAACGAGTTCGCGACCGATACGTTCGGGTTCAGCGTTGGATTGCTAGCTGTTGTCGCTGCGAGCAGTAGCGGGTTAACGCCGCTCCCCGTAGGCAACGCGTGCTGTCCAGCAGGGTAATCCCTCTGAGGAGTCTGCGCACCAGTCCCCATAGGCGTCGACAAATTCGACGGCAACTCCGACGTAAAAATCGACGCCGAGCTCGGGGAAATAAGGTACTTCTTCATCAACGTAGCGAGCAGCGCATCCTTGAACCCCCTAACCCGGCTGCCATTGCCCACAATAATCAACGAATCCCACAAATCGCCACGCTTGCTAGGCTCCGTCCCAGCCAACACAGTGCGGTGCACGGCATCCGCAATTCGGTCGAGTAGCCCGTTGCTCGCGGCCTGGAAGCGCTCGGTGCCTACCTCGATCTCGCGGCGCCATTGCATGGGGTCGCCGGCGCCTTCGCGGGCTTTGCGCTTCTCTTCACGCTTGGCGGCGCGTACTTGCTCGCGCTTTGCGGAGGCGTCTTCGACTGTGACGGAGGCGTCAGGGGCGGTTGGGGCGGCCTCGGCGGGTTTGGCCTCTCCGTTGGCTTCAGTGGCAAGCGCTGCCTCGGCAGGCTTGGCCTCGCCTTCGGCTTCTGCAGCAGGTGCGGCTTCGGCGGGTTTGGTCTCGCCATCGGCTGCTGGCGCAGGCTCGGCTTCAGCAGGTTTGGCCTCACCTGTGGCTTCTGGGGCGGGCGCAGATTCAGCGGGTTTGGCCTCACCGCTGGCTTCTGGGGCAGGCGCCGCTGGTTCTGCTTCCTTGGTGGCTGGTTCAGCTGCAGCTACCTCAGGCGTCTTTTCCTTAACTGCCTCTGTCATTTCCACATCTGCAGCAGCCGCCTTATTGCCATTCTCGAGGGCTTCATCAATCTCACCCTGTGCCTTGCGCTCCTGGTAGTGGAAAATAACCTTCTCACGCTTCGAGTTAGGGAGTCGAATGGGCTTAGCACCTGCAACTTCCGCCGCGTCTCTCGCGTCCTTTGCTGCTTTCCTCGATGCCGCCATTTGCTTCTTGCGCTCCTGCTGCGCCAAGAACTCCTGCGTCTTGCCGCTAGCAACAATGCTCGCAACGTCCAGAACACCCTCTTCATCAATGCCCTTCTCCACATCATCCTCGTCGACATCTGCGTGCGCTGCATCTGTTGAACTTGCCGCTGCCTCACCTGCCGCAGCCCCATTGCCATTGGCTCCTTGATCCTCCGCGCCATCCGCACCGGGTAATGGCGCACCAGCAGGTAAGATCTCGCAGAACGGGCTCTTCTTCAACTGCTCGCACATATCCCTCGTCCAGCCCTTCGGCCCCAATAGCTCCAACAACCGCTCTGTCATAGCGTCGCCTCCCGTGCCCGGCACGCTGATGGCGCGACCAACATGCTGCACCGAGAAATCGTGGATAGTTGTGATGTCCGTCTTCTGGAATCCGACATCAATGACCGTGCCGTTCTGGACGCCGTATGCGTACGAGATTGCGAGCGCGGAATCCATGATGCAGAAGGCGGGGGTCTTGAACTTCTCAAAGAAGAATTGCGTCAGCGCTTCGATATCTTGTGCTGTCCATGCTGGCTGTGCGATCAGGAGTATCGGGGTGTGAAGTGTAGGCGATAGGACGCTGTGGATGTGGTTCATCAAGGCTAAAAACGCTGGCATGTTCGTAATTCTGCCCTCTGAAATGTCATAGTCAGCACCCATTCCACTCACACAGCATTGCATACCACATACCAGTCAAAGGGTATACCGCCCCCTCATCGGACTCCAAATCCTCCTCAAACTCGGGCTCAGCCTCATTATCCTCCTTCTTCTCCTCCTCGTCCGTCCCACCCATCGTAACCTCTCCCCCATTCGCCGCCGGCGGACTCGCCTTCTTCACCTCATTGATCTTATACGGTTCCCACTTCCCCTCCCCAGCAGGGAACATGCGCGTCCGCACCTTCGTGCTCGCCGGCGTGAAGCTCTCCGGTAATCCCAACTGGGCCAGCGTCGTCAAGCTACCCGGGGCAATAATCTGTCATCTAATCAGTTCCAACATCCCTCATCAAACCCTCCAATCCCTTGCTCGAGCTTCGCGATTCATTGTCGCGGGGGGGGAGAGGGGCGAAATCCGCACGTACCAGGATATGCTCATCCTTGAACTACAAATTGTCAGTATTCGACGGTTGGTTGGCGCGAGATAGTGGGGGGGAACTTACGGGCGGCATGTTTGTGGACTTTGTCGAGCTGTGCGCTCGCTCGATTCAGCTCGCTGGTAGATGGATTGGCTGGAATTAGGAGGTGCTACTTGCTGGAGGCGCGTCTTCGATTATAAGCGCGTCTGTCGCAAACTGCAGCCGTGGATGGATGCGACGGTTGGTTCAACGCCTGGCGCCGTCTCACCGCCTTCCACTTTGGGACGTATATACACTTTACAATCGCATCGCCATGAGAGCCCAGGAACTTGGACGAAATGTAGTTTGCATTTAGCATTTCTTAAGGATTTTGACTAATATGATGATGCAGAGCTTATGTAGGTGACATTACAGCGGAGTTATTTGCATGCGCTTGCAGCTAGCAATAAATATCACTATTCATAGCGCAACGTATCGCCAAACAGGCACAGAAAACACACTGTATCATCTATAGATCTCCAACATGCGGATCTCACGCACGCATTTCTAGAATGAATACCGTAAATATGCAGCAGCCCTATATAACTCCATCGCTTGCTAAGGCACCCATATTTCGATTTGCCCCCTTTTCTTCGTAACTCCTCAAGCATCATAATACTCCTCATCCATCCTCATGGGCACTCCTGCCTGCATCATCCCCATCATTCCCTGGCTATACACCTTGTCTGGCATTTGCATCGAAAGTTGTCTATCTACCTTCTCTTGGAACTTGGTCCTATTCCTCGCTGCATCCACCACTCCGAACTTGCGTCCAAGCTCACGCGTGCCTTGAATGCTTTGCGTAAGCGTGTCTAGCAAGCTGACGAGGTTTACGTCGTTGCGTGAGGCGAGAAGGTCGTGGTCGAATTTCGAGGTGTCGGTCTCCGTGTCTTTTGACGATGAAGGCACGACGAGAGGGAGGCGGGATATTAACGCTGCAATGCTGCGGAGAATCTCAGGGGATGGCTCGAGGTGGGAGGTTTGTGCAGGTGCGGACGGCTGGCCTGTTGCGTCTGTCGGAGGTTGTAATTCCAGGTACTTCTGAATAATCTTGATCCTTGACTGCAGCATCCGGACTGCATTTGCCTTTGCAGTCAAAGCTGTAATCAGCTCTGTCTCTTCATTGGACAGGATATCGTTGACATCTATATCCTTCGCCGTATCATCTGACGCTCGCTTCTTGCCCTTGTTGCTCTCCTCGGATGCGTTTGTTTGCTTCTGGGTCGATGATGAGACAGCCGTGGCATTTCCTCCACCCCTGGCGACAAAGTCGATGGCTATTCTTTCAGCCTCACCTGTTTCGATAACGTATGGTAGCTCGGCGAAAACGGTCTTGGGTGAGGAGTCGCTCTGTTCCATTTCGACATCCTGACCAGCAGCCCTGGTGTCGGCGGGCTTGGCTATAGACTCATAGATTGTAATTGGAAGGGCTTCGTTGGAGGATTTGGATAATGATTCGCTGGGGAGGAAGCCAAGGAGGATGCATGGGGTTTCGGGACCATTTAGGTTCGATAGTGTCTCTTGGATCGCAAGGTGGTAGTCTGTGGGCCCAGACGAGGCAATGAGGGTGTACCAGCCGACAAAGTCGAGCGGGGGGTTCTTATGGACATCCTTCACTACCAATCGTTAGAAATAGCTTGGTGAGAGAAATAAGGGCGCGATGAAAACACGTACTCTGTTGCAAGCGGGTCGTGAACCATTCAGGGTCTATAGAGCCGCCCTGGACTTTGCATTCGAACGCATGCTCGACAGTGACCTCTCTGCCATTCTGCTGACCCAACAAAGCCCCAATGATGGGCCCGGTTTGGTTGCGAAGGGTATGCCTCGTAATGTAATCGGAGATCGTCAGGAGGACCAGAGGGTGGAGGGCAACCTCAAGGCCGGAATCTGACTTCTGGGTGGAGAGGAAGGCGTTTGGCTGTGTTGGGGCCATTTCGACGTAGGGCAGAGAGGCGTACGACAAAGCGCCGCAAGACGAGATGGAAAGTAACGAAGAAGGGTGTGATGTAGTCCAAAGCAGAAATATTTTGGCAGAGGTTGGAGTGGAGTTTGGTGGTTGTAGTTCGGAGTTTGGAGCTTAGAGTTTGGAGTTGTAGCCTTGTGGATAAGCACACAGAGGGGTCGTGCGACTAGCATGGGTCTTCCCACTCACTAGTGGCCTGTTATCGCCCAGGCGCCCAGGCATCAATCTCACATCAATATCAATATCACTGACTTTCAAACACAGCAGGAACGAGTCGCCTGCCAGTATTCATGATCCATTTGGTGACTTTGAGGTTATGGAAAGAATTACTACTGTATTATGTTAGGGATATTAGGTTTGGAAGGTGTGGTGCAAGTCACCCGGGGACGACCTACTTGTAGCGAGCTTCTATCACATCGTGGCACTTCTCTCAGAACTTGAGTGTGCATTTTACAGGGAGTTATGATCTTCTGATCTTGGGTATCTGTCGGTGCTTTACAAGACAGCTGCAGTTGCAATATTGTGGGGTCTTTTATGGCTTTGAGATTGAAAACAAAATGTCATATTTCTACTTTTCTCATTTTGTGGTCTAGTCTCACCATGTTTCCCCTGAAGTTCTTTACCATGGGCCCTTTTAACACAGCTATACTCCCATCTGGTCTTGTGGTTTTAAAGTGCTGATTATACTGCATGTTTTGTCTCCCACAATTATAACGTGGACGCTGTACCGCTTTGTTATATGTGCTTTTTTAATGAATGCTTTTCTTATGCCCACTTCAAACTCAACTCAGTGACTGGGAGTCCCCCCCCTTTTCTTGAAGTCTCTGGCATGGAAGCTGCCCCATCATTTTTTACGGAGACAAGGCAGGCACAAGCACGAGATTATCTGGTTTTCTGATTCACAATCTGGGCTGTCTCGGTATATTCTACCATTTCCTGATCACGCACCACCCGAGTTGAGAAGCTAGAGTATTATTCAAGCTTGTGTTCCCTTTCCTCCTTCCTCTATATTTGGTTTGTTTGGCGGGCATATACTTGGTACGATTTTGTAAGTAAACAATACCCCTCGCTACTTCCTCCTCTTACTTCCTCTTACTTCCTTCCTCCACTTACTTTATCCCTCTTACTTCCTTCTCTCCTTCTATTACTTCCCTCCTTCCTTTCTTCCTTCCTTCCTTCCTTCCTTCCTTCAACACCCACCACACCACACCACACCCCACGAAACACACAACTGACTTCGTTGGCAAAGTCAGAACTCTCTTTAACTTCACGTTACAACATCATATTTCTGTGAGTCTATTCCTTTTCTTTATCATTCTATGAAGGTACAACTACCTTGGGATATCTTCTATCTCAAGTGCAAATAGTACTGAGCATAGTTGCCTCCAGCCTACACAACTGACAGCCCTTCAGACGAGTCAGTTCACGTCCGCACATCCGGTTTTCTGGTTTACGAAAGTTCAGCATCGTCAACGGACTCCGAGTTTCTGTTATACGGAAGTTCGGATTTGCCAAGGGACTGTGAGGTTCAAGTTTTGGTGAGTGAATTCACCTGTAGTTTCACCTTGATTTCGCACAGCTAACAATATTCCAGGACAACCAGTTTGCCTTGCGCCTTGCCTCTGCCTCCCGAATCCGCACTTCATCAAGGTGTTATAACCCACTCATCCCCCCATCAAGTATACTTTACATCTCTGCATCTTTTCATCTTGATTCTACATAACTAACAATATTCTAGGTCAGCAAGTTCACGTTCTCGCATTGTTTTCCACCCCCACGTTTCTTTTCGAGATGCCTCGTCGAAGCCGGTCGGTTTCGTTGAGTGCCCCGAAATGCCTGCCGTATGAAGCACAGCACATTCTGCTCAACACTGTCCAACGATTGCTGGAAGAGAGCTGCTTTGATTTCGCGAAGACATGGTTTGCCTCTGATCCCAGAGTCCGGGAGTGGACAACTCCGGCCCAGGTTGAAATCTCCAAGTGGCGAGACCTCCTTGGGGCTGCACGGATTCCTGCAGATGCCTTGGATGGGCATGTTCAGACCCCATTACGGGTCTTGCTTCAGGAAGCCACTCAGCTCCGCAACAACGCTGTGCATCGGAGTCAGTTGCATGTTCAGGATCTCCTGAAGTTGCTCATATCATCAATACAATTGACCAGGATGCTTCGGGACCAAACAAGGCGCACCAAGATTGAAGACATTCGAAGTCGTTTAATTGATGAACTTAATGTGCGTGATGGCAACAGAACCCGAGCCACCGTTCAGTACCGCAAGTCTCGTGATGACATCGATCGAAGGAAAGAGCCTGTGTTTAGGAAACTGGATGAATTATACGACGAGGAGGATCATGCCATTACAGTGTTTGATAAAGACTCCGCGCTTTATGATAATATGCTCCAAAGCTCCATGATAAAGTTTATTAACCAAGTGATCCATACTGGCGAAGAAGTTGCTCGTATCGCGCCCGCCAAAGATTCTGCTCAACAGTCTCGACCTACTGCAAAGAACTCCAACCCAGCTACAGATGGAAAGTCCGAGAGAACCCAAAGAAGAGAAGACGAAGATTTTCAATTCATATCCAAATCTGACTTCGAAGAGGCCACGTTGGGCAGCCGCAAAATGGAGAAGAAATGGACACGAGATGTAAGGTCGGGATCCAAAGAGCAGAAAGTCGTTTTCAAAGAAGATCATGCCGGCGATTTGTTGTCGAGTATTCACCCCACAGCCAACTTTGTGGGGGTCCAATCAACTCCTGCAGTTCAATTAACTCCTGTAATTCAATCAACTCGAGGAATCCAATCAACTCCTAGAAGCCAATTAACTCTTGGAATCCGATCAACTCCTATAAACCATAAAGGAGATGGCAGCTCCTGGGGTGGTATAGAGCGCACTGTTGGGTCGAGCTTACACGGAGCTACACCACGAGCATTGAGTGTTGCGAACGGTCACTGTGCCACCGAACTTGATATCGATAGCCCAAGCAGACAACTTGTCAGTATTCCGCTTATGTTCTGGTTTGTGTTGATATTTCATGGACGACGTATAGCTGACATGACTTAGGAATTGGAAGCAAACATGGCGAATAGCATATGTGAACTATCCATTGACAGGCATGACATTTTGGAAATCCTCGATGCAGAGCTAGATAACCAGCTTCTGAGAACCATGGATGAAGTACGAATGTCAGTGGATTCAGTGTTGGACCAAATGAACAACGATGTCAAGCCCAGCGTTGAAGAACCTGTGCCAAACTCTATGGCACCTGGCAATTCTGATGATGAGAATGATATACAATCATGTCGCACTTGGACGGAACCTTGTGTCCTTGGTCGAAGAGCCCCATCATCGGAGCTCAAAATGACTGACAGATCATTTGCTCCTTCTCCGGATGTAGAGATGTCAGGAGTCAACACTGCAAATTTCGCCGCTGCAAATGTTATCACTACAGATAGCGCCAACTTTCGCAAGGAGGAAATTCCACAAACTCCAGTTGGTTTGCCTGTTGTTGAGTTTGGCAAGCCATGGAAGCCCGCAAGTAATGGGTCAGTACCGATCATCAGGGCTGAAAAATCCCAGCAGGGGATTCCTCAAACTGAACTTGGTTTTCCGAGCAGGTACTCAGTATCAACCATTACTACTAAAAAGGAGGTAAACCTAAACAATATACACCTTTGGAGAAAGCGGAAGGAAGTTTCGCCCCTCAGCCAAAAATCTTCCGCCTCATGCAACTCAATGATATTTTGTCGACCTCGCGCCCTGCCTGCACTCGGGGACCACAGTTTTTCTACTGGCGCGGCGTCAAATACTACTGGAACTCAAACTACAGGCTCTGCTGGGAGACTGCCTGTGATGACATCGTTTGGAGATGTAGCTATATTCGGCAAAGACATGGGATTTAACCCGACGCCTTCAGGCTTTTTCCCCGGCGTAGGTGGTATGAACACCTCGCAAGCAAATAAACCACAAGAAACCGTCGGATATAAGAATGCGTCTTTGGATCTTTTCACCCAAGAGATACCAGATACGAATGTGTATACAAGTCGACAGGCTGCAACGTGGGAACGACGGAGAATACTCGTTGGGTGCCTTTCATTTACTCCCTCCAAGGCAGAAGTAGAGAAATTGTTTTTGGGCTACAATGTGTAAGTGGCTATCCGAAAAGATCAATTTGCGGCCTTCGTTACGCCCATACTATCTTTTATTGACTGTATTTACCAGGACGAGAATTGACTTTCCAGAAGTATGGATCATGGAGGAAAAAAATAAGCCGGCTGGATGCGTGTTTGTTGATCTGGTGACATCTGCACAGGCTAAGCTTGCCATCCAGAAGTGGAGGAAAGAAGAGCCCAAAATCTGCAACTGCAAGGTTTCCATCATGCTGGCGACAGATCCATGGAAAGCGCCAAATGCTCCTCGAAAAATTGTCTCGGCATCCGCTAGGACCAAGAAAAAGATTGCTCATCCATCAGTTGTTGCCATGGTCGTGAAGAAATCACAACCAATCGGGAAGCGGACACGCTCATATTATGCTGAGCTGAGAAAGGGCTTGCAGGATGAGCAGAGTTCCAAGAGGCAGAAGTTGGCGGCTGAGGCGGTGATGGATACTACTGGCCTTGGTAAAAACTGACCTATGTCGCTGTATGATGGATCGACTTGTGTGTGCTTTGATACCGGAATGGCTGACAATGATTGGATTGGTTCGGATCATGAATTTATTTGTCCTGTTTTGCCCTTATACCTATTTGTTGGTGGGGTTCAAAGGAGCATCGTGGGAAGAGGACTATGAACTTCACGGGGGGTTCTCACATTCATACTCTCGGGGCTGTTGCCACAATGCCGATATATATCTGTGCAGTGGGAAGTTGTTTCCGGATATTGTGGCGGGGCGCGCATCTATAGTTCCACATCTCTGACAGTCAGGTTGGCTGTTGGAGAAACCTTTGTTTGGCGTTTGTATTGTGAGGTTTTCTTGACAGTCGTGGTGCGTGGACGAATGAATACCGTGTGCATTGTGTGGCACATCAAACGAACGAGGAGGATTGTTTTAGCTATATAGCTTACGACTCACTGACCGCACAACAAACATGGATGAATCTCTCTTTTACCACCCTCGATACATTGTGTAACTTCTGTTGAGCTGCTGGTTTGAATCTCCTGGAGTAGTTGTCCTTGATGTGAATGTTTATATTTATAGGGGATTTTAACCTAGCTTCATAATCCTCATCAGCTTTTGCGGATTGGTTTCTCCGGCTGTCATTCTGCCAGCCTATAATTCTCCTGGATATGTTTCATTATTTACAGGCTTCTCCGAGCCAGTCCGCCCCTATTGAGGCTAACCCCCTCCGCCCAAACGCCAACCCACAACAACCCCCTCCCCCCATCTCCCATCACAGCACCACCACCTGCGGCGCATTCCTAATCTCACTCGTACTCTGATAAGTCAACGCCGCATTAACCAACAACCCCCCACCCCCCGCCCCCCTTCCCACCATCAGCCACTGCCACAACACCCCCTTAACCCCATACCACACCACCTCCCACGCATCCACCCACGCCCTACTCGGCACCAGATCCCCCCAAACGCCCCCCCTCCTCGCCACGATTCTCTCATACGCCGCTTGCCCCCCGTCCCAGAATACGGACTCCTGTCCATGTCCCGAGTGGATGTGCCCGAAGACGTGGAGGCGCGGTTTTACGCGCCAGATCTCGGAGAGGAGCGAGGGACACCCGAGGAGGAGGTCGAGGTGTGTGTGGGGTGGGGTGTGGGTTATGAGGATGTCGGTGGAGAGGGGGATGCGGGTGTGCCAGGGGGGGGTGGTGGGGTCGTATTGGAATCTGGGTGGGGGTTAGTGGGGGTTGTTTCTTTTGGATGTGGGAGAGGAGGGGGACGTACGCGTGCTCTTTACCGCCGCATTTGGGGATATCGGGGGAACCGTAAATGTTCAAGCTGCGCCCGCCTTTGAAGCGCAGATGCGTGGAGCGGTTGTGGAGGTATATGATGCTCCCCCAATCCAAGCGCGTCTTTGAGTTTATATCCTCCTCCTTGCGCGCGCTCGGGTCGAAGTAGCTATCGTGGTTGCCGGCGATGACGACTTTGTATTTATGTGGTAGCGTGTTGAGCCAATCCAGAGATTCTTGGAGGGACTTAATGGTCCCGTCGTTCGTGAGGTCGCCAGAGTGGAGGAGCAGGTCGCCGGCGGGGATGTTGGAGAGCTGGTGGGAGTGCGTGTCGCTGATGCAGACGACGCGGATGGGAGGCCGGTTTTTGGGAGGGTGGAAGGGCGCGCCGCGCAGGCTGATGAGGAGGGCGTGTAGGAAGCCGAGGAGGACTGCTAGGGGGGATTGGAGGAAGCTTTCGAGGAGGGAGGGAGGGTCCCATTTCGATTTTCGGAAGGACCACGGGAGAGTCATATTGAGAGAGCGACCGGGCCGGCACAAGCGGGAGTTGTAGCGGTGGATTGGCAATGTCTGGGCGTATACTTGCGCCTTCTATACAACCCCAATGGACTGTAGGAAGTTGAGTACTGGACTTTAGGATATATAATCGCTCAGCAGAAGTGGCTCAATAGTGCCTCATAACTGCGTAGGTATGTGGGTTGGTCGGCAATTTCGGGAACCTCGCATCTAATATTAAGCCAGCGCAAACGAGTCAATTTTGGCTAAAAGACTGTTATTTAGGTGATACGGGAGATATTGAAGGAATTGAGGTTATATCGGAGTATCTGGACCGCAAGGGTGCATTCGGGGAATATGGGGGGGTAGCTATCAAGGCGGCCGCTAGCGTTCTTATCAATTGGTTTGGTGGGGAAATCTCCGAGACACGACGTCACGAATACCCACAAAAGCAGCCAGCTTCAGCTCTGTAGGGTAGCTGGGAAGTGCCAGGCCCTGCCAACTTGGAGGCACAGCAGCGGGGCCAACTTCTTGCGAATATCGTCGTCGTCGCCCTTCTTCTTTATTTTTCAACCTCTATTACGCATCCTACACTCTTTTCCCCAACGCTTTCTCCACGGGCGGTCCCCTCTGTGCGTACTTGAAGTAATCTATGGCGTCGCCAATACCGTCGCTGTACGAAGCGCCCAAACCCGGGAAGGCTACACTTCACTCGACTTTCAAGTATGCGCTCACCATGATTACACCCCAGGAGTTTCGCTGATGCTGAACAGTGTCGACTATGTCATTGACTACCGCTTTGCGACTACGGGTGAGAAGAGCCAGACCTGCATCCAAGTCAACAATACACTGACAATCAACCAGACCAGGCCGAGGCCGAAGCTGCATTTTCGAAGCTAGTAGACGCGCTGGCTCGTGTTGGGCTCGATACCGAAGTCCGCAATGGTGACAACTGCGCCGTCCTGGTATTCGTTCGAATCTCCTCTCCCCGCCATCTGGACGCGGAAATATACAGGGCAAGAGTTCAAGACTGGCTGTATGGCGTGCGAACCGCTGCCCCAGAGAAGGATATACAGAAAGCCATATCTGAAGAGCCTATTACTGAAGCGGAACGTCTGCGCCTGGTATATCTTCTCATCACCAAACCCAACAGTGAAGGCGGTGCTGGAATTACACCCAAGAGGGGAGAGTGGGCGAACGTGGAATCCGTCTTCGCGCTCCATGACCACCAGTTCAATAAGAAATGGATTACAGAATGGTCAACGAAATACGTTCTCGACATTAAGGACTTGACGGTCGTCCGCGATCGTTTCGGCGAGAAGATTGCGTTTTATTTTGCCTTCTTGCAATCGTATTTCATGTTTCTCGTCTTTCCCGCTGCCTTTGGTTTCACATCCTGGGTCGTCCTGGGTCACTACTCCCCAATATATGCCGTCGTCAACTGTTTATGGTGTGTTGGTTTTGTTGAATACTGGAGAAAGCAAGAGGTCGATCTGGCTTTCCAATGGAACGTCACAGGCATTGGAAAAATACAGTTGAAGCGACCAGAGTTCAGACATGAGAGGGAATTTACGGATCCAGTTACTGGGGAGAAGATGAGGACCTACTCTCCATTCAAGCGACTGGCGAGACAGGCGCTGCAGGTTCCATTTGCAATAGTCGCGGCCGTTGTTCTAGGCTCGTTGATTTGCACATGTTTCAGCATCGAGATCTTCATCTCGGAAATTTACGCAGGGCCATTCAAGTCATATCTCGTCTTCCTACCAACGGTAATTCTGACAGTCTTCATGCCGGCACTGTCGTCTATGCTCACCGGATTTGCCTCAAGGCTCACCGACATTGAGAACTATGAGACGACAGATGCATATGAATCTGCAATGATTCAGAAGATATTCGTCTTGAACTTCATCACGTCGTATCTGCCAATTATCCTGACAGCATTCGTCTATGTCCCATTCGCATCTGTTCTGGTGCCATATCTCGATGTGTTCCAGTTAACTGTCAAGCCGTTTGCTGAGAATGCAAAGCAGATGACTGCCCCCAAGTCTGGCTTTGAGATCAACCCAGACAGGCTCAAGAAGCAGGTCATCTACTTCACCGTCACCGCACAGATCGTGAATCTCGCGCTCGAAGTCATCGTGCCATACGTCAAGCGCCGCGTATTCCGCAAGGTGAAGGAAGTCCAAGCCAACTCCACCAGGAAGAGCGAGCGCAAACAAGACCACACCGTCAGCGATCTCCCCGAGGAACACGACTTCCTCACTCGTGTCCGCAATGAAGCTGAACTCGGCGTGTACGATGTCGCCACCGACTTCCGCGAGATGATCGTGCAGTTCGGCTACCTCTCGCTCTTCTCTGTTGTCTGGCCACTCACTGCAGTCTCTTTCCTCATCAACAACTGGATCGAGCTGCGCTCTGACGCGCTCAAAATCACCATCGAGACCCAGCGCCCGATCCCATGGCGCGCCGATTCCATCGGACCTTGGATCGACTCTCTTGGCTTCCTCGCCTGGTTTGGCAGCCTCACGACGGCAGCGCTTGTGTACCTCTTCTCCGGCGACGGAATGGGAACAGATGGGAGCCCCCGCCAGCTCGCTGGCTGGGCTCTGCTTCTCACCATGTTCTTCGCGGAGCACATCTTCCTCGCCGTGCAGTTCGCCGTGCGCTACGGGCTATCGAAAATCGACTCCCCTGGCCAACAGAAGCTGCGTCGCGAGCGCTTTTCCATCAGGAGGAAGTACCTCGAGGAGGCTCTGGGGAAGGCGGACGCAGACCGGTTTGTGGGTGAGAGCTTTACTGCCGGAGAAAAGATTGATAGGAGGACTCTTGAAGGTAAGGACACCTACGTCTTGCTTGACTACATTTTATCCGTAGTCAGTTTAGAGACATGGGATTGAAGCTGACGTGATACAGATGAGGCGAGACGCTCGACCCTGACGGGCCAAGGAACCGCTGAGGACCGGTTCTGGGCAAGGCAGAGGGGTCCGGCAGAGACGATAGGGGTTGGGAGGCGGCTGATTGCTGAGGTGAGCTTTACCCTCGGGCCATGTCTCGACGACGATGCTGGAACTTGAACTAACCCCCGTGAAGCAGGGCGCTGCACTGAAGGTGGACAAGAAGAACCAGTGAGTGAGTGACAGCTCCGGAGAAGATGGTTAAGGAGCGAAGTCACTCCGGCATTTGTGCCCGCCACGTGGGGCGGTGAGAGTCGCGTGGGAAAGGGGAGGAAGGGGGGAGAGCCGGGAGCCGGAGCTCCAGGGGGAGCGGGTTGCATGGCATAGGCCGACGAGGTATGCATGAACTACAATACAAAATACAATACCAATACTATTTTCACACCGCTATAGGGGCTCCCTCCCCCGAAAATGCCTCTTGCCAATGTTGAAGCCAACTCCCCCTCGGTAAGCCTCGGTAACTGCTCTACACGTGCCAAGCAGTCTTGAGGGAGAATAGTAAGACCCGGAAACGATACGAAACATCCTCTAGTGAGGACACGAACACGAAATGGGGGGGGTTGTTCAGTGAGGGCGGCGGACTAGAAGAAGATAGTCCACAATAGTCGGGCGCCTTTAGCCTGATGAAGCAGCTCCAGGCCTCCACTCCAGCGCTTCTTCTTCGTTCTCCCGTTCCTGGCAAACGCTCGGGCGTATAAGCGGTTACACAGTCCCCTCCTCCTCCCTCTCCTTCCTTCTCTCTCACACTTTTCCCACAGCGGCCCTTCTCCCCCATGTTAACGCCCCACCTTGTGTTCCCCCCCTACCTACCGCAGCGGCGAAGGAGCCGGCCTGCTGAAGGTAAAGAAGCAATAGAAGCGGTGGAGCGCGGCCGTGCACCACATGGAAAGCTGGGAGCGGAGCGGGATTTGTCCCGGAGCGCTGGTTCGTGGGGCTTGGACCTTGGATGGTGGTTGGAAAGGGGGTCAGTGCATCATGTGATTACGTGGAGGGGACCGTGGGGGCCAAGGCGGATGGATGATGGTCTGGCTGTGTGCTTGAAATGGATGGGTTGGCCGGAAAGGGGGGGGTGTGCGGATCTGGATCTAGATAGGTGGGTGGGTGGGTGATAGGCAGGGAGTGTTTTGATGGTTGAAACGGGTGAGATATATGCGAGATATATGAGGTGTTAATGAAAGCCGTTGGGATGTTTAGAAACGAGGGGATTAGCGGATAATAATAGCGGATAATATCTCACTCTCACGACTTGCTCGTTGTCGGTCAGTGGGTATTACGTACGTTTAGGTGAGACTGAGACATCTTCTCTCGTGGGTTAGAGAGATCGGCTAGGTAGATCCGTTGGGCTAACCATGGATGCACCGATATATGTGAGAGATGCGTTATTATAGTATAGCACCTTGCACCTTGATCCCGACCCCGCGGCGGGAAAATACATCCGAGGCCTTGCCGCCCCACAACCGGGCGTCGAAGAAAAATAAATTCTACGAAACCCAGCAGACGCCGTGCGGGCGTGCGGTCCTTGCATGCATGCAGGAAGCAAGTTGGCCAGTTATTTAAGTTTTAACCTTGTTAACTCTCCTATGTGTTGATTAGAGTGTTTAGAAATCGCGTGGGGGGTTAGTAGGAATTGCGCGAACGTCGAATAAACTTCCCCTTTTTCTCATCAAACTCCAGATATTGCGAGGCGCCGCTTTCAATACCGCGCGTCTCCGAACAACAACGAAAGGCTAACAATAAGCTAGAATCTAGTGCTGACGAAACGAGCTATAATGAGTTCTGCCGTGGAGAAAGTTCTTACGGTCGGTGCGGTGGCAATATTTGGAATCTGACCCAAAAAGCATGCTACTCGAAGTAGTGCTGCTGATATTCGACGGAAGCAGAAGGTATACTCCTAGGGTCGCGATCCTGCGATTTATCCATGTGGGACGATGATCTACCCATCAAGCCCCATCCCAGGCGTGTCAAGCAACGGTGTGGCATTTAGAGACGTCATGCTAACGTGGATTTGGCAAAAGGCAGGACGGAGAGAACAGAGCGCGCCGGTAGTCTCCTGTCCTAGCGCCAGTGGGCCACAAATGGGAAGGTGATGATCTGCTTCCTGCATGTGGTATTTCGCAACTAGGTGCTTGTTGCGCCTTTAGTTGCGAAATCCCGCATCCACTTGTTGTGTGCCATTTGCGGCTACCGCACTTGCAGGTTGGCGCTATTGTTTTCTTACTGTGTTTGTGCAGACGTAGTCTGGCTTCTGAGCGCAAGTAAACATATCGGATTGGCTACGGTGATTGCTCCGTGCCAGTGCGCAAGCCATCTACGAGTAGCTTACCAGAATATCGATGAGAGACTGCAGATGAGCAAGCCTGTTAACTCAAATCCCACCACCGCAACCGAGATGAGAAAGTCAAAGAGTGAGACCATTCTCACCGCCGTCAGTCTCGGCCCTCATCCTTCACTCCTCCGCCAGCAAGCCCTAACTCCAGTCCCCGAAGACGCAACGGCGCTGCTCTAGGCGTCCCTACGCGTTTCAGCGCCGCCTCGTCATGCGTGGCGTTGTCGGCAGTGGGGCGTCTGTGCGCCACGGCGGGCCTACCGTGATTAGGAGCATCGCTACAGCGCGGTGAGAGGGCCCGTCAGGGGGGAGTGAGCAAGTTGTGGCGTGCTGGTGTTACGGCGAAGGAGGAGCGGTTTGCATGAGATCGAGATTGCGATTCTGGTCCAGCAGCGATGATGGAGTGCTGCAGCTGGCCTTGAATCTCGTTTGCGCTGCACGTCTTCGCTTCACGTCACACTCTCGCCCACCTTCCAGGGCTCGCTAACGTACATAGAATTCGGATCTCGGAATACCATGTACAGACGTTGTGCTGGGGGATCACTACTGAACCCTACATCCAACATCTTGCTACTCTTCGGGATGCGACGGTAGCATCCCGCTCGGCGATGCTAACAGGCCAGTGATAATGCGTAATTTCTCCACCAACTCCAATCCGTCTCCTGGAAGGATGCGATAGGACGTTGCTTCAAGAGAACATTATGATACGGCTTCCCCCCCTCCTTGTCCTCTACTTTCCCTCTCTCTCTCCCTCCGCATCCCCTCTTCCGTCCTTCTGCCCTTTTTGCCTAAGATACATAGTCCCGACGATCTAAGTTGAGACAACACGGAGTCCGAAAGACATATACGGATCATCGTATAGGTACAAAGCGCCTTTACCGGTCGATCACGGAACTACGCACAGATGAGCATTCTGTTTTGCCCGTCTCGTCGCCCTCGTCGTTCGGCATGTCTCCGGACGCGCCCATCTGGTAGTGAGCATCGTGTAGCCGAGAACGGGCCGGCGTTTCGGTGAGATTGCAAGTGCGGTCTACCAGTCTTTTCGCAGAGGGAGGGAAGTTGCCGTGAAAAAGGGTGTGCGCGAATATGGGGAGGGGGGTGGTGGATGGACGGACAGACGAGGGTTGCGCTGGTCGAGCAGATCGCAAATGAAATCGCCATCTCATCGTATCGGGGAGAACTGATTCATCCAGCACGCACACCACATTCAGATCATTATGCGAATCTTCTAATGATGCAAGACCGTTGCATTGATATAGATCTTGAGCTAAGTCTCGTCTCGTCCCGCGTTCTCCTTCGGCTTCGGCGGTGCTCTCGATGGACGAAAACGTGGTAGTGGGGGGTTGTAGTCCGACCCCTGTTCGGCAAGCCAGATTGAGCGCGCTGCAGCAAACTGGGGGGTGCTAGGGATAGCTGGGGTCAAGTTAGGCGGCTTGGCAATGGGCGAGACATTTCGCTGTACCAAGATTCGGCATCAGGAAGCCGCCTATCTCTACTCCGTCGAGTTGAGGGGATTTTCAGAGCTCGGGCGCGGTCCATGGCACCTCCGTTTGTCTTGTGAGAAAATCTGCAGAGAGCTTTGGCCGTGTCATCTCGGTCGATTCTCGCAACTCCCGAAACCGGAGGAGTGGGCGGACGGGGATTATTCTCTCGGCCGTCGCCATGCGCACACCTCAGGGATTAGGCCCCGGCCCCTGGATGTCGGGAATTTAAATCGGGGCTTGTGTGCGTGGTGGGTGTGGAGGAATTGGGTATGAAAAGATGTGGCCGAGAGGATGTACGTACGCAAGTGTGTCCGTATGCATAAGTGCCCGCATGTTAGCACAGACATGTGAACCCGTTGAACCTTTTCGTGGTGGTGGTTGGTGGTGGTGTGCCATGTATGTATGTGGCCAAGGAGGGCAATATCTCGAGCTGGGGAGCATATGTGAAGAAGGTATTGACGGGCCGGCCCAACCCCAATCGGCGATGATAGCTAACCAATGCAGGCCGGAACAGAAGGGGAAACGCGGGCAGATAAGACATCGGCTGGTGCGGGGATGTGAGTGGAGAGAAGGGAGCCATACACCAAGGGAGGAAAGAGACCAGGCGTTTCACCACGAGGGGACCACGACCAGAGATCTGTGGTGGTGGTGGATGTACTGCGCTGTACAGGACAGTACTGTACATACAGACCCGAGGCAAACGCCGGGGTGTCGACGATAGTAGTGAGAGCGGGGAGGTGAGACCACGGCACTGATACGACTCAAGCATCCCTCGCGGCAAGCCTTCTCCTTCCTTCCCTTCCCCATCTCCATCTTTCTTCGCCGTTGCGAGTCCCATCCGCCACGTGTTGCTATTACACTTGCAGGCATACAGACCGGCACCTCGGTAGCCGGACCCACGGACGTTGTTGAGTCTCCGGCGTAGCAGCGAGAGGTGGAGAAGTTGAGGCGAAAAGTCTCGCCGAAAAGGTGGGGTTTTGAGGGTGTGAGTCTTGTGCTGTGTAGAGCCCGAGGATAGAACGGTTATGGAAGAGGAGTAGGTGTGTGCAGAGAGAATGAGCTCAGCTTCTTTCTCTCCCTGGCCGCAATTGCGGACCTAGCACCGCCGCGCCGTCTCATAGCCCATCCAGCGTCATCTCCGTCGCAGGACCACCGTCGTCATCAAACCGGATGAGTCGCCATATACCATAATAGAGTATTGATGTGCTGAGATTGTTTACACGGAAACGCCGCCTAATGTCCCGCGCCTTCAGCCTCATGTGGCTCATTCATCTCATATCACATCTCATCTCATCTCTACTCGCCCTCCCTTCTGCTTCTGCCGACCACAAATGCCCTGATGCCTGTTCCCTGCATGTGCGTCCTTCCCCGTTAGAAGTAAGAAGGATTACTGTGGAATCGCGCGGCCGGTAACAGCGCACTGGCGGCACACGGCGGGGCGGCGCAGATTATGGATCTATTTGTGGCTTTTCGCTATGATTCCAGCGTCCCGTGTCC